ATGTCTGGGTCTGGAAGGTTGAAACTTGTGATGCGCATTTCAGAACACAGAAAAATCTCTCATGCATAGGCAGCAAAAGTTGCCCACTTTCTGTCACCAAAATCAGGGATTTGTCATGCGGATTCGGCATTCCGAATGCTTCTCGAAACCTGTGATGCTAGAGCCTCCATGCCAGACCTTCTGTGTCATGCAAAAACAGCATGAGTCTTCCAGACCCAGACATTTTTACATTTGATATTCGATAGAAACCCTTGCGCCCTTATAATTTCCATCTACGACTACGTCACCGGAAGGTGGTGCTGCGGCCCTTCCACTGCTCATCTGCGCCGATGCTGGCAAATCAAAACCGGGCGATGTAGTTCTTGAAGAAGGTTCCTCGAGGAGCTGTTGGAGTGTAGTTTTCGAATCCCCTTGATGTAGCTCGTCCTGCAAGGACATCTGATCACCGGGTCCGATGGCGCCGTCGTTGAGATTCTTGACCCCTCGAACCAAAAGGTCGACATGATCTTGCCGAAAGTGGTTCGAGTCGGGCATCGTGGCTTGAATTTGCTGCTTGACTTGCAACTGCTCCTCCAGTAGGGGAGCGAGGTTTATTGAGGGCTGCCGGAAGAGCGGGCTGGGCGGGAGTTTTTGTGTACTACGAGTAGAACTGGGGACGAGGAACAAATGTTGGTCCTGCGATTTGATGTTCGATGCAGGATCATTTTCTACACAACTTCTGGTTCCGCCTCCAGTACTGCTGCTTGTGCTCTTCGCAGCATCAACAGAGGTTGAAGATTTCGTCGCGCCGAATGCAGAAAAATTTGACGGATCAACACCGTGAAAGGGGGTATTTAGAAGATGCTGTTGACCTCCTCCACTCTCGCCAGTAGTTGTAGTGCAGCTCCTGCTACCCACCTCCACCTCGACCTCGTTCTGCAGTCGTGCCGCGAAATAGTCGTCGATGTTTTTTTCCCGCTGCGCCAGCCACTCCTGCTGCGCACTGTTGGGTCCGGAGAGCTTGCCTAGTTCGTGCAGCCGCAACGGATTGCGCAGCCAACCCCCGTGGGTACCGCACCGGCCACTGCGTTTTATTTGGAATGACGTTTTTTTAGTAGTACTTTTGGTAGGGGTTCTATTGCAAGGAAAAATCCCCCCTCCCCATATTGAAAACGCATCCTTCTGAAAAGCAGACTCGTGATTTGTGACCACAGAGCGGGCCTGTCTTGCTAGAAGGCAGATCCAGGCTCTCTGCCACGTTATGCAGGCGATTTGTAATGCTGTAAGGCTCACAGGGTAGTCGTCTACCATGCTAGGTGCCTACACCAAAAGACCCCCGCCTAGGCTCAGGATCTGCGTGCATTCCTCTACTGCAACACAAATTTGATTTGTGTATTCAAATCCAGCATCAGAAATTTCGTTTTGATATGGGGAGGGGGGATTTTTCCTTTTGATAGGTTCTAGTGTAGTTCTCCGCGACGTCCACTCCGGAAGATGAGGAGGACCAGGACTCTATCCTATGTAAAAACGTCCCCACCCCAGAGCTGTCATGCAGGTAGGCATGCGAAAAATGTTTGTCATGCGGAGCCCCATGAGAAGTATTCTCTAGTCGTGTTTTGGAACTTGCAGCGCTCCAATCAGCGTGATAGGCTAGATCTGTGATGCTGCTGAACGAACTAAGCAGGATCACACTACGAGGACAAAGCTGTCATGCGAAACAACCAGAGGTGGCTGATTTGTCTAGCGGATTTCCCAATTTGACTCTGGAGTGGGGACATTTTTACTCAGGATAGACTCTTCGATGACCGGCGCAGCATCTTCCGAGATATTTACGAAACGGTTGTGCTGCTCGAGAACCTCCTCCGCGTCAGGATCCACCAGTGCAGCCCCCGGGAGGTCTTGCTCCTCTTCCGCTGCTTGCTTCTTGATCTGCAAACTGGGGCAATTGGGGTACTGCTGCAACTATGCATTGCAAACGCATCGCTCTCGTATAAATGCATTACAAATTCCCTCAGCATGAGAAACAAAGTTTGTCATGCGGATTTACCTTAGGAAAAAAAATTGTAATGCATGACTGCAATTACTACGAGTACGATAATTTTGCACAGGATAGCAACAGAAATTCGCTGCGCTTGCGGTGGATCGCGGCGGTCAGGCGGCCACGCCGCGTCGGAGTTTTAGTCCACATAGGTAAAAATGTTAACCTATCAAATGCAAAAATGTCTGGGTCTGGAAAAGTGTAGACTTGTCATGCAGATTTTCCATGACCCATGAGGTCTGGAATGCGGGCCATAGCATGACAGACTCTGCGAGGTCTCTGCCATGCCTATCCTGCATGAGAAACTCCCTTCCAACTTGTTCAAAAGTGTGCCGCTTTTGGCACTCATGCAACACAGATTTTTGCATGCTTCAGATTTACCATGACAAGTTGCAATCTTCCAGACCCAGACATTTTTGGAATTCATATAACCACTCCGAACTACAACCCCCTTCCCGGCGGCTTGCGCCAGGGGGTACGTAGCTAGCNGCAATCTTCCAGACCCAGACATTTTTGGAATTCATATAACCACTCCGAACTACAACCCCCTTCCCGGCGGCTTGCGCCAGGGGGTACGTAGCTAGCATTATTACATCAGAAAAGGAGAAGCTGGATCTTCCCTTGTAGTTTCACAATGAAAATAAACTGGGCTTTAAAAGAACGCGTGCCTTCCGTTTTTTGCGGAAAAACACTATTGATCGCTCGGTGCACGTCCACGGCCACCAATTCAACACACTCTTACGAAAAACAACCTACGTAGAGAAAACAAAGAAATTGAATAAACCCACTGGCTTGACAGTCGGCGGATCTTGTTCATTTTTGGGATCTGTGACTGAGATGACCGAGAAAAAGGTTGCTTAGGGTCAGCTTCCAACCTGCCACTGTGAGAGCTGCGAGAGGTTTGTGGGGCTCTAAATTTGATCCTGTACCCTAGAAAGCGATCCACTCAACGTTGTGCGAGCGAGTAAGAGTGTGAAGTCGCCCTCTGTATTCGTGATTTGGACGAACATCTCAAGAGGTGAACAAGGATCCTGGAGGTGCCTGGGCCGCCCTGCTGGGTGGGGGCGACTTGGAGCGCACCAGCGGGCTCTAATTCTAATGTTCCTGATGGCAGCATCGATGCGCTTTCGCTACTAGCGTCGTGTTGGTTGATTCATTTACCACGGTCTTTCAATGTCAGCGACGGGCTACGAGCCCTGTGTCGCGTTCATCGCGCATCCTGCACTCTAGCGGATGCTGCTGCCTCCTCACAGGAGTGATTGATATACAAAAATACTTCGATCTTTTCAGGACGCGACTCTTCCAGTGGCAACTGGAAAAGGAAATAAATACTGAGCACTACGCCCCGACATCACTTCATTTTGAACGATCAATCTTCCCTGGTAGAACTTCTACCAAAAGACTAGTTTGCACGATTCCGATAAACCTTTAGCCTAAAAACAGCTATGCAAAAGTAGGACTTCTGGCCTCAAAAGGTAGAAAGTCGATATTTGTCGGCACGGAAAGACGACCTTGTTTGACCGCGCAAACGTACTTGTTTGACCGCGCGATATTTGTCGGCACGTCACTTACAACTCGAAAATGATGCACCGGGATGTGTCTGTCATTAAATATTTAAAACAAACAGCTAAAACTCTTACACAGGGCTCATCTCGTCGGTGGAAGCAAAAGGTCACAGGATCTCTACCACGTATCCTGTGAAATTCGCGAAATCCCGATGGAGAAGCAAGCTCAAGATATCTTCTTCTACTGTTAATTACGACTAGAAAAAAGCGAGGAGCGTGACAAGCGAAGCAGCTCCCAACCGGCACAATTACGGGAACTGACTAGATTCCTATAACCTTGTAGTCTATCCAGACGGGTTCCCCGGTAGTGCTTTTAGGTGAAAAGAGCGATTACTCTGCCTCCGAGCCCAGCTGGGCTCAGCTCCTAGGCTGCAGCTGCGTTCCTCGTAAGTTGTGAGTGCCTGACCTCGAGAAAACTCAAAAAATCTTCTGTGAAATAAATGATGAACTCAAGAGGTTCTTCTGTAAACTTGAGCACATCTGCTCTACAAGTAGTTCCCATGGAAACTACTCGCCCATCATGTAAAAATCGAAACCGGACTCATCCAAAAACTCCTCCTCCTGGTGCAAAGAAGGAACGTCGTGCCGCTCGACAGTATTTTTGACATCGCTTTTTTGGTTCAGGTCTGCCTTCGGCTGCGTGGGCACCGAGGAAGAGCTGCCACGATTCAGGCGGTCGACAGTCTTTTTGGCACGGCGTCCACCTTGGGAAGTGGGAAGCCGCACTCCCGCGATGTTATCAAATGCGAAAGCGTCTGGGTCTGGAAGAGTGCAGACTTGGCATGCATATTTTCCATGCCCCATGAGGTCTGGAATGCAGGACCTAGCATGACAGATTCTGCGAAGTCTCTATCATGCCTATCCTGCATGAGAAACTCCCGCTCATGTTGGTCAAGAAAGGACAACTCTTGGTGATCACGCAGCACAGATTTTTGTGTGACCCACAGGACGCATCACAAGTTCCACCCTGACCCAGACACTTTTGCATTTGATAGACGTCAGTCGGCCGCTTTGGTGCGGCTCCGTGTTTGGTAGCTTTCTTCTTGATAGCTTTCTTGACAACTTTCTTCCGCGGCGCCGATTCGCTCTGGCAGGCTTCGCTTTCAGACATACGGCGCAGCGCGTCCGGAATGTGCACGGTGACCACGTTGTCTTCGCTTCCAGTTTGATCACCACTATGAATTGCAAAAATGTCTGGGTCTGGAAGATTCTGAGACTTGTCATGCACGTTTTGCATGGGCCATGATGTCTGTGATGCATGCCCCAGCATCACAGACTTTTTGAGGGCTTCGCAATGGCTATTCCGCATGAGAAATTCCCTCTTCGCGTAGCCAAAGTTGCATTCTCTTTGCTGCCTATGCAATACAGATCTTTTTGAAATCCAAATGCAGCATCACAAGTTCGGATTCTTCCAGACCCAGACACTTTTGCATTTGATAACTACCGAAAGAAAACGAAACCACTTCCATGCCTTTCTCTGGCGCCGTTTCAAGGTACCGAAGTTTGCAAATCAGCTTGAGAGCGGGCTGGTTTGCGCGGTTATTAACTCCCCACTCCACGGATACTTCTCGGACGTCGTCGTCGCCCTTATCCTTCTGCGCGGACATCACGGTGGCGCCAGGGCGAGAGAACGTAACATCGATCCACGCTGTCCTGGAACCGCCGACAAAAGAAGCAGGGAGCTTCTCGATAAAAACATGCTGTCTGCTATGCTACAAAAAAAAGCACACGCGCGCCCGCGTTCATCTACCGGCTCGTTCAAAATAAGTAAAGCGCGCGTTCATCTGGCCTTTTTTCCTCGAACGAGCAGGAAAAGATTGCAAGATGTCGCCTCTTGGGCACGGTGACAGTCACTTACAGAGCTCCTAGCTGGGGGGACAGAAGGCGCCACGGAGTGAGCAGCAAAGCATTGCTCTGCGGGCCCGATGCTAAAAATGCAAGGCGGCGCGAGGGCTTTTTTTTTTTTGCTTCATAGATAGCCTGCGATCTGTCTTCGGAATTTTTCATATTTCCTATAGTTGTCTCTGGCCAATTCGCCGCGCGGGCGCTTTCCTGGGAGCTGGTGGCGCGACTCTCAATGGCAGTCTTCTGAAGAATATCCCTTCGCTGGCGCTGGAGGTCTTCAATGTGGCTGAGGTCAAACATCATAGCGGGGCCAGCGAAAAAAAGGTCGCGGACAAGATTAAGAAAAGGAGAGTCTACGGCTCTGGGAGCCTTTCTGGGTCGGAAGTCAAACCCCTTCGGCAAATCGTAATTCAAGCCAGGAGAGAAGCACGTCCTCCCAGTGTGGGGGGACTCGGACATCTATCAACTGCAAATATGTCTGGGTCTGGAAGATTCCGAGATTTGTCATGGTAGTCTGGTATGACGTTGAACTCTGTATTGCGTGGCCGCGAAGGGCGGCCCCTTTTGCCTGTCATGCAAAAAAGCAGTTTCTCATGCGGAGGACGCAACGCAGATCCACGGAAGAACTTGTCGTGCTGGGCAGCGCATAATTATAGCGTTCGCGTTATTCCCTTCCTTGCATTACAAGTTCCAGACCCAGGCATATTTGCAATGCATAACATCCGATTGCGGGCTCGGCGCTGGAAGCGTTCTTCAGCTTTATCGTGTCGCTCCGAATAAGAGGTGTAGACATTCAGAGAAGTAGCTTTGTCACTCGTAGCGCTCCTGTGCCCGTTTTCCCACTTATGAGAGTGCACAACTCGCCCTCCCCCTTGCTTGTATTGCATGAACAGCAAGACCAACACCACCACACGGGCACCCTGTGCAAGACAAATTCATGCGCCTAGTGTAGTACTGTCTGGGCTTCCGGAATCTGTCAACATGCAAACAGTGCCACAGGGAAGAACTTGGATTTGGGCTTTTGCATGACAAATGAGGGGGAGGGGGGGTTGTGGCACTCTCATACCACTTTTGGCGCGCATCGCTCAGATCCGGACCCAGAAGATCGTCGACGGACCTGGCGTATCCAATGCAAAAATGTCTGGATCTGGAAGGCTCCGTACTTGTGATGCGTGTTTCGGATCCTACAAAGATCTGTGATGCGTAACGTGCAAAAGGTGCCCACTTCTGGCCATGCTGTGAGTCGATTTCTCATGCAGAATACGCATCACCAAGGAGCTGCAAAACCTGTAATGCTAGGCCCTGCATTCCAGACGTGGGGGAGCTTGGAAAGACTGCATGACAAGCCTGGCAATCTTCCAGACCCAGACATTTTTGCATTTGATATGGCGAAGGACAAGGAGTCGTGTCTGGAGGGAGCAAAAAAGGTATTGAGTAGTTTCTGGTAGCCCGGCGCACGACGCTTCCCACCTCTGACTGGGTCAGTAAACTCACGACCAAAGGCACCACCAGCGGTCGATCCCACCAGCAACGAGACAATCACGCGCCGCGAAGTAGCCAACATTTTATTTTGTAGATTTTATGGTAGAAGAACGAGCACTAGGCTATGCTTGTGCAGTTTGTTTAGTTACTTGGATCTGTGATCGGCCTCAATTGTAGTGCCAGTACGTAGTTCGCAAATAAATATTAAGTTGGTTTAGTACTATGCAGTGCAAAAGCCAAAACTGAATAAAGACAAAACAAAAAGCTCAGGCTCTTCGGCAAGCGAGTACAAGTTAAAACGACTCGATGTGGGGAAAGAGATTACGCTCTAATGTTGTTGGTCTTGTTTTACTTCTTCGGTTGGCAAAGTAGCTGTGAAGGTTTGTTTAATGTGCAGACTTCTATTATATTTGACTGTGACCGTCACAGTTGGCTTGACTTACATGAGGCGCATCCTCCAGATCATGTACCGACACAGTAGTCGATGCGTCACCGGAGATTTCGACTCGACATGATCATACCGAATGAGCACTCTGCTTTTACTCATGTCACGACATGGATCGAAATTTACTCACCGAACTGAACTTCGATTTGCACAGCACCGAGCATTTTTCATTTTCTGTGCTCGTCATATCATGATCCGGATCGTCTTTCTATACCGACCCACGACCGATGACTTGAGGTCGGGCCCGTCTCTGCTTCTGATTTTGACAGATTTTTTTCGTTTACAACCGATAATTGGACTCTGGTTACACTTGCGGAACTAGTACTGCAGGCTCATGTCTGGTGCATCTTGATTTGTATTTCATGATCGTACAACTACCTAGAACATAAGACCGAGAGGACAGAAGATGTTGAGCTTCGTAGAAAGCAGATTGTGAAGGAGCTTTGTTTTTATGATCACAGATAATTTCGCTGATGTCCTCGCTATCCGGCGGTCAGGCGCCCATGTTGCTTTGGAATTTTAGTCCACACTGTTACTTTAGCAAAGCTTGACTCAGTAGCTCCTCTTGTGTTACTTGCACCATAAAGCAAAAAAAAATAACACGATTGCAAATGCCTACTTATCATTGGGATGCGCATCACAAATGGTCCTGTTATTGCAAATCTGCATGACAACTGTGGGGTGGGGACTTTTTTGCTCAGGATGGTCGTTCCTGTTCCTTTGTCCCTGTTGTTGTACTAGTACTAGACTGCTGTACCTGGGAAAACAACTTCTTCGCCGCGTTCCGACAGCGGCCAGAATACTCGATCCCGCTGTAGTGTTTTTCCGGCACGCCCTGAAACCCGAATAGCGCGCCGTACCAGGACAGTGCGATGGAGCCGGTGGAATCGTTGTCGCCCCGGTGTTATGAATTGCAAAAGTGTCTGGGTCTGGAAGATTGCAACTTGTCATGGTAAATCTGAAGCATGCAAAAATCTGTGTTGCATGAGTGCCAAGAGCTGTCCACTTTTGACCAAGTTGGAACGGAGTGTCTCATGCAGAATAGGCATGGCAGAGACCTCGCAGAGTCTGTCATGCTAAGTTCCGCATTCCAGACCTCATGGGTCATGGAAAATCTGCATGACAAGTCTACACTCTTCCAGACCCAGACATTTTTGCACTTGATAGGTGTAGCACCGCGCGCTCCACAAGGGTCTTGTACCTCTGGCGATGTTGTCCAAGTGTTTGTTTCAGACTAATTTTAATATTGGTCGCGGCGGATGAAGCGCCGGAGGGTCCTGCTTCCATGGTCTTCTGCGTGTCACCATCGCGGTCGTAGTACAGAGCGTGCACCAAGGCGTCGTAGGCGATCAGCACCGCTATCAAGTGTAAAAATGTCTGCGTCTGGAAGAATGCAACTTGTGATGCTGTCTCTGCATTCTGAAAAAATCTGTATTGCATGAGTAGCAAACGGAATGCAATTTTTGCTACGCTGAGAAGGCATTTGTCATGCGGAATAGGAATCAAGAAGCCCTCAAAAAATCTGTATTGCTAGGGTATGCATCACAGACATCATGGCTCGTGCAAAACGTGCATGACAAGTGTCAGAATCTTCCAGACCCAGACATCTTTACAGTTCATAACCGCAGAGGTGCCGCAACTGCCCGGAAACTTGCCCGTTTTGTTCATGGATGTTTGCGCGATTTTCATGTACAGTGTGTCCATAGCGGCCACCTCGTGTTCGCCGGGTTGGAATAAAACTGGTCTTGCTCCAGCTCCTTCTACACGCGGTATTGGCCAGAACTTCTTATTCCCATCCTCGGTGCTGGCGCCGGTACAAGAATTTCTCGTTGTCGGCTCTCCTGTCGTGGCTACACCAGGTGTGCAAGAATCGGTGGAGCTGCCCGCCCTTCCAGCGGTGGCTTTTGATGGTTGTTGTACACGACCACTCTCGCCGCGGCTGGCGCCACCCCCAGTGCTGCCCATGAAGTAGATCTTCCGGCAGTCTTTCGCGTACCAGAGCCATTTCTGGCCAAATTCAGTTTCGATTAACGGAAAGAAACCGCCTGCCTCCAGGTCCCGTAGATGTCTCGGACGGGGACCATATCAACTGCAAAAATGTCTGGGCCTCCGAGAGTGCGAAAACTGTCATGCTAGTCTGGCATGACTCTAAACTCTGTATTGCGTAGCCGCGAACAGCTCCTCAAAACTGTCATGCAAAAACGCAGTTTCTCATGCGGAGCACGCAACTCAAAACCACGGAAAAACTTGTCATGCTTGGCAGCGCATTACAGTGTGCTCACTATTCCCTTTATTGCATCACAAGTTTCCAGACCCAGACATATTTGCAATGCATAGACCACTCTGGTTTTTCAAGTACTCCTCCACGGCGGGCAACTATCATGAGAAAAAAGTGTTTACAGTTACACACTTGTTGGAGTTTCTGCATCACAAATTTTCTCTGCATGGCAGAGAGTAATGCGAAGATCATAAGGGAAAACAGGGAGGAAACGAGGCTCCCAAGCATTTCCTGCATGAGAAAGGCTGTCTGTGTTGCTGGTCTTGCAACACAATTTGTAACTGTAACACTTTTTTCTTGCGATAGCAACCCCTCGAGCAGCAGCTTCTCGGCCCACTGCGCCGGCTGTATTTCCGGTTCGTACTATCCTGAGCAGAAACGTCCCCACCCCAGACCCAGAGTCAAGATGGGGACCTCGCAACACAAGTCGAGAAGTTTTGGGAGTCAAGCATGACAAGTTCGTCTCTGTATTGTAGTGCAGTTTAGCAAGTACAGCCGCAACGCAAATCCATCTACTCATTGTTCTGTTTAGAGAAAGTCCAAAACACGATTGAATATCCCTCTCATGGAGATGCGCATTACAAATCTTCCTGTGACTGGAAATCTGCATGACAACTCTGGGGTGGGAACGTTTTTACTCAGGATACGTACAGCGCCAGCCAGGTGAAGTAACTGGCTGTAAAGCCGGCGAGGAAGCCCACCGGGACCGTCTTGGACATCCGGGAAGCTTCGAGAGACAGGGTCAGCATGGTCTGAAAGGACCGCGGAAAGCCAAACACGCTGGTCCGCATGCAAGCGCCGCAGCCGCCGCTGCGCGAGTCGAAGGGCTTGGCGTCCCAGTTGTGGCCGTTTTCGGTGAGGAGCTTGATGCACTGCTGTTCCCCCTTGCCCGGGGCCCGCCCTATCCTGTGCAAAAACGTCCCTACGACCCCAGAGTTGTATTGCGAATCTGCAAGCTTAAAATGGTTCTCATGCAGCGGAGACCCATGAAAAGCTTTTTCTAGTGGTGTTTTGAGATTTGTGATGCTTACATCAGCGCGATCAACTGGATCTGTGATGCTTCTGCACTAGCTAAACGCGACTACGTGACGGGTCCAAATTTGTCATGCGCAACAGCCAAAGCTTGGTGATTTGTGTAGCAGATTTCCCATCTTGACTATGGGGAGGGGGCGCTTTTACGTAGGATACGCCCGGTGAAATCGTTGCCGGCCTTCTTGAAACCCACGGCGATGCCCTGAAGGAGCTGGTCGTAGGTGGCGACGGTAGTATTTGGAGGTTCTTTGGAAAGAGGTTTATTTTTCGCTGCAGAAGTCGCGCTGGTAGAACTCTGGCTTTTTTCCTTCGACGAGTGAATCTTATCAAGCAAATTTTCACTCACTTTAACGGAGGTGGACGCGGGCCCTGGCCCTGCGCCGCTGGTTAATATCACTTCCTGCGTGACGACACCTTGTAGGAGAGTTTGCTTCATCTGCGTCGAAAGCTTCGATAGGCCGAGACTGAGTCCCTCGGCCATAGCGAGGTGCTCCACCGTGTCGTCGGAGACCATCCAGTTTGTCAAGTCCATTTCCAGCACCCCACCCAGCTCCTCGCAGTCGTTCCGAATCTTCGTCGTGCTCGCGCAGAACTCCCACTGGCCTCCGCGGTAGCCCATCGCATCACCAACGGCGTGCAGGAGCAGGCATGCTTCGAAACGCTCCCGGAGATCAGGTTCGGGCGTGAACGACATGATTTCGCGAAAACGTACTTATAATTCCTAGACTACCTATAATTCAGCCATAGATTTAGATGTCGGGAAAATGTCGAACACACTTCAAACCTCCAAAGAAAAGGCAAACCATATTGAAGGTCTAGTTGTGATGCTAGTAGTGGGACTTAGTGGGAATGCAAGTTGTCACTTGACGACTCAAGGATGTGCATGATAAGTCATGTGTTCGCAGTTGTAGCATGCGGCATGAAAAATATTAGTACTAGCATACTACATTGACGATATGCAGAAAGCGCGCACGAGCTAGGTAGGCACGATGCCGAGAGATAATAAGCCTGTTTTCGTGCGACCGATGACGATGCGGAGTATGTACGAATGGATTACCGATCGGGAGGCCGCTTAGGAGTTCGAACCGACGTGATTCTTACATATAGAATTAGTCAACAAGTGATCTCAGAAACTTCGGCCATTGTGGTGTTACTTGTTCTTCCCTCACCATCGCTCGAAGGATGAAACAATCAGATCTATCGGATTGGCAATAGAAACGTGAGCGGTTGGTTCAAACACAATAGCCTCCCACGGATTCACAAAACGAAAACTAACGGTTTCTATTGCACACAAGAATCTAGTGGAGAAATCATTTTCAGGACGGAAGATAGTTCACCAATTAAGCAGCTCAACTTTCATCAAATACTCTGAGGCACTTTTGTCATTTTTTTAGTGTGCATTTAATCGTCTCCGCAGTTTTCCGCAGATTTTTTCTGCAGTGTGAATTTTGACATTACATTGAGGGAGTATCTCAAGTACTAAATCAATCTGTTTTAAACAAGTCCACAAGTAAAATCATCCTTTCTGTCCCTTTGACAGACATACTTACAATTGAACTAGAGTGAATTTGTCTGGAGGAGCTCGGACTTTTTGGTCAGCTCCAACTGGTGCACTGATTAATCTTACATAAAAGGTGGCGATGCATTCTTGCAAATAACCAAAATTTAAACAATTCTGCTGCTTTATGTACTGAAGCAGTTTTGCCTTTGCAGTTCAGCAAGTAATGCGTGGCAATCAGCGAGCGACGTTGGAGGCGGCTCACTGGACCACCAATCGCGTGGATTCTTGTTTCGCCACGGTCCTATTCCGTGCCACATGGATTCCACTATGGCTACCCAGGATGTGACGCCAAAGGGCGTGTGGATGTTGTCGCAGTGGCAAAATTTCACCACCTGGTCTGCACTGACATCTGCACCGAAACCAAGATCGTGGTCCCGGGGGTAGACCGGTCGCATCGAGAATTCTGCTTCCTCCTGCACATTGTACATGCCACCGCAGCAGAACCTCAGAACGGAGAGGTACAACTGCATCAGGAGGACTCCGCCTTTCTGCAGTAGCGTGCTCCCGATTCTGCGCACGCGGTCACGCACTTTCGCAACTGCACCGTCACGGTCTTGTGCGTCGTAACAGAGGTGGTAGTCCAGAGCTCCGTTGCACAGCTCCGCAAAGAGCTCGGCGTCCCAGTGCCGGTAATGAAAGGGCGAGAGGTGCCACATGTGGTCCGGAAACTTGTTTCGAATGAATGGGAGATACTGTTTCACAAACGCTGCCACCTTCCGGCTGGCCTCGGGATTGAAGCTGTGCAGGTCTAAGAAGTTGTTCCCCGCCGGGTTGCCGAGCTCCGCTTTGTTGAGTCCGACCGCGCTTGTGCAGAGGTTATTTGGGTTGTCGTGGAGAAAGCTCACGATGCTGAAGAACAAGCAAAGGCTCCAGCAGTGCGAGCGCCAGCTACACGAGGGGTCCGCCTCGGCTTCTTCGCACATTTGTAGGAGGTCGGCCGTACCAGAATCAAAAAAATGCTGCGCGCCGAAGGATTGCAACAGTTTTTGTTCCAATGTGCTTGCTGGCCACTGGGGATCAAATCCGTTCTTACCTGAGACCCATTTTTTTACGATTGCGTAATGTGCTTCGCTCGGCGGCAGCGCCAAATAATGCGGCTCCGGGTCATCGTCCATATCTTCATCTTCCGAAGCATCAGACGCGTCGCTGCGCAAAATTATTGCCCCGAAGGCGCTCTCGCAGTCGAGTCCGTAAACAACGCGATTCCATTTGTTGTAAAAGTCCTGCGCGCTGTCGTAACTGCCTTCGTACAAACAAAAACGAGTTTCGTACACGTCGTTCCATAATTTCGCCGCGTCTTTCTGGTCCTGTTCGCTGTTTGTTTTGCCCCGCGGCATAATATATCCACCTGCACCGCGAAGCCACCGGACCCACGTCCGGTACTTTGGACTGCTTGCGAGCTGGTGGAGCTCCGGGCCAGGAGACGTCATTGTGGAGGAGATGAGATGTCGGAAGGTCTTGTCGTAATCCGGATCTTGTGCCATTGATAGGAGCGTTTTGAACTTGTCCGTGCACGCAAGCATGAGCTCGTTATGACCAAAAACAGTCTCGAAGTTGTTCACGGCAAGGATGAAACCTTTGCGCACTGTTGGATCCGTCATTCGCAAAAAACTGAGGTACGGCACCGAAGCTTTCACCCAATCATTCAACTGCTCGCACTCTTCCGTGGTAAGCAGGTTCGAAACCGCTTGGCGGCTCTCTTTATCAAATGCAACTATGTCTGAGTCTGGACAATTGCAAGATTTGTCATGCATCTCGTGGACCACACACGACGCATTGTCTGGCATGCAACCAGAAGCGTCGCAGATTTTGGTTTTGCGACCTTCCTCATGTCTATTCCGCACGACAAATTCATTGGCCTATTGCTATAGCAAGAAGTGGGAATGAGAAACCAAAGCACCACAAAAAGTGGTCATTTTTTGGCGTTGATGCAACACAGATTTTTCCGTGATCGACACTCCGTGCGACAAGCTGCAGCCTTTCAGACCCAGACATATTTGCACTTGGTACTCTTCAAATGTCTTCCTTCTTCCCCGCAGAACCAGCTCGAGCTTGCGCGGCGACAAATGCACGATCTCGTCCACCTCGTCGTCTATTTTTAGTTGCACCACGACATGTCCCGACATAGCTGCTTCTCGTGTGATTTGTAGGATTCGCCCCGGGTACTTGAACCAAGGGTGTGTTTTGTCGATAATGCGGACGATGTCATCTTTCCCATATTTTGCTGCCAAAGATCGCTTCTCTGCGGCACGCATGCCATCAGCGGAACTCCACTGGGGCCCGTACGCTGTACCGTCCTTGCGCAACAACTGCAGACACCGCAACGGAAACTGCACGACGTTCTTTGTCTTCCCCATCAGAAGCTGAAATGAGAGCGATTGCGGCACCATCTGACTCGAATACAGATACCACGCCAGGCTGCTGCTCCGATCTTGATCTTGATGGGCCGCTAGCCGCGCGAAGTGCGGAACATGGGCTTCCGCAGGGAGTGCTTTGCTTTCCGCCGGCCTCAACACACAACCACCCTGGCCGCTGTACTGCTTCTTCAGACCGGGGGCCTTGTCCACCTTGGCGCGCAGTTGGGAAACAGTGGGCGCGGACAATGCTGAGACGAGCGAACGACCAACGAGTTCAATAGCACACTCGTCCGCAACAGATTTTATCACCACTACGTCTGACGACTGCCGAACACCCTTGGTGACCGCGTTTAGGAAGTCGGGCAACAACGTCACTTCGATAGCACCGGACACTTCAAGCCACTCCAGTGGACCGAATTGTTGCGCTCGCTTGGATGCCGTGGCTCGTTTAAAAACGCGGAAGTCGTTTGTCGTGCTCTTCATTACGCAACGACGGGTATCCGCGGCACCGGCAGCTGGAGTGGATGTTTCGATAAGCGCCAGGGACGGCATTGGAAAAGTGTAAACTGGTGCCCAATCACCCTCCAGGCCAGCCGCGGAGTCAGCCAATCGTCCGAAGGTACCAGTCTCGTCGTTTGCGAGGGGGCGGGGAGAGACGGGCAGCGGGTCATCATCTCTGAGGGATTCGCACTCGCTATTGGTGGATGCTGCTGTCGACTTCGAGGCAGCTGCGGGTGCCTTCGCGAAGCCTACACTGCCCGGCACGAGATGGTACTCAAATTTGTCGTGGACAGGCCCTGACAAGTCGACATGCGCGACGGTACCATCGTCGAGAGCAAATGCAGCCCAAAAATACCGCATGCCTTGCTCTCGCAGAACTTCGAGCCGCACTTCATCATCTTGCACTGCCGGAGAGGATTGAGCTCCAGCTGCTTGCTGGCCGGTCGTGGCAAGTTGTTGCGTAGGAGCGGCGGCATCAACGGCGCGAGGTTTGTTCTTTGCTTTGCGGCTTTTCTTGTGCGGCTTTTCCTTCCGACTGCCCTGTGCCGCGCCGGTCGAGATTGCAACACACTTCTTCTTCTTCGCCTCGCTCGGATAGAGCGACATCCGATGCCCATCGCACAGCAACTCCGCGGTAGTAAGTCCTTCCACAGGACAAAAACCCTCCAGAAACATTACATTTGTAATGCGCTTGCCCTTGTAATGAAACTGCGCACCTTGCCGGCGGGCGGCTTCCAGCGTAAAGGCCAGGAGAATCATAGGAGCCGCTATGGTATCGGCCCTTTCCAGTTTCCAAAACCAGTTAGTTTTCTCCTCAGAAGATCGGAACTGGGAGCAGGGTGTAAAACTACTCTCGATGCTGGGCGACGCGCCAGAGGAGCCTTTCGTGACCTCAAAAAGGTTTGGGGACCTCCTCCGGAGCTTCCTGGTCTCGCGACGCAGGGACAGTGTCTGGCGCCAGCTCACGAGGGCTGCGACCGCCAGGATGTCGAGCAAGACCTCAGGTTGTGGTGCCAGGTTGTGAAAAACATTTTTCGTCAAAGTGTGCTCCACATACTGGTGGTATCGACGGGAAAACGACGGCGATGCATCGCCATGTGCAGACACAAGGGCAAGCTCTGCAGAACCATCAGAAAGGACTTCACCATCAAAAACGAGGCCAACACCCTCGACGTCCTGCTCGTTTATCAGGTCCAGGTCCGTGCGATGCGAGTTGTCCGCGCGATTGTGACCCGCGACGCGCTCTTTCTGTTGCAGTGAGACTTGGGCCTCGAGGAGCTTGCGCGCTTTGCTGAGGAACGTTTTCGCCAGTTCTTGATGCTGCTCAGAGAGGCCTGCTGCGCTTCCCGTTTTTGCTGCTACGTCATTGGTAAATACTCGCTGGCTCAGCAGCCTCTTCCATTTTTTGAAGATTTTGAAGAAGTCTCTAATCGCCTCAAACAACTCGTCTCGACCTGGTTCTGAGGCGGTGGTCAGTGCCCGGCCGGCGGTTACGAACGTGGTGTCATCAAGTAGCGCAGAACTGATGCCGTAGCTTGCGCTGGTTGTATTCAGGCTGGTCTGCGTCCTATCATCTGGGTAGAAAACTTCAACTGCTGGCGGCTGGTCCGCAGACGCCGCTGGGCGAATTTGCTGGATAGGTGCTGGGAGGACAAATCCATTCTTCTGCACTTCAGCCGATATGCGGCTCAGAGGCTCCCACGCAAGGACGTCGGACGTGACCGCGAAGATCGTTGCGTCCTTCGCTAGCGCCCACACGCACGCTGACTGCGGCAGGCGCTCGGCGTCGTAGTAGCACTGTGAGATGACCGCACACATCCTCTCCAATGGCGGTTTTTCGATTTGCAGAAATTCCGGCAAACAGGATAGGAGGCGGTCTACGAAGTCCTGGCATTTCGTCTTTTCATTTTTGTCGATTCCTTCCTGCAATTCCGAGCGGAGCTTTGCGGCGTCGAATGTGTCGCTTGGGAGTTGCGAAAGCTGTGGTTTGCGTTTGTATCTGAAGTCACATGTTGAAATAAAGCTATAGGCAGATGCTCATGCTTCGGCTTTCATTTTGATCATTCGTCATGTAGTTTTCACATATGCCCCCTAAAAAAATTCACGTACCTGCAACAAAAGGCTTGCGAGGACCAGCACGGACTTGTCCCGGGGATCACCGACCTTCTGGCGCGGTGGATGGAGGAGAAGTTCTCGTTTTTGCGGCAGGCCATAGCGCGCGAGTGAAACGGAAAGGTCTAAGGGCTTCAGCACCTGTACAATTTGCCCAATCCGCACACCGCACCACAGCGCTACCATGAACCCCTTCACGGCGTTCAGGTCGTTTTCTTGCGTGAACTCGGATGTCGCCACCTGTGCCGTGTTGGCACCTTGGATTGCTTCAGCAGCAGCGGGCGAGAGTCCGTGCAAGATTTCGCAAACATCCATTGCCCCGTAGCCCGGCAGCCAGAGAACGTTACCTGCAGCAAGAAGTTGCCGAAGACGGTTCAACGGAGCCAAAGTGTCGCCCAATACAGTGTCTTGACGGGGCTGTCGCGCCGCAGCTGCTGTGCGGTCGAACAACTCGCACAGCACCAGGATGTTCAATTCGGCAGAAGCGTCGTCCACAGACACCACAGTTTTCCGTGTGTCGGTCAGCCAGGGGTTGAGGATGGCGGCGGCTCCTGTCGATGAAGTCGCCGCAAACACCGATAGAGACATCAGCAAGGACTGCAGCAACACATGGCACCCGAAGTTCACGAACCTGCACAGCAGCCAGTCGTCCAGCTTCTTCATTGCTGGTTCAATTTTTTCGTTTTTCCCGTCAGCAGAGGAAGTTTGTTGATCACAGTCGGCAGCGACGGGAAGCGATTCTGTCGGCCGGAAGACGCAGTTGTCGAGGATTGCGTAGACCTGTGCAGTGCGCAATACAACCGCGTTTACCTGGTGGAGCATCTCGATTCGTTGTTTCATGTCTTCGAGGCTGCTAAAGAGGCGGCAATAATCCAAAGGCGCGAGTTGTCCACCGGTCGCGGCCAGAAATTCCGCAGGGGCGGAGACAGGAGGATGACTTCGCTCGATTGCGAAGTGTATCTCATGCGACGCCCGCGCGATCAGAAACTGTATGAAGCTCGATTCCCGTTTCACAAACTCATTCAGCGCAATCGTGTCGAGGATTTCTTGGAATTTCGTGAGAAACTGCTGAAATAGTGGAATGTCCAGGGACTGCCGAGCGCCGGCGGAAGTTGTAGTTGACACCGTCATGGGGTGAAACGCACACGCGTAGAAAGACGAGCCAGCTTGGAGTGTGGCGGCAAAGTCCGGCATATACCGAAACAGCTGGAGCAGCGGCTCCGTAATAAATTCCCAGTGTGCGAAGTTCTCGTCTGAAATAAATTTGTCGTCCTCACTGTTCCCTTCCGCGTGCTTCCGTAGTACGCTCAGCGGGTTCAGATCGTGCAGCATGCGTGCCCACACAGCTGCCTTGGCGAAGTTACTGAGTTCGTCAGTAACCGTTGGCGTACTAGAAGTTTCCGGCGCAGCAGCACAACTTGGATCGGGTTTCGAAGAAGTGGCGCAACAAAGGTGCGTCACCTCTTGTTCGAAGTGTGGTGCGAGCCTCACGACAAGCTTGCAGAAGCGTAGGTTGTTTCGCAGCATTTTGAACAACGATGCGTGCTGCGCGACGTGCATCAGGTCCGCCAACAGATTCGCAAACGAGGAGCTTTGGTGTTCGACCTCCTCCACTCGGTCCAAGAGTTTGTCGACGACAAACGACACGACTTCCTCGCGTGCCTGCTGTAGTTCGTTGTTGTTCCGCCAGTGCGCGCGGGTCCACTTGTCTATGCGAGTCAATGCCGCGGAGAGCGTGTTCCTCGTCGTCTCGCTGTCGCTTGCGGACTCTCCGAGACGGTCCTGGTACATCTCGACGAGCACGAACTGGAGGTCGTGCATTTCGTCAGGGAAGTGTACGAACGCGGCCGCACCCTCGCCAGAGTCAAGAAAGTCCCGGAGCTGCTCGAGGGTGGGTTCTCCCGAAGCGAGGTCGTCTAGCATGATGCGAAGTTCGCGCTTTTGTGCGTCCATTTTTTCCGAACTCCTCTGCGCCTGCATCTCCCATTGCTCCCACTCTGGCTCGTCGGCCAAGACGACGGAAGATGTCTCCTCGCGTCTCGCTGCGGCCTGCCGGGCGATTTTCCGCTCTGCGCACCTGCTGACGCTGGTCTGATTTATTTGCAATGGAGGACCAACGACGGTGGCAATTTCTTCCTCCGGTACTAGAAAGCCTCTCGTTAGCTGTTGGGCTTGGTGGTTGCGTACGAGGCGCGCGACAACCCGGCACATGACGAAGCTCACCTTGCCATTGTGCACGGGGACGGGAATCGAGGCATATCCGGGCTTCCGAAAGATGTGGTGCGATCCGGCGATGTTGCGACATGCGTAGTGCTTCTTTTCGAGGATGTCGCGAACTTCCTCAAATCGTATTCCGTCGATTCCCATTTTGTGATGGTTTTCTATTTCGGAACTAAATACTTAAACGTCAACACTCAAAAATGAAAACGCAACATTGTCCCAGACTTAGATACTAAAAAAAAGTGTAAGTAAAGTTCAAAACGGAATACAAGAACAGGCTGGTCCGGTTGTATTGGTTTATATTGGCATTTTCCGACTTCGAGATCGAGCGAAATAAGAATGAGTAAACTCGAGCAGCGACACAATGACGGTTTCTTTTGACATCTCTCCTTGTCATATTTCTGTTGCGATGAAAGCAGGCGTCTCTCATGTAATAGTTCTGCCCAACGATTTTGAAAATTCACTCTAGCAGCCAATCAGCGACGTCCTTTATCCAGCAGATAGAAGCGTGGACGACGTGCTGCTTCACGCTTTGCTTACCCGTTCAACATGAACATCGCCAATAGAAGATTGCTTCATAATCCATCATTCAAAGTTGTGAAATGCATTGGCTTTTTGTAAAGGTGCCTAAGTAGAACAGCCTGCGCACGAGCTTCAGCTGCACAATGAACTACACCAGATGAGTGACTTGAAGGTTTTGCTGCAGAGCTGCAGATCAACCTGCTAGTGATGTGCACAGCATTGCTGCTGCTTAATTCAGTGCTGTCTCCCTGATCACCATCCATTTCCCTTATCTCTTCGTGCTCCGCCTCCGTTTCTGTATCTCCAGGAGTTTATCTGCGAACCTAAATTCTCCCGGCCTTGTACTAGTTCCTCCAGACGCCGTAGAAGTCCCAGTCGGCGACAATGACCTCTGCGACAGCGATCGAGGAAGCAAAACACTCTCGTCCGCGGTGGCACTGCGCGGGTTTGCTTTATTCGCGAAAACCGATCGCCGGGACGCTGGTGCTGCACCAGCAGCTGCCGCTCTCGCGTCGCCGTAATCCGACTTCGTTACGGAGGCCAGCATGCTGTTCTGGAAGTTGTACCGTCTTGAGCTGGTGGAAGCCGCCGGCGTAAAGTTCTCCTTGTTAATATCCGCGTCTCGGTCAACATCTGGATTCCCTATTTGAGCTCCGTGGGTCGCCGCCGAGGCTCCTGCTGTTGAGGAATAATTAGACGGATTACTATCCTCTTCGAGGACGTCGTGGGTTTGCGGTTGAGAGTGGTCTACTCGCGCCGTTTCCAGTTTATATCGCCCCCGTTCACGCGAGAACAGTGACGATGGAGTAGTACTACTGTCATCGCCGCCCTTTCTCGTATCAAGTGCAAAAATGTCTGGGTCTGGAAACTTGTGATGCTAAAATGTGCATGATGAAAGCACTTCCGAATGCAGTCCGGCATGACAACTTCCCAAAACGCTTTCTCATAGGCAATCCGCATGAGAAACTGCGCTTTTGCATGACAAAAGAGGCTGCGAGTTTTGTTGGTTATGCAATACAGATTCTCTAGTTATGGAAAGCTAGCATTACAAGTTGCAATCTTCCAGACCCAGACATTTTTACATTTGATATTTCGCAGACGCTTGCAACACCGTTTGTCGCATGGTTTCCTTCGCCTGCGTCACGCGGCGCTGCAGTTCCAGCATTTCGCGCTCTAGTTCGGACTCCACGGCGCGGTCTTGCTGGTCGAGCGTGAGAGCCCCCACTGAGGATGAGGTCTTCGCTTGTGGAGATGATGTGGTCTTCTCTCGTGCACTACTTCGAGATGTAGTTGCCTCCGTCGTGTTCTTATCCGTGCTATAATGTTGCGACTCGTCCCGATCTCCAGCTTCGGAGCTCCTGTCGTTCCTATTCACCAGTTCCGTAGGCTCTGGATTGGATTTCCTCGGCCCATCGATGGACAGAGGCTCCATCAGCTCCTGCGGGATGCCGCCGGGCCTGAAATCACGGGTTGATAACCCGCCCGTATTACTGATTGCACACCCTGCTTGCGTCCATTGCGGCGGAGAAGTGGCCGCACTGTAGCAGGATTTGATGTTCTCGGTAGTAATATCATTCGCTTCGTCCAAGGAAAATTGGAACTTCGTGATTCCAGACGGTGCTGACCCACCACTACCCGAAGGCCGTCTTGCCGCAGAGCAGGTGGATGTTGATGTTGACTTGCCGCGAAGATTAGAAGTAGAAGTACCGTCAAGATGATCCGGAGTGGATGCTAGAATTGCTCCTGCACCACCTCCACCCGAAAAATAGTTCGTCCCCAGCACAGAGGACCCGACGGTATGGTCGTCCCTGGCCGTGTAAAACCGGTCCGTGGAATAAATGCTGGCGTCGGTTGTTCCCTTGGACGATGATGAAAACGTCGAGGAAGCACTCGTCGCTCCAACCGCACTAGATCCGACAAAATCCTCGCGAAAAGGGTTCTTGTTCACTATCTTACTCGTCCGCTTCGCGCGGGCGTCTGACGCGCTGCTGGAACTCTTCTGCAGCTCGGAATCTATGGCGCCGAGCCGGGCCTCCAGCTGTGTGGTTATTGAGCATGCGTTAGTTTTTATCGAGGTTTGATTTGGTTTGGTTTTGGTTCAAAATGGTTTTTCATTTTTGACATCAAAAATGCTGACTGATTTTTTGTATTCGATGTCAGGGAGGGGTCACGACAACAAACATCATGTAGAAGATAGTACCATGATGCGACTCATCTGTGTCGCGAGGTTGCTTGGCGGTAGGGAGGACGTCGTCGCGCCGGCGATTTTCCTGAGTTGATAGTGGAGGTTTTGTTTGAATTTGCAAGCATGATTCGCGTGCGGCAGTTGTAGAGATGGTTCCAGGCCGCGGTCATTGACAATAATGCACAACATGCAGAGCGGGCTCATTAAAAAAGAAAAAGGCAAGTTATACTCGTTCCAAAACAATGTAGGCTGCAGCTTTTGTGACAATGTCGTTCCCTCGTCCCCCGGAAGTTGTTGTTGTACAAGGCCTTCTCTACTAGCGCGTCCCGCTTCTTTTGCCCCATCAGGCGTCGTGGATACCGCTCGAAATGGTCCGCGGGATGAGAGCGTAGTAGCATAATTTTCCTGCTGCTCGGCGCCAGCTGTATTGTCCTGCTGCGGCGTTGTTGTTCTCAGGTTCTCGCCTAGCCGCGTTCGCAGTTCCGCATTTTCGCGTAGTAAGCACTCGATCACCGCCTCTTTCTCCTGGAGTAGCGCCACCCACTGCTTATCCTGGGCCTCGCGGAGCGTGTGAAGCTCCGTCTCCTGGTGTTTTATTTTGTGCGAGGATTATTTTTTCGGAGTTCATCTCGCCACCTACGATTTGGCTTTCAGCATGATACGATTTGCTTTCACGAGGGTGATTTCTTTCGTCCTAAAAGCAAGCCTTCATAATATCAGATACATAAAAATCATTCGCAGTTTTAGGTATGCGAACGAAGTAGAACCACGAACCTTGTCATGAATCTGCTTCGCCAGAAGCGCAATCTGCTTATCGCCGTCGCTGGAGCCAATCGCAACCATTTTGCCGTGTCGGTTTTTATGATCGAGGGAAAAAATAATTTCCACGTCTGCGTCGTGGCCGTTTCTGGCAAAGCTGTCTCGCACAGTCCGCGCGTCAACGAGTCTACTGGTAGGATTGATATATCCTAGCTGCAGGACACTGAAATTACTAATGGGATTGTCAAGTCAACAAGAACAAACACGAACAACTGCATCCATTCTGTGAAACTATTTCGGTTTTTGCGCGCAAAATTTGACACGAAGACGATTTGCTTTGATGGACCATGGACATCAGCACCACTGGTGTGCACGAATAATCTTCACATATACCACGATCAAAGACCAAGCTCCTTTGAAAGTGGAACAACCAAGCCACGACGTACGCTTCATTTTTTCGATGCGTTTTTTCTTCGCAACAATCACAATCGAAGGTCAATTTATTTTCGTGGCCAAGTCTACCTTTTACAAAGTTTCTTGTACAAAATGATCGAAATAAAAATGTCGTCATCGAGAACAATGGGTTTGTGTTGTAAAAAACTTCTCAAATTTTTATACCGGAGACACCGTTTCTATCTTTTACCAATGGCTACAACAACCGAGTGTGATTTTCAAGAGTACTATAGAGTTTTTGGATTCTTATATCTCATTTGACAATGAAGAATATAGGCTTTCATCACGAAAGAGAGGAGATAGATTTGATTCGTTGTAAACAAAAAAAATACTTTGATGTACAGTTTAGTACGCTCCGTGGGGAAGTCTTTGTCTGTACAGGAAGTCGAAGTTGGTCACAAGGGTTATTTCATCTGTACTTTCATTTCGTATTTGCACCCTCGACGTGCTGTGCATCTTCAAGAAGGAAACTTGAATGGTACTAGCAACTAGACGAGCAGCTGCTGCACGTGGGGCAACAGAGGTGGGTCATGCGCCGCGATTTGCTGAAGCAGCCGCGTCATCTTTTTGCAATGCTCGTCGAGGTCCAGCAAGCACTGTGGCATGCCTTCACCTGATAGGAATATTGCTTTCCCATGGTTCAGAACATCACAAGTCAATCCATCTTTGATGTCCTGCATGCACAACCTGTCGTGCCGTCAGGCATTCATGAGAAAACTTACATGCTAAGAAAAATTGATCAGAATATACCTTGCGGCGCCACCAGTTCCGGGCTCTTCTCCGAGACCACTGCACCTGCCTTTCCGCCATTCGCCCCGACGGCTTGATGTCCGCTTCCCGGAGACTCCAGACACCTCCGTTTGGGCAGCGGTTCGGTTTTGTTCATCAGCCGCGCAAAGGGCTCCGCGAGGCGAATCTTCTCGCGGACCAGGGCAACGATCTCGCACAGGAGGATGTGGTAACTGCGGAATTGCTGCTTCAGGAAGTTGGTGTGGTCGTTGGCATATGCTCTGCAAAAGTATTCTTCTCGTAGTAATAATTGCAATCATGCAAGACAAATTTCATTTCCAAGCTAAATCAGCATGACAAATTCCGTTTGTCATGCTGAGCTAATTTGTGTTGCAATACTACGAGTACGATACTTTTGCAGTTCATACGGCATCCGAATCGGACAGCGAAGGGGCGGACGAGGAGGACGATATCACAGGAAAAAGTGTTAGCGTTAACGGAATTTGTGATGCAGCAATGCATCACCATCGCTAAACGTGCCAAAATTTGTCATGCATAGCATGCATATTGGGCTACATTTGTGATGCATGACTGCAATCGGTGAAAACCGTTAATGTTAACACTTTTTCTTGTGATAGACGATTTCTACGATTCATTTTGATAGGACTACTTTTCAAAAAGAGTACTATGCGAGATGAATTCCATTCATAATAGATTTTTTCTCAGCTGCAAACAGAATATATAATGATCGGAATCGGGATTTATTTTTACCTCCGCCGCTGGCGAGGAGGGCATTTCATTGTCTGTCGACTCGTCATCTGCTTCGTGGTTGCCTTCCCTGAAAATTGCGTTCAGATCACTCATGATGGCGTCGTCTTCGTCCTCCTCTTGATCCGCAACCAGCCCACCAGCCGTCACTAGGCCGTACGGTCCGACGCCTAGCACGTACTGCGCCAGGCCCGCGTCGTCGTCGTCCGAGCCCGGGTTAGCAGCGTCGCTCTGCGTATCAAATGCAAATATGTCTGGGTCTGGAAACTTGTGATGCAAGAAAGGGAAGAGTGAGCGCACTGTAATGCGCCGCCCAGTATGGCAAGTTTTTCCGTGGTTCAGAGTTGCGTACTCCGCATGAGAAACTGCGTTTTTGCATGACAGACAAGAAGAGCTCTTCGCGGGCACGCAATACAGAGTTTAGAGTCATGCCAGACTAGTATGACAAATCTCGCGATCTCCCAGACCCAGACATATTTGCAATTGATACTGCGCGTCGCAGTCGTCCTCCTGCGCGTTTTCGTCCTCGCTCGAAGAGTAGTACATGGCGGCCCGCGCGTAGGCCGCAGTACCCGGCAGGGGCGGGCGGATCCCCCGCAGTCTCCGGGTCGGCGGGGCCACGGCAGGTTGTTGTTGTACTCCACCTGCGGGACCACCTGTAGCAGCCGTGGTTGCAGTTGCTCCACCAACTACGTTGGGAGTTGCACTGCCGTTAGCAACTCTCGGAGGAGGCGCCGCGGGTCCAATCATCATGTTTGTCCCGCCGGCCGCGTTGGAACCAGCTGCAGCCCCTATTACAGTGAAGAGTGCCCCCCACCCCTGAAATTGCAAAAATTTGCGATGCGAAGTCTCCCTCTCCACATGAAAACTTTTTCTCATGCATAAAAGGAGTGCGAGTCTTTGTCTTTCTGATGCAGAGTCTAGGCGTATATCGCATCGCTTGCATGACAAGCGCCGCTCTTGTTGAGGTCTTTTGCAATACAAATTTTTGCTATAATTCACGATTGGAAACCTGTGATGCTGGTGATAGATGCAAGAGGCCGAATGTTTCATTTGGAAAGAATTGCAATACAAATGCTCCCAAGTTCGGGGGTGGGGGCGTTTTTCATTGTAATAGCCCCACCGGCCAGGAAACCGACGCTCTCCATCTGGCGCATCAGCAACGCCTGCTGCAGAGACATCTGCTGGATCATGGGCATGGGCATCGTTCGTGGCCGGCCAGTCGCAGGACTAGAGCTTTAACATCCGTTAGCATGAGAAGTTGCGCACTTGTAGTGAATTTTGCATGACAAATTGCAGGTGGGTCCGCCGGTACATTGTCCCTCTTGCCCTTCTGGGAAGTGCGATCTGCACACCGCAGAATTCAAGGCTTATGCGGCGGGCAGCTTCTAGACATGGCCTGGGTGCCGTTCTTTGGCCATGTCTATTCGTCTCCCTGTGCTCGCATAAGAGCACTGCAGCAGCCGGGGCAGAGACGCCAAAAAGAAAGCGCTGCGAAGCAAATGCAATTAGGCAAGAAGGCGCGAAGGCAAGGGCGAAAGGACCAGGCCGAGAGCTTTGGCGCGTCTATCCGGCAGGCGCGTGAACTCTCCGGCCTTTTCGGCAGAATATAGACGGGCTGAGGGCAGCAGAGGGCGCTCGTCTTTTCCCCTCGGCCCCGCTTCCCAGGGTCTATTTGCGGAGTTCCTTGAGCACTTTTCTGCGCTAAAGTTTGCTTATCACGGTCGAAAATGGGCGCCCGGTGAATTTTGGGGTGAATTTTGAAAAGGGCGCCGGTGAATTTTGGCCTCCGGCTCCTTTTCAAAATTCGCTAGCGCGTGAGAAACTCCGGGTTTTGGAGCTCCAGAAAAGTTTCAAAAAAAGGAAAAGTCCCAAAATTCACCAGGAGAATTCCTGACCTGGGAATCACGTCGAAGAAGACTCGAGGACCCGAACAAGATGAGGCAGGAACACAGCTGGGAAGAAGCAAGCTACAGAGCAAACAAGCAGGCGATGCTAGCATCCATTGCAACATGTCTCCAGACATCCAAGCCGAGCCAGCCGCAACCCGTGAGAGCTACCCATTTAGATGCTCACCCAGTGCCCCTCTCCTGTTGAGGCTTCGGCCCCCTCCCTCTCGACCCACTATGAACTCCGCAGAGGCAGTCTTTACTTCTTGGCAACGCACCAGGCAGCTGCAAAGACGTGCGTCTCTACTTTAGGCTCTGACAGTGAGCGTCACCATCCAAGTGGCACCAGGCAAGTGACAGCCTTTCAACTACTTACACGGAACGCTGACTGCCTGGCGTCCTTCTCGCGCTCTTCATATGCCCTCTAATTCATGCATCATGCCACGCAATACAAATTCACTGCAAATTCACCCTTCTGTATGTTAACGACCGTCCAAGACATAATTCTTGTATGCAACGCCTGCTGCAGAGACATCTGCTGGATCATAGGCATGGGCATCGTTCTTGGCCGGCCAGTCGCAGTAGTAGCTCCAGTTGTCATCATGTCGCAATCCTCATTTTCATCGTCGTCCCCTTCTCCGTCCTCGCCGGTGTGTCCTGTCGAGAAAAATTCGTTGATGTGGTTGTACAAATCCGCGCCGTCGGGGACAGCGGCATTGGTAGAAGTGCCCGGATCATTTTTCCGATTTCCCCCCCGACCACTACCGTCTTCCAGTGCGCCAAAGCCTTGTGCGGTGAGATTGTTGGGCGAGGATATGAAGTTCTTGTTCTGGTGACCTGCCGCTCGCTTGCCACTCTGCTGGTTGTTGTGCTGTCCTGCAGCAGTTGTGTTGTTGGTGGTGGTTCCACTACCCATAAGTTGTGGACCAATACCAGATCCGCTATTTCTTCCACCGCGATTCTTGTTCATTAGCGGTCCGGGAAAGGAGTGTTTCGGCTCCTCGTCTTCATCATCGCCCATGGCCTCGTCGTCGTCCGACCGGCTGATAGTATTAGGTTTCTTCCCACACCCACCTGCAGCTCGTAGTCGTGCTCTCATTTTCATCCTACGGTTCGCATTTTCATCTTCGTCGTCATCATCACTCACATCCTTCCCGTCTGCTCTTATCAAATGCAAACATGTTGTTCTCTGGGTCTGGAAGGATGCAACTTCTGATGCTGTCTTCGGATTCCAAAAAAACCTGTGTTGCATGACCAGCCAGAGGAGTCGATTTTGTGCTACGCGGAGAGGGCATTTGTCATGCACTCTACGCACCATCAGAAAGGCCGCCTCCGAAAGTCTGTGATGCTAGGGCATGCATCACAGACTACATCATGGGTCATGCAAAATGTGCATGACAAGTCTTGCATTCTTGTAGCCAGACATATTTGCAGTTCATAGCTCTTGTCCGGCCACCATTTCCTGTCGTAGTCCCCCCACCAACTCTCTGTGGCGGGGAAAACGCCGACGAGCTACCGTTCTTCTTTTTGCGCTTCCGCTCCGGAGGCGAGGGGTTCATCTGCGCGGCGGGGCTCTGTTGTTCTAACCACGAGGCGATGTTGGGATTTCGCACCACCGCGTGCAGAAACCAGTCGAAGAGGTTCTGCAACAAGTGCTTGACGCGCACCACGCCATCCTGGTGAACCCTGTAGTGGACAAAGGAGGAAGTCGTGGTTGTCGTTGTCGTAGGTGTTCCTCCAGACGATGGTAATTGCTGCGGTTGATGACGCCCCGGGTCTACAACTTTTTTGTCGGTGGGTCCTGGAGGTCCAGTACTCGAACTATCCGCCGCAAACGAGCTGGAGCTCGATGTAGCAGCGGCTCCCGTAGTTGCTGCACCTTGCGTCGAAGAATTCGCACTCTCTACAACTCCGGAGGATGAAGTGAGCCCACTAGCAGCAGTTTTGCTGTTGTTCATCAAACTCGGCGGGCACAAAGCTCCGGCGGCACCGGCCGGGGTCGTTGTCTTTGGGGACGCGCTTGGGTTTCTATTTTTGGTGTCGTGCGAATGCTGCCCTTGCGGCCTAGAATTTTTACCCCCCGACGTCCCTCCGCAACTCGGCACAGGCTCGATGAAGGCAAACGGGCCCGTCGGGTGGCACCAGGCCGCCACGGTGCCGACCGCGTTATGAAATGCAAAAATGTCTGGGTCTAGAAGAGTCGGGGCTTGTCATGCACGCTTTGCATGACCCGTCAGGTCTGTGATGCTGTTGCTAGCATCACAGATTCGTTGAGAGCTTCTTGATGCTAGTTACGCATGACAAATGCCCTCTCTGCGTGCCGAGAGCTGACTCCTCTTTCTGCTCATGCAACACAGATATTTTTAGAATCCGCGGACAACATTACAAGTTCCACTCTTCCAGACCCAGACGCTTTTGCATTTGATACGCGTTGGGGTGCGCCAAAATCGCGTGGAAAAAGGTGAGAAACCGCTATGGAAGTGTCAGAACCGAAATTGAAAAAATCGAAAAATTTGTGATGCATAAAACCGCTACCAGTTGGAGCCTCAGTTTGTAAATGGCGCATGACAAATTTCGGGAGCACCCAAATCCAGTCTGTCATGCTGTTTGGGCAAAGAAGACTGCTCCTGTCATGCTGCTCTGACAGCACATTACATACCCCTAAACAGGCTTGCAATCGGTCTCATTTGCCTGCTCCCCAATACAGGCCTCCAGTGCCCTACATTTTATGCATCGCAAATTTTTCGACTTTGTCGATTTCGATCCTGACACATCCATAACCGCCGGATCAAGGGTATTTCGGTGTCGGGGGGAACATTGAAAGAACTGTCGAAATCGGAGGCTTTTATTACTCGGTAAAACAGCGTCGTGAACAAGAGTTCGCTGCCGAACAGCGTGTAGAGCGCCGCGGACCGGTGCACCACCACGTCGCCCGTGTTATGCAAGACAAAAAAAATGCGTGAGTGTAAGTCTGTGATGTAAAGCATCCAGCACTGCTACACTTGAACTTGTCATGCTAGCCACCCATGGCGTCCTATCTCATACGTGTTTTCACTGATACTTTACTAGCAGCTGTGCATGACAGGCCAAGGCTTTGATGTCTGTCATGCAGAACAGATTGGTTATGCTGTCACTAATACCCAAGACACTATAAACTGACACAGTTTTTCTTTTTTTCGTCGTGGATACGTGTCTTCTTCCGTCGAATGCGTTGAGGTCCCCGGGTCGAGTCGCTGCACCGCTTTCCCCTTCGTGATGTACCACTCCGCGAGGGTACGCACCAAAGGCGCGCTCGTCTTATCGAATGCAAAAGCATCAGTACTAAATTGCATTACAAATGAGCTCAGCATTACAAATGAAATTTGTAATGGTGTATTTCTCCTTAGGAAAGAGATTTGTCATGCATAACAGCAATCACTGCGAGTACGATACAGCTTTCGCAGTGCATACGTCTTCGCGTTCAGCAATTTGGCCAAGAAGATTTCCGTGGGCTGCCGGCCTTTGGGGTCGTCGTAGAGAGGGTCTACGACTGCTGGTAGTTGTTGTGTACTAGTTTTCGGCTGATGTTCAAGAACGTCTTCTTCAGAAGATGAGGTTTTTTTCTCGTCCTCCTCGTTCTTCTCGGCAAGAAAAGATCTCCCTTCGGAGAGGGAGGAGAGAAACGTTCTGCCACAAGAACCTGTACTGCCTTTAGTACTAGTGCCGGCACACTTGTAGAATGGAAAGTCCTTTGGAATGTTGGAGGGAAGCAGTGGAACCCCGGGCGAGGAAGAAGTGGAATTTATTGTTGCACCTCCACCGGTTATGATGTTTTTTCCTCCTCCTGCAGTAGAAGTTGTACCAGTACCCCCCGCACCTCCTCCTCCCGCTCGACAGGCCGCCTCTTCAAACATGTCACTGAAACACCAAATCGACGGGTTTTCCCGCCTTTTGCGGTTCGGAAGATGCGGCGCTGTTGACTTGTTCTTGGGCGCCGGGGTAGAGGAAGAAGAGGAAGAAGACGAACTACTTGAACTACTGCTTGAGGAGCTGTTTGCGGTGGTTTTCTTGTTCATCTTGTTCTTATTTCGCTTGTTTTCCTGCAACAGTATGCCCGCCGGCCCGCCCAGCAGCTTTTTGTGCACCATCTGTACGAGGTCCTGCTCCTCGTTCTTCGGTGGTGAGGACGAGGGATTTATTACTTCCGCTGCTTCTTTTGCAGCAACCGCTCCTTCTTCGCCTGCGGCCGTATCATGATGCTGTTGAGTCAGACCAGCAATTCTATCACGTGATGAGGAGGAGGAGCTACTGTTTGCTGCTGTTGCACCTGCGTTACTCTCAGCCACTGGTCGTGGGGCAGTAGTACTTCTGCCGCGGTTCGGCAGGTGATGCGCCCGATAGTACTCCCGCACGCGGTGTTGTAATGACGGGTGGTAAATAAGCTTGGACGTGGCAGTTTTCTTGTCAGCGGAGGTTGTCGATGGTGCGCCGACTGGGGACCATGAGGCTTTTGATGTCGGCGCCGCGGTGCATGAAGGCGGTCCTGAAAGATCTTCAGTACTTTTGCCGGCTTCCATCTCGACGTCGGCAGGGACATTTTTAGGACCATCAGGTTGATTGTCGCTGCTACAGGAAGACACAACTTGCTCCCGTGTACAATTTTGATTATGTTCCTCCTGGTCTACTACTACTTCCCGTTCCTCCACAGGAACATCAATCACCTCCCAGCTCGGCGTGGTGTATCTTGCCCGGAAATTTGCCGCGATCACATCTAAGACTGGTTGCACGTACTGCACAGAATTCTCCACGGCTACGTCCAGGTGCTGGTGAATGAACATCTGCTGCAGGATGGGGAAAATTTTATCGCAGTCGATTTTTGCCTCCAAAAGCAGGTTCTTCTTAGCCAAATGGCCCAGCAAGGACAGCTTCTCGACCAGTTCGGGGATCGGTTGGAAGGGCTTTGATATTTCCTCTTCGTTTTGATGAGTCTCTTCATCTTCAACCAGATTGCTTTCCAGAAAAGCGGCACTCAACTCGTTGTTCGTGTTCCCAGCAAAATTGTTGTTCATAGCCTCAGTAGTAGTTGCACTCGCGTTGAGTATTTTCTTCTTGACTTCGGCCTCTACGAGAGTGTGAATGGCTTCCAGCGCCGTCGTGACCATCGGGCCGATTGTGTGCAGGCGGTTTTTTGCCAACAGACCCGCAATCAACAGGTCCATCAGTTTATCCAAGAAAAAAACTGCGTTCATCTAAGTCTTTTGGGAAAACTGCATCACAAGTTCGGCTGCCATGACAGGAAAAACTTGTTATGCACAGATAGTAAGGGAAAACACATAGGAAGCGAGCCGATCACGCATGTCGAGCATGACAAGTATAACTGTTTTGCATTTTCTGCATCACAGATTTACACTTACGCAGTTTTTTTCTTGGATACAGTTTGGGCAGAAAGCCGCCCGATTCCAGCGCACCCCACACGTCGTGAAACTTTGACAAATACGGGTCGGTTAGCTTGCAAGACGAGGTGTACTTCGGGTCCGCCAGCTCGGTTTTTAGGTTGTCGAGGAACTCCAAAGCGTTGAAGACCCAGGTTTGTTTGCACCGCTGGAAATCTTCTTCCGCCTCTTCGCTGAGCGGCTCTGGTTTCTATCAACTGCAAAAATGTTTCGGTCTGGAAACTTGTAATGCTGCGTTGGGAATAGTGAATGCTCTGTAATGCACAGGCAAGCATGAGGTAGGATGAGAAATATGAATATCTGCGCTTCTTTGTGTTGCGTTTTTCGCATGACAAACTGCGTTTTTGCATGACAGGCAAAAGGGTCTCTTCTTGGACACGCATCACAAACTTTTTGGTCATGCCAAACAAGCATGACAAATCTCAAAATCTTCCAGACCTAGATATTTTTGCATTTGATAGTTTCACCGGGTTGTCGATGCTGCAGGTGAGGGGGTCGAAACGGCCCAAATAATTGGCATCGTCGCCAAAACGGAACTATCAAATGCAAAAATGTCTGGGTCTGAAAGAGTGCCAGACTTGTCATGCAGGTTTTCCATGACCCATGAGGTCTGGCATGCACGGCCTAGCATGACAGGTTCTGTGACATCTCTATCATGCCTTTTCCGCATGAGAAACTGCCTCTAGACTTGTTCAAAAGTGAACCTCTTTTGGTAATCATGCAACAAAACTTTTTCCACGATCCAGATGTAGCATGACAAGTTACACTCTTCCAGACCCAGACATATTTGCAATGCATAGGAACTGGGGCAGATTGAAGAACCGCCGTGGGTCGGGAAATGAGGAGGACAATTCTTGCGCTGTTTTTTCTTGAGGGTCTTCTTTTTCCCCGCCATCTACTTCTGGCGTTCTGTTCAAGCAGAGCGGGTCATAAACCGGTTTGCGCGGCAAGGTGCGGAGAAAGTGGTAGACCATGTGCGTGACCGTCGTCCACGTATTCATCATGGCGTACTGCCCAGTCGCGGTGTTGAACGCCTTGCACGCTTCCAGACACAGCCGCGCAAAATATGTCGAGGCCCGGTTGTGGAGGTGCACATTCGTTTTCGCGCACAGGTCCGCCAAGTGAAACTGGCTATGGGAATGTCAGGATTGAAATCGACAAAGTTGAAATAACTTGTAATGCATAAAATCGATACCAATTGGACCCGCAGTTTCTCGTCGGTGCATGACAAATTTGGTCCGTACCGGAAGCCAGTTTGTCATGTCGTTTAGGGCAAAGGGGCTCCCCTCTGTGATGCTAATCAGCACCCCAATTCTCGACCCTTACCAGCACTACAATCTGCATCCCTTGCGTCCTCTGCAATAGAGGCAGTCTGTGCGTTGCATTTTATGCATTACAAGTGATTTCAACTTTGACGATTTCAATCCTGACACTACCATACTGGCAACAGAACGCGTAGTTCCGTCTCTGCCAGTCGAGATTTCCCAGGGGCGACTGCTTGTACGCGTTTAGGAATTTGAGCGTCTCGATATTACAATGAAAAATGCCCCCTCCCCATATCAAAACGGAAATCTGTGATGCAGATTTGTGGTCACAAATCAGCTTTGTGATGCTAGAAGGCAAAAGATGCGGACTGTAGTGCTGTCTAGCGTGGGAAAGCCTTGCAGCTCCAGGATGACAGGAGGCAACTGGAAGTGGCAAACAGCATGACAGATTGCCTGCAATTTAGGCCGCAGCTTCGTCTCTTGGCCTTCTAGCAATACAAGTCGATTTGTGTACTCAAATACAGCATCACAAATTCGCGCATCTTCCGTTTCCGATATGGGGTGGGGGCTTTTTTCACTTTGATACTCGAAGTCAAGGCTGTGTGATACATCGCAAACATGTTTGAGTGTGTCAACATCGTGTGGAAAGTAAATTTGTGTTGCTGGTGATACTCGCACCGTACCGCAGTCCTTCGTACGACATAAACACAGCTTGGGGGGCTCGTATCATTTTGCGAATGATCGAAGTCATCTATTACTGACAGATCTTGTTGTCCTTTGAGCAATCTCTTTTGGCATGGGAATGAATCCTGTTTATCTCCCCGACATGTTTGCAAAATGCATATGTGTTCGCTCTCCTCATCGGCCATGTTCTCTTCAAAATACTTCTCGTAGTGGAGGTGAAACATCGTTTCCACCGGATTCGGCAATTCGTGCGTTTTGGTCAGCAAAATCGCGTAGTTCAGGGCGGGCGGAACGCCGAGCGGCACGGCCTCGGGTCGGAGAAAAAAACACTCCTGCGGGGTGAGCATCGTCTCTGGGTCGCGCGGATCGTCGACCGTTTGCCGCCACGTCAGGAGCGGATTGTGGGTGAGACCTGGTCGTGTTTGAACATCACTATAGCTATACCATACTGATTTCACATTTCACCTTCGTGGTTCTACTGGGATAAGTGAGAATACGTTTTCATGCACAGGAGCAATACGAGTTTCCTCTGCCTGTAAACCTCTGAGACTGATTACACTTCAGTATCACATCAATTCCATGGAACAACGACCTATCAGCTTGAACATGAAAATTTCTAAAAAAGCAATACCGTGTCGCCTTGCTCTCTCCATGTTGCAGATAAGTCGATACACCCCGACGTCTTCTTTTGGTCTGGAAACCCCCACCAGCGGCCAGTGATCCGAGTAGAACCGCGCGGAGGCGAGAACTGGGTAATTTTCAACATGATCGCTTTGATGTGGTTTTTTACTCCTACTTCCGCTCGAGCCGCCTTTCGTCCCTCCCTGACTCAAAAGAACCTCCGCTGCGGAGGAAGAGGAACTGCTAAAATCGGGCGATGAAGGGCCGACGCCGATTGTTGTCCCGTTTGGATCTTTGATTGCAGAGCATGCTGTGGTGGACGAAGAGGAGGAGGATGCGCTGCTTGCGGACGACTTTTGGTTGCTGATCTCTTGTTCAGAAGAGGAGGAAGAGGCGGCGGCGTTGCTATTGACATTCAGCACGACGGCGCCACGCGTCGATTCTTGCTCGTTGTGCGGAGGAGCTCCTGCATGATCAGAAGACAACATGTCTCCATTTACTATCCCGCCCGGAGGTTGTTGTGCCGCTGCATCATTTTGTTCACCCGCAAGAATTATGTCTGGATCGACGTCCTCTGCAGGCGGCATTTCCACGTCCTCGTTGCTATCCTCATTTTTTCTTGGCCTCCCGTCGGCCAGGATGTTGGCTGCGTGGTCTCTTTCCAACAAAACAACCCTTGTTTTTCTGCCTCCATTGAAGTTCGACGCCCTTGCTTCCGCCCGTTCCCTTTCGGCCTTCACTTGCAGACTCGTTAGCTCGTTTTTCCGCTTCAATTCCTCGATTATTTCCTCGTCATGCCGTGCCATCTCCTGGAGGCACTCTTGCACTTTCGCGAACGGGGCGCGCAGCGGGAGCTGGCGATGGTGTCGCCCGCACCAGGAGTAGCACCACAGCCATATGACTTGCCCAAACGTTACAATCTCAAACGTTACAATAGAGTCTGGAATTTGTGTTGCATGATGAGCATGACAGACGCGCACAGCGTTCCACTTTTTGCAATACAAATTTCGCCAGATTGTAGTGGGGTTCGGGGTTTCGGAACTTGTCATGCGCAATCCTACGAGAGTTGGCTAGATCACGCACTCTTGCATCACAGATGTCCATATTCTATTGTGACGTTTGAGATTGCAACACCTGAGCGGGTTATAAGCCATTGCGTCTCGGCCTCCTCGTCGACCTCCATCTTGGTGAGTCGGTTAATATTGAACGGATTTTTCTGCAGATGAATTCGACAAGTTTTTGAGTATCCGGGAAGAACAAACGGGGAATATTAAGGACCACCAGATCTACTTTCTTGTTGAGTAGCGCAAGGACAACGACCTAAAGCCTCTCGTTCCGCGTTGATGTATCTTGTAGAACTTTACATCCTCTAATTCTAGTTCTAGTTCTACCATGGTGCTGAATCCGCCGGGAGCAAAAGAAACAAGATTCACGCAAAGTGCAAGCGCATCATGAGGTGGAAACACGACAGTTGTATGCGTCTAAAAGCACAGACTGAATCGCTTCTGATGTCATAGAGGTCCAGGCCAGAGAAAAAAATCGAAGTGGTCATTATTGTGCGGATGCTAACTGAGAAGATTTAGTAAGCACTAGTCGGCGAAACAAATCAATTTACATGTAGAAGTGCCTTGTTTTTTTTTTGTAGTGCCATTTTTTATGTAGTGTACACGCTAGATGGTTTCATCGTCAAAAACGCATCATTGAGAGATATAGCCGCACAGTGAACGACGCCTTTCTTTGAGACGACAGTAGGCCTTTTTGATGCAGCGGAGGTGGATCTGCACAACATCAAGTCACTGCCGGGGTACTTTGCGGTGTTTGCGTTTGGTGTGAGCAACAATTTGCAGCTGTTTTCATCACTTTTGGTTCTATCTTGTGGAGCGCAGGAAAAAAGATATTTCTCCGCCTGCGCAAGAACCGCAAGGACGTTGTACCCATGTTTCATCTTCGGAACAGCAGCGCAATAAACAGGAGTAGAGCATAATCCTGTCGCGAGAAAGATGTTGCAACTCGTCGCGCACACAGATGCTCAGGCACATCCATGCTCTAGGGAATAAATGTGCAGCGTGGGCGCAGCGGTCGCGGCTTTCAGCTCGCTTCTTTGAAAAATTGTTGTCAACATTGCGATCGTTCCTACCAACTACTGTCGGCAATATTGCATTTGTAGTTCCAAATTGATGTTCGAATGAATTTCATCGGAGATAGTGTTGAACATCGTGCATTTAAGATTTTCTTTTTACGCATGTGCCCAACGTGCTGTCACAGGTTTCCATTCCTTCTCAAAGATATCAGTGGAAGGTGGTTTCCTCAATCGTCAAATGCCCCTGGTCGCCGAACCGGCCGAGAGAGACGCTATGCATTGCAAATATCTCTGGGTCTGGGAGATTCCCTGGTTTGTCATGCATGTTCTGCATGTGCCATGCTGCCTGTACTGCATCACCCAGCATCACAGATTTTTTTTCTGGCTTTCTGCTGCCTATTCCGCATGACAAACGCCCTCTCCGCGTAGCACAAACGGGTCTCCTCTTGGTGGTCATGCAACACAAATTTTATTAGCATCCAAAGGCAGCATCACAGGTTGCATTGTTCCAGACCCAGACATACTTGCCGTTGATAGACCCGCCCGTCGTCGTAAATAATGATCTCCGTCATGCCGCAGTTATCGCCGCGGAACCGCTATCAAAAGAAAAAGTATGCTTTGGGCTGGAAGTGGATGAAACTTGTGATGCTAAACTGTGGATGATGAAAACACTACTTCCAAATGCAGCAAAGCATGACAAGTTTGCACAGCGCTTTCGCATATGCAGCCTGCATGAGAGACTGCGTTTTTGTATGACAAAAGGCGCTGCGACTTCTGTTGATTTATGCAACACAGGTTTCGACGCAGGTATCGGAATGTTAGCTCAGCATTACAAGTTGTATACTTTCCAGACCCAGCTGCCATGTTTGCAATGGATAATCGCAGCCAGGCTTCCGGCGGGACTTGGAGGGCGCGGCAAACAAAGTACCGAATCACGTTCATGTGGCACACGATCACCTCATATCAAATGCGCAAATGTCTGGGTCTGGAAGAGTGGAAGATTTGTCATGCAGGTTTTCCATGACCCATGATGTCTGTAATGCATGGTCTAGCATCACAGATTTTTAGAGGGCTTTGTAATACCTCTACCGCATGAGAAATGCCTTCTCAGTGTAGCAAAGAACTGCATTCCCTTTGGTACTCATGCAATACAGATTTTTTTTGGAATCCAAATGCAGCGTCACAAGTTGCATTCTTCCAGACATCCAGGGATATTTACATTTGATACCTCATACTCGTGCTTTGGGGACCTTTAGTAGATGGAGAAAAGAACATAAGGACATGTCTAGTAGAAGTATCTGGATCTCGCGCCGCCGTGGAGGGGGCACAACGGCGCGGAATATTCCACATAACTTGAGAACAACAGTGCGCAAGGAATCCAGGATTTTAAGATGAAAAAGGGCGCATGATTTAGAAGGCCCACCCTTTGACGCCGGAAACTCGCCTCGGTGCGGGACGAGCGCCGAAATGGTGCAGCTCCGAGCGTTTCGCATGTGAGTAAAGATAGGAAAGAAACCAACACGAACCAGCGCGCCGCGTCTTTCTTAAATTGCGCAAAGAGTCCCCACCCCGTAGGGCGAGGCGCAGACCGTTGCGCCTGACGACGCAGCGTGTTGGAAGGGGTTGGCTAAACGCTAGCGTTGTGACCCGACAAGCCTGTGGCGCGCCATACAGCAAAATACTGCCCGTGAGGGTATGAGGTCGAGGTGTGAGTGGAGTGCTTTACTTTTCCGCTGAATTATCAGCCCGCCAAAAATCTTCCCTGTGATCATTGATTCTTGCCGGAGTGATAATTCGCTGAATTATGTGCTGCACTCCACTTCCTGCTTGTCAACGGGAAATGGAGTGCTAATGCATTACGTTGCCACTTCGTGGGTGACTTTTGCCATGCCGGAGTGATAACTCAGTGACTTACCGCTCCATATTCCCCGTTGCCCAACCGCCGACCATCCACGGGAAATGGGCGGGCAATGCCCTGAGTTATCACTCCAACAACTATCTGAGTTTCAGACTTCGTCGCAGGAGAAGGCCGCGTTGCCGGAGCCGGACGAGGCCTATCGGCCAGCGGGAAAGCAGTTATCTGAAAGAGTGGGCATCAGATCCCACTCGCCACTCTTCATACGGCCGGCCGGCCGGGTGCGGAGTGGGACGGATCAGCTATCCTCAGCTCTGGGCCAAAAGCCGGCTCGAGAAACTCGAGATCGGTGCGGCGACCCGAAAAAAGCGGATCCGTCCCACTTTCCACCCACCCGCCCGGGCAGATGAAGAGTGGGATGCCCACTCTTCCGGATAATTTGTTACCCCACTCACAAACTAGCTCGCAGAATTATCACCCAAACAAAAGCCACACCGTGGAAGTAGGATTTTATTTTCCAAAAGTGGCAACTCAACGGAATGCCGCCACGAAGCTCCACCACACACACTTTTCGCGGAGTGGCATTCCAAGTGCTTCGCACTCCTCGGGAGGTCAGAGTGTGGGCGCATGCATGCGAGGTGGGAGCGCACACAAAGTACCGAATCACGTTCATGTGGCACACGATCACCTCATATGGATTGTAAAAATGTCTGGGTCTGGAAGGTTGGATCTTGTAATGCTAGCTTTCCATACCTAGAAAATCTGTATTGCATAACCAACAAAAGTCGGCCGCCCAAAGCGCTGCAACCTGCCGAAGGCGCCGGCGCCGCTGCACGGATGTAACCTCTGCGGCGGCTGACATCTGTTGCCTTCGCATCAAGCCGCCCCCTGTGCGCCGACAGTTTCTCTTGCGTTTGGTCTTCTTGCGCTTGTTGTGTGCATGCTTTTCCATCCGGGCTGCCCATCGGCGAGGCTTGGCCCGATACCCTGTAGCAAGTAGCAGGACCACGCAACTGCTGGCGGTTGCCTCCCAAAAAATCTAAGTAAGAGGCACGCCTGCCAGGGGTGTTTTTGAGTTTTACTCTCGGCGCCGGCGGCCACACCTCAAAGCATGGAGGCAACAGCCATGCGGCTGGCTGTTTCTGATGTTAGCCACAGCCCCACTGCGGTTGGTTCGTTGTTTCTGTGCTCGGTTTCCTAGGCAAGCACCAGGGGCAGCAGATCGGCCGGGTAGCTGCGGTTGCTCAGTGTCAAAAACGATAAAAAAAGGCTTTTGGCTGTCGAGCTGTAGATGCTCGCTATAGGCGGAAGCTGTAGAGCTTAGGCTCTAGAGCATCACCAAATAGCTGTAGAGATTCAGCTCTAGAGATTGAGCTCTAGAGGTTTTCGAGCTGTAGAGGCGTTCGCCCTAATCGTTATCAATCTTTTTTCGCAGCAGCGTGGTGATTCGCCACACAAAGTACCGAATCACGTTCATGTGGCACTCGTGTTTTGGGGACCTTAGTAGGTGGAGAGAAAAAGTACATGGGTAGCAGTACAACTTCATGCACAGCAAAAATAATTTCACAGTACCATCAAGTAAGGATAGCAACATTCAGATTCATCATTTTTGCGCAATAAAGTAATTATTTTGATTTCAGGTCGTTCTTCAGCCTATCCCGAACCCGATGCAACTAGACATCATCAACAATATTAAATTGAATTCCTACTCCTTCGCCGCCCCATTTCCTGCACCGCTTCCGGCGTCGCTGCTGCCCCCCGTTCCGCCATCCTCTTTCCCGGAGTAGCTTTCGGATACTTTGGACGCCTTGGAGCCGCGCTTCCAGTTCTCCTTCCGGTGAATGTACTTGCGGAAGGCTGCCTCGATATCATGTGTAAATACGTCCCCAGCCCAGAGTCAATTTCCTAGACAAATCGACCAGCTTAGGCTGTTGCGCATGACAAGTTTGGCCTCGTATTGTAGTCGCGTTTAGCTACTGCAGCAGCATCACAGATCTAGCATACCATGCTGATTTGAGCATGACAAATCTCAACACACGACTAGAAACTGCTTCTCATGGGGCTCCGCATGAGAAACATTTTATGCATGCAGATTTGCATTACAACTCTGGGGTGGGGACGTTTTTACAAATGATACTCGATCCTAGGCGGGTCGGTGCCCAGCTTCGCCAACTTGGAACTGTCCATATCCTGTGCAAAAGTACTTGTCGCACTCGTATTGCAGTCATGCATGATTACAAATCCTTTACCTAAGGTCAATCCGCATTACAAATTTTCTTTCTCGTCATGCTGAGGAAATTTGTAATGCATTTATACGAGTACGATACTTTTGCGGTTCATAGTCCAGGTCCACCCCGGCCCCCGGGTGCATCACGCACGGCCTGCCCTCGTGGATATGGATGTGTCAGGATCGTCGAAGTCGACGAAATCGAAAAATTTGTAATGCATAAAATGTAGGGCAAGTAAGGCCTGTATTGGGCGGGAGCAGGCAAATGAGACCGAAAGCTGCAATCCTGTTCAGAGGTATGCAATGCGCTGCCAGAGTAGCACGACAGGAGCAGCCTTCTTTGCCCAAACAGCATGACAGACTCGATTTCGGCTCTACCCAAATTTGTCATGCGCCGCTTGGACACTGAAGCTCCAACTGGTATCGATTTTATGCATCACAAATCATTTTGATTTTGTTGAGTTCGATCCTGACGCTTCCATAGTTGAGCAGGGGGTCGTACTCGTGGGTGGTGGTGTCCTATCCTGTGCAAAAGTACTATCGTACTCGTACTAATTGCGTTCATGCATGACAAATCTTTCTCTTAAGGCAAATCCGCATTACAAATTCCATTTGTAATGCTGAGCTAATTTGTATTGCAATTCATACTAGTACGATACTTTTGCAGTTCATATGTCCAACTCCTCCGCGATAATGTCTGCGGTTTGCTTGGCGCGCAGCAGGTTGGAGGAGATCACTTTTTTCCAGTTGATTTTGATTTCCCTATCAAATGTAAAAATGTCTGGGTCTGGAAGAATCCAACTTGTCATGCTGATTTTGGATTCTAAAAAAATCTGTATTGCATGAGCAGCAAAGAGAGTCTAAGTTTTGCTACACGGAAAGAGCATTTGTCATGCGGTATAGGCATGAGGAAGCCCTTACAAAATCTGTGATGCTAGGGCATGCATCACAGACATCAGGACTCATGCAAAATGTGCATGACAAACCTGGCGATCTTCCAGACCCAGATATTTTTACATTTGATATTCCCCGTAGTGATCCGACTTCAGGCCGTCCTGCATCTGCCGGAGCCGCTGCCCGGTTTTGCGCGCCTGGTGCCGCTATCAAATGCAAAAATGTCTGGGTCTGGAAACTTGTAATGCTAAAATGTGCAAGAGGAAAACGCTTCCTTATGCAGAAAAGCATGACAAGTTTGCAGAACGCTTTCCCATCCGAAGTCTGCATGAGAAACTGCGTTTTTGTATGACATGAGAGGCTACCACTTTTGTTGGTCACGCAATACAGATTTCACAGGAATGCAAGACCAGCATGAAGACAAGTTACATCCTTCCAGACCCAGACATTTTTGCAATCCATAGCCGCCCGAGCTCCGTGAGGCCTTCTTCGTCGGAGTCGAGTTCGTACTGGCCGTGGCGGAGCAAAAAAATGTGCCGTACCACGTGCGGCCGCTTCTTCATCTCCTGCCGCAGGTCTTGGCCCCGGTCCACGGGGTGGCGGCCGTCCCAATCCTCGATATGACACTGCACAACCCCGCTTCCTCCCCCTCATTTGTATAATTGCATCCGCAACAACACAAACGCCCACACACGTGGAGCCTGTGCATGACAAGATCATGCGCGTAATGCAGTACTGGTTGGGCTTGCAGAATCTGTCATGCAAACAGTACCAGAAGGCAGCGCCTGGACTTGGTATTTTGCATGACAAATGAGGGGGAGGGGGAGTTGTGCACTCTCATACTCGTCCCACGCGCGCGACCAATCCTTCGGCGTCGCAACGAAGTAGTCTTTTGATGAATTTTACAGACTTTTTTCCTATCATCTCAAAGTGCAGGGCTTAACAGGAGGTGGCTCGACCAGCTCGACTCTCAGGCAGATCAAGAGGAAAATGAAGAAAACATCACATGGATGCAGAAGTCTAGTAGACTAGTATCGGTATCGCATTTATCAAAAGCCAGAAATTTGTTCATCAAACAAATAAGTATAACCAATACCTGCATTGGTCCTCTCAGCGGCGGGTTTTGCGCGCCAGCGAGCATCCAAGGTTAGTTTTTCGGGTTTTGCCGCCGCCGGTTCCTCGCAGTGCACAGCAGCCGGGAAGAACCTCCGACCACCGGGCGTGTTAGCCAGGAAAGAACGTCGTGCCGGCTGCGGTAGTGATGTTTGCCTTTTTGTGCTGTCACCGCAACTGGAGTTGTCCGTGTCATGGCTTACGCCTGTTTTATTCCCGCCCACCTCTCTAGTGTTCCGGTCGTCTTGAAGGTGGCCCGAATTGTTATTTGTGCCCAGAAATGGCGTAAGCGCGGCGGGAAACAAACGCTGTAACCTCCCCACAGACCCTTGCATTATCTAGGAATATCTTCGTTGTGTATGTGTTTATTTGTCTGAGAAGATGAAAATTAAAGAAAGATTACAGTTCGGAACGGAATGATCGTAATGTGGTGTGAAAAGACCTACAACTGGCACTGCAGGTGGGGAGACATCAGACCACTTATTCTATTGTGGTGCCAGCGAGCACGGCGAGCAGGAAAATAGGCTTTAGACAACAAACGAAATAAACGTGTACTTGATCCTGATCCAGCGAGGAGCCTAAATACACTGGAAAACGACCTTATTGAGTCGGTACTCACAACACTGCTTCCATACTTATCCGTTTGTACTTACTTTCTTTGTGCTAGCGTTTGCTACAACGCTGTGCGCAAAAATCAGTTTTGTCAGCATAAATGCCAAGACGTCAGGTCTGAAAATTGGTGCAACATCAGCGTCGCACAACAATGACAGGAGCATCGTCTCCTTCATTCGCAGCAGGAATGCATGCTGGAAGGTTCTTGTTGAAGTGTTACATCCTACGCTGAAAGAATAAAGATATTGATCCGCTTCTTTGGTCGTGAGATGGCTTCTTCTTGATCATCTTGCTTTTCCCGATAAACGTCGAGCGAGTGCGAGAACAATCTCGCCGTGGAAGAAAGGTGAGGTGGGGATGAAAAGTATCAAAGAAAAGAGGGTTCTCGTGCGTGAAAAATAAGAACAACGACGAACGAGGATTCCTAAGACAGTGGGGCACGACGGTAGTTGTGCGCAACCAGAGCAGGCACTAATAGGGATCATGCAAGCCTTTGTGTAATAGTAGTGGCTGAGCAACAAGAAGAAGAAAGTGATCCTTCAACCACAACAACAAAACAAAAATGATAGGTGAACAACGGACTCGGGAGGGGTCAAAAATCCGCCCGGCGGGCGTCTGTGAGCGGTCCGGCGGCTTCAATCTCTATACTTTTGTTCTTGGAGGTAACAGCATCAAATAAAACGCTACTAGAACTGTGATGATTTTTCATTTATACCACGGTCTTTCCATGCAATTTGCTGTCAGCTGCAGGAGGCCGATGGCGCACGACATCGCGCATCCTGCCCCCTGGCGGATGCTGCTGCCGGGCTCTCAAGAGCATAGCGCTCATACAAAATTTAAATATTGCTCGCCCAAAAGTAGACTGCGCAATCATAACCAACGTCGAGCCGTGTCAAAGTTTGCGACTGTCATCGTGAGTAAGTGTCTTTGCAGTCTTGCGTTTTATTTTCTACATGAGAACAAGTCCGGGCTTCCTCTTCGTGTTCAGATTGTATCTATACTATATTTACTGCACAAACAAAGAACATCTTCAGAATGCTACACGGCGCTTCGCGACGAGACTCGACGCGGCATCAGAAAGAGCAAACTGGCTGCAACGGCTTGCGTTACAATAAATAGTAATTGAATAACGTTAAAGATTATTGCGCTTTCCGAAAAGCCCAGACATGCCGTTTCTTGTTTTGTTTGGAAAAAAGATAAATTAAGTTAATTGAAAGACCGATGTTATGGGCACAAATTTGGCAAGTCTTCAGAAAAACTCGCATGCCAAAAAAGATGATCTTTGTTTGCGAATTTTCACAAAAATACGGCCTGAGGTTTAAAGTCAATCTAGACTGAATGCAAATCTGTATATTCGTTTCAGAAGAAAAAAAGATCTCTCATGTAAGAGTGGCGACATTTTGAACAGCGACAATTTTTACTGCTGCATGGCCGCATACTTAAGTGGTTCTAAAGTATGGCCTCACTACATACAAAAGAAAGAAATCGGAGCTGTTTTTGCATAGTATGAATATCACCTATTACTTGTCGTTCGTTAATACAGTACGACCTCCGTAGTTTTCTATTTAGAGCTCAAACATTTCCCCAGGCCTGATCCCTGACCATCGCGTTGAAGCTGCCCACGCAATCCGCGAAGTGGGTCGACACGTTGGTGCCAACGTCCCGCAAATTGTCCATCATTGCGCGGAGCCCCAATTCCGTCTCCCCGGTTTCAACATTCACCGCTCCGTGGGCCCGGAAAATTTGCTGCAGCTGCGCCCGCAGGCGCGTCCACTCGTTGACGCCGACGAGGCATATGGTGGACCTGATGCGGGTCACGTCGTTGGGAATCAGGTTGTCGCCCGTGTTGCACGGAGTTCCGTCGTTGAGGACGCAGCCGCCCGGGGTGGTTACGGGGTCGATGTCAAGTTCCGTCGCGATGATCGACTGCGGAGACGTGTTGACGCCGGTGGCCGGTAAGTTGTCGAGGTCCCAGACGTTCTGCAGATCGGGCTCGTTGCAAGCGCCAGACCACCTGCCATCGTGGGCAAAACTGCAGCCCCGGCCGTAGCCAGCGTTTCGGGCCGACGCTTGGTTTGTGTTGGGCGGCGTGGGCGAGCGTGTCGGCATCGGGCGATCGGCTTTGACAACGCGGTAGCGGTGTCCGGCGCGCAGTCGGTTCGCGGGCGTGTGCCAAGCACCGTTCGGGCCGGCGTTCCCGGATCGGAGCCCGTCCGAATGCAGAGGCTGATACTTGACACAAACATTGTCGCCGACGGCAAAGCCTCTGAGCGGGGCCCGAGCATCTCCTAGCGCGGCCTCGTGAATTAAGCCGGCCGGAATCTGCACGGTAAAAAAATTCCACACCGATCCAATGCGCAGATTGAAAACGAAGTGAGGTCCGGCGAAAAACATCAGCGGGTTGTACGTCAAGACTATGGGGGCACGAAAGAAAAACTTGTACCCCCAGTCCCTCAAAAAGGGCGCTTCCTGAGTCCACGGAACCGGCTGCCCCTCAACCGCAGTGACCTGTGTGAAGGAAGTCGACGATTTTTATTTTCGTTTTCGGGGCAGAATTTGCATTTCGCAATTCGAATTTCTTTTTCGGATACTCGTCAGACATGAATCGTTCCAAACAAAGCAAGGGCTGCGAGAGATGGTGGACACTCGACCGATGCGCCGGCAATTACTTAATAGCTGAAGAGTTACTATTGGTAGCACAGACTAGAAGCTATGTATCATGCATCTTTGGCCGCGTCACCCGATCCGAATTTTCTGGGGGTTCACGCTGAGTGCAGCAATGCCCACTCTGCACGAATATGACTTCTGTAGAAAAAAAATGAAAAGGCTACCAGCTGGCGCAAGTTCGTGCTTCCAAAAGTGGGCGCACCAGAGGGAAGGGAAGCCAGACTGTCTTGCAGCACCTCTACAAGAATCTCCGGTTCGTGGTTGGTGTCAAAATCAAACTCGAAGTGGGCCGCTGCAGCAAGTGCCTTCGGCGCAGGCGGTGCCGGTGGCGCAGGCGGTGCGGGTGGCGCAGGCGGTGCGGGTGGCGCAGGCGGTGCCGGTCCGGGTGGCGGCGGCGGTCCGGGTGGAGGAGACGGCGCAGGCGGTGCCGGTGGCGGTCCGGGTGGCGGCGGCGGTCCGGGTGCAGGAGACGGCGCAGGTGCTGGCGGGAGGTCATCTCCGGGATTCAATTGCGGCGGGATAGGCAAGCTGTGAAACGTCCCGTAGGCATTGGCCAACTGGCGCAGCTTTTCGTTCTTGAAATAAGTCGCATGCCCATTCAACACCTCGTCTTCTGTCAAGACCCACACTTCCCGAATGTTCCAAGTAATTCCGTTTGTATCAGTGGCCGGGTAATGGCACAGACCCTTGCTTCCCTCGTCCACAGCCCCCGTCTGGTAGTCTTTCGTGTGGCACAGAAGCATCTCCGGAATTTCATTTGGGTTTTGGAAATAGGAACTACTCGGGTGGGTTTCCGTGTCATTCCAAACGGTATAAAACTCCCGCAGTTGCTTATTGGGAAACATCTTCGGAAGGCGCTCCACCATTTTTTCTTGGTTGTCACCCGGCTCTACTTCGTCGCGACCATCGTCGCTTCTCTGTTGCTCCGCCTGCGCTTGCTGCAGTTGCAGGAACGAAGCCGAAGATCGAGCCGCCGCTGCATTTTTTCGCTGAGGTAGGTTCGCTGGTAGTTCAGCCAACGGCCAATCGTCCGATAGCAGCACAGTCCTCTCGCCGCCCCGCTCGTCTGCAGAGATTCTGCAGGGCCGGTTCAGCTTTTCCAAGCTGAGGTCACCGTTCTCCTCGTACAGGCTCTGCACGGAAACGTTGTATTTGTGAGCTAAGTCTAAATCCACTACGAAATGAGCATGAGAAATTGACTCTGAGCAAAACTTACTGAGGGCTAGCCTAAAGCAAAGCTACTCCGATATCTAGCATGACAGATTGACACTACGGAGAAAACTACTGCGGTATAAAGCGTGATAAATTCAGTCCAAGACGCATCCAGCCATTCTACTCCTACCACTAACTTTAGTTTCGCCTATTTCTATATCTACATCCTGATCACAAAAGTCAACTTTTCTCCCCCGAGCGGCTTCCCTCTTCGCCCTGCCTGTTTCCTGCGGTTGCTGCGGCGATCTTTTACGACTGTTTGCGACTGGGCTACTCGCTCGATCCCGAATGCGCACTGACTACCACTATCGGCGACTTCTGTTCCTGCGCCGTTTTCTCGCCTGCCCGATGGCAAGCGCCTAACCCTACTGCTGGGTCCTTTTCTTCGTCTTCTTCGCCGGCTTCTGCGACGGTACTTGCTGCCTCGCTGGTCTGGTCTGCTTCCGGTACTGGTGGCCATCTGTTTTCTTGCTTCTACTACAAAAACATATCTACGGCCCTTGCTCTTCTCCTTGTTCTTCTTTGTCTGCGTAAGCTTTTCCCAGTCTTTGGGCGTAGTCCTGCTGTCAGCAAATTCGACGAGTTGCGCTGTAGTCCGGCGCTGTCCTCGAATCTTGCAACAATCTAGGCACTATCCTTCGCTTCGCTTTTTGTCCTTTCCTAGCCTAGTAATGCGATCCAGTCCCTTTGTAGATGCTTCTTGCCCAACATCTACACAAGGCGTCTAGTTCTAGCACTACTGCTAGTTTGTCAGCTTCCTGCGTAAAACTTTCGCTGTGGCGTGGAAAGTTTTCACGCCAGGCAACCTAGACAATTTCCAACCGATCCAACTGCTAAAGGTTCCAGATTTTACGACCCAACTACGCGGCAGTTGGGCTCATAACTCTGTTGGGAAATAGTCCCAATCCTGTCTGGCAGTGGTCGCTGGATCGTATTCGAGAGAACACAGGGCGTGCTCCACGTCTAGTCTCCATGAGCGGAGTGCATCTAGCTACGATGGCACGACGTGCATTGCTAATCTCTATTCGGTAACAAATAGCCATCTTGGCCCTGTCTAGTGTGTTCAGGTTTTCATGTGAATGGTGTGCGTCTAGATCTATTTCCCTATCTGGTGCCCTATACATTTATGATTTTCTATGAACCTAGCTACTTTGCATGATCTCCCTACCTGTTTCGTAGGCCTATGATCCTCATGAGTTCTTGCACGATTTGGATCCACGACATTAGTAGGATTGGGGATTTTACCGATCCAAACACCGTTCTCCTCGTACAGGCTCTGCACGGAAACGTTGCCCAAGGTACCTGTACTGGTCCGTACATGCTACCTTGGAACCCTTCCTGCACTAGTGCCTCATTGGGTACATGCTACCTGAACTAGGTCAGGTACGTGCACTACTTCCTCATTGTTACAATTAGTGCACAAGCCTTCCTAGCATTGCAATTAGGAAGCCTACCTTGGAACCCTTCCTGAACTAGTAGCAGGTACTAGTTCCTCCTTGGTACCTGTAAGGTACTCGAGCCCTAGTGCGTATTGGCCCAAGGTACAGCGCCATGACTTGCCATCCATAGTCCCCTCTCACCCTTCATGGGGTGAAGCAGGAGACCTGCGGGGAGCAAGTCAGGGGGGGCGCCGCAACTTTGGCCGCTGAATGTATCAACATTCGTGGAAGGGGGGGCGGCGCTGCTCACACATGATACCGCGTTCGCGGGCTTCCGCGATGCGCCGGCCGGACCTTCCGTGGCTGCAAGAATGAATGCCGCCCAACTTGACACAATGCTGAGCCGACAGGGAGGGCCCGGGAAGGGCATGCCGGGGGGGCGGGACCCGCACTCTGCTGGCCAGTGGTCCCCCCCTGCGTGCCAATTCCATCGCCGGCTGGCGGGCGATAACGGAGGGCCGGCCGCGCCACAGCCCGCAAGCGGGGCATGGGAATGGGGCTGCCCGGCCGTGCAACACGCTCGCCCGCGCGCCCGGACTCCGACCCGGGCCGACCGAGGCAGGCGGAACACCACGGCCGCACCCCCTCACCGACGCAGCAGGCTGAGGGAGCCGGCGGGGCCTCCGGCTACGCCAAGGCTCCCGAAATCGCGCAGGGCCTGCGAGGGGGGCATGGCCTCCGAGCACCACCTGCGCGACCACATTGCACCCCCCGGCCACCATCGCCAGGCGGCTCGGGCACCGCTTGGGAGGTGGTTTTCCGCCGCGCGCGGCCGCGCAGGCAGCCAGCGTTCGCTCGCGATTTGGTCTCGATCTCGTGCTATTAGCGCAAAGGTAGCGATTTTTTTCAAAGCTTTGAAAAAAATCGCTACCTTTGCGCTACCCCAAAACCATGTAGGAGCGTCCGCGCGAAGGCGCTACGCCTTAACAGACCTACGCACATGCTCCCGAGCAGGGGTTGCACATTTTGCAATCACCCATGTGCCGTTTATCGGCGGGGGATCGCCGCGACACTTAGGGCCGCCGACGGAGCGAAGTTCCTGCCGCGCCTCGAAAAGATCGCGCGTTTGCGGGGCCAAGCACGCGAAAGCGCGATTTTAGCACGTTCCGCAGGGTTCCGCTTTTGCAATTAGTCCCACCCTATTTTCCAAGCTGAGGTCACCGTTCTCCTCGTACAGGCTCTGCACGGAAACGTTGCCCAAGGTACCTGTACTGGTCCGTACATGCTACCTTGGAACCCTTCCTGCACTAGTGCCTCATTGGGTACATGCTACCTGAACTAGGTCAGGTACGTGCACTACTTCCTCATTGTTACAATTAGTGCACAAGCCTTCCTAGCATTGCAATTAGGAAGCCTACCTTGGAACCCTTCCTGAACTAGTAGCAGGTACTAGTTCCTCCTTGGTACCTGTAAGGTACTCGAGCCCTAGTGCGTATTGGCCCAAGGTACAGCGCCATGACTTGCCATCCATAGTCCCCTCTCACCCTTCATGGGGTGAAGCAGGAGACCTGCGGGGAGCAAGTCAGGGGGGGCGCCGCAACTTTGGCCGCTGAATGTATCAACATTCGTGGAAGGGGGGGCGGCGCTGCTCACACATGATACCGCGTTCGCGGGCTTCCGCGATGCGCCGGCCGGACCTTCCGTGGCTGCAAGAATGAATGCCGCCCAACTTGACACAATGCTGAGCCGACAGGGAGGGCCCGGGAAGGGCATGCCGGGGGGGCGGGACCCGCACTCTGCTGGCCAGTGGTCCCCCCCTGCGTGCCAATTCCATCGCCGGCTGGCGGGCGATAACGGAGGGCCGGCCGCGCCACAGCCCGCAAGCGGGGCATGGGAATGGGGCTGCCCGGCCGTGCAACACGCTCGCCCGCGCGCCCGGACTCCGACCCGGGCCGACCGAGGCAGGCGGAACACCACGGCCGCACCCCCTCACCGACGCAGCAGGCTGAGGGAGCCGGCGGGGCCTCCGGCTACGCCAAGGCTCCCGAAATCGCGCAGGGCCTGCGAGGGGGGCATGGCCTCCGAGCACCACCTGCGCGACCACATTGCACCCCCCGGCCACCATCGCCAGGCGGCTCGGGCACCGCTTGGGAGGTGGTTTTCCGCCGCGCGCGGCCGCGCAGGCAGCCAGCGTTCGCTCGCGATTTGGTCTCGATCTCGTGCTATTAGCGCAAAGGTAGCGATTTTTTTCAAAGCTTTGAAAAAAATCGCTACCTTTGCGCTACCCCAAAACCATGTAGGAGCGTCCGCGCGAAGGCGCTACGCCTTAACAGACCTACGCACATGCTCCCGAGCAGGGGTTGCACATTTTGCAATCACCCATGTGCCGTTTATCGGCGGGGGATCGCCGCGACACTTAGGGCCGCCGACGGAGCGAAGTTCCTGCCGCGCCTCGAAAAGATCGCGCGTTTGCGGGGCCAAGCACGCGAAAGCGCGATTTTAGCACGTTCCGCAGGGTTCCGCTTTTGCAATTAGTCCCACCCTATTTTCCAAGCTGAGGTCACCGTTCTCCTCGTACAGGCTCTGCACGGAAACGTTGCAGGGGGATACAAGGCGATGTCCAGCAACTTTTTCACAAAGTGGTTTCTCCGCGGATCTACCAAATCCGCGTACGGCGGTTCGGACGGCTGGATAGTGCTCAACGGTGGCAACGGGGGGTCGTTACCGGCGGTACGACCTATGACAGCATCCGCCACTTCCTCGAATATGTTACTCGCACCTTTCTATGCAGGGAAAAAACGTCGTGATCTACTGTGTCTGGAGGATTTATTTTGCAGATGTGTGTCCGTCGTGCGGTATTTGCATGGCACAGAAGCTGCTCTGGCATGCAAGCAATATTAGCATCACAAGTTATAGTTTTGTGAAATTACAAATCTTTTTTGTATAAGTGAAATCCGCATTACAAATTTAATTTCTCATCATGCTGAGGAAATTTGTAATGCATTGATACGAGTGCGATACTTTTGCAGTGCATATCAGGTGCTGCTGGACAATCCGTTTCGCGTATTTCTTTTTACTTTCATTGTGATCCTTGTCATCACGGTAAATATGGTCCTTGTAGAAATTGATATCCTCCAGCTCATTCTTTTCCAACGCGTCATGAATGTTGATGTTCAGCACAGTTTCCCAGGGCACATCGTCGAAAAAGGCTTTCTGTATTATCTCCCCCCGCTTTGCTTCGTCGGCACTGAAAAAGCCGTCGAGCGCGGTCCGCAGGTCCCGCCCGACGGCGAGTAAATCGCCGATTTCGAGGCTGGCAAGCGGGTTCCGGTCGTGCTCCAGGGTGTGCACAAAGGGGGCGTAGTGGTCCCACAGCAGGTTAGCGGAGGCGGGCTGGAGATGAAAAACTGTGTCCGACGAGGACGTGGGTAGTCTCAAGGTGCCGCACAACGCAAAGAGGGAAATCGCGCTGATAAAGCAGGAGGTCCCGCCCGTACTAGTGCGACGGAGATGATAAAAGGAGCTCCTCGCGCGGACTCCGGCCCTTGATGTCGTGCTGGTACTAGCACTAGAATGTTTATCCACGCTCCTTGTTGATCTCATCTTCGGACTTCTTGTGCGGTGATCTAGTCCGACGAACAAAGACGCTGTCGTGGAGAACGAGGAGGAGTCCGACGAACAAAGACCCTGTCGTTATGCTCGTCTGTGTCGGACGAGGAGGAGGTGTTGTGTGATTTTCGACTCTTTTTGGACTTATGTCTCTTTTTCTTGTCGCCCTTGGAGGATCTGCTCCTGTGTTGTACTGGCGTCTTGGAAGCCGTAGAGAAATTCGGACTGGTCATGTCGCCGCTGTGAATCTCCATGCCATCTCCACGACCTCCTGCATCTCTTGTTTTACTGCTGTGCTGCGCGTGACTCCGGAACGAGGACTCGTCGGCCCCATGGTCTCCTTGTGCTTCGAAGTGGTGGTCTTCACGCTTAGTACTTCTACCCGCTTCCCCTCTCGACGAGGACTGTTGTCGTCTATGACGTCGGCGTCGACTGGAACTACTTTCAGCACGCGGCCCACCTGCCGCCCCAGAAGAGCCGAGGCTGCTCGAAGATGAGCCACGCCGGTGTCTACTGCTTTTGCGGGATTTGTTCTTCCGTTTCTTTGCCTTCTTCAAATGCGGACTGGTGCTGCTTCTCGTCTTTTTCTTGTTGGCACTTATTTCTCGTTCTGCTTGATCTTGATGTCGTGGTCCAGCGATAGTTGACGAAGACCCCCGAAAGCGACAATACAGTGCCGTTCTCCTCGTACAGGCCCTGCACGGAAACGTTGCAAACCTTCTGCGCAGCTTGCTTTTCGTAAGTCTGCCCATCAGATAGCACAACCGGGTCGTGGAAGCGGTTTTCAGGCTCCTGGAGGAATGGAATTCATTCAGCGACCCAAGGTCCGCGCGGTTCCGCATCGCGGGAGGTTCGTGAGCTGGTGCCGGGTTGTGATTTTCATTGCCGGACGAGTTTTTGTTGTTGTTCGCCACAACAACCACAACCGCGACAACAGCACCAATAACGAGGACTGCGGCAATCACGATCAGGGTGATGATGAGCGGCTTATTTTTCGAGCAGCAATTTCTATTCGTGGCTTCCGTGGAGCTTCGATTTTCGGGGTGAAATTCACCCGTCTCAGCCCGCTCGTCCTCACCCGCCGCAGCCGCATACCCGCTGCGTCCCTCCTGGTGACGGTACGGCTCGGTGACTATGCGGTCTCTACGCTTCATAATTGTAAATTGCTCTGTGAAGTAGATCAGGGCTCTGCTGGGTAGTTATACCAAGCACGTAGACCACACAAACTCGGTGCAGTCTTCTGCTCTGAAATGGAGAAGCTCGAATAACGATCAACCTTCCGCTTCTGCGTGGCAAGGAGAATGCTGCTCTGCTTCGCACGCGAGCGCTCGATTAAATCGCGCCTGTGCCTTTCAGGCGTTAATAAAAGTCAACTTTTTTTGTTATCTTTTATTTTTTGTCGTAGGCAAGTAGTTATAGCAAAAAGAATACAGCCCAGATTTTGCTATGACAGAACTCTTTGCAGCGACCACGGTATCAAGACTTGACTGGTACGAAGATAATTTCCGGGGTGTGAAATTTTTTCGACTTGTAACCATAACTGCTCACTACATTTTCATGTTGCCAATCTATAAAAATAAGCGCCGTGCCTGCGCAATCGCGTCACTATCGTTGCAGGTTTCTCTCTTTTTACCGAGCAAGGCGTTTGCTTCTCAACACCGAGGAAGCGGAAGAAGTTAACAGACAATCATAATTTCTTGGAGGTTCAGAATGCGTCTTGATCTTTCTATTGGTTATGACAAAATAAATCGGCACCAACCAATCGGAACAAGATACATCAACATCTGCTCCGACTCTACAGGCAAAAAGGATGAAGATGATTGATCATTCATCCGAGGAAAGCATTGAATTGCTTCGCAACTGCTCCAGTTTGATCTTGCTTTGTTCGTACTCATCTCTGGTTCTTTATGCCAGAACCGAACTTCCGTCGTTTGCCTCCTGTTCGAATCGACGTTAGGCACTACTTGCAAGCCACCTTTGTGTAGTAGCAAGCCACCTTTGTGTAGATAAGGATCCATGCAAGCCACCTTTGTGTAGTAGCTCAACAACAAGAAGAAAGCGATCCTTCGACCACAACAACAAAACAAAAATGACGCGGGAATCGGAAGAAAACCGATAACATAGCCAAATTCTTTTCTTCTTAGCCGGCGTGTTTTAAATGAATCTTGCAGGAGAAACCTTTAAAGGCCTAAACATCAACTTTCAATCATATATCGTCCACAAGCAACATCATGTCGACGCCGAAGAAGAATTCAACAAAAGAAGAAAAATTGACGAGAGACAAACAGGAAACGCCTCCGCTCAACACCAACGGTCAATAGGTACTTAGTGCAGCTGCTGTTGATGTTGAAACAGAGTAATTTACTTATTCTTATCTTCAGACGTATGAACTAATAAGGCCGCAGTAGAAATAAGAGCAGGAGCTCCCACCCACCAGAGCTTGTTCATCTCACTTGCGTGTCGCTTTGTTAACAACAAAATAGGTGGAACCCCAGTGTTAGAGAATCATGTCGCCAATGGAAATACTGACTGCCGAATAAGTAAGAGTAACTACGACCTAAGTTGCAGATAAGGCAGTTCTACTATCATTATATCGTATTTTTAAGTAGCAGTACTATGCAACAAGAAGGCTTGATCAACATTCGACGCACAAAAGTGGTCGCATTCCGCGGTGGCCCACTTGCACAGGGCATCGGAGTATCAAGTGTAAAAATGTCTGGGTCTGGAAGAATGCAATTTGTCATGCTAAATCTGAATAGACAATAGACACCCATAATAGCTCATAGAACCCTGTCATCTTCCACCAAGTGAAACATCAATGGTGAGGTGCCCAGGGCCCCTGGAGGTGAGAAACGAGGGTGGCACCTATAGTCGACCATACCAACTGGTCGACCAGGAAATGAGGAAGTGGGTAAGGAACACAAATGTCCCGGGATAACAAAAACTGAATATCCCGCACAACCTCTGCCAACCACTGCCCTCGAATTCACAAAAGAAAAGGCTGAAAGCCAATTCAACTCCGGATCAGAAGCATGCAAAAATCTGTGTTGCATGATTACCAAAACTCGTCCAGAATTGACGAAGTCGGGAGGGAGTTTCTCATGCAGGATAGGCATGAGAGAGATCGCACACAATCTGTCATGCTAGGTCCTGCATTCCAGACCTCATGGGTCATGGAAAAGCTAGATGACAAATCTCGCAATCTCCCAGACCCAGACATATTTGCAATCCATACGCTGAGAATTGAAGCCTGGTTGGTACTAGTACTGGCCGCTCCACAACAACAACCGTAGCAGTTCGTGGTCTCCTCTTCGAACCAGCGCTGGAGTTGGTCGTAAGCTGCGCGGGTCGGGTTCCGCAGCAACGCAGCCATCCCGTCCAACACCCGGTTGAGGCTCTGTATGCAAGAAAAAATCTGTGTAAGTGCAAATCTGTGATGCAGAAAATGCAAAACAGTTGTACTTGTCGTGCTCGACATGCATGATCGGCTCGCTTCCTATGTGTTTTCCCTTACTATCTGTGCGACATAACAAGAAGTTTTTCCAGTCATGGCAGGCGAACTTGTGATGCAGCTTGCCCGAAAGACTAATACACTAACACAGTTTTTTTCTTGCATACCCGGTTCGCGCTCCTCTTCACTCGTCCAAGTGCGCCACTCCGCGTGGCAGTGCCGGTATTCAAACTCGGAAAAGAGGAGCTGCCGCATCTGCTGCCGCTCAGACTCTCGGTCCTCGCAGAAGATCCGTAGTTCTTGTTGTACTGAAGATGAGGCTTGCGGCTGGGCGGGAAGAACGGGATCATGTGGAGGAGAGAATCTTTCCTGTTCATCGTAGAAAGCATAATTGTAGTTTGAGGACGTGCTTGCTGCGCTTGGAGATGTTGACTCGTTCAACACCGCTGGAGAGGTGCTATCGTTGGTGGAACTAAAACTTGCTTCAACATCAACATCATCTTCGGAGAGATGAATATTGTCATAGTCAACATCAACATTCGCCGACGAATGTGAATCATTCCTCATATTATAGGCAACATGATCTTCAGGACGAACAAAAGCCCGTGTCATGACGATTGTGATGTGAAAGTCAGAGGGTCGGTTTTCGTGATTTTGTTGGTTTATTTCCGTAGGGAGATTTTCTTGACGCCCCCGGAAAACTACCACATGTCGATGATCGCGGTTTAATATTCCAGGAGCTGGATCATGTTCGAAGTAGAGGCCTACCTCCGGTCGTTCACGTTCTTGCTGCCCCAAATGAAGAACCGGGCTGCGATTAATATAGTTCCGGGAAACAACATCAAAACTGCTCCTGCCTGGGTCGTGAAGCAAATCATGGTTGCGTGCTGATGTGGGGATGCTGTGGGTTTCTTGGGTGCGCATCATCTGGATCCTTCGTGCAGCTCGCGGGGGGTGCTGTGACTGCTGCAGTTCTTGCGGGAAGCTAATGGTCGCGTGTATCATTTTTGTGGAACAAGAGGGCTCTTCTTCGTACTGTTGTAGCATGACAATGAGGGCACTGTTTATTGCGCAACCCCTGAACAATGAAAGACTGCCCACTCAACGGCGGCGGTCAGACCTTCTTGCCCTAGTCTTTGTTCAGATTGCTTTCCTCTGTGGTTTAGATTTTCCATATTAATTGCGCCCATGTCTATCAATAGAAATTCAGTGGAATCTAATCACGATTCTCGGTAGTTTTCTGGATGCTGTTGCTGCTCCCTGCAGTACTGATTGTGAAAAAACGCATAGGACACGGATTCAATTGGGTCAGAGGAAGAAGTATGACCAGCGTCTCTACTGTGTGTGAGATCAAAGACGTTGGATCTTCTTATTTTTCGCAAACGCCAACGAACTTTTAACAGTGCAATGACGGTATCAGGCAGCGGCAATGGTACGTGAGAACCGCGGCATTGCGATATTAGCGGCGGTTTCCCACAACAAAAAATTGTCATCAACATCAAAACTCCTACTCCAGGTCTCCTGGCTGTCAGTTGTAGTATATCGTCTTTCTTAATTCTCTGTAGGATATGACCAGGACGTGGTGGGAGTGATTTCAAGAAGTTCCTGGAACACGGTGCAAAAACGCAGCGAAGGAGGTCGGGAGGTTTGTCTCGGCGCTGTTGGTGGTCTTTTTGTGGTCTTCTATGATGATTAATACAGATTACACAATGTGCTGCGCGTCGTGTGGGTGATGTTCTTCACTGTGATTTACCACTGACATAATCAACTACCGTGTAGTGCGGGGACCACGGTGATCTCGGTGTAAGGGAATGCGACCGAATGATCGGGATGCGATCACAAGCGCTAAGCCTTGCTTCACGACGCAGTCGTGCTGGGGAGTGGTTCTTCTTCTTACTAACAAAAATAAACATGATTTCCCTGCTCTTGGAGAGGGCAGGACGACCTATGACAGTACTAAACAAACGTGTATACTAAAATATACTCTATCGGCAAAACATGAACAGCTTGCTTTAAGTTTTCGTTTTCCTGAAGCTGGTGCGGGGGCAGAGCTCTTGGTCTTAGCGTGGCGACGTCGCCACTGATCTGTGCCAGAAAAAAAAAAACAGCTACGAGCTTTCTTGGGTGTTATCTTGGCGACATCTCCACTGATATTTGCCAAAAAGTAGAAAGCAGCTTGTTGTGCCTGGAAAAATATTATAAAATCCAACACAAAACTACAGCCTGCTACTTACATATGAAGATTTTTAATGCTGAAACGGGGTAGGTTTATCGTCTACTTCTAGTGAAGATTGTTGCCGACGCAGATAATAAACGTCGACAAATTTTTACTTGATCAAAGTCGTCGATGATGTTCTCCTTCAATAGCCCGTAGTTGCACTTGAGTAAGTATAGCTTTATTCTTGTTCAAAGCTGTGGTCTACAACTCCATCACCTCCTCGGGATCCCGCGTCCTCTCCCCCACGGATCATGCCACCCAAGCTCGAGCGAGAAAAAGACATGCTGGAATTCTCCTCCTCAATCACCGACAAGGGTTCCGCTAATGGACCACCGCCTCGCCCGGATCGCGAATGGTGGCCCAGGCCGCCGTTCGACGAGGACGACGGGGAGGAAATCAATAGTGCATTTGGCGGAGGTCGTTGGACTGGCGCAAGGTGAAGATCATACTGTTGGCCTCCGTGGCCTTGTGGGGGCAGGATCACAATGTTCATGTTGTTCTCACGACACGGCTGCTGGTGCTGCTGGTGCACAATTGTAGTTCTTCCGCCCAGAATTGGATGTTGCTGGAGGTTTGCTGGACTTGTTGCCCTACTACCTCCTGTACCACCTCCGTAGTCTGTTGCTCTTGGGCGCCCAGCGGAAATAATTTTGATTGGCGGGTCGAAGTCGTCGAAGTCATGTCGAGAAGGGCGGCCAGCTACATAATTATCATTATCCCCTCCCGCTCCACCAGAAGTGGCGCCAAAAACGTCTGCTACAACCCCGCCCGTGCCGTCCGAGTAGAACAAGTCGTCTTCCTCCAGTATTTTTCCGTAATACTGCTCGGGAGTCGACGTACTCGTACTCGCACCACCCCCAGCGCCGCCTGCTACAATTCCGGCCATTGACGACCGCTGACTTCGGTTTGCTTCGCTAGAGCTGGAGGGGCTGCGATTCAATGGTGCGATCGGTCTTCGTGCTGCTGGGGGGGTTTTACAACTATTTGGTTCCTGTTCTACTTGAGTTTGTGGATGATGGTGCAAAAATTGTGGTTGATGATGTTGCCCTTGCCCTTGCCCCGCGTGCTGCTGCGGTTCAACTAGTCCAATACGCTGATCGCCGCCCAATAGCGCCGGGTTGTGTGCGGGCGCGGGCTCCGTGTCGAAGAACCCTTGCAAGGGGTCGTGGTGATAGAAGTTGGGAAAGGACAAAGAGTATGGATTGTAAAAATGTCTGGGTCTGGAAGGTTGGAACTTGTAATGCTAGCTTTCCATACCTAGAAAATCTGTATTGCATAACCAACAAAAGTCGCAGCCTCTTTTGTCATGCAAAAACGCAGTTTCTCATGCAGATTGCCTATGAGAAAGCGTTTTGAGAAGCTGTCATGCCGGACTGCATTCGGAAGTGTTTTCATCATGCACATTTTAGCATCGCATGTTTCCAGACCCAGATATTTTTACTTTTGATAAAGAGTATGGTCCTGTTTGTTGAGTCTCATGTAGTTCATCACGTCCAACCTGCTCACCAGGTTGCAAAATGAATTCTGCTCGTCCATAAGGGCCGTCGTGGAGGTCGTCTTTTGGCGAAAGTTGTCTTCTCGTAGTAGTGGTTCTTTCGGAATTTGTATCAGTACAACCGCCGACCGCGTCGGTGTCGTTGCAGGTTCTTTGCTCTTCTGCCATCAACGGTACCAAGTCGTTGATATCCTCCTCCCCCATCATTTCCCTTAAGTACTGCATCATGGCCTCCCGCTCCGCCAGCTTTTGCGCATCGTCCATTTTTTCTTCTCGCTTCTTCTTTTTATTCCCGCTGCTCGTGTCCAAAGACGGTGGCGGGGCGTTGGGGCGCACGCTGCTAGTCGAGGTGCCGAGCAGGGTCGTGGTTGTCGCATAATTGCAGCTGCTAGTGCGGAGATGATTTGGAGTGGCGCGGCTGCTGTTCGTGTCTGCTCTGCTCAGAATTTGCACGCCGTGCGAAGCGTTCGCCGGGTGGATCGGAACAAGAGGAGTAGCTGTGCTGGTCTGAGCTGCTGCAGGGCCGGTACTAGACACGACGACCGGCGCTGCACCAGCTGCGATCATATTTTTACTTGTGTCGTGTGGAGCCGTCGCAGCTGCTGCTGCGTCTTTAGTTGCTGGCTTTCCGAACGGGTCGGCCTCCGGACGCGGCGCTTCTCGAGGGGAGGAACGTGGTTTCTGTTTTTTTTTTCAATTATTTATACGGAAATTATGGGAGACAGAGACTGTGTGGTTGTGCCTCTTGCGGACATCATCAGCAAGCGAAAAATAGAAGGGATGAACCATCAACTCCTTTTTACAACTGCTAGTAGTACAGGACGAGAAAAGCAATGGACATAATTTGTTGGCATGAATATGTTGTAGCACCACAAGCACAATCATCTTCTAAAAGCGTACCCAAGGTAGCTGGCTTGCCGGAAGAGCGTTTTTCCCCAGATTTCGGATGATGAGCATATTCTCCTTTTTCATCCTCGCCGTCGGCGGATTCCGGTCTTCCAGGGTGAGCACGTGTTGTTGCGCGGGCCGGATCGGTTTCGCGACAACGACCGGAAGGTTGTTCGTCTGAGGTGGTCCTGCTCGTGGTCCACCGCCAGCACTCTCTGCCGTCGCGAAGCTCGTGGCCGTAGTTCCGTGAGGCTTGGACCGGTGATCGTCATGATGATGTGGTCCTCCTGCAGCTTCACCTCCTTCTTTTCCTGCGACACAGGGCGCGGGGGCGGCGGCCTGGGAAGCTGCAATTACGACATTTTGATAGTCCACGTTGGCGGGTGGTGGAGAAATCTTCACTTGATCTTGACCATCTCTTTGGTCATCTCTAGAGTTCGCAGTCTGCCAGTCGGAAAAAATCGCCGGATCGTGGTGATCGCTCTTATCCTGCTGGTGGGACGGAGTAGTGATTGTCGCAGGAGGAGTAACATATACTCGGTCCCCAGAAGTTGTACCACCGCCTTCGATTTTTAACTCCTGCGGAGTCGACGTTCTTGCACAAGGGCTCTTATCGTCCCCAAGCAGAGCTCCTCCTCGCTGCCTTGTCGGGGTTGCTGTGTCGCTGCTCCTGCTGCGACTGTGGATGAAACTGATGTCTAAGCAAGTTGGGCTACTTCTGCTAAGGCTGCCAGAGGACTTGTTCTTCCTTATCATTTCGCGGGTCGTTCTACCTATTTTCTTCTCTCCAGAGTCCCCTTTGTCGTTAAGACTTGTGGTCTCTCCGTCCTGCTCCTCGTAGCCGAACAGGAACCCGCTACTTCTCGTGCTTGTTCGAGTTGCATTCATCTTCTGAGCAATTTTCTTTTCCCGTCGCTCTCCCCGCCGCGCGGCCCTTTCCTTCAAGCGCTGCTGCTTCAGGGCGCGGCTGCGCGCGCGGCAGTAGAAGTAGCCGAGCACGAGGAAAGCAATTACGAGGAAAACCGTCACCGAGAGGATCACCCAGAGGCGCGGAAGGAAGACCGCCGTGGCGTCGGCCTGCTCTCTTCGGCCTTTCAAAACCGGGTCGCGCAGCCACCGAGAGTTCGCATCCCTGCATTATCAAATGCAAAAATGTCTGGGTCTGGAAGGATGCAAGGTCTGTCATGCACATTTGGCATGACTCTTGAATCTGTCATGCACATTACCCAAGACACCCATTTTTCTGTCATGCAGAAACGCAGTTTGTCATGCAGAATAGGCAATGCCTAGATGGTGCTTAGAAACTTGTCATACTGAGCCAGCACTCGTGGCCTCCTCATTATACGCCACCCATCATCACAAGTTTCCAGACCCAGACATGTTTGCAGTTGATACGCATATGTTGTAAAACCGCTCTATCTTGTCGTTCAAAACGCCGTCGTATTCGGTGCAAAAGTATCGTACTCGTATTGCAATCATGCATGCAGTGTCCTAGGGTGGCTCATGGACTAGAGTGGTACAAAGTATGGTTGTAAAAATTTGCAAATTGCTGTCCTAGCATGTGCAACATGAAAAACACGCACTTCGCACGGGAATTTCAATATGTTTTACAAGACTGCAAAAGAAAAGACCGAGCATGACGGATTATGCAGGTGCTTCAAACTCTTTTGCAGGACCCACCCTAGGCATTTATACATAAGTACACCCTAGGCCCGCAAGCGGATGAGGGAAAAACCGAAGCAAAAAGCACTCGCGAAAGAGAACAGGAGTCGCTCTTTCTAGTGCGTGGCGCTGGTAGTTGCGCGAGTGTGGTGACTGCCACAAAACTGCAGCGCTTTTTGTGTTTTGCAGTGCGCATTTGTATACGTTATGGCCGTGAAACAGAGTCGCTGTTTTGTCAAAGAGCAAGAGCAAGCGCTATGGGACCGAATGAAAAAAAAAGCAAAGGCAAAAAACTTCTGCTTGGCTATCAGGATGCGCAGCATTGTCCCGCATGAGCAAGCAACGAACGAGGGGGCCGGCGCGCTTCTCTGCCAATGGACCGGCGCGCGCGAAAAAGAAACAAACGCGACAACAGAGCTGCGCGGCAAGCTTGCGAAAAAAAGACGCGCGCTTGCTTTCAGACACAGGCGGAATGCCACACAGCTCAGGCGAGAAGCCGAATCTAATCACACTGAGACGCCCGGCGTGGGGAAAAGAACAAAGTGCGTGCCGACGTGCTGGCGCACAAGCAAGCACAACATTGCGCGGGGCACCAAAGTGGGGAGCCCCCTTTGGGCGCAGGGGAAACAAACAGCGGGCACCCCCACAGGCCTAAAAGCGTGCGAAGGGAGGCGCCCGCCCCCGGCGCGGGCCCATGCCCTTACACAACCACACACAGCCACCAAGGTAGGCGGCGCCCGCATGTGCTGGTGGGTGCTGTTACGGGGGGGGGGGGGGGGCGGAGGGTAGCCACATCAGGGGGCGCCGCCCGCGCAGCACAGCCACCACAATCAGCCAAGCAACGCCGCGCGCCCTGCGCCGGACGGTGCGTGGGGCCTTAGGGGGGTGCCCACTCGCAGCAGCCGCGGCGGGCTGCGGGACGAGTTCGGCGGCGCCGTCGCGGGCGGTGGTCCCAGTCGGAGGCGCGGGCGCCTCCTGGTCGGTGCGGGGGCCTGGCGGCCAAACACAGGCAACACGCACACACTCACAGGCAAGAAAAGGGGCGCGGGCCCGTTCGGGTCTTGCTTGGGCGTTCCCAATGGCCCGCGCCAAGAACATGCCGCACGCCATTCCTTGGCTTGGTTGCCGCTCCGCTGTGCGGCGTCCCTTGGTTTGATTGCGCGGTCCGGCCCCTGAACGTCAACCAGGCAAAGCAACGCCGAAGGCCGGCGCATCTGCCGAAAGGCCCCCAAGAACGAAGAAGGCACACCAAAAGCCGACAGGGCAGAAGCAAAAACTAGCGCTCTCCGCCCTAGGCTAGGCGGCCTACGGTCACTGTCCTAGCCTAGGCGAGTCCGCCGCAGCGTTTTGGCCTAGCATGTCAAAAATTAGCTTCGCAAACTCGCGCAAGGCCCGGACTAGGGTAGTGCATGAGGAAAACATGAGGAAAAACAAAGCAAAACGATTTGCCCCACGCTAGGCCGCGCCAAACGTCCAGGGCACTGCGACCCATCCTAGCCCGGTGCATTGGACTAGCCTCGGTCTAGAACGCCGTCATGCTAGGATTCCGCATGCATTACAAATCTTTTTTTTTAGGGTAAATCCGCATTACAAATTTTATTTTTCATGCTGAGGAAATTTGTAAGTAATGCATTTATACGAGTACGATAATTTTGCAGTGCATATGTCGCCCCCCTCCTTCAACTCCGTTTGGCAGGTCCCGCCCAGGAGGTTCTCGGTATGGATTGCAGAAATGTCTGGGTCTGGAAGATTTTTACATTTTTGTCATGCATGTCTGACATGACTCGAGAATCTGTGATGCATAGGGGCATCGGAAAAGGCTCTCTCTCCAATCTGTCATGCAAAAACGTTGTTTCTCATGCGGAATTATATATACGCAACACATAGCAGCTCAAAAATTTGTCATACCTGGCTGCGTATTGCAGTCCGGGTACTTATCATCCACTTTTAGCATTACACGTCCTCTCCAGACTCAGACATTTTTGCAGTTCATACTCGGCGAGGTTGCGCAAAACAGAGGGGCGGACATTGGGGTTGTAGAACTTGTTCGGCAGCATATCCTGAGTAAAAGCATCCCCATACCAGACGAGTCAAGATGGGAAATCTCGTTCGTTCGTATGGATCGGCTCTGCCGACCGGGTGACCCATCGCCTTGCATATAAATGACCGACATACATAGGCGATCCCCGTTGCGGGACATACATATGGCCGTACGGAAGGGCCCTAAGCGCTACATACATAGTTCATCCTAGCGCCTACCACTTCGGTCGGGACTGAGTCAACCTGGACAAATCAGCCAACGTTGGCTGTTTTGCATGACAAATTTGTCCTCGTAGTGTAGTCCTGTTTCGCTGGTTAAGCAGCATCACAGATCTAGCATATCATGCTATTTCTAGCATCGCAAATCCCAAAACACGACTAGAAAAAGCTTCTCATGGGGCACCGCATGAGAAACTTTTTTGGCATGCAGATGTGCATGACAACTCTTGGGAGGGGATGTTTTTACTCAGAATACAGCAAGGTGCCGTCCTTGTAGTTTGACACGTTGTCCTGGTGCGAATTCCGCGCGCTCCCGTGGTACTGGTCTGGTACTTATGGATTGCAAATGTGTCTGGGTCTGGAAAGTTGGAACTCGTAATCCTAGCTTAACATAATTCCTGGGCACTCTGTATTGCATAACCGACAAATAAAGCCGCAGCCGTTTTTGTCATGCAAAAACGCAGTTTCTCATGCGGGCTGCCTATGAGAAAGTGCTCCGGATGAAAGTTGTCATGCTGGTCTGCATTCGGAAGTGTTTCCATATCCATCATCATGCACATTTTAGCATCACAAGATTTTTCCAGACCTAGACATATTTGCATTTGATAGTACTCGATTGCGCGTTTGCTGCATCACGGTGGGCATCACCCAGGGTGCGTGGCGGAACGTCATGTCGTCCACAAACCTCGTGAACCAGCGCCGCTCCGTATCAAAGTGAAAAAAGTCCCCACCCCATATCGAAAACGAAATTTGTGATGCTGTATTTCAGTACACAAATCAAATTTGTGTTGCAGTAGAGCACTGCACGCAGCGCGTAAGCCTAGGCAGGGGCCTTGTGGTGTAGGCGCCTAGCATGGTAGACGGCTTCCCTGTATGCCCTACAGCACTACAAATCGCTCGCATAACGTGCCGGGCAGCGTGGGCTTGCCCTCTTGCAAGACAGGCACGATTTGTGGTCACAAATCTGCATCACAAATTTTCATATGGATGCGCTTTCAATATGGGGAGGGGGGATTTTTCCTATTGATACTCCGCGAACCAACGGACGACCCGCAGCAAATCCTTGTCGTGCAAGGTATGCATTGCAAAACGATAACGTAGTACTAGTACGATCAGCATTTGAAGACAAGTTTTCATCCCAGAGTTTAAGTTAGTAAAGGAATTGAATTTTGTATTTAAAAATGCAGGCTCAACGTCAACAGGAGGTGCTTACAAACAAGCTTGGATTTGTAATTATTCTAATCAGGCATGCAAGATTGTAATCCGTACGACTACGATAATCTTATGCAGGGGATACAAGGCGATGTCCAGCAACTTTTTCACAAAGTGGTTTCTCCGCGGATCTACCAAATCCGCGTACGGCGGTTCGGACGGCTGGATAGTGCTCAACGGTGGCAACGGGGGGTCCTTACCGGCGGTACGACCTATGACAGCATCCGCCACTTCCTCGAATATGTTACTCGCACCTTTCTATGCAGGGAAAAAACGTCGTGATCTACTGTGTCTGGAGGATTTATTTTGCAGATGTGTGTCCGTCGTGCGGTATTTGCATGGCACAGAAGCTGCTCTGGCATGCAAGCAATATTAGCATCACAAGTTATAGTTTTGTGAAAACTTTGTCATGCATACTATAATTCTGGACGACATATCCTGTCTGTTTTTGTGTGAGTGAATAAAGAGAGCAGTACAACGAACTACAAGGTGGCTGCACCTCTACTACCACAACAAGGTGCTGGCACAGTCGATGACCCAGACGTTATATTTGTATTGGCTACTTTCAGAACCGGTCCTGCCTTGGCGCGCGCAAATGGGTTCAAGTCCTCCACATTTACGGAGAACCTCCACAAGGGGTTTGCCGCTGGGTGTCCGCTAAATATCGCGAGGAAAAATCCCCCCTCCCCATATTGAAAAGGTACGCCGCAGAAAATTTGCAGTGCTGATTTATTGACAATATACACCAAAAATAGCTCGTAGAACCCTGTCAACTTCCACCAAGTGAAACATCATTGGTGAGGTGCCCAGGGCCCCTGGAGGTGAGAAACGAGCGCAAATCATCTCTGCCTATACAAGAAGGGAGTTCCACAGGCTCCGCCGCATTATGCGGGCAGTTTGTGATGCTATTAGGCCTACAGCGCAGAGGACGTTTCTCATGCTAAGCGCCTAGGCCAAAACCTCTCTACTCAGGCTTGATATAGGCCTGCCGTCCTCTCCAGCAAGACAAATCTGATTTGTGTAGGCAAGTCCAGCATCACAACAAACTTCGTTTTGATATGGGGAGGGGGGATTTTTCATTTTGATACTCACGGGTCTATCATCATCGGGGGCTATTTCCTTCCACTTCTCTACGGCGCGCCGCAGGGCCGGCGCGATCGGTGGCGGATTCGGGGACCTGAGGCCTTCTGAGGGAACGAACATGTACGGATGCACGAATGCGCTGGGAAACAGGTCTTCCGGAACGAGCGAAAAGAGCAGGAAAAGAGACGGCGCGACCGCATTGAGCAGGAAAAGAGACGGTGGGGCGCGCGTGTCTGCCATATCCGGTGAGACAAGCCCTCCGGGATCCGGGAATTCGTCGGTGGCAGCCTGCTCTAGTTGCCGCAAGTCTTTCCGTATCAAGCGCAAAAACGTCTGGGTCTGGAAGAATGATGTAAACTTGTCATGCAGATTTTCCACGACCCATGAGGTCTGGAATGCGGGACCTAGCATTACAGACCCTGTGAGGTCTCTACCATGCCTATCCTACATGAGAAACTCCCTCCCAACTTGGTCAAAAGTGGACAGCTTTTGGCACTCATGCAACACACATTTTTGCATGCTTCAGATTTACCATGACAAGTTGCCACCTTCCTGACCCAGACATATTTGCAGTCCATATCCCGCACGTCGCGTTCGTACTCGAACACGGTCAAAAGCCATGACAGTGCACAACTCCCCCTCCCCCCCCTCATATGTATAGCATGAACGGCAGTACATCAAGCGTCAGCAAGAATGCCGGTCTTGCATGACAAATTTTCCCAAGAGTGTAGTAAGTACTGTTTGGGCTCCTTCCGGAGTTTGTCATCCATAGAGGGACAGCATAGAGTTGGTGTTTTGCATGAGAGATGAGAACGAGGGGGAGCTGTGCACTGTCGTAAAAGCCCGTGCTGCGGTCCGTTTGAGTTTCTGCGCTCAAGGCGGCACAGTTTAATTTTTTCGGGAGCATTCCGAAGTGCGTCCGCATACTCAGGGTTCATTGGCTTCGGTAAAGCCGGTCCCGTGTCCGCATGTTCTTTAAACAAGAACTCTTTCAGTGGCCTCCCCAAATCAGCACGTTCAGGGTTCTTGTTCCACCATTTGCCGGAAACTAACCGCCCGTCATCCTTCGCTAATGCAGCGTAGTAGTCCACGTTATGCATTGCAAAAGTGTCTGGGTCTGTACTCTGAAAGATTGCTGAGGTTTGTGATGCTGTGTCTGCTTGACACGGAAGGTGTGCCATGCAAGGCCTAGCATCGCAGGATTTGAAGATACGGCTTCCCAAAAATGCTTAATCCGCATGACAAACACCTTCTTTCGGCGACAGGAAAAGGAGCTCCCTTTGCTGTCTAAGCATGACAGATTTTTGTGTGATCCAAGTATGCGTCACAAGTTCGCATCCTTCCAGACCCAGACATTTTTGCATTTGATACACGTCCGCCTGATCTGCCACGAATGCGCGTCGATACAAGGCGTCGGGGAGCGTGTTCCACACCAGATTTTTTTCCCGGTTCAGGGGCGCCGCAGCGAGGTTCTTTCCCGCGGCCGTCAGCGCCACCTGCAGCCTGTCAAAGGCCCGCTTGTACCGCGAGGAAGCAGGGTCGTCGTTTTTGCGGGACAACACCTCGTGGGATTCTGTCAGCCAGTCTTTCAGCAGCCCAAACACGTTGTTTTCGTTTCGCACCAAGTACTTGACCGCAAGGTCCTGCAGCGTCAGCCACATGAACGCCGGCAGGTCTTCCAGGGCTTTATAGGTAGGGGCGAAAGCGATTGATCGCAATCGGTTCAATTCGGTGTCGTGCTCGTCGTACGCCACGTCGTTTCCGTGTATGTCGCGAGGTACCTCGGCGTACTTGTTCATCTCGTTTCTGACGTTTGTCAGGTATCCTGTGCAAGAGTACCGTATTCGTATTGCAAGCATGCATTACAAATCTTTTTTGTATAAGTGAAATCCGCATTACAAATTTAATTTCTCATCATGCTGAGGAAATTTGTAATGCATTGATACGAGTGCGATACTTTTGCAGTGCATATCAGGTGCTGCTGGACAATCCGTTTCGCGTATTTCTTTTTACTTTCATTGTGATCCTTGTCATCACGGTAAATATGGTCCTTGTAGAAATTGATATCCTCCAGCTCATTCTTTTCCAACGCGTCATGAATGTTGATGTTCAGCACAGTTTCCCAGGGCACATCGTCGAAAAAGGCTTTCTGTATTATCTCCCCCCGCTTTGCTTCGTCGGCACTGAAAAAGCCGTCGAGCGCGGTCCGCAGGTCCCGCCCGACGGCGAGTAAATCGCCGATTTCGAGGCTGGCAAGCGGGTTCCGGTCGTGCTCCAGGGTGTGCACAAAGGGGGCGTAGTGGTCCCACAGCAGGTTAGCGGAGGCGGGCTGGAGATGAAAAACTGTGTCCGACGAGGACGTGGGTAGTCTCAAGGTGCCGCACAACGCAAAGAGGGAAATCGCGCTGATAAAGCAGGAGGTGGTCGTCCCCATACTACTGGTGCTGCGACGGAGATGTTGATAAAAGGAGCTCCTCGCGCGGGCTGCGGCCCTCGTCGTGCTGGTACTAGCACTAGAATTTTTATCCGCGCTCCTTGTTGATCTCATCTTCGGACTTCTTGTGCGTTGATCTTCTAGTCCGACGAACAAAGACGCTGTCGTGCAGAACTCAAGGCCGTCGTATCCACTATTTTGGTTTATGCCTCTTTTTCGCTTCATGTACTTGTAGAAAAATTCTAGTTTTACTGTGTCAGAAAAACGCGCGTAATGAGTACTAGGCCCGAAAGGTCAAAGTCAAAGATCTCTGGTGTCCACTCATCACGCACTACTTTTGATTACGTTTACCTTTACGAGAACGAGATGCTATGTTGCCGAGATGCTAATTGATCGTACACTGACTTTTTGCGTTAAAAAGCAGGAATAAAAAACCGCTTTGTGTGCCTAAGCTAACTAAAAAGTTGAATATTTTTTGAAAAATTTTACTATCTTACACTTGATTGGTGTCATTTCTCACAACCGTTTGCGCGCCCAAAACTGGAAAAATTATGAATGAGTGCAATGGAACGATTCCAGTCTTCACATCACTGACTTTCAACAGAGCCAAACACCGAAACAACCGAGACCGAATCGTTTTCGTCGATGTTGCAAAAATGTGATTTTAGCCCCGAGGCGCCAGCCGCCTGGAGTTATAGTTTTTTTTCGGAAGATCGATTTATGTTTTTCTTTTTTGTCAAGGATCTACTGTCAGCACTTATCGATCGATTTCGTGAACGCGAATGCAGACCGAATGGCTTTGTCAAACAAACCCGACGAGGAATTTGTTGATTTCAGATCGCGTGTGTTGATCTAGACCAACATAATTTATTTTTCGCCATGGATCGGGGAAGTTTCAATGTGATCATGCCTTTTTATTTTTGATCATGATCTTGTTCATGGCAGAGCACAGCTCTGTAGTTTTTCGTTTTGCAAAGTGGGCAAGAAGTTGTTTTACTTCTGTCGGAAAATGTATGTATTATCTACTTAAAGAGTAAGTACACGACAGCACCGATTCGTACTATACAACCGAGCAGACGGAAAGCAAGAACGACAGGGGTCTCGTGCCGGGGAAGCAATAGCAATAGCGAAGCCAGAAAACCGACGTACACAACATGAAATTCCGATCAACCGGTAGGGCGGCGTCCCTGGTGAAAGAGACCAGGTCGCTGTCAGAGACCAGGTCGCTGTCAGAGACCAGGTGGCTGTCGTCAGGACGCGGCCGGCGGTTGCTGTAACGTTTTCTTGTGAAATGCAATATGAAATGGAAATCGTACACAACATGAGACTGGACGAGTGAAGCTGAAAGTTGTGCAGCGTTTCAAAAAAAGAAGTATCATTGCGCATGCCCAGCGTGTTAGTTTTTGAAAGCGTCATGGTCATTGTTTTAGTTTTACTACAACTTCGATTTCGAAGATATAATGCAATTTTCGTCATTGGTTTATTTTGGTCTTCAACAACATAAATATACCAAAAGGTTTAGGATTGATCATACATAGCCATCAATGTCGTGCGAGATGTGGAACTGCGGGTCCCTTTCTGACTTTGATGAAATCGAAAAATGAATGCTGTGTTGCTGAGTTACTTTTGATCTGTTTCTGTACCACATAACTGACGAAGAAAAATTTTCATTTAGACTTCTCTAGGTGTTGCATTCAGTTTGTTCATTGATTTTAGCATAAAATACGAGGACCTCGAACTGCCACATTTGATGTTGACGAAACACCATTTGTTCTATTGCTTGAGTTTCTGCTATGGTGGTCCTCATGCACAAAAATTATACAGCGCAAGCACTTTTTTACAAAAATGTTGTTCTTTCCAACATCAGGAGAGAACAAATGCGGGCGTCATTCTATCTAGGTCTCATCTTCCCGACCTTTTCTTCCCTCCTTCTTCGTACGGCGCTCGCTGGACTTTTCTCGTTTCCGTGAGGAATTGTGTGAGGTTTTGATGCGTCTTCTCATCACACAAAAAAAGTGTTACAGTTACACATTTGTTATCAATTCAGCTTCAGCAACACAAATATCTTTGCATGAGAGCAGAGAAAACTTGCTACGTATGCAACAATCCTACGGGAAAACACGGACGAAACAAAGCTCCGATGCATATCCGGCATGACAGAGCTTGTCTGCCGTGCTCTTGCAATTTTTGGAAATTGGCCAACGTCCAATTCTTGCAAACCGAGCGAAAAAATCCAAAAAATCGCCTCCCCACGGGTGAGGAGCGACTCGTAGGCGGCAGAACGGCTGAGGCAAAGACAAAAAGTTTTGCAATTTTTCAAAATTGGCCAGCGTCAGACATTGCCAAACCGACCGAAAAAATCCAAAAAACCGCCTCCCCACGGGTGAGCAAAGATTCGTAGGCGGCAGAACGGCTGAGGCAAAGACAAAAAAATTTGCAATTTTTCAAAATTGGCCAGCGTCCAACGCTCACAAACCGAGCGAAAAAATCCAAAAAACCGTCCCCCACGATGGAGGAGCGACTCGTAGGCGGCAGAACGGCCTAGGCAAAGACAAAAAGTTTTGCAATTTTTCAAAATTGGCCAGCGTCCGATCTTTGCAAACCGAGCGAAAAAATCCAAAAAACCGCCTCCCCACGATTGAGGAGCGATTCGCAGGCGGCAGAACGGCTGAGGCAAAGACAAGAAGTCTTGCAATTTTTGAAATTTGGCCAGCGTCCGATTTTTCCAAACCGAGCGAAAAAATCCAAAAAACCGCCTTACCACGGGTGAGGAGCGATTCATAGTCGGCAGAACGGCTGAGGCAAAGACAAAAAGTTTTGCAATTTTTCAAAATCGGCCAACGTCAGACGCTGGCAAACCGACCGAAAAAATCTTTTGGCCTGCAACACAATGTGTAACTGTGACACTTTTTTCGTGCGATATTTCTGGAATAATTTTTATGCTCGTCTGTGTCGGACGAGGAGGAGGTGTTGTGTGATTTTCGACTCTTTTTGGACTTATGTCTCTTTTTCTTGTCGCCCTTGGAGGATCTGCTCCTGTGTTGTACTGGCGTCTTGGAAGCCGTAGAGAAATTCGGACTGGTCATGTCGCCGCTGTGAATCTCCATGCCATCTCCACGACCTCCTGCATCTCTTGTTTTACTGCTGTGCTGCGCGTGACTCCGGAACGAGGACTCGTCGGCCCCATGGTCTCCTTGTGCTTCGAAGTGGTGGTCTTCACGCTTAGTACTTCTACCCGCTTCCCCTCTCGACGAGGACTGGTGTCGTCTATGACGTCGGCGTCGACTGGAACTACTTTCAGCACGCGGCCCACCTGCCGCCCCAGAAGAGCCGAGGCTGCTCGAAGATGAGCCACGCCGGTGTCTACTGCTTTTGCGGGATTTGTTCTTCCGTTTCTTTGCCTTCTTCAAATGCGGACTGGTGCTGCTTCTCGTCTTTTTCTTGTTGGCACTTATTTCTCGTTCTGCTTGATCTTGATGTCGTGGTCCAGCGATAGTTGACGAAGACCCCCGAAAGCGACCTCGGCCACCACCAGCAGCTGCAGCCGCTAGATCTATCGCCACACTACAACTCGGCGGCGGCAAAACTTGACTCGGGCGCGCGGTCGCGATTGCCGGGGGTTGGTTTACCACATCAAGTGCAGCAGGCACGGCTCCAGCTGCACCAGAGTCAACTTCGTAGTCGTACAGATGCAGCTCCTGCTCCCAGTCCATCGTGAAAGCCGTGAAATCCCACTCCGTGTCCAGATCGTCGGGGTTGAAAATGACTTTGCAGGCGGAATGGTCTTGCACGATTTCAGCTACCTGCACGATTTCATCTGGATGCAATGCGGGCTGATGTTGCAGTAGCTCATCTTTTGTCTGCGCTCTTTTCTTGTCGTCACCGGCGGCACTGTTTGCTCTATTTTGCGGCTCTGAAGAATTTTGAGTTGGAACGCCGTCGTCGTGTAGGGCTTTTCCTTCTTGTTCCCGCGGATCGAACGTTGCTTCTTCACCATCGAGAGCCTCTTCGTGCGCGACTCCCAAGGAGGTGGAAGCTTTCTCCAATACGATCGCACCTTCAACATCCTCCTCCGCGACGGATCCGAGGTCGCTTACGGAGTCGTCCTGTTGTTGTTTTATCGCCAAGTGTTGATCCTTATTTCTTCTTGACGGTTCTGTTGGTCGCAGCTCCGGAATGGTGTTGTAGTTGTTTTCCGCGAGCATCAAGACACCAGCACTGGCCTCCTCATACTGGTTAAACTCCTGCTGCTCATCCTCCTCAAGATCGTCCTCATCCTCCTGCTCCGCGCGGGGGTTGAAGGGTTGATCTCCCGCTTCGAAAATCGTCACCGCGTGGAGTTCTTGTTCTTCTCCTTCTTCTTGGGAATGATCGGAGGATACGATACTCTCGATCTCGTCGTTTGTATCGGTAGTTCTCGTTGCCGGAGGAACAACAATTTCCTCTCTACTTCCACCTTCCTCGGAGATCTCGCTTCCACTGCCGTTTTCGCTTTGACCGAACTCAACATCTTCCTGCTGATCCTCCTCGTCCTCCGACGCCAGGACCGATTCTTGCAAGAAAGCGGACGAGTTGCAGCTCCCTTGGTCCTCGACTTGTCCACTTTCGGTGATGTTGTCCTCCCCGTCGACAACATGACCCCCGCCGATCGAAGGGGAAGATGAAGATTTTGCGGAATGATCATCCATTTTTTCATGCTTCTTCACAACGCCACTTTTTCCAGCACCCTCATTACCATCCGCTAACTGCAGCAGCATGGGACCCGGAATTTCGTCACACCTGAAGTTCGCGTCTGTGAGCTCGAATCGGTTCTCATCCCCCGCCTTGCCGCGACTGCCGTTCGCGCCTTTTTTGTCAACCCCTCCCTCCAACCGGTTTTTGTAGTGCGGGAACCACTGTGGGAAGCACTCGTTGCAACAAGAAAACGTGGCATCGCTGTTTGGTTTAGCGTGTTGGGACTTCAGCCCGTGGATGCAGGCGCGACGGCGGCCCGCGCAGAACACGCACATACCCTTATCCTGAGTAAAAACGTCCCCACCCCAGACAGAGTTGTAATGCAGATTTGCAAAGACAGGAAGACTTGTAATGCGCATCCCCATGAGAGCCATTGCCAATCGTATTTTGGAATTTGTGATGCTGCAAATAGGATGAGGAGCTGGCTTTATGATGCGGTTGTCCTTGCGAAACTGCACTACGATACAGAGCGGAACTTGTCATGCGTGACTCCCAAAACTTCCGGGTTTGTGTTGCAGATTTCCCATCTTGACTATGGGGTGGGGACATTTTTACTCACAATAACCCTCGGGGATCAAATTTTGCCGTTGCTGGTACCAGTTGGAGGAGAAGTTTTGTTTATTTTTCGATGTAGTAAGCTCTTGCTTTTTGTAAATTTCCAACTCTACGTCCGTCATGTCCACAAGAATGTCCTTCTCCGCCTGCGCCAAAAGCTCCGCGGACGAAACCTTCGACGTCTTCGCGATTTGCCGTTTGGTCTATGAAAGTGCACAACTCCCCCTCCCCCTCATTTGTAATGCAAAATCCCAAATCCAGCTGCTGCCTTCTAGCACTGTGCAAATTTGTCATGCAAAACCGACACTCTTACGGATGCTTGTATTTTTGCCGTTCATGCTATAGAAACGAGGGGGACGAGGGGATGTTGTGCACTCTCATATCGTCGTCAGAAAGTGTTTCAGCTTCTGGACCACGATTACTCGGTGTTTGTAGAGGAACAGGGACAAAATCGCGAAGAGAAAGAGAAGGGAAAAAAGGACAATGTTCAGAATTACTTCCTCTTCTGTGCCGCTGTTGGAAGTAGAATTTCCATTTCCTCCGTGACCTGGTCGCGGAGCGCTAATCCCCAACGGGTCGTTCACGGCCTCATTCGCCGTTGCAAAAAGGTCCGCGGAACTGCCGTAAAAGGCAGTGAGGGAAACGGAGTACGAGAGTTGTTCCGCCGTTTGTGTCGTACTTCCTTCAACATCCTGCTGCACCGAAGTGCGCAGAATCCCCGAGTCCTCAATGCTCCTCGCCACGCGGTCCGCCTGCGCGCGCTGTAATTTGTACTTGCTCGACGAGGTTGTTGTTTTATCAGTTTGCGTCGGCAGGGAAAAGTCAACGGCGATCCGCAAACTCCCGGCGGACAGCGTGACTGCGGTGATCCAGGAGAGGCTAGGTAAGGAGAATTCGTCGCGGACGATTTGCTTCACTTTCAATTTGAGTTTCTCCTCTTCCCGGAGCTTCGTGTAGTCGAATTGAGGAACGATGAGCCGTAAAGACGCGGTCTGCGACAGCGTGAACCAGGAGGCGTCGGCGTCGCTGCCCAGCTGGATGTGGGCCACTGGGCTATTTTCGTAGTTCAGACTCCCGTCGACAACCGCGCGGACGCAAACGTCATACGCGGCGGTGCGGACGCCGGAAGGCGCGGGGGGTAGAAAGTCCAGGTGATAATGTACCATTTCTGTTGTAGTTGATGATCCTGCAGCCCCTGTTTGACGCACGTCCACATTCCGCTTGCGCGGTTGCGCTTCTTTGCTCGAGGATCGCTGTTGAAGAGTCTGCTGCTGGTGAAGATTATCGGGGTTCTCGCCAAAGAACGGCGCGAAGTTTATTGGCTGTGTTTGCCCACCAGTTGCACCTATAATTTCCCCTGAAGACATTGTAACCACGGGCTGCGTCCAGGCCCGCAACACCCTTGCGTCGTCCCCTCCTTGCAGTCGGTTGATCCGAACTGCAGTTGGTGTCGTCACTGACGATGACGTCGTCGTGTTTGCCGCTAGTTGCTGTCCTCCTGCCGAGTTCGTATCCGAGTCGAAAACGAATTGCTCGGTACTAGTAGCTCCTTGGGTACTAGGCGACGAAGATACAACACCAAGTACATCACTTTCCGCCCCCGCCAGCATGGCAGCGGATTTCTGTAGAATCGCAGAAGAAGAAGATGACGAAAGCTTGGTTGCCTGTTCAAACGCGGTGCAATTCACCAGCTCCCTGTAGTCCGCGTAGCGCCTCCCGACCGCGAACACGAAGGTCGGCTGGAAAGTTGCGGACGAGCTCAGATCCAGCGGAAACGAGAACTGCAACAACCGCCCGGATTGCGTCGGCGTGGTACTTACCAGTGCGATGGGCACCGGAAGTTTTCCTTGCCGGTTCAGCAGAAACAAACTCGGTTGCTGGGGGCTAAGCACAGGAGCATCACGATGATCTCCACTTAAAAATACTTCGGGATGCAGTTTCACGGCGGTAGTGAATTTTCTGCCGCTTTCCGACACGACAGGTTGCTTGCCCGGCGCCTGCCGCAGTTCCGACGCTGGGGGGTGAAGGAGTAACGCAAACTGGACAAAGGGCCGCCACAGGTCGTGTGGGGGAGATGAAACTGCACTTGCAGAGGTAGTACTTGATGCAGCGGTCGCGTAGGACGGTTGCGTATCCAGAGAATTCAGTTCTGCGAGCGGGAACGAGTATCGAATTCGATAGGCTGCACCCGCAACGGAATTTATTTCGGTAGAGGAGCTGCTGCTGCTGCCCGACGTTGATAGCCTCACTGGCTTCTTCAGAAGCGCTCCCGTGAGTTTCACCGCTGATAGGACCTCACGAACCACAGATTGATCTTGAGGTTCAGTTCCGTCATTGCTGCTTGTGGTTGAACCTGTAGTTCCGCTCGACCCGCGTCGATCTGCCGTCACAGCGAGAGTCACGTTGCCGGCCGGAATGCTGGCGGTGACGTCCAGTTTTATTTCGACAGCGTCCGCAGAGATGGTACGAAGGCCGGACGACGGATCTACCAGTCCGGTGGTGGTGGTTGTGGGCGATGAGCCCACAGTTGCTCCAGTAACAGTTGTTCCTACCGTTGCGTATCCCTCTAACCGCACTCCCACTTCCGTTTCCACAGAACCAGAAAGAGCACTCGGTTCCGACGAGGGCTCCGACGAGGAGCACACACTCAACGACTCGCGCAGGCCTTGTCCCAGAACCCAGGCACAGAAAATCCCCGCGTTCTCTGCAGATCCTTTTTCCCGCGCGACAGCAAAACTGCTTCTTGAGTCACTCGGGGCCGCGCAGACTTTCGGGAACGCACAGCCTTGGGCAGTGAGATCAACTGTTCTTGTCGACGTGGCGATAGGAATGATGTTTTGCGTGAAGGCGTCCGTAACGGTGACCACATCCCTCAACGAGGGCGCGGGCAGGGTTGTGTACGAAGCGTGAGTCCAGGAACTGGTATCTAGATCAATTCCGCTACTGGCGCCTTTCGCCATGTACAATTGCAAAGAACTAGCCGATGAGGATGTTGGTGCAGTGTGATCTGCATCTGCATCTCCGTGCAATCCGTAGTAGATCTCGGGCGACCAGAGGAGGTAGTGTTCCTTACTAGTTCTCCCTTTATTACTATCCGCGACCCCGGCCTCGCCTAATCGCAGCAACCTCGGCGCGGGCGCCCGTTCCCGCATGAGCAGCACGTGGTCGGAGGCGAGCCTTGGCAAAGCCCACAGAAAGCCGGGTCGCCGCACGGTCGTGTAGAGGGTGAGGTTCAAATTGTGTTGCGGATGCAAGGCTTGCGTTGCAAACGTCAGTTGCCCGGCGTGCGGAGCGACGGATTGCCACATGCTCAAATCCACGGTGTTTGAGGCTGTACTCGACGTAGCTTCCGTTATTTCCGGCCTTGGGTTGTCCAGACACCGGTTCTTCGTGGTGACATCACTCGTGCTCGTCTCACCAGCACCGGCTTCTCCTGCGCTAAAAACCGTCTGAACCACCTTTCCCCCTACCAAGGAGAACGGCACCACATTGACGCAGTACTTGCGCTCCGCGGTGGGATGGGTCAACACGAATTTCAAACCAGCTGCGTTAAAAGCTGCAGAAGTTGTCCCACTAGAACCGCTTTCTGCACCAGAGGACGCGAGCGCTAACGTTGGCACCAGCCGGTCGCCGACTTTCCTGGCCTGGGACACGAGTTGCGCCACGGCGTGAAAATCCGGATGGTTCGCCGGCGGGCGCCGCGACCCCGGTGACCGCCCGACCGCGGCGGGAGATAGGAGTTTGTCCCGGTGCCAAGCGTACAGGGCGACATCGTCATCCAGTTGGAGAGTCACTTTCCCGCGACTGGGGTCAAACGAGCACAGTGTGTCAAACCGCAATTGCTTCTTGGTGGTCACCGAAGATCCCCCGGATGATGAAGTTGTAGAAGAAATTGATGCGACATTGCAGTCGTTGCGGACGGTCGCTAGGTTGTAATCTTTCCGCTGCTTCGGGAGTTGCAGTGCGTCAGTCGCGTACAAACTACTGAAGTTCTGGGAGTTCAAATCTTGCAACAATGCTAACCCGCTGCTCGGCGGGTCCGGAGGGTTCAACTGCAAAGCCGATTGCTTCCGAAGCGCGAACAGGAACGTCGGGGCGACGAGAGAATTTGTGTTGCTGTTCGATGTTGTAAGAAACTCGACGGTGTGCTTTTGATCACCGAGAACTCTGTAGCCCGGATCGTCCGGGTACCAGTGCGCGTGTGGGTGCGAGGTCGAAACTTGGCTCAACTGCTCCGTTGGGGAAAACACCAGACTCGGCAGCGGCGACTGGGTGCGGACCAAAACGACGTTGAAGGTCTGGACCGGGGACCACAGCTTGTGCGGCTCCTTGATCGTACTTTGTACCGATACCCTGGTGGTCGCGCCCGGCCGGGCAAGGAGTGAGTCCGGCGCGAGCTGCAATTCGCCCCCCTGCGCGAAGTCGGCGACCAGGCCATTGTCCAGTTGCAACGGTGATGCAGAAGTTTGTTGGGAACTACTTTGCTGAGATGTTGAAGTTGTCTGGAGCTGCCCAGAGGAAAGGACGGTCGACAAGAGCTCTGTTCGGATAATCTTCGTCCGGATCTCGTATTGCGGAGATGTTGATGAGTCATCATCTGCGTTATTAACGTTCGCTGCTTGCCGGTTGCTCTTCACCTTGATCAGTAATTTCTGTGCGGAATTTTCGTTCAATATCGGAGATGGCGCCACCGCGGAATTTTTATCGGCCAGCACCGAGGGCGGAGCGAGCAGGAACGTGTAGCCCTGGTCGTTGCTGCTGAATCCCCGGCGAAACGGGAGCGTCGCTGCGCCGAATTCGAAGTTGACGCGCGCGGTGCTGGCGTGCTCTACGATAAATTCACAGGACACGCGCCGGCTGTTTTCGTAGGACACGCGCGTGGACCAGGCCGTGACCGTGCGCAGCCCGGCTGTTGTCAAGGTGATAGTACCAGCGGTGGTGGTGGATGATGCTCCTGTAGAAGTAGTTGCCGAGGGGGCCCCTCCTGCGACGTGTTGGTAATCGAATATGCTGTTTTCGTTTTTGTCTAGGAGATACTTGATCTGCACGCCGGGGACTAACAACGGGTCGACGTTAGTTTCCAGGCGCACCGTCACGGAGTTCGCATACGCAAGAGCCCCTTGTGGTTGCTGCCCTTCAACATTTTGTGCAGTTGTAAGTGTTGTAACACCACCAGCACCACCACCACCACCCGCATAATTGCTCGTTTGTCGAAATCCCTCTGGTGCCTCGCTCAGAACCGAGGCGGGCGTCGCACCCCCGGTCGTCACGACAGCGCAAGAAACGTCCGGGAGATTTGCCTTGGTGGTAAACGACAGCTGTGTGACAGCGCTCTTCGCGTGCAGCTATAAAATGTAAAAGTGTCTGGGTCTGGAAGAGTCATCCTGTTTTTGCATGACACAGAAGGGCTGGCATGGAAGCTCTAGCACCACAGGTTTCGAAAAGCTTCCGCAATGCCGAATCCGCATGACAAGTCCCCCATTTCCGCGTGACAGAAAGCAGGCAGCTTTTGCTACCTATGCATGAGAGATTTTTCTGTGTTCTAAAATGCGCATCACAAGTTTGGATCCAGACATTTTTACAGTTGATAGCAGCGGATGGCACACAATGGCGCGAACCACCATGTTCTTGTGGGGCAGCACGGGCAGGCGAAGTGAGACGAAAGTGGCGTCGGAGGAGGTTGATGATGTACTGGTAGTACTTCCACCACTGGCACTTGATGTACTTGCTCCTGAAGACTGCTCCGTAGAAAAAGTACTACCGGTAGAAGTCGAGCCTGCTCCCTGCTGCGCAGTAGCAGACTCGTCGCACTCCAGGACCTCTGCCGGGACGGAAGGGTTGTCGAGGCTTTCCGTGTAGTCACTGTACGCTACTGCGTAGCGGATGGACGCGAACGCCAAATCGGTCACCGCAGGGTCGATGTTGCTCGGAAACTCGAGATATGAACTGCAAAAATGTCTGGGTCTGGAAGAATGCAAGTTTGTCATGCTTGTCTGGCATGACTCGAGAATCTGTGTTGCATAGGCGAGAAAAGGCCCTCTTGCCTGTCATGCAAAAACGCAGCTTGCCATGCGGAATACGTAAGACATGGCAGCCAAAAAAGTTGTCTTGCATAGCTGCGCATTGCAGTGCGTCTTCCATTCACTTTTGGCATTACAAGTATCCAGACCCAGACATTTTTGCATTTGATACGAGACGCAGTTCGCTTTCCGGAGCAACAAACCGCTGCGCTGGACCGTTTTCTGTTTGGAATTTGGAATTGTGAATGAAGAAATTTTGGCGTGATGTCTTCATGTGGGCGCGATATAGAGAAGATAAGTAAGTACACGAACATACATGATAAACCATATCGAAAATGGACATGAATTTACGAAGCTGTTCGCGACTCTACAAGTTAACATATACTCATGAAACACACCTTGAGCAGTCACAATCGTTGCCCTTGGGCGGTCCAACGCCTGTCGTTTTGTTTGGCACCGCCCCAACGAGTCTTGTCCTTGCGTGGCCGAGCATTTACAGGCGAACACGTTGTCCCGGGGGCGCTGGGAGACGCCGATGCTTGCCGTCGGGCACGGGGCGCAGACGTCTACGCTACTTGCCGTCGGCTGGTGGTGCAGGTAGACGACGCCCCTGGCTAGAGAGAGGTCCTGCAGCTGGGTCACCACCTGCCACGAACCCCCGGCCTTCTGCACCTCGACCGTGTGCAATTTGGTCGCGGTCCCTGCACCCTTCGTTACTCTAACAACCGCGACCTTTTGCGGCTGACTCTGGCTTGTGGTGGAAAACACCAGCCCTGATGCCGGGCTGCTCAGGTCGAGCGGATCCGATTGGAAGGTGGTGGTCACATCAACTAGACTTTCGTCGAAGATTTCGACGGAGGTAACGGTCCCGTCGCCCCGCAGGCGAATGGCGGTCACCTCCCAGACAGCGTATTCGCCCAGAACGCAATCGCACCGATTTAAGTTGGTGTTCGACGATGCTGCTGCTGTACTAGAAGCGGACGTTGCGGTCGTGGAGTACAACAAAACGCTGCGCGCCCTGCGGAATTGAACATTGTCTGTATCCGTTTGCGCGAGCGGGCACTGTTGTACGCACTTGTGCTGCAGCCACTCGTGCCCAGCGGCGCAGACAGTAGAATCGCCGGTACTAGTCCTCGCCGAGGCGGCAAGCAGGTTCGTCGTACCAAGGGCCAAAGTGTTGAGAAAGCAGGTGCCCAAGTCATAGTGCTCTTTCCCGGCGCTGGGTGCCGAGGAGGAGGAGGACGTTGATGCGCTAGTACTACCCGCACTCAAAAATCCTCTTGCGCTGCTCGTTGTCCCGCAGGACCGGTGCACGGCGGCCGGGGTGGTGAAATACCCCAGTGCGTCGGGAGGCAGGGCCCGCAGGTGGACCCGCAGTTGGTCCAGTTCGAAGTCCGCCAGAATGGGTAAATCCGGCTCGTAATAGGGAAACGGCATATTGTTCGTAGTTTGTTCCGGAGCTTCATTCCCGGCAGCGGCCTGCTCGTGCGCCGCAACCACGGACCCACCCAGGTGCAGAACCTCTTTTCGCAGCTCTGTCGCCCACGAGGCGGGGCTCCAGGAAGACGCATCTTGCGGGAGGGTAGCCGTTTGATCTTCCAGGTTTGCGTGTGCGCTCAGCTGCTCGCCATTGACGTAGAAGGTCACGGAATAGGAGGCGGGTGCTGATGCACTCGTCGATGTGCCAGAGCCAGAGCCTGCTGCTCCTGTCGAGGAGTCGACATGATCATCCTGCTCTCGACGCACAACAACGGCCACGTGCGTCCACGTGAGAAGCGGCAGAGCAAAGGCTGCCGAGTGCAACCGGCGATCCGGAAAGGAACCTCTGTTCATCGTGAGTCCACGGTGGAAGAAGGAAAGCCGGACAGCAGTTGTAGTAGAGGACTGGTGCCCGGAAGATGAGGGGTCCCTGCTGACCGCGAGGAAAAAGTAGAAGAGCCGGCCCAGCAGCACCTGCGTCGGCTGGGCTTGCGCGAACCGCCCCTGGGGATCGTCGTACGGGGCATCGGGGAGCGGCTCGAGGAAGCGGACCCAGGCCTCCATCGTGAATCCAGTACTACCGAGACTAGCGGAAGACGGAAGCAGAGCGGCGGGCACGGCGGCGGGTACCGCGATGCGCTCCTCGCACCCGTAGGCAGTTCCGTTTTGCGCGGGGGAGGTAAAACTCGACAAAGGCAGATCAGGATAAAAGTTCGTCTGGTCTAGAGGCCAGGGTAAAGAAGTCGTGGTGCCGGGTGGACCAGAGCTGTCCTTGCTGTCCTCTTCCACCAACGCGGCCATTCTGGTCCAATCCTGGTCTCGAAAAGGACTCTTGCACGGCAGTTCCACAATTTCGCACGGACGGGAGTAGAAGCCGACCCGGGGGGCCACAAGCGTCGTTCCGTCGTTTGCCACGGCTGCGTGTGCGGACGAGACTGGGTGCGGCGCTGTGGAAACCCCCGGCGCGATGGGAGAAACGCCATCCGCGGCGCGCACAAACCAAATTCCGCCCGTCAGCGGCGCGTTCGTGTAAGCACAGTTGCCGCCGCCCATGCCGCAACCCAGGAAACAGTTCGGATCGAAGCCGTTGCAGCTGTACGGGGCGTAGCAGTGACCGGGCCCCGGGTCGTTCACCTCGGTGGCCTGCGGGACCAAGGTACTAGCTGCTGCACTTTGTCCTCCCGATCTTCGCCTTAATCGGCGGAACCGCCACGCTTTGTTTTCCCCAACCGCCGCGTACGCTTCGGCCTGCGAAGACACCGCGCGCCCAACGACGGTTTGAAGTTGGTCAAAGCTGTGGTGCCCGTCGTCCGCGTCGAGGCTGGCAATTTGCGCCCCCGCGGCCCGGCCAAAGCTGTGGCACAGATCCACGCCGAGTGTGGCGGTTGCAACACTTCTATTCGGAAGCCGCAACTGCGTGGGGATCCGCGTCCGGTAGCAATCCAGGGCCGTATGCAAGAGTGCCCCGGAAGACGCCTGCAGCCGCGCCCGATCACCTACTGTCGCACAACACCTTTCGTTCCCGCTGGACACTTGGTGGTTGTTTTGGATTGCTGGGTTCGCAGTACACGCAGCTGTTGGCCCGCCGAGTGCACACGCGCCGGACAGAAGGTAGGCGTTACTTGTTGAAGTTGCGGTACTACTGGCGCTTTGACGTTGAAAATACCGGTTTAATTCGGATAAAACAGTTCGTAAAGGCGTTAAATCAGGAATGTCGTTCGCAGCAAACGAATTCTGCAGGGAAATTTCACTACTTTCCGTGTTCAGATCGCCAGCCGCGAGAATCTGGCAGTCGAACCGGTACAGGTACACCAAGTGCTGGAATAACGAAAGCAAAGTTACCGCGGCGACGGTCAGCTCCACCAACTCCGCGATTTGCGTCACCTTCTTGGCCTTTTCCGCCGCAACCGACGCCCGCCACGCGTCCGCGTCTTGGTTCTCCGCCTTAAACAACACCGCGTCTAATTTCACTGCGTACGCCGATGTAATCCCCACCGTATCCTGCAGCTGGGCCTGGAGTTGCTGTACTTTTTGTGCGAACGCACCTGCGTGGTCTAGGGAAGCGAAGATCCCGCATCTTGAAAGGGACACCTCTTTATTTATTCCCTGTGATGCAGCTTGAGCTTCTTCGTCGAAGAAAAAGATCATGTCAGCGAGAAAAGTCGTATGAAATGCAAAAGCATCGTACTAGTAGAAATCGCATTACAAATTTTCTCAGCATTACAAATGGAATTCGTAATGCTGATTTGCCTTGAGAAAGAAATTTGTAATGCATAAATGCAATTACGACGGGCACGGGTACGATACTTTTGCACAGGATAAGTCGCGTCCACGACCGATTTCAGCGCGGTGGCTAGCGAAGAAGATGTCGATTGGGAGGACGACGAACTCGAAGAGGACGAGGCTCCTGCGAAGGACGCGGTGTGCGCCTCCACGCGATATCAAAATGAAAAATCCCCCCTCCCCATATCAGAACGGAAATTTGTGATGCTGATTTGTGGCCACAAATCAGCTTTGTATTGCAGAGAGGCATGGCGGCCAGATCCCCAGGCTGGGTAGGTGCGTACGGGTCTAGTTGTTCAGCATGGCAAACGGCTCCCCTTTAGGCCCAACAGCATGACAAATCGCTTCCATAATGGGGCGGAAGCTTCTGCCCTTGTCTTCTTGCAAGACAGATGTGATCTGTGACCTCAAATCCGCAACACAAATTTTTGGAAACGTACCTTTTTAATTTGGGGAGAGGGGATTTTTCCTCTCAATACGCGAGACCGAAAGTTTTCTGCGAAAAACTTCCAGGTGTTTTGCAACGAGGACAACGTGCCATCCGGCCGACTCGTGTCCCGTAGCAGCAAGTGTCGCAGATTCGTCACCGTTTGCCGCAGGACCAGCACCGCGCGCGACCGCTTTTCCGTGCCGGCGTTTGTGTCGTACAAGGTTTTCTGCAAAGTCCCATACCCCTCGGTCACAAGCAGCTGCAGGCTGTTGCGATGGTCGGCGAGAAGCGCCGCGTGCTTCAGGATCTGTGCGGCCTTGTCATCTGCTTGTTGCAGTAACGCGCCACTGCTGGTGCGAGCGGAGAAGAGCGGAAGAGATGATGATGATGGCCCCTGATGTTGATCGGATGATGTAGTTGTAGAAGACCTCCTGCCGCAGTCCGAGTCGCTGCCAAACGGCAGCGGATGGTCAGAAGAACTACTACTTGTCGCGCCAATAGAAGTACTACCACCTCCGGATGAAGTACTTCTAGACGACACCAGCAAGCACCGGTCATTGACGTCGACGAAGCAATGGCGAGAAACGCTCCACTGCGCGCGCACCGTCTCGGCGCGTTTTAGCGGTTCTAGTTGCGGGGTCGCCGGGTAGAGAAATTTCTCGGCGCGCAGCGCTCGCTGGACGGACGGCGCTTCGAAGTCTCCGGTCGACTCGCGACAAAACTTGAGTTATGCACTGCAAAAATGTCTGGGTCTGGAAGGATGCAAGGTCTGTCATGCACATTTTGCATGACTCCTGACGTCTGTGATGCATGCCCTAGCATCACAGGTTTTATGAGGGCTTCCTGATGCCTAGACCGCATGAGAAATGCCCTCTCGCAGTGGCAACAACTGGGCCTCGTATGCAGCTGTTCATGCAATACAGATTTTTGTAGTTTCCAAATGCAGCATCACAAGTTGCATTCTTCCAGACCCAGACATATTTGCAATGCATATGAGTTCCTCTTGTGTGGACGACGAGTCTGGCTCCACCAGCGTTGTGCGAGATATTCGGAGAACGTTTTTTCCCTGCCCGCTGGGCGTCGTCGAGAGATGATGACCATTGCTCACGACCGTAGTGCCTGTACTACCGTGGAGTGTTGTTGACGGCACTATGCGGAAAAACGCCAGAAACAGTTGCTCGGCCTCTTCGTACTGCTTCAGAAACTGCGCCAGCCCGGCGGGGGAAGCGTGTAGTACGGGTAATATTAAAAGCGCATGAACAACAAGAAGCGTCGGCAATGATTTTTTCACGAGTTTATTTCGATTTCCTTTTCCCCATGTAGAAGAAGTTCTTCTTGTGCGCCGAGGGCTAGACATTCTGCATTGGAATAAACTTCTACTTTGTGCCCACGTGGTCCTCTGTCCTCCAGTCACCAGCCCTTGCTGAAGATCTTCGTGGTCCTAACATGCTATATTCGTAATGACGGTCAAATTTCTTCTCGTCCTTGCGTAGGACGCAGGTTGCGCAGCTTTCACATTCATTTGAATGGTGTCGTCATTGGAATGCTGTTTTCTTTTCCCTTTTGGTTTTGCTCGAGTTCTCTGTCTTTTGTTCAGTCGCAGTTTGTTCAACTTTGGCAAAGGAAAGCTGTCCGTGTTGCAGTAAATGATTTGATACGACACGATTCTGTGGCTGCTGCACGACAGAAATATAGTACCTTCCCAAAGAGCACGATTTTAGTATTTTTTTGCGGCCACCTCCGTGTAAGTACTTACACAGAAATTTCTCTTGCCCTCCGCAAGGTGAACAACGAACCCGGCGCGTGGTACAACGAACCTAAAAGAAAGTCCAGGAGCACACAGACTTGCTGCAGTACTTCTTTTCCTATCTGTAGTTTCTGCCTCTAATGCTGTTACAACAGCCACGATGGATAATGGAAAAGCACAAACATTAGAGTTTGTCCAACAATAGTCGAGACGTTACCCAGGTAACGTAGGGGGTGGGGGGGTATGCATGCATGCTCTGTGGACGTTACTCAAGTCGGCGCCAAGATAGAACATGCGTCGGGTGGTCGCCCCAATCCCGTCACACATCTCGTCTTCACCATGTCGCCGACCGCCCTCGCCGCACAGCGGGCTGCCAACTGGATATTCATTCGGCCCGGCCTGGATCTGGGCCACACTTGCGTTAGTGTAGTCGCGTAAAACGTGGGCCGGGCTGCGCTCCTCGCTTGCAGAGGAGATTTCGCCAGTGGCCCAGCAAGCAGAGCCGCGCAGAGCTAGTTCGAAGCAAGGCGGGCCGCGCGCAAGGCGCTCCGAAAAAATTTGTTCCGGAACGAAAGCCCCAATAACAGAGGCAGCAACGCGCCACGCGAAGAAACTTCGCACCGCCCCACAGGCAAAGGGGGCAACATGTGCCGGGGCCGAGCCCTGTGGGCAGGGGATTTGATTTCGCGCGCCCGAGACGCGCAGAAAGTTAAAACTTGAAAACGCGGCAGATAGAGGAGGCAAGAACTGCGCGCAGGTGCGGCGCGAAGAAAATTTTTCCTACCCCCCCTCCAGGGAACGAAGGGGGCGCGCGCGAACAAATTTTTTTCCGATTGCCCCGCCCCGTCGCGGGCAGTGGCAAAAGCAGCCGCCACGAGGAGGGCGCCTGCGCTACTTCGCAGACAATGAATGACGCGGCCGCTCGAAGCGCGCGGACAAATTCCCAAGCCCCTTCTGGAGGTAGACAAAAAAGCTCTGCGCGCGCAGCGCGACAAGAAAACTCGCAACGCCCTGCAGGCAGGAGATAACGCTCCGCGGTCGCCACGCGCGCACAAAAACCCCAAACCCAAAGCCCGGCCGGCAGGAAAAATGACCGCGCGCGCGTTTCCCGCGAAGAGGAGAGAGGCAGCGCGCGCCGGCGCGGTTGGGCTCTCTATCGCCTGAGGCCCACCAGAAGGAGGCAGCGGCAACACACAACACAGCCAGCGCGCGCAGCGCGCGGAGAAAATTCTTCGTTCCTTCCACCGACCCTGCCGGCAGAGGCGACCAAGCAAAACAGTGCGCGCAGGCCAGGGGCAAAATCCGCCACACCCTTCAAGCACACCAGGCAACAGCTTTGATATTCGCTCGGTGCGTGGGTTCGAGTGAAAGAAATTCGCGAGGCCCTGGCCCCCGCCGGAGGTGCGTACGCGATCGATGGGCCAAGCAAACGCCTGGCTCTACCTAGCGCTTACGACTAGCCGGCAAACAGTAAACAAATGGCGGGGGCCCAAGGGCGCGCGCAGCGCGCGCGAAAAATTTTCTGTGATTCAGGGCGCGGACTTGAAGCACGCCCAAAGGGCGCGGACTTGAAGCACGCCCGCCCGGCGCGCGCGGCGCACGATGGAAGTTGTCTGCAATAAATATGCGCGGGGGGCGCACGCGGAAAGGAGTTCGGCTGCAATGCCCGCCGCGAATGGGGGCAGAGCAAGGAAGGGCGAGGGTGCGTGCAGCGCTTGGGAAATATTCGCGCGGAACTGGGTGGGGCGAGGGGGGGCTCGCCCTGCCTGCTGCGCCTCGCGGCGAAATTGATATGAGGGCGCGCGGCGCGGGCGCGCGCGGGGGCAAGTCAGGAAGCCCCCCTCTTGTGCTGAAAAATGGCAGCAGAGCCGTATCGCCCGCAGGGGGATTGAAAACGTGACGGCGCGCGCAGCGCGAAGTGAAAAACTCCGCAACCTCCGACGCGCGGCGCCACTTGAATAAACACCTGCGCTACCCGCCACGCAGCGGCAAGGCAGGGAAATACGAAAGCGCGCGCAGCGCGCCAAATTTTTTTTGTTGTCGCGCTTCGTGCGCGCGATACGAAAAGGAATTCGCAGCGCGTATAAATACTGGCCCGGCCCGAACAGAATGGCGCCACACAGGGCGCGCAGCGATTGTTTGTCAGCGTTTTACATTGGTGGGGCCGACCCGTATACCGCCTACCCGTGCTGCTACTCGACTATATAAATTCCCTCTTGGCGTGGGCCGAGTAACGGGGGGGTGGGTGGGCATGCATGCATAATTTCGTCGACGTTACCTGGGTAACGTCTCGGCTTTTGTTGGACAGACTCTTAAACTTTAATCGTCGCGGCCAATCATTTCTGTTTGTAGCAGTGCCATCTCAAAAGCACCAGATGCATATCGTCCCCGCAAGGAAATGCGGTCAATAAAAATTCGGTTTTTTTTTCGCGGATTTGTGTCCTGGATCAAAGTAAAAGTCCATCAACCAAAAGTTTGATAAACCTGCGTTTGACACCCACGACGAAGTCGGAAGCTGAAAACGTTTACAGTGGAGTAGTACAACAAGAATGCTCCAAAACAAGTTTCAGAAATTACGAGTTCAATTTGTATTCTCATAATTTTATCAAAGACCGACCATTGTCGGCAACAGAGTTCATCTTTTCAACGGGGAAAAAAAATTTGATCGTAGTATATGGTCCTGCTCCGTGATAATTTCATATGTAAGTACTTAAAGACTGAACCACAAGGACCGCAGGTATATTTTCTCTGTTGTACAAGGAGCGGGGATTTTTTTTAGGACTTCGAACGTGTTGTTTGAAAAAGAGTACATTACGGTGACTGCACAACGAAGAGCAACTCTCAGGATAGACATTGGAATTGCCCTTGACCATGATCCAGGCCCGATTATCAACATTTTTTTTTATCAAACTATTAATATATTTATATATGGAAGAAAACGGGGCTGGAGAGGTTCCGGTAGAGGTTGGGGAGAGGTTTCGTAGAGGTAAAATAGAGGTTGGGAGAGCTAAAGTAGAGGGTCGGCCAAAATGAGAGGGTCGGGGAGAGGTAAAACGAGAGGTAACGGAGAGGGTCGGGAGAGGGTGAGCCGTATAGACGCCCTTAAAGCGCGGCTATACGCGCGCAGAGGTAGGGTAGAGGTTGGGGAGAGGTCAAGTAGAGGGTAGGGGAAGAGGGTGTAGAGGGTCGGAGAGGGTGCGTAGTATAGGGCGACCCTCTAGTTAGGGCGGAAAAATCGGCAAATATCATCATTTTTGCAAGCGCACTTGTTTGGGGGGTAAAAATAGGTTTTTTGTTGGGGGCGCAACATCTTGGAAGCCGACACGCCTCGCGTGTCCCTTCATCTTTTCCACAGGAAACATGATAGCTGAGCTTTGGAGATGCCGCAACACAAAGACCAGAAGCACGCCACAGTGCCTTCGTTCTGTGCGTTGTCGCCCAGATGGCCGGACGCTGTGTCGTGGACCCGCTCTTCGAACAGTGGCCGGGCCGCCTCCCTGACCGGGGCTCGACGAGGCCCTTCGCCCGGAGAAGGAGGCCCGGCCAGGGGGGGTGGTCAGGGGGGTGCATTTTTGCCCCTCCCGGACACCCCTTCCGGGCACCCCCTTCAGGCAGCTTTGGGGTAGCCTATGCCGACCCCCTAATCCCCATTGGAAACTGCCGATTTTGCGTGCCCAAAAAAGGTAGCCCAGAGGCAGCCCAAGCCGACCCCCTTACCCCCCCCCTTCGGCGCCCCCCCGGAAGCACTCGACTGCCGGCGCGTCCGCCTTCTCCATATCCGGTCGGAGGGGGGGGATGAGAAGATATGTGAGCGCGTCCGGAATTGAATGCGGGACATGGGGCGCGGCATCCCGCGCCAGAGGGCCGCAGGCGGGTGGAGCTTCAAGAAAGTGCGGCGGTTTTATTGGAAAAAGGGGAGGGCCGGATGGCGGACCGTAACACCGAAGTGCGGCGCCAACATCTAAATGGCCAACAGGAAAAAAAGCAGTAGCTACACCCCCAACAGCCAGAATTTTTTTACCCCCCCAAAAAGCGCGCTTGCAAAAATGATGATATTTGCCGATTTTTCCGCCCTAATCTAGGCGACCCTCTACCCCGACCCTCTCCGGGAACCTTTATTTTACCTCTCGGCGGACCCTCTCGGGACCTCTCCGACCCTCTCCAGGACCCTCTTCGGGACCCTCTCCTGGACCCTCTCTGAACCTCTCCCGGACCCTCTCCCCGACCCTCTCCGGGACCCTCTCCCGGACCCTCTCGCAGACCACCTCCAGGAGCACAGCCTGCCCACTTGTCTGCGCGCGGCGCCCCCTAAAGAAGCTCGCTAGGGCGCAGCGACCGGCTGGCACTGTTTTCGCTTTCAGATCAGAGCGGCCGTTCAAAGTGCGTGCGCCGCTCTGCGTCCCCCAGAGGGGGCGCGGCGCCCCGCCTTAACCTGGTCGGCCACCTAGGGTGGCCACAACTTCTTTCCCACAACGCCCGCGCGCGCTGGCAGCAGGTGCGTCGCCCTTGTGGCGTCTTGAACGTTGGCGCCCGGAAATAGTTTCCTGCGCGCATTTTCCCACGGCGCGCAGCTACTAAGGCCGGGCATGGTGCCCGCCCATGACGAAACATGGGCCGGGCTTTTTTTTTTTGGTTGTGTAGCGGCGCGCAGCGATTCAATGCTGGCGCCACCTTTCCCACCGGAACACCTCCACCGAACAGCCCACTCCCCGGCGGCCTTCGCCGGGGGGTAGCTGGTTACTTTATCATAAGTAAAAACCATATCAAAACATAAGCAGTAGGGATAACCTGTTTGATATCAGTTCTTTAAGTTTGCAAAGCACAGAAAGTTGTTCTTTTTGTTCGCATAAGCTGGTCCGGATTCAGTTCCAGATTCAGCTCAATAAAAGACACAAAATATTTTGATTTTTTAATTATACTATACTCACATACTAGGTCGATTGCTCTTGTTGACACCTCCTCTTGGATCTCTGTGTAGTATTGTCAACTATGGTATCCTTGACGCCGCAGCAGCAGTACCAGTTGTTGGTGAAACGGAAAGATATCTTCAACGAAGATTTTGCTTGTAATGCCTTTGCCTTGCTGCGAAAGCAAAATTGCTTTGAAGTTTCCCCTGTGAAAAATTGGGATTGCTGTCTATACTTGTTAGCAGGATGCAAGATTATATGGCGCAGCCCTAAATCTTCACTACCAGCACCTTCTGCTACAAAGGGAATAATATTCCCTACTCCCGTTGTAGCAGAAGCACGTCCCACCTTCCCCTCCTGCCAGCACCACAACGAACGAACACTCTCTCCACGAGGATGCTGACACCTGTCGTTCTTGCGAAGAAGTTTTGATACAGCACTTTTACGAGAGCACCATGGGAGGTCGTCGTTCAATTATCGCATGGGTCCTCGTCGTCGTTCAATGATCGCCGTAGTGCAGGTGATCGTCCGAGCCGTGCGCCTCGAAGTATGGAGCTCTCAAATGTAGTTACATTCTCAACTGTTACATGATTTGTCATGCAAAATTGCCATCAGCCTCCACTTGATCAAGGTGCTCAGCATGACAAAGTTTCGAAGGGCTAAACAGCATGATACTCCGTCCCAAATTTGTAATGCAAAACGCGCAATCCTCCCGCTTTCACTTTTGCTGTTCTTGCATCACAGATTCGTGTAACAGTTGAGAATGTAACGTTTGAGAGCGCCATACCAAGACCATGGGTTGCACGTCGCGGGAGGTCATGTTTCCGTGTCGGTCCATGCAGGACGGGAAGTGGTGCGATTGCTCCGCGGACCGGGGGCTGTCCAATTTCGGCGTGTACTCGTAGCCTTGGAAGGTAGTGCCGTTGTCCTCGGAGTCCGAGTCGCTGTTGTTCGGGTCCATGCGGACAAACTCCTCGTCAAAAAACCTGATAATTTGGATACTCACGATCTTTATTCGCATTCGGCGGAATGAAAGGAAGTGAGCTTTCAAATCATGTTCGTAAGCCATGATAACAATAACTCAGTGGCGACATTATACCGCATGTCCAGAGCGTGCTCGAGCTGGATCTGCGGAGCAAACGGCGGCATGATCCTCCTCTGCAAAACCGCTCGCCAGTCCATACCGTCAAAAAACATGTGCTCCATAACCTCAAAGTTGGTTCAGAGTGCTGGAAATAAAAACCCTTCGACATCAAGTCGCACATCTCTCATCTGACGATGCATGCGGAGCGACGAGTTGTATGAAATACAAACAATAGTAGAACAGCAACAGCAAATGCAAACTACTATATTTCTTCGCATGAGTCAAAGCACTAAAAATTCTACGATTTTAGGATTCAGGCACCTCCATTCCGTCCCGTTGGCTGGCTCCCAGGCGCCGGGAGGTATCTCGGTTTAACAACTTGCGCAGAATATCCTGGGCCATCGGGCTAATGTAGTCGGGCACGATCAATGGCGCCGTGCGGATGTTCTCGAACAGCGCTTTGCGATCTTTGCTGTAGAACGGCGGGAGCCCGGTGAGCATTTCGTACATCAAGGCGCCAAGAGAGTACCTTGTTTTTTGAGGAAGCACAATATAGTTGCAGATGTAGTCATGGAAATTTCTATCGCGTAAGTAAAACCACGATCGACATATCCGGACGTGTAGATGTTGAAGTAGAGAAGTACTTCAAACGAGTATCATGCCTACTTCCAACAAGCCGATGCTTCCAGTACTAGTATAGACTCACCAGTCCACCGCCTTGCCGTGGCCGAGCTTGTTCAAAATTTCTGGGGCCAGGTACTCCGGTGTGCCGCACATCGATTTCGCCGAGTAGTTGTCCGGCACGCCCTCCTTCGAAAGACCAAAATCCGTGAGTTTCACGTGGCCCTCCCCGTCCAGCAGAACGTTCTCCGGCTTCAAATCGCGGTAGATGATGTTTAAAGAGTGCAAGTAGTGCAGCGCCAACAGAATCTCACCACTGTAGAACTTGCACTTCTCCTGTCCGAACTTCTTGGCGCGGGTCAGGTGGTAAAACAATTCGCCACCTGGAAGTGTAGTTGTTGTGTGCATTTCTATATTCGGGATCGGGTAGTAGTAGTACTCATTGCGGGCGGACATGCTCAAAACGTCGAGGGGATAATAAAGTCCTAAATCCTAAAACCCTACTCTTAATGCCGTGAAGGGCAGAAATGTTCGGAAGGGCAAGAATATGAGAGCGACTCAGCGACTCAAACCCAAGCGATTCAAAATTTTTTTTTCAACTAAAACGCATTCCATCAACTGCCCCCAAAACGTCCCCGGATTCAGCGTCGCGCAGAGCAGTTTCAGGTAAGTGGCGGAGATGTCGGCCCGGCTCATGGAAGTAAAATATGTAGGCCGACGTCAACTTGAGCTATCTACATTGGCTGTTCTTGGAGATCATTTTTTTCCTCCAAATACAGATACACAGCTACCTTCTTTGAAATGAGTCTTCGCCATGTGTCTGGAAAGGTAAGGCGGCAGCAGAAATCACTTCCGTATTTGGCGCGCTTCCGGCTCTTAAACAAAAAGGGGGCCACCTGCGTGGTGTGGTTTTTGCTGCTTTTTGTAATCACCCAAACGACGCGCAAAAGACTACGAAAGAGGCCAGCGTGGCCGGTCTCAACTTGAGGAAGCAGCTACTTGCCATTTTATACAGGCTTGAAAGCAGGGGATGAAGTCAGCGCGTGAAGCCATGAAATGATCGGAAAAACAAGACGCAACAGCGCCGCCAAGTTGTGCACCGGGAAAAACGCGCGTCAGCCATGTGAAGGGCAGCCGACAGGTCAAGCGCAGCGCCCGAGCTACAGCAGGCGTTGATCTCTATTCAAGTCAGTGGGGCAGCATTCGCCGGCGCGAAGCACCGGCCCCCGCAGAAGCGGGCATGGCCTCACGAAGCGACTGCAATCCGGCGTTTGAAGTTGGTTCGAAAAATCCAATCCGCCGTTTGAAGTTGGTCCGAAAAATCCAATCCGCCGTTTGAAGTTGGTCCGAGAAATCCAATCCGGCGTTTGAAGTTGGCCGGACAAACCTAAGTCCGCGACCTCAACCAAATTCAGTCCAAAAAAGTCAGGGCCTGGATTCTAAGATGGCGGACTTTTTTGAACTGTTTTCGGATTGATCTGGATTGCAGCCGGATGGCCTGTCGGACTGAATTGGGTTGCCTGCCTTCGCAATGCTGGTCGTCGGCTGCTAGAAAGAGCAACCGCCGCCACCTGCTCTCGCTCGGCGCTCCAATGGCAGCCACCAAGCGCGTCGGCTCTTGCGCCTTTGCAGGGGCGGAGGGTCGCAGGATTAGGCTTCTCCGACTGCGCTTTCCGCCTGCAGCAGCAGCAATAAGACCAAGCGCAGAAGCCAGGGAGGGCTGGCTTGGACGTTCGCAAGGCACTACTTGCCGCCCCTCCCTCGGTGGTCCGCCTGACGCCAAAAGCTGGCGCGCATTTATATGGCGCAGGAGAAAGGGCTCTGCTGTGCCTTGATTGTGCTGTCGCTCACTAGCCCACCCTGGACGGAGCGGCGCTCGCCCTCATGGCTAAGCATCGCGAAAATGAACCGCGTTAACAATGCGGCCGCCATCATTTTTCTGCTTCCTTGTAGCTAGCCTCGCCCTATTTGGCGCCAGGGCGCGTCTATACATGGCCCAAGTCGTCAGCGCACAACTACGGCGGGCCACATGCCAAGCTGGAGACTGATTCGCAACGCGCGCGCGGGTTTTCGTCTTTCCTTTTATCGAAGAAGAGCATCGCGCGCCCTCCCAAGAAACAGGCATTTGTATGGCAAGAGTGCGTCCCTCCCCTGTTAAACCAAATGAAGCTAAAAGCACTGCTCTGCCAGCTCACGACCCACTTCTCCCCAGAAGAAAGGGGGCGAGTTCTTCATTTTTCAAAATGTTTGAAATCAGTTTGAAGTTGTTTTGAATTCATTTTTAGACCGGGCTCGTTTGCGTTAAAAAACCCTACTCTTAATGCCGTGAAGGACAGAAATGTTCGGAAGGGCAAGAAATCGTGCCTGAAGGGGCTGGGCGAAGCAGGCCGGGCCTAGCTTCCGTAGCGGGGAACGGCCCACTCCGCCACCACCTGGCCCCCAGGGCAAGACCCCCCAGAACCCCACCTCCGGTGGTTGAATGGGGGGAACAGCGCCAGCCCCAGCCCCAGCCCCACTTGCCCCCAAGGGAAGACAGGCAACCGACCGAATCCAACCCGCAGAAAAAAGAAAGTACCCGAAAAAGAAAAGCCTTCCCACAGAAGGAGGCCACTCTACTCGCGCACTAGCGCGCGCCCTGTAAGCAATCTCCGACAACCCGTGCGAAAGGTCCTACGCCCTCCCCGTTGACCAAGTGATATAGACAACCTCCCACATCATGGCGAGTTCCGGCACAGCCGCGCGCCAGCCACAATAAAAACCTCTGAGGATCCGCCAAGCAATAGACAACTACATGCTGTGGTTCCCAAGACCAAAATCCTGAACAATTTTTTGCGTTGAAAGCGCCGGCCCGGTGCCCCCGCGCAGCGAAACTCAACGTGTAAAACAGACACAGCCGGGCAACAAAACACAGTTGTAGATACAGCGAAGTGGTAAGTCAGCCCAACCGCCAAAAGCCAGAATATTACTCCACAAAGCTCCCGTAGGTGGCAGAAACTCCAGTCCCCTCTAGGGAAACCCGGCCTGGGCGGAGAATGACAAATGAAGGAGAGGCGAAACCGGCGCCAAGCCGCGGGCCGGGGTTGCGGCAAAGGACAAGGGAAAAAGCAAAAACAGGAGCAAACCGAGAGAGACGTGGCAGGCGCTACCGGCACGAGCAAGACACACGGCGTCCTTGTGAGGCGGACGGAGCAAGTATCTACTTCTTTACCTAAACCCAAAGCCCGGCGGGCGGTGGCACGACAAAGCCCCAGCATGAATGTAGAACCTCAGAGGAGATGGCGTAGACTCAAGAGGAGCACGGTAAAGCACGGGAGCGCGTCCCGTCCCGAAGAGCAGAACAAAACCGGACTCCCGAAGACACCGGAAAAACTGACAGCGATTGACCAAGGCGGCACAGAGGGCGACGTCACGCGCGACGCAAACTATCCCCCGCTGGGAGAGGCCCTCACTGGCATTGCCCTCAAAAATGGCCCGACACTACCGCAAACTTCCCCCCGCTGGGGGAGGCCCTCACTGGCCCTGTGCTAGGAAAAGAAATGAATCCTTCACAATCGTAGCGAAATCCCAAAACGCAAACGGCAGACGCCGTCTGCGTTGGCTCCTTCCAACGACCCCACTCAAAGGGGCGGAAGACCAACAACCACAGGCATTAGCTTCTAGGGATCTGCCAGCCCATATACAAACAGTCACCGGGGAATACTCCCTCCAGTCACTCCTCGAAAATGATCTACCGGGGTAGATATGTCATTCTTAATGCCGTGAAGGGCAGAAATGTTCGGAAGGGCAAGAGATCGTGCGCGAAGAAACAGCGAGGGCCACATGCTGGACAAGTATCCCACGAAAAAAGTGTTACAGTTACACATTTGTAGTCAATTCAGCAACACAAATTTCTCTGCATGAGAGAGAAAACTTGTAATGCAGAAATCCTACGGGAAAACAGAAACACCTATTAAACGAGGCCGCTATGCATATCCGGCATGACAGAGCTTGTCTGTCTTGCTTGGCCTGCAACACAATGTGTAACTGTAACACTTTTTTTTTGCGATAACAAGCTCACGACGTACAATAGCTTCACTGAGTATATCAACAAGTGCGATGTCACATTCACATCACATGTAAATCCAAAATACCGCAACAGTATTCCATCACGGTGTAGAGCTTCCGCTTGGTCTGGAACGCGTGGTGCAACTTGATGATAAAGGGGTGGGAAATCAACTCCAGCACGTTGCGCTCGGTGCGCGTGTGCTCGACCTGGCGGCGCTGGATCACGTTGTTTTTGGACAAAACCTTCACCGCGTACAGCTTGCTGACGCTATTACTTCCCCCTCCATGTTGCTGCTGCGCTCCACCTGTGCCACTCGTCCACTGGTCCCGCTTCGACCCGCTCTTTCCCGGCTATGACAGTGCACAACTCCCCCTCCCCCTCATATGTCATGCAAAAACCCAAATCCAGTTGCTACCTTGTGGCACCGCGTGCATGACAAATTCCGGAAATAATGCAAACAGTACTACACTCGGCGCATGAACTTGTCATGCACAGGGGCCACCTGTACTGGTGTTTGTAATGCTGCTGATGCAACAACAATACAAATGAAGGGGAGGGGGAGTTGTGCACTCTCATACCGGCCCCAGCTGCAGACTGTCCGGGTTTTTCACCTGGCACACGATATGGGAGTGTCAGGATTGAAATCGTCAAAGTTGAAATAGTTTGTCATGCATAAAAGCGATACCAGTTGGAAGCCCACTTTCCAAGCGGCGCATGACAAATCTCGGCACCCTCTAAATCCAGTTTGTCATGCTGTTTAGGGACAGAAGGCGTCTTTTGTCATGCTACTTTAGCAGCTCTACCGCAGACCCCAAACAGGGTTACAGTCGGCCTCACTTGCCATCCCTGCAAGAGAGGCACTTCATGCCTTGCAATTTATGCATGAGAAATTATCTCAGCTTTGTCGATTTCAAACCTGACACTTCCATACACGAACACCTTGCCGTAGCTCCCACGCCCGATGACGCCGTGGTAAATCAGGTCCCGGTATGAATTGCAAACATGTCCGAGACTTGTCATGCAGATTTTCCATGATCCAGAACGCCTGTAATGCATGACGTAGCATCACAGATCTTTAAAAAGCTTCCTGATGCCTATTCCGCATCACAATAAATGCCCTCGCCGCGTAGCACAAACTGGACTCCTCTCGCTGCCCATGCAATGGAGATTTTTTTAGAGTCCAAAGTCAGCATCACAAGTTCCAACTTTCGTCCAGACCCAGACGTATTTGCATTTGATACCCGGGGCTTCAGCACCCGGTGGAACTTCCCCGGTTTCTGATTCTGCTGAAACTGCTGTTGTATTCTGTGCAAAAGCGTCGTCACACGAGTGTGTAACTTGCAATCTTGCATGACAGATCTGCATGATTTTCATCGTGTACTACAACAATCTAGATCATGACAGGTTCCATTCTTCTTCCGAAAAAGTAGATTTAGATTTTCATTCTCGTTAACACGAAAAGTTAAGTTGATGGTGATTCACGAGAAGCTATGAGGATCGTAAATTCGGATTGAACTAAGAGGGTCTCGAAACAAATGACGCCATGCCCAGGCACGAACAGACAGAAAGAAAGAAACGTGACGACGCCTTTGATGCAATTTTGCATATGCTGAACCATACTCAGTGTGTTGTACAACGACCCTGAGCCGTTTTGCTGTTGCTCCCTCTGCATTGCCTCATTCTCCAGCCGCTGCAGGCTGTTTGCCGACAGAAAGGAAGAGCCGTTTTGGAGGTTTTGCTGGTTTGATGATGTTGTTCCGCCGAGGTTCATATTAGTATTCGATGTCCCGTGCTGGAGGTTGCTACTGTACTGATGTTGATGCTGTTGTTCCTGCATCATACTAGTGTTGCTGGTGTTTCCAGTCGTCGAAGAAGAGTAGTTGCTGGTCATGATTCCATTCGCATTTGGTGCTGCACTTTGCATCTGGTGTTGATGGTGCAGCTGCATTCCCGTAGTAGTTCCCCCGCCGCCGGTCCCCATGTGATTTGTACCCAGATGCATAGGCTGCTGGTGCTGCCCCAGCGGGGCGCTCATGGTCTTGGACATGTTATGCGTCGCGGTTGTAGAAGTACCAGCCCCCGCGACCCCGGTAGTACTTCCTGCGGAGTACAAGTGTCCACCTCCGTGCTGGACAAAAGGTGGGCTATGGGGGTGTCAGGATCGAAATCGACAAAATCGAAAAATTTGTAATGCGTAAAATGTAGAGCACGGATGGCCTGTGTTGGGGAGCATGCAAATGCGACCGATGGCGAGCCTGTTTAGGGGAAGCCGATGAGCTGCCAGAGTAGCACGACAGGAGCAGTCTTCTTTGCCCAAACAGCCTGACAGACTGGATTTTGGTGCGTCCGCAATTTGTCATGCACCACTTGGAAACTGAGGCTCCAACTGGCATCGATTTTGTGCATCACAAATTTTTTCGATCTTGTCAATTTCGATTCTGACACTTTCATACGGGCCGCCTGAAGAATATTGATGGTGGCCGTCGTGGTTGTTGTACATAGCGGACGACCGGTGACTATTCATGTTGTTGCCCGCTGGTTGATGTATCGTGTGGTTGTAAGTTGTATTCGAACTGTTGCTGTTGTTGTACATCAACCGCGCTTGCTGGTGTTGTACTTGTTGCTGCTGCTGCCCGCCTACCGCTGGACGACCACTCTGCCCCCGCACATTACCACTCGTTGTCGTATTTGATGTTGCATCGAATTGGTGGCTTGACTCTTGCTGTTTCGTATCAAATGCAAAAATGTCTGGGTCTGGAAGATTCTGAGACTTGTCATGCACGTTTTGCATGAGCCATGAGGTCTGGAATGCAAGACCTAGCATGACAGGCTCTGTGAGATCCGTATCATGCCTATGCTGCATGAGAAACTTCCTCTCAACTTGGCCAAAAGTGGACAGCTTTTGGCATTCATGCAACACAGATTTTTGCACGATCCAGAATTAGCATTACAAGTTGCAACCTTTCAGACCCAGACATTTTCGCAATGCATATTTCGGCGTGCCATTGTTCATCACGGGGGTGTTGCAGTTGGCGTGCAATTATGGATTGCAAATATGTCTGGGTCTGGAAGGATGCGAACTTGTCATGCACATTTTGCATGACCCGTGACGTCTGTGATGCTGGTGCTAGCATCACTGATTTTTTGAGAGCTTCTTGATGCTATATTGCGCATGAGAAATAATGCCTTCTCCGCGTGCCAAGAACTGGACTCCTTCTGCTGCTCATGCAACACACATATTTTCAGAATCCGCAGACAGCATTACAAGTTCCACTCTTTCAGACCCAGACATTTTTGCAGTTGGTAGCAATTGCCGCACCAGAGGGGACGAAGAAGCGTTCGTGTGGTTGGGCCCGACGAAGTTCGGCGGCATTGCGTGCTGCTGCTGCGCAGAGGTGATACCCATCTCCACTAGGTTGGCATAGGTAACCACCTGGCCTTGTTGGCCAGTCGCAGACGTTGCACCAGTGGAAGAAGAACCGTTGTTGTTATCCACAGAAAAAAACCCATCCACATCCATTTTTTGCATGACAGCCTCGTGATTTGATACGTGTTTTCCATGACAAATTGGTTGTGGACGGGTTTTTTTCTGTGGATAGTTGTTCATAGAAGTACTCATCTGTTGCTGCAGTTGATTGTGCTGATGTCCTCCATGTCCCTGCATGTGATGCTGCCCCGCACTCCCACCCCCGCCGCCCTGAGCGGCCACCATCGGTGCTGCTGTAGTTGCTGTGGTAATAGAAGAACTAACGTGCTGCTGTGTTGACAGCATGTGCTGCGTGTAGCCGGACAGTTGCGGACTCGGCGTGGAGCTTATCCCCCAGAAAAAAACAGGCAGGCGCAGGTCATATTTGTAAATAATAAGACAAAAAAATCTGTGTTGCATGTCCTAAACAGCCCGCTATGGGGTCGCCCATGACAGATTTTTCTGCTATTTCACTTTTGCATTACAGGCGTGCCCTGCCTGCTTTTTTCTCTGGGATAGAGCTGTACAGCTGGTCAGAGAGCAGAAGTTGTTGCTGCTGCTGCTGCAGGGGACTGGAGTGCGTGCTGTTCAGGTGGTCGGCTTGGTGTTGATTACCGCCGATCAGGTTGTAGTTGTAGCGCGGAGTCATCATATTCATCTGTGTTTGGTGTGCACCACCACCAGTCGCACCATTTGACATTCCCATCGCAGCTCCATGCTGTTGCTGCTGTGTGCGCGCACTCGTGTTCGAAGTGGTATTTGCACTTTGCTGCAGCAACTGCCTCGGGGGAGCTCCTGCATTTGATGTTGACGCAACGGCCGCTCCAGAAGTTGTGATGGACGTCAACATGTTGGGTCCTTCACCTCCAGATGTACCACCTCCCCCACCTCCGTTGCTTAAACTTAAACCGGGCGGCATTCTGTGGTGGTCTTGCGCGGCCGTTGCACTGCTGCTCCCCGGGGGGTTGTGGACAGTGGTGGAAATACGGTTATCGGCATGTTGCATTTGCTGGTGTTGACTAAGACTGTGGCTGTTGCCCGTTAAGGACCCGGATCCGCTGGTGTGCTGCGCCAGATGATGGTTATGGTTAAAACCCCCGCCTTGAAAATGGTGGTGGTGATCCCCCGCCGACACAACCGACCGGTGCGAGTTGTAGTTCATGTGGCGGCTACTAGTAGTACCAGCTGGACAGTTATTTTCGTTGTGTCGTGTGAACTTTACGCATTAAGTAACCAAGACGGAGTTAACATCAACTTCAAAAAATAGGAAATTCTGCTGCACTTCTACGCGACATCACTCAACAAACAGCAGCACTTTAGTACCTCGTGATAATATTGTACCTTTGTGCCCGGATATGCAAGAAAAAAACTGTGTAAGTGTAACTTTCTTGGAGGAACAGCATCATAAGTTTGCTCTGCATGACGGAGAAAACCTGTGATGCGTAGCTAGTAGCTGAAAACACGTACGAAAGGAGCCTCTGACGCATGTCCAGCATGCCAGTTGTAAGTGTCTTGCATCGTCTGCAACACAAAGTTACACTTACACAGTTTTTTTCTTGGATACCGGAGGTGGTGGAGCCATTCGCGCTACTTCCCGGAGACGCTACCGCCTGCCGAGCCGGCGTCGGCAGGGTACCGAAGTTATTCATACCGTTATTGTTATTCTCCTGACCACTTCTATGCTTGTCCAACGGGGTGCCATGATTTCCACGAACCACTCCAGCGGTAGAGGGTGCAGTAGTGCTTTTGTGTCCTGTCGTGTAGGAGCCTCGATCCATGATAGGGGAAGCTCCAGTCGCCTTGTTGAGTAAAGGCGTCGCAGTCCGACTGTTGTTCCTGCTACTCGAGGGCGCTGCTCCCAGCAACTGCGTACCAGCGGCGACCAGGACCGGTGACTGGGCCCGGCTGGTGTTTATCGAATGCAAATGATGTGTCTGGCTGTGGAAAAATGGAATTTGTGTTGCATGCCTAGCTATTCATCATGAAAAATCTGTGTTACATAGCCGGCAAAGGCGTTACTTAATTATTTTTGTCATGCAGAGACGCAGCTTGTCCTTGTCAGGCGTGCTACGCATCGGACGGCGTCAAACAAACTTGTCATGCTTGGCTGGACCTGAAAGCACTAGAGTTATCCATACTTTAGCATCACAAGTACGTTTCCAGACCCAGACATATTTGCACTGGGTATTGTTCGCGCTAGTACAATTACTCGAAAGCTGCACCACGTTGGCAGAGCAGGGTATGAGAGTGTACAACTCGTCCGACTCCCCCTAATTTGTAATGCAAAATAGCAAGGGCTGCACTGCCTGCATGCCAAATTTTGGAACAACCTCGCACAGTAGAATAATCCGTATACAAAAAATTTGTCATGCGGAAGCGACATATCTGCCGTTGCTTGTGTTGCTGTAGTTCATGCCATACAAATGAAGGGGAGGGTTGTCCACCACTCGGATACAGGGGATGCTTGAACTACTCAAAGGCACAACCAGGGGCCGCAACTTCCGTTGCTCAAGTAACGGACTTCTTGTTTGCCGGGGGCTGCTAAATTGAAAAGCTGTAGTTGTACTGATTATGTTCGTCGGTTGAAAAGGTTGAAACGAATTTATATTCTGCTGGGGTTCTTGTTGTTTCTTGGTATTAAAAACAGCTGGCGCAACGGAAGTTGTAGCGGTAGAATAATTTCTTGCACTGCTAATAGTGGTTGTTGCGCAGTGGTCTGGAAGTAGTTGTAGATCTTTTTGTTCTATCGTCTGCGGCCCCGCAAGTTCTTGTGTCTCTTGTGAAGAAGACTCCGTAGTTGCGGGGGACGAGGTGTTTGACTTGACAAGATTTTTGGTCTTGTTAGCACTGGTATTATTTGCTGCTCTATTCCTTCCTAACAAAACTGGAGAGCAGTGCGCGGAGGAGGAAACAAATGTTCTTGCACAACTACCGCGCGGGCTTTGCCGCGAGGAGGATAGAGTAGTCCTAGTCGTCGTAGTCTTCAATGGAGTCGTTACAGTGCTGACCCTCGGTCCTGCTGCGTGAAAATTCTGTTGAATCTTGCCACTACCGGTCGACGTCGGTCGGCCTGCGTGTGTGTACGTACAAGTAGGGATAAGGATACAAGAAATTGATTCACTGAAATGGTAGCATTGATGCTCCTGTAGTTCACTCAGTTCTTACTAGTACGACATTTTTTTGAGAGCTGCTCCTTGTCTTGAGAATAAGATGTTGAAAGGACACTCTAAATTAATATAACAACAGGTATATATTACTGCTCGAGAAATTTCGCGCGACTAACACCGGAGAGCCCGTGCGAATAAACGTAGGTGAACCACTTTGATGCAGACTACTGTTTTTAGCTGCACCAGTAGACGAGCTGCAACTCGATGAAGAAAGCGTGGTAGAAGTGACGACGCCCGAAATGGTGTGCTGTGCTGCTGTTGCTGCAGCCTTAGACGACGTCGCTGTCGTGCGGCGCGCGGACAGCGACGATCGCACACTTGAAGGACACAAGCCTCGCGCGGAGGCTGGCGGCTGTCGCGGGGAAGTTGTTTTCACGAGGACTGCTCTTTTGGTCGCTTTACCGGTTCTTGAAGACGTCGGGGAGCTTGATGTTCCACCAAAAGCTGCTGCTTTATTCGATGCTGCTATGCATTGTCCTGACGAAGTTGTTACCAGTTGTTCCGGACCACGCCGGATGTCGACCGGACTGCTGATGTTTCTATTAGTTGTATTTGTATTCGACGAAGTCGCTGTGGTCTTGGGTAGTAGTCCGCCTGATGTAGTAGTTTTTACTCCACCTCCACGCGCGGAGAACAATAGCCCTACTCTAGGCGGTATGAGAGTGCACAACTCCCCCTGCCCCTCATTTGTCATGCAAAATGCCTAGTCTACCTCTACGCCATGGCTCTTGGCACTGTTTGCATGACAAGTTTTGGCAGCCCAAATAGCACTATAATCCTGTCCAAATTTGTCATGCAAATCCTGTTTTCTTGCTGACACTTGTATTGCTGTTCATGCAATAGAAATGGGGGGGAGGGGGAGTTGTGCACTTTCATAGGCGGGGGTGGACTGCGATTGATTGCGTGCTGAGATGAAGACGATTTATAATTTGCTGTTGTAGGTCTAGATGCTCCTGTAGAAACAGCACGGGAGTTGCTAGTGGTCATGCTAGAATTGGAAACAAAGTTTATCTTCGATTCGACGTTCTTTATTCGATTTCAACTGATCACTTTTGTATATGTCTGTCCAGCTCTTCGACGTTTCGCCCCTGATTCTCTGGGTTCTTTCCGCGACTTGCACTTCTTTCTTTGTTCCCTTCGGTCTGTTGTTCCCTTCGGTCTGTTATTCCTTTTGTTCTCGCCAGGTGCTGTGGTTTTTGATGTCTCAGTGCGGCTAGTAATACTCGTCGTTTAATAATATTCTGCTGTTCTCCTCGTCAAAAGTGTAGCCGATAAAAAATACCGCTGCATTGCAATGTGCAATTTGTTCAACTGCGCTCTGCCGTAAACAAAAGTAGAACTTCGTGATGTTGAGTCACAACTTCGAAGCTGCCAAGTGGGGATGTTCTTACTGGGTGTGAGTCGTGATGTTGATCCATGGCAAGTCACACAGCGACCCTTCTTACAATTGCCGTGCCTTTTATTTGATACGTCGAATCGGAGGCCCAGGCCCTCGTTCTTTTGACGCTCTTGCTTCTAGGCTGCCAGGTTAGTAGTTTCGATGCGCAGACGATGTTGAAAGGCCCGCTAGCATTGCCTGTACGAAGGAGGACATCGCAAGAAAAAACTGTTTCAGGATGCATAGAATGGAGCACAGAACTCTTTGTATTGCTACACCGACAAGACATTTAACGATATAAGCGTGTTTTCCCTCTGGGAAATGCGCGCATGGCAAATCTTCTGCGCCATGTGTAGCAAACTTGTGACGCAGATCTTGCAATATCATCACAATGAAACCGTTTTTTCGTGGGATAGAGGACGGCGAACTTCTTCGACGTTTCTTCTTTATTCAGAAGAGTTGTAAAGCTCGGCAAGAGAAGGGCTGTACAACTAGTACAAACTCGGGATCATGAAAGAGCCTTTGGTGGATTGAGAATCTAAAAAAATCTAAAAAATCTTCTAGTTGCATCATCATCATCATTTAACTTCAGGTCCGGTGGTATTTTTTGGTCATAACAAAACTCACAGCTCTTTACACTATCTAGATTTAAACGTCAATCCCGTTGTTCCCCTACTAGATGGTTTGTGATTTTTGGATATCAGAGCAGCATCACCAGTAGGCTTGAAATCCAGAATCACACAGCACAATGCCGAATAGCAGGCGGGAAAACTACAAAAGTGAGAGCAAAACCAAAGAAAAAGCGTTGAGGTTCCTCCGAAAAGAAATATATTTTGGTTTGTCGCTCTTCTGAAAAGGGCACATCCGCAAATTGGAACTCCAACAATGAAAAAAGGAGTAGACACGGTTTGATGTAGCAGATCGGCAATGAACATAAGATGAGGGAAAGCTAATCATACTTGATGGCCGCGGGTGCTTTTCCAAAACGCTATGCCTTGCTCGTAGAAGCGAACATGTGCTGCGAAGCCGTGGGTCAGTGACTAAAAGATGAAATTCGCAGCTGATCAGCGTTTCATGAGTGCTGTCTTCGCGAAACATGTACTTAAAAAGAAAATGTCTTGCTTGCCTTGACAACCACGTCACAAAAGAAAGAAGATCCGTGGCGTGTGCGCCGGCGCACCACTGGCAACTCCGGTAAAAACTACGGAACAACGGGATCGTCTTCGTGTCCCAGTTGTACTGCTACTACCTATGATGTTGCCAGCAATACATGATACACAATGCTCCATCAGAGATGAAAATTACGGCTCCCATTGTCGTGCTAAGGTGTCCTCAAAAAGCCTTGTAGCAGCTCGCGGACTCGGTCGTCTGAATGATCCGAACGCGGTTATTTCTATCCGCCGCGCGCGCGCTTTTCTATTGCAGGTTTATTTCTGGCGTTCATTATTGACTTTTGAACAGCTCCAACTTCTCCAGAAAGTTTTTCATTCAACGTCCTCCGTTGGAAGTAGTTTGGAAGTGACCACTAGAAGTGCAAAGCATAGAACTGAACAAGTAGTGCCAACACGAGAACGTCAAACTTTTATCTGGAACACGCATGACTCTCCCGCCGTTCACGCCACGAAATAAGGAAGGGGCCTGCCCGCTCGACTTTGCGAAAGCGGTCCTCTGATTGTTCTTGATTTTCACTTTTCGTCCGATCGGTTTTTCTTTTTCTCATTTTTGCAACAAAACAAAGCAGCTTGTCACCTTGGCCCAAGAAAGGCCACGTCTTTGAACCACACTTTTTGAACCATTGGAAGACATTCTACAGAAACAACCTTCGTGGTCGACACCTCTTCGACCATCCGTGGAAAAATCTAGGATTTGACGTGTTGTTGCTTTTGATCTCAACAATGTTGTGACATCATACAGGAGCGCAAGGTGGCGGTTTAGTATCTTGACAAAAATTTATTATGATTTTCTAAATAATATCCACTCCTTCTCCGCCACTCCGGCCACTGTGGCGAATGGCCTGTATGTTTCTCGTTTGCCTCAGTGCATCCCCCGGCGAGCGTTGTTGTTGGATTGCCCGCCCTTCTCGGAGAGCCGGAGAAGAAGAAGAAGCTGTTGCTGCGTTCCTTCTATCAGGAAGATGCGCTCCTGTGACATCGCCCGCATTTTCTCCTTCCTCCCCCTCCAACCCAGCCACTAAATCGGCGTTGTCTTCCAGATCCAGCTCTTCTCCAGCATCCAAAGCCGCTTTCCGAGAGATGGCAAAGTCAAACATGAGACTGACGTAGTTTCTAGTCGGCGGTAGGATGTACAGGATGAAATAGTCCAGCACCGTCTGGAATCCGGCCGCGAGCGCCACGAAGGAGATCATCCACAGACAGAAGTAGGACAGATTAAACTCCGCGTACTCGCCCTTAACGCGGGCCACGATGAGGATCCCGTTCCCCTGAAACACCCACCGGTAATTGTCCGGTAAGGCCTCCTATCAACTGCAAAAGTGTCTGGGTCTGGAAGGATGCAACTTGTGATGCTGCCTTCCGATTCTAGAAAAAATCTGTATTGCATGGGCAGCAAGGGGAGTCCGGTAGCTGCTACGCGGAGGGTGCCGGTGCATTTCTCATGCGGTATAGGCATTAGGAAGCCCTACCAAAACCTGTCATGCTAGAGCATACATCACAGACATCACCGGTCATGCAAAATGTGCATGACAAACCTTCCATTCATCCAGACCCAGACATAATTGCAATCCACACCTCCACCTGCTTCGGTCTTCTTGACGAGGTTTGGCGTTGATAAGCTTCACTTTGTCCTCCGTTGTAATAATTGCTATTCATCATTGTACTTGGTTCGGAGGTAGTGGTAGAAGATTCTGTGTCAACGTCACCGAAAGTGCCGGAGTTATAACCTGTATCTCCCACTGCTCCGTTGTGGCCCCCGCTTGTTTCATCGTAGGGAACAAACCGGGGGTCGCTGTGTGCGCTCTGCATGTCAAAGGCGGACAGTTTGGTCGCGGTGGCGTATTCCACGCGCTTGCGGTAGAGAATCTCGATCCCCGGAATCCGCCGAAATTTGTACGTGTAGGAAATGGGTTTGTACCCGAAACTGCTGCCCCACGGAATCAGGTTGGTCCACTCCACGTCCATCTGAATCAAGACGCCCGCTTCGCGCAGCGGCTTGGTCTCGCCCTCCGGAACGTAGTCCAGGTCCACGTTAGCGAGCTCCAGAATGCGGCCGACGCTGAAGTAGTCAAAGTTGGTCATCTTGAAGATGCCCTCGCCCTTCACCTTCTCGCAATAGGACTCCTCCTATCCTGAGTAAAAGCGTCCCCATACCAGAGTCAACATGGGAAATCTGCTAGACAAATCAGCCAACTTTGGTTGTTTCGCATGACACGTTCGTGCTCGTAGTGTAATGCTGTTTAGCTAGTTCAGCAGCGTCACAGATCTATCATATCATGCTGTTTCTAGCATCACACACAAATCCCAAAACACGACTAAAAATTAAAAGAAGCTTCTCATAGGGCTTCGCATGAGAAACTTTTTTGGCATGCAGATTTGCATGACAACTCTGGGGTGGGGATGTTTTTAATTAGAATACCACCTGCTCCGGGGTCACCTTCTTGCTCCGGATCGGACTAGCTATTGATGACTGCTTTTTCGTAGAAGCTTGATGTTGTTCCATAGCGGCGTCAGGTTGATGTAGGGCTGTATTTAATAGTCCAGGCGAAGCTTGTGCTGTTCCCGCTCCTCCGGTTGCCGCGTCGAGCTTGTTTTCCTTTTCGTTTATTTGCTGCTGCTGCTGTGTCATCACCTCGTTCATCCCGGGATCTGCTTGTCTCACCGGCGCCCCCATGCTGGAACCTGACAGCTCCGGGGCGCCCGAAAAATGTGCACCGGTTGAAGATGATGTCGTTCTTCCTTCCGACGACCCCGTCACTTCCAAGAATGACATCTTCTCCTGGGCCGCAGCTATTTCACGGACCAGTGCGGCTTTTTTGTCTTCGTCGGCCTTCGCCTTTTCTTCCATCGCGTTCAACTCTTCGTCGGGAACGAGCTCCGCACGCAAACCGTCGAAAGGGTCGTCCACCAACCGCAGGATGGGCGGGGATTTTACAGAGTTCTTTCTGTTGGAAGACGAGCTAACTTGTTGGACGACCCGATACGAGTTCATGTTGTAGCCCCCTGGAGGTGCAGTTGCCTCCAGTGCTGGCCGCGCGTCAAAACGTGTAGCAGAGCTGACGTGCTGTTTAGGCTTCTTATCATTTTCAGCTTGGTCTACTTGTGAGGAGGTGCTGAGTGAATGATCACGTGAATTGTTGTCGTCGAACGCGCTTGACGTAGTACCGGTCCTCCCCTTATCAAATGTAAAAGTGTCTGGGTCTGGAAGAATGCGCGATTTGTCATGCAGCTTTTCCATGACCCATGAGGTCTGGAATGCAGGACCTAGCATAACAGATTCTGTGCGATCTTTCTCATGCCTATCCTGCATGAGAACTGCCTCCCGACTTGGTCAAAACTGGGCGACTTTTGGTAATCATGCAACACAGATTTTTGCATGCTGCAGATTTAGCATGACAAGTTGCATTCTTCCAGACCCAGACATTTTTACATTTGATACCCCTCGGACGAGAGCAAGCTGGAAGTAGAAGGACGGGCGTCAAACCAGGACCTCCACAACGAATTCTCCTCGTCTGCTGGACTGTCCCCAAGCGTCGTTGAAAGTGCTAAATAACGGGCTTTCGTACTAGAATGGTCATGAGCTTCGCTACTTCTTACTACGCCACCGCTAAAATTGTCCTGCTCAGGAGCACTCTCGCGGAGGTCGAGGGACGAAATAGGAACGGGGATCTGCATCCAGGACGAGGGACTGCTTGTCGCTGTAGTTCCAGCCACTGTTCCAGTAGTTCCAGCTGTCATGCTTGGAGCGCTGTTCACCTGCAACCCTGGAAACGTGGCAGTAACCGCCGCAGTTGGATTCATATTTGTTTGCTGGTTTTGCGGCAAAGAAACGGGATTCGGATCTGCTGTCCCGGCATTTTTATTAAACGGTTGGTTCACGTCGACCTGCTGATGTCCGGGAGGTGGTCCTTGCGGGGAAAGAACCGAAGCTTGTTGTTGCGTCGTCGTGCCGTCAGCAGTTGATGCAGTAGATGCGGACGCAGTAGTAGATGAACTAGCACTACTAGAAGTTGTATCCGCGGCGACTCCAGCTGGTGGTGCCAGTGCAGCGTCTTGGATCATATCATCACCAGCGGGGGCGGCTCCTGTTGTCCCCGCCGCTGCTCCTGTTGTACTGCTCGTAGTAGCAGCGCCGGTGCTGTCGGCAGGTGCAGCACCAGGATCAGACGCTGCACCAGCAAGAACGCTGGTGTCGTTCGTGCCCGTTGCGTTGTTTACCATTCCTGCCGTGGCAGCACTACTCTCCTGGGCGGCCAAGTCTTTTGCAACTTCCTCCACCATGTCGGCGTGGTCGGGCTGCGTGGCCTCTTCGTCGGCCGCGTTGGCTTTCTATTCTGAGTAAAAACGTCCCCACCCCAGAGTTGTCAGGCAAATCTGCATGCCAAAAACGTTTCTCATGCGGAGCCCGATGAGAATCGTTTTCTATTCGTATTTGGAAATTTGTGATGCTAGAATCAGCATGATATGGTGGATCTGTAAATGCTTCTGAACTATCTAAACAGGATTACACTACGACGAAAACAGACTTTTCATGCGAAACAACCAAAGCTGGCGGATTTGTATAGCAGATTTCGCATCTTGACTCTGGTGCGGGGACGTTTTTACTCAGGATACTTTCAAGGCCTTCATAAGTGCCCCAACGTCGAGTTTCCCGCTGCCCGGGTCCACTAGCCCCTTCTCCAGCGCCTCGTGCGCCAGCTCGTCCGCGCTGGGCTTCTTAAAGCAGCCCTGGGCGTCCGCGCACCGGATCCGGTGGGTTTCCGTGCGGAGGTCCACGCACGCGGCGGCCTGCCCGGGCGCGCAGGTCGGGCCCTGTATCGTACGAAAAAAGTGTTTCACTGTATAGGATTTTGCAGGTTTTGCATCACAAGTTTGTTTTACACAACAAAGAAAATTTGCCATGCAAGCTTCCTAAGGGAAAATACCGCTAAAAATCCACTCTCTTGCGTCTGTAGCAAGACAAACAATTCTGCGATACATTTTCTGCATTACAAGTTTACAGTGAAACAGTTTTTTCTTACGATACCCGGTGTGATCTGCTCGTAGAACACGTTTTTCTTCGTTTCCAGAGTAAAAACGTCCCCACCCCATAGTAAAGTTGGGAATCTAGCATCACAAATCTCTAAGTTTTGGGCGCTGTGCATGACAAGTTTCCATCTGCAGTGCAGTGCTGGTTGGCAAGGGAAGCCGCATGAGAAAGCACTTTCTCATCCTGTTTACAGTATTACAAATTCCAAAACACGACTGGAAATGCCTCTCATGGAGATGCGCATTACAAGCGTTCCCGTAATCGCAAATCTGCATTACAACTGTGGGGTGGGGGCGTTTTTACATGGGATACTTCGCCAGGTCGGTGGGCACCTGGTGAAAGATCGGGCGCAGTCGCAGCAACAGCTCCCGCGTGTCGGCGGCATACCAATCAAATTCGTCCACGTCCGTCCACAAGCCCCCGGGGCAGTCGAGGTCTCGCTCGTCCGCCGTGGCCACCGCGTTCGTGTCCGCTTTCAACGCGGCGCCCGCCTGCCCAGAAGGAAGAACCGCAGATGGAGTTGTGCTATCGATGGTTCCTTCGGCTTCCTGGAGTCCCGCGATGGCCGCGGCGTCGTTCACAACGTCGAGCTGGAGGGCACTTGTGCTGGTGCTGCGTGAAGTGATGGAGGATGGTTTACTACTTGGTTTTTGAGAATCATTATCATCCATCGCAAGGAGATCAACGTCTGCGTTGGTTGTAGTTTCATCATCTTCTCCACCTCTTCTACTATCTTCCCGTTTTCTCCTTTCTCGATTTTCGTTTTGCCAGTACCGCTCCAGACTCCGCAGCTCAGCTGCATGTTCATGATCAGCCGACCCGAGAACGGTCAGGGTGCCACCTCGCGGCAGCACGGTGGGTTGCTTATTTTCCTTTCGAAGTGGCGGGTAGGAGGAAGAAGATGTCGGAGTTCCATTTTCATCCTCGCCAAGCAGCACCTCTCCTGTGCAAAAGTATCGCATTCGTATTAATTGCAGATATGCATGACAGATCCAACTTTCTACGTGAAATAGCATGACAAATTATATTTTTGTTCTTGGGAAAATTTGTAATGCAATTGATGCTAGTACGATACTTTTGCAGTGCATAGCACCACCTCGTGCACCACTTTGCTTTCGTCGTACGGATCGCATCATCCTATGCAAAAGCATCGTACTCGTATTGCAATCATGCATTTACAAAACTTGTTCTTAAGGGAAATCCGCATTACAAATTTTCTTTCTCATGCTGAGGAAATTTGCATATGCATTTTTTTTTTTTTTTTTGCTAGGCAATTCGTACGCCGGTCGGTTTTCGCTGATTTCTTTTTTCGTTTCTTTTTATTTTTTTTTTTTTTTTTTTGTTGCGTCCTCTTCTTTTCTTTTTTTCTTTTTTTTTTTTATTCCGAGTGACGGCGGGAACGGCACCCGCCCGTTGTGCTTAGTAATGCGCTCCCACGCGCGAATTTTCTTTTGTCTTTTGCATCACACATGCACACGAAATTCAACCCCCTAAANCTAGGCAATTCGTACGCCGGTCGGTTTTCGCTGATTTTTTTTTTTTTTTTTTTTTTTTTTTTTTTTTTTTTTGTTGCGTCCTCTTTCTTTTCATTTCATTTTCATTTTCATCGATTGTGTGACGGCGGGAACGGCACCCGCCCGTTGTGCTTAGTAATGCGCTCCCACGCGCGAATTTTCTTTTGTCTTTTGCATCACACATGCACACGAAATTCAACCCCCTAAACCAACACACTTTTTCATCTTCTGCCGCCCTCACGCAACAGGACTACTCCTGAAGCGCGGGAACAGCCCGAAGGCTGTTTTGCATGACAAGTTCTTGCAGCAGGTGCATGCAGCAGTGGGAGATACAAAATTATTTTCAAAACCCTAAACCCGCACAACGCACTGATCCTAGTTAACGTCCAGAGCCGTAAGCCGCGGCAGACGTCCACCAGGGGAGGTAGAGGGGGGTCAGATCACAGTCTCCGTAAGGCGATAAGTGCAGTAAGCCGCTGCACTGAAAAATAGTAAAGATAGGGAGAGACCACTGTATAGGGAGATAGTCGCCCATAGGGGGCGTTATCCGGGTTCGTGTTTGCGTGGTTACTAGGCGTCCCCGAAGGAACGCTTTTCCTTCACGTTACTGCCCCCCGAAATATATGGTCGAACTGGATCACCGATACTAGCCATAGGGCGCGATCGACCCGAATCGCATTAATAGAGGCTGCGCGACCTGACGAAGAACATCATATGACCCATGCCGAGGGACTTCAGTGGAAATTACTCCGGACGCATGTGCAACCTCGGCCGATGCAAAACGGGCGACCGCTGTAAAAGTTGCTTTCTACAAAAAAAATTTATTTCTAAGTGGTCTCTTTGGGATGGGGGCCGTTGAACCCACGACGGGAAGGACGGGACGGCTGAACCCCTGCCGGCTCCGCGCGAGGGGGAAGTTGAGCAACTACGGCGGGAACCCGAAACACGTAAAGGAGCCCGCACATGTATGCGAGAGCTACGACTGGCAAACTGAAAACCACAATCAAGAATTACTTCATGCAAATATCCGGGCGCGAATGAAAGAAATGTTTATCTGTCGCCGCGAAGCGGGGATGAAAAGATTTCTTTCATTCGCGCGAACAATGCAAATTCCGAGGCGGGCAGCGCTGTCAGCTGTCAGAAAGGATGAAAAACCCCTCGGGCTTCCTGATGATGATGTGTGTAAGAGTCGTAGGCTAATTAGTGCAATTTCCCCCCCCACGACAAACCCGCTGGCCAGGCGGAAAAAACGCAGCCCCTGCGAGGAGGCGGGATGCGCCGACTAGCGCTAGCAAGTTGGATCTGATAAAACTAGTACTCGAAATGACGACCAGAAAACATAAAGGGGTAGAGCACTAGCGCTACTTCTACATCTACCACTACTTCTGTAAATGGGAATACGGAGGAATAAATAAACAAAGCGAATGACTTGAGCAAAACTAGAGACAAGAAGATAAGAGCGGGAAAAAAAACTAACTCTACATGGGGCTACGGGGAGGGAGGGGGGAAGATCAAAATTTTCAAACATCCATAGGAGCGCACGAATTTACGATCAAGTTTCAGATGCGTTTTCCGGTCTATTTCCGCCGGGGGTTACGCCGTGTACAGCAGGTCGACACTGCCAGGAAACTCGATGTGCGCGCCGCATTGGTCCATACAAATCAAAACCCTAAACCCTTCGGAAGCATAAATCCGCATGCATACAGGGGGGCCACCCCTGAACCCTTTTTCGAACTCGGACCGGACACACGCATAGAAAATCCCCACGATATAGTTAACGTCTATAGCCGTAAGCCGCGGCGGACGTTGCTATGCTGTGGGACGAATAGCAAGGGGGGTCGATATGGGTCGATTTCTTTTTTGCTTTTTTTTTTTTATTCCGACACAGCTGACGCACAAAAAGCGGTGGGCGATTCACGAAGAAGTGCGCGGGTGTGCTCGGCGTTCCCGAGGCCTTAGGCCGTACCTTTTTGATAAAATCCGGGCTGCGTCCTGGCTCCCGCGTTGCCGCCACCCTTCTATTCCATCTTCCCCTCCGCGTGCATGCATGTGCGCGGCTACGCCAGTCCATTTTGTGCTTATGTTTTTGACTAAGACAGAGAGGCGAGGTGCAGCCACTGAGGAACTTCGGAAAACGCTATGGGCTAAGTATTTTGGTGCTGTGTGCTACTGCTATCAGACTCTGCGCCCTATGACTTTGCAACAATGTCACTAGCCCCGGCCTTGATCTTACCCCGCCAGCCACTGCTGGAAAAAAAAGGAAGCAAGTCCCTGCAGTTTTGGAAAAAGGCGCAACGAGTGGGGGGGGACCACAGGAGTCACCCCCCCGCAAGCTGCGCACGCGTTGAAGTATCTGCTGCTTATTTCTACATGAGCTATCTGCTTCATCACGTAGCGACTCCAACAAACGAAGTGCTTTTACGAAGCGCGACGCTTTCAAAATACGAAGTGCTTGCTTCTTTCTTTCTTTACGAATTTGTATATGCATTTATACGAGTACGATACTTTTGCAGTTCATACGTATTCCACCGCGTCCAAAGCATCGACGGCACGAGGCCGGCGAGTTGCTGAAGATAATTGGTCGGTTTCAGAAGTTAGAGGTATTTTATTTTCGCTCCTTGCAACAAAGAAAGCATCTGTTGCTGCGGTGCTTTTTGACAGAGCTGCTGCACTTATTTCATCTGCATCTTCGTCGTCGTCCTCGTCTGTCCTTTGGCTTTCCTCACCGAGCTCGAGCACTTCAGAGGGTGGCTGCCGTTCACTGTCTACTTGAGCAAACGATGAAGAAAACATCATCCGACGGGCGGCAGGGCTCGCAGTTCCCTGCACGTAGTTGTCCTGGCGAATGTTCCCGTTGGCGTCAAATTGCGACGCACCAGACGCGGTCGCAGGGTCGACGTCGTTGTGTGGGGCAAGTTCATTATCTCCATGCATCGACGTCGCGGAAGAAAGAGGCTGCTGTTGTTCGTCTGAGGGAGATATTAGTTGTTCACTAGAATCTTCACCTGTCCTGGCCGCTGCTGAAGTTCTTGCAGATGATGTTCTTGACAGCGATGAAGCTGTTCCACCTCCCGCTGCAGGTCCTTCTTGTTGCCCCGAAAATCGTTCCCGATTCCGGTCGCGGATCGCCTGAACGTAGGCTTTCTCCTCGTTCTCGATGCTGCACGAGGAGCCCTCCTGCAGCTTGACCGCGCCGTGCGTGACAAAAAAGGCGGTGGTTTGGTGCATCATGAACGGGTAGTACTGACTGTCCGGCTCGACGTGCAAACAGGGAAGTTTGTGCACCGTCGGCTTCTGTTGAAATTGGGGCGGAAGAGCCGCAGAGCCACCTGCGGACGTGGTAGTACCAGCGGGAGGATGATGCTGACTCTTGCTCACCCCCTCCGCGCCTAGAAGTCCTGTTCCCGCTGCTGTAGTACCCGGGTCTACGTACTTGTCGCAAAACGGAAGCTTCGACGTGTCCGCCACGAAGTGCCGACAGTTGCGGTTTTCGTTCGTAAACCCATTGTCGACGTTGCAGTTGCCGACGGACGGTGTGAGCGGCGTAATCATGACGTCCCCCGCCACGGGGGAAACCTGGAACTGACTGTTCAGGTACAAAATCCTGTACACGCCGATGTAGACGCCGAGCAGGGTGCAGAAGAGGTAGTAGGTGATTCCCAGGCGGACATCGAACACCCGAACGTACTTGTAGGTGTCGTACCGCTCGAAAAACCACGCCTGGGTCACTACGCGGTCGAAAATACGTTCCGTGAACGACGAGCCCGGTGCAGCTCCTCCGGGCGCAGGAGCGCCTGGGCCGCCGCTCCCAGACGCCTGCTCCGGGTCGAGCATCAGGACGACTGGGGCAAGGAAGGATTTTTCCCACAAGAGAAAAGGTCCGTTACCGCCTTCTTCGTGCGCCTTGCGTCTTTTATCTCTGACAACGGGAGGTCGAGGTCGTGGAGAGAAAAAATAGTCCACAGCCCATTTCAATGAGGTGAGAAGGCCGCGTTGGCGTTTGGTCGCGCAAACAATTTCTCATCGTGATACAGTAGCTACGGGAGCTAAGAGGGTCTTAAAAAAGTTCTCCGTCTCAACGACCACATGACATGAGAAACGCAAAAGAACTAAATTAATACCTGCCTCGAAACGCTCGCACCCTCGGCGGGCGGATTTGCGTTTACGATTTCGATACGTATATATCATACGAAAAATTCAGTCACTCGCTGTCGCTCTCCACTCTCGATGGCCAGCGACCTTATGATCCGGCGCAGTCGCATATTTTCATATCTCTCGACAGAGGGCATCACTCACAAGACGCAGCATGGAGCCGGCGCGCGCATCCGCAGGCTAAAAACGGACGAAGAAACATGATCCATCTTTCGAGGAACACGTAGAATCGCTGCCTACAAACGATTGAGCCAGAACGAACCAGCTGTGATGTGCGCAACTCAGAGTTGGCATATCTGCGTTCATTTCGAAATTCTCTTGCCATCTTATCTTCCCCCTGAGCGTAATGCAATCCAATTTTGACAAATTTCATTTTTTTTTCTCCCCCCTGCGGCCGTGTGTGCACAAGCGTATTCATACCCGCAGCTCAACAATATAATTCGTTCCGGTAGCGCAGCGTCTACTTTCGCGAAAGGAAAAAGAAGTCTTGTTCCCTATTAAAAAAGGACAGATCTTCGTTGCGGGTGCGAGTACTATAACACCAGCTGCTGCACATGAAAAAAAAAAATCGAGGCATTACACAACTCAGCACCACTCTCGCCTCACTTCTTCAGAATCAATGTTGGATATGGATTATTCATTAATTGTGGGGTTTATTTACTCAGGTACATAAAATTCAAATTGTTTGAGCGATAAACTACATCACACATGCAGGGGGGCCAGCACCGTGCCGAAACTAGTTTTTAAAAAAACTGAGTGCGTAAAAGAAATCGAACGCGTTTGGAGATGTTGCCATTTGGCACGACGCAAGACAAGTTGCACTGTATCATTGACTTATTTCTACGACAAGGAAATCAAGTTTATATTTTTTTTTTGGCGCATGGCTTTGGCTATACTGTTTATCCCATCCACTATGTGCTGCACTTGACGCAACATCAAGAACTTTATACGTAAAACTTGAAAATGCATATGCGTGCTGCATCAGCATTTCGTCCCAACTAAGGGATCTTTTTGTGAACTAGACAATTGGACAATGAATTGACAAGTAGCAATATGATAATTTGACGCGATGAGTGCAAGTTAGCTTTATTTTTATCAACAATTAGGATAGAAGTAGAAGTACTCTTGATATCGCCCGTTTGAGAAGTCTCTAAATGTCTCGAGGACATTGATTTTCAGGCTACATCGAGTTATAGGCACTTGACAGTTGCTAGCTTTGATAGGTTTCCCTTGAACCATAGTGCTAGGACGTGAAGAAATTACGCAACGCTAGAACATGTAGTTCATGTGCAGTGATATTGCACACTACGACTACTACTGACGCGCCCGCTGTCATTCGCCGCCCCGTGGTTCCCCGGATGCAGTTCCTGGCGCAGCCCCACCTTGAGACGACTCTCTTCTTTCTGCCGCACCGGCAGCGGGTCCACCCTGTTCGACGGCGGTTACACTTGTTGCCGGTACAACAACCACTCCCTCTGGTGGGCCACCGGGAGGGTTGCTACCAGCGACGGTATATGCAATGCAAGAGCATCGTACTAGTATAAATTGCATTACAAATTAGCGCAGCATTACACATTCAATTTGTAATGCTGATTTACCTTGGGAAAGAGATTTGTAATGCATAAATGCAATTGCTACGAGTACGATACTTTTGCACAGGATACGGTACCATCGTCTTGCGGGAGGGCGGGTGAGGAGGACTGCTGGCGCTCCATGACAATCCGGTCGTGGTGAAACCGGCGCCAGTAGTGGTAGGTCTGCGCCGAGCCGTACCCCTGAATGTCCGGATTCTCGCTGTGGTTGCCCTCCGGCATTGTAGGGTGGTCGGCCTCCGTGATGATGCCCAGTTGGCTCAGCCGCTGGTGCAAGGTGCATTTGGGATCAAAATTTGAGTCATTTTGGTCCTCGTGACGAAAGAGAAGAACACGCAAAAAAAAAATGTTCATCTTGTGTCCAGTCATCTATAGTGTAACAAGCATCAGTACGCATCGCATCCTACTTAATTTCGATCGTCATCGTTTTCTATTTATACCTTGCTTGTCGCTCGTCCTTCTGAGATCGCACTTGATGCGGAGGTCGCGGAGAGATGGTGGTGCTGCGTGAGGTGCAGTGCCGCGTTTTCCGCGAAAAGCGCCGCGGAGATCTCCTCCTGCTCGAGATGATGACCTCGTGTACCACTATTGCTCGCCTCGGTCGCTCGCGTGTGGAAATTATACGCGGCTCCTCCGCTCACGCTGTCGCCTCCGAGGCTCATCTCGCCCGCAGAGCTGGTTCGGGCGCGACTGGGCGGATCGAAGCTCGTGTTGTGGGCGGCGTTGCTACTGTTGGTGCTCTATCGACGTGGCAAAAGCATCGCATCTACTCGCACACACTAGAAGTTCTAGTGAGAATCGCATGACAAATTTCTTGCTTGTGAGGCAGATTGAAAAAATTTGTGATGCAAAAATATTGCGAGTTGTCGTGTACTACGATACTGTTGCACACTATCATATGCTCAACGTCGGGTGAAGAAGCTGCCCGGATGAAGATGAGCCAGCATTACCCTGCCCCTGCTGATCGGCTGAACTGCCGCGTGTCATCTTTCCGTGGCTAGCCGTGCTCGCGGATGCTGCTGCACTGCCGCGCGGGGGACCTCCGCCGTCCGCGGGCGGCTCGCCCTGCGGCGCCCATCGCGTGCTCGCCGTGCTCTGGGTGTCACTGGCCTGGTCTTGTTGCGCAAAGGTAATTTCCACCGGCAAGTTCGCTGTGTCGCGGGTCGAAGTAGCAGATGCTTGTCCTGTATGTTCCCCTCCTATGTCCCCTACACTCGCGGCACTCGTGTGTGGGGGCGTTGTCACCGCCGGGTTGTTCGAACTTGGACTGGAAGTGCTGGCCTCCAGAGGCGCTCCCGGAGCGGACGAGCTCTCGCCGCCCGGAAAGAGCGTTTCGTCCAGCACTTCTCGCCCTTTTGCCTGGAGTTGCGACCAGGTGTTACTGCTTTGGGAGCCTTGATCATCTGCCGGCGATTCACCCGGGATCCCCGCCGTTTCTAGGGCTTTCGCAGTGACACCTGTAGTAGAGTTAGGACAAATTGCATCATTTTTTAGACCAGAAAATCGGAAGAAGTACATACTTTTTCGCGCACCCGCTTGCATGACGGGCCGCTATCGTTTCGCTTCGGGGGCGGCGGGGTGCCCCGACAGTACACCCGGCCCGAGGGCCTCGCTGCGCCATGCAGCGGCTCGGGCGTTGTGGCTTGCCAAAGAGAACCGGGGCGGCCTCCCGACCTCGAAGCCCGCCAGGAGCGAGAAACGCCGCCCCACCAAGCGGCCTCCCCGCGAGCCCGTCCCGGTCGGGCCGGTGCGGCGCCGCCATGTTTTTTGCCGGATGCGCATGGGCCTGCTCGCCGTACCGGAGGGGCCGGCCCTCGAAGCAGTAGGGCGCGCGCCCCTGAGGTGGGGCCTGCTTCGGCCCCAACAGCAGCCGCCCCACAATTGGGGGGCCGGGAAGGGGGGCCCGGAAGGCGCGCGGGCCCCCCCTTCTGGAGGGGGGGTAAAAAGGGGGCCGAATTGGCCCAATTCTGCCGCCTTTTTTAGGGGGGGGCAAAAAATGGCCTTCCCCCGCTACTACAGGGGGGGGGCAAAATGGCCCAGAAGCGGGCACATTTTACCCCCCCTCAAAAAGGGGGGCGAATTGGGCCAATTCGGCCCCCCTTTTCCCCCCCCCTCCGGAAGGGGGAGGCGCGCGTGCCTCTTGGGGGGCCTGCAGTTCACCCGCCGGCCGGGGCCCCGGAAGGGAAAAGGCGCGCCAGGCCGCGGCCAAAGCAAGAGCTTTTCCGTGCCCGGAAGGGCTTCGCGTTGGGGCCCCGGGATGCGCGCCGCGTCGGTTGTGTGTCCCCGACGTGGGCCCAGCTCGGGGGCGGGTGGCGGGGTGTTGGCTGCGTGCCGTCGCCTTCCTATCTACGCCAAGCCGACCCGCCCCGGCCCCGGCCGCGCAGCCGCAATGCCGGGGGCTAATTTTTCCGGGATAAAACAACCCGGAACGCGGTCGCGCCTTCGCACCCCCCAACCTCATTCAAGCCGCGACCCCCATTGCAAGGGGATACGCAAAAAAACATGTACTTCTTCCGATTTTCTGGTCTAAATTTTGATTTCAACAAGAATAAGCGCTATAAACAGTTGTTGCCACGACGCATGAAGAGGTAGGAAGCCGTGTCCTCTTTGTTCACGCAACAGTTCCGCAAGGACGGGACATAAGCAGAAGAACGGGCAAGCGAAGTAGGCAATTAAGTAAACAAGTACACAAGCTCTTTCTAAAACTACGGGAAATGCAAAGGACAAGCAAACTTTGAACGTATCGAACTCGAACCTCCACACATAACTTTTACAACTTCATGAGCTTAATTTTCTACATAGCCACACAGGGACCTCCACAACGAGCTCATGAACACCAGCTAATTCTTGTGGGAGCTCGGTTTCTAGCAACGCATTAAGAAAGGCGTCCGCCTTTAGTTCTGACGGCGGAGTGCGTCGCACGATGTTTTACTATCATTCACGGGTGCATCTAATAATATGCAAAAGAAATAAACTCGTGCTTATACAACTAGGGGACGGGTGCAGGACGAGTTCAATTTGGATTAAATAAAGCGTCAACCATGGCGCCGCACTGTCGGCCCCACGGTGAACTATGTACTCAACCTCAACCAAAAAAAAATTCTTTTTCTTCATATATGCGTATTATGTGATCGGCAATACGCTTTTCGCACATATGGTTTTGTGTGGTTCTTTTTATGCGTGTAGTTCTTGCACCAAAACAAAACTCAAAACGACCAAAAGTTGCAAATCTTCGATGTTATACGTACAACATTTTTCTTCATCCTACAAACAAAATGATCTATCAGCCGACGGCTCCACAGATATTTTGGCGCAGTTCATCTTTTCAGGGTCAGGAGCCACCCAGGCGTGCCCCGCCCTCTTCAGGATCTGGATATGGAACAGTAACAGTTGCAAATCTCTCCTCGGTGCTGGCGGAAGGAAAGAGCCAGCGTTTACTTTACTAGAGGAAAAACTTAGCGTGAACTCATGAGCTACTGACTTGCGACATGTAACGAGGTCATGCGCAGATATTGAACAGCTGATAAGTAAATCTTGTCGAGAACGCTTTGTTCATTTCCTCCACAAACATGCATCAAATTGTACGTACTGCTGGCAACTCCAACTCGCTCTTACCATACAATCAGATGTCGGTCACGGTCCGATCATCCAGGTAGGTACTTGTAATCATGATGGTTTCCACTACTCCCGGTTCCGTCCTTCCCAGGAGAGGAGATTTGCAAAGATTTTTGTGGCATAAGGTCGGGCACGACAGGGGTGCAAACGGGTTGTGGTGCGGGTCGCTTTCGTACTTCGGGTGGACCAAAAAACTGCTAGTATCCGGCAGCTGCACGGGATCAGGAGCATCGAATAGTGAGTCGTCTGTTCTTATCTTCTCCTGCAGAAGTTCTTGTGCCGGCGGAGCTCGTCTCACGAGGGGTGCGAGCGCCTTGCAGGTGGGGGAGGGGGAAGGAGCGAGCCGGGCGGTGATTTTCGGCGGGGTAGTATTTTTTTCGTGAGCTGCCATGATTGTCTCTCGTCCGAAAGCTAGTACTGCACGACGGGGAGGCGATCGCAAGCTGACCTGCTGATAACCACCGGGTTCTTCGTCTTCTTGCCGGTTCGGCAAACTTGCAGTCGTCCTCCCTGTTGCTTCTTGACGAAGAATATGCGCGTCGTCCTCGACTGTGATCTGCGGTTCTTTTACTACAGAAGAACTGACGTCGTCCCCCACGTTGATTCTCTTGCCGCTGGCTTCATCTTCTCTCTCCAACGGGCTGTCCGCAAGAAGCTCCGACGGCGTGCTTTGCGTTCGAAACAAAGGCGGCGGCGAGGTAAGTTTTTCGACGAGGACCGGGGAAATGAAGTGCGGGTGTAGTTCCTGTACCTGTTCCTCCTGCGCATTAGGTAAGATCTTCTTCATCGAGGAACCAACAGAGCCGTCACTTACTGTCGCGTTTGATTTAATATTCGATCTGTCGAACTCGACACGGAGGTGCGCGGCTCCTGCTTCCGAAAGACTTGTAGCAATGCCATGATCTGGGCCGCTGATGTTCTTGTCGGAAGTTGAACTCTTCGGCAGGAGTGCAGTTGGAAACGGACGATCTGGGTCTTCAACATGTTGATTTCGTCGTCCGGTAGACGAAGAGTCCGCTACTTCCTGCGCGGAAGACGCTCTACTATGACAACCAGTGGTAGAAGTTCGCGAATGACTGTGGCGACGAGCAGGTCCGACCCTTCTAACAGTTGTGGTTGTGCTTGTGACCTCCGGATCAAAAAGTCTTTTTTCCGCATCATCTTCATTCGCACGACCGCTCAAGTTGTTGTTGTTAGCGTGCACCAGTTCTGACAGCTGCTTCGTGCTGGTACAACAACCCGCCGAATTGGCGCGGGACAGCGATGCGAGTGAAAAGTTCGAGTACTCCGACAGTGCCGGCGTGCTGTAAATGGAAGACGATGCCTCAAACCGGTTCGCGTGGGGTATGAAAGGGGAGAAAAAATAAGAACGCAAGTGACGAGCCGGGAGAGTACGATCGTAAAAAAGGAATGACACAACGGCTTCTACTTGATTGTCACAGGAAATACTTACTGTCAGTATGTGCATGACGTCGATATGACTCTTCGAAGGACCACGAAGAGGTTCGTGCAGACGACCCAGAAAAGAAACACGATAGATACTCCCGCATTCGATACCTGCGTCTTTTTTTCCCAAGCATACCCAAAATCAGCTCCTCGTCGTCCACCAGTTGGATACCCCGCGGGCAGATCAGAGGTCGACTAGTACCTTGTTCCACTGGGGTGCTGCTGGTCGTGGCGTCTGCATGGATGCCGCCCGGAGTAGGACTTGTGCAAGACACTGCTGCGCAAGAAGTAGAGCTTGTTGACATCGCCACTGTACAACTTCTTGCTGTAGTAATCATATTCCTCTCGGTCTCGTCGCAGCCTGTTCCCATGCTTGGGTGATGAACGCCGGTGGCCGTTCCCGTACTACTCATGCCACTAGTAATGTCGCGGACGAGGACAAGCGGACCGGGAGGTTCCTGCAGGCGGTTCATTCCACCGTGGTTGCCAGCATCTGTTCCTCCAACTTCTTCCTTCTCGTCCTTCCCCTGCTGGGTCGCTATCTTTACGCCTGCCGCGACGTCGTGCGGGTGGTCCTTTTTCGTGTAGTCGGGATTCTCGTGTGCTGCTGTAGCACCGCCCACACTATCATCATCCTGCGTGAAGACGCCTGCATTTCTGTCGGACACGGAGGTCCTCCGAGGGGGAGGATTCATACTAGGTCCTTCTGCGCGAGGACCCTCTGGAAGATGCGTAGTGGCCGTCGTTATTAAGGACGACGAGTCATCCAGCGACTGTACTAGCAGTGAGGAATTATGTGTAGAAGAGGCCGCATCAATATTTCTGGCGTCTCTCGCCGATGTTTCCGCACATCCGCCGCCCCCTGCGCCGGCGGTCGACGCTGCCATCGAAGGCTGGCGTTCGTCTTGGAGATATTCAGTGTGCTCCCCGTGCACCACCAGCGGCCTTGTCTCTCTTTCTTGCGCACCACTACAACTCGTCCCGCTGGCTTCGTTCTGTCCAAAAATCCTAGCACCGCTCGCTTCTGGAGTCACACGCTGGACCGCCGTGCTTGAAGTCACATGCTCCGACGACGCGGAAGAAGTTGTTGCAGCGCTAGCGGTGGCATTCGCACTCTGCTGGTGCAGCTCGTCGTGCCCGTTATTGAGAACAGCCTTTGGTGAAGAACCACATGGAAGATTGTTCTCGGTCGTCGTGTTCGTGGTCACGACCTGCGCGCAGCCACGCACCATGGCACATATGGGCTCGCCCCGAGCTTGCACTGCGGAAGAGGCTCCTGCTGAGCCGACAGGAGGCTCCTTGTTCAATATCGCGGCGCCTAGTACGACCTCGCTTGTTGTACTTTCCTGCCTCCGAGGACGGTGTACTTGCTCGTTGGAGGTGGACAAAGATAATTCCTCGGAGCAGGACTGGAGGTCTCCTACAACTGCGCCGCCGTTCAGCAAACCAGTAGTACCGGTCGTACTACCACGCGAGCCACAGGTCGGCGAAATGGGAGCTGGCGACAACCCTGCTCTGGAAGATATCCAAGAAAAAAACATTGTAGGTGTAACTTTTTTGGAGGAACTGCATCACAAATTTGTCTGGCATGACAGCAAAAACCTGTCACGCGCAGATAGGACGTGACAACGTCCTTTAATGGACCCTACGATACATCCCAAGCATGACAGACGCAATCATCTTGCATCGTGCGCATCACAAATTTACGCTAACGACGTTTTTTTCTTGGATAGAGGTTGTGCTAGTACTACTATGGGATGCTGTTGTAGTGGTCCCTGTGTGGAAGTGGAGGTACGAGTGATATGCAAAGAAAAAGTGTTTTACAGTTGCACATGATTTTAATATTGCGGAACACCCAAGACAGACAACCTTTGTCATGCCAGAAATGCGAACGACACTCGTTTCATACGTGTTTTTGCTTATGTTGGTCGCAGCTGCATTAGAAACCTGCTTCCCTGTCGTGAAGAGCAAGTTTCTATTGCTAGAGTCACAACATCAACATCTTCAAATGTGCAGCTGTGAAACACTTTTTTCGTGGGATATCTAAGCTTCGCTCATTCTCAGATCTCACTCACGACTCGGTGTCATATAATGAGCTCCTCTTTGATTGTGTACACTTTCCTTTTTTAAGCTCTTCTTAGCACAGCGGCGCGACGGTCGTGAAAGATGATCGCTTTGCGGGCCAACACCTTGAAGATGCGTGCTGCAGCCCCTCGCACCCACGAGGAAACAAGAGGGTGGAGGGCAACATCACCGCCGCAGAAATCAGAAAATGGATCTGTTTGGGAAAAAAAAGGATCGATAATATTTAAGTCAGCATCAAAATTCATACGTTGCTGTGCGTCGCCGCTGGCCGGCTTCTCTGCGGCGGCAGAGGCATTGACGTTTAGCGCGGTGAGCTATGAGAGTGCACAACTCCCCCTCCCCCTCATTTGTCATGCAAAACACCTGCTCCACGCTTCGCCTCTTGGCACTGTTTGCATGAGAAGTTCTGGTAGCCCAAATAGCACTACACTCCAGTGCAAATCTGTCATGCAAAACCGGCACTCTTGCTAACGCTTGGATTGCCGTTCATGCTATACAAATGAGGAGAGGGGGAGTTGTGCGCTGTCATATGAGCATGCGATCGCGCTCCTGCTTTTTTGCGTTCTCGATAGCTTCCTGCAGCTGTCGGTCGTGCTCGTCTTTCAGGTCCTTTACCGCGTTTTCCGCTTCTTGACACCGCTTCTCCGCGTCCTTCTGCTCCTTTTTCAAACGCTTCTGCTCCTCTTTCAGAGATTCCTTGTCCTGCCGGAGTTGCGCATGGAGCGAAAAAAAGTTGCGCAAAGGAAAAATTGTTCATTCTCCTGAGTGAAGATGCAGAAACTCTTTCGTACGCCTGCGTCTGCGGCTCTGAAAGTGCAAGTTGTGCATGTAGTGATTTTACATATACCATCACACCGTAAGCTTCTTGTAGCAACGACGCGATGATCATGATTGTTTGAGGTTCGTTCAATTTTGTCTGTTCATACAGAAAACACTTGTTTGTTGACAATACAGCAACTGTTATGTCCGTATGCGGAAGACGAAGATGGCCCACAAATTTATCATGCTGACATTACATTTACAACACCATGCATGGTCGATCTTTGATGTGCAGCTGCCCTTTTTTCGTCTCATATTGCTCCTTCTCTTTGTAGTGCTTCTTTCGTTGGTATCGCAGGAAAAACTACCGCACTTTAGTGTAACTTAAACTTTGCATTCGTCTACTTTCTTCATCTAGAAAAGAGAAAAACAAAGAGCGGCAGATACCGATACGATGGTATACAGAAGATGATGTGTGCAAGCTGACCTACTTATGCAGAGTTCGCATCACGAAGTTGTAAGACCAACAAGTTACACTATAGACACTATAGTTTTTCCAACATATTTCGTCGTTCCATTCGTCCTCACGATGCGCCCAGTTAGACCGCTGGGTTTGATACATTTTGGTTCGCAGAGATCATGGCTATTTCCCCAGTTGTATTTTTATTTTCCTAGCTCTGGTACAAGTGCTCAAGTGAAAATCGACTACTGGCATTCATAGCATTTACTTAGGTGACCTCACGGGGGCAGTGCTGGCCCCTAGAAAATGCAAAACGAAATACGAAAGAGCATCGTCGTAAACCGTGAATTCAAGCTAAAGGCTTCGCTCCTGCCGAAGTTTTACTTTTAGTTTTGTAGTCGAAATCAAAAAATATTAATATACCTCTTTGTCCAGTTTGGCTTCTGCTTTTTCCTCCATTTCCTTCATTTCCTCCTCATGTTGCTCGATCTGCTCCTCGAGTTCTGCGTTGCGGTCGGATAGCTCCTTGTTCCGTTTATTCAGCGTTTATCAAATGCAAAAATGTCTGGATCTGGAAGAATGCAACTTGTGATGCTGCATTTGGATTCCAAAAAAATCTGTATTGCATGAGTACCAAAGGGAATGTAATTTTTGCTACGCGGAGAGGGCATTTGTCATGCGGAATAGGCATCAAGAAGCTCTCAAAAAATCTGTATTGCTAGGGCATGCATCACAGGCATCAGGGCTCATGCAAAACGTGCATGACAAGTGTCCCAATCTTCCAGACGCAGACATTTTTACAGTTGATAGCGTTTTGTTCTCGTCTTCCAGAAACTGCAGGTCCGACATGTGCGCGTGAATTTGCTCCCCCAGACGCAATATCAAATGCAAAAATGTCTGGGTCTGGGAGAAAGCAAGATTTGCCATGCATATTTCTCATGACCCATGATGGCTGTAATGCATGACCTAGCATCGCAGACTTTTAGAGGGCTTCCTGATGCACCTTCCGCATGAGAAATGCCCCGTCCGTGTAGCACAAAGCGTGCCCCTCTTGCTGGTCATGCAATACAAATTTTTTTAGAGTCCAAAAACCGCATGACAAGTTGCAATCTTCCAGACCCAGACATTTTTGCAATTGATACGCAAAAAGTCCTGCAGCATGGGTGCCTGCAGCTGCGGATGCAGCTCGCTGAACGCGCTCGCGCTGCTTGAGCCCGCGGGTAATACGGCTGCCCCGGGTAGAAGTTGTGCTCCTCCGCCGCGCGCTAGTACGTTGTTAGAGGAGCTAGTAGCAGCACCACCTCCCCCGGGTCCTCCTCCTATTACACCGGACGGCGGACGCGGTACGCCGGGCGGCAGGGAAGTAGCGGCGGAGACACCGCCACGGAGGGTCTGTACCTCGCCGCGGAGCACGTCCTGAAACGTGTCGCGTATCACGCGGGCCATAACCGAAGACAGGGAGGAGGGTCCGCCGGGGGTCGGAGTGAGGGGCCCGAAAGTAGGTCCTCCGGGAAGAGGCGTGGAGGAAATTGCGGGGTGGGTATGCACTTACAAAAAACTTTTGCATGATGTCCAGATCTGGTCGGGAAAGAGAACTACACTATATCTGTTGCTGGAACTACGAAAGGAAATTCAGATCCACTACAACAGCGAGCACTCTTGAAACCCGATTTTGCGAGCCCTGGGACTTCATGATGGTGGCTGGACGAATGAAACAAAGAAGCACTTTGCTTTCGTATAAATATGGTTCTTTTCTTGTGGTGAATGAGTGAGGATCGCATGATGAAGAGGTCAACATGGTTTTTGCACTCAAAAAGCGAGTTTTTTTGCATCTGCCTTCGTTCCATGCGCAATTAAAAACTACCTCCCAGTTCCGGACATGATAAGATGTTCGTAATGCATACGGCAGTGTGCTGGCCGCGTGTTCGGCTAGGCCGGAAGGTCCGGACGATCCGTCGGGTACCGCAGGTTGGACGAAACCTGGACCTAAAAATCGTTTCAATACGAGCGTTCTTGATTGTCAAAGGCGTGGTCACGAGTTCTCGAATTGTAGATTTGAGAAAAACTACAGGCGATGTGAATAGATGTCTCGACGACGACCGTACGTGAAAGAGTACTATTGGAACTACATCGAAGACCGTACAGCGCAACAAAATAATGATACTTTTACTTTAATATGACATTAAGTACTCCTTCTTCTATCCAAAATACTTATTACCAGCTGGTAGCGGCCCGACTGGTTGTAGCGGCCCCGGAGCTGCTGCTCCCCCTACACCCGCAGCGTAGTTGTAAAACCCCCCCGGGGCGGACGGGGTTAGCACTTGCTGCGGCGAGGGCGCGGGCAGGGTGGCTCCTTGACCGGGAGCGAACGTGGGGAAGACGAGCTGGGAGGAGCTTGTAGTGGTGCTTGTTCCACCGGGGCCACTCGAGGTCCCGGCGGGCGGGGGCGTGACGGGGGGCTGCGACGTGGAACCGGTACTCTTCGTGGGCTGTAGCAGAGCCGTCGGCTGCTCTTGTTGTACTCCTTGTTGTGCCACCCCGCCTGAAGTAGATGCGGCTGTCGCGGTTGCCGCCCCCGCGGACGCAGTAGTTGTTGTACCACCGGGCTGCTGGTCCGGCGGCAGAGAGAGCTGGGCGGAGGTGCTCGTGGTGCCACCGGAGGTAGGCTCCGACGGCGGTGCTGCGTACTGCAACGGCGCAGTTGTGTGCGGTGGTCCGGCGGCAGTTTGTGGAACGCCCGGTCCCGTTGCGGTACTGCAGGGTATCCAAGGAAAGAACTACTGATGTGTCGAAAAAACATAACAAGACTTGCTGGAAGTAATACAGCAGCAACAGGTGTCGCGCAACCGGAACTGATGCGTAGTCTAGTACAATAGGAATAGATACTGCTGTAAACACATACACCACGTGTGAAGTTCAAGTTCGTGTTTGCCCGTGCAGCAGCATCCAGATCCAGCATGACAAAACCGAGTACTTACTGTATTGCAACATGGACTGCTCCTTTGCAGCGTTCCACCCACGCAGTTTCTTTCCCGCTGGATAGCCGCGGAAGTGGACACGATCGTTGTCCCACTGAGGTTCGCGTCTGGCGGCGGCACCGCGACGGCGGATGAGAGCAGCGTTGGCGGTTGCGTAGGTGCACCAGCCGCGCCAACTTGGGATTGATGTTCCCCGGCGGGCGGCCCTTGCGTTTGTTGCGGTGGAGGTGCCGCAGGAGCTGCTGCGCCGCCCGTTGCACCTGCAGTTGCGCTGGAAACAACGGCAGCTCCGTCTGGAACCGGGTCGACGACCACTGGAGTTAATAATCCCGTAGTACTACCAGCACTTGTCGTATTGGTAATTTCTCCCGGTGCAGCGGGCGCAGCGGTCTGTTGCGCCGCCACTACATCTGTTCCCACGGAAGGAGCAAGTCCTAGTAAAACCGGGGCGGGAGCTTGGGTCGTCGTGGCTGAAGTTGCTGTTGTTCCCGTTACACCAGCAGCTCCGTCGACCCCCGCTTGTTCCGCGGGGGGAGGTGGCTGTGCGCCTGCTCCTGCGACGCCGGTACTAGAAGAAGCCGCTGGCGGCGGGGGAGGCGGGGGCGGTCCTGAGCCAGCATTCTGGCCTCCACTGAGACTGGAATTGGTCGTTTGCTGCGGTGTCGTTGTGGTTGACGCGGCTTGGCCGGTGGCTGTAGCTGCTGTGGACACTGCAGCAACAGCAGCAGTACCTCCTGGCGCGTTAGTGTTGTTCGCCGTAGAGAGTAGACTCGAGCCTCCGGCAGTCCCTATACCTTGCTGTTCGTTTGGCGCAGGCGGCGGGGGTTGCAATACCGGGTCTAGCTGCGACAACACTGCGGAAGATGATGTTGCTGTGTTGCTAGCTGTGTTTGCGGCGGAAATTATCGCACCTGTCGCCGGGGGCACGACACCACTGGCGCCCGCGGACGTCTGGTGCTGCTGGCTGCTCCCCCCGCCTGGGTGTTGATCCACGACCTCCCCGGTGGGCAATGGTGGTGGTGGCGGAGGAGCGATGGCCGTGCTGGACGAAGCGGGGCCGGTTCCCGCTATCACGCCCGCTCCTTGCGCCGCCGGGTCGGCGGCGGGCCTGCTCTGGGCAGCAGAATCCGAGCCTCCTCCTCCGACCGGCGGTGGAGGTGGCGGGGGTGGCGCGGTGGCCTCAGAGTTCTCCATACTGGTGAGTATTAGCAGGCGTAGTTCCGGCGTACGTCCTACGGATGAAGACGTGGGCGGAAGATTTACTTATTTCTACGCACTTCCAGCTCTAGCACAATTTTGCTTCCGTTTGAAGATGAGCAGGCTCGTAGTTGTTACTGCTGCTCAATACCCGTAAGTACCCACGACCTGTACGACGACCTCTCTTGTAGCCATGGCAGGGAGAAGGAGAACCAACTCGGAGCGCTCACAACGTCGATGTTGTCTTTGGCATAAAAATCACCTTATGCGCTGCAGAAGTGCGTCGGCCGCTCGTGCTCCTGCAACCAACTCCTGAGGATGAGAACGCGGACCGCAGATGACCTGGATATTTTCGAGTAGGGGAAGTTCCGGCCTCCGGCGACGCGACATCAGTTTTGTTTGCGTTTTCAATCTTGACTCGCTGCATCGTTTGGTGTTGTTGTATATGCTTTTCTTCCTCCTATGTGGCTCCCTATTTAAGTACACAACCAAGGATAAGTAGAAGGTTGATGCTGGGCAGGTGATTGTGATCAATCATGAATGGGTAAAAATAGTGTGATGACTCTATGCAGGATTCTTACCGGCGCCAATGGTAATGGAACTATGTTAAACATTCATAAGGAGAGACTTCTCAAGACTTGCTGTGAAGATACTTTGCGCCTGACACTGTCGTGCTTTATTCCTCATGCCAACGTGCAAAATGGCTACTCATGAAAACATGTCTTTATGAACACCAAATACATCTAGATCTATCGTGACGTCGAAGAAAAAAAATCAAAGTAAAATGTTGAAGGCATTGATATGCTCTCTACGGATAAGTACTTACCACAGAGAATCACATCTACCGTCTGAAAATAAAGCCCAAGCTGTTCTGTATTCGTTAAAAATTGCGACTTTGGCACAGTTGTTGATTTTTATAAATATAGATTTCTGATACTGATGTTGCTCTGCATGATCATCTTTCTACATCTTCCTCGGTCTCGGAGCTAGCAACCACCAACATGACTTCATGGATCTTTTTGTTGTTCGTAATATGATGCCGCGTCTTGAAGTGCCCTGCTTTGACTTTTTCTGAAACAAGGTTCCTCGGTGGGTCTCATAGTGAAGTACAACTTTTTCGAATTACTAGGTGCGGGAACGGACCAGGTTGCACCGATTGGATGTATGTCCAGCGATCTGTTTCTATAAATATAGTCTGCAGGTAAGTAAAACCTTCGCTCAACAACAACGTGCAAAAGAGACAGTGCACAGCCTCGTCCGTTGCATAGTCTTGTTCCGCTTTTCCATTTCAATGTTCTATGAGGAAGTGTTACCAAGCAAGACCAGAAATCCCAATATGGCGTTTAAGCATAGGAAGCAACAGCAAGCTGGCACCACGGTCATAATTAGTACCGGCTGCAAAGCGTTGCCAGAGGACGCATTCAACTTAGCAGCATACGCAAAAGAGATTCCTGTCTGCCAGCTCCTATATGCTGAAATCATCTCCACAGGAGTACGGCGAAAAAAAAGTCGGACTCGCTCCCTCCAATCGTGATATCGCATGATGTTGCTCTTTAAATTCATTCGTACCTCCAATAGGGTATTTTGCTCAGCAACATGAACACGCTTGTATAGAAACGAGAAGCAACACGCCCGTGGTTTATTATTTTCAGCGAGAAACCGAGGAGGCTCCTCGAGTGCTGGCACGCTTCAGATTTACCTTTCTTCTTCAAATCGGACAATTTAAACCTCTTTTTCACGACACCAAGCGTTCTCGGATGTTGATGTGTTTCATCTACTGCAGTACAATGGAGTGCCTCGTCGAAACCGCGATCAGGGTTCTCCTCTTGAAATACTACGATCGTCGTTGGCTTTTCTCGTCGTTCTCCCCCGTGCGTCCTTCTGCAGAAGCAGAATGAGAATTCTCCGGGCAACGAACTACACCCCCTCCTCGGCAGAAGACAATCGTTGCCTTTAATTATTCCACCCGTGCCTCGTGGTCTACTTGCTCAGCGCCCGTGCAACGAGTGCGGCCCAGGTATCGACGTCTTCGCCGGGTCGGGCAGAAGAGGGACCACGACGCGGAGATGATGCCCCGTCCTCTACAGCGTCCTCGCCGCCGATTTCCCCGCACGCCCGGTCGTCGGTCCAAGAGCTTTGGTCCACCATGCGTCCGATGTCGTCGCACCACTCCGCGTACCCCGAAACGGCGCGGCGCAGGTGCGAGTTGAGCGTCAGCTTCATGTCCTTCACGTCGCGGTCGAAGTCCTCCAGGAACCCGAGGATGGCCTCGAGTAGTCGCTCTTTCGGCTGGTTTATGACAGTGCACAACTCCCCCTCGCCCTCATTTGTATAGCATGAAGGGCAACACAAGCATCAGCAAGAATGCCGGTTTTGCATGACAAATTTGCACTGGATTGTAGTGCTACTTGGGCTACTAGAACTTGTCATGCAAACAGTGCCATCATCGTCATGTAGTGGACACCCGCTCCCAGTGCCAAGAGGCAAAGGGTGGATTGGGTATTTTGCATGACCAATGAGGGGGAGGGGGAGTTGTGTACTTTCATATGGTTCATCAGGGAGGCAGCTTCCTCCCGCAGGCCTTCCCACTGATCGTCCGCGCCGTCGTCGCGCATGACGACGTCCGGAGCCGCCGTGCCGCCCTGCATCAGTTCGTCTGCATCGCCGCCGCCAAACACGTGGCTGTTCCGCGCGAGGTCACCGGTAGTAGTTGCACGAAAAGTTGTCCCGCGGCCCCGGTCGTGCTGGACCTGCAGCAGCGAATGCAAGTGTTGCATCTGCAACAGGTGGCCACCCTGCATGCCGTGTGCCGTAAGCAAGAAGGTGAGATTATCCTGAGTAAAAACGTCCCCACACCATAGTCAAGATGGGGAATCGGCTAGACAAATCCACAAGTTTTGGCTGTTTTGCATGACAAATTTGGATTCGTAGTGTAGTGCTGTTTGAGCCAGCTCAGCAGCATCACAGATCTAGCATACCATGCTGATTGGAGCATAACAAAATGCAAAACACCGCTAGAAACTGCTTCTCATGGGGCTCCGCATGAGAAACATTTTCAGCATGCAGATTTGCATTACAACTATGGGGTGGGGACGTTTTTCAATAGGATACAGATCCCACCCCGGCAGCGGTGTCTTGCGGAGAACGTCAAAACTGCACCCCGATGTTGAGCCACTGCTGGAAAATGTCGACGTCCGCGAAGTCATATGCATTGCAAAAGTATCGTACTAGTAGTAATCGCATTTACAACAAATTGGCTCAGCATGACAAATGGAATTTGTCATGCTATTTTGCCTTGGGATGGAGATTTGTAATGCATAACTGCGATTAGGATTACTACGAGTACGATACTTTTGCACAGCATAAGTCAGGAACTTTGTGTACTGCCGCACCAAAGCCTCCTCCAATTCGTCCGCCTTGCGGAAGCGAAAGCTGGCACGGACGCTGTTGATGGTCACCTCGACTTGGCACTTCTCGTTCTATGGGTTGCAAATATGTCTGGGTCTGGAAACTTGTGATGCAAGCCCGTGAAGAATAAGTGCTCCGTAATGCGCCGCCAAGCATTACAAATTTTTTCGTGCTTCTGTGCTGTGTATTTCGCATGAGAAACTGCGCTTGTGCATGACAGGCCAGAGGACCTCTACTTGGTGCCCACGCAATACAGAGCTCAGAGTCATGCCAGACTAGCATGACAAATCTCGCAATCTTCCAGACCCAGACCTATTGGCAATCCATACGTTCTCGTCTCGAGCAATTACGACGGGCTTCAGCCTGCAGTCTGGGTGCATTTCCTGCACCTCGACCTCGGGACGGTGGTTTTGCCGCTCCACCACCGGCGAGGGCAGGTGTACCACGCAGAGCGCCGCTTTCAGGGTTTCAGCGACGGCCCGCAGGTAGGGCCGGTTCGTTAGGTGTTCGGGGGATGTGTGCATTGCAAATATGTCTGGGTCTGCAAAGTTGGAACTTGTGATGCTAAATTTGAATCATGCAAAAATCTGTGCTGCGTGAGCGCCAAAAACTGTCCACTTTCGACCAAGTTCAGGATAGGCATGATAGAGACTTCGCAGACGAGTCTGTCATGCTAGGTGCTGCATTGCAGACCTCATCGGGCATGGAAAATATGCATGACAAGTCTGCACTCTTCCAGACCCAGACATTTTTGCATTGGATAGGACGCTGTGGATGTGGTGGAAGGGGGTTGGTGCGGCGGTTCCTGCTGGAGGTGCTGGGGTCGCTCCGCGGAGGACACCTTCTGGTACTTCATTTTTACCGTGTGTCTCAGTAATTCTTCTTAATATTCCGCTGCGAGACTAGCACAGCGGTGTGTTTTCATACAACTTGGTGGCCAATTGTCAATGACAAAGTCTCCCCGTTGCCGTTCACTCTGCTAGTAACCATACGTTTGTTTTTTTGGAAGGCCTGCTACATTCTTTCTTCATCTGTTTCCTATTATCAACGCACGGTGGAATTTTGCTTATGGGAGTAGCTTTATAGTCTCATCAAGCTCTACCGCATACGCGATCCGTTCGGCTGGCTTTCAACAATTCCTATGAAGGGTGGGGCTCAGTGTTACAACTATCGCAGCCATGTCAAAATCACCGCAGTTTGGTCTGGTTAACACGTACTCATCAATCAGCCGACTATCACTATGTGCAGCAGAATAACGTATCACTATGGAATAGACAGAAACAGCACAAATCAATTTATACTCTTACGTACATCTCGTTCTCGTAGTAGATAGCCATAAACAAAGTATTTGTATTTGTCATATGTGCATTATGCTTATTTTCTACGGCGCTCGTCCCGCATGCACTTCGTCACGATCTATGCTCGACCACACGGTATGCTTTCTCGCTAAGCAGGCAGCAGCTGGTCATCGCTCTGCATTTGTTTTTCCAAAAGCTAGGGTAGGTTGAAAGGATCAAGACCACCACCAGCGAAAGTTGTGCGCAAGTGCAACCACATCATGATCATTGGGGAGGAACTAGCTTGACGTCTTTTTTGTCGGTGAACTTGCTAATTTCAAATTGTTCGCCAGACCCCCAAATAAAGTGATCCACCTGTCTTGTATGGCTGCGCACACGAATGAAACAATTTCAACAGCACACTCCAGTCGGCGCCGCCGCTCATATGTATACAAAGAGAAAAAAAGCCGCCGGCGACATGGGACAGGCACGGGGCTTGGGCGAACATCTGAGATCTCCATCATACATCACTGAAGCGTCACCGGGCAGAGCCGGACTTCTAGCTCACGCACTGATATCCATTCTCGCCGATGTTGCTGGGCTACGATATTAAAACTCAAGTGGGCCATTGATGCACCCTCCTTCTAATAGTGACACTGTTTCTGTTCATCTTTATTTCGGTCTCTAGGCAGTGGGCTTCTGAGAGCAACCAAGCAGTCGACGCCTGGCGCTCCAACGGATCGCGACCAACAGCTGAGCGGACATCTCCCACTGTAGTTTCGTGCCGGAGTATCTAACTATATTCGTAGAGATTAGTTACGTTAGATTGCCTCCAACGCCTTTAATAACGGGTTCGGACAGAAGGACCAGCACACACCTTAGTTCCCCGTCGGCGTTGCTGCTATCCATTTCCATCCAACCACAAGGCCCAAAACAATACCTCTCTTCTTGCTCTTCCTTGCGTCATTCGAGTACGTGCCTTAATACAACGCCTGGAAGGCCCTACTAGGTCTTCATTCCTTTCTACGGGCGAATAATGTCTTGTCAGTCACAGTGACTGACATAAACATTCCTCTACGAAAATGAAACATGCGTAAGGTGCGGAAAATAAAACCAATGTATCAGTGACGCAGAGAAGTACTACTATCTTGACTGAAGTATTCTCATCAATTATACTGCTCTTATTTTCGGGGAGTAAACTCCCAAGTCAAACACGCAAAAAAATCCTTAAAATTGAATGGATGAAGAATACGCCAGACTCGACCTGGATCAACGAGGAGGCCCGGGGGATAATTCTACAGGGTCTCCAACAAAAAGGTCAGGGTAAAGCGACTTCCAGAGGTCTCCAATCGGACGCAGCATATGACTTTCATCGCCTTCTTTGCTAACAAAAGCAATGCTCGGCACCTTTCCCTGGGTGAGAAAAGCAAGCTGCTTTTGCCAAACAAAGGCGTGCCTAGATTGGTTTGAAAGGGCAATCGCTATATCTGGCCGATCACCCAGTAGTTCCGTTGCGGGACAACAAAACGGCGGCGGATCATGCCCGTGCGAAGCCGCTACCGTGCGTGCTTGTTCAGCTTTAGCGGCATGGTCCATTGCGTCTTGAATCAGGCTCGCTCCGCCCTCCACATTGAGAACAATGTACGTGACATGCTCCGGCTTTGCTTCCGTTGCTTCGCCACTCGCTTGATCTCGGGGGCAGTCTTGGTCCGGGCAGGAGAACAGCAGACCAATGTTCTTGTTCTGGAGTGTGGGCAAAGTATAGGTGGGCACAGGCCAAGAGCGGAAGGCCAAGCATTTGGTTTGTCGCAGCACTGTCTTTCGGTTGCGGTACTGCTTGTGGTCCGGAGGTAGAAGAGTGGAGGCTGTGGCAGGCCACCTCCCTGCAATCATGCATAAAGCGACGAGCGCATTTGCTGACCTGACCAAAAAAGTGCCAGGGCCTCGTCCTTGTCGAATGAAAGCTCGACAGAGGGCGATCGGAAGTGCAGGCACGAAAGAAAAGGAAAAGGGTGCCACAACACCTGCACCGCCCTGCCGCTTCCTGCAATGGGCCCATAGCTTCGCCACAACAAAGTTAAGCCAACTCCTGCATGCGATGCCTAACTAAAATGGGCTTTCAGAGAACGGGAGGAAACCTCGCCAGGGCGGTCGGCAGACGGAGAGCCGCCGGGGGGCGGACTGAGGTACACACTGAGGCCACGGCCGGCCGGCTTAGCACTTCTGGCCGCCGGAGGCACTTTTATTTGCTACCCACAACACGGCCGCGCCAATTAATACTCTGAGCCCCGGCCGAAGGAGCTAGCGTGGTGAGTGGGAGCGGGGGGTGCGCGCGAGGGCGGGCGCGAATACGGTAGCGACCGCTGGCCGAAGGCACTACAAGGCTTGCATACGCGGCTGATGCCCTCTGCGACGGGTGGGCTGTCTAATGGGCACCACAGTGCGGCCAGCGGCCCCGGGCAAGAAACAACCTGCGCTTATCAAAATTTCAAATGCTTTTTTTTCTGCTCTAGCTGCGTTTTCCATGTTTAATGCGGCTTGCTCAGCGCGTTCGAGTTGGGATTAACGTCGGACTGGTGGCCCGGCCAATGTTTGGCATCGAAATACAACTTCATATCTGCCGGCGCTCCGGTTCTTTTCAGCTCATGATGCGTAATGTAGCCTTGTAGGTTTTTGTTCTCTTCTGTAACTCCGCCACACCCATTGGACAAGTTTGGCTCTTTATAGAGGAAAATCGCAACGCCCTGATCTGCTCGGCGTTTGGAGCCTTTAAGGAAACACGGCATGCTTGCGATGAGAAGCCTCTAATGCGAATCCGGGTTGATACTTCCTTATGCGCATTCGCGCTTTTGACCTAAACCTAAAAAAAGGGTGTGTATGCTTAGGATCACGGGCCCGCCCGGTTTTTCATGATCTACTGCACGAAAGATCGGCTGCGCCGGTCTGCCGCGCAGCCGAGGAAGGCGGGTACGCAGATGCTGATTGCGGCGATCATATCTGGCAGCCTTCACCGAGAGGTGGAACACATGATCACAGAACACACAATCCAGGGAGCACCCAAAGCCGCGCAGCTTCGCAAGATAGAAACAGGGTACCCGGGCGCCCCCCGGGTTTCTGTCGTTCGGTCGCCCGTTACGATAAAGAAGAGCCTCCGGCCCCCTCTTTGCTTTTCCCAGCCATCCTCGGATGGGCCGGGCCGGCGACGGGGCGGTGGGGAGCGCCGTGTTGCATGCCAGGCGGCACCCACACCGTCCCACACAACAAGGCACGGCCCGCCTGCTGCCACCAGCATTGTTCTCCGGCTACCACCTTGATGGGGCGCGGCAGCCAGCTTCTCTGCGGGCGTGCAGCCGCAGGGCATGCACATGGGCCGATCTTGGTTTCGAGCGAAAAAGCGCTCTGTTGCTTTTGCTACTAGCGGCGCCACCGTTACGTTTGCAGCCCGCCCCCATTCCTGGGGCGGCAAATTATCCTTGTCAAGGGGCGGCTGAAAAGACATTGCTGGTGCGCCAGCGCATCTTGCTACTGCTGCGACGGCGGTAGCGCGTAGTCGTCGCGCGCTCCGCTGGGTCATGTTTACCTCTGAGAAGCAGGGGGCGCCATATATGCAGGCCAAAGGCGCCGAGACATTTTCGGGACGTTGGGATTTCACTTTGCGAACCGAAAGTGGCCCTTCGGGTAGTCATACCGCTCCTCTGCTTTGCATTTGGTCTCCGGGGGCTCTGGCTTCGACCAAGCTGTAATGACATCTTCATGCCAGTGAGGAACGAAATACACCTGTGGGTGTGGTGTCGAAGTCGATATGACCTCGAAGGTCGACTGAGCTGGAGACACTTTGGCGAAGTTGCCTTGCCCTGTACGAAGGCCATTTTTTACGACATCGCAACGCGCGAATGCACCAGCTGCTTTCAGGTCCTCCTTGACCGTTTTCGTTTTTTCACACTTATCTGCTTCTAGCGGAATCTCTGTCGCACCTCTCATAAGTCTTCCTAAGTTTTGCTGCGCGCGAACGGCGTTTCGGTGTTCGCGACGCTGCCTGACAGACTCTTCTTCTTGGCAATAGAACCACGAGCCATCGGGCATGGGCCATCGCTCCCGCACCGTCACCTTGCGCTGCAAATAGTCGCAGGGCTCGCACGCTTCTCTGGCTGCAACGTTGACACGCCGGAGCTGACTGGTCCCGGCTGTTCCATGTTGCTGGCTGCCTAGCTCTTCGTTCCACAGGTCGACCAATGCGTTGAGACTCTGTTGATAGCTATGCAATGGGTGATCTGGATTGAGGTCCACACCAATCACCTGGACCTTTGTGTGCAAGCCTGACTGGATTTCGTCGTCAAAATTCTCGAGCCTTCTCTCTATGTCCTGGAGCATTGTTTCGGCGATTGCGAATTTTTGTATCAATTCGGGGCCTTATCCTCTACAAAAATTTTCCGCCCGGCCCTGGCCAAAAACAACAGCGACTTGCGCTAGCCCTAAAAACCGAGCGTCATGTGTGTGCGCAAGCCCTCGCTGGTGCCTGCCCCTCCCGGCTTTGGCCGCGGTGATTCCCGAGGGCCATGCCTTCTGCCCTTTGCGCGATATCATGCTTTGCACTACAGGGCCCAACGCGTGCCCGGTGTTTGGCCCGGGCTACTCACCGTGAGCGGGAACCCCGCGCGCACATGTTCACTACCAATACGCCGAGGGTGCTGCGTTTGTTATGCCTGCAAATGTGTAAGTACGGGCGTCGAAACGAGCAGGGCGGGCGGCCTTTTTGCGCTGGATAGATGTTCTTTGTGGAGCTTGGCCAAGCCCAAGCCAGAATGTGCAACCGTTTGCTGCTGGGCTTGTCGTGCGAGGCCGACCAGATTTCGAATGGCACTCATACGTTCATGGAAGGCCTGCGGCTGGTCGCTATCCCTTTCCAAGTCTGCCACCGCGGCGGCCAGCAGGTCCAGATGGACAGTTGGCGAGGGGCCGCGGGCGAGCGAGAAAGAGAGGACCGACGCTGTCGAATCTTCCTCCCGCTTGTCAAAGTTTTCTTCTATGAACTCCTCTCCCAGAGCTTGTTTCACAAATGGGTCATCCACCACATTCTCCGCAATCATTTTCGTGTCTAACGCGTCTTCTAGCTTGGCTTCTTCCTGCACTAATGGGTTGGTCTCAGGTTTCTTCGCGACGAAATTTTGTGCAACCATTAGGTTCGCATGCAAAGTCACCTTGTCGTCTGCACCAGCTCCTTGAAATGATCCCAAGGCGGGCAAGTCCCTGTTACCCCGCTCACTGCTATGATTTCTTCAGGCGTTACTGCCTCAAACGGCGCAAATAGGTGCGCCCCTCTTTCGCTTTACAGTCATTTGCGATAGAAACGGAAATAATTATATATAATAAAATGAAGGACACTTATGCAAAAACGGCCATGGAAGCGCATTTCGGGCCGCCCGGCCCAGTTCAACGCCACGACGATAATTCCGCCTGGCATACATACTAAGCCGACGAGCATAAAGCGAACGGGGCCGGGCCACGCATTTGTACAGCCCTCTATGCGCACCCGCACGTCCCCGGCCCGGGGCCTGCCAACGTTGTGGGGCCATAATTTTTCCCCCGCCCTGCATCTTTTTCGGGACTGCCCCGCGACCTTGTCTTTGCGGCCGCGGTGCGTCACATTATATCAATTGCTTTCGACGCTGAAGGCCTTTTGCCCATCTAGGGTTCGGCCATTAGCATTGCTCTTTGTCGAAAAACTTTATTTTTCTAGGCTGTACTAGTACTACGCCGCGGCCGCCGTAGTGCGCACGTCTGATTGACAAGGGCACACCACACCGGCCGGCCAATCTTTGCCCGGGGCACATTCTTTGTTTCATTCTCGCACCACTCTCGGCCGGGGACCTAGAGTCGCCGGGGCCCCTTGCCTCAACTTGTCCGGGCTGTGTGCCAGGTACTCGGACCTGCCACCGAGTACCCACCACCTGGCTTCGCCCCGAGAGGGGCGGCACTCCGGGGGCCCACCCTGCTCCACCGTCTAGTTGCCCTACGCCCAGCAGCCATTATGGCTATAAAACTATCTTCGCCGCGGGCGGTCGGCCCCCGCTTTTGAGGCACGGGGGCGCAATGATTTCACTACCCATCCTGCCGGTGCAGCTGCGTCACACGAAAACACCTGAAGCCCCAATCCCAACCCACGCTCGCCCCAACGGGCTGATCTTCACTGCCCACGCACACGGCGCGAGCGGCTGCAGACCTGGTTTCACTTCGTCCGCCATAATGCGCCTTTGCTTTTGGAGTCCAGTTCGATGTTGGCGTGTCGTTTGCTGAAAAACACGCCCACGGCACATGGTCGTCCAGACCAACTAAGAAGACGGGGGCCCCTGCAACGATTGAAACTTCGATAACGTCTGAGGAAACCATAGCAGTCCTTTTCTGTGAGGCCTGTAATGTGAGTAGCTGCGCACCTGATCTTCAGAGAAGTCTTGTCCTCGGTCCTGTGACTTTCCGCATTATACGGTACCAAGATGTTGTCCTCCTGCGCTGCGGCAATGCAATACGGGGCGGTAATCTGTCGTGTTTACAGTGTGGCGAGTAGTAATACAATACAGTAAGGCGAGTGAGTACTCTATACTATTACTGAAAGGACAAATTAATAGATAGCAAACGAGGCAAGCGATGGCAACGAAAGTGAAACTGCGCGGAGCCACACCGCATCAATACTTGGCGCCCAACCCTAGGCGTTCGCCCGTGCCATGTGCGCAAGAATGCAGCCACTGAGCATCAAGCGATCGGGGCGCACGCCTGCTCCGTGCCCGCCTTGCCACAGACATGCCTGAACGCCCAACAGGTTGTAATTAAAGGGTGCTCAACGACTCCTCGCTAGGGAGTAGCCAACACAGTGCAGCCGCGGCGGCTCCGTCCAACAGGACAATGTAGCCGCCGCGAGTATTTGCTTCCGCGTCGGAGTACTGCGCAACGGGCCCGAGAGAAGGCCCAGAAACTGTGGGCGGGGAGATTGGCCTAGCTACGGCATGTCCCTTCGTTTTCCTAGCTGCATGCCTATCGCCTTCTGCTGCGGGGACAAGGGCGCGAGATGCTGAGTGAACGATAAAAGGGCGGCGCCCAAACCTGCTATTGCGCCAGCGTGGTCGCGCTGCGCCACCGATGCCAGCGGCTTTTTGTGTTTTCCGCCCCAGAATGTCTTCGAAAGCGTGGGCCATACAAATGCACGGCAAGAGGCCCCAAGGCTAATGTGTTCTGTTTTCCTGGCCTCGTCTTCCTCCTTCATGCCTCTTTCGGTCGGTCCATAATGGGACTCGCCGCAACCGACCCAACAAAGGACAAAACACGAGCCCATCGGCCGGACCCAGGTAAAAAGAAGGCCGCACACCCTCTGTACCCGAAGTCACAGGCGATCAGCCGTTCTTACGGTGTTTTTACACAGCGTTCAAAGCAGATCGCGTTGGGGCGAGGCCCCGAGGCCACCTGCGCGCTCCTTTCGCCGTTGCACGTAACCCCTGGTCCCCAGCAACCGGACGTGCTGGTGCTACATCGTTGTACTTCACAAACCCAAGCGGCCTTTGCGCGCATCTTATGGCGCGCGAGTAACTGTCTGACATATGCAGCTAGTGATCCCTGAGAGTCAGCCCTTTGCAAGAGCCTGGAGGGGCTTAAACACTGCAACAAGACCAAATGCCGCCCGTTTTAGCGGTGAGCGACCGAGCGTAGGGAGTCGCGCAATTTGAGTGCATCCGAAAACCCACTGCCGCTGCACTTCAGAAGAGCGCCACACCTCTACCACCTCATCCGTGTGGGCAAATTAGCCCCCAAAGAACCGCCAGTGATGTTGAGCAGCCCGCCCCACGTGCTCAACCTGACGTCAAACCGGAATCAAGAACCACAGCGCGACCTACCCTCTTTAGGGGCCGCACTGACTCCCTTGTTGCCGAAGCAGAAGGAGAGGCATACCGACGCCACCGGGGGATACAGGAAAACGCGGAGTCATGGCCTGCCCCGCCAGTTGCTACCGCCTAGGCTTGGAGCCTTGCCTTTTGTTTTCTTTCTCTATCGATCATTCTTTCTTTTCTCTTCTCTTGTTCACAAAACCAAAATGCTGCTCTGGGCAGACAAAACATTGCTCATCTATTGAGCGAGAGGGCTGTAGCCTGCTGCAATACCTCCCATATCGCAATCTGCCTGAGCTCCGCCCATCGGTGCAGGCGGTTTCCGTCAAAACAAGGGTCTTCTTTTGTCGCATCGTTTCCGGCACTCTTAAGATACTGTTCGGTGGCGGGAGTGTCTTTAGAACCCATCCAAAAGGGTGTAGTCGTCAAACTTGGCGGGCAAGGGTTCATGATTTCGTCCGTGCCTTCAAAGAAGGGCTTGATAGCTTCAGCAAATTCGAATTGGTCAGAGTCTTTCTCATCCTCATCGTTTTGGACGCCTTGTTGTAGTTTTCTCAACTGCCTTGCCAAAAACTCTTTTCCCATTGTGATAAAGTGCTTGTGATATTGGAGTACATATCGAAGCGACCTACCCGCGATCGGAGGGTTCCTGCCGTAAAAATGCTGCACACACTCCATTTCGTCTTGGGCGCGATCTGCGTTTACCTCAGGGGCCCAACTGTGAATATCGACCTCGAGATATCCTATGTGAAAACGTCCCCACCCCAGAGTTGTAATACAGCAAATCTGCATGCCCAAAAGCAAAACGCTTCTCATGCGGAGCCCCATGAGAAACATTTTCTAGTCGTGTTTTGGAATTTTTCGCGCTCCGATCAGCATGATGTCCTAAATCTGTGACGCTGCTGAACTACCTAAACAGGATTAGGCTACGATGCCAAACTTATCATGCACAACTTCCAAAGCTTGTTGATTTGTGTTTGTCTAGCAGATTTCCCATCTTGACTATGGAGTGCGGGTGGGGACGTTTTTACACAGGATACGACATCTTCCTCTGTGATGTACCCCAGCGTCTGTGCCCAATAATTCGGCTTCCATTTACAGTCGTCTCCCAGCCAACCAAACTGACTGTAGGCAGCATGAGTGAGGTGATCTTTTGCGACCTTGATCCTCGAGGTATCATCAGAAGCCACAAGACTATTTAACATCGTGCTCATCGAGATCGACCCATGGTCAGCTTGCGATACTGAACTGGAAGCAACACCAATCTGAATGGAATATTTTGCGCAGTTTGATTTATTTTGATTTTGAATCCTCATCAACCTTCGCCTTCCCTCACTTGAGAAATAGCGACGCATGTGTGTGACAGGCTGGAGCGCTGGGCCGAGTCAAGGTTAATGAGCTGCAGAAAAAAACAGAAGGAACAGGAAGGTAGCGCCAGTACTCGTTGCAGAGGAAGTTCTTGCAGATCTTCCACGCAATCTAGAAAGTCCTATCTGCGACAAGCAACGTGCTCACCTAAACCAGAGCACGACTGCGGCCACCTTGAGATGGTTGGGCGAACCCGATGCAGACAGCCAGGCTCTGTGTCGATTTTCTAAAGTTGAGGACTGCGATCCCATCGCACCACATGGACCACCCGGCGCGGCAGACGGGACTGAAGACTCGCTCGCGCTTCCGAAGGGCATTCGCACGCGCCCTGCTGTGCGAATGCCCGGAGCAAAACACATGCAGAGTTTGCTGCGCCCCCGCCCGGGGTTCGGCGCGCTTCGTCTTTTTCCGTTCCCATGCTTCGGCGCCCTCGCACTGTTATGAAGGCTCGAGAAAATAAATCTTGCTTCCCCTACAGCATTCGCCCTTTGCGAGGTCGCTTGGGTATCCTAGAACTCGCAGTTGCCCGATCAATGTGAGAGCGGTGCTCCGGCTGGCCTTTCGTCTATCTTTCAGGGAGGCCGCGACTTGGCTTTTTTGAAAAGCGCCAGGAGGCGCGCTGGAGATTTGCGAGGCATTTTTGGCTGCTCCTCTCCGATTGCGGATTCGGACAGGCGATTTCGGACGCGCAGCTAGGTTTATTGCAAAGTAGCCGAACTACCCGGGACCCATTTCGGGTGCCGTTGAGAGAACGAGAAGATTTGTCGCCCAACCAAGCAGGTCCCTTGCTCAAAGTGCGGGAGAAAGTGAAAAGCAGAACATGTCCTGAAGGCGTCGGCATAAGATCTTTGCTGCTGAAAAGTTTAAAAACTATGGAAGCGGACCCACATCAAGTACTATTTTGTTACGGACGTATCATCGGCGCGCCCTCACTCCGCACTCTTGTCTAGGGGATAGAGCAATGAATATATTGACTGCATAGAACAGAGTACGGGTACTTCCTCAATGAAAATACAGGATACCTGGAGCAGCGTGCTGTTACCGCCTGCCACTGGAGACGAGTACTTCTGTGGAAGTTGCTCTGAAGATTCGAAGGACAGGGTGTGCACGTTCCCCCTCGTGCGACCAGGCTGAAAAGAAGCCATGTCGAGCCCTTTTCTCCTGTTCTTGTGTCGCGCTTCTGACACTGGGCGAGATTTTGGCACAGCCGAGCTTGATGCTGACCCGTAGTGTGTCTCGTCACGAGTCCGAGAGGACTTTTCGGTAGGAGGCGCCCGACCGTCACCGACGGTGCGCTCTGTTGCTTCCACTTGCGCTGCATCTTCACCGGCATGCTCTGTTGCTGGTTTTGCTGCTTCCTGTCCAACAATGGGAGACGAGCGCGTGCGCAGCGGCGGCAGGGCAGCTACCTGCTCCCTTGGCGTCGGGCCACGGCCCACTCGTACGACATTGCTGACAGGTTAGAGGGCCGGCACTGCGCAGGGCTAGTTCCCCTCCGCAGCGCGATGCGCATGCAATGCCATGCGCCACGGCCGATCCCCGAAGGCCCTGCCCAACACGCAGGCTGTGTGTGGATTTGGCGGGGGGGGTCTGCGTCGGTGGGCGCTCTGGCACACAGGCCCCAGCCGCTACACCCGCCACGTCAGCAAAAGTAAAAAATCGGCCCGGCCAGTGCCCGCGCGCCCGTCCGGAGTTGTTAGCCCTCTACCCGAAACGCGTGGTGGGCACGGTGGCCACAAGCCTCACGGGCTCTGCACTTATCACGCCATCCCGTGATTCAAAAAAAAAACCGGGGAGGCGCTTTGGCGCACAGAGGCAGCGCGCGTCTGTATCTGCCTGTCTCAGGGCTAAGAAAGGCGCGGCCAGATCTCCCGCACAGATCTAGTGCCCAGCTGGGAAAAGGGCCTGGGACAGGGGCCGGCCAAGAAAAAAAAGGCTGCGCGGACGAGAGCCAACCAGGCCGAGTTTCTCGATTCCAACGGCGAAACAGCTCGGGCGAAGGTGTTTCGACGTCGAAACACCTCCGCGCGACCTGTTTCGACAAAACGCCACCGATTAAATCGGCGAAACACCTTGGCGCGACCTGTTTCGCCGATTGAATCGGGACGCTGGGCCCGGCCTGGTGCGCGGTGACGGCGCCCGCGCAACAGAAGCAGAACAGAAAAAGAGGGAACATCCAGCGGAATAGGGCCGCAGTTGTTCATAGCCTATTGCCGGCGGAAAATGAAGGGAAAAGCCGGCAAGCGTGTGCCGGTAGACGGCGAAGAAAGAAGCGAAGGTAAGCATGCGGGGGCCTGCCGAAAAGCAGAAATCAGGCCGCGTTGGCTTTCCGGGAAGAGAGACCGGACAACGCGCCGGCCCAGACACGGTGCGCCGCCCACCCAATTCCATTGGTTCTTTCATTCGCTGGCACGAGTCGTTTTCTCGGTGGGAACCAAAAAACAAAAACCCCAGCGCGGCAGCTAGAGGGATGCTACGGAGAGAACACACACTGCCTGCCCCCGCCCCGCCGGCAGAGGGAGGCTCGCGTGCGTTCGGCACTAGCCCCGGCAGCGGGAAAATACTTACCACGCCGCAGGCGGCAGCGCCGCGTGGGTCGCGCGACGCCTACTTCCGAGAGGCAGCAACGCCTTAGAGTGCGCAGGGGCTCCGCCAACGACGGCCCCTGCAGCAAGAAAAAACGCAGGGGACCCACGCTCGCGCCCGATCTATCACCACTTGGTTGCCAGCGCCTCCAGAGACCGACCAGGGCCAGGCGACCCGGGGAAGCCAACATTACACAGCGCAAAACGCCGGCCCCAAATCTGCCCGCGGACCATTTCCACACCCCTCGCCACCATTGACTGGGGGAAGACAAACGAAAGCTGGCGCCCCTCGCGCACCAAGTTGCGCCATCGCTGCATGCATTCCACCACGGCGCATCAGGAGCGTTGCCAGCCGCTGGCAACGCTGCAAACCAAGTTGCGCGCGCCACGTAAATATGTGCGTTTTACGATTGCAATCGTAATTTGGATGGTGCCGGAGCTGTATTGTGTGAGTTCATATGCTGGTTTTGCTGCTTCCTGTCCAACAATGGGAGGACGAGTCGCTGCACAAGGCCGAGTTGAAACCAGGCGTGTACCAGGGCGGAAAGAAAAAGCAGAACTTACAGAAGTCTAAAAAATATAGAAAAAGTGTATTCATAATTAAAGATAAGGTTATTATATACTAGCGCGCTTTCTAGACCGGTCTATCCACTTCTGCCTGTACCGTCTCTTTTCCTTTTTTCCCTACCACTCTAAGAAGTGGCACGTCATGCCTATCATGCATCAAAAAGCCAGACTATCACGACGTGCAATCATGCGCACAAACCAGGTTTTCATCCCGATAGGCCGGAGCCTAACATGCAAAATGCCAATCGACTTGCGAAACATATAAACACAACCATGAAGGTGTGGACAAAACCAAGCACGACTGGCAACAGGGGGGGAGAGGAAAACTAGGCGTCGTGAAAAGTCGAGAAAAACGGAGAAAGAGTGCTCGCTATTTTCCGCGTCTTAGATGGTTGCCCGAGGGTACAGGCGCCGGCTCCACCTTGAGCAACCACGCGGGAAATACGTGGATTGATTAGTACTAAAGCTACTATAATTATCTATTTGCATCGCTCAAGAGTGGAGATCAACTCATAGTTCTCAATTGGAAACTAACCTCTCTCAAAACGAAACCAAGAACGAGCGACAGCTGGGAATGAGTGCCAGGAACATCAGTTATAGCAGTTAGCTCCTTCGACATGAGCGCGCCACTGTCTGCTTTGTGGATCATGAACATGCAAGAATCAGGCTGGTACTAAGTAACTACGCCTTGCAGTGGTGAGTCATATAAAACTCTAGAAACACAGAATAAAAATAACGGGCTCACACGTTGAACCTAGCATGACAAATTCTTGGGCATCTTGCCACCAAGTACCACTCATGACAAAGAGATAAAGCCCCTGCGTCACCAACTGCAACCAGATCTAAAAACAGCCTATTTGTCCACGTGTGGTAATACAAAACTTCATGCATGGCAGACTGTCAGGTTGTAACTTCTTCTTTTTGAAGATCCTGCGTGGCATCCGGGAAAATCTAAAAAAGAGAGCAGCAGATTTCGATCCGTAAGCTACGTGCATGTTGACTCCCATGCACGTAATCACCAGGCATTTACTCGGTGCGTCTCTGCATCGAGTAAATACCATGTAAACCCCCCCGACATGTAGTAACCCCAAGTAGAAGAGAGACGGGCGAGAAACTGCTAACTCCGGGACCGGAGTAGGCATCTGCAAAGCTGGTCGGAGACCGAGGCCTAGACGCATAAAGGGGGACGTGCGGAAAGAGATGTGGGCGGCGCGCAAGAAGAAGCAAAAGGAAACAGGCATGTGGAGGAGACGAGAGAAAAAAACCCGTGGAACTGAGTGACGAAATAGGAGCCTGCGCGGCAATATTTCATCAGGACGAGTGGAATAGGGAGGGGCATTACCGTAGCGAGCCAGAGCGACCAGGTCCAAGGCGGGGAGCAAGGTGCGAAAAACGGTAATACCCAACCCCGCTGTGGTTACTACATGCCCGCACTACTTACAAGGCCTATTTTCAATATATGAAGGTCGCGCCCGGAGGGCAGATAAGGTGAAATCTATTTAGTTAACTAGCTAGCCCTCGATTATACTAAGCCTTGTCGTTCAAGTCGTTCTAGTCGTTTTATCGTTGTGTTGTTCCTTTTTCTCCGACTACTAGCTGGCTGGAGCGCTTTGAGCAAGTCGCGTCTCAGCTGAAGACTCCTCGGCCCCTGTTGTCTTTCATTCTGGTCAAAACCGTAGCGATCCCGTTGAAGAAGAGTCGCTAATGTGCTCCGGTTTGCCGGAGCTTTCGCCACTCTGGTCAAAAACTTCTCTATCCGTAGTAAAGTCAACCTGGTCAAAAACTTCTCTTTCGTATTAAAATCCCTTACTGTTCGTCGATCGTCCGTCCCCATGCATTGGTTGGTTCTGAGCAAGAGCGGTAGGGCGTTTGTTTTCTCTTGGTGTGCAGCTTGGTCGTTGTGTAGTTGTTACGGCGTGCATGTTCATCCGCTAGAGGCTGGTTTTTCGGAGACGGTAGTTGTTCATACAAAACTCTCTCACTCAGTAGGATTTACCTGAAGTTCGGCGGGCCAACTCCGAAGAGTTACAAACCACAGCCTTCCTGCAATCAGGGAGCAGATTTTTATTTCAGCATTCGTCCCCGTTACTCCAGGGGAAGGTAGACGGTGCTGGGAACATTCAGCGGCGTTATGTATCATGCGGGATTCTGAGATCCGCGTAGTCAGCATTACATATGTCAGCATCACAAACTCTGTTGCTGGTTTTGCAGCATTTACATATGTCACCGGCATGCTCTGTTGCTGGTTTTGCTGCTTCCTGGCCAACAATGGGAGACGAGTCGCTGCCCGAAATCTTGGACGAATCGGAATCCTGCCTCGATACTGCTCCATGATGTTGTGCGGGAAATGATTGCGTTGATGTTTGCTCGCCAATGTTTTCGTGGAGAAAGGAAGTGTGCTGGGCCGAATCGACGGGTTCACGGCGCACGGAAACGCTCCCGTTGCTCAATTATGCAGTGCAAATGTGTTTTCTGAGTCTGGAGACTTGTGTTGCTGATACTCGCATCCGCATCGCAGAATACCAGCATCAGAAGTTTTTCAGGCTTTTTGCGGATGCATTCGTCAAACGCACGACAGACTGGCTTCCAGCGCGGCAAAAAAACTGGCGCCTTGTAAGTATTCACGCATCTTCACAAAGATCTCGACGTTTACGTTGACTTGTTGTACCATAGTTGTACCTGAAATCTCTTCAGCATTACAAATCCAGATCCAGACATAATTGTAATGCATATCCGCGCCGGATGTTCGTCGACTTCCGCCGCAGTTTCGGTGTGGCCCGGCTGTGGTTTCATCTCCTCATGCTGCGTATTGGTGGACGAGTCGCTGTTCGCAACTTCGCTCCTCGCCTGGGAAAAATCAGCAGTTGTAACTGCATCCAATTCTTGCGTGGGAGAGGGTGGCGTCGGTTGCCGCTTCTCCTCGTTTTCGTCGAGGAAGGACGCGTGCTGGTGGGACGGGACAGCGACTGCGGGTCCAGGGGGCAACACGTCCGTTCCGCTACCGGCGCGCTCCGGTTGCTCGACCTCCGTCGTACCACCACCTTCGGCGTGGCCACCAGGCGACGAATCCTCGGGAAGATGCTGTGCATTTTCCAGAGGAGCGCTGCTGTCAGTGACTTCGTTGGACCCCTGCTGCAGTGCGCTCGCATATCGCACGCAAAACGACCGCCCACTCCTTCAGAACCAAATAAACGATTTGTTCTTTAAGTGGGACCTGTTGTTTCTATAGGTAGAGACCAGCTGCTAACAACCTGGAAATCATGGTAAGGCAAATACAAATGGGGATGTATTATATAGTGATGTCTGCTCTGTTATCCCTTGAGCTTGAGGTATAATTGTTTGAACTTGAAGCCCGCACTTTCACGCCTTTAAGGGTCAGCGTGGACTTTAAGTAACTGCTTTATCTACAAGACCTGTTCAAGTTCATGATCTTCACTGCGACTCCGACTTTCTGCCTCAAGTAGAAATAAAAAACTGAATTGTTCGCACGGAGCTTTTTATTTTTCTATCGTGTCGGTAATGACTGTAGTGTATAAAATGATCAAGAGCAACACTAAATATGCATTATATGACTAGAGCGTTTCGCCAACGCATGGGTCGAAAACGAAATCCTTTCACTTTGGTTACAAGGCACAGCTGTGGCCGTTTTGTGTGGGGTAGCTGACCTCCTCCCTCCGTGGTTTGCGCATCCTGGCGCCCCGGCTTGTTATCCAATGCAAATCTGCAGTCCGGCTCCGGGTCAGGGTTTGCAAAGTTGCACGACGACATCATCATGATCGGTGACACAAAGGAGATCTGATGATACATTCATACCGAATCATGTAGACGCGCTGAGTGAAATGCTCGACGCGCTGCATGACAAAAAATCGCGACAATCATTTATCACATCAGTGGCCCCACGATATACAGGCTCGTCTTCCGCGCCATCAAAGAATGATTATTATCGTGGTCACATGCAGGAGGTAAAAAGACGACAGCAACCGTTCTAAATCATTTTTGCCCGACACAGAGCACGCATTTGCAGTGGATATTTGTCTTCGGCAAACACCTCCCACCCAATGAGCTTGTTGATGTCACTCGCAAGACTTCCTCCGTCGCGGCGCTCCAAAAATTTCTTCCCGGCCACCCCGCGAACCCCAGCTCCACCAGTTGCAGAAGGCGAGGATGCCACCGCAAGCGCGAGGGCGCGCGAGCAGTTTTTGCCTTTCTTCCCCATGATGGTCTACTTTCTTCACAACTTTGCGGGAATTCGGTTCCTACAATCAACTTTGCTTTGTTTTCGTTGTGGCGTGTGGTCCGACAGGGCTCTTTTCGTGCTCGTAGTCTTTGTTCCGCCACAGTGTTGTATTTCCTCGTGGTCTACCTACTTAATGCAGACTTTGCGTTGCGCTTGCGGTCGCCGAGCTGGTCCTTCCTTCTCCTGTTTTTCAGCTTTCTTGCCTTCGAAAGCGCTTCTTTTTCTTGTTCTCCTCAAGGGTCCACCGCCTTCTGCGTTTTTGCGATTACCTGTATTGATCAACAATGAATACTTATGTTATCGACTTCGACAATGTAGTTTTTATTCTTCTTTACCAGTACCAGTTCAAGTCTTTCTGGCTGTCACGTCACCCAGCGCAGGACAATCAAAGGAAATCAGAGAGTAGACTAAGTTTGAATTTGAATTTTTTTTTGGTGCATTCCTACCGTGTTGGAGTTGTTCAGTTACAACAGCGAGTCTGAGTCACAACACTCACATGAGAAATAAATCATACCGCGCTGCGCAGGTGAAGACGGGTGTTTTTCCTTTTCTTCTTTCGTTTCTCCTCGTTCGTTCTACTTGGTACAGTTCCGAAGCAATTCTTCCTCCACTTCTTCGTCTTGCTCTGTACAACTGTTCTTCAGTTTGATACGTTCGTAGTACTTACTTTTGTTTGAGTGTGTGTATCGAATTCGCCCCTCGTTCTTCTTCTCTTCTTTACACATACAATAGATACTTCTCGCTGTTGTTAGACTTCTTTATTCTCGTATATCAAATGCAAAGATGTCTGGACGACCTGAGATAGAAATACAGGACTTTGTCACGCAGATTCTGCGTTCTGGTTCTACAGCAGCAGGATCACAAGCAACTTTCGACATGACAGCTTACTCATGCCTAATATCCTGAAGGGGAAATGCCCTCGTTTCCGCGTGGCGAAGAAATGAACGCCTTCCCTTCATCTGCAAGTGACGCAATACAACAAATTTTTTCAAGAAATATGATCGAGATTTGGAATCACAAATTCCATGACTCTTTCCCGATCCAGACATATTTGCATAATGCATATCTTCTCGTCTTCTCGTGTTCGATGTGCCTTACTACGCCCGGCACTTCTGATTACTTGTCGAAATTAATTTGATGGAAAAAAAAATGAAAAATCGAAAATTAGAAGGGGAAAATTGATATTGAAATCTTTTTACTCGTGGGGGTTCAAAATGTAAAACAAGCAATAAAAGGGATGGATCGTTAAAATGTGAAGCAAGTTGGGGTACTACTTGATTGAGATTGAGATGCAAAGTTGAAATGTAAAGCAAATGAAGTTTTAAATTCTTTTTAAAAAACAAAGTACTGGAAATAAAAAAGGGGGGCAATGAATTCAAGGGAAATGATCGATAGTTCTTTTAATGTAAAGTCGTCGGAAAAGTAAAGTGTGAAAATCTTGTAATGCGATGATGAAATAGAAGTTGATGGTGGTACTACAGATTTTATTTTGAAAAGCGGTATAGAGATTTCTTTTATACAGTTTTTGAATGCTGAGAAAGTAGTTGGTGACAGTTGAACAAATTTGAAAACAAAAACTCAATCTCGAACTGCAAAGATATACACGCGACAAGAAGTTTTTAGCACTATTACGGGGCCAAAACTACGGAGTAACGTCCTTTCTCGCAGGGAAATTAAGCCTGGTAAATGAGCGGGCGAAGTGGACCACGTGCATTGCAAGAAAGGGAAAACAGCCAGACGACAAGGAGCAACGGAGGTACAACAGCAAAATAAGCGCAGTCACAGACGGGCATGATGAAATCGAACCGATCCAACAGCCACCAAGCCACAGTCTTTCATTTTGGACGAATTATCTTCTTCTTCGTGTTGAACGGCGGAATACGAATGTAGAGTTCCACTATTGGACGATGAAGGCGACACTTGTTTTACCATGCGGCCGAGGTAGAACGCAGACGTTACCGATTTGTTATTCAAGAAGGGCTGCACGAGTTGCGGCACACCGAGGCACTAAATCAAAAGTCAGTGACACTGACACACTGCTGCACAACGAAAGCGAAACACAAAAACTAATGGAAACCGACGTCCTCGATTGGCAAGAATCCTTTGTGTTGAGTGTGTACATTTGGCATTCCATCAGGCAGGAACTACAACTATCCAGTTCTTCTGAATTAGGGACGACTGGTAGAACGAAGTACGAAGTACTGGTGACCGAAAAGAAAATCGACAGCACCGACGCTCATTCATTGCCGACGAGATAACTACTGAAGAAAATAATTCAAGACACTTTGACAAATACATATTACCGTGTTGGCTTTTCATTTACCGACGAAGAGTTTTCGTTTGGATGAGAAACATACGGAATTCGCAACCACAGTACTACCGCTCCTGCCTCAAGACGCGTAAACATCGGAAGCGGTCAGACAATTATTTTGATTTATACTTATTCATCAGCAACTCATCTACACTTGAAGCGTCTGTTCGTTTGGCAAACTGTAGTTACTGTTTCACATATTACCTCCCGGTACGTAGAAGTGGAGCGCAAAACCTAGCAAAATTTTATTGGTCGTGTAGTAGTTGCTTCGTTCAAAAACAAAATTTTTTTGGCGTTGACTGTTGCAAACCACAGAGAATGTTTGTTGTCGGTAGATCGACAGAGACGTTGGAGATTTTACTACAGAAAGCAAAATTTGAATTTGGGAAATCAAACATCGTAGGGCACCGCTTGTTACAACATCCCCTGTACAACTACGTCCGCGGTCCTGATGGCGCTGGAAGCCCTTCTTGCAATGCCGACGTTTCCAGTTGGCTTGCCACCAAACCCTCGTTTCCACAACAACTGCTGGTTATACTTGAACTTGTGTTACAAGTCGACCCGGGCAGCTTGCTTTAGAAAACTACATCCGTTTTTTCGTCAGCTCTAGTCCTTCATCATGTGCAAAAGTATCGTACCTGAACGTCCTGGTTGCAGTTACGCAAGACAAACCTCTTTTGCTTTTCAAAGCCACTTCAGCATGACAAATTCCACTTGTCATGCTGATATAATTTTGATTTTTGCTACTGGCATGCGATACTTTTTCAATTCGTATCCTTCATGTGGTCCTTGATGTTCCGATAGTACCTTTCCATGTGCCTCGCGAAAAGTTGATCGATCTTCTTTTCCATAGGCCCGCGAAACGGTGGCAAATCGGCGTGGGCGTGATGCCCCAGATCCCGCAGCAATTGCCGCCACAGGTCGTTTCTCGGCGCCGAAAACCAAAGTTGGTGGTATGCATTGTAAATGAATGTTTGAGTTCGGCGGGAGAGTGCACTTGTTTGTCGTGCATGTTGGTCTCCAATCGTGCACGCGAAAGCATGATGAAGTACAGGTTTCTTGGCGCAGGACTGTGGATGCCTTTTCAGCAGGATAAATTCCCTGCTCGCGAAGCAAGAAATGACAGTGAGCTGCTTTACACTTCTGCGCTCAAGCAACACAAATTTTAATTTTTCTCTGATCGAGAGTTTGGTTCGCATCACAAGTATGCAAAAATTCTCCCAGACGCAGACATAGTATTTGCAATTGATAGGGCGGTCGGTTGGTCGACTCGGACCGGTCTATCCACCTAGAGAAAAGCTGCTTTGCACAATAGACATCATGCCTGTTGTCTGGCCAGCATGAGAAATTTTCTGGGTTCCCAGCGCCAGTCCATTTTGTCAGAGGCATTGAAGATGCAGAGTACAGACCGCATTTTGCATGCAAAAAAAAAAAAAAAATATCGTGGTGAGTGTAGGTGCAGTCGTCTCTGCCTTACAAAGCTTTTACATACGCCAGAATAATACAAGCAACTCAATAAATAGTACATGTTTTTATTTTGTTGTGTCTTTCTCCGTGGATAGGGAAGCCACAAATTTCGTTCCAATTCCGTTTCCAGCTGGCCTTTCGCCCAGAGGCAGGTGCCGCCAAAAAGATGAACGTGCACGTTCGGATTCCGGCTGTTGTTGTTTATGTTCTTGCAATCATGTGTGGTAGTTGCAGCAGAGTGAGGATCGTCGTTTAGCAAGTCGTAGCAACCCGACCGCTCCACGATCTCCTGTACGTTTCCGTCCAGGTGCTATGCGAGTGCGTGACTCCTCCTTTCCCTCACTTTGTTGTCATGCTGGAAAATGCCAAGAAATCCAGTTCCTGTGCTTTGGCACTGTTTGCATCCAAAATTCCGGTTGAACAATATTGGCGCAGGAACTACTTACTTGTCATGCTCAGGCTCCATGATCATGTGCGCTAGTGCTTCTATTGGCGTTCATGCCCTTCGAATGAGACAAGGGTTGTGCTGCACTCTCATAGGTAAAGCCCGTCATGCAGACGAATGGCGCCCGCAACGTTCTCGCAGTCATGCAGAATCTGGACCTTCTGCTTATAACCTGCTCAGGTGTTACAATCTCAAACGTTACGATAGAATATCGAAATCCGTGACGCAAGAGGTGCATTAAATGTAGCCAACTCTCATAGGATTGCGCATGACAAGTTCTTCCGGAGTCCCAAACCGCACTACAATCTGGCGAAATTTGTATTGCAGAAAGTGGAATGCTGTCCGAGTCTGTCATGCTCGTCATGCAACACAAAATCCAAATTCTTTTGTAACGTTTGAGATTGTATTAACGTTTGAGCAGGTCATACTGCTTGTGCTCACAGTCCCCGCCCCGGTGGAACGGAAAGGATTCCAGTGCCCGAAACAGGTGTCGGGCGTGTCTTTCCCTCCTTGTGCTGTTGGTTCCCGCGCGGTCTGCAAGTGACAAAGGAGTACTTAAGATCTGCCCGCCCACTTCTGCGCCGTTCGTTGAAGTCGCAGTTGATGATGATGTTGTGCTGCGAAAAAGCTGCTGGTTTTTCTCGCTTTCTTGCAAATCATGGGCCACGCGCAGCACCTCCTCCAGGGTGAGTGGGAGGAGGTCCTGTGGTATTTCTGCTTATGCATTGCAGATATGTTGTCTGGGTCCTCTGGAAGGGCGCAAACTTGTCATGCGGATTTCTGTTGAACGCGAACTGGCACAATAAATCTGTGTTGCATAGTCAGCAAAAGTAAGAGTGCGATTTTTCTCTCTTTGGGAGGGCTGCATATCTCACGCAGACAGGGCATGGAGATAAAGCCTCCGCAGAATTTGTCATGCTCTGTGCGCATAACGACAGACATTGCGTTCTTGCAGAAGAATTGCATGACAATCTTCTGCAGCTGCACCCTTATGTCAACAGCCCGAGACAAGAACATATGTGCATTTGATACCGATGATCGACCGGCGCCACCATCGCTTTCTCCCGTCACACGATCTACTCCATAACTCTTGTCCTCTTGGAAACTCATCAAATTTTCCTTGTCCACCGACGGAACTGCAGGCGTGCCGAAGGTGTGCAGAAACTCTGCGAGCTTTCCTCCATTCATACTTTGTCTCGTGCCCGAAGCTGCAGCCGAACTTCTCCCTTTTTCCGTTGTTCTACTTAATGCGCTGTTGTGCGATGAGCCACCTGTGGGCGGGTAAAACGGTTTGTTCAGAATCAAGCCGGCGCACTGCTCCTCCGAATTCTCCGTGATGACGATCACACTTCTGTGCAGGTTTCGCTGGAAATACGGGCCCAGGGGATGCCCAATCAAAACGGTGCCCGGCTCGATTCGGTTCGGGTACAGAACTACCTTTTTGTTCTTGTTGCGCAGCAAGAACTCAGTTGAAGAAGTGTTGTTGACTCCAGACGAAGTCGTGCGGCTTCGTCCCTTGATGTTGGTGCTGATCTCCCCTACAAGACCCTGCGGATCGTGATGATCTGAAATAGAATTACTGGCTGGGGACGAGGACGCTATTTTTCCGCCCCCTCCTGAGGCACTTTCCGCGTTTTTTCTTGGGAGTTCTGTTCTGGTGCCCTCAGTCGGTTGCCGTACCGAAAACGATGACTCGACTTCTTGTTTATCCTGTTTTTGGTCTTGCGGTCCAGAAGGTTTTAATGATGGTGAAACGCCCCGCCCGGGTGCTCCTGCTACTGGGCCCTCGGAAGTACAATCTTTTTGTTCAGAATCAGACGGCGGCGCGGTTGACGCGGCTCTAGTTGTCGCGTCATCCTTGGTAGTATTATCGGATGGAAGGTCCGGCTGCGCCGCGGTGGGCGGTGGTGGGACCAGGAGATGATCACTAGATTGCGAAACCGAGCCCGCTGGTGTAGAAGAAGAGGACGACCATTCGTCGAGCCACGTGTGATCTACGTCCTGGTGGGTGCTTTGCAGGTCTCGCTCGGTACGCAGGTCGATGTACACGTCGTCGGAGTCCAGCAAGTATCCTGCGCAAGAGTATCGCACTCGTAGTAATTGCAGTTTTTTTTACTCAAGGTAAATCCGCATTATTTCATTTCTAATGCTGAGAAAATTTGTAATGCATTTATACGAGTAGGAGTACGGTTTGTAATGCATAGCAAATCCGAGAATTCCAGATCGAGCTCGGCCAGCTGCGCGTCCAGCGCTTGCTCACTGAAGAACTCCTCGGCCAGGGGTGTGTCAAGGTCGTGGAAATCGAAGGAGCTGCCGCCGCGCAGCGCTGCGTTGTCAAACAAGTGCTGGTCCAGGTCCTCAATCTGTTCCTGCAACTGTTCCAGTTGTTCGTGAAACGCTGCGGCGTGGTCTTGCGCACCGGGTAGCTGGTGCTGCCCGTCCTCCATTGCGGTCCTGTAGTCTCCATTGCTGCTGGTCTCCAGCATGGGCAGCGAGGCAAAACCGCGAAAGTATCGGTCGCGCGCGGCCGTGCGGGCCAGCAGCACCTGGACCAGCTGTTGCTGCTGCGTGGGCGACAAAACTACCGGAGCTGGTGATGATGCGGGGGGTGGAGGTGCAGTAGGAGCAGGTCCACTACTAGCACCCACGGCTCCTTCGATGTGTTGGGGGGTTTGGCTTTGCAGCTCCTGCCCGGGTTCAACACCTTCTGCTCTTTGTGCGGAAGGATTTCCTTCTTCTGCCGATTTATTGTTTACCCTTGCAGAAGATGCAGCTGCGCCGTGAAATAAACCTCCTCCGACGCCATCCCAGGCCTTTTTCGGCAGCCGCATCTCCAGAAATTTGGTGAACTTGGTATAACCCTCTCAGGGGTTACAATCTCAAACGTTACAATAGAATCTGGAAATCTGTAATGCAAGAACTGCATGATCTAGCCTACTCCAAAAAGATTGCGCATAACAAGTTCCAGAGTCCCAAACCCACCTGAAATCTGGCGAAATTTGTATTGCGAAAAGCTCAGTTCTCTATACGTTGGTTCCCCATGCTCTTCATGCAATACAAAATCCAGACTCTATTGTAACGTTTGAGATTGTAACGTTTGAGCGGGCCATACTTGGGCAGAAAAAGCTCCTTTTCGCCCACCACCCGCTGGATCTGGGCGTGCTTTTCCTCCGGAAAGAGTAGCTCGTACACGTCCGCTGTCTCGCGGAGCGAAAAATATCCTGTGTAAAAACGTCCCCACCCCAGAGTTGTCATGCAGATTTGCCATGACAGGAACATTTGTGATGCGCAACCCCATGACAGGCATTTTCAATCGTGTTTGGGAACTTGTAATGCTGTAAACAGGATCAGCAGATCGAGTTGTGATGTGGCTTTCCTTGCTAACTTGCACTACATTACGGACTCAAACTTGTCATGCGTGACTCCCAAAACTCCTAGGTTTGTGTTGCAAAATCCCCATCCTGACTCTGGTGTGGGTACGTTTTTCCTCAGGATAAAAAAGCGTTCTTGTTCAGCTCCGGCACGACTGGCAACTCCGGAGAAGGGTCGTCCAGCATGGGTACTGGTTCGTCGGCTTTGCCTTTCGAGTTCGTTTTCGTCTTTTTATCATTCAGCCAACGAGTGGTCGTGACCTTGCGAGTCGTGCTGTTTTGCTTCGAGGAAGAGGTGGAATCTGATGTGCTGTTATCCTCGTTGTGAAAGATTCCCTCGGCTAGAAAATTGTACTCCGAGAAAATGTACTCCTCCAGCAATTGCAGAAACTGCTTCGTGTTCTGCAACAGCAGCGGATTCGAGCTCTTGTTGCGCGGCTTGTCCGTTGATGTAGGGGAACCAGCACGGCTGTGGTAGGAGGTAGACGTTGTTGTACTAGTAGCAGTAGAGGCTGCCGTTGCGGGCGTCGAGGAGGAGGAAGTAGTTGTTTCTTCGCTAGTAGAATTGCAATTGTTCATCCCCGATGAACTTCCAGTACTTGTATGCGCGGAGACCACGCCCACTAGAGATGGAGTCGTGGCTCCTTCTGAAGTTGCAGAGCCTCCTGCAGAATCTGCATCAGAACCTCCTGGACTGGCCGCTGAAGACGCTGGTGGTGCTGGTGCCTTGTCGTTCTCGTCCGCATTTTTATCTGCACGAGGTGGACCATGTTCATGATCAGAAAGAAGTTTGTTCTCCACCTGCTGTCCTACCAGCGTTGCAGAAGGGGCGCCAGCACCTGGAGGAATGGCAACTCCGCCCTGGTCGGTAGCCTGGTTTTCCTCGAGTCCATGATCCTGTTGCTTGTCTTCACGTAAAGATTCGTTTGCGTTTCCACCTCTATTGTCCTCTTCCATACTGTTTCCGTAGTTCCCCGTAGTTGTCTTATGGAGATGAACCCCCTTGAACGCCTGCCTTCGCTGATGCGCCAGTTTGTGTTTGCGGCCTCCAGGAGGAGGGAAAATTGCGCCCGTACCAACCGCATTTCCCTCGAGAAGTACGGAGCGGCCTTCAGAGGCGTTGTCAACATCTCGATGGAGCTTTTCGGCGATGGCGCGCAACAAGCGGGTCGCCACGATTTGCTGGCGTTGCAGTGTGCGGTTCTTGCGCTGCAACAAGAGACGATCTAACTCTCGTTCCACGTCCTCTTTGGTGAGAGGAGCAGCGACCTCGCCTCCTGGTGCCAGCGCGGACTTCATGCCGTTGTTGGAGTGGTGCTCTGGAGTGGCCTTCATTCCGGATGTTTTGGTCACATCATCTGTGCCAGCAGAAGTCGCGATGTTCTTGTTCTTTCCCCCCGGTGCAGATGAGGACGCACTGGTCGTTCCGCTTGTAGTCGCGGCTGTACTACCTGTAGTCCTTGCTTTCCCCTTCGTTCCGGTTCGGCGACGCTCCAGACGGTCAAGAAAGCGGTCGACCTCCTCCTTACTGGCGAAATCGTACACACTTGTCCGTTTCGAGCTTGGGGTTGTGGATGTAAGAGTTTCTGTGGTCACCTCAGGGTCGTTCTGGTTTTCCTCTCGTCCGGGGATGGTGGAAGTAGTGGAACGACTGGAGGTAGCTGCATTTTTCCTGTCCGAGCCCGATTTAGAAGGAGTTGACGATGATGAAAAGGATTCACTTTGAAGGTGCGGCCGCGCCGGCGGTTCCTTTAGGTTCTTACCGTTCTGCTCACTTGAGATTTTCCTCGAGGACGATGTCTGCTGCAATTCCCCCACCGGAATTTCAAAGCGGACCCGCTGGTGTGGGGTGGTGTTCTGCGTATGCGACGTCTTCTTGCCGCTCTTATTCGTCGGCGCAGGTGATTTGTTTTCTCTGTTGTTCGTCGAACTGGTGGCTCCTTTTCTGTTTCTCGCGGAAGGACGCAGCAACTTGGAGTCAAGGAAAACGTCGAGTTCCTCCTTGCTTTCGATTTTCCGCACGTCCTCACGGATGGGCACGATGCGCACGGAGCTGGGAATCACCCGTTCGAGAAAGCCTCTGCTCTGCGCCCGCGTTTCCGCCGCGCGAAGCCCTTCCACCGTGCAGCCCGGGTGTAGCAGCTCCCAGAAGGCTTTCTCCCACGCGGGATCGTCTTTCGACAAGACCAAGGTCCGCGGCTCGGCGTTGGGCTGCTGTTGTTCTTGCGCCTTTTCTTTTGACGTGCTGCCAGCATCTTCTCGATCAGGAGAGGCGCCAATGGCTGTTTCGTCAGAGCTACAGGGCCCGCCGGAAAATGTCGCGTTTAAGTCGCCGGTGTTCGTAGTCGTACCGGAAATTTCTGTATCCGCCAGAGAACTTGTTCCGCCCCTCACGTTCGACGTGGATTTGTTTTCCGCGTTCGCACTAGCCGTGGTTTTCTGTCCCTTGCTACCGCTCCCGCCGCCGTTGTTCGGGCTGCCCGGGGGTCCGGCGGTGTCTCCAAGCGCGTTCTTGTTGCGTCTACTCAGCAAGCTGCCGGCGCTGTCGCTGGGCCACGGCCGTTCGCGCCACAACAACTCCGCAATCCCGCGGTCCAGAGCGGTGCTGTCTTCCGGAAATGCGCTATCGCCACTGAAGCCCGTAGGCGATGACGCCGGAGCTGCTCTGCTATAGCCAAGACCAGTTGTACGTTTGATAGGCTTTTCCTCTTCATTTGCAGCATTTTCGTCCTCGCCGCCGCTATCTCCTGGCGTCTTCGACGCAGAGTGGTCTCCGGACGTCGAGGAAGCGCTACTTGTAGTTGCGGAGGTGCTAGTTCCGTGCTCGAGGTCCTTTTCGGTCTGACCATCAGCTGTCTTACTTCCGACCGGAGATTGTTCAGCATGCAGATGATCATGATCCCTTGTCGACTGCTTGCGCTTCAGCTCCGCTGCAATGCTGTCCGCACTACGTGAGGGCAGCGGCTCGCTCTCGTTCGTCGTGGTGGTGCTTTTTGTGTTTTTCTTGCTTGTCCTCGCAAACTTGCCGTACACTTGGTCACCAACGAGCTCCAACTGTGCGATTGCAGCGTAGAGGGCTTTGGAATTCGTGCCAGTTTCGCCGTGGTCCCTGCTTCCAGAAGAAGAGTGGTCCTCTCCGTTTTTGTTGCTCCTTCCTTGTTCGAACAATGCCGCCATGTCCGTCCCTTGCAACATTTGCGAAACATTTTGGTCGATGGCGTCCACAACAGTTTTCACGTTTCGGTCGTTCTTTCTCCGCTGCAGTTCCGGGGGATCGCGAACTTCGGTTTTCGGGTCATTTTGTGTCGCTGCGGGTGCTTCTTCTCCTTCTACTTGGGCGGCTGTGTAGCTGCTTTCTTGTTCATCTCCACGAGCGGCGTCACCATCTATTTTCCCGTTGGTAGGACGAGGAACAGGGCCACTCGTCCCATCCTGCTGATCTTCAAGCAAATTGACTTGGTCCGAGGACCTGCGCCGCCGCACCGGCGCGCCGCGTCTGCCGGAGTTCTTGCGAAGATCATTGGTCGGACCGAGGTGGCCTACTTCACCTCCGGGCTGGTCAGAAACTACGTCTTCGTGGTCAACAATGTGGTACTTCGCGCCTTGCTGTCGCACCCGCGCAGTCGACGCGACAATACGGGACGAGGAGGGCAACTTTGTGCTGCTGAACGGCGAAAAGCTGGACGTCAGGTTGAGCACGAAGTTGAAATACTTAATCGTCTCAAAGGCGTCCTGCTGCGATACAACGCCTATCCTCTGCAAAGATATCTTGGTACGACTCGTTCTTCGAACTTTTGCCAAAGGAACAAATTGTGTGGTTTTTCTTGTGCATGCCAAAACGTATGTTTGTGCAAATGCACAAATGGTGTAAATTCAATTCTGCTTCATAATGGTACAATGATAAAGTACGAGTACGACGATAATTTTGCAAAGCATAGGGTCGGCCCGCACGTGCTTCACGGCCCGGGTAAGAAGGTACGGTAGCTGCGCGGAAAAGTAACTGGGCTGCAACGGTGAAGATAGTTTTTGGCGCAGCAGTTCTACTTGTTTCACGTCGCCCAGCTTATGGTGTTGATCTTCGCGGTTCCCACCCTGGTCGTGCTTTGACAAAACCTCCTCCAAAGCGGTACTTCTACTCTCCTTCGGCGGCGGCGGCGGCAAAAAGAATTCCCCGTCGTTATTGGCGCGTTTGAGTAGACGCGTCAGCACGTGGAACGCGGGTACGGTGTCTTGGAACTTGTAGGTCCGGGCCGATTCGTGCATCCAAAATTTTTTCGGCGGCGCCAACACGAAGACCCGTGCCACAGGATCCCGGTCGATGCGGCGGGCCGTGCGCAGCAGAAGCCGGTACAGGGCCGCCTGTACCGGGGCTACTGTAGTTTTCTTGGACGGGGGCGTCTGCATCTGCACCGTGCGTCCCCGACGAAATGGCGTTTCGTTTCAAAGCCTTTCGTCTTCAAGTCCTAGTACTTCCACGCTAGGCTCATTGCGGTTGTCCGCGGGCGCTGCATCTTTCACTGGTGGCCCGACTTTGCAGTTCTTGCTCTTGGTTTTTGGAATCAATAGGCGTCTGATCATGAAAAGCTTATGCGGACAAGATCTTCACCTTCTATCTTGTTCTTCTTCCTTCGCCACAGTTTTTCGCTCTCAGCCTGCCTCTGTTTGGAGATTGACACTATTGACGTCACGGGCACTCATACTCCTCACTCGCAGCTCCAAAATTGTGATACAGAAAGGGAGAACTAAACACGAACAGCTGTGTTGACGACACTCACCTGGCTCACAGATACTATGTGAAGCACGGGAAAGCAGGCGCGGTTGCACGTAGACAAATAAAGTGCGCCATCCGCTTTGTGGCTTTTTCGAATAATCTTCAGCCACCTCTACTGTGGTTCATTTTGTTCCTGTAGTTTTTTGTCTCGTCCGCCTTCTCGGACTACTGGCATTGACATTGAGACAGCGGGACTTTTGCAATCAGATTTGTTGCTTAAATCCGATGTCGTTCCCGCGGTGGACAACACTTTAATTTTGAAATTTCCATCAATGATCGGTGCGGTGCGTAGACTTGCTCCCATCGTACATTTGCTGCAATAAAGCCCGCCTACTTGCGCCGTAAGTAGCGCGAACGAAATTTGCATTTTACTACTTCATTCCGCCACCACCTAGGCTGGTCTTGTTTTTGCGCGGGGAAAAAGTAGACCCGATCTTACAGCTGTATCCGCGCAGACTCTCCATCTCCCCGGTGGTGTACTGGCCATTGATGTACTTCGTTGTGGCCCTGAAGGAAATTCACGTATGGATTTATTTGAAGGAAAATGTAATGAACAACCACAACTTCAACTCCAACCCGGCGAAAGAAAGAACAAGATGAACATCACTTCGTCAATATAACGAGATCAGGTACTACCACTACGGCCTATATCGTAACAAACCGAGAACTAAAATCATCCCGTACGAGCTCTTCAATGCCGTGTTTCTTGTGAGGTCGACTGCGGAGGAGAAAACACGAGAGCACTCTGCCAACTGTGTCCTCAGGTTGTCCGCTTTCTTCGTGTTGAAGTCCAGTCGCGACTTCGTTTCGCCGTACCTATTTTCGAAAATTTGATTTTGAAAGCGTACTTCTTTATTCCAACAACATGATGATTATCTTCAGACATACATCACATTGATGCACACAGGTGGAACAACATTCTATTTATTTATACAGTTTTTCCAGCTTTGTTAGTTCCGCAGTCTTTTCGGCCAACTGTTTGTTCATGATGCGAATCTGCTCCTCATAGATGTCCTTTTTCCCCCGCATGCCGCTTACCGTGGCCTGCAACCGATTCACCTTTCCCTGGTTGACGCTCGCATTCTTACCCGCTTCGCGGAGCTTTTTCTGCAGCTCCGCGGGCGGAATCTCCGCGTCCAGGTCTATCGTACCTTGGGACTTCATGATTTTGCTGGGCGTAGTTTTATTTCACTTCTGGTACGGTCGTCACTTCGGCTTCTAGCTGTGCTGTGTCCTCGAGTGATCTTCGTCCCCGACGGAAATTGAATCACGCGAGAAGTAGATGAAGGCGTTGCTCGTGTACAGCAACTTCTGAAGTTCAGTCGTGTCCCTGCGCTCGCTCCCGGCAGTTCTTGATACGCTTGTAGTTTCGGCTTCCTCCTCCGGATTGTGGTTCTCTACTTCGTTGTTCCGGCGACGCTTGCAACTACTAGTGCTCTAGCTTGCTTCCCTTTATCAGGCGTCAGAACCACAACGGATAGTACTGGTCCTTGACAAAGAGAAGTGCCGCTTCTACTCCTCACCGTGTCATGGCTCGTTGTGTCATCTTCTTCGCTGCTGCCGCGAAGGAGACTTTCTGTTGGTCCAGCTCGTCGTGAGAGAAGATGTTGTGACTACGGTGGTTGTAGTACTTACTTATTGGAGGTGTGCGAACGTCGGAACGCGGAAAAAACACCAGATGGACGAAGGCACTAAAGATGGCTCCAATTGTTCTTGAAGATGGGGTCTCTGTCTTTCGGTTTCACATCATACACTCGTTTATTTTCATTTCCGCGAGACGAGCAAATCGCAGAGTCGTACGCTAGCGTGCTTCGTCAAACAGGTTGTACTTTTACATCGAATCTTTGCTTGAGGAATTTCACTTTGTGGCTGTTTTCTTCCATTCTGTATCTGTTTACATATTGTCAAAAGAGAGTGAAATTCTTTCTTCCAGCAAAGGAAATCGAGCGTTGACCACGCTTCTACTTCGACACCAAGCCACCTCAAGTGCAGCAACCTCAAGCTCGACTTGTACTAGGCGTCTTTCCATATTAATTACCAAAGGAAGACCACAACTCGGGGGGAAACTAATTGCTTGTTCTCCGACTCACACACAGTCCACACACTCACAGCGCCCGCCTACGAATTTCATTCTCTTGTCCGCCCAGAATTTCTATTATACGCAAGTTAGTAGTGCCGTTGGACAAACGAGGAGGGACCGAACGACAGAAGACGAGACAGAGTCAAAAATAAACCGCTCACAGGCGCAAACGAGACTGGCATTGGTTGATTACACCGGAAAAAAAGCGACAGCGACTTTATATTTCATCTACATCTTTTTAGTGGTGCATAGAAGATGGGGAAAATATATAAACAGATTTTCCATTTTGTATTGCTATTGCCGCTCGTTGTTTATCGGTTGTGCATTTGATACGGAATAAGAATGAGCTAAAACAATGGTAGGTACTAGTAGATTGATTCCTAACACGGTAATTAATACGGACACGGACTGAACTGAATGCTCTAACTAAAGAATGAGAGAAGTAGTGTCTACTTCTGGGGAACGATAAAAAACTGGAAATTTGTCCATGTATGCTATTACGAAGTTCTCCATTGTTTGGGCCCATCTTCGTAAATCATCCGGCGCAACTTGTACGAATTCGCCTGGCGCGAAGGATTAAAGCCATACTCGCAATAGTTGCTGATGCTGTAGTTGTAAGCACCCCGCCCTGGTCTATTTCAGCCGAGACCCTGCACGTGACCATAAATCAGCCCGTTCTCTCGTTTCGCTGCGAATACGGAATGCACTCGCTGCTCGGTCCACCAACTCGCGGGTTTGTCCGCGAGCGTTGTCCAGGGGATGGTACTCAGGTCTTCTTCAACTTCTACGGCGCTGTCACCTTCTCCTCCGCTGCGACAGTGGGAACTACTTATTCGCGGAGCTGCTGTTGCCACACTGCGAAAACCGTCCTCAGTTCTAGTCGAGGCGCCTTTGTTTATTGTGCCACCCTTGCCCCCCACCTCACTCTCTTCCAACAAAGTAGACAGCCGGGCTATTCGGAAAGAGGATGAGTGTGTCCTGGTGTCCTGCAGCTCGTGCTCCACATGTTCGCGGTGGTCATGATCCGCTACTTCATTCCTTCCTTTGCTGGAAGAATCTAAATTCTGCGGCTCATGTCCTACTAGCGGCTTCCCTAGCTCGTGAAACAACTGCTTGCAACGGTGCAGGGAGTAATATGTGGAGCTTTGAAGATGTTGCTTCGCTCCCGCCTTTGCGATTTGCTTCTGCCATTGCAGCGGTGGCGCACGAGGATCGGTAGCTATTGTCGTCGTAGTGGTGCTCGCCGTCCTGTCCGCTGCGGTGTGTGGTTTATGATTTCGACGCAGTAGAACACCCTTCACATCTTCGAACGAGCCGAAGCACATTTTTCGGAAGTCCGCCCGGTATTCCAGGGCGGTGCGAATCAGGTGCAGCGGCTCGGGGGTTGGTAAAAGCAAAAGCGCCGCATTATCATCGACGCTAGTGCCACCACTTGTCGGGTTCGTGCGACTTCTGGTGCAGCGTGTGCTGGCGCTTGATGGAAGTGCATGCACAAGGCCGAGAATGGAAATACAACGCGCAGTAGTGGCTTCGCTACTTGTTGGTCGTGCGCTGCTATTCTGATTCACCGTCGTCGTGTTTGCCCTTGCCAGCTCATCTTCTGCGTCAGCAGCCAATAACCCATCGCAGTTCTCCTGACGCAGTTGAGTTCGAGGATCAGTACTTAGTATTTCCGGTACCATGTGCGCCAGTACCACAATATCCTCCACATTCCATCCCGCCTGCACCATCCAAGACACAACAGGCCGATCTGCCGGCCACACGCTCATGCCGATTGACGCGACGATTTCCTTCACCCCGACGAGGCGGCGCTTGGGACAAACGCCAAACAAGCAAGACGACGATGTAATTATCGGTTGTGCTTGCAGCACTCGGTCACTGATACGACCGCCAGCCGAGCCCGAGCCGATTCTGTTGTGGTTGTATCGTGGCAGGATAGCAGTCGCAACGGGCGAGCTCCAGTCAATACGCGTCTTGGTCGGGACGGAAACAAAAACTCCGCGGCTTCGGTGAAGAAATTTATTTTCCTTAGCAGGACGAGCCCCCGCGAATTCGACGACATCCAGAGCCGACTTTTTCTTGTTGGTTGAACTTGTATAATCTGCGTCGCTTGGTCCTCGTCCCGAAACATCACAGTCGTTTTTCAATTCCCAGATCGCCGTGTGCCAGCTGGTCACGCAATCACGTCTCCCGCACAAAACGCCACTGCTACCGGCTTGCAGTATCTGCAGTGGCTCGCGATTTTTGAACAAGTTCAGTCTACGATGCTGTCCCGGCTGCATGCGGTTGTTTGCCAGCAGCTGCAAACGCATCAGAGTTTCACACTCGGGAGACAGAGCCCAGGAGAGCGCTGGAGTTGTTCTGCTGGCAGCTAGTCGGGTTGAAATATGGTGGTGGTCTGTTTTCTGGTTCTTGCAAGTTGTTGTAGACCGGTTGGCAGTGGAGGCGGACTTACTCGCGTGATGAAAAGTGATGACGCGCGGCTGTCTTTTATTGTTAGCACACAGCATTTTCTCGAGATCCAAATAGCTCGTCGGAGAAGCCGCGCTTTTTCCTGCTTCGTCCAGAAATTTCTCGCCGGCCGTGATCGCAAAATTCTCGGAAATTATTCCACCGCACTGATTGCCTTTTTCTGCGCCTCCTTTATTCCCTTCCGTCTCATCCTTGGTATTTCGGCGATGCTGGTTGCTGCGGTTGGCTTGTTTGGCTTTCTTTGCACAAATGAATGTGTCCAAGATTTCCGCCGCCGTTGCCTCATCGTCCTTATTCTCGATCTTAAAGGGCAGCACAATCGTGCTGCAAGGACTAAAACCATCTTCTTCCGACGTGGTCAGCAAGCCGTTTGATGGACACAAAGGAGCAGACGCGACAAGACCAGTATCAGGACCTACAGCACTTCTACTACCGGGCGCTTGATCTTCCCGAGCAGTTATTTCCCCACGAGGACCTCGATACAACTCCTCACACAGCCCCACAGCAAAGCCCCCACTTTCGGCGCAGAAGACGCTGGCCATGAGTTGGATCAGCACTGCTGCTGGTTGAAAGTCGTACAGCTGCTGCGAACGGTCGTCGTATTCCAACGAGGCCAACGCATTCAGCCGCTTTTCCCACACGGAGAGTGGAGAGGCGAAGTTGGAGCTGCTTTTATTTGCACGACCGGTCGTGGTGGATGACAGTTCTGTTTTGATGCCTGCTTCTGACGCCGAACTCTTTCGAAGGTCTGCCGACTGTTGCTCTTCCAGTAGCCGACTTTGGAGCATGTCCGCAGTCACAACAATCGGGGCTGGCTGAGTTCTTGAGGATGGCACCTCGTCCAGCAGACCTCGGGCTTCTGTTGCCGGTGTGGCTGCCGACATGGGTCTGTCCACGTTGCTCGCCAGCTGATGCGAGCTCGCACCGCTCGATGCAAAAGATCCGGCGTCCCATGAACAGGACGAGGGCGACTGGGTCTGCCGCGACAGGGCCTGCGATTCCGATTGCGCAGCGAAGCTACTAGAGGACGACGCCGCGGCTGAGGAAGCGGGCGTAAAACTTTCGCTGACAATTCTTTTTTGCAAATGTTTGTCTGAAGACGATCTGCCTTCCGCATCAGTTTGCGCCGAGACTGTACTGTTTGAGGACCGCAAGAGCGACGTCCTAGAAGTTGTTCTCTCCTGCAGCCAGTGCTGTCTCCAGCGCTCCCGGTGATTTGGCACCACCAAGTTCAGCAGGGCCCGCGCAATCCGCGTAATGCCGTCGAGAATGTTCGCTGCTGCTTCGGCGCAGACTTCCTTATCTGGCTCGAAGAATTCCCTTCTCTGTTCGAATCTCATGTGCTGGAGCCGATCGTCACTAAGCATCTGAATAATGCGGCATCTGATATCCAAGGGCTCGCTGAAAAATGCTGCTTCCGAACCGCCATCAATAAGGCCCTCGCTGGTGGTGTTCCTGGACACCGAACCATGTCCGGAAGCAGTTTTGGAGCTGAAAGACCGCCCTCCCATGCCTGTATTTTTACCACTCTGCTGTTGAGCCTTACGGGCAGCTATCTTCCGCTCCACGAGCTCCCAGCGGCTGCGACGCTTCCTGACGCTTTCCGCAAAGAACCGCAGTCGGTCCTGTGCGTTGTCTTCACCGCTGGTGGTGGTGTGGTCAAAATACCCCGGGTCGAAGAATCGTTGCTGGAGAGAAAGCTTCTCCACGCAGCACGAGTGCGTAGAACCGTCCAGAATAGCCCCCAAAATCACTCCGTCCTGCGGCATGTCGAGAAAAACGGCAGTCGCGATGAGCTGAGCGACCAACAGGTCGTGGCAGGGAAGGGTGTGGACGAAAAGACCGAAGGTGGAGGGGAGGATGGAGGAGGAGCGGAGCTGTGTTGTGTAGTTCCGGAGCTGCTGTTTGTACGATGAGGCGTGTCTGCTCTGGTCTTCCAGTTGGCCTATGGTAGTACTACTACCTGCTCCACGGGAGCAGGACGAGGTGTGGCCCATTGCGAGGTCCTGAGTTGACAGGTCGGCTGAGCTTCCACGTAGTGCCGCCGTTACTGCTGGCGGCAAGGGTGTGGATGTGACGCGACCAGAATTATCAACATCGTTTTCAGATGAAATCGCGCCAGCGCTTTTATTGTCCGCAGTTTGATCATGGCAGTCCGGTGCAACACGTTCGGGAATCGACATCTCGACGAAGTTTTGGTCTGCACGGGAGTCTGCTATTTCAAGAGGAGTTTCGTCGGGGCCCATCGACTGGAATTGTTTATTCTTCTTGTATCGGTCTTGACCGGCCCTTTCATCGTCCCCGGCCGTAATACAGAATGAGTCGAAAAGACGAGCAGCACGCAATAAGCTAGAGCTAGTGGAACCTTCATCGACTTCATCACGACGATCTTCATCTTGCTGTCGCACTGCAGATGATCCCACAAGATGTTCCCCGTGTTGCCCGAGACTCGCGACCCCATCATGAGAACAAGGCACAGCATCGCCCACAGAAACGATAGAATTTTTTGTTTCCCCATCGCGCGCACTCTCCGGATGTTCTCGAACCGGAACCCGAAGCAGCCCTCTCCGGTCGCAGTCGCGCACAAGCACAAGCCAAAGGCCACGATCAACTCCGTTCGCGGTACTTTTTCCACCGCCTCCGTCTAGTCTCAGCTGCAGGTCTTCCAGCATGGCCAGCGTGGCGTAACAGCGATGGCGCTCGTGGTCGTGTTGCGTACTAACCGATAGTACCTCGGCTTGTTTGCCCGCAGACGCACCATCGTCACTCACATCAACCCCTACTGGCTCCCAGACCCACTTATTGGAACGCGCATCCCAGTGGCGGAATCGGCGACGACACACGGGATCGACGTAACCCGCGTACAAGTAGTCATTAGCGAGATGACCGGCGATGATCTTCATTGCGAAGTTAAGTTCTTGGGAGACTGCGCAGGCACGTCCTGCAGCTGCTTCACCACTCATCTCGTCGCCCTTCGAGAGCTTGTTTCTTTGGTCTGCTTGCAGCAGCTCTTTCCTGTTTAGGCTTCCAAAAACCTTTTGGATCTTCTCCTCGAGTCCGCGCAGCATCAACGCCCGTTCCGCGGCACATTCCAGGATCATTCCGCGTCGGTCACAGTCTTGCCAGTGCTGAGTAGAGCAGTCCGGTAGCGTATCGATCGAACAGGGCGAAGTCAACGAGTCCTCCTTGCAGTAGTAGCTCCCGGTAGTTGATATTTCAGCAGAGACGTTGTCCTTGTTGACTGGAACTGCAGCCCTACTCTCCGAAGCTCTTCTTGTCCTCGCGGGAAGATCTTCATCATTTTTACGGAAGTACAAGGGAAAGTAAAAGCCGGGCTGCCCATATGACAGTGCACAACTCCCCCTCCCCGTCATTTGTCATGCAAAATACCAATTTTAGGCACTGACACTGTGCCTCTTGGCACTGGTTGCGTGATAAAGTCCGGAATCCCAACCAATACTACACTCCTGTGCAAATTTGTCATGCAAAACCGGCATTCTTGCTGACGCTTGCATTTCCGTTCATGCTATACAAATCAATGAGGAGGAGGGGGGGTTGTGCACTCTCAACATAGCACACGACCGACCCGTCCGCGCCGCTGCTTTTTCTGCGCTTCAGTCGCAGGCCGGCGCTGTAACTGCACGGCGCGACTCACCTGGTGAAACTGTTCGCACTTTTGCAGTCCAATGTCCACTACGCAAAGAAGTTTCGGTAGCGTCACACCCGTCTCGCAGATATTCGTAGACAGAAGGATGTGCAACTCGTTTTGGTTTTATGCAACGCAACAATCTTTTCGATGTTCCCTCACCGCGACATATGGTTTGCTTTGCGTAGACTGTGTTGTTTCATTGACAGATATATTGCATGCAATGCGGGCCAGCACAAGAAACTAAGTTCGTGCAGCAATGTGATCATTATATTCATACAGGCCAGACGCAGACAGACTCGAAGGCGGGACAGGAGACATCATGATCCTTGCGCCAGTGCATACATCAGGTACGTGCTTCTGTGCGAGCTCGTTATCCGCCCCGGGCAGCATGCCGTGGATCTGGTCAATACGGACGTGGTCAAACTTTAACACGCCCTCCAGCTCTTCCTTCAGACTCGGAACGTCAATTGTTTTGCTCGTTTTTTTCTTCTTCGCCCTCGTGGTCGAAGTAGTAGCAGAACCGGTCGCCGAAGAGATGTTGGCAGTAGTACTCCCCACAGCTCGTGCTCGAACCCGCTGCATTTTGGCAAAACAGTCCCGCGTCTCGGGGTCCCCGGGGAGAAAGACGAGCAGCTTCGCGCCCTCGCGTTGCACGGTTTCCAAGATTCGGGTGTCTCGGAACACCGGTCCGTTGCTGGCGAGGAGCAAGCGGAGCACAAAAGGGACGTGGGAAAAATCGAAATCGTTGTAGGAAGTGTAAGTGAAGTCGGTTGGGATAGCACTAGTAGTACCAGGAGTCTTACATTGCAACTCACGGCTTCTTGTTCGGCGCAATAAAGAAACAAACTTTCTAGCTTCTTCCATCAGGTGCCACGGTGGAGAAGGACTGGATGCCGGAAATCTCGTCGCGCCTACTTGCACAACTCCTGGTTCCTGTGATGGAGGTTGTTTGTTTCGCCATCGAATATCTGTCATCTCCTCCAAGGCTCGTAGCGTTTCACTTTCAAAGTCCCGCGTCACCACCGGAAACGGAGTTCTGCCCTCGACGCAGAGCACCCGGCGGTCTTTTGGGTCGTTCTCCGGTTTTATCGGTATTTCGCGTTCACCTTCTTCCGGGAGGACGGGCGCTCCGTCGCTTTGCTTCGTTGCGACAGAACGACCGTCGTCTATAGCTTCTTCTTCATTTTGAGTTTCGTTTTCTGTCGCGGAATTAACAGGTGGTCCTACTTCAGCTGTGTCTACTGACGCGGCTTCCACTCCGTGGTTTACTGCAGGATCATCCTGCCGGTTGCTGGTACTAGAGTGTTTTGCCTTTCTTCTACCCCTTTTGGTGCCTCCGAAGCTGTGGAACCCGAGAGGTTCGAAATACTGCAGTAGCGCTTCCAGATTTGGCGTCGCGGACATCAGCATCAGCTTAATCGCGGCGTAGCGCGGGCGCGACAGATGGATGCGGAGGAAGCCAAAGAGCTGCTCGAGCTTTTCGTCTCGTTCGTGGGCTTCGTCTAGAATGATGTGCGTGAACTGATCCAACTGTAGTTTCATGATGTTCGAGACACCTGTTCCGGAGTTCGCTTCTGCAGCAGCGAGAGTGCTTGTGGCGAAAGCTGCCCCTCCTGTCGAAGTCGTAGCTGGGTGGTGTGGATCTGTCGGCGCGACGTGATCTTCCAATAGATTCATCGGGCCAAGATGTTGACCGGAGGGAGTGCTAGCTGCGGAGGTCATCGACACGGACGGTAAGAGGTCTCCGGTTGCTGTAGCTCCATGCCCCGACATGCTCTCTGCGAACAAGGGCCCTTGTCCGCTCGGTAGATTGCAGGCAGATGACGCAGGAGCCGTTGAAATCTGTTTGTAAAAGTACTCGGGTGTCAAAAAGACAATGGGCGCGATCTTCGGCCGGTCGGTTTCGGTGTCCCCGCCGATCCGATACGCCACAGGGGAGTTCGGATCCGCAAATAAGCCAGCACAACGATGAAAAGAAGCCGCAAACTTCGCTTTCCTCTCCCCAAATACCCCACACACGTCCTGGGCCAGGCGCGCGTAGATATGGATTGCAAAAATGTCTGGGTCTGGAAGATTTCGAGATTTCTCATGCTAGTTTGGCATTACTGTGAATTCTGTACTGCGTGACCACGAAGACCTCCTCTTGTCTGTCATGCAAAAACGATGTTTCTCGTGCGGAATATGCAACAGAGAGCCACGAGCAAATCTGTCATGCTTGGCGGTGCATTACAAGGCGCTTTCTGTTCACTGACATGCATCACAAGTTTCCAGACCCAGACATTTTTACATTTGATAGTAGAGGCTCTTGCACGTTTCCCGGCGTGGCTGCACCACGGCGATTCGGCAGGGTTTTTTGCGTATTCATTGCAAAAGTATTGTATCGCACTAGTACAGATTGCATTACAAACTGGCTTAGCATTACAAATTGAATTTGTAATGCGGATTTACCTTGAGAAAAAAATTTGTAATGCATGACTGCAATTACTACGAGTACGATACTTTTGCACAGGATATTGCGCACACAAATCTCGTTGTGCGCAATCATCAACGCCACCAAAGTAGACTTCCCCGTGCCCGTCGGCGCTTTCAGTAGAGAAAAGCGGTTTGCGTTTACGAGACGCAGGACTTTGCGGTATCTTTTCGCAACGGCAAGCTTCTTGCTTATTTGCCGATAAGGACCACCAGCATTCGTTGTTGCTGAGCCGAGAATGTGGGTATCAAAGCCACTTTGCAGGTACTGACAAAGGAAGTTATTGTTCACTTGGCTCTCTCGGTATAAACGGTCCCAGTACTGGCGCATGGTCGTTGCACTTGCCGGGCAGCTTGTAGAATAAGAATTGTGCAGCTGCAACTGCAGACGAGAGGCCGGAGTCGCGCCGGCACTGCCAGACGCGACAGAAGACAGCAGTGGCGCGCCATCTTCTCCTTGTAGTTGCCTGTTCTTTTCATCAACATCTCGCAAGCACATCGCGTCTTCCCCTTCTGAGCCGTCGGCTAAACTTGTACTTGTTGCGTCGCTGTCTTCATCTGACGTCGAGCTGTCACTCTCGCTGTCATCTTCGCTACTGTCTTCCTCGTCTTCGCCGGGCCTGCAATGGTCGTCAAGGCCGCGGACCAAACCGAGCATCTCACCAATGATTCTTGGCGGTGGAGGAAGAGGAGATGATGCGAAAGAGCTTGGCGGAGAGGTCTCAGTCGCGAGAGCGCCACCGGCGTTGCCCTCGAGAGCAGTGCGTATTTCGCCATCTTCTACGTCGTTGCCAGAGAAGAGTTCTTGATCTTGCAGCAGCATGTCTGTTTCTATTTCCGACCTCAACGTCAACCGTTCGTCCGGTACCGGCGCCAGGACGTGGTGGCGCAGGATGTAGCAACAAAGCGCACGCAGATTGTCGGATTGGGTCAGGTTTTGAGCAACTTTACGAACTGCGTCGGCAAGAGATCGCTCTTCGGTAGCAGGAGGCAAAAATGGGTCCGAACTCGTGGATATTGTGTGTGCGGCCGGTACTTCTTCTATGCCAGATCTGTAGCAGTTGCTTCCGCGTGCTGTCGCAGTTCTATCTGGCGCCAGACCTAGATTCGGCTCTTTGTTTGTTCGCGTGTTTCCAGGCGCTTGCTGGTGCAAAGCAACCAGCCTGGCACACAACGACCCAAGACTTTCCACAGCTGACTTTGTCGTCAACATATTGATCGGCTGATGCCGGCCCTGCTTCGCGGTTTTTTTCTTACTGGTGGCCCTTCGCAAGTGTTTCTGTTCCTCCTTTTGGATCACATGGGCAGTGGCGAGTTCGAGCTTTTCGAGAAAAGTTGTGAGAGACGCTCGAATATCAAATGTAAAAATGTCTGGGTCTGGAAGAGTGCGAGATTTGTCATTGTCATGCACGTTTTGCATGAGCCATGATGTCTGTGATGCATACCCTAGCAATACAGATTTTTTGAAGGCTTCTTGATGCCTATTCCGCATGACAAATGCCTTGTCAGCGTAGCAAAAATTGCATTCCCTTTGGTACTCATGCAATACAGATTTTTTTGGAATCCACACGCAGCATCACAAGTTGCATTCTTCCAGACCCAGACATTTTTACATTTGATATAGAAGGAAGCTGCGGAGGCGAACTGGACTTTTACCATTTATTTCGACCTCGCGTCGAAACCACACTCGTTCGTCTACAACAAGGGCCAGAAAGTTGCGAACAAGAGCAGCCTCTTGGTCTACTCTGTGGCTCCTGACGAGAGGAGCATCAAATCTCGCCGTTCCAGCCCCCGGTGAGTTGTGCCACTGTGCCGGTCCCCGCGCCGTGGTCTCCTGGGAGGTAGAAGAGAAAAAATCTTGGTTCATCGTCGAGAAGAAACAACAGACCCGGCTGCGAGTTGTTGCACTTCTTGTAGTACAACTGGCTCTGACGACGGTTTTGGTTTTGTTGTAGCTGCTCGAGTCATCGTCCATTCCGTTTTGTGCTTCATCGTCGCTCATAATCTTGCAGGACTTCGGTACTACATCAGAAACGCTTCCGTGCTGTTCTTGCGGAGTTTGTTCTTCGTTCGCATGCTCTGAGTGGAAGAACTCTGCTGGTGTAACATTTCCGTTTTGTTCGCTGTTTCCCGCGTCCTGGGGTGTGAAAATAGCCGCCAGATCGAAGCGGCGGAGGCCGGATGAAGAATCTTCACCTGTTACGTCACGACCCTCGCCTTCTCGATTCATCTTCTCGTAAACCACAACCACTTCGCGGAGAATCCCCTGCTCCAAGAGAGTACTAGCGTTACTAGCTTCACTTGTCCGCGCAACGGTCGGAGTCTTTCTCCCCGTCTCGACACAAGATTGCCTTTGATTTCCGTTGCAGGTTTTTGTGTGGAAGTCAATCAGACGCTGCTCGCACAGTCGAAGGGAAGTCGATCGCGATGCAGGTCCTGCCACTGTGCCTTGGTCTCCGTGCTTGTGTTTGCTGGAAAATAATGAGTCAGACTCTGACCGACTGCACCTCTTTGTATCCACTTCAATCGCCCCGCCACCTTCGTAATTACTCCGCCTTCTTCGGATTTCGTCCTCTTCGTTGCCGGTCGAATAAAGCCGTTCCCTGTACCCCTCTACCACATTCCAACAGTCCCGCGCTGCATTCACGGCTTCCAAGTCAGCGCGCGTCAGAAAATCGCTTTCGTCGTGGAAGAAAAACGCGGCGCCGCGAATCCGCAAGCCAATCACCAGCTCTTCGATAGAGGAGGAAGTGCTAGGAGAACTACCTTTTTCACTGTCCGATGCCGGTATCGAAACTGGTGTCCACACAAAAAACGCCAGCTCGGATCGCTTGAGAAACGGCCTGGCAACGGGGGCGACGATGGTTGTACTATGGCCACGAGGCTCTACTTGTCCTGATTCCCGTTTGATGTTTCTATGCGACGGGGGAACAAACCACGCCCAGCACTTCCTGGCCGCGGCCCGTAGGTCGTAGGTCTCGAGATCTCGAAAGTTCGGCGCGGTGAAACAGACGTCCAGGTCCGTGGCCCAGCGGGCGAGTGTCCTGTGGAAAAGCGTCCCCACCCCAGAGCTGTAATGCAAATCTGCATGCTTAAAATGCTTCTCATGCGGAGACCCATGGGAGGCGTTTACGTTTTCTAGTGGCTCATGCTCGAATCAGCATGACAGACTGGATCTGTGATGCTGCTGCACTAGCTAAACGCAACTACATTGCGAGCCAAAATTTGTCATGCGCGACAGCCAAAGTGTAGGGATTTGTGTACCAGATTTCCCATCTTCACTCTGGTGTGGAAACGTTTTTACTCAGGATAGCGAGGAAGGTCAAGCAAACGGCTCTCCTAAACTCGAAGACACAAGCGTCGTCCATGGTGATGCGATATCAAATGCAAATATGTCTGGGTCTGGACGAAGGTTGGAACTTGTAATGCTGGTCTTGCATTCCTGTGAAATCTGTATTGCATGACCAACAAAAGTGGCAGCCTCTCACGTCATACAAAAACGCAGTTTCTCATGCGGAGTCCATATGATAGAGCGTTGCGCAGACTTGTCATGCTTTCCTGCATGAGGAAGCGTTTTCATCGTGCACATTCTAGCATCACAAATTTCCAGACCCAGACATATTTGCACTTGATATGCGATCTTGGCGGAACAGGCTTCGCTTCGCGGACACGGAAAACAGCCAGGAGGAGGAATAGCCGTTGCTGTTGTCCTTACTGCAGCGTTGCGTCCTCGGGTCGACAGTGTTTCTCGTCTGTGAAGGGTGAAGTAGAGAACCCGCACAGCAGGCTTCATGATCTTCTTGACCGGACGAGATGTTTTCAGTTCTTTCCGGCACCTCCCTTGCTGTCTGCTCCGCCTCGTCAGGACGAGAAGGTAAACGGGCTCTCAGCAAAAATGAGGAGCTCGTTGGCTGGGTTACCGCACCATGTTGACTGCCGAGCGGCCCTGTAACGCCGCCACCACATGACACAGACGAAGACGAGGTCGCAGCAAGAGAAGCAGCAACAGCTGGCCCACCTCTCGGACGATGGACATCAAACCTCATCGGCTCGAATACCTGTCGACGATCCTGCAACTGGCGAAACCCGAGACCCGACCGCCTTCCCGCGTTCGCCGGAATGTAGCGGTCAGAACGGGGCGCGTGAAAAAATTGGGTGGAATTTCGTCCTGTCCCGTTATAGTCACTGCAGAAGCGGGAGTCCACACCGGTGTGCCACGCAAACCGGATATCCAGCGCATGGAGAACTGGAAACTCGACGTCTTTGCGCTTGGGCACCAGCGCAGGACGTTTACTATTTCCGACAAGGAGCGGACTAGCGTCAGACGCTCCTTCACGGCTGGAAGATGAGAGGTCCTCTGTCCTATCTGCAGGAGCAAAAAAAGCCTGCATCTGGTCGTCGCCCGCTGCGGCAAGAACATGCTGCAAATACGCGTCAGCTGCCCCCGCTTGCTGCTCGTCGTTCTCCTCTTCGTCTAGGGAAGATGAAATAAACGGCTCTACTGCAATTTGCTGTTGTAGCACAGTCGCTTCTTGTGCATCTTCACTCCAGCGGGCCAACAGCTGTCCATCGTCCTCCTCTTTCCTTCCAAACCCAAGCACCAACCGCTGTGTCGCCAGACCAGCTGAGCTGGCGGAGACATTGGACGCTGCGGCGCTGTTGTACCAATTCGCCCGCAGCTGATCGACAGGCCGAGGCTGCATCTTTCTTCGGAACATGTTGCAGTGCGCATGGATGGAAGGGGCAGGGCAATCAGCACCTGCCCGCAACGCGTGGTTTACCACCTCTTGCGCGAACACCTCGGCTGCTGCAGCAATTTTAGTTGTCCCAAACAGACCCGCGGTGGCGGCGCTACTCAATTCGGCGAGAAGCCTCTCGAAGTCTTTCTGTGATTGATCCATTGCTGCCCCTACAGCCACGGTTGACGGTTTCCATTCTTGCGGTCCTAACGTAGCACTGGTGCCTTCTCGTTCTAGCTCAGGAAGTTGCAGCCACAGGTGTCTACCGCTACCACGCGTCTGGTGTCCTGTGCTTGCTTCGATTCTGGTGACTCTCCCCTGCGGTTTTTCTTCTTCGTCATCAAAACAGAAATTTGAATTCTCTGGGTTCTCAGCAAGCCCACCTAAATACGGAGACCAGCGCTTGTCGTCTAGCAAGGCCAGTGCCTGCGCTTCCCGGTCCCGTTTCGCTAGCCACCCCACCGTCTTCGGAATGTGAGTACTAAAATTTGGAAGGCATACCGTATTTTTCGAGAACAAATGAGATGATGTGTAAGAACCCGCTGCGGCAGGTTGGTCGACGTTTCTGGTACGGCCAACACGCCCGCCTTCCGACATCCTCTGGTCGCGCACCAGAACTGACCGCCCGAACGCGGCTGTGCTGTTTGCCTGGGCGGAAATAAAGGCTGCGAGCAAACGCTGCATCATCAGGGGGGTATCCTGTTCTTCGCATGCGTCTCCTGAGTCAACATCTTCGATTCTCTTGTCAACCTCCTGAAAGAACACTCCGCGAAACATATCGACGCTTTTTACTTGCGAAAAGTAAAAACCGGACTGGGTTGTCAAGAACCAGGATAGTTTATTACCTCTAGGTCTCAGCAAGCCGCTCCTTGTTCGTGTTCTTGCGGACCTGGTTCCGCTATTTCCCCGGCGCAGCAAGTCGTACCTTCTTCCCTTACAAGTCGTCGTTTGAGCTGGAGGCACAGGCCGGTTGCTTCGGAAAGCCGACGCCGATTCTTCTTTCGCTGCGTCGTTCAAAACCGGCAGCACTGCTGGTGTAGCTCGCCCGAATTTACATAAATGCAGGAGCCTGCGGAGCCGGTGGCTTGTCTTTTGTTCCTCTATAGTACCGCTGCTCAACTCATCGAATTCAGGATTCAAAACCCGTTCTTCGCTTTGCAACAAACCCTTAACACAGTGCTGGAGCTTCTGGATTACCTTGTAGACTTGCGGGCCGTTGAAGATCGCTGGGAAGCCGCAGCTTCTCCCTTGGAAAAATTTCTGTTGCTCGTTTTGGAAATAAAAGCGCTTCTTCCTTACCAGGGAGAATCTATTCGATGACCTCTTTTCCAACATCTTGAATGCCGTGGCCAGTCGCTGTTTTCGCTTTCCGCCCCACATGTGCCGGTGCCAGAGCCACAAGCACGTGATCACAACTATCCGCGACATCAGCACATCGGCGTGGAGGATGGACGAGGTGGCAAAAGATCCTTGGGAAGTAGAACCCTCTGCACAACCGGAGACCGTCAATAAGCCACCATTTTTACTAGCAAGAACGCCGCCTCCTACGCTAAGTGCCTCGAACACGTCCCACACCGCGGTCGCTTGTGGAGAGCAGCGGCCAGCACCAATTCCTCCGAGCCGCAGCAAAGGCTCGCTTTGCTCTTCCAGAGCAGCTAAGATAACCAGCATATCGGGAAGCACCCCGAACACGTTAGCGTGAAAAGCCAGCCGCGCAAGCGCCGCGTCGATCGGGAGAGCACGGACCCAGGGAGTCACGCGCAGTTCGAGGAACTTGATTGAAGGCGTATGGGTTCTTGCAGGTGAAGAGGACGACCGGGGCTCCAGCTCGTTGTACGAGGAAGATGTCGGCGAGGAGAGACTTGTACTTTCCGGTGCTGCGACTTCATCTTCGCCTGCTGCAGTTTCTAGCTCTTCCGTAGCAGTTCTTTCGGTTTGGCGGGTAGGAGTGCCTTTCATCTTTGCGGGTTTTGCAGCCACCTCGTGTTCGATCGCCTCTCGTGATGTACCAGGTTGGGTCTCGATAGCGCCCTTTTCGTCCTGGGGCTCCTGTTTTTGGGACCGCACAAAGTCGTCGTCTGAGTCGCTTTCGTCGCCAAAATCGCCCTTCTTTTCAACAACTGGCTCTGCTTCATCCCGCACGAGGACGTCATCTTCGAAAACATCGCTGTCCACCTCCTGCGCCGGCAGCAAGGCAGGTATGTCTGCATCTTCACTTGCTACCATTTTTCTCGTATTTTTCTTCATCAGAAAGCCAACCCGGATAAGGCGGTCCAGCAAATGCGCAAACACGCCGGCACTCCACGAAACGCCCGGAAAGCACGCACGCACGCGCTTCTCGAAGGCATACAGATCGCCGCGCTCTACTTCTTGCTCGTGATCGTCGTGTACGTCAAGATTATGTAACTGGAGGATCATGCGAAGCGAAATCGCTTCGAGCGGCAGCTCCGGCGGCCTCTGCAAGGGCTGCAACAACTGCTTCGATAATTCTGGCGGACTTTGCACCGCAGTATCATCATCTGGAAGCACTGCCGTCTCGTCAATGGACTCCAATTGCGGTATGGTTTTCAGACGTGAAGGAGCTTGTTTTCGCGATGATGTTGCAGCTCGTATGGCAGCCGCGAAAAAGTCGTCCTTTCTCTCCTTTAGCAGTGGACATGCATTGTCTTGAATGTCCACATCAACATGCTTTTGCTTGCCCTCCAGTAACTCTCCTTCCCCTTCCGCGAGCTGTTGTCCCTCCTCCGCCGTCTCCCTCTCTGTAGTTTCATCGCCAGACTTCAGCTTCTTCAAAGCCCGACGGTTCTCCCTTTGTTCCATCGCCAACAGCTGGTTGAGTGCCTCATTCAATTCTCGCCGAACATTATCGCAGTCTGCAAGAGGACTGCTCGTGGTCTCTCGCTCATCGGCTCCAATGATCCCGTCATTGCCAGCTGTTAGAATCACCTTCCGCCAAAGGGACGTCGGGAACAGGCGCACACACAGCCCCGCACACGTGCGCCCCGTGCGGCCGGCGCGCTGCTCGCAGGTGGCCTTCGTGATCCAGGTGGTGGATAATACGTTGGAAGTCGCGGTTAGTGTGTCAGTGGACGAACTGCTGTTGTTCAAAGTACTCATCTGCTCTTCCTCTCTAGTACCAGAAACCGCCTGGTGGATGTTAAAGGGCTGTTTCGTCTTGTGCAGCCCAGTGTCAAGAACGACACCGCAATCTGGGATGGTTATGGAGGTCTGCGCAATGGTGGTCGCGAGGAAGATGCAGCGAAGAGGCTGAAACTTCAGAGTCAGGAGCGGAGGAGTGGAAGGTTTTGTAGTAGAGGCGTTATGGCTTTTAAACCCCTCACAGCTGCGCGTCTTCTCCGTGCAGCTGGTGTGGTTCATTGAGCTCGTGCTTTTGTTGTTGTTAGTTTCATCGCTGCTGCGAACACAGGACTTTTTCGTATTTACGCTCCGAGTTGTACATTGTCCTGTCAGAATGTTGAAGGAGAACAGCTGTCGTTTGTTGACAAGTCGAAAGCCATCTAACTCGTTTTTCCTGGTCAACTCCGAGCTGTGCATCACGACATCTCCGTCCGGGCCGCCTAAGGCATAGAGTAGTGTTTTCTTCCAGGCTGCGACCTCCTCCACCGTGCGCAGTCGTATAAATTTCTTCTGCGCGACGATCAGCGACTCGTTTGATGTTGATGTCGGCTTGGCTTTATCTTTGCTCGCAGAAGAATGTTCTTTCGCGAACCTGGACGAAGAGGCAGAAGACACGAGCAGCTCTCGGTGCAGCTTGAAGACTTTGTAGTGGTTTTTCCGCAAGAGGGAAGATTCCTCCCCATGATGCAACAACCCCGCCAAAGAGTTGATGTCCTTCATGCCCGGGAGAAAAACCAGAATGTTGGAATGTTTCCCCTGCAACACCGCGTTTGTGACGATCTCCCGAAGCATCTTCGCAAGGAGTGGCACCATGGCGTGTTCCACGATGCGCGGAAGAATCGTTTGCCACACGGAGGCCGTGACGAGGCGCTCGAGCTTTTGCTCTTCCAAGTCCTCTTCGAGTTGCGCGTAATCGTCTTGGAACAAGGTCGTGAAAGTAGATGAAGCAGCGAGGTTGGTGGTCTTGTTGGAAGTAGATGATCCTACGTCCGAGGATAAGTGTCCGCGAGACGATGTTGTTGACGCGAGGTTGTTGAACATCGGAGACGTGGCGAGCAGATCCGTCATGCACTGCTCTTCCCAGGAATCCCCCGCCACCAACCGCTGCAGCTCTTTACCGGTTTGCAGCATCTCAGGCAGGTAGAACTTGTCAGTACTGCAAGGTGTTGACACGACGACCGAAGGAGGTAGTGCCTGAGTAGAACTCTCGAGGCTAGTAGAACTGCCCTCCCCGACTGGCCTCGTCCGCTGTACTAGTCTTGAAGAAGATGCGAATGCGTCAAATTTCTCCTGCACCTTCTTGGAAAATTGCTTCACTTTCGCCTCCAGACTCTTCGCCCGCAAGTCTGCCGCGAGCTCCCTCACCTTGGCAAAGCTGCTGCTGTTGGTGAAATTTGCAACACCCTCCAGTTTCGCGTCCACCAGCTTCTCCCCAAAGGCGAACACTTTCAGCAGCGTTTCGTACGAAAAATCGTCTTTTAAACCGGGGAAGCGGGAGAAAAGCTGCGCCTTGTCGTCTAGGAACACCACGTCCACGTCGTGCGGGCGGCTACCGGGAATCTGGAACACCAATTGGTGCAACGCCTCGCTTCGGAAAAAATCTGAGGAGTCTAATTGTATTTGATGTTGGTCTTTTTTCTCTAACTCTATTCTGGTCGCTGGCCCAAGATGATTTTTCGCGTCCTCTTCCTTATTCCTAGTTGGTACCTCCGTCCCGTTTTTGAGAGCATCAGCCTGGTTGGAACCAAGAACCTCGGGCGCGCACGTGTTGACGTCTTGAGCAGTGCTATCAGGTGCAACCACTTCCTCATCTCTCTCAGCTCTTGGGGTGCCAGTTGTTGCAAGTGCCTCCTCGGCTCCTGCGCCAGCAAGTGAAGCAGGTTTTTTACTACACCAACTTGTTCGCAGTAGATTGTCCAACAAGCCGTTTGGCTCGATCGTCGCCGACATGAGGATGACTTTGATGCCACTTTTCACCAGTCTTGGCATCAGTTGCTTCAACGCCCACAGAACGGCACTCGCCTCGGGGCTGGACTCGTGCATCTCGTCGAGAATGATGTGCGTGTAAGGAAGGATTTTCTTTTCATGAACGATATTTTCGTTCTCAACTTGCTCATACTGTAACTGGCACTGCTGCGTGTGCGTGCTTTTCCCGCCAGAAAAGCCACACGCACCGTCCTCTCCTTGTAGGAAGCTCCTTACAGATACAGGTGGAGGTGCATTGTCTTCATCACCGGAGCCTTCACTGTGCGAGTGTGTTACGGAGGTATCCTCTCGCCGCGGCTCCCGCACGTTGCACAGGAGCACCTGGTGCAGCTCCTCCCAGAAGAAGCCGAAGGTGGTGAAAAGCAGGTTAGTCCATTTTCGACTCACCACCGAACTGTCGTTTCCGACGCGGTGTGCCACCGTGACTGGGGAGATTTTTAGGTTTACCCTCGTCCTGCTCCTGTGAGGCAGAGCCGGTGGATCTTCAAGAGATATCAACCTTGGACCTGCACTTGTACCAGCAGTAGCAGCTACGCCATTGTCTCCTCTTCTGGCTGCTCTTTTCGCCTTCCGCAAGAGCTGTTTTCGCACTTGGTCTGCCACTTGCCGAGTTCCATCGCGCCTGGGTTGGACAAGTAAAACACACAACTGCTCGCTTGTGAGCTTGGTCGACTTCGCATAATTTTTTGCACGACTAGTACGCAGCGTGTTCTTGTTGACAAAGCGACTCTTGGTACTGTTTTCGGATTCAACAGCAGGGCCGCTGTTGCTTGAAGATGTGAGATTATCGTGGGCACCTCGCGCGGAATTCAAATTCTTGTCCATCAGGTCGTAAAAATTCCTGTCCGCCGCTTCTTCGAAAAGGTACTGTGGGAGTTGTGTGGACTTTCCGCTGCCCGTGGCGCCAATGATGCAGCAAACCGGGTGTAGGTCAATATGGGCGAGAATCTCGCCCCGGCAGGCGGCGATCGGAAGGCTTTGATGCACATTGACGCGTTTATTGCTTCTCGTCCTGGATGAAGCACAAGCAGCAGGAAGAAACGACCTTTGGTCAGCAGATAACTGGAAGTCCGTTTTTGCTTTCCGGAGGGAAAGTTCTTGCGCCTGTTGTGGACGAGTCGCCGTATTTATCATAGACAGGAACGTAATGCTGCTGTGTTCATCTTCCTGGAAATCAAAATCATAGATTAAGTTCTGGAGAAGGAGTTCTGTCAGAAAACATCAAAAGCAAATGCAAAACATCGCAAGACTACTTAGATCAATAAGCACCTGGTCTGAATGCGAATTTCCCTCAAGCGCGTTGGCGTTACCCTCCTCGTCGATGGTCATTTTCGTGTCGCCGTCGTCAGATTTTCCAGTGCCACGCCAGGAGAGAAAAAAGATGTCTTCGTCCGTTGAAGCAACCTCGTAGTACTCGTTGTCGTTCTCGTCACCGGCACGATCTTCGTGTCTAAGCGCTGCGTTTTGGTTTTTTTCCTCCTTTTCCGATTCGGAGCAGAAGTTGTTCTCGTCGCCGAATAGCATGCTTTCCTCTTCGTCGACGACCATTTCAAAGAATTCGTCGTGCGCTCTCTGTTGTCTCCCGCCCCCGAAGTAGTAAATTCCGCCCGGCAGAAATAAAGCGTCTCTTGTTTCCGAGAAAATTTCCCACAGCGCCTCGCAGTCAAAAGCTGTACTTCTAGCCGAAGCACCGGAGAACAGAACTTCCTGGAGTAAAGAACGCTTTTTGGCTGTGATGTCCGCTGCTACTGTTGATCCTGTCCTAGTAGCCGAGGTTGTACTGGAAGCAGACGACCCCCCTGCGACAGCAGGAAAAAGCGTCAACGCATCCGCCATCCGTCTGTTTAAAGCGGTTATGGGCTTCGGCGGACCTCGGACCTTTCGCTCCGATTTTTTGGAACCTCCAGCGTCAACGACCAGCCCCGGGTAGCAGTCGTGCAGGTTGAAGTCGTTCAAACAACCGCAATTGAGCAAAAGCGAGAGTATATTTTCCTCTTCTTGTTCTACTTTTTCAGCCGGCGTCGACGTCTTCGACGTAGTACTAGATGTGGCATCTTGAAGATCTTCGTGAAACTCCTTTGTTCTGCGCCTCGTCTCAGATGTTGCTGAAAACACGAACCCAAGCTTTTTGACAACCGTGCGAAGCAGCGGCTCGAGAACGTAGCACCGCTCGGCGCAGTAAGAAAGCAGCTCGGGCGAAGGCGCAGCAGGAGGAGGAGCTGCTGCTGCATAATTGTTAGCAGCAATTCTACTGCGAGAACTACCGGAAGGGGTAGAGGTAGTTGTTCGTCTCCCTCCTGCTGTTGATCGGAGTGTGCAGTATCGTTCTGATTCTCCGGAAAGGCGCAGGGACCGATCCCAGACAGACTCGGAAGTCAATACATTGTCGAGCGAAGCGTTCTGCTCCAAGTGCTGAATCATGGCGCTAAGATCATGCTGGTGCTCTTCTTGCTGGTCAGCATCAGTAAGCGACGTACCATGTTGTCGTAGATCACGACCATCTTCAATGTCGGTCAGTAAGTACTGAATGAAAAGCGCTTGGACGTCCAGGAGGTTGAGAACGGTTTTGTCCACTTTTCGGCCGGCCTGTTTCTGTTTCCTCTGAAATAAGGCAGAAGTCGATGAAGTCGCAGATGTTGATGCAATGCCTTTATCCTCCACGTAATCAACATAATCCAGCTGGTCCTCGAAATCTAGAAAGGTCTTCAACAGAAACCATTCCTTGACCTTGAATGAAAAGAAAAGCTTCAACAAATTCTTTTCTTCCAGAACTTTCAAGCGCAGGACCTTCGCGCACTTTCCCAGTTCTTTGCGATAGCTGGAATATCCAAAAAAAGCTGCAATCCGTTCCACGTCGAGAAGGATAATGAAAGAACTCTGGTTGCAGCAGAGACATAACTGGCTCACGACCGGGTCAACATGAGTGGAGAGCAAATCCCACACCAATTTCGTATCCTGAAAGAAGTCCCGGGTTGTTTGGTGGTGTGTGTGCTGGTGATCGTTCTTCGTCCCCCCGTCGAATATGAGTTGAGGCAGCAGGAAGAGGCTGCAACAGGATGTTGAAACTGGGTCTGCACATGGTGAGCGGTTATCAACATCATCAAGGAACAACAGGCCCCGCATCTCCTCCACGGCAGCTTGGAACGCTGCGCTCGAGGCACAGTAGCGGAACTCCACTTTTGGTGGTATAAGAATCTCTGAACAAATCGCCAAGCGTCTCGTCATCTTTTCGTGGAAAGCAGGGGTGTATTGGGGACAGGCATTGCTACATACCCTACTCTGCCGCGCCGACGAGAAGCGGCCCAGGCCAACATCTGCGTAGTTCCCTGAGGTTGACATCAAGTCAGGCAGAACCAGTCCAGGAATGAAGAAGGTTCCGGAGGCAAACAGAGAGTGCAGGGCGATCGAGGAAGCTTCATCATCAAAAATGCCGTCGTGCAGCGGAGGATCTTGTTCGTCTAAGCGATTTTTCGTTTTCCCACTGTTTCGCCGTGCTCCTTCTCGTTCTCGTGTAGAAGAAGATGATGTCCTCGAACAAGATCTCCATTCCGCGTACACATGTTCCGGGGCTGGAAACTCCTCGACTCCTTCACATGTTTCGGCGCCCGTCGAAGGCATGTGGGGTAGAAAAGGTCTCGAGGTTTTTGTTGTAGAGATGTCTTCTTCATACCGCTCGTTCAATATTTCCACACAGGCAGGAGCCGCTAAAGCTAAACTGCTGTAGTCAATGTGCCCCTCAATGTCGACTGCAACTTCTGCGCTTATCGATGGCGTTTCGATAGCGCCGGCGCTACCGCTAGTATTTCCGACGGGGTCGTTGATGTCGGAGGCGGAGGCGATAGCGACTTTATCATCTTCTGTACCACCACCAGCCAGGACTTGTGGGCCGAAATCCGTCTCATCGCCTTGAGGAGAAGACTCTTGCTGCGAGGAGAGCAGCTGAAATTCCTCTCCTTCAACATCTAGCGGCGTTGAGCCCTCTTTTTCATCCGGATTGTCTTCCGATTTCGGTACCAATACTAATTCCGCATCCGCCATGTCCTCGTCCACAGCCTCATCAAACCGAGTCACTTCTATTGTGTCGCTGCGAGGACTGCTCTCTGACGAGGAAGTCGAAGTGCTGCCGGATTGAGATTCATCATCCGAAACAAAGCCTTGGGAAGAAGGCGGAGAACTCATGCTGTCCCAGTCGTCACCTTGTTCGGCAGGAACGGCCTGGCGGCTCGAAGGCGGCATCGAATTTGCGCCGCCGGTCTTTCGGTTGATAGCTGCATCACTTTCGACGACGTAGTCGGAGCCTGAGTCCTCTACCTCGTCTGTCGCGTGACGATTTCTCGGGTGCTCTTGACCGCATTTTATTTTTCCAAAAGAATCATCGGCTTTGGAAGCTGCGCCTACGGCTACTCCGCCTTCGTCGTCCGATGGTTCTTGGCTTTGCTCTTCGTGCTCTCCCCGGACAGGACCACCTAGCCCTTGTCCCGCCATGTCCAAAAATTTTCTTTCTAGCAGCGCAGGATGCTGGTCGACGAAGTCGTGCCGTAGACTGTCGAAATCCGGACTGTGAAACAGCGATTTGCGCAGCAAATTGCTGAAGTTCTCCGTGGTTATTACGTTCTTTTGGGCTTGGTGCTCTCCGTTGTCAAATTTATTCCCAAAACCACATGACAAAAAAGCATCCCGAACCGCTTGGAGAAATTTTACGTCCTCAGACTTCTCCCTCACAGTCAGGAACTCCATACCGTCTGAAGCGATAGTAGAGGTGCTGGCACTAATATGCGCTAACTCTTCTTCGTCATCAAGGGAAGATGCAAATAAATTATCGTTACAACTTTTCCGCGCCGCATCTCCTACCTCGTCGTCCGCGAACACAGTGAGCTGTGACGAGCCGTTTTCATTTTGCCGCACCCCCGGGTAGAACCTGCGCATGCCGTGCCTTGCTAGCAACGCGGACAATGCTGTACCAAGCTGGTCCTTTGTCGTTAGCGGAACTACGGCATGACTGTCGACTTCCTCCTCCTCCTCCTCCTCATTCACGGACTCCGCTAATGCGGACCGTAGGGCTGCAAGCCCTCCCGCGTTTGCGATCATGGACAAGACGACCTGGGCGCAGCACGGGCCCGGGAGAAAGCCACCCCGTACATCCAGGTGCAGCTTGAGGAGCTGGGCACGGAGGAAATCCGTTGCCAGAGGGTCCCATGTGTGGCGCTCAAGTTGCATCTGTTTTCCCTGCAGCGTGAGTCGCTGCCTATGTTTATTTTGAAGCTGCTGTGCGAAGGAAGATGAAGACCCACTATCAAGCGGATTTCTTTTTTTCAGCTCGATGCATTCTCGCTTCAGTATGCGCAGAAACCGGCAGCACCACTTTAGACCTTCTTCCTCGAGAACAGGATCGGAACAGTTGGTCGACGAGGTCTTGTCCCGAGATGAATCCACTTCCTCGGCCGCCGCACTGGTGTTCGCCATCGAAGTGATTGCCGCAGCGGGAAGCAATCTCCGCCCTTCATCCACGGTTTGGATGCCCTTAAAGTCGAAAAAGAACTCGAACAAGGTCTGGACGAAGGAGAAAAGGCTTGTTGTGCCGTTTATTTCTTGATGATGATTGTTCACATTAGATCCTGAAGACTCCTTTCGCCACCACCAAGCGATAACTCGCGCTACTTTAACCAACTGCTTCGTTAGCTTTTCCCTGAGGGAGACGTCGAACGGCTTATTCTTCCCAACAGGCTTGGCGGTCAGCAGTGGGTAGGCGAAGAGCTGTAACAGGCGGAGCGGGGTGACAAAAGGCTGGTGGGGCTTATTTCGTGGGGCTGGGGGCGGCGTGGGGACGTTTACTATTTCATCATCCGGTCGTGGCCCTTCATTCTCATTTTGGCCCATCATATCCTCGTCCCCGTCCCCACTTGATGCATCTTCATCATCGTCAGGCATTTGGTCTTGCAGTGCGAGGGCCTCGGCGCAACCATGAAAATTCGCCTCATCGTCGCCGAAGAAGGGCGGAAATAACCGAAGCTCCAACAACTCTTCAACATGCAGCTCGGGTGCTCCTGTCGTGGAGAGTTGTTTTCGGCCTGTTTTACTCATGTACAACTTTCTCCACATTGCATACCTTTCGTACAGCTCCACCAGCAAGGCTTCCGTGTGCTCGAAGCAGATATCCACCCCCACTCGCTGGAGGTGCTGAGACAATTCCATCCGCAGCGAAAGCTGGGTGGTGATAGCCAGAACCAGCTGCGACAGGATCGAGAAGCAAACCTCTGGGTAAAAGTTCTTCTGGTCATTCTTCTGGTCGCCTGGAGGCGCATCTAGTATTGAATAGACGCGCCGCTGGATGACGGTCAGCAGTAGATCCGAAGGGCAGCGGTCTTGCGTAGCCAATGCGGAAAAGCTCGACCAGAGTGCGCAAGCTGGAGCGGCGTTGCCTTTGTTCGTCAGACTCTTCTTCAGGTCGAAAAGCAGCCGCACGTCAGGAAACAAGAACCCGTCGCTTGCAACGTTCACACCACGATCCTCTGCATACGCTTCATGAAGATGATTATTTGCATCGTCCGTGCAGCCCGATAATTGCGACGTTGCACTACGCCCCTCATCGAAGAGAAACGGAAGGTAGTTGCGAAGAAAAAACTCCGGCGCGGTGAGTTTCAGCCCCTGCCACACCCACTGCCCCTTCGCCAGATTCATAGCTCTCCACAACGCAGCCAGCACAAAGTGCGGCAGGGGCCATTTCGGCGTTACCTTTTCCAGGATCGCCCAGCATTCTTGCCGGTCTTGCTCTATCCGCTCGGAATTGGTTGCGCTAGAGATGATGTTTCGTACCTCGTCCTCCTTTGTGAGTCTGCCTTTGAGGTAGTCCGAAACCTGCAGCAGGATCCACTTGCGCACCGTTGCCCGCCGTGTCTTGCGCGAGGCAGTGCGGAGGCTAAATAGCAGATTTTCCAGCGGGTGTAGCGCCCTCACTGCAACATTGCCACCATAATTTATTCCCGTGTTCTTCGGCGGACCAGTGTGTCCGTCTTCGTCCTGGGCAAAAGTGAAAAGGCACAGATCCGGTTCGCGCTTGACGCTGCTTTCGCATGTGGCTTTCTCAGTGCAGAGCAGAACCCTACACGCGGACATCCAGCGTGCCACAGCGCAGTCCTGCACAAGCTTTTTGACAACCTGAGCAGCGACTGTTGATGTTGATGAAACAGAGCCGGAAGCACTGTCCTCGTTCCAGACACAGGTGTAGGCATGATGGAATACCTCCACCACTTGCGTCAGCCTTTTTTTATCCAGCTCGGGGCACCGTGGCCGCGTCATGGCAGCATGCAGGGCGGTCCATACTCGTCGTGCAGAGAAGCCATGAGAAATTCTATGACTTCTTGCATATCAGGCTGTGGTTGCTGGTACAAATAAGTAGAGGGGTTCAAATCAAGGGCGTAGTGGAGGCGGTCTCTGAGGATGAATGCGGCATGTTACTTCTACTGAGGATAAATGCGGCACTTCGGACTTCAAATAGGTTCGCATATCACTTCTACCATACGTAAATTTGAAGGAAAAAGACCTGTACTACGATACTCGTCTACTTTCGGGGACCCAGGGGACCATCCGTAGTTAAGAAACTCAAACTAATGCATGGGCATACCATGGCCAAAGGGAAAGGGGTGACAACGGGAGCGAAGGCTAATATATAAACAAGAAAAGATGGCGTTACAAGGGCAGGCACTTTGTCCTTGTTCTTGACAGGAAGCGATACCAATGCATCGACGATAAATGGATCTGCGGGAATTAGTTTTCGCGATTCAACAACGAGCACGAGCTGAATCGAATGGGCATGCCATAAGAGAGTTGTCAATACAATTCATGTATCTGTATTTCACTTCTTTTCTCCGTACAAGAACTGAGCGTACGATGGCAAGCGGCACAATAAGTTTTTTTGTTTTTCTAGGTAGTGGATCCGGTTCTGGAAAAGCCACGGAGAGAAATACCAAGATAGATCGAAGCGGCGACATTTTGCTGATGCTGAGAGACCAACAACCTTCGGCACCATTCTTGATACGAAGCTGCACATAAACGGCCTCTGTAACACGCAAGTTTTGTCATTGTTTGCGCTTCAGTAAATCTTTCGATTCTTATTCCTGATACCTCTGGTCGAAATGTGAAACGCTGACCGGGACCCTGGGTCAGTATATTTTGGAAAAAATAAGGAAAAGAATTCGAACCGCTACCGCACAGGTGTATATGTGCGTTTTGTTTTAACTTCTTCTTCATCATACAGCAAACATCGAAGGCTGAGAAAATGAAACTAGTAGTGCGAGCAAAAATACATGACAACGACAACCTTCTTACTACTTCGGCAACAGCTTGTCTCCGGCGGCGTCGTATGAACTGCAAAAGCATCGCTCTAGTATAAATTGCATTACAAATTAGCTCAGCATTACAAATTGAATTTGTAATGCTGATTCACCTTGAGAAAGAGATTTGTAATGCATAAATGCAATGACTACAACGAGTATGATACTTTTGCACAGGATACGTCGGCTTTTCGTTCGGAGTACATCCCGAAGCAGGCGTGGGCCATGGGAATGGAGTACCCCGTATCAAATGCAAAAGTGTCTGGGTCTGGAAGAATGCAAGTTTGTCATGCTTGTCTGGCATGACTCGCGCATCTGTGTTTCCTAGGCACGAAAAGTAGGCCTTCTTACCTGTCATGTTGGAAGGCTAAGGGCAGGGCGTCCCCATGTAAATTATTTCGACAAACAGTAGCCGCATACCCGGTAAACTCTAGCGGAATTTATTGGGCAGTGCGATTTCTACCGAAGAACAACCACAGCATCTACTGGGACGGCTGCGACGGAAGATGTGTGGGTGCCCAAGTAGAAATAGTTCTGCGCAACGCCATCAACTAGCACCGAGGGAGAAAAAAGAAAGGTAGAAAAGTGAGAAGCGAGATACTAAGACACAGCCCCACTTACGAAAGAAACACCCTAAAAAGTGGACACACCTATGCGTAGCAGAGTAAAATGTCCTGAACGCGGGAGCGCGCGCATGAAGAATCAAGCAAGGACGTGCATGCAAATGGCCGAGCAAGTAAATATATGTAGAGAGTGAAACTCTGGTGAAAAAACGGGCAAGCAGGAACCCGGATGGACAAACGAGAACATCATGACCAAACCAAAGACCACAAAAAGCATGACAAACTAGGCCAGTCTGCTACACAAGGTGAAGCCAGGGTGGAATTTAGTTGTAACCCTGAACGGTAAGCCCATAAAAAATCTAAAGCGCTACACAAAATTTCTATCACTAGACCGGTCAATCCACTTCTGCCTGTACCGTCTCTAACTCGATGGTTTTCTCTGCCACCCTAAGAAGTGGCAAGTGAATGCATGTCATGCCAAGTAGAGACCACTACGACGCGCAACAGCGGCGCAAGCCAAGTTTTCATTCCCAGAAGGCAGGAGCCCTCGCATACAAAAGTGCCAGTAACCCTGAACAACATACAAAACAGACAGCCGGGCTGTAGAAAACAACAAGGGAAACTGGCAGCGGGAGGGGAAGAGGAAAACCTAGTGTCGTAGCTAGTCGAGAAAACCGGAGGTAGAGTGCTCGCTATTTTCCGCGTCTTAGTTGGTTGCTCAAGGGTACAGGCGCCGGCTCCACCATGAGCAACCACGCGAAAAATACGTGGATATTACTTTTCATGCAAAATTTCATTTCATCCTTCTTACCTGTCATGCAAAAACGCAATAAGTTTCCGATGCGGAATACGTAAGACATGGGAGCCAAAAAATTTGTCATGCATAACTGCGTATTGCAGTGCCTCTACCATGCACTTTTAGCATTACAAGCTTCCAGACCCAGAGATATTTGCAATCCATACCCCGCGAGCAGGCAATCGACCACGGCCGTGCCGATCACAATCTGGCTTTTCGCGGCCGTGTAACCTAGCATTAACGCGGTCAGCGCCCCCACCGACATGAGGAGGCCGAGGTAATAAAGGACACCCAAGAAGGCGACGCAGCACGGGAGGCAACAACAATTCTCTTTCACGATGGCGTACCAGAAGAGGTGGGTGAAGAAAAGGCCGAGGAGAACGGTGGCGACTACCTGGATTATGATGTATTCCGCGTTCTTTGTGGTCATCATGCGTCCTCCTGTGCTCTCTTGGTTCTGATATTCGTAACTTCGAAGAAAGAAAATGAGGATCGTTGCACGTTGTAGTAATTCAGGATTTTTGCTATTGCTTTCTTTTCAGAATTATAAGTACCTGTCCCAAAACGTGTCCAACTAAATGCCCGCCGAAGAGCGCCAGCACCGCGATGCCCACAAAGACCTGGTAGACCACCTGCATCCAAAAAATCGTGGCCATACCGAATTCGTATGCGAGCGCGTTCTCATCCTTGCTCCAGGAGAAAGAGAGGTATTCCTTAAACCGGGTCTTCGCGTCCTTTTTGCTGCTCGCCGGCTGGAACTTCAGGGTCTCGATGAACTCCGTGAACGAAGTCACGTAGCCATTGCACGAACAACAACCCATCTTGTCGAAAGTTCCTCTTGTTCCGTATATGCAATGAGCGCGATATGAACCACGAGGTCGTGTCTATTTAGTGCACAAGCAGAGAGTTTTACCTTCACGACGAAAACCTTTGTCCGCTCTTGTGTAAAGAGGGAAAAAACTGCATGCGGGCCTTGTCGCCAATAAAACTACTGACGAGCAGAATCTCCTGTGACTTTCAGAAGGCCTCCAGAAGCTGAAAAGTCTTTCGCTCTCTCTGGTACAGCGCCAGCACTACACCTTTCCTTCGAAATAAGAAGCACAGATGCGACCGGTTTCCTTTCACTTCTAAGTGACCCGGGAACAAAAAGAACAAAAACAAGAGCAATGCAACAAACAGCACCGCCAATCGTTGAGAACGTCCCGGCAAGACAGGACTTTCTCCATGAGCGAGAAGCACGAGGGTGCGGTGGCTGAGTTTCATTGTAAATGTCCTGTTCCCGTGTACAGTTTCAATTTCTAACTATGTTGCGGAGGTGTCAACATTTTTAGGAAATAATATCGACCCAGGTGACGTCTTCCAATCTGGATCTGCATCTGCTTTGACTACCTTGTTTTCTACATTGGTTTCTGCAGGCAACAAGTGTGGTGGGCTGGTTGCGGATTCTTATATCCTTATCGGCAACCAACTGTGGTTTTGCTCCTGGCTCATCTTGGGAGAGAATACCGAGCCATGTTTGCAAGAACCTGTCCACCCTCTGTCGTGCCGTAGTAGTTTTATTTGGCAGAAGTTTTCAGTCGCAGCAGAATGTTGATAGCGCATGATGTTGAGTGGATTGCTTCAGTAGACGACTCAAAATGTTCATGTTGTAGTTAGTTTCATTCAATCGTCGAATCGACGATGATTCATTTCCAATAAATCGTGGCCCACGAGCGCACAACATCATTCATCAAGTACAATGATCTACTTCCTACAACTTACGGTCATCTCCGCATTTTCGGTAGTACATATACCAAATCGATCCCAACTGTTTTCTACATGGTATTTCTTGCCTGCGGGAATCCACCGTCGTTCGAACTACTTCCAGGAGCACCAGCACCACTGCTGCTCGACGACGAGCTGGCCCCGGCTCCGAAGTTTTTGTTGTACCACTTGGACACAGCATTCGCCCCACTGACCGTGTTTCGCGCTACTGCTTTGCCCGTGTCACTTTCGGCCGCCTGCTTGCCCAGCCGCATCGCCTCCGAGGCGGTCTTCTTGCCTATCTCGGCGGCGCGGGTCGAGATCTGGTGCTTCTGATCGACCGACACGGCCTTGTTAATGGTGGTGGACGTCGCTTTGCCGATGGTCTTGGCCGCGTCGCCCACCTTGTCTTTTCGCGTGCAGGCGTAAACCGCCGCACCGCCCAGAGCCACCGCCGATATGGGGCCCAGGAGGACCAGACCCGCCGTGGCACCGACGAGCGCCGCGCCAGCTTTTGTACCGATCACCTTTATTTGTACAATAGGGTAAAAATGGTGATATTAAAAGAAGATCGGGTTATTCTTACGGTTACGAATACCATCAATACAACAACCGTAAAACGAACCTGCATAAGAAGAAAAGCGGCGAGGACGACTCGCCAAGGTGAAGGTCTTCTGTTTTAGTACGATGTGTTTCTGTTTGTGCTGTTTAAATACAGCAGAGACAAGCAACTCATCTGTACTTACCCTAAAGTACACAAGTACCTTCTTGTCCCCGCCCGTCCCACTGCTCGAGGCTGTTGACGCCGTTTCCAGATTATACGCCACGCTGGTCAGCTGCAATCCACCCACCATGTCCTTGGCGGGGACGGGGGGCACCCCCGGGGGCAGGGAGTTCAGGTGGTCAATCCGCGACCGCACCTCGCGCTGGTGCTGCCGAATCGCATCGACATCGGCGTGGTTGGAGCTCACCGCGGTAGCTTCTGCGAGGGACAGATGCTGCAGGGACAGGTCCCAGTGGTGTACGGCCCGGGTGTAGTCCCCTCGCTCGTCGTAGTTCAGCGCCTCACGCTCCGCTTCTGCAGCGGATGAGGCGTGCCGAGCAAGCTCGGCTTCCATGATCTGTATAAATCGTTGTTCCAGCGCTTGTGCGATGATTATTGAGCGGAGCTATAATTTATTCGCAGCGTATAGATGATCTTTTTGGTTTTTACCTTGATTTTTATTGTCCAAAAATACAGATAGAGCTCCTCTCACGGTCCTTTTATCTTGCCTCTTCTAGGCACGGCTTTAGTCCGATCGTCGGGCATTATAGGCATGATAACTTCTTCCTTTTGCTTTCCTTCTTTGCGCCGGCCACAACAAGAAAAAAACGAAACTTTCTTTTGGGTAGAAAAAGACCGCTATTCGACGATGAATACACACCTACAGTGCAAGCGGGAAATATAGTTACATGTACACTGAGCGGAAGCGGAAGCGCGGCGGGTTACAAAAGTAAAACGACCTCCACTTAGCGACAGCTTTGTATGTGAAACGGTGGAGGTACTAACGGTATGCGTATGCCCATGCGGTGCAAAATAAAAATGAAAATACTAGGGTAAAAAGCTCAGGGTCAGGAAAAACAACAAAATGGATCACCACATTATCATCATCCCCGCGTGGGGACCGAGAAGATTGTGGTTTACAGTCAGTGATGCCTCGTCACAAGAGTTTATGGGTTAGGGTTCTTTTGTGGACCTGTAAATTCCTTTATAATTTGGATTTCCTCCTCCTGCTCGCGACTCGAGTTGACAGTGACACCGCCTCAATGAGCTACATCCGTCTGCTTGTTATCATCTCGCAGTACTATGGTACCTCTTGTGAAGAAGAAGTCCTCGACCTCGTAAGAGGTAACAACAGAAACAAATACAAATAGTACTGCATCAGCATCTTCGTGTTCAAGCTCACAGTGCTGATACTTGTTCGTTGATATCGTTTGTGAAGACAACCATGGTTGATAAATTATTTGGTCGTGGTGCGTGACGAACACACTGTCGCATTTCTCGAAAGATTTGTTCCGCTCGGCCCTGTACTAGTGCGGGAAAAGTCATATTGTGTACTTTCGCGCGCCCATTTTCAAAGTGCAAAGAACGAAGTGTTCATATTGTACACGAAGCAAAATATTGTAAACAAAGCACTCAAGCAAAGAATAGCCGCTCCAAATGGTCGGTTATCGAAAAGAATAGCAGCTTGAAGTCGGTCATCCAAAATCGTTTTCCTCCAGGTAGTGGTAGCTGAACCTATCATACAGTGTAGTCCTACTTCTGTAGTACCGTGTTCTTGCAAAGACGCTTCAATTGAAGTAGAGCCTCGTCTGCGGAAAAGAGGAGCTCAGCGAAAATAAGCTGCAGTTACACATACACTACGAGCTCGAAATTTTCTGTTTCCCAAGAATTATTTCCCCAACATTATACAACAAACAGAAACTTCTACTACACTATTCAAGTCTTTCTATCTGGCCGCGCCAAACGTTTGTATTACCGCCTGAATCGGGTCCCGGCAGATGGGGCACAGCGGTTGGCGGCTGTAGTAGATTTTGTTCGCGCAGGCGTAGCAACAGACCGTGTGTCCGGTCGAACCGTGGACGAACGTGGCCAGGTCGGATTTTTCCGCCAAACAGGTCACACACTGTGTGGCGGCGGTGTTGGTTCTTTTCGAAGATAAAGATTCTGCAGGCTGTCCTTTCAAATAATTCGTATTCGATGACAGGTTGCTTCTCGGAGAGCAAAGCGTTGGTTGAGGACCTACATCAACCGGTGCACAGGTTATTGCACCTTGATCTGCTTCGTCGAAATTCAGAACCCGCGGCTGGAGGAAGAGTTTATTTCGATCTCCGTTGTTGTTCGTGTTCGGCGTCCTCAGAGTCGGCAAATCCGGAAAAATCTGTTCCTCGATGAGAAAAGCCGCCAGCGGGATGTGCAAGGGGAACTGGAGGCCGTTGAGCGCAGTGCCGCTGATTTTCAGAAACAATGTGTCGAAGAAGTTTTGCTTCGTCGTGGCCGGCGTGGTCGACGTCGCTCGGTTATGATGCGTATTGAGATTGTTCATTTTGTGGGCGTCGACGTCGTCTTCTGAATATTGGGTTGCATTCTCCAGCTGCAAAGCCTCTGCCGTGGTCAAAGCCGACGGCGGGCCTTGTCGACTGGTATTTCCAAGGTTCAAGATTTCCCGCGCTTCTTTGATCCCCTGCGACTGGATTTGGACCCGGCGTCTGTGGCGCGCCTTCGCTTTCTGCAGCTTTAGCAGCTCCCCGATGCCCTCGAAGGCCAGGTGGGCGAGGTAGGACGAACGGGGAGGAGTTTGTAGTTCTTGTTGCACCTTGTCTAGTACTTCATCGACGTCCCTTCTTTGCATGAACGTTCTCGAGGGTGTCGTTCCTGTGCTTGCTTCGAAACCTTGAAAATCTTGCATATTAAAAGTAGGCTCTACTTCTCCCATCATCTGATGCAAGCGGAAGTATTTGACCGGAAAGCTTTCCTTGACCGGTTCCCGGGCCAGCTCCTCCGAAAAAAAAGCCGCTTCCTCCGCCAACGAGGTAGTTTGAGTTCGCGCTTGATGTCCACCTCGCTGCTTCGAAAGTATTTTCCGCAGGTTTCCAACGACACCCGCATCGTAGGAACAGAGAGTCACCGCAAAACGCAAGGCGGCAGCGTCTTGCTCAGGTATATTTCGGAAGTGGCACAGCACGCGTAGCGAATTTTCGTCCTTGAAACACTCCAGGACCCGCAGCTGCGCTTGTTGATACGCTCCTCGGTCGTGCTGGTCTGGGTTTTTTGAAAGGCTTGATGTCGCACTACCTCCCGTCGCATTTGTTCTTTCCAGTAAAGCTCCACCGAGGGGCACGGAAAGCGAGTCGATCGGCTGCAAGAACCCTGCTCCGGAAGTAGATCGCTGGCGCACGTTTGCGGCCAGATCACTCGTGCCCCCGGCGCTGCTGGCTTCACCTCCAGAGGACCGCAAGTTGACCTGTTCGCCGGAAGATGAATAGTAATCTGACGATCTTGATGTTGTTGATGGCAGTGCGCTGGCATTGACTTGTCGTTGCGGGCTTTGGTCGCCCGGGGAGCAATTGTACTGGTAATATTCATCTGGGTTCACAGACGAGCTCAGCGCATCGTCTGGCGACGAGGAAGGAGGTATCAGGCCCAGGGTTGTAGTTCCCCTTGATGCCGTCCGTCCTCTCGTGCTAGAAGTACTCGTCGTCGTCCCACCATGTGGAAGTTGTTGATCCACGACTGTGCTGGCTGCCGTCGTTGGTGTCGCTCTTCTAGATAGAGAAAAAGAAGTAGATGCAGGAGCTGCCCCTGTTGATGAAGCACGGCCCGCTCCTGCGGTTCTTGCTGTGGACTTTCCATCTGCAGTCGGAGCTCCCGCTCCCGGCGAGAAACTACTCCAGGGATTATTGCTTGGCGTAGTCGTTGTACTGGCCACACGACGACCTTGGTTAGAACTACCGGTATAATTATTTCCGAATTCCGCGCTCGTAATCTGTTGCGCAGCCAATGAGCCCACCGTCCCCTTCGATCCGGAGCTGTTCCGTCTTGTAGCCGCAGAACTCGTACAGCCTAAGACACTCAGATACCCGTCTAGGTTCAGCACCGTCCAGCCGGGGCCAAACTCGAAAAAGTAGCTGCCGGCGGTGGTGGTGAGCTCCTTTTTGACATCCTCCTCGGAAATGCGGAAAACGAGCGTGCCCTCCAGAATCTCCCGCATCTTCGACAGATTTTTACGACCACCGCCTGAAGTTGGAGAGGTACCGTTATTCTTATTTGTCGGTGATGAAGAACTTCGTTGTGCAGCTGGTGTAGGACCTGCACCTTGTAGAAGTCCGCCTGCTGCTCGGGGTACTGGTTCTGGAGTGGTTCGACTTCCGGTCATCTTTGTACTACTTGGATCTCGAAGATCGTCTTCCTGATAGCCCTGCTCCAGACCAGCATTCATTTCATTTCCGTCCTCTCTACCAGTTGTACTACCATCCTCGCCGTCGCCACCCTGTCTCCCGCCTTGCCACAACTTCATCCGAAACATTTCTTCCTCCGAAGTCACCCGTCCCAGCTTCGTGCGAACCAGCTTGGTCTGCAGAAAGTGCACCGGGGCCCGCTCGTGCAGGGGGCCCAAAACCCGCGCCTGCGACCCCGGCTGGCCGATTAAGGATGACAGAGCGCTGTTCGATGAGGTCGTGGTAGGAGTTGTTGTGTTGATCACCTGGTCGCCCTCCACACAAAACTGCAGTACCAGCTCGCCCTGGTTCCGCCGCCAGTCGATGTGCTCGAAGAAGCACGCGTAGCTGGTTCCGGGGAGCTGCACCATCTGCTTCGTCTCACGATCGTTCTGGAACCTACGTCTGTTGCGTCGGGAAGAGGACGTCGCGTGGTCGTCCCGACCCTCGTCGTCAGAACTCGTGTTCCCGTTACCGAAAAACAAGGACCACATTTTGATTTTTGTTTTTCTTCGATTTCTCGACTTGGATGCGACAAGGAATAAAGAGGGTCGACGCCCCGTCGCCGTCCCACTCGTCCGTCGTAGATAGAGTTAAAAATCACAACTCCTTCAGCGGCGTGACCTTATTGTCGTCCAAAACGCGTTTGATTCCGGTGAATGCGAAAAAACAGATAAACAGCACGTAGAGCAGGTAGCCGTACAATTTCAGGAACCACTCCGACCGCTCGCGTTCCAGCTGCTCGTGGTAGCTCTGCTTCAGTTTTTTCGGCGACAGTATTTGAGGTCCTGCTTCGAGGCTACTGTTTTCAGAATTAGACGCTAGCAACGTGCGGTAGTTTGTTCTTACGGGGGCTCTAGCTGCTCGCGAGGAAGAGGAGGAAAAAAGGTATTGCATCTTGTTGTTGTTCTTGATAAAGGACGAAATGCTGGAAAAGTATATTCTTCTTTCGTGCAAAAGGGTAGCAAAGTGGCGTTGCACAACTATATGGGAAAGAGGTGTAGCTGTAGATCTTGTTGGGGTAGATGTGGGTGGAATTGAACTCGTAGCCTGGTGATTTTCGTCAATTTTTGTCAGTAGTACAACTGATGAACGTTGGTACTACAACAAATGCACACAATGTCGATGACATGTCGGTTTCTATAGCGGACGAAAAAGGTGCGTTTTGCTTTTGGTTTTCTACTTTGGGCACCTCTACTCCATCTCTCATTTTGCGTGCTGTACGAAGGTATGCGGGACGAGGTCGAGAAGAGAGTATGATTACGAGAGCACGACGAGCGCGAATAAAGTCAACGATTGCACGACCGCTTGGCCGCGGCTAATTGCCTCAATGTCTGCGCAGAACGAGGAACACGTAGTACTTACGCATATTCGTAGTTATGTTGCGGCTACTTCATCAACAACATTTTTACAACGTCTTCTTGCGCGCCACAACAGCACGAACGAAGATGTCCTTGTAGAAAGATACGCGATAAAATACTGAATGCATTTCGGAATTATAATAGGTTTATTAGTGTCTGGCGCCAGCCAAGGGAGTACAGCGCAACTTTTCAAGGGAGTCAAGGGAGTAAGTTAAAAAAGCAGTCGCGCGCGCCAATGCGATGGCCATATAGCAAAAATTTTTCGCGGCGCGCGCTGCGCGCGCGCGAGTCGACATGTGTGCGCACACCACAAAAATTTTTCGGGCCGCGCGCTGCGCGCGCGCGCGGCGAGGCACGTGCAACATGTAGGACATACGCCCACATGTGGGAATGTTGCGAAGCATCAATGCGAAGCAGGCTGCATATGCTACGCGTGTGGGCCTCACACTTGCGGCGCGCTCCGACGGCCGCTGCAACTCTTTCCCGATTGAAGAAAGTCGAAGTGGCCGCTGCAACATTTCCACTTCATTCGTATTCTCTGCTCGGCATGACGTTGAATCTGGTCACGCAGAACCTCGCGCGAAAGATCTCGATAAGCAAATTGCTGAGGTGGCTGCCTCAACTTCCCCTGGACAGCGGAAACTTGACATGGCCACGGCAACAGTTTACGCGGTCCTTCGGCTCCACGCTCTATGTTGCCAGGCAGAGGCCAGGCCGCCCCGGCGACTTCTGTTTACGGGGGCTACTCTAGAAGCCCTCACCTTCTTCAAGAGGCCAGGACCTTCGGCAGCGAGCCAAAGCCTAAACGCGGCCAAAACTGGGGCCGCAGCGGGGGGGGCAGCAGGGCCCAAACCGGTGGCCGGTAAATGCGCCCATAGCATGGATTTTTGCGATGATTTTAGGGGAGGCAATTTGTACAAGTTTTATCTTCCTCCCTTGGCTCCCTTGACTCCCTTCGAAGTTTCACTCCCTTGCCTATAAAATACTCTATTATAAAGCTTGGCTTTGAGAAGCAATTTATTCGGTGTCAATCTGCAGTTTCCATTCTTTTACATTCATGTCCTTTTCCTGTTTGGCGGTTGTGGAAAACCACAGCCGGCGATACTGCCTGATGAGTGAATAAAAATTGCATCAAAACAACTCAAGAAGCTCTTCATCATTTCTGCCCCCCCTCCACAACTTCCAGCAAGATCTTCGCGCCCTTGACCTTTTTCCCCTCCTTCTCCGCATTTTGTATCGGCTTCTTGAGGGCAACGGCCGCTGCTCGCAAAAGCTCGTTCTGGCTGGTTTTGTACGCTTCAATGAGCAGGTACACTCGCGGCGAAAGAACCTGATAATTTTTTGGTGAAGATTTTTGCGTTTTGCTTTTTTATCATGATCGCTGTCCTCTGCCTCGGGTCGTCGTCGTTTCTCAAAGTCAATAAACAAGACTGAAGCTCTTGAACAACAAGAGCGCCAGTTCTTCTAATAATTCAAACACGTCTACGTACTAAAATTTTTTATAAACAGTCGTACCATTTCCTTGAAGAACCCTTCTCCCTGGTCCTCGACATAGGCGTAGAGTGCTTCCGCCAGCACCTTGGACTCCTTCAGCAGCGCTAACAAAATCGGTAGCCCCGCCGAGCTGTCCATCAGCAAGGATTTCACCTGGGATTCTTCCTCGGAGAACAACTTCTTGCATAACTCGTCCTCGTTTTCCCTCAAAAAACACCCCGCAATGTCCGCCAAAATGCGGTGCTGCAGCGCGTTGGAGTAGCCGCCGCACTGCTCGATCGTTTTTTGTAGCAGTGGTGCGGCGTACTTCTTCAACTCCAGCCTGCGCTTCTCCGGATCCTTCAACGAGCTGGGGGCGGGTATGGATTGCAAAAGTGTCTGGGTCTGGAAGGTTGGAACTTGTCATGCTAAATCAGAATCATGCAAAAATCTGTGTTGCATGATTACCAAATGCTGTCCACTTTTGATCAAGTTGAGAGGCAGTTTGTCATGCAGGATAGGCATGATAGTGATCTCACGGAATGTGTCATGCTACGTACTCCATTACAGATCATATGGGTCATGCAAAACATGCATGACAAGTCTCAGAATCTTCCAGACCCAGACATTTGTGCAATCCATAGCGGGCAGGCTGATGCAATGTTCCATCTCGTATGGACTGAAGCGTAGAGTTGTCGCGGGCAAAACGCAGGCGTAGAGGATCTTTTTCACGTAGTTGTTGTCCTGCAGCAGGGAGGCAAGAGACACGTCGTCCGTTGAAGTGGAAGATTTTTCTCCACCACCGCCATTTGTGAGGATCTCGGCGAGAATCTGCTTTTGCGCCAAAACCGTGTCGTCCAGAGTCAGTAACAGTCGCAGCACGATCAGGTAGCACACGTTGTTTTGTGCCATGTCCTTGAATTTGCCCTTGAATAATTTCAAAACCTGCTTCTTCTGTTTCGCGGAGTAGAAGCCCAGCATCTTGCACAGGGCCTCGCTGCCGAACTTCGTCTGCAGTAAATGTGGCACGGCGTCGATCGGGAAACGCTCGGAATCGATAAATTGCCGGAGCATAGCGTATTTTTGATTCTGTTCTTGATCTCCTGCTTTGTCATCTTTTTGTTCCAGTTCTTTCTCCCCCACCAGCAGTAGAACCTGCAGGAAGAGGGCGAGAATGCCGTGGGTGATCGGCTGGTCCCAGAGTTCCTTGTCTGTGCACTTATCCACGAGTTCGGACAAATGGGGTACCAAATGTTGCTTCAGAACCTCCGTTTCCATCGCCGTCACCTGCGTGCTCAGCTTCGCGTTGCAGTTGTAGGTTTCCTTGTTCATCTGCAGCAGCGAGATCTGGCGCGGGACGAGAACCTTGTTGAGTAACAGGTTTTTCGTCTTCTGGTTCAGAAACGCGCAGTTGTACAGGTTGGAAAAGCACTTGCAGCCGAATTTGTGGAAGAAGAGTTTGGAGAACTTGTTCTCGTTCAGGTCCAATAACGGCTTTATCCTGAGTAAAAACGTCCACACCCCATAGTCAACATGGGAAATCTGCTAGACAAATCTACGAACTTAGGTTGCTGCGCATGACAAGTTTGGCCTCGTAGTGTAGTGCTGTTTAGCTCGTTCAGAAGCATCACAAATCTGACCTACTATGCTGATTGGAGCATTACAAATTTCAAAACACGATTGGGAATTGCTTCTCAAGGGTCTCCGCATGAGAAACATTTGCCGCCTGCGTTCTTGCATTACAACTATGGCGTGGGGACGTTTTTACATATGATAGGCTTCAAAATCTTCTCGATGATCTTCTCCTGCTCCTTTTTCGCGGTTAAAGACATCGGCTGCGGCTTGGAAAAGGATGCATTTTTGTTCGTTGTTGTACTATCAGCACTGTTGTCTCCGGTTTCGACCTTCGGACAGTACCGCAAAATCTTCTCGACCAGCATTCCTCCCGCGCTGGGGCCGCAGATCAGGTCCGGGATCTCGTTGACAAAAAAGTCCAGAATTTTGGTCCGTTGGTTCCGGGTGCCGTGCTTCAACATGGCCTGCAGGCACCGGCTGCCGTCGCTGCTGGTGCCCAGCTGGATCTTGGGCATGTTGGACTTTTTCTCCACCATCTTTATCATGTCCGTCACGAGGCGCTCCGTGTTGCGCGGCTTTTTGCTGTTCTGCAGCTCATTGTACTTTAAGTTCAATTCATATAGAAAACCAGACTTTTTCTTCTCCGATTTATTGTCCTTCGTCTCTTCGGTGGATTTATTGTCCTTGTTTGGCGTGTTCTTGTTTCCGCTGGCGGTGGGCGTCTGCTCCGCTGTAGTTGTGTGGTTGTCTTCTTCGTCTTGCACAGCCGTGGTTGTGCTGCTGTTGTTGTCGGTACTCTCTTGCTTCACTCGCTTGGCGGTAGCGGAAATAGCCCCGGCGTCGGAAGGAGCGGCGCGCTTCTTCATTTTGCTCGGAGCTGGCTTCGCCATAGTGTGCAATTTCTACAGAAGCAAGAAGAGATGGATATTCGTGAAATTTATGTCGCGATGGTTGTCCTTAGCCTTAGACTTAGGAATTTAGGATGAAAAACACCGGAAATAATAAAACTCGTAGCTACGCCTGTTGCAATATAGGATCTTCACACGATACTGTGAGTCGATCTACCGAGCCTGGTGGAGAAGAAAGGAAAAAATATAATGTTCGAACAAATACTTCTTCTTCTCAGACAGCCAAACTACAGACACACAATCACAAACACGACATAAATCGTCCGAGGACGGAGGAGGTCGAAGATCCTTCTTGATTGTTTCTTGATCATGACTGATTTGAGATCGTTTATAGTATTTTGATCCTTGATTTGATGCCGTTCCTTATCTTCGTGTACTGTTGGATCAGACGGACCCGGATCGATTTTACGTAAATACAGTTCAAGCGGATCGTGAGGAAGATCTTCTGCTTCTGTTTCCAGCATCATTTTCTTTCTTTCTTTCTCACTGCATGTGCCTGGGTGTGGCACCATCGATGGATGACTCACGATCCGTCTCCTCTTTTTCTTGCAGAACAGGATCAGGATGAGGATCTCAATATCTGCATGTAGTGCTTTTGCCTTTTAAAGATACAACTACTTGAAGGTGTTTACGTTTCGCGAAATAGTGATTTTCGTACAGGAAAAAGAATTGTTGCAGAAGTTCTTAGTCGTGGAGCAAAAGTGGGGTGACATCAGCGGGCGTTGTCAACGCAAATGGATGCCACTGGTTGGCAAGTTTACTGCTCGTCGAGAGCAGAGGAAAGAAAAGACGACCAATAATAGCCGCCGAGGCGGAGGTAGTGAGGTCGTGGGCGTTTTTTTGCCGACCGCAGCCTTGGCCGCGGCTTTGCGTTCTATGGGCTCGCCATACCGCCGTGAGTAACGTTATGCCGCACGGTATGGCGGCCACTTGGGAAACGTCGCAAATTTTGGAAAATTTCCGAAATTCCTTTCCGAAAGCCAGCCCCCATGCTATGGGGCCGATCCGGGTGCCACGGGGGGCGCCCAAAAAGCGAAGAAAAATCGGGCCCATAGCATGCGGATTGGCTTTGCGCGTGCGGGCCGCTTTTTCTTTTTCGCGTTTTTATTTTTCACGCCGGCGCTTTTTGCAAAGCTTCCCAGGCTCTGAAACCGGCGAAAAGGCGGCCGCTTTCGCGGCCGCCCAAAATGCTCCGAAATCGCGGCCGTGCCATGCTGTTTCGCTGTTCTGATTTTGGACGCGTTTTTTGCGCGCCCCTTTTTGGGCGCCCCAAATCGCCAGAAACTAAGGCGGTGGCCGCCTCGGAAGGGCGCCCCTTTTGCCGGCTCCCCTGCGTCGTTTTATCCAGTGCGAATCGATAGTCTTCGACCGGGCTTGTTTGATGGCAAAGCCCCGTCCGCTTGATAATTATAAATTTTTTATGTCAAAAAACGCCTCCGGTCGCTTGAAAACTGCCGGTCGTTTTTCAGGGTAGGTGTCAAAAAAACTCCCTGGTTAGAACCGTTCGGTGACCTCACTACATATAAAAATCGTGACGAGGGGACAATAAATGAAAGATACTATACAATGAGAAACCAGTCGGGCAGGACAACTCTTTTCAATGGGGAAGTTTTGATATTGACATGTAGTACGTGTTGAATGCTATTTATTGTTATTCTGGCAGAAACAAAAACTAGAAATCGAGAACGTCCCTCCAACAACTAGCAAGACATCGGGAGATGATAAATATTGATGACCACGGCGGGGAATAATTCCGTGTAGAAGAAGTTTCTCGTCGTGTTTCTACTGTACGAAAGGGAAAAAAGGCGCAAAACAAATAGAGGTGATGTTCCACAAATACCTCTTCCACGACAGCACGCCTCATCATCTTTCATCCCACTTAGCTTGTCGTCGCGAGTACTGTTATTTGCAACTACACAAGTTGTAGCTCCTCCTTCTTTTTACTTCCGGTTGTAGGGCTACTCAATGACAATGAGACTGTCCTCGTCTCCCTCTTTTAAGCTTCAACCCTTGATCTCGTTTTCTGATCTCGATCTCGTGCATCGTTTTTATGAAGCAGAAGAAGAAGCCACTGGTTTCGGTTCGCCAGCCGCCACCGTTTGCCGGAAGCCGGGGTCAAAACGTATCCTGTGTAAAAACGTCCCCACCCCAGAGTTGTCATGCAAATCTGCATGCTCAAAATGTTTGTCATGCGGAGACACATGAGAAGCATTTTTTGGTCGTATTTTGGAATTTGTAATGCGCCAATCAGAATGATATACTAGATCTGTGATGCTGCTGAACTACCTCAAACAGCACTACGCTGCGATTCCAAATTTGTCATGCAAAACAGCCAAATTTCGTGGACTTGTCTAGCCGATTCCCCATCTTGACTCTGGTATGGGGATGCTTTTACTCAGGATAAAACGCGCCAGTTCCTCCTCCATGATTCGGATCTTCGATTCCAGCACCGGTTCGTCCTTTATGCGGGCCCTGTACTTTTTCCTGGCGCACATCCAGAACGCCAAGATGCAGGCCTTGTCTTCCCGAACGTTGCTCATGCCGTAGCCGCACGCGAAGTCTTTGGGGGCTTTCCCCGCGTCGAAGCAGAGGCCGTGGTTGCTCTCCCGCGGATTCCGCTCGTACAGGTAGCGGAACTCGGGCGGGTGCAGGGCGCGCCACTCCGTGTCTTATGCACTGCAAAAGTATCGTACTCGTAGTGATTGCAGTTATGCAGGATAAATACCTTTGCCAACCTGCATCAGCGTTACAAATGACACTTTTGCTCTTGCCAAATAAAATTTGTAATGCAATTCCTACTAGTTCTTGTACAAGTACGATAATTTTGCAATGCATATGTCCTTCGGGTCGTTGATGTTGTTGTCGGCCTGGTTATGAAAGTGCACAACTCCCCCTCCCCCTCATTTCTATTGCATGAACAGGAATACAAGCGTCAGGGTCAGCAAGAATACAGGATTTGCATGACAAATTATTTGGACAGGACTGTATCTCTATTTGGGCTGCCAAAACTTGTCATGCAAACAGTGCCAAGCGTCAAGGCCCTTAGTTAGGCACTTTGCATGACAAATGAGGGGGAGGGGGAGTTGTGCACTCTCATACTGGTCGATCAGGTGGTACAGCTCGTGAAAATATGCCATGCAAATACTTTCTATGTCTGCTGGGTAGGTTGGATGAAAGCACGCGATTGGTCACGCTGAGTTTTACGTAACAAAGCGGCCTTGTGCTAGTCGTGTAGGTCATGAACGCATAGAGTACAAGTTTTTCGGGAGCCGCCGTGACGATCGAATACGAATTCCACCGTCTTTTGCATGACAAAGACAGACTGCATGTTTATTCGAGCACGACAGAAAGACAGTCCCCAATGCTTTCATGCGTCACAGATATCAACCGCCACATACAAAGCTCAACATCAGAAATCCAAACAGCCCCCCCACGGAAACACGGCAATATTTGCGACGCCTAGGTAAAACGTGTCCTTGTTTAGACAGTATCCGAAGGCAAGCCACATCTTGCGGCTGCCCGCCAATTATCCTGTGCGAAAGGATCGGACTCGTACTAATCGCATTCATGCATTACAAATTTCCTTCTCAGGTTAAATCCGCATTAAAAATTTTCTTTCTTATGCTGAGGAAGTTTGTCATGCGATTTTTTTTTGCGATTTGTACTAGTACGATGCTTTTGCATTTGATACCAATCCGGCGCAGGGCCCGAAGGACTTCATCGCCAATTTGTTGGTCACGATAATTTGGTCCAGGACCTTTTTCTCGCGGAGGAAGGACAGGGGAAGCAGACGCACGATGTTCAACAAGGAATTCGGCTGCGTCGGGTCCAATAGTTCCTCGCACTGCGCCAACGTCAGCGGGTTGCCCGTGATGCCATGGGAGTTCCCGGGCACGTTTTCGTATGCAATGCAAAAGCATCGTACTCCTATTCGTACCAATTGCAGTCATGCATCACAAATATTTTTCCTAAGGTCAATAAGCATTACAAATTCCATTTTTCATGCTGAGGAAATTTGTGATGCAAGTCATACTAGTACCATACTTTTGCAGTGCATATTTCGAGCACGGTCGACGGGTCGTCTTCGCGATTGATGTGGAGCTCGATGCCAAACATCTCTTTTATGGAAAGATTCTCAAACCACTTACATTGACTACGTATTAGATTACAGATGAATTTGTGACGCCTGATGTTGACTAGCAAAAGTGGAAGGGGGTGGAGGCTTGCACATCTTGCATATGAAGATGTGGCAAGATTTTCGATTACATTCAGCGCATAAAAAACGAAAACTAGTCATGCGAACGCGAAGTGGCTTGATCGTTTGGAGGGCCACGCGAGGGTGATAGCGATTTTGCATGACAAATCATGTATATTTATAGAGTGACTAATGTAAGAACGTTTGAGAGCGCCATATCTTCGAACTTCGCAATCCGGTCCATCGGCTCCATGGCCTTCACCTAAGTAAAGGAGGAGCAGTTTCTTTCATGAGGTTAAACCCATACCTGAATACTTACTTGAAAAATGACAATTGTGGACGAGAGACCTTAGTCTTAGTGCGAGTTCGTCCGATGGGAAAATGACAAAGAAAAAAACAAAGAAAAACAACTAGAGCTACTTCTAATATCGCTATATAAATGCAATATATGGCACTTATACGTCGTCCAGCGGAATGTGCTGCGGGCCGGTGCCGTTTTTGGTTTCGTCGTTATGGAAGCGTCAGGATTGAAATTGACAAAGTTGAAATGATTTGTCATGCATAAAATGAATGCCAATTGGAACCCAGTTTCCAAGTGGCGCATGACAAATTTTGGTGGTCGTTAAATCCAGTTTGTCATGCTGTTTAGGCAAAGAAGACTGATTTTCTCATGCTACTTTAGCAGCTCGAGCTCTAACCCCAAACAGGCTCACAATCGGCCCCACTTGCCTGCTCTGCAACACACGTGCCTCGCGTCATGATGCATTTTCTGCATTACAAATCATTTCAACTTTGACGATTTCAAAGCTGACGCTTCCATAGTCGTCATCCGAGTTGTATTCGTTCTCTCCGGAATCTATCAAATGTAAAAATGTCTGGGTCTGGAAGAATGCAACTTGTGATGCTGCGTTTGGATTCCAAAAAAATCTGTATTGCATGAGTACCAAAGGGAATGCTATTTTTGCTACGCTATCGCATCGCTTTGACATTTGACTCCTGTCAGGGTGGCGCTAGAACAGATTTAGCCTCTGCCAATACCGTGGCGTTAGAACAGATTTAGCCTCTGCCAATACCCCTAGGTGGACACCCGTTCCACGTCCTACAGGTACCACCCGACCGCATCCGCCGAACCGCTTGCGATTGCTTACGCATGAGTACGGCCAGTGGGCGCTAGATGTGGCTGACCTGATTTACCATCCAAGCCCTCGAGCAAGGTGGAGCCCCAGTGTTGCCTTGTTGGGTTATTCTTACAAACATTGAACGCTACAGCTTCTGTGGTCGGTTGCGCGCTAGGTATACAGGGGGTCTATTGGTCACACACGTTGACCCTATTACGATGACGGGCAACCCCAAAGCATGCCCCTTTCAAGCACTTTACCGACCTGCATCCGCGCACCCTTTTTATGCGCATAGGTAGAATCGGACATTGAAGCTCCGCGTTAGCAGAGCCGCCACCGCGCCCGCCCCGGGGGGACCCCTTGGGGAAGGGGGGTGCTGCCTTAGCGCAGTCTTTAAATTAGCAACCCTGTTCCCACCTACTAGTAAAAGGGACGCGCTGACGACGACGGGATAGCAGTGCCGTGCCTATTGGCTGGCGAGGACGAGATGATTAGCAGCGCCGTGCCTTTCAGCTGGCGGAAACGGAGCCCTTGCAGGCTAGCTGATACGACCAAGGGAGCCACTTTTTCTTTCTTTTTCTTTCCTCTGCTTCCTCTTCCCTCCGCCGACACCCAGAACACTGCTCCCCCATTTTTCGCCCTTCTGTTTCGTTCTCTTTCTTTCCTTTCATTATTTTCAACATCTCTTTCATCATCGTTTCTCAGTGCGTGTTCCTAAACATCTGGGCTAACTCTTCCTGTAATGAATTATCACGCTTCAGTCTTTTCATAGATCTCCTTTCTTCCTGCCGTTTGCGCTCCTCCTCCCGTTCTGCTGCCTCTTCGCGGTCCCGCTTCCGGTCCCTCTCGTTCAGCTCCTCCAGTGTTGGAAATCTTTCCTCTTCCTTTTTATCTTCTTTTTCCCCCACTGTTTCGCTTATGTCTTTGGCGATTTTCTTTCTCAGACTTCCTGATCTCCCCTCTCCGCCTGGTTCTTCTGCTTCTCGTGATGTCATTTCTATCTCCTCCTCCTCCTCTGCCACTTGGCGCACTTGCTGCGTGTTCTTCTCTTGTCGCGTCACATCTCCTGCGACTTCTTTTTTCGCTGTTTTCTGTTCTTTCGAGATTTCCCTCTTAGGCAGTTTTCCTCCTGGCCCCCCTATCGTAATTTTTTGGATCATCTCCCGCGTTGCCTCCTCCGGTCCTTGATCCTTATAATATCCCATGCCAAAGCGCCCGAGTTTGTACACGTATCCTGAGCGGCTTCCCTGGTACTCCTGCGCCGGGGAGAAATACACAGCTTCTTCTATTTCGTTCTCTTCTTCTTCTTTTGATTCCTTTCGCTCTTCTGTTATTTCCGGCACGTCCCTCCTGTTGCTGCTGCTCGACGTCGCGCGAGATTCTAATGGACCGTCTACGGCTGTTTCTAGTAGGTCTGTGGCTCTTCCTATTATGTCCAGCGCCCTCTGCAGCATTTCGCTTCCTTCTTTCTGTGCTTTTATCTTTTCCCCTTCTACCATTTTTCTGATTGTTTCTGCTAATGACCCGCTGACTATCTCCCTGCTCGTGTCTGTCGTCGCAGTGTTCCCTTTGGGGCCTTTTTCGCAGCGAGCTTTCCCCTTCGCACTGCTACTTGCCCCCTTCCCCTTCCTCTCTCCTGTGCTGCCTTTCCTTCTGTCGTCCTCGCCGTTACCACCTCCCTCCTCCACTTTCTGCCCGTCTTTCTTTTCGTCTCCTATAATCTTCCGGCAGATGTACGCTTGTCTTTCTATTTTTGACATTTCCGGCCATTCCCAGATCGGTTTTGTCGGTGCATTTTTTTCGCCGAAATCGTACTGAACCCATTCAGCATATTCATCATCATGCTTCGACACGTTTGCCACCCTTAAGGGTATCACTTCTGTATAGCCCCCATGTGCTTCACTTTTTGCGAGGGTTTTTGGCGCGTTCTGCTTCCCCCAGCGCCTGACTATTGTTAAGCCCGGAATCTGTTCCTCTGCTTTTTCTATTTCCTCCTGCAGCTCTAACGCTATCCCTTGCTCTTTCCGCAGAAGCCCCCGCGTTTTCTCTTTCATCTCGTCGTAATCCAGCAAGCACGCGCACACTCCTCCACTCCCTTCGTGTTGCTGTTTCTTCACCATCTCTATTGCTCTTATGGCGTTATTGCAATACGCTACGAATTTTCGCTCTTCTGTCCTAGCTTCTGTCTTTAGGTGGTCCTGCCTCGTTTCAATTGTTGCCATGTGTTCTTCTTTCCCCTTCCATTCCTCTACTGTTACCATCGTAGCTTCTTCTTTGTCCGTGTGTTTTACCCATATTTTCGTCATGTAGTCACTCTGCCCTTTCTTGCCTTTCCCCCCTTGTCTTATTTTGTCCGCAAGCAGACTCCTGTCGCATCTGTACACGTGCTGGCTTTGTACCATCTGCGGTTTTGCTTTGTTAGTTTTTCTTACTATTCCTACCCCCCGCAGGTCGCTCCCCGCAGACAACCTCACCGATGCTCCGTCTCTGAGTGCTTGCAGTAGTGCTATGTCAGCTTCTATTCTCTTCATTATTTTTCTTTCCACAGCTCTTGCTATTCCTGCCTTCGATTCCCCCACTACTTTGAGTGGCATTGTTGCCATTTGGATGAAACCCCCCGGGTCTGTCAAGTAGTTTGCTTGGGCTGTTGCTCTTAGTGTTTTCAGCCCCAGCGTGAAAGGGTCTGTAATTCCTAGCATATTCGCCCCGAAAACTACGCGGTAGAAAGTTTCTGCATTTGTGTTCGTCTTTCTCATCAGTTCTTCCACCGTTTCCTCTGTCATCCCTATCGTCTCTGCTATTGTTAGCGATATTTCTCCTAGCATTGTCGCCCAGTCCTGCATGTCGAAATAGAGCTGCATCACCGGTAGAAAGTATATCATCGACGACACAAAGAACACTTGGACTATCCACGCCAGCTCCTCCCCCTCTAGCTTTTTCCGTCTTGACATTACCTGGTAGGCCAGGTGCTGCCCTATTCCTATGCTCTGCTGAACTTGGCTCCTGAGAGCCTTGCGCTGTCCCTCCTTGTTCGTTGGCACTATCCTTATTCCTAAGATCTTCAGGAAGTCCTTCTCTTCGAACATTATTCCAAAAGGCTGGAAAGCCTGCCGCAGAATGCTGATTTTCGCAGGGTCTTTCAGCGACGTGGCAAATTCACACTTCAGGGGCGCCAGAAATTGCCCTTCTGTTTCATAGATTTTTTGGCACGCCCAGCTTGCTGCTCTCAATGCTGCCGCTACCACTTCTATATCTTCTACAAAAAACTTCAGGACAGTGGTCCCGTCGTCCACATATTGAACCGCTAGGGCCCATTTTCTCTTGTTGTCATGCGGGAGCTTTCCCATGTAGTGCCGAAATTCCGTCTTTCTTGCTTTTTCGCCCTTTTTCTCTTTCCCTTGCCCTGTTGTGACTTTTTCTCCTCTCCTATATCCCGTTACTGGTGGGCCGGCCTCCTTTTGGTATATTTCGCCCACCTCCGTCCGGTGGTCGTAGTCCCGAAAACTTGTGTCTATGTCCCCTCCCTTGTATAGCCTTGCTATTCTCGCGCGCAGCTTAGCCTCTGCTTTCTGCAGTCTTTCTCTATTTGTTCTCCCTTCTTCATCAAAAACTTCTTCCAAGAATTCTGCTACAATTTCTACGCCCGGGAGAAACATCAGAGTCCCCCCGAGCATCGTCTCCACTGCGCCCTGGATGAGCTCTCTATGTCTGACTACGTGGCCGTAGCAATCCCCATTTCTTATCCATAGGTCTTTTGTCCACGCTGTTACTATTATCAGCTTTATAAAGCACGGGTCGCGGAGAGCCAGCCCCGGCGGGCGACTGCCTACATTCCCGCTATTTTTTGAACCGCCCAAGCCCTAGCCTGGGCGAGCAAGCCCGCCCCGGGCAATAGGCCGAGGCGGGCAACCCTTGCCGGGGACACAGGCGGGGCGCGGGCGACTTGCAGAACGCAGACGCCTGAGCCCATCGCCGAAGACCCGCCAGAAAGGCGCAGTGGCGAAGCAATTGCGCCGCCAACCCTTTCAGCCGTTCTTGACCACGTCCCGAAATTTTCTAAGTTTGCGCCTAAATTTCAGAGCAACGGCCGACATAGGCAAAATCGCACGCAAATTGCCCAACTGGGCAAATTAGACAAAAAATAGACAGCAGCCGAAGCGGCCAAGGCCGCTGCTTAGACAGAAATTAGAGGCGGCAAAGACCGCGAATATAGACAGGAAAATAGACAAAAAAATAGACAGGAAAATAGACAAGAAATTAGACAAAAACTTAGACAAAAACTTAGACAGGAAATTAGACAAGAAATTAAACAAAAACTTAGACAAGAAATTAGCGCCCCCGCAAGAGCGCCGACTGTAGGAAAATTAGCGCGAAAATAAAGAGCCTGGCGCCGGGGGCGGCTCTGTGCGACACGGGCGCAGCTTTGCTGTTCTGTATGCTTCTACTGCTCTCGGTATTCCAATGCTGTTGAAGTAATTGGATGCATCTAGCCCGAACGCAATTGCTTCCTGCTTACTTCTTTCCTCTCCCTTTTTTTCTTGTGCTTCCTTCTGTTTCTCTACCCCACCGCCTTCGTGGCATGTCTGTAATACCTGTAGCGCTGTCGCTTGGCAGCTAGCCCCTGGCTTTGACGCCGATCCACACCTTGTAAACGCATCACTTTTGTCGGCTACGCGCGCCATTTCGAAGACTACCACGCTGAGCAGCACTCGCATGATCGCTGTCCCCTGTATCACCGTCCGGATTTTTTCTATTGCCGTCGTTGCTGCTGTCTGCTTTTTCAACAGTTCTACCTGCACCGCGTTCAGGTGCTCTTCCAGCAACGCCGGCTGATTTTTCTTTGCGCTTTGCTTCATTTCGAATTCCTCTCCCTCTTTTAAGAATCTATTAAACACCTCCGCCAGGATCTCATATTGCTCCGGCGTGAGTGCTTTATAAATTTCCATCCTGAGGCCGTCCATACCGGCGGCCTCAGGATTGAGTCTTTTTACGTGTTCCTTTAACTGTGGGCCGGTAAAGCGTAGGCTTTTGACCTCCCTGCATGCTTGCGTTAGCTGCCCCAGTGCTTTCGCTAGCTCCTTTGCGTCATAGGTGTGCTTCTTTCCGTTCTCCTTCCTCGTGGGTTCACACTTTAGCAGGTGGCTGCTAGCGATCCTCTCCGTCGCTGCCTCTACCCCTTTCACTAGTATTCCGCCTACTGTCACTTCTTTTGCCTCTCCCATTGGCATTCCCCTTCCTACTCCACATATCGCTTCTTTTACTTTTCTTGCTGTTTCGTATATTTCCTTTTCCGTCTTTTGCCCCTTTTTTGGCATTTGCGGAAATGACTGCGCCCACTCCTTTTCGGCTGTCTCCGCCTTTTCTTTTTCCTCTTCGCCTTGCTCTCCTTCTTCTTGCTTTATGTTTTTCTCTTCTTTCCGCTTCTCTCTATTTTGCTTCTGCCATTGAGCCTTAAGCTTCCCTCCCTTTTCTACTTTTTGCACCTTGAGGACCCCCGCCTCGTTCAGTTTGTCCATGAGCCATTTCTGTACTCCCAGCATTGTTCTCCGCTCTGTTGGTATTGTCCCTGCTTTTTCCATCGTCTCCTGAAGCCTTTCTAGTGTTATCGATTTCCGCGGCCACTTCGCCACCTGTCTCACCGGGTTGGCTTTTTGGAATTTTCTCATCCCCCTGATTATTTCTATTCTCCCTTTTGCGCTTTCCACCGTCGGCGCCACGAGTGAGCGCCGTGCGTTGAAGGCCCATCGCTTCTGTTCTTTCGCTTGCTTTTCTTTTTGCACTTCCCCTATGCACTTCGGGGGCGGTATCCATACCACGTCTGCAAGTAGAGCTACGTGGTCCGACTCCTCCTCCTGATTTTCATCTTGTTCCTGATTCTGATCCTCGTCCTGTTTTACCTCTTGCGGTATCTGCACCCTCTCGCAAACTTTCGCCACCACCCTGCCCTTTTTTCCTGCTATTGCCATGAAGTCAATCGTAGTTGGGTTTTCTTGGCTGCGGTAGCATGTTGGCCCTCCTGTTGGCAGTGTCTCCGCATGCTTGTTCAGCATGTTTTCTAATGGCTTTATCACCTCCTCGAAATAAATCTTCTGCGCCCCTGTTTTTTCTCTTTCAAGTTTTATCTTTCCTCTTTCTTCTATTGCGTACTGACAGTTCAGGCCTCCCGTCATTATTGCCATTCCGCATTCTTCTATCATTTTTTCGAGCTTTGCGGTCATTTCTGCCATTTGCTTGCGAATAAACATCGCCTCTTCGCTGTCTTTTATGGGTGCGTCCTTTGCTGGCCTGCGGTAGAAGACCACGACCAGCATTCCTCTTTCGTCTTGCGCTGCTACCATCCATAGCAAAGCGTCCTCTTTATTGGTTATGCCTTTCCGCAGGAATGTCCCTCCCATATCTTTCCGAAGTATCTCCGCGCTATATATACTGTCAGGCAGCCTCTTTGGCTCTTCTATGTATATCACCCCCACTGCCCCCGCATTGAGTTCCGCGGCCACTTTTTTCATATTTGTCGCCGCCGCAAAGTACACTGCCGGTCTCGTGTCTGGAATCCCCAACGCCTTCCGTTCCTCTTCAACGTGTTGGAAAGCTGCTTGCTCGTCTGTTAGCGCTGCTACTTTGAGCTCTGCGCAGCTGGCTCCTGTTAGCCTTGGCGTTATCTTTGTGTTTGCTTTTAGCAGACGTAGCGCATTTCGCCGCTTTACTCCATTTATGTTCCAGAAAGGGTGGCGCTCCCGCCTCATTTCTTCGCTTCCGTCTTCTCTTTCTTTTTTCTCATCTAGTTCGTCTCCTTCCTGCTCGTCTGCTCCCTCCTCTTCTGTTATTTCTCTCTCGTCTTCGCTTTTTTCTTCTCTATCTCCTCCCAGTCCGTTTCCTTCTTTTTCTTCTTTTTTGTTTCTTCTGTTACTGTTTTCCTGCCACCCTCTTCTTTCTTCATTTCTTGTCCCGCTCGACTCCTCTTCTTCTCGTGGCAGTAGCGTCTCCTCCTTCGCGATCTTCATGCCCTCCATTTTTGCCATTCTGTCTTATTTCTTCTATTCTCAGTTAGGCTGCCTACTAACTTATATAATTAGTTACTCGCTACCGCTTTCATTGGGTTAGTCCTTCTAAGCGTAGCGCTCTGCTCTACTTACCTTCTACACTCTATATCTATCTACAAACTCTCTCGCTAGTCGAAGTCACTCTATCACGTCTACTAAGCTTTCCAGTCTTCCTTCTATGGTCGCTGTGGGTGTTTTTTGGCAATTTAGATTCTTCCGCTCGCGATCTGTCGAACGCTTTTTCGTTTGGAGATCAGTCTTTCTTTGTTCTTCAGTATTTTATAGCGTTAGGCTCTCCTTTCTTTTTATGTCTGCCTCTGTATAGCGGAGCTGCTGTTATCATTCCTTCTGTCCCTCATTCTGCCGCCTCGTTCTATTCTGCCGCTGACTCTGCTTCCGAGTTGCTTCCTTCCCTTTTTTCTTTTCTTTTTTCTTTCTTTTTTCCCAAACGCTCCGCCCTTTGTGCTCTGCTTTCATTTTTTCGCGTTTCCTTCATCCTTTTCGTTTGAGCTTCTGCTGCTCTTTGTATTCTCTTCTTTTCGTGTTCCATTCTCTCCGTCCGCGAGAGCTCGACCAAGGCCGCGCTTCCTTTATACGATTTCGTCGCTATCAACTCTCTTGCTCTTTCTTGCCATCTGGCATATTCCTCATCGGATTCGAGCGCTGTAGCTAGGCGCTTTCGCGCATTTTTTGATGTTGTATTCTTTGCGTCTTTTATTTCTTGGCTCTTCTTCTCTTCTTTCCTTTTCTTTTTTTTCTTCTTTTCCTTTTCTCGCCATCTTCTCATATAGTCTCCGATGTGTATTTTCCACTGTATCCGGGACATTCTCCGGAGGCGGACGATTCCGAGCGCTCTTTTCTTGTCCCTTTCATCCTCCACTTCCGCATTCGTCTCTTCGTCTTTTGTTGCTGCTGTGAAAAGCGCCCGCATCTTCTCCGCCCCTGCTTTCAGTCTCATCGCTTTCGCCATCTGCTGTCTCTGCTTTATTGTCAGCAGTTTACCCTCCGCATCCCTTTCAGGCGTTCTTCGCAGCCATTTAGTCATTGGCGTCTTCCTTTTTCTCCTTACTGCTGCTAAGTTTTTCAGTATCCGCGCGCTCATTTTCCCGCGCTTTTTATTGATTTCCGCGATCGTCGTATCCGGCCTCGCGCGCGCCGTCACCTCCGTTTCCTTTCCTCGTTGGCTTATCAGCTCGTCTATCAGCATGCCGCCCCGCTCTTGCCGATCCTCTTCTTGGCTTTTTCTCTGTATCTCCAGAGCGTCCTTTCTCTTTTCATTTATTAGTGCCTCTAGCCAGTCCTCTGCTCTCCCGTCTTTCGTTGTGTTCGTTTTCTCTTCGTTCTGCGCCTCTTTCTTTTGTTTCTTCTCTCCTTCTATATTTGTCTTCGGCGGCGGCCTGAAACGCAGCGGGGCGATCTCCATTTTGGATCTTTCTTCGTTTTGTTACAGCTCTCGGTCGCTACTATACTTCCGGTTCTATGCTAAAGATTTGGATCGTCAGCAATTTTCTAAATTTTTTCACCTCCTTCTGCTTCCTGATTTTTCAACTCATTGCATTTAGAAGGTTTGCCCTGATCTTTTCGCTGCTGCCTGTTTTTCTGTTCCTGAGACACAACTATCTAACGCATCTACCCCTTCCGTGAAGTAATGCGCCTGCCTACACGTTGTTTCATTTTCATGCATGCAAAGCCCACCACTGTTCCCGTTCATTCCTCTCCGTTCAACCACTGTATTTTGGGTGAGCCATAAAAAAGCCTCTTCATATTCCAAAAATGGTTCTCTGCTTGCTCTAACCCATTTGTCTAAGTTATTTTCGTCTCTGTTCTTCCCTTCGTCCGACTAGTCAGAGTCGTACTGCGGCTAACCCTGAGTGTAAAACTAAAGTCTAAATCTTCTCAAAACTAGTGCCTAGTAAGTGTCTCCGCCTCGTTTCTATCTCGCTTATGTCTGTCTTCTCCTTCCAGTCTCCTTCGGTATATCCCGTCGCTCATCCGCTATCCGCTCCTCGTTTGCCTGCTAGTATTCGCCTCCGTTCATGCCCCACTGCATCCCGCTCCCGTGGTCCTGGTCTCCGTACCCTCCGTCACCTGTTCCTTTGCCGGTGATCTGCCAACTTTTTTCTTTTCCCCAGCCCCATCCCCCTTTTCCTCCTGCTTTGCCGTAGGGCATGCTTCTTTTTCCGCCTTTCGTGTGCCAGTGCTCCGCCCCTTCTTTTCCTCCGTACGGGCCCGACTTGGGACCGAACATTGGGGGGGGGTAGTGAAACCATTCCGCGTCCCATCCATTCCCTTTTTTCATCTGTTCTTTCCCGTAATATCCCTGATCGTTTTTCCCGGTACCCTCTCCCGCCAGTCCTTCGCTTCCGGCTGTATGGTCCGCCCCGGTTTCCTCGTCGTGCTCCTGATCCATCTGCGATTCCTCCTTCACTCTAGTTGCGGGGTGGGCTCCATTTCCTGTTTCGTTTTTCTCTTCTTTCTCGTCTTCCCCTTTCCCTCCTTCCTGTTGGTAGTAGAAGGCTTCGCCTTTTCCATCTTTGTTCTTCGCGAGACCTTTCCCGTAGCCTCCCCCTTTATCCGCTTCCCAGCCGTGGCAAAACTCTCCTCCCATCTTGTATTCGCAGTGCCCTTCACTTTCATTTTGGTAGTGGTACGCTTCTCCGCCCATGCCGGGGTAGTGTCCGTAGCCCGTTTCTTCGGGCCAGTAGTAGCCTTTTCCTTTTTTTCCGCTCTGGATCTGGTTCGACGTTCCCCAGTATCCCATCCCCCCTTTCCCTGCTTCTTTCTCCCATTCGATCGCCTTTTTCATTTCATTGCTCGGGCGGAGGTATTGGTCTTCTTTCCACTCCGTCACTTTTCCCGTCCCGATTTGTTTTTCATCGATCTGCTCTCCGGTGTCGCGGAACTCCTCGAACAAGTCGGCCATAAGGGCGCCGTCCCCTTGGAGCATCAAAGTGCCGCTACTCCAGAACCTCACGATAGCCCGCTTTTCCATCCACAGCGCCGCAGCTGTTTTGTCGCATCCTTCTCGCGAATGCATTTGGATCGTATCCGGGTCCTGGTCCGTCAGCTGACCCAAGAACTCCATCAACTGTTCCGCTTCAATGTTTGCAAATTTTGCGTGATTTTCTTTGTCGCGGCATGGGCCGGCCGTCGACTTCTTCTTACGTCCCCTCCCCATTTTCCTTCAATTTTTTTCGTTTCTTCTTTCTTCCCCCCTTCCTTCACAGCCTCTACTACCTATCACTTGCGCTTTCTTCAGAAAGAATATAATGTCAACTATTGATACTCTTTATTCTAGTTGCGTGGCTATCGATAAACAAAGAATGGCCCAAGGCTTCGCTCCAGCTCTATTCTTCTCAAAAAAAAAGATTCTGCCCTTTGTTGTCGCTGTTCGTCCTTTTTATTTATCATTGGGGGCATTTGCAAGAATTATTTCCGTCATTTCGCTATCTCTATCATTCTCTTTCGTCTTTTCTTGTTGTCGATCTTTCCGCTCATGCAAACGCCGATCGTTTATTGCAATTCCATGCTCCTCGGTTTATCTTACCGCACCCCATCACCCGATGTCCTTCCTACCTAGAAGTACGGACGCGGCCTGCCGCGACGGCAGAGCACCCTTGAAGCGTGGGCAGAGCGTGCGCGCTGGTTTCCAAGGCTGAAACACAGAAGCGCTGTGCGCGGGGACAGGAAGGCAGGGGCAAAAAAGGGCGCAAGCAAGTTGTGTTCCGAGGCGCAGGTGGGGGCATGGTCCGCCGCCACATGCCAAGGCAGAGGAAAGGCACATTTGTCCGCGGGAGGACAGAGAAAGACGCAGCACGCAACAGGGTTGCGCAGCGCGATGGACATCTTGGCTTGGGTGCGCTCCTTGCTCGTTGCAAGGTTATTTCGATCCTCTTATTTTTTGCTGCCGCTGCTAGGATTTCTTGCTTCGCTTGTGATCCTTTTTGCATTTCGTTTCATCTGGGACCTGTCGCGAGGGAAGCGTTACTCTTACTCATTTTGATCCTTCGTCCCCGGCTTCATACTCGTCCTCGTGTGAAAAGTTTCGGCTCTCCTGGCTCAGCATCCTCGCCTTGTATTTTCAGGCACTGGCAGTTTTTTCTGCTTCGACTTCTTCTGCATCTCCTTATTTTTCATTTTTTCATCCTCAAAACACAACAACAAAAATAATTCAGTCTCTTATTCCCTCTTGTCCATACTTCGGCTCCTGAATTCAGATAATTAAGCTGCGAATTCTCGACGTCATGGGAGCTCTCACCTTCCCATTTGTTTTCATATTTCTTTATCCATGCCGTGCTTGCTTTTCGTGCTGCTGCCTCACTTGGTAGCGAAACAACAGCACTACTTTGCTGGCCTCGGAGGGAAATGCTTTTCGCTTCTTCGTATCTTCCATCTATTTTCGTTATGGGTAACGTCGGTCCGAATTTGCGGTAGTGTCAAGCCCTTCGTGGTGAAGACGCGGCTGCTCCGCGCTGCAGTCCGTCTTGTACATATTTACCCTTCAGCTAACTTCTATTTTTTGCACTAGCTTCCGTCTCTTCTTTATCCGCGTTTTGTGCCGACTGCTAGTGTACATCTTTTTTTTTTTTTTTTTTTTTTTTATATATATCCCTTTTTTTTTTTTTTGCACTGCGCCGACCGCGCCCGGTCGTGGCTAGAGCTTTTTCTGTTAAAATTATGTATAAAAAGAAACTCGTCGTCGGCTACAACGAAAATAGGTGCTATGTCTATTTCTCTATCGTTGCCGCGGTCGGTATGCTACTGCCCCTCAGCATGAGTACGCAGCAGCACACCTTTTCAGCTCGCACGGTGATGATAGTCCTGCTTTTCTTTATGTGTAGTAGCTTCGGATTTACCTTGTAAAATCGAACTTTTTCTTCCTTCTTCTCTTTTTTATCTAATATCTTTGTTGCTTCCGACGTAGCTTATAGCTTGCTTTCGCATGCTGCTATCCCGTTGGTGCAATTTCAAATCATACACTTTGCGATAAATATTGCCTTCGATATTAACCCGGAGAGTCCATTTCTCGCTCATCGATGTAGCGCGACCACTCTTCTTCTCGATCTTCTTCTTTCGTGGTTCCAACCGTATCAGGTCGGTGCAGATTAGCCTCTTCATAGTTGGTTCTATGCGTTCTGCTGTCTTAATGGGTTGACAGTAGGTCGATCAATATCGTGACTTGCAGGAGAGGACTGTCGAACGACCTCTCTATTTCTCTTTTCGAAAAGAAAAATACTTAGAGGGCCCCCGTCGCTGTTTCGTCTTTCCATCTATCCGTGTAGCTTGCTCAACCGCTTATGATGGTGTTGGCAGTGTGCCCCTCAACCGCTCGTAAAACAAAAAATAAAACAAATAGCACTTTCTTCTTTTTCTTCACAGATGTAAACCATTTTTATTTTCCAGACTGCACGGCTACTATCTTGTGTAGCGATAAAAGTTGAGTCGTGCGGCGAGAAAAATGCTGGATGTGCTCCGGGAAGAAGCCTCGCCATCTACAGCATAACTCATGCGCAGCTTCCTCTTCTTTTTCGTACGAGTAGTGTACTCCGTCTGTTCTATCTCTTTTTCGAATTTGATACACATCAAAACAAAACCTCCCGTCATCTCTGAAGAAACTAAAAGAGCCGCTGTCTTAGTCGTCGCGCTCGCGCCATCTACAGCACTTTTCTCCTCTGCTTTGCTACGCTGATAAGGCATTTGTCATGCGGAATAGGCATCAAGAAGCTCTCAAAAAATCTGTGATGCTAGGGCATGCATCACAGACATCAGGGATCATGCAAAACGTGCATGACAAGTGTCAGAATCTTCCAGACCCAGACATTTTTACATTTGATAGAATCCGCGGGCGCCCCGGTGCAGAGCTGCATGTCGCGGAGCCCCTGGATTTTCTTGTTGGGCGCCCCGAGGACCAGACGCTTCCAGTCGAATACCGTCTTGATGCGGGGCAGCTCCTTGTCTTCCGCCCCGGGGCTGGGTCCGGTCAGCACCGACTGCAAAAACCCGTCGGGCAGTTTCAGCTCGTACTCCAAATCCGCCGCCCACGCGCAGGCGTCGGCCTGAACATCGTAGCCTTTGAATCCTTGTTCCGCGGAGTCTTTGGCCACGTAGGGGTAGTACCGGACGTAAAGCGTGTATCGCAAGAAAAAACTGATTCACCGTGCACATGTGAAGATGTTGCGGAGGATACAACAACAACGAAATAAAGTGCTTGTCTTCCTACGCATGCAAGACCGCCAAAGATTGGTAGCTCTGTTAATATCCTTAGATAGCTCGCCTTCTTCAAGCAAAATTGTACTTGTGTCGCAACAATACCCTTGCAAATAAGTAAATCATCACAGTTGTGAACCACTTTTCCCCTACGATAGCATCAGCAAGCAGGCTTTTAGCAGCATCATGTACTTTTCGACCTCTTTATGAAAGTGCACAACTCCCCCTCCCCCTCATTTGTAATGCAAAATACCTAATTTACGCATTGGCTCTAAGGACTGTTGGCATCACAAGTTCTGGCAGCCCAAATAACACCACACTCCTGTCCAAATTTATCACGCAAAACCCGTATTGGGTATTCTTGCTGATGCTGACGCTTGTATTGCTGTTCATGCAATACAAACGAGGGGGAGGGGGAGTTGTGCACTGTCATACTCTTTGATGTTCAAGCCGCCCGACTGATCTTTGTCGCACAGTTGGATCAGGAAGGGTCCGAGCGTTTTCTTCTGGCCGCAGTAGAAGAGAAAGTCGTTCATTTCTTCCTCCTATCAGATGCAAATGTGTCTGGGTCTGGAAGAATGCAAGTTTGTCATGCTTGTCTCGCATGACTCTGGAATCTGTCATGCATGAGCAGGAAAGCAGCCTCTTACCTGTCGTGCAAAGACGCAGTTTGTCAAGCAGGAAGCGAAACACGTAGGAGCTCAGAAACTTGTCATGCGTGGCTGCGACGTAACGCAGTGCGCCCGCCATGCACGAACTAGCATCACAAGATTCCAGACCCAGACATATTTTCAGTTCATACCTCCCCCTTGATCTCGCTGCTCTTGTCCTTGTCCACCATCATGAAAGCCTCCTGCAACTCGCCCTGTTCCCAGGGCTCCAGGGCGACGCCCTTTCGGTCCAGGATCAGCTTCTTCAACACTTTTTCCGCGTCGGGTAGGTCCCGCTGCCCGCCGGATCTGTCACGCGCCCAAGTTTTCCACCCAGTCAGGTTCTGAGAGCTGGAGTTCAGCGACTGCGGGTGGTCGAGCAAAGTCTGGAGCTGTTCGAGCTCCGCATCAGTTAATTTGCCGTCCAAGTTAGAATCGAACGTGTTGAACAGCGCGGCTAAGTACTCGTCGTTCTGCTCCGATTTGCCCTGTTCCGACACCTCCGGCAGTTTCTGCGGGGGCACAACGCGCTTGGAGGAAGAGGAACTGGCGAAACACAAGGAAAAACACTTGCCGGCCGCGGCTTCGCCGGCGTTGTCCAAAATATCGCACGGGTTCATGGTATAAATAACTCAAGGTTGATGAGTTTATTATTCAGTGTGTTTTTTAACTAGGTAGGAAATTTATGTTCGGGTGATTATGCGTATGAATCCTCGACGTAAAAATTGCTTCTACAAATTAGAAAGTTACACGACGATTAATATTTGACAAAATTCTTATCTTCGTCGGTTGCGCTTGCGCATTCGCGTACGCGTTGCGTTGCTTGCGATGTATGACTGAAAGGTCATTGCAGCACTTAGTGCGGTTTTCTTTACATAGTGATGAACCAGAATAAATTTACAAACTTGAAACTGCCACAACGATTGCAGGTGGTTGTATAGCTTGTTATCCTGCACTGTGCGGTGGTACAGGCAAAAATACAACTCCGCATAGAAGATGAAAACCGATAGTACCAGCAAGGCCTCAAGAAGAGGTGCACGACCGTCAAGAACGGTTTCACTAGAGATGTAGGCACTGCTTCACTATCACTATCACTATCACTATCACTATCACTATCACTATCACTATCACTATCACTATCACTATCACTATCACTATCACTATCACTATCACTATCACTTCTTCTGTGCGGGGCAAGAAATAAACCGATCCTCTATGTTAAAGTGCACCATCTTCATCTGTGTGGTCTGTTCCGAGCAGAACCGATAGAACAAGCTGTAGTAGAGGACATGACGACCAGACCGAGAGGACAAAAGAAAACCGAGAAGTAACTTGGAAATCTTGATCTACAAGCGAACCTGTCGACGTCCAAAGCGTGAAAATATAATCCCAGCCGGGTTCCAATATTTATCTTCATCTGGAAAAATGTTGCAGTATTACCGACAGCGATGAAAGATCTCTCACCTGTTGGCGGATGAACCGACTGTCGCTTTGCAACTAGCATTTCTAATATGACGCACCACTCAACATGTGTCGCAGAAGCCGTAGCAGAACCGAGACCGACGTGAATTTATAGAACAGGGGATACTCATACTTCTCACCTGGTCGTCCTTTTGTGTAACTGTCGAGCATCATCGTTGGTCTCTTGTTGTACAATAAAATGCCATTTATTGTACCGATAGTGAAACCACCAATCGCGAAGCCCTGACTCAGTGCGCGTTTCTTTACACAGCGACAATCGAGATGAGTCTTCGCATACTCTGTGGCTCCAAGAAACAACACTCGTGCGTTTTTCTCTTCAGCAGCGCTATCATGACTTTTCGATTCACAGCACCGCTTTTTCAGTTCATTCATACTCAACAGCACGTGGAGCAAAATTTCTAGAAATAAAGCCACTCTAATTAGATTCATTTTTACTTCCTGCGTTAAGCCACTGTAGTTGTGCGGTGGCCTTGTTGGTATACTTGTAGCGATCATGATTCGCACCAAACGCAGCCACTCTAGTACTGCTCCGCGTCCGCCGGCCATCAAAATATCAAAATCAGATCGCAAGTTGTGCTGTCTTGTTCTCGCGACCTGGCATGTGCGCAAAGAACAGGGAGAAGAACCACATGTGCTGGCGGGTTGCTGCTGCACCTGCAGTAGCAGAAGTTCTTCATCTTCCAGTTAAACGAAGATCGGTGTAGCTTCGTCGGGTGCCGGTTCTTCGAGTCCTTCTCTAATATTATTCCGCCCATCTTCTACAACATGCGCCCGAGTAGACAAAGCCTCCTGATCTAATATTTCTTCCAGCGGGTTTTCCAGCGTGACTGAATCCAGCAGGTCAAACGTCACATTCGCCGTCCCGATCTGCGCTAACGGCAAGCCCCAGAAATCCGCGCGGAGGGATTTGCGTCCCTTGACGAACAGGCGGAGGTAGCCGAACGTCAAAAAGCGCTTGGCCGACCAGTTTTGCACCACCTGATCCTTGTTCGTGTCCAGCCACGCCCCGGCGCTGCCAATCGTAATGTGGGTGGTAGCGAGAAACTTGTTCTTCTTCTCTTCCTGCTTGCCGATAACCTCGACCCTTGTGTGGTTGAACACCGGCCACGTGCGCTCGTACTCGTGGTAGTGACCGGCCAGGAAGAGGCTCACCCGGTACTTTTTCAGGAGCGGGTCCAGCGCGTCGGCGAGGTGCGAGCCCACAATGTAGTCCGGCATGAATTTGGAAGAGTCGTAGGCCGGTCGATGGGAGGTGATTATGATCCAGGGGAAGTTCTGCCTTAGTCTGCTCGTCGTGGTGGATGAGGCTCTTGTGCGACGATCTGCTTCTGATGTGACAACGCCAACAGTTTCCTCTTCATGATGTTGTTCCCCCACCCCACGGGCCTTCTTCAAATCCTGCTCCAGCCACTGGTACTGGACGGACCCGGGCGTGTAGTCGTGCTCTGAACTGATTTGGATAACGTGCACGTTGGTCATGTCGAAGCTGTACCAAAAAATGCCGTTTCCCGTCGGCGGCGGGTTCGGGAACCGGTGCACGACCGGAACGGCGCATTCGCCCTTGGAGTCGTTGTTATGGATTGCAAATATGTTTGGGTCTGGAAGTAGAGTGGAACTTGTAATGCTGTCTGCGGATTCTAAAAATATCTGTGTAGTTGCATGAGCAACAAGAGGACTCGGCTCTTGGCACGCGGAATGGGCGTTTTTCATGCGTAATTAGCATCAAGAGGCTCTCCAAAAATCTGTGTTGCTAGCACCAGCATCACAGACCTCACGGGTCATGCAAAATGTGCATGAATAGCCTCGACCCTTCCAGACCCAGACATTTTTGCAGTTGATAGTCGTGGTAGTCGCCCCAGTCCGGGTGGAACCCGAAATCCCGATGCTTGTCCGTCCCACGACCGTCGCAGGGGAAATTGAAACTTTCCCCCTTGTTCGGGGTCACCAAACTGGGGTCCTTGCGTATCCCACGAAAAAAGTGCTTACAGTTACACCTTTGTAGTCAATGTAGCAACACAAATTTCTCTGCATATGAGTGAAAACTTGTAACGCAGAAATCCTACGGGAAATCACCTATGAAACGAGGCTCCCATGCATACCCGGGATGACAGTGACAGAGCTCGTCTGTCTTGCTTGGCCTGCAACACAATGTGGAACTGTAACACATTTTTCTTGCGATATTGCGGCAGTCCGCCCCGGCGGAGAAGTAATCGTACTCGTGGTTTCCGTATGAACTGCAAAAGTATCGCACTCGTATAAATGCATTACAAATTTCCTCAGCATGAGAACTGCTGTTTTACCTTGAGGACAAGATTTGTAATGCATAAAAGCAATTAGTACGAGTACGATACTTTTGCACAGGATATCCCGATGGACACCATGTACGGCATGCGCGCGGCAATGGTGGTCTGGATCTGCGTCTGCCACAGCTTATTCTCTGCAAAAATATCGCACTCGTAGCCGTACTAATTGCAGACACGCATGACAAATCGCCTTCCTAAGCGGAAACAGCATTACAAATGCTCTCTGTCATGCTAAGCTAATTTTTTGTAATGCACTTCATACTACTAGCACGATACTTTTGCAATGCATACAGCTCCCAAATGTAGCCCACCGACCAGGCATAGGCCAGATCGCCGAAGTGCAGCGCGAGACGGGGTGGCGGTGGTTGTGGTCGTGCTGGTCCTCTCGCTGATGTGCTGGACGATTGTGTTGCTGCAACCACTGCCGTCTTTACAAGTTGTAGTTCCTCGCTAGTGACGACGCCTTGGTTGTTCTTGCTCCTCTGCAAGCGGTTCGCTCGGTGCTGGCGCTCTTCCTGGCGCAGCAGCAGCAAGGGTGAAACTGACGAAGTGTGCTGTTCTTTTTCTTTTAGGACCACATCGTATTGCGCCATCAAGTTTCTCAGGTTGATGTTGACCGCGTCCGCCCCGGGCGTGTGCGTGCCCCGTTCGTCGAAGCCCGCTGCCGCGTTGTCGTGATACAAACTACCCCATTCCGCCCCGTGGTCTGCGTAGGCCAGGAAGTTCCACTCCGCATCCGGGTCTGGCTGCAGCGGCGTCGTATCAACTGTAAAAGTGTCTGGGTCTGTGTCTGAACGCCACTCAGACAGGCTCGATAGACGACATGATCATTGGTTGATCGTTGAGAACTCACGATGTGACTACGGTCGAAGTGTAGTACACGAGTGAGAACTCGCGATGTGACTAGAACTCACGATGTGTAGTTCTTGCTCTTACCGTAGGTGTAGCACAAGTCGGCCTCTTCGCAGTAGTTGTAGTCGCTATTCGCATTAGAAGATGCAGAAGTAGAGCTGTTCTTATCGAGAGCATCCTTGATTTGGGATTGGACGTCCTCGATGGTGACAAAAACAGAGCCTGGCTTGCTTTCGTCCTTGTCTTTTCCAGATTCCGTTTTGTCCCAGTCAACAAGCTCTTTCTCGATTTCTTGCCAGGTCTTCGGTGGTTTTGTTCGTAACCTGCTGACTACGGGATCGAAGCACCTCGGCATTCCACCGAGGAGCACTGCTCTCATGCGAGATTCCATAATCGGTCCTTCCGGGCAGGTTTCGGGTAACAAGCGAGCAAGACGGAACTTCTCTGCTACCCACGCCTCGAGACCCATTTTCTTCGGGTCCCAATTTTCCTGCGTGAGTCTTTGTTCCGTCGTGGTCTTGTCGTACTCGGACTGTGACTCGCCAGCCCACCGCTCTAATTCCGTCAAAAGCTTGATGATATCATTTGCGTTGATGCCGTTGCACCGCTGAAGAGCCGCGCCCTTCAGCTGCTTCTTGACCTCTGCACCTAACGCGTGCAGCTTCTTTGTCTGCACGGGGTCCAGATGGATTTCCTTTCCTTTCATCTTGTCGGCAATTTCTTTCGTTACCGCAAGACGCTCTATCTCGCCCTCGACTTTGAATTTCCAGTCTGGATATTCGGTCTTCTGGTCGAGAGTTGGAACCGATGCGCGAACTACTAAATTTCTAAGCATGGTCTCGGAGAACTGGTCGGATTGAAGCTTGCGCTGCTTCTCGTTCTCGGCTTGTGCGAGACGAGCTTCCTCCTGTTGCTGGTGCAACATTTCTTTGTGTCGTCGCTCCGTTGCTTCTTTTTCTTCCTTGTGTCGCTTTTCGTCGTCCTTTTTCTTCTTTTCCGCCGCTTCGCGGTCGGCCGTCGCTCTTTCTTCCGCCGCTTGGCGTGCTTCTTTTTCCGCTTGCATCTGCTCGCGATGCCTTCGCTCCTGCGCGTTGAATTGCTTCTGGAATTGCTGCTGTTGCTGCGCTTGCTGCGCCTGCATCTGCTGTAGCTGCAGTCTGCTTTGTTCCGCCTGCGCCACCATCATCTGGCTGATCACCATCATGATGTTGGTGTTGTCCGCAGCGCCTTGTTGCTGCTGCGCGGCGGTTGAGTTTTGTAATGGGCCTCCGCCCAGATTAGGTAAATTCGATGCGGAATAAGAGCCATTTTGATTGAAATTCAAGTTTTGATTTGTATTGAAATTGGATTGATAATGGGCCTGGAATTGCTGTCCTTGTCCACCAGTACTGCTAGCAGCTGCGTGTTGCATTCCACCAAGACCGGTGGGTTGCTGCTGCATCCCGACATTCGGATTTTGCTGTTGCGATTGCAAACCCGCATGCTGCTGCTGCAGCAGTCCATCTCCCATGTCGCCAAGAGAGGTGGTGTCGGGCTGGTGGTGGTCGCTCGCAGCGGGAAAACCCCCGCCAGTACCGGTCGGATCGCCGTCCCCGGTCGCCATGCTGCACCGAGAGATTGGCGATTTACTCCCGATGGGTGTGCGTTTTGCTCGTCGGCTCGAGGGTTAGGAGAATGTCTGAACGCCACTCAGACAGGCTCGATAGACGACATGATCATTGGTTGATCGTTGAGAACTCACGACGTGACTACGGTCGAAGTACAGATTTGCATTGCGTGTAGCATGCGTGTTCGCGTGCAGTGTGTTTGTGTTCTGAGAGCATTCAGCTCGTGCAACTCCTAAGCCTGACAAGGTTCCAAAGTGAATCGATTGATTGAGGTCGTGCATTAGCATCGGGATTCAAGATGCTTCGTCGTCTAAACACGACCTGAGTACATCATCATCTTGCACTGAAATGTGCTCAAACAGGAGCTATGGACATCATCATCATCTGATCATCTTCTGTCCAAACGGGACCAAACAGGAGCGAAAACCTTCAAGGAACATCGGGACTACAGTCGTCCAACAGTCTGGAAGAATCCAACTTGTCATGCTGATTTTGGATTCTAAAAAAATCTATATTGCATGAGCAGCAAAGAGAGTCCAAGTGTTGCAGTACGGAGACGGAGAGAGCATTTGTCATGCGGAATAGGCATCAGGGAGCCCTCTAAAAATCTGTGATGCTAGGGCATGCATCACAGACTTGAGGAGTCATGCAAAATGTGCATGACAAAGCCGGCAATCTTCCAGACCCAGACATTTTTACATTTGATACGTCGCGAAGGTAAACCAGTCGGATTTCACGTTTTCCGCCTGAAAAACGCGGTACTGGATCGCCGCCGCTGAGGGAAAATGCGGTTCCCAGTCGAGAAGTACAGAATGGAAAAACCCGGTGTCACGAAATTGGTTCGGGCCCGTGATGTTGCTGGGGGCGCCACACATGTCGGAGGCCGAGTAGAAGTGGCTGGGGTGTTTCGCGGTGGCGAAGACGGATTTAGTAGAGGAGGACGTTGTTGTGCCCGCGCCGCACAACTCCGCGCAGCGAAACTCGACGGTAGGAGGGTGAACTGCAACTTTAGCGCTGTCAACATGAACTGGTTGATCATGCTGTCGTGCTACCGCCTGCACCTGCTGCTGCTGCAGCGCCGTGTTGTACTCCGTTCCGGAATTCCAGGTAGCCCACATGGCGGAATCGCCCGTCTTCCTTCCCGCGAAAGACAAGTGCACCTGCGTCGGCTCCAGTTTGGAATACTCGAAGGAGATTAGCTCCGATTCCCCGAGGCAGACTATGGTCTTGTCGCTAGTCCGACTGTCCTTCATTCCTCGAAAGTAGCGCAGCTGGTACTTGTCACGCATGTTCAACAGGCGGAAAGTGAAGCTCGTGCGGGATTTAATATCATCTCCTGTATTTCTGGCGGTTCGTTTGTCGTGTTTCGTCTTCACCTTCACGGGTAAAAAGTCAACGTACTCGTCGTGCTCCGAGTCCGCCGGGCTGTAGATCCCCACCCAGTCCTCGTCGCTTGTGTCGGCGGTAAGAGCGGAAGCTTCATCAAGCGCCAAGTCATTTGTACTAGCAGTTTTCATGCTGTTCATGGGTGATGGATTTCTCGGACTCCACTTCACCTCTACCTCGTCCAACGACCGCTTCGGACTGGGATTCTTGATGGTGAACTGAAATTCAGCTTTACAGGCAGAGGCATCGAGAGGACTGTTCTTCATCTTCTTGTCGGCTTTCTTGCTTTTGTCAAAAAACGGCACTGCGTCTGTGTGCAGGTGCGGAACACCGGCGGCGCCACTCCAGGGCTCCGTGCGGGGCCGCGCGATGTTGGTTGCCGTGACCACATTGATCACTTGAAATGCACCTGCCATTAGTGAAAAACAAAGCAGCAGGGGCAGGCTCGACATCAAGTGACGCCCCAGCCGCAGCCGGGACGATATTCCTTGCTGGCGCGCGTCCGTCATCTTGTCCCTCCCGAGCAGCGCAGCATCAAACTATAACCTGCTCCTATTTTATTTTTGCTCTCGATCGATGTAACTCTGACTCAGAAAAAAACCCATAGCACACACCTTTGTCTACTGAAACATCAGTTTGGGGAAACTGCGAGTTGTGCTGCTTTGCATCCTACTTCTGACTGTGTAGAGTCAAAAAAAAGCGGAGAGAAAAACAGTTTTACTATTATGCGACGTCCTTTGCAGAAATCTCGTTTCAGTTGCTACAATCTACTCGTCACCCGTGCTCCTCGTTTCTTCTGTGCGATGGCGATCTCAAGTGGTCTCTCGTCGTGGTAGGCTAGTTCTTGTTGTCTCATTCATATTCAAACACTGCAGTTCCAGTTTCTGTCAGCTTGGAACACCTTGCTTTGCGTGATTCACGCGAAAGATGAACAGGGCGCAAGCAATAGGACCACGCGGGTTCTTGTCCCCGCCTGTAGCTAGAAGATGAAAGTACAAGTAGCAAATTCATTTTAGCGGGCTGCTGATGTGCATGTGCAGCTAGCACTAGTAGTAAGTTCTCACTCAATATTCACTTTTATCAGCTTCCGATGTGCAGTTTGTGTGGCTACAACCTTGGGTTGTTCAGCAATATGCGTACTATGCCGAGAAGCAAGCTTTTGAAGAGAGCTCAGCATAATTTTTATTTTTTCAATTTGCAATAGTAAAATCAAAAACAAAATTGGAGTCCGTCTGGTTCGCTTGTGAGGTTGTTTTAAGTCACAAGTTGTGATTTTAAAAAAATAAATTTGTGCTAAAAATTTTATCGGTTTGTGTAAGTTTTGTTCATAAAAATCATCATTACATACAGGACTTTAGCGACAACTGCCGTGGAGTTAACATCAACAGCAGGAGCGTCATAGCGACGGGGGCGTGCTTAGGAGTTGTAATGAAACGAGGGCGGCATCTCTTCTGAGCACCGCAAACCGCGCGACGACCACTTCCCGAAGCAAATCACTTTCCCCCAGTATCCGTTTTCGGTGTGGAAGCAGCGCGCTGGATTCTCGGCTGAGGCTCCCCCCCAGCCCCAACCCTTGGGCACCCTGCAGAAGCACTCTCCACCCGAGGACAGACCAGTGTCACACCCCCAATTTAACCGCCCCAAATTCGTGTTGACCATTTCCACGAGTCCGACGTCGTCGATGGGTTGGTTGGGATACGGGTGTATGAACTGCAAAAGTATCGCACTCGTATAAATGCATTACAAATTTCTTCAGCGTGAGAAATAAAATTTGTCATGCGGATTTACCTCTAAGAAAAAAACTTGTAATGCATGACTGCAATTACTACGAGTACGATACTTTTGCACAGGATAGGGTGATGCGGATGCGTGGTTGTTAGTGGTTGCCTCTCTTCCAGTTCGTGGGGCGCGTCGTAAAACCAATCCGAAAACCAGCCCCCACCGGTTTCGGCTGGCTGTTGGGCCTTGTCCTCGGGCTCGTCGTCCCAAAACGAAAACCAGCTCCCATCAGATTGCTTCTCCAACACTGCGCTTTTCGCCTTCGCGGCATCGCCGTGCTCCTCAGATTTTTCCGGGCCGCGCAGACTGTTGCCACTGGCGGGCTTGGAGTCTCCGTTCGGGAGGGTCTCCAGTTCCATGGTGCCTGCCGGGCGGGGGGGGGGTCAATCGCCTTGCAAAGGGCGACTGAACCCCACGCGGCGTTCCAGAGGAAAAACGTCTTCATCATCTCCCACGCCAACATCATACTTGGAACACGGAAAAGGGGTGAGGTGCGTGGTACTAACACGAGTTGCCCTATACGGTTTGGAATTGAGTGCAAAAATTAAATTTACTCCGCTTAAATCTGGCACGTGGTGATGCGAGTGATACGTAGATGCTCTGAGTGGAGCTTTATTGTGCTTGACTACCCTTTCCAAGTCCAACGCAAGCCACTCATCTCACTGTTGCTGAAAGACCACATGCACTCCACGTCTACGTACCTCTATCACCAGTAGCGCAACTAAAAAATAACACTGCTTACCTCGCCTACCAAATGGCCACTATGTTAATTTTCAACTCCACGAAGGCGTCAACAATTCTGAATCTGTTTTTGTGCTCTCTCCATCTACTTTGCAAGCCTGTAAATTCACTCACAAACCGTCCCGGCCTCGCTCGTCGTCGTCGTGTTTCATCGTTATAAACTATCCAAATCCACCTACACGAATTTTCTGTTGCGAAATTCTTTCGCGCTGTTCTCTCGGCACTGCTTGTATCGCAGCAACGACGATCACCTTGGAACACCGTACTTTGCCTGATTCGCGACAGATGACTAGGACGCAAACAATAGGACCACGCGGGTCATTCCCGCCTAAAGCTAGAAGATGACAAGCAGCAAATTTATTCTAGCGGGCTACTGTTGATATGCAGCTAGAAAGCTCTCACCCAATATTTCTTTTCATCAATTGATGATGTGTAGTTTGTGGTCTTTGGTTGTTCATCGATATGTTGCGTATGCCGAGAGGCAATCTTTTGAAGAGAGCTCAGCAAAATAAAAACGATCAAACCGCAGTCAGAAGTCCATACCCGAAAGAGGGCTGTAGCCCTCTTTATTCCTGACAGTACTAATGCCTCTTTATTCCTTAGACAGTAATAGTGTCAATTTGTTTTCCTTCGACACCAAACGCAGAAGAAGTTTTGCAATTCTTCACCTGTGTCTTCCCTTTATACGCGAGGTTGTGTCAACATCAAACTAAAAGTAAAACTCTAATATGTAAAAATATGAGTTAGAGTTCCCTATGAGGGCAGTGTGAGTTCATAACAGTATAGTTACTCAAAGACCACGCGGTTGGTCGATACCAATCCCGAAGTTTTATTAAAGACCACGTAGGAGGTCATCTAGATACAGAGCAAGCAGGTACTTCTGCCCCATCTGGGTAGCGCAAATACTCACTCACGGGGTGGCTGCGGCATAGAAGTCCTCCGGGGTGCCTGCGTTGCTATTCCCCGCATCAATTTCGGCCTGGAAGGGCGGGGTGGCTGCGTTGCTCTTCTCTGCCTTAATCTTGGCATAGAACCGTCGGACTTCCCCGAGAAACGCCTGTACAAAATTATTATTTTTTGGGTATGGCTGAAAAGGAGCGACTACAGACTTCTGCAAGGAGTAAAGAACTCAAGAGTTGTATCTATGATCATGGTTGAGATGATGAAGAAAAGGGTATTTATAAGTACCTTCCCGCGCACGCTGGATCCTCCCGCGGGACAAAATCCGTCGACGTTCAGGTTATGCATTGCAAAAGTATCGCACTCGTACTGATTGCGTTTATGCATTACAAATCGAAATCTCTTTACCAAGGGAAATCCGCATTATTTAGTTTGGAATGCCAAGTGAATTTGTAATGCAATTTATACTAGTACGATACTTCTGCTCTGGATACAGGTACTCGCGCGCCATTTTCATCGCACGATTCCAACCGTGAATGTTCTTGAACATTTTTTTTCCGTTTTCACTGACTTTCGCCGACACAATCTTGCCATACTTGTTCTTCCGCAGATCATCTTTGGTAAGTCCGCCCTGCGTCTTCTCCTTGGACCCAGCCAGCACCTTACGGCGAGCCAATTTTCCCTTGGCAATCTTCGACTCGCGGCCGTTCTTCTTGGCGCCGCGCTTTTTGGTAGTTTTCATAACCTTCATAGAAGCGGGCTTTTTCACCACCTTCTTCATCGCAACAACAATTTTTTTGTTTTTCGCCGCTTGTTTCATCGGAGGAACTTTTTTCATAGCTTTTTTCATCGCAGGAACCCGCTTCTCCGCTGCCTTCGCCTTTTTCATAGGTCGCGCGGCGGCATCGGAAGCAATAGCCTTCTTCATGGCCTTCTTCATGGCGGGAGCAGGAGCCTTCGCTTTGGCTTTCTTCATCGGAAGAGCCGCCTTCTTGGCCATTTTGCTGCGGACAAAAGGAGTGATCGTCGATGTTATGTACTTTAATATTCTGGGAAGAAGTGAACTTGGGTTTTTATTAGACGTGGTGTTGAATGATCTGTGTGGAGATAAACTTGCTTTGAAAACTCGTTGGGGTAAAAACGCGAAGTAACTGTCGTCTACTGAAGCAATAGCTGACGACGACGAGTGTAGCTGTGAGCGCTGCTTTCTTAGTTTGTTCATTTCTTGTTTTATTGGCTAATCCTCCGGGAGGGGTAAATAGAGATTGTGATTGACATTGATACCAGCGATAATTAAGACCATGACGTTCTTGTGAGATTCTTTACGGGCCGCAATATTTATTGAGCTAGCGAGGCAGCAACAATCAAAGGACCAGAAGCCGGCTCTTGCCTTAGATAGACAGTTTCTTCAAAAGATCGCGATGGATAGCAGCAACGAGAATAGACTGCGACTACTAGATCCCTGAAGTCTTCACGTTTTGCTGGTCATCTCATCTACAGAAGGATCTTTGTTCAGGCTCACGTGGAGGTCACTCGTCCCTCGCGGAACCTTCCAATACAGAACTTCCAACGGTTTGGAGCGAGCGAGTGGGTGGAGCGGCCCGCGTCCGCCCTTGTAGAGATAGCTAGTAGATCTAGATCGTCCTCGTTAATAAGGGAATGCTGCGACTACCGAAAAACGAGGGCGCTTCTGATCTTCGCATCAAGTCGCTGTAGCAAGTAGCCGCCAGAAGGCACTATAGCGCCAGAACCCGGAGCCATCTTCTATTCTCTCGCCGTCGATGAATACCACGTCAACAATTTTCATCGACGGAACTTCGTACATGGCCGCGAAGTGCGCTTTCTATATCACCCGCCAAAGTTTAAGTTTGGCCCTTTTCATCACCCACACGGTCGTGGGTACACAGGTAGGGGAGGAACGACAAAAAGAAAATAAGAAGAACGCCGAATGTTGCGCAATGTATTGCCTTTACATCACCGGCACTTCACTAGCACAGCCGACGAAAAATGTGCGGCAGCGTCCTTCTCTGTCCTGCCTCGTTTGAGAGCAGCCACCTTGCTCTTGAGACTGACCGCACGCCGCCGCTGGCCCGCCGCAAAACTGCACAAGCACTTAGCGGGCATCAGCTTGGAGACTTTCCACAGCCCGAACCTCGCGAATCGCCGCCCTACTTTTCCGCGCCTTGCTCACCTCTTTCGCACGCCGGTCGTGAGTGACGGGGAAGCGGCTGCGTTCTTTTGGCACTTCTTCTGCAGGCTCTTCGGCAGCGGTTTATCCTTGTAAAAGGAGTCCGTAGCGGCGTAGAGTTCCTGCGGACATCCAGAATTGAAGACAGTTTATTTCGCAACAAAGCATCAAGCCAACTAGAACTACCGAAACAACCAAAAAGCACCACGCTGCGCTGCCGCTGGCGCACTAGGTTACAAATAACAATAGCAGTCCAGCGAGCTAATACCAAGCGCGAAAGCGTACGGCTGCGCTTCTTGTTCTACAGCTGCGCAAAATGTTTTATGCCTTCCCCTGCTTGGTTTTTCCGCCCATCGGGCAGAAGCCTTCGATACCTAAAAACTTTCTTCCCTCCACCGTGGCAGCAATCCACTTGCTTTCTTCGCCTTGCTTGGAGTTTTATGCTGTGCAAAAGTAATATCTTCGCAGGCATGAACTACGTGTGGCAATCATCAATCACGCAAGACAAATCTCGCTGCCAAGGGAGATCGACGGCGCAAACTCTATTGTGCTCCTTGCTGAGCAATAGACCTGCCATAGATAACGCAACACAAATGGTTAATTTCCCGGCGCGAAGATAGTTATTCTTGCAGTGCTTAGCTTCTTCTTCGAGACAACCTTCCCCGCTTTCGACTTCTTCAGATCGTCCTTCTTCAGCCCCCCCGCGGTCTTCTCCTTCTTGCCCTTGAAAGCTTGCGACTTCGCCTGTTTGCCTCGCGCGATCTTGTTGCTGGGCTTGGCCTCCTTTTTCGCTGCGGTTTTCTTGGCGCTTTTCTGCTTTTCTTCACTCTTCTTCTTCACCGCAGGAGTGGGCGCTCTTGCAGCAGCTGCAGGATCCTTCCTCTGCTTCGTAGCTTCGCTCGGAAGATCCGTTTTCATCGCCGACAACTCACGATCTGTGTCTTTTTTCTTTGTGCTTTTTTTCGAAGTTGTTGTGCTCTCTCCTGCAACCGGAGCCATGCTCTTTCTCCCCATGCTTCTTTTCGGTTTCGCTGGCCCTTTGGCTACATCAAGTTCCGGAGTGGGTATCGGAAGCAGAGGAACTGGCGCGGCCGGCTCTGAAGACACACCCGCCACTGCTGGGGCCGCGGCGCCCTTATTGGTATTAAGCTTCCGCTTTTTCCGATTATGCGCGGAAAAAGGTTGTGCTACAGTTGCACACTGTGTTGCAGGCCATGCAAAAGAGCCAAGCCCTTTCATGTCGGATATTTACGGCCCCGTGCCATATCGCGTCTCTGTTTTCTCTTGAAGATATGATTTTTGCATATGCAAATTTTCTCTGTCACGCAGAGCAGATTTGTGCTGCTGGCGCTGCAAGTATATTGAACTGCACCACTAATCTTTTCATGGGATATTGCATTGGCGGCCCAGCAATCACATCGTGGTTGTCCGCAAGAAGGTCGTCCTCCTCGTCCTCGATGAAGTCATTGCCACCTGCTTCATATGCATGGCAAAAGTATCGCACTCATGCTAATGGCAATACAACTGCGTGACAAGTGAGATTGTAGTTACATTAGACTTAAGGGCAATGTGAAAAATGAAAATGAAAATCAGCATAGACAAATTCAAAATGCGACTTTTTCGCTACGAAAATTCATAAGTGATGCAATATTACTTACGCGATAGTGATGCAATACTTACGAATAGCGCGATAGTTTTGATGCATACCACAAGCGAGATCCCGCTCTCGTCCTGGGGCATCGCGATCGGCAGGACAGGTTGACTCTCATCTGTCGGCACTTTTCCTCCTTTCGCCTTCGAGCTTTTCCGTTTTTTCTCCCCCTTTGCAGCCTGCTCGCCCTGCGCCTGCGTCGCTCCTGCTTTAGCTGTTGCTTGCCTGCTCCTCGTTGCCTTCTTCTGCGACTGCGCTGTTGCTTTGGTAGCTGCCGGCGTAGTGTCCACTTCCACCGGTGGCACTGGCGCCACATCGTTGCCATATATTTTCTCGGGATTCCGATTGATCTCCTTCTCCTCGCCCGCCTTCTTCTTCGATTTCCGACCCCTGGCTGGCGGCTCCGCCTTGCTCTTCTTCCCTTCTTTTGCGTCCATCTTGCCTTTGTTGTGGTCCTCCGCGGCTGGCGATGAAAACGCCACCGCCGGCGGTTTGTCCCCAGCCTTCCCCTTGAGCGATGCCTTGGCTTTTTTGTCAGCTTTCTTTTCAATATCAACAAGTGCAAATATATGTCTGGGTCCGCATGATAAGTGCTGGTATCTGTCATGGTGTTTTTACATGGGCCACGGGCCTGGCTAGGTCTTTCAATGCGTAATAAGCATGACAGATTCCGTCTTGCGGTGACACGAAATAATCACCTTGTAATACTGTCCATGCATGGGAGACTTTCGTGTGATCTAAAATGCGCATCACAAGTGGTTTACATCCTTCCAGACACAGACATATTTCGTATGTGAAATGCATATAATTCAATCTTCGCGACCTCCTCGTCCTCGGCCTTTACTTGTGGAAAAACAGAGGCAACACCAGCTGCCGCCTTCTATCCTGCGTAGAAACGTCCCCGCCACAAACTTGCCATGCAAATGTGCATGTTGATGCTTCCAAAACGGAATGCTAATGCTTCTCATGCGGAGTTCCATGAAAAGCGTTTTCAAGTGCTGATGCTGGGATCAGTGAAGACGCTAGATCCGTGACGCTGCTGCAATAGCTAAGCACGACTAGAAAGCAAGCCCGCACTGACTTATCATGCGCATCAACAACCAGCAATGCTTGCTGATTAGTCTTTCATGATAATATTTCTCCCCATCTTGACGCTGGGGTGGGGACGTATTCAAAACACAGGATACATTCGTCAAGCTCTTCCTCTTTTTCTTTTCTTTTTTTTCGTCACCAGCAGGGGTTGTCCGCACAACTACACCTTTCGCGGATATCAAATCTCCTGGCTCCTCCTGCATGTTTTCATCTGGTTTTATCGGCATCTCCACTTCCTGTTTCGTGTTCATGTTCTCTTTCTTCGTGTTTTTTTTGCTGCAGTGCAAAGATGCTGCTGCTGACTCGCCCTTGATCTCGTTCCCGGCTGCGATTTGTGGTAAATTTTTTCCGAGTTTACTTTCGCGGGCTGGGGCTTCGGCGCGGGCGCGCTCCTCTTTTTTTCCATCGCTCTCGCCGGGGTTCGAGCTCTTTTTCTTTCCTACTTTGGCCTTCTTCCGTTTCTCCAACTCGGAGGCATTGCGAGCCGCGCCATCGACCTTCTCCCCGCCAGGTCCGCCAAAGGGGACCAGGTTGTAGGACAGCCCCGCTTGTTGCGTAGTGTGACGTTCAGCCTTTTTGCTTTTTTTCGGCATCTTGGTTTCGTTTTCGCTGGTTTAGTTTCTCGTTTAGATATTAGCAAAAGAAGACGACAGAATCAATAATATGATGAAGCGGCCAAGTTGGTTATCAAGCGCAAGGGGTGTAATTCCAAAATAAAACACTCGAAGAAGTGACTGCGGATGCTCACTCGTAACACCAAGTCATGGAAGAATAAGAAATAAAGTCTTACTTGTGATAAAAAACAGAGATATTAGCAAGCCTCCACCTGCTAAAAAGAAAAAACGAAACAGGATATTAAGACGATGGCTTAATACTGGTTTGCTCTCGGCTCCTTTCACTAGAGAAGGAAACCTACAACTTACTCCGTTGCGGAGGGTCGTGAAACCCAAGGATACACACAAGAGTTGTGTATTGTAGAGATCGTGAAACGTGCATGTCGTGGAAGCGCCGGGCGCTCGATCTAGATCCCACAAAGTTAGAGCGTGGTTTTGAAGATCTTGTCCACATCATATAGCACCTTTGTTCAATAGTTAGTCGTGTCAGAACAACCCGACGGTGTCATGATCTTCTTCTATCGACGTCCTCCCGCGGGTCTTGCTTGTTATTAAATATACTCCTCTTCAGAAACGTAAGTATACATCCGGTAGTTGCAGAAGTGGTCTGGCATTACAAATCGTGTCGAGGCTGTGCCTATCCTGTTCTAGTCTTCCATACTGCTTGTAGACAGTTTTTTGTACCATGCACAGAGTGGTCTCGAAGCCTCGTCGCACCTGTGTAACATCTTCTGTGGTAGTCTACGGCCCCCTGAGTGAAGCTCGAAACAATCACTTCCTATACTTGGTAAAAAGCATTCATAAAGTAAAAAGTAGGTAAGCCGCATAAGAGCTGTAGTGGGGATCAGCTTGATCATACATGTGCTGGCTCGACCGCCAACCGGCAAGCCTTGCTATGCAAAGTGCATAGCCACCACCAGCGCGTCATCGATCTGGTCGTGGTTATAGAACAGGGCAACAAGGAAGTTGGACGTGACCGGGGGGGTCACGTCCGTCCGTCCGGCCGGACGGACGGCACGTGACCGGGGGCAGTCCGGCCTCGGGGCGAGTTCGGCGCTCCTGAACTGTGGCCCACAGTAGCTAGAAGCCCCCGGCCGGCGCGTCACCGACGGCGGACCAGGGGCACGAGCCGCGCCTTTTTCCGTGAAAGACCGAACTCATGACCTTTTTTTTGAGCTAGCTGACAGCCCCCGGCCGCGTGACCGGGGGCGGAGCGTGACGAAGAGAGGCAGTTCTTCAGTGAAGTGCCGAGCTCATGACCCTTTTTTTAGTCGCCTGGGTTCGCGGCCCACAGCAGCCACCTCGACCACGACCGACCCCCGGTCACGTGCCGTCCGTCCGGCCGGCTGGACGGACGTGACCCCCCCGGTCACGTCTAGGTTCCTTGTTACCTTGTTCATACTAGTTTTAGTTTTAATACTTTTTGGAAATGAAAAATGGAGTTGAAGAAAAGAAACACGTTAGTATGAATATCGTATAAAGGTTCTGCCCTTAAAAATGTAGTGAAGCACATGGGTCTCCTCTGCATCTTCTTGTCGTGCTTTGTGATTGATTTTCCTTACATATGCTGTGCAAAAGTATCGTACTCGTAGGGACTAATTGCAAATATGCATGACAAATCTTCCTCCAAAGGTAAAACAGCATTACAAATTCCACTTTTCTTCTAGAGAAAATGTGTAATGCAATTTATACTAGTACGTTACTTTTGCAATGCATATTTATATTACAACTTCGTTGTTGACTTCCGCTTCATCAGGCTGATTTTTTTCTTCGGCGCAGTGAGTAAATCCGTGTCGTGTGTTATGAGAGTGCGAAGGAACTCCACCTCCCCCTAAAGATTTGTCATGCCTAAATTCCGATACATCTTCGATACAGTTCCAGTACCTGTCATCTGGCACTGTTCGCATCACAAGTTCCCGGATGATCAGAGGATCCCGAGCGGTACTAAGTATTTACCACGTCGAGATATGTTGTAGCTCTGCCTTTGTCATGCGGAAGTTGCACTGTTGCTGTTGCTTGTGTTGCTGCAGATGCAAAGATGCGAATGAGGGATGAGGGGGGGGCAACGTCGAGTTGTTGTGCACTCTCGTATGCGCGTGAGCATGCTCGGTGTGCTCGTCGTGCACGGCAGCCTCGTTCTTGGCTCCAACAACCGCAAGAACATCGACGCTGTTCAGATCCACCGGGATATTTTCTGCCGCCTGTTGTACCACTTGCTCGATATTAACCTGGTCTTTTCCCGTTTCCACATCGAGGTTTATATTATTCGCAGCAATGTCAACAGCTTCTCCCTCCGTTTGAGCAGGAAGGTGCAGAGGACCACTTGCTACTCCTGTCTGTTGTTCCTCTTCTGCTTTACTATTATTTTCACTCTTCTCCAGTGCCCGCTCCGCAAAAGCCATGGTCGAGAGCCGCTTCCAAATTGGCCGGTGCGTCGGCATTGCTGCCATGACGGAATCCGTATTCCCGACCGTGCCCAGCCGCCGAAACGGACTCGCCGCACGCACCGCCTCGGTCTTGGTCTCGTGCGCCTCCGGCATGGCGGAATTGAAATTCCCCACGGTGCCGAGGCGGGAGAGAACTTTGTTGCTACTGTCGTCACCTTCGTCCAACAGCGCTTCCCCCTCTGCTTTCTGTGCATTCCCCTTTTCCATCTGGTCAGCGCTGTCTAGATTGTTTGAAGAGTTTCCGTATGAATTGCAAAAGTATCGTATTCGTATAAATGCAATGTCCTCAGCATTGTAATGCGGATTTGCTTTCAGAAAAAATTTGTAATGCATGATTGCAATACGAGTACGATACTTTTGCACAGGATATTCCGCCTTTCTTCCTCAAAACGAATGCAGCAACCCCGCCGATGAGCAGCACTCCGCCGACAGCAGCCAAAATGATGGAAAGCAAAGAAGAGGAGTCGTCCGAGGAAGATCCACCGGCAATGCCAGCCGCACTCGTCTCTACTGTGGGCGGAGGCGTGGTGGTTACGAGCTCAGCAGTGGCCGTGCGTGTGACCGCCACGCCGGCCATCGTGAAATTGAACGAGTCCAAGCTAACGTTGCTGTTCGCCGCGATGGCGGCACTCAGCGCCGGGCCAAAGTGGTTCTGAAACAGCGTGGAAAACGTGCTGTTGCCCGCGCCAAGGGGACCCGCCGCGGCGTTCACTTGCGCCGCGACACTGGTGGCTTCGGCCTGCGACGCGAACCCGCGGATTGCGTAAGACACCGCGACCGTAAGGGAATTCACACCCACGTTCATTTGTGACGTCAGATGACGGTGGAAGAGGTAATTTCGAATGGAGTGGAACAGCCTCTCCTCATCGACTTGAATTTTGGGGTCAACAAACCCCTTCTCCTGCAGCTCCAGTAACCTCCTCCTTACCGTGGCGACGAGCCAGTACGCCAGCATCTCGATGCATCCCACAGAAAAAGCAGGCAGGGCATATTTGCAATGCAAAAATAGATACACAAAAAAATCTGCATTGCACCATACCCAAAGCAGCGTGCTATGGGGCCACCCATGACAAATTTTTCTGTGTATTTATTTTTGCATTACAAATTATATGCCCTGCCAGTTTTTTTCTCTGGGATACGATCCGGCTGCACTCCAGCGTCGCGTAGGCTGGGACGCTGCCGTATGAAAGTGCACAACTCCCTTTCCCCCTCGTTTTGTCATGCAAAATCCCACATCCAGCCTGCGCCTCTTGGCACTGTTTGCATGCCAAGCTCTGGTAGCCCAAATAGCACTATGTATACTCTAGTGCAAATTTGAATTTGTCATGCAAAACCGGCACTCTTGCTGATGCTTGTATTGCCGGCCATGCTATACAAATGAGGGAGAGGAGGGGCAGTTGTGCACTGTCATATGCCCCGCGTGGTTTCGCAGAGCGCCGAGTGGATGGCGGCGCGGAACGTGACACACACCGGGTTTGCGGAATTCAAGGTTTCGTTGGTGCCGCAGTTCGCGACGAACTGATTTTGGGTAGTCGAGGGCGGCGCGGTCGTCGCGACCAAACTACCTCCGGAGCCGCCAGAAGATGTTCCACTCGTTGTGCTGCCGGATCCTGTAGTACCGGAAGATCCTGTAGTACCGGAAGATCCTGTCGTACCAGATCCACCTGTCGTACCGGATCCTGTCGTGCCCGCAGTGCCGCCTGTTGTACCACCTGAAGTTGTCCCGGTCGTGCCCGTTCCGCCTGTTGTACCGCCTGAAGTTGTTCCTGTGGTGCCCGTTCCACCTGTTGTACCACCCGTCGTCCCACCAGTACTTCCGCTTCCCGTCGATGGCGACGGTGAGGGGCTCGGCGACGGACTCGGACTCGGTGACGGACTCGGGGTCGGGTCCGGCACTGGCGTGTCCAACACGATCTGCACTTCCGGCACCACTACCTGGTATTCCGCTACGAGTGTCGTGGTGGTTGTAGTGGTTGTCGTGGTGCTACTCGTTGCCGTGACCTGGAACGACTCAAACTGCACCTCGCACCTTGCGCCGGCGTAGCCCGGCGCGCATTTGGAACACAGGCAGCTGGTCTGGTTTTGCGCGGGATATATGCATTGCAAAAGTATCTTACCAGTATAAATGCCTATGCAAATTTCCTCAGCATGAGAAATAAAATCTGTCATGCGGATTCACCTTAAGAAAAAATAATGCAGGACTGCAATTACTACGAGTACGAGGACGATACTTTTGCACAGGATAGGATACGCCTCCGTGCAATTTGGGCTCACGTGGAGTGCCGGATTGCACTCCTGGCACACGTCGAAAGGCGGGGTGCCGGTCAGTCCTGTATGGAATGCAAAAATGTCTGGGTCGTCTGGAAGCCTGTGATGCTGCATTGCGCATGACTGCAACGCTTGCAATGGCAGCCAAGCATGACACACTTCGGAACGCTTTATTCTGCTGTGTGACGCGCATGACAAATTGCCTTTTTCCATAAACAAGGAAAGCTGCTCCTTTGCTGCTCATGCAACACAGATTTTCCAGGAATGCAAATTACGCATGTACAAGAAGTTGAAACCTTCGAGACCCAGACATATTTGCAATGCATATCCCGCGTCGGAGTGCAGCACCAGCGGCCACGGGCAGGGCAGCGGCGCGGATCCGAGCCCGACGTTGGAGGTGGTGCCGGAATATCAAATGCAAAAATGTCTGGGTCTGGAAGAGTGCCAGACTTGTCATGCAGGTATTCCATGACGCATGAGGTCTGGTATGTAGGACATAGCATGACAGATTCGGTGTTAGTTCTATCATGCCTATCCCGCATGAGAAACTGCCTCTCGATTAGGTCAAAGCGGACAGCTTTATTTGGTAATCATGCAACACTGATTTTATACATGGTTCATATTTAGCATGACAAGTTGCTTTGTTCCAGACCACCCAGACATTTTTGCATTTGATACGGAGGTGCACATGGCACTGGCTTCGTCGGACCCGTCCGCGCAGTTGTTCACCCCGTTGCAGCATCAAACGCAAATATGTCTGGATCTGGCAGCTCCAGCTTGTCATGCAAGGAAGGGAATACTGAGCACACTGTAATGCGCTCCCCAGCATGACAAGTTTTTCCGTGGTTCAGAGTTGCGTAGTCCGCATGAGAAACTGCGTTTTTGCATTGGGGCCAAAGCTTGGCAGCTATGCGCTTTTGATGACGCTCCATTGGTACTACCGACAGGAGACACAGATATTTATGCTCTCCTTCAGCTTCACGATGGATATTAAGTACTTGCTATTTACACCTCCGCCCGACAGGGACACGGTGAATCGATTCGTTGTAAGTAAAGCGATTTTGTATTAAAGAGAAGGTTGTTGACGAACTCACGATCAATAAACCGATGCTTCAGCTCCTTGTACTTTACTGCTGTGTGGCCCACCAACGAGTGGCTTTCGCTTTTCTGCCTCGCGAACAACACCCAGAGATAGAGCATCAATTTACAGTCGTTCTGACTCACGGTAGTTTATTTCGTTTGTAGTTTAAAAATTTGACTCACCTGTAGTCACATGATTTTCATCTGCTTCTTCCCCATTTTGTGCTGTTATTTTTTTCTTGCAGCTTCCACCTTTCGCAGGTCAAGATTCTGTCCAAGTAAAGAATTCTCTCTCCAGCGTTCAGACTCACCAAACTCGAAAAGAAGCCTTGCTAGGTGAGAATATCAGGATTTGTGTTAGAAACCTAGACCTAGACGCACCAATTTGCTTTTTCGTGTGATAATTTTTTTGGAACAAAAATGCATATTTATCACAAGAACCCTCACTTCTTCTCCCGCCGATGCTCTTCCACCGCAGCCCTGGCAGCGTCAGCGCCAGCACCGCCGGCGGCGAAGGTGTTTTGCAGCAGAAACTCCCGATCAAAGGCGTTGTCCGCGAACCGGCTGCGGTCCACTTTGCGGTGGGCCTCGCGGTTTTTCTCCCGTCGCCACTGGGATTCAAGGTGCTGCACTTCCTGCTCCTTCAGCGCCGCCGGAGACCCGACGGCGAAGACGCGCAGCTGAATCCTCTCCGGAAACTCCCACTGAAATGGCGGTTTTATTTCCTGTTCACTTTCATCGTCGTCGTCGTCGTCCGGGGGGCTGGAAGTGGCGGTAGAACGGGCCTTATTATAATTGGTCCTATGCTGCAAAACCTGCGTGACTAACTGGCCGTCGTCGAAAACAGAGTCGGAGGCCAGCATGTGCCCATTAAAGTCCGCGTCAATCCAGAGTCTGGACATGTCGCCGCCCTGGCCGCCGACGCCGAGCCCCTTGGGATGGTACGGGTTTTTGCTGTTCAAGTACGTATATGCATTGCAAAAGCATCTTACTAGTAGTAATTGCAATACAAGTGTGCTTAGCATGACAAATGGAATTTGTCATGTCGATTCAGTTTAAGAAGCAGATTTGTAATGCATCGCTGCAATTACTACGAGTACGATACTTTTGCACAGCATAACGTAAAGTTGTTCTTCCGCCGGTTGCTCTTCACGCCCGCGGTCCGGAAGTTGACGTGCGGATGAACAAGTGGCCCTGCTAGGGGGTGCTGCGGCTGCTGCTGCTGTTGCTGCTCGTCCCCGTACGTGGAAGTTTCCGCACAAGTTCCACTGGTTGCGAATAGCGGTGAAGTTTCCGCACAAGTTCCACTGGAGGCAAAGAGAAACGCCGTGTCGCCAAGGTTGTCGGTGACATACTCGCCTTTTAGAGTTTCCTCGAAGCCACAGGGGATAAAAGCACCGAAAACGACCAAGCGCGAGGTCGTCGTGGTGGTGCAGGGAGCTGCTGTTCTTGTGGCGCTTGATGTTAGTGATGGATGATTATCATTTTGAAGATCCTGATTTTCTTCTTGTTGTACTTCTCCTTCCGTGGGTCTTTCGTCTGTGGACGACATCATCTTCACACTAGACGAACGTCTGGTCCTGCTCACCACATCGACTCTGCAGCTACACAGCAGTAGCAACGGCGTGCCCCTTCCGTAGCTAGACAAAATCTGGCAGAAATTCTTCCAGCTGGTGCCGTTCTCACGGGTGCAAAACAGCTTCCGGCAGGCGGTTTGTCCGGAAAGGTTCAACACCGAAGTCCGCAGAGGGACCAAAAGCATGAATGACATTGGGCGAAGTCGTGGGGCGGCGGGGTCAATGTCCTTATCTTCTGTGCTGGTGCTCCTGGCGGGTCGTGGCGCCCCGGCCGGGGAGTTTTCCAGCTCCAATTTCGTCAACGCAGGATCATCATCATCCGGGTCTTCAGAGCCCCCGAAAAAACTTCTTCGCAACAAGCACAGCTGCAGAAACGGTCGCAGAACCGCAGCCCACGGGAACACGGAGCCAGACGCGGCTTCGAAGGTCGCGATACCCATACCTCTTTGCCACATCCTTTCGCCGGTGGTGTTCTGATTCGGTTGTGCTCCTGGTCCTGGTCTCTTTGGAACAAGGTCGCTATTAACCTTATCTGGTGTGCTGGAAAAAGAATCCCGCCCAGTAGAACTGCTTATCGTGATTCCGTGCATGTCCGCCATGACGCAGGCCACGAGATCTTCCAGCGAGTCGCTGATTCCGTGAAAAACGTCGTGAAAAAAGAACTCGTACATCTTTTGGTCGTCCTTTTCCGTCAGCGCTAATAAGGCATTTTTGAGCCACAGCTGGAACTCTTTTTCCATCTGCAGCTGGTGCTGCTCTTTGGCTTTATTGACGGTGGCTGAGTTACTGCTTGTTAGAAGTTGTTGTACGCCTGCGCGCTGTGGTTGTACTTGTAGTGCACTCGTGGTCGACGTGCCTATGGCGTTACTCGCCGTTCTCGTTGTCGGGCTGAAAGTAGTAGTAGACCCAACTGCTTTTGCTTTAGTAGAAGTACTTTGCTTGCCTTGTCCCTTATTCTTTCCTCCAGTAGGTAATTGATTCCCCTGGAGGCCCTGGCGCTGGGAGATGGAATTCGCTTCCCGTTCGTCAGACGAGCTGGCAGAGGTCGAGACGACAGCTGTGTTTTTAGGTGCACTAGCAGTGTGACGCTTTCGAGGTTTTGCGTCGTTAGCACTTCCTCCTGTGAGCCAGCTGTACCAGGATTGGTTGCTGGAAGAGTCTGCGGCTTCATCCTTATCTTTATTGCTGCCCGACGTCTTAGTGTTCTGATCTTGTTCACCAGCACTAGTTTTTCGTTTACTCCGCCGGGCCGGGTCTAGCGAGCAATTCGGACTGAGCAATGCCTCGAAGAGCATGATTTTCCAGTACTGCGGCATGGATCGGAAAACCTGGGTGCTATATGTACTTAAATCGGCCGCTCCTGTAGCATTACCATTATCGCTTTGCTTGTTTTTACCAGCACAACTTCCTGCACCTATATTTTTAGAAGACGCCGTCAGAAACCGCTCGAGACCAAACGGTTCCTCGTCTTCTAGGAACATTTGCAGAGAAACGTTGCTGCTTTCACGCAGGCACAACTCCAGGTTGTGGTTTTTGGCAGGAGGCGGGGGTGGAACTATGTTGGGGTGATTCTTGTTTCCAGCGGCCGTCTCCTGACCAGAAGATGCAGAGGTGCTCTCACCGCTAGGCGTCTGCGTCGAAGATCCAGAAGCTGCAGTGCCGGACGACGCGGTGGTCGACGAGGTAGAGCTAGAGCTGGTGGAAGAAGATGAAACACCTTGATCTTGAGGTACTGTAACATTTGTTTTTACCCGCGGTGCACTCGACGTAACATCAGAGCCTGCTGCTCCTGCTCCTGTCGCACCGGGGCCAATTTCTACACCAACATGCGTCGTATCCCAGTACAGCTGCAGCATTCTATCGGCGTCGCGCTGCATGGCGGCCAGCTCGGTGATGCGGTCGCCGGGTCGTGAAGATGTAGTTGACACCACCTCGCCCGCCGCGAGGCCCACGCCAATGCGCACGTCTCGCATTTGCTCTTCCAGCCTAGTCCCCTCCACCAAGGAACTACCGAATGATCCAAAATCTTCGCCGGATGAACCTCGCGATGAACGCCTCCTGGTAGTTGTTCCATCTCTTGCGCGAATTTTTTGCACGTGCAGCATGGCTTTGTCGCGCAGGACATCAGACCGGCGGTGCGCGGCGTCGTAGAGGCCGGAGTTTGGATTATTTGCGTTGGAGGCATGATCTCCTGGAGCATCTTCGTCGTCCCTATTTTCCTCGTCGTCGTCTGTACCGTAGTACCAACGAATTGCCGCCATGGTGGCGGCTGTGGTCAGCATTTTGGAGGACACAGCTCAGCTGTTGTAAGTTTTTATTCGCAGAGTATTGAATAATTTACTTAGACTGCGACGTTCGCTCGGAAGATATTATTAGGCGGAAGCAGGAGTATGTAGGAATCGAAATTCAAGTGACCTTTGGTATAATTGCTCCGTACTTAGCTGCAGAGAGCGTAAAAAAGTGGAGTTGTACAAATCAGGTAATATTTATCGTAACAGGAGGGACAGGGAGGGGGAGTAAACTCTACCTTGCTCAGGAACACGAAGAAATGTGCTTTTATTACCAGTAAGTTTTAACTAGTGTCAAACATGCTAGGTAAAAATGCAGTAGTACGATGTGGCTGTGGTCCTGTGCGGATCATTGATTTTGATTCAGGGTATGGACACAAAGTAGAAGAATGTAGTCGTTTTCTCCAGAGAGAGACATAGTCTGACCTAAATAATCCGCCAACATTTGACTTTCGCTTTGCACGTTCCTACAACTGCAGAAAAAAAGGTTACCGACGTTGGTGAAACTCTTCGCCCATTTCTAAGTGGGCACTTCTTGCCTCTTCATTCAAACAACTCCAGCAACGAATGAATTTTTGGCTGCACGAAAGAGAAGTTCTTTTTGCACGAATATAAGAATACTGAAGCACGTAGGCGACGCACACGACACAGAGGCGGGTGGTGACAAAGCGCTAGTGTTGCGATTCCCTTTTTTCGAGATGCTTCTTGGCACTTGATTTCCTTGGCTACATAGAAGGTCTCCACGACCACTCTTGTTCTGTCGTGTATTGCTCTAAATACAACAAATCCGGACGTTTTTTTTAGCACAGCCTGCTCCTCTTCCTGTACAGGTGTAGTTAAAGTTCATTTCTTCTTGTGTTTCTCGCAAGTACGTAGCTTGTACGTCCTCGTTGTACGTTCTTTGCATCATCAAACACGATAAGGTTCTGAAAAAGCTCCAAAAAGAAAACGTTTTAGAGGAGGCGATCAGTCTCCTCGTCAACATCATACACGAAAAGCGGTGTGTTTATTCAACATTGTCACCAGACTGGTTCTTCTCCTGCTGTCACACGACAACATCAAGTTCTTCAAGATCGTCGGGCAGTTGTTATGCGTTCTGGCAAGATGAAAATCATCACGTCTTCTTCTCCTTCGTTGCGTAGTACACCATCGCTGGCTATGAACTGCAAAAGTATCGCACTCGTATAAATGCATGACAAATGCTCTCAGCATGAGAAATGAAATTTGTAATGCGGATGTACCTTGAGAAAAAAACTTGCAATGCATGATTGCAATTACTACGAGTACGATACTTTTGCACACGATACTGGCGCTTCTCGTCGCGGCGCGTGCGCCTGGTTCCGTTGCAGAAACTCGCTGGTTTTCGCGATCACGTTCGTCACATCTACTACTTTCGCTTGCTGTCCACCCCCCGGTGGCTCCTCTGCAGAGAAATAGCAACCGGTTTTCCGGAGCTGGATTCGCGGGTCCCCACGTACTAGCTCACGTTGGTTGTCGTTGTAGAAAAGTGCGTCGATCTTACTTTTCATCCCTGTTCCATCTTTTTCATCTCCTTCCTCACCCGCTTGCAGTTCGTCACTCGCCAGCACCTCCTCTTGCCAGCCCGGATAAGATTATGCATTGCAAAAGTATCGTACTCGTATAAATGCATTACAAATTTCCTCAGCATGAGAAATAAAATTTGTAATGCAGATTTGCTTTGGAAACAAGATTTGTATATGCAAGACTTGCATTTGTACGAGTACGATACTTGTGCACAGGATAAGGATGCCTTTCCGACCAGCAGCCGCTTGTAGTTGTCCGCCTCGGAGGCGGTTTTTGGTCGTTTTTTCCGCGCCGGCTCGGCCACAACCGCACGCAGGTAGTACTTTCTTTCCGGCAGGTAAGATTTCTTATTACCCGCAGCACGGTAACTGGGTGAGTCGCAGTAGATTTGCTTGGAAGACGTTGCTGCGATGGAAACTTTCTTGTTGTGTCCTGCTCCTCTCGCAGTGGAAGATGATGAAGACGAACCGCTCCTACCACCAGCTCCCCCTGCTCCGACGGCTTGACTTATTCCGGAATTCCCACCTCCGCGCACCACGAAGACTGGCAATAAATGCGTTCGTTTCGCGGACGCCGCACTGCCGACGGCATGGTCGTCAAAATGCAACTCGAAGGCTTCGTCGGGCGGGTGCCGCAAGTGGTTCGTGCGGGGGGGCGCACCGCTGTACGGGCGCCGGCCTGCGTGTAGTCCTCCGCGCCGTTTCCGTCGGTCGCGGCTTTGTTGCGTTGGGCTGGGCGTCCGCGGCGGGGCTGTACCTTCTACCAGGTTGTCTTCGATGACGACACAATCCTCGAGGTCCAGCTCTTCGTCGCTCATCGCACGAAAAAACTCTTTCACTGTGAACTTGTGATGCATGATAGAATGGCGCACACAACTATTTGTCTTGCTACACATGCAAGACATTCACATTGGGTTTTTCAACGTGTTTTCCCTTGGGAAGCACGCATGGCAAGTTTTCTTGGTCATGTGTAACGAACTTGTAATGCAAAACTTGCAAAATCCTTACAGTGAAACGCTTTTTTCGTACGATATCGCTGTCCAGCTCCTCAATGTTTAGCTCCTCGCCAAACCGCCGCTTCAGCAGGTAGGCGTCGTACCTTTTTGGGAATGAAAGTACTTCTACATCATGATGCACATCTTCATGCAAGAACACGAATGGCACGTTGACGTCATCTACATAGTAGTACTCAAACTCAGGAGTTGTACCAGCTCGTTTGCCCGATTCGCACGGTTGGCTTTTCCACTGGCGGCGGGTCTGGCTTAAAGGCGTAGCTCGGCATGGGAAGTCCGAGGAAGGGATGTTTGTGCGGCGCTTGCAAAACTTTCGGCACCAGCGCCAGGTCCTGCAGGGCTTGCAGCTCACCATCCAGGGTCTTGCTCCCGACCCGTCGTTTGCGGTCCTTTTGCTGATACTTCCGTAGCTCTCTGTGGTTAGAATTCGGACGGTGGTAAGAAATTCATTGATGCACACGACTCCTCGGCGACCACAACATCCGAACGAGGTTACGCATCTGCTTCAATGCGTGCTGCTGTAACTACAAAAAATATCTCACGAAAAAACCAAAAGCTACGAAGGTACCCAGAATACAACTTTCTTGGTTGATTCTTAAGTACCGCTGCAAGTCTTCTCTATCCTGCAACAAACGTTGCCATTCCTCCGGGTCCTCTTCCTCGGCCTCTCTCCAGGCACGCAGCCGCTCTTCGAACCGCCGCAAAGCACGCGTCAAATCCATAATTGATTGATTGTTATGTTTCTATGTAGGATCGCGAAAGGAGAAAACGCGGAATAGTCCTATACTATCACGTAGACATACAGTTAGAGGTGCAAGAAATTCAATGCCAGTTGGAAAACAGGATGCTTTTTCTTTGATGCATAATTATGAATGTGCTCATCGTCGCAAGCCACTCGCACTCCTGTACCCTGCTCACGTAAATTCACAACAAACTCGCTCGTGACATCGCTCCTCCACTACCAACGACAAAACGAAAAAAAACATGCGAAAGCTGTAACAAGCGATTGTGATGACCTTGCACAAGAAACCAGATGAGGAATATTGGCTCCACGATAACAACAGCGCTGAATTTGATTTTGATGGTCCACGACCTGCTCGTCGCGCCATTGCTTTTTATAAAGCTAGCGTACATTTTTTACATTTACATTTCATTTCTTTCAAAGTCGAATAAGGGTACATTGTGGAGGTCCTGTAGATCAGTATTGCTTCGCGTCAGCAGCACCAGTACCAAGATTTGATAACGCCACGCAATATGGTACCATATTATCGATAGGCAATACTTCAGCACTACCAACAGCTGTTATTTTTCCATTTGTTCGTTGGCATTGTGAATAGCAAACTTGTGTCATATAAGTAGCAGAAGCTAGTAGTAGCGAGAACTATAGCGAGGTTCAACAATAAGGACACGGGGTAGAAGTCGTAGTCGTAGTGGTCGTGAGGATCACACAACATAGAAGCTCCGGGTAGAAGTTTTTGTTTTCCGTTCGTAAATTCAAATTGTACATTATCAGAAACAGAAGCGCAGCAACAGCAAGTCGATTCGGTCGCGTTTTCTTCATACTCGTCGTCCTCCTAGTGTTCATCCTTCGGCAGCATGCTCTGCAGGTCCATAGCGCCCATGTTGGGTATGGTCGGATCCAAAGCCGTACTGGCCTGCGCTTTCATATGGAAGTGTCAGAGTCGAAATTTACAAAATCGAAAAATTTGTGATGCGCAAAATCGATGTCAGTTGGAGCCTCAGTTTCCAAGTGGCGCATGACAAATTTCGGGAGTGCCCAAATCCAGTCTGTCATGCTGTTTGGGCAAAGAAGACTGCTTCTGTCATGCTACTCTGGCAGCACATTGCGTAGCCCAAAACAGGCTTACAATCGGGTTCATTTGCCTGCTCCCCAATACAGACTTTCAGTGCCCGACAGTTTACGCATCACAAGTTTTTCGATTTTGTCGATTTCGATCCTGACACTCCCATATTTCAGGGCCGGACTCATGTTTTCGTAGTCCTGCGAGACCTATCAAATGTAAAAATGTCTGGGTCTGGAAGAATGCAACTTGTGATGCTGAATTTGGATTCCAAAAAAATCTGTATTGCATGAGCAGCAAAGGGAATGCAGTTTTTGCTGCGCGGAGAGGGCGTTTGTCATGCGGAATAGGCATCGCGAAGCCCGCAAAAAATCTGTGATGCTAGGGCATGCATCACGGACATCATGGCCAATGCAAAACATGCATGACAAGTCTCAGAATCTTCCAGACCCAGACATTTTTGCATTTGATAAGACCGTTGGCGGCACCCACCCCGTGGCCGGCTTCAGCTGCGTCGTGGGTTCCGTTCCCGCGCGCTCGTCTCGCGGGTAGATTAGCATCTCCTTGATGGGCTCTGTAGGTTGTTCATCATGATTATATTTGCAGTTCTGTTGGACGTGAGCGTTCTCTACGAAGATACCGTCGTGGGAGATGCGCATACTGGTGAAAAGTGTTTAGCCTTTCTTTGCTGGGCGAGCTCCTTATCTTATTACGGTCTATAGCGGTACTGATGCAAGTACAACAAGTACAAGAATTTTGTTCATGTAGTTGTCCAAAACATCCAACTACGATACTCCTTCAGCATGGTACCTCCAACCATCGTTTCCCTAGCAACCACGTGGTGATTTGGGTTTCCGGGGACCATGCCCTTCCCCTCCTTGGCGTCTGGTATGTACTGCCCTGCTTTGTAGTGCCCGACGTCCCGAAGGTCGGTCAGTTTCGTCGTTTTCATCAAGGCAGGCGCACTCGGACGCGCGCGCGGATCGTTTACCTGTTGATGTGGGGTCCTTTTTGAGACAGATCTTACGACGATGACGAACATTTTTTATGTATACACATGACCTCGTTGTCAAGGTCAGCGGTTGTGACATGCGGCGGACATCGGTTCGTCGTACTTTTGCTTCGTTAGTTCGCAGCATCAACAGAGATTCAACTTCTACTTTTTGCAACATCATCAAGAAGAAATCATGCATAAAACACTCCTACATTCGTGATGTGTCGCAGCATGTTTTTCGTGCCCAAAGTCGCTTGCGCGTCCCACTGGCAGCCCAGGTCGTTGTGGGGGAACTTATTCGAAATGTACTTGCTGTAGCCCGCGGGATTGTTTTTCTTTGCGTTCGTGACGTCCGCAGGGTTGCTGGGCATGCTCTGTAGGAAGGTCTCCGCGACGGATTTCGTCGTCAGGTAGGATGGCTGTTCCCGGTACTTGTACAGCCCCCACGAGGGGGTTGCTTGGCTCTCCATGATCAATTTCAATTGTTGTGCTAATAGATCTTCTTGATCTAATATCTCGTTCTTAAACCTTCGGCCCGTGATGTGTTCGCTTGACGTTGTTTCGCAGAGAACGCGAACGGAAAACTACGACTGTTCCGGAGAATGTGACAGCTTAGCGGCACAAGTTGGTGGTGCAGATCGAAAGTGATACTTATGTGGCGAGAGAAACAAACACTGCAATACCAATACCTGCGTGCTGCTAGTACCATGCACTCTTGATTGTTGACAACAGAGAACTTGGAGAACACGAGTACTAGGTCAAACTAATTTCCTTGTTCGTAATACTACATCTTCCTCCCCCTCTACTCATCGACGCGTGCGCACTCGCTTCCCCTCTCAAATGCCACTCAAAGTCAGTACGACCTAGTAGAGCGAGGGAGGGCAATCTCCTGCTCATTATGGCAATCTCCTCAAAGTAGTAACGCCACCGGGCGGGTAGCGAACGAAGGGCGCAAACTTTGGCTCCCGGGGCCAGTGCTAGATTACGCGCGCGCCCACGCACGCACTTCCAGGCGCCACCCGAAAAGGATGGGCACACGCGATCGGCACATGCACACACCGCAGGGCGCCCCGCTCCCACGCCGTGGGCGTTAGGGGGTATGTGTATTGTGCCCGCGCGGCTCGCTACGACGGACTGACACGCGCGCGCCCCGGCACCGGGAGCAGAACGAATGACAAGAAACACCGGGGGACGAAATGTCTTCCCACCCTGCCCGGGGCGTTTCGGGCGGGCAGGCAGCCCCCACGAGGGGGCGCCCTACCGTTCCCGGTATTTGTACAGCCCCCACGAGGGGGTTGCTTGGCTCTCCATGGTTTTGAATTGTAATTGTTGCGCTAGACTGAGCTAGATATCGATAACGATATGACTTGTTGCCAGTCCGGAGATAAATCTTCAGTCCGTAGTGTGTTTCTTTGACGTTTCCTCGCAGATATCTACGCAAACGGAAAACTATGATTGGTCCGGAGAAAGTGAAAGCTTCCCGGCACGAATGTTCGGTGCAGATTGGAGGTGGAATGTGACAAAAGAAACATCAGACGCTACAATAGGTACGTGTTGCGAGCGATATGCACTCTTGTTGACAAGAGAGGGCCGGAACTTTATTTAAAAATACGACTTGACCAAAGTACTTTCCTTCCTCGCACTACATCCTGTCTCTCGTCTACTCACTGACGCGCGCGCACTCGCTTTCCCTCAACAAATGCCAACATTCAAAGTCAACACGAGCTAGAGCTAGCGAGGGCGACCTCCTCTGTCGATTATGTTTCAACTGAAGTGCATAGGACTACATGCGCATGCCCGGAGGACACACAAGAAGCATCGAGCTTCGTCTCTAGTCGCACGGAGCGAGCCCGATAGCTTTAGCTTGCTCTCTGATCATCATGTTCTATCTTGTGCTCCCGATGAGAATAAACTCGAAATGGCCGCGCTTGGGCCGTCGGTCTGTGAGTCGTGTGCCTGGATGGCACGCAGGCCGGCGCACGACGTGGCGCGCCTAATACTGCCACCCACGCACTTCCTGAGGATTTTCTGATGTAGAGCTGCGCAGCTTATATATCCCAACCACCCAGTGGCCCCGGCATGGCCCTGGTTGCATTTAATCGGGCCACGGCCCACCGATGGGTCGCCCCATCCCTTGAAATAAGGAGGCAGGGGGCCGCTGGCGAAAGGCCGCGGGGACAGAGAGAAACACGACGCCCCGCCGACGTCTTTCTTACCCCGAAACCCGCCGGCGCGCTGTTCCTTCTGGCCCCACCGACCCGGCGCACCGGCCGGGCGAGCTGGCAAAGGGTGCCGCCACCCCTACCATCCAACGAATTACGCCGGCGCGATTCCGCGCGCCCATGGCTACTGGGGCGCAGGACGCGCGGCCTTTGGGCCTCAAAGCCCTGCTTTTTTGCGGTCCTGGGGGGTCTTGGGCGGGGTCTTGATCCATCTTATCCGGGCCTATGCGTCGGCGCCACGCCACGGGCCACCGATCTTTTCTTTCTCGTCGCCGACGTCGGCCCGTGCCTCTCCTTCTTCGCTTGGTTGAATTCCAGGCCGCCGGGCTGCGCCGCCGGCCTTTCCCCAAGGGGCGGGCCCTCGCTCCGTTCCCCCCCTGCCCTTGCTTCCTTCGTCCGGGGGGGAGGTGGGGCCACCGACGGGCCCCAAGCGGTTCAAGAAGCGGAAAGGCTAGAGACTTCGTTGTTTCTCAGACTAGAGACATTTTCACCCAAAGAAGTAATCTCTTCTCCAAAATTAAAGACCTGGAGACGAACCACATGGAGAGACATGAGGGCCCCCCAAAGCAGCGCCCGCCGCGGCCTCCGTTGGCAGTCCGTCATCGTCCAGCTCGGGCGGGGACCGCAGCAATGGCTTTCTTCAGGGAAGCGCACGACACTCACACCCACGCTGGAAGCCGCGCGGCACAAGACTGACAACGAACGGGGTCGGGGCCCGGCGTGCGTACTCCGCCCGGGGCCGCCCGGGCGCCACCTTCTCCAGGCCACCACCCGCGCCCCGCCAAGCGTCTGCGGGCGTTCGCCGTTCTCCTTGATCTGGATCGCTGGCCTCCGTGCTAAGTTCGGCCGCAGCCCGTGTGGCCGCAGCACGCGTCGGCGCGGCGCCCCGAGCCCGTCGCGAGGCCGCGGGCGCGACTCGACTGAATGCGAGGCGGGCCGCTGCTCCAGCACGTCGGGCGCCGCGACCTGTCGGGCGGTTGAAGCTGCGCGCGGGCTTTTTGAGTGCGCCGGGGAGCTAAATGGGCGGGCCGCCGGCGCCCTCATACGCCCTAGATGGGCGGCAAGTGCTTGGCGCTACTTAGTCGGCGGCGGCGCTTTCATCGGTCGAGAAAATGGGCGCAGTCACCTATGCCAATGCAGCAGCTATGTTTGTATATCCGCCGAAGAGACAACGCGGCCGCCATAGCGGGGCAGCGCAGCGCCTCGCGAGCCCTTCGCCACCGCCCTGCCCGCCGCCAACGAAATGCATGCGCCACGCTCCCGAGATCCAGGGGCCCGCCCCTTTGTTGCCCCTGGCCCACGCACTGCCGGGCCGCTGCCGATTTCGCCGGCGCGTCGTGGGAGGGTCGGAGGACAATCCTACTGCGCATCCTGACAACAAACATCGGGAAGACGACAACAACACACAGGGGCGCAGCGTGTCAATTTCTCACCGGCTAGTCTTTCGAGCCGAACAAGGTCGGTCTTTGCGCTGACGCTCGAAGGCGCAACAAGCTGACTACAGCATGCCAGCTATATCGCGAAAAAGTACATCTACATTTTTATTATGTAGTTCGTGGCTCTAGTGGTAGCGCCGAAATAATCTTCGCCTGCGCTCGCATCCAGTGTGAGTAAAATCCGTTCCGTCCCTCAGAGTCATAAAACACACATACACAATAAAGACAGGCGACAGAAGTCCCCGCTTCTTCTCCGCCTTTTGTGCTGCCCGTCTCCATCTAGAAACTGGCAGATCTCGTGTCCTGGCACATCCTTGGCGGACTGGGCTTGTTCAGATTGTTGTTCCCAAAGGCTTTCCGCTTGTGGCCGGGCTGAATGTCAATCACCTGCATGGTGCGGATGACCGCCCGCGCCTGCTTGTCGTTGTTCGCGGTCTGGTAGGACTTCGACCTGAAGGATTTGTCCTCGTGCAGGGACTCCTTGAACTCGTCCAAATTCCGCACGTTCCGCGCCTCCAGCAGTTTGGGCTCCAAGTCCAGCCGCCAGTTGATCTCCCGGTCGAGCGCGTGGTAGAACCTATCAAATGCAAAAGTGTCTGGGTCTGGAAGAATCAGAATGCAAGGTTTGTCATGCCTGTTTTACATGACCCACGATGCCTGTAATCCATGATCTAGCATGGCAGATTTCTAGAAGGCTTCCTGATGCCTATTCCGCATGACAAATGCCCTCCCCGCGTGGCACAAACTGAGCGCCTCTTGCTGGTCATGCAATACAGATTTTTTTAGAGTCCAAAGTTAGCATCACAAGTTCCAACTTTCCAGACCCAGACATTTTTGCATTTGATAGAACCCCAGGTTGTACAAACTTTCGATGCTCGGGTGGGGCTTGTTCAGGATGTCGTCCTGGAGAAAGCGGATCCGCTGATCCTGCTCCTTGTTCGTGAACCCCGTCATCCCGCTGTTAAAGTTCCGGACGCGCTGCTGCTCCATCTTCTTGATCTTCTTCTCGCGTTCCTTCTTCCGCTCGGAATCCTGCTTCAGGGTGAACGCCACGTGCTCTTCGTACATGCGGACGGTGGTGGAGAGGAAGCTATCGGACACGGAGTTGGCGAGAAACTCCTCGGACAAGGCGTAGACGAGTTGGACCAGCAACTCTAACGTATGACAGTCCACAACCCCCCCTCTTCCTCATTTGTAATGCAAAATCCCAAATCCAAGTGCTGCCTTGTGTCACCGTTTGCATGACAGATTCTGGAAGCCTGAACAGTATTAAAACACTACGCGTATTAACTTGTCATGCGCAGGCTCCATGTGCGCTGGTGTTTCTGTTGCTGTTCATGCAATACAAATCAGGGGAGGGGGGGAGTTGTGCACTCTCATATAGCGACACGTTTTCCCAATTGTGGTTCTCCGCCACGAGATTCTCCACCCGGGTCAAGTACGCGACATTTCGCTCCTGTATCCTGTGCACAAGTATCGCACTCGTATTGCAGTCATGCATTACAAATTTTTTTTGTTGAGGTAAATCAGCATTACAAATTTTATTTCTCACGCTGAGGAGATTTGTAATGCAATTATACGAGTACGATACTTTTGCACAGGATATCCTGCTCCGACTGCTGTTGATTTTGTTCGTCAATCAGAGCGAGATCCGTTACGGTTGGTTTGTTTTTCTTCTTCTTCTTCTTTCTGTTCCCTTCCTCGTCTAATTCACTCATATCCTCCTCGTCTTCGCTTTCCACGTCTTTGATCGCCATGACCTTTTCCTTCCGCTTCGTCTCGTCGCCACCCGCTCTGGCCAACAGACCGACGATGTTTGCCAGAATGCACAACCGCGGCATCGGCATCTTCCACCCGGTGATCAAAGCGTTAGTGCTGTTGTCGACCGCAATTCGGACGTGCTCCACCTTCTGACTGCAGAAGGCGAGGTAGGGTAAGACCTCGATTGCCCTCTGCTTCTGCAGCGTGATGTCCTTATCGTTTGCCGTTTGCTTGGCTTTCAAGCCCCACTTTTCGTCCTCCCGTTTTCGTTTCCGCGAGATGAGGGTCTCATGCACCTTGTTCTCGATTCGTTTTAGCTCTTCCTGCAATTCGTCTGGCACCTCGCCCGTCATGCCCAGCTTTCGCAGGTTCAGCAGCTTGCGCGCGTCTACGTGGAAGCACATGCGCCGGATGGCGTCGGTGAAATGCGGCAGCGGGAGGTTCATGTCCAGGATTGCGTACAGACATTCGAGGATCAGCACGAGATCCGGGTGCAGGTTGATATTAATCGGCTGCTGCGATTTCTTTTTCTTCTTCTGGTTACTATCATTATTTTCCTCTTCTAGAAGATCTTCTGCTCCTTCTGTATGATTGTCCTCCTCCAACAAATAAGTGCTGAGCCACAAGTCGGTTCGCAAACTTTCCTTCCACTTTTCGTCTCGCAAATCTTTCTCTAACAGATTGCTGTACTGCCGGAGCTCCTTCAGCACCGCGGCCACCGTTTCTTGCACGGTGGTGTGGTCCGCGTAGGTTTGCTTCGTCTGCAGCGGCGCGAGTTGGTGCAGCCGAATCAGGCTGGCGCACTTCACGGTCAGGGTGAACGTCGGCTTCGTCAGTTCCGCGCGCATGAAAAGCACCACCTGCGACGCGGTGTTCAGTTTCATGAGCGCCGTCAGCCCCCCGGAGTGGGAACCGGTTACCAGGTGGGAGTAGTTTGCGCGTCTCTTGTAGAAGTCGTGCAGGGGCGAGTTTTTGTCGTCTTGGCCCGGGGGGAGGAGGGGGGCCTGGAAAGCCGCGCCATCGATTTCCACCACGGGCTTGCTGGTGGTCGATGTCGTGGTGCTACTATTTTGGTCAATATTTGCCTGTTGGTTATTTGCACCTGGTGGGGGTCGTATTATTGCGCCAAGAACAGAAGTCGTGCTTGTGTTCGTCCCACCTTTTGTTCCCGCACCACCGCCAGTCTGCTTGTTGCCCGGAAGGCTGCTGTTCTGAAGGCCCTGGCCCTTCAAGCCGCCCGCTTGGTAGAAATTGAAGGTGCTGTTTTTCCCTGCGGCGGCGGCGTTTTGTGCTTCCTCTTCCTGTTTTTGTCGTTTTGGCGAGGGGGCCTTCGACCGGGCAGGGCCGCTATCCTCGTCACTGCCATAGTCGAAATCCATGTTCTTGGGTGGAAAAAAAGGCGGGAAGCAGAGACAAAGTAGAAAACTGCTGGGCCGTAACAAAAAAGTTGCTAAAGTCGAGCGATCGGTGTAATAGGTGCTACCTTTCAAATAAATGGGAGGTTCATCGTTGCTGTTAGATGGCTATGTTTGATCGATAGTTAGTCCTGTTTATTATTATTTGAAAAGAGTATAATCGTATGGAGCAGACAATTCATCCTTCAGATGAACAAGCAGCTGTAGTACAGTACCCACGGAGCTTGAACAAGATACTGCGTTGTTTGCCTTGTGTGATCGGTTTATTTGTTGATGCCCCTTCTGGTTCTAGTCAGGCCACGACGATCTGCTCTTGCAATACATAGCTTGTTTGGATCGGTCTCCTCTGCGTCAGCGCTTTCTGTGCGGTTCAAAAAGTAGTTCCGGACGAGCACGAGAACAAACAAATACCTCCTACTTACAACTATGGCGGTGCGCGTCATGTGCTTCAAAAATGCACCTCCTGCACACGGCATTTAGTACGGGCGCTTCTTAAAAATTTTCTTTGCCTTTCCTCTTTTGCTAGTTTCCTCGGTCTTTTAGCATGAAAATTCCTGGCGCGTTTATCTTTTGTACAGATCAAGCTGCTGATTTTTGTCATAAAGCAGGAATTCATTTTGTGTCGTGGTCGTAGTCGTTGTACAAGCTTGATTTTTTGGAAGGTTCCACCGAGGAAAACAAGAAAATCATTTTTTACTTTTTCAAGAAGAGAAGCTCATAAGGGAAGAAGTCAAACATCAACGGAAACGGAAAGTATCTACTGGACTAGTTACAGCTGGCTACACCTGATGACAGACTGCTAGGATCTTCATGTGGAGGTGTTGTTCGTAATTTCCAGTTTCAAAGGCCTCAGGGTCGTGGGGCTCGGCAGGATGAGATCAAGAGCTGTCGCTGTAGGAGCCACTTGATGTTCTACAACAGCTTTGAAACAGGATCGATCTGAGGGCGCGCCTAGAAGCCTGATTGTAAAAGCCACCTGCTGTTCTAGTCCTTTTCCTCCGTGAGAAATTTTCCAATTTACCTGTGCAAGATAGAGGTGGAAAACTCACTTGATGCACAAAGTTCAAATAGAAAACTGTTGAAGTCTGTAACTGTATTCTCGTGTAATCTGGTATAAATGAAAATCTGACCTTCTGACTGTCATTATCGTTTGCTGTTCAAAATAACTCTGCAACACTGATTCTGATGAAACTCTCACGGCTGTTAACATCAATCACGATCTGCATCTGTTCTAGATTGATTCACGTTGTTGAAATAATAACTCTAAACTTGTAAATACACTATAAACTGTTGTATTATTCCGGAGGTTTATCTTGCTAAAAACGGGTGTAGTAATATTGTAATCGGTTTGCAATTGTCTGCTAAATTATTTCCTGACTGTCGTGAAGGTTCGCTCTGTGCGCGAACTGCACTGCTATAATTCTGTTAAACTTGTACCTGAAGCTGAAAATTCTGAGGAAATAGGACTTGCTAAATTGGTTCTGTAGAATGTAAACCTGGTGATTCTCGGACGCTCTGTTCTGGTGAATATAGCTGTTAACACTGTACTGTTCGGATAAAACTTTTTCTGATTCGGTTTGTTGTTCGTAAATCGGTTATTTTTGTTTCGGTTTTCTTTCGACTAAAACGGTAACTTTGCTCACTTGATATTTTTGATTCGAGGATTTTTGTCGGATATTTTTTCTTGAGAATGTCTACATTTTTTCTCACCCTGCTAAAGAACAGCACTACTCGCACGAGCAGTTCTTCTAGCGGTGGGCTTTCCGCAGGCCCTTCTCCTGCTTGCGCTGCAGACCGCGCTGCGTCTTGAGCTTCAGCTCCTCACGCGTAAAGGGACGCGTGTCGTCGTCTTCATCCTCATCCTCGTCATCCGTGTAATCCTCGACAGTGGACGGTAGTTTGATTTGCAGTTGCGACCTGATAAGGTTTTTTTGTTCTGGTGCCTATAGTCGAAGAAAGAGACAGATGGAGAACAATGCGTTAACATCGTGGTCCGCATGACAAAACAACTTCAGGAGGTTTGTTTTCAATCATGCTGCTGCCTCATCCGATTGGCGATGGATTACTTGGTGATGCAAACAGACGACAAGGTGAATCTTATACATTGGTTCCCTGGTAGCCGGCAACTCTGCCTCCTCTTCGTCACCCTCTTGCAAGGCGGTGTGCAGCAACAAAATCTCGTTTGCCCGCGTCTCGATAACGCCGAGATACTGGAGCATGTTTGCCTCGGTGACACCCTGCAGCCCGAGGGCACCGTGCTCTGCCATCTGGGAGCAACCCAACCTGATTATTTTTCGTATAATTTTGCTGCTCTGCATACTATTACCGAACAACGACCGACCTTTGAGTTCCGTATCTCTATCTTCAGCATAGTTTTTGTGTACATTTTTCAAATCTTTTATTACCATTACGCTATAAAAATACCTGTTGTAGATGGACTGGAGCCCCGCCCGCACGGCAGTCAAAGTCTTCAAAGCCTGCTGATATCTGAGTTCGTAGTGCTCCGCCTTCTTGTCCGCGCGATTCCACCTGTCCTCGAGCTCGCCGAGCAATTTCTGCTTGCTCTGGTCACTGCTGATGGTACCTGCAGACAATGATGACGTGTGATTTTTGCTTTTCTTCCTTACGAAGCCAGATCGTCATGTTATCCCAGACCCAGTTAAAAATATCGCATGACAAGAATAACCATCCTTTCTACCTATGACAAAGTATACGCTTTATTTTTCAACACGAAATCTACTATGATCCTAGTACCCTGTGCGCTGACTGAGCCTCCGCGGAGTGACTCATACTCGCCCTTCAAGTCTCCGATGTCAAGATCGAGCTTCTCAATCTGCGTGTTCAGCAGATTTGCGTAGTTGAACAGACTGAAGTTCCCGTCCTCTGCGTTCACGAAGTTCTGCACTAAGTCGTCAATGTCACTAATCCCGGTTGCGGCCTGTCGTCGTGACACGTTGGAGTTTTGTATATTTGTAGTTCCTGAAAAATGTGTCTCGGTCTTTACTTTCTTCTTCACGAAAGCACCGACACTTCGCAACAGTAACTAATAGCATCTGGTCGTCCTGCTCGTGCATAGGTACAACCAAAAAGTTCCGAGGCTATTACTAGTACGGCAAGGCACGACTTTTTTTCTTACCTGGATCTTGGCGAAGGCCTCTTCGTAGACCGTTATTCTCTCGGTGTTCGCGGACTGGGCGACCTTGCCCTTGGCAATCATCTATGCACTACAAAAGTATCGTGTACTCGCATAAATGCATTACAAATTTTATCAGCATGAGAAATTAAATTTGTGATGCATGAGAATGCATGATTGCAATACGAGTACGGTACTTTTGCGCAGGATATCATCCAGGCATTCTTGGTGACTTTCTTCTTGAGCTTGTCTTCCTCGTCGGCGTATCAAGTACAAATATGTCTGGGTCTGGAACAATGCAACTTGTGATGCTGCATTTGGATTCCAAAAAAATTTGTATTGCATGAGCAGCAAATGGAAAGGGAATGTAGTTCTTCCTACGCGGAAAGGGCGTTACCCATGCGGAATAGGCATCAAGAATCCCTAAAAAAATCTCATCTGTGATGCTACGGCATGCATCACAGACATCACGGCTCATGCAAAACGTGCATGACAACTCTCAGAACCTTCCACACCCAGACGTATTTGCATTTGATACGGCGCTCAGGTCCCCCTTGTGCTCCTCCACGCCCCGGTTCCTCTCCTTCTGTCGCATAAACTCCTTCATCTTCTATCAAATGCGAAAATGTCTGGGGCTGGAAACTTGTGATGCTGTGTGGCGTATCATGAGGAGGCCACAATTGCTGGCTCAGCATGACAAGTTTCTGAGCTGCTAGGTGTTGCCTATTCTGCATGACAAACTACGTTTCTGCATGACAGAAAAGTGGGGCTCTTTGGTAATGTGCATGACAGATTTAAGAGTCATGCCAGACAAGCATGACAAACTTGCATTCTTCCAGACCCAGACATTTTTACATTTGATATCTTCTTGTCGTTCTCGATTAACCGCCCGAGCTCCTTCCCTAATAGTGTTCATGGTCGCAGTTGCGAAGTTGTGGGAGTACTTGGTACAAGGGACTACGTGACACTAAACTTTCTATCGCGCTTCTTCTTCGCGGACAGTAGTCAACTACTCATGGATTTTCGTGAATTTATAGCTCATGCATCCTGATTCTAGTCAGCAACAGTATGACTATGAATGTGCATGAAATAAAAAATCAATGTTACATTCCTTCTCGAACTCTTGGTGCTCCTTGTCTGCCTGCTGCTTCAAACTGGTCATCTGTGCCTGGGCTGCATCTCGTGCTTCATACGCCGCGTTGGCCTGATACAATGAATTAATATCAGAATCAGTTTCGGTTCAGCAGATAAGAAAATAGGCTGTGGCATAATCCAAATCCTTTTGCTTATGCTTTTTCCGTGGTGCAGAGGGAACCGAAAAAATAGGAATTTACTGCGCGGAAAATAATCTTATTCATGCAAGCTGGTTCTGCCACGGCCACCGCCGATCATGTTGACAAGCTAGTTCTGCCAGTTGTGACCTGACTGACTATGGCACGAAAAATAAAAGTTCATCTCGGACTATCTTAGGTACCTGCTCGATGATATTTGCCATTTCCTTCTTCTTCTGCTCAAATTCCTTTTCGAGCTTTGAGTAGATGTTGTCAAAGACCACGCGCTCGGACCGGAGCGAATCTATGGTGTCCCTTTGCGTCTTGTTTTCTGCTACTGCTTCGTTGAATTTCTGTGTAGTTTTTATTTTATTGGGGGCATGTGCTTAAAAATCACATATCATTTTTCAAATTCCAGCCGCGGCCAGAAGAAGAAAAATTATGTCAACAAATCATCGTCATTTACGGGCTCTTATTCTTTCCTATTCCAAAACCTGCACTGTCTTTAACAAACTGAAACGTGTTCATCCTATCCTGACGCCCCGCCAATTATAGGTACCTGCAGTGCTTTGTCCAATCTGTTTTCCAAGACGCGGATTTGCTTCGCGACCGCCGCCTGTGACTCTTTTGCTGCGTTGACGCCGCCCTTGAGACCGAGTTCCTCCCGGACCTGGATGGTCTTGGCTTCTACTACATCGATTTTCTCCTCCAATTTCTGCTTCACTTCAAACTCCTTGGCGATGGCTTTTTCTGTAGGATAATTTTCGTTTTGATATTAGTTTTCAGAAGCAGGGCGTTAGAAGTAGAACCTCCGCACCAGCACTTTGTTTACAGTAACTTTTGGTTCATTGCTTTTGCTGGTCTCTCTCCTGACAACAAGGAAAAAAGATTTTATGTCAAACCTAATTGTTCCCTGCTCTCGGCTAATTTCGCGAGTGTCTCGCCCTGCCGCCTGGCCTCCGGGCCGCCTCGGTCCGCTCTTCGCACCTCGGAGAGTTCCTGCTTCATTTGTCTGTTCTCCCGGGTGAGCTTCTCGATGGTAGCCCTCTGCTTCCGAATAATCCCCTGGGAATCCTCGCTGTACGCCCGTTTGTCATTCTCCAGCACCCGGAATTTACCTTGACATTTTCAAAAATGAAAAGATAAAGAACTTCGTCTTCTTCATGCGCCACGACTAGTACGTGAAACCACTGTCTTCACACTCATGCTCAGGAGCATTACATGGTAGAAGATATGATCCTGTGGCATGACAAGAGTGCTGGGCTCCTGCATGTCACCAGAGTTTCATTTTACACGACCAATATTGGCTATAGGTACAAAAAATCAAAATAAAACTTCAAGAAATACTTTAAGTAAAAATACGTTGAAGCTCCGCCACCTCCTGCTCGACGGGCTTCTTGTCCTCATCCTTTCTTTTTTTCATCATGGTGTACTAGCTTGTAGTTTTCAACAAAACTTCAACGCTATTTGTAATTATATCTCCCACTTGTAGTTCCTGTTTGTGTTAGTTCCTACAGGCGAGAAAAAAAAAAGCGCTCGCAATAGTTCCCCTGTTATGGAAGTTGATGAACTATGTTGTAGGTGGTACAACTAAGTACGGCCGGTTTCTGAAGAAAGGCGTCTCTCGACTTCACAAGCGACTCAACGTAGTGCGACGAAAACGACCCAAAAAAGTCAAGAGCAAGATGAAACTTCCGTTCAGAGGCAGCTGAAATTTATTTGTATGTTCCCTTTGTCTTTTTTGACGAGAGAAGATGACAATTGTGGTGATATTGACCACATCCTTTACGAAGGTACGGCACTGAGTTGACGCATTCCATCCCAACGTGCTATGATGTTGACGTCCCACGATCTTCACCTCTAAACAACAACTCAACGGGTCGTGGACGAGCATAGACTGGGCTTCTTCTCTCTTTTAATATTGGTTTCACTGTGAAATTTCTAGTACAACTCTCGTTGCAGGATAATTTTTGTTACGGTCTTGAAGTCATGCGGTTTGCAAGAATGAGCCCACAAGTCGAATGGACCAAGAAAAGCAAACATGGTGTACGTACAAGGTACAAGCACTACATGTACATTAAGTCAAGTGAAGTAGTGTTTCAAGAAGCACTCGGAAGAGTGTTCATGAATGCTCGCTCGAAAGCGGCGGTAGGAAAAAAGTATAACTAGACAAAAGCGATAAGAAGATATGTAAAAAAAAGGGCACTTTGGTTGTTGAAATAGCTTATTTTTACTTTTTGCTCGCTGCTACTAGATGCTCCTCAATAAATACAAACTCAAACATGCTAGCTCTCGTAGTCGCTCTTCAACACAGCAGGGACAGAACAAGCACTAGCTCTCGGTGCCCGGCCCCTTTTGATGCCCGGCGGTCCTGCGAGAGGACTGGTAGGATTTCGTAGACGTCGAACTCGAAAACGAAAGAGAACACATCAGTATTTCGTAGATCATGTCGAAACGACGCCAGCACTGTCGAAATAAAGCACGATCGACCCGGCACGAGATGAGTTTGAAATTCTTTCACTTCAGTTGTCCCGCTGAAAGTTTTGAATTTCCATTTCGTTTCGTACAAGAAGTTTGTTCCAGTTCGAAATCGAATAGTTTTCAATGAATAAGGCGGTTTAGTACTTTTAGCGTTCTAGTAGTAGCACAGTTCCAATATTTGTGTTGGCCTCGACAGAGGTAACACGTACCAAGACGAGCCAACTCATGTTGCTCTCGCGAACGTATGCAACACTATCGCAGGCTATTAGTTGTACTTGTTGATGTTGGTTGTTTGTTAACAACTACTTGTGCGTCATAGAGCATCATACATTACAACATATAAGGCGCACATTATATATAAATAAATAAGACCAGCAGCACCTCGCTACAGCACTAGCAGGCGAGCTGCTGGGTCTTGTGCTAAAAATTAGCCATGATTTTTTCATTGCTGCAAATAATCCTACTCCGTATAATGTTTTCGAGTATGTCCGGAATAATATCGTGTCCGACGCCAATAGAACGGAGAAGAAAAATACGTCTGCCTGCAGGCGCAACTAATGTTACTATCAGTAAAACTAGAAAATATCGGCACTCACTTTTTCCAACCTCCGCAGGCAGCGTTTTGTTCCATCGTAACGGAACTAGCTAACAGTATGAGTTCTCAGTGTCAAATCCACCTGTTCGCGGTGTGTCATTTATTTGCTGCGGTCGAACGCTTGAGAATCCCATACGTCTCGAGTGGGGCTTCCAGATTTTCGAACAAGACCGGGCGGCAACGGAACGCGGTCGCGGACACCTTGCTGGGGTGTGAGACCGGGCGGCGGCGGAACGCGGGCTCGGTGGTGGCGGAAGCCAGCTTGGGGTTGGAGGTCCTCCGTATAAAGATTTGGTGGCTGATGGAGGTCAGGTATCAAGTGCAAAAGTGTCTGGGTCTGGAAGAGTGCCAGACTTGTCATGCAGGTTTTTTTTTTTTTTCATTGGGCCCCACGCTGTTTTTTCGCATGTAAGTTCATCACTATTCTAGGAGGCCAGTGGACGTTACTTAACATGTGAAGCAGTTCTACGAATTCACCTGCCTGCCGCAGCAGGTCAAACAGGGCCGACACCTTTCACACAGTTAAGCAGAGCGCGTGTACACCATCTTTTTTTTTTGATTTGTACCATTTCCGCTCTTGTCGCCTGCTCCTTCACCAAGGTCTCGCGCCACTTCCGTCTATTCCCCCCCACATGTACAACTCTGCTGGCAAGGCAGAAAAAAAAAGACTCAGCCCCTGTTGGAATAATTAAGCACAAAAAGCCCACACAGAAAATTCCTGCACCTACCTAGGGGCGACTAGGCAGATGAGGTGTGCCGTAGCGAGGGGTGTATATGTGTTTGAGTCAGGGATGTTCAATACAAAGCGGGAAACGCATCAGGGATATCGTGCGGGGTCCGCTAAAAAAATATCGCGAGGGCGGCAATGGGGTAATGCTATCTCTAAACTTTGGCGACAATCTAATAAGTGGGGGACAGCCGAAAAAAAAAGCTGCCGGATCTTTTGCACAATGTGCGCACGTCTACGATACGGATCTTGTTTCTTGGGTCGGCAACGACAGCGAGGCAACTCTCCTCGCTGTGTTCCGCCTCTTTTTGTCAGTGCGCCCGAATTTATATCCCCCCCGGGGAGGGAGTTGACTTGTCATGCAGGTTTTCCATGACCCATGAGGTCTGGCATGTAGGACATAGCATGACAGATTCTGTGAGAGTTCTATCATGCCTATCCTGCATGAGAGGCTGCCTCTTGATTAGGTCAAAAGTGGACAGCTTGTGGTAATCATGCAACACAGATTTTTACATGATTCAGATTTAGCATGACAAGTTGCTTTGTTCCAGACCCAGACATTTTCGCATTTGATATCAGGCGCGGCCTTCGCGAACAGCGTCTCCTTGGGTGAGGACCCTTTCTCCTCCAGCACGACCCCCGATGGATTCATCGCTGGATCCTCCAGAAGCCCCCGAGGACCTACGCCACTAGTGCCATCACTTGCTGTGCTGGTTGGGAGCTTCCCATTGGGATCTCGCTTTATTTGGAAAGCAAACAGTCCCTTCGGTTTGTTGACGGGACCGACCCAGCCAGGACCAGCTGAATCTGCTACACGGTGTTGCAGGACTGCCTCGAGCAGCAGCTGAGCAACTTTGAATGGGTGCGCCTCAGCAAATGCGGTGTTCATCTCATGATCGCCAGCGGCCGGCAACCTCCGCACAGACAATTGCAGCTTTTCTTCAAGAACAAATGTCTTCAGGTGCACATCGCAATTCAGACCAGATTCATCACGCAAAAACCCTCGCGGAATGACGTCCCCGATCTCTCGCCTCAGCTTCGCCGCAGGTTCACCAACCGTGAATGCCTTGTCGTCCAGGAACTTCTTCGTACGATCATTATAAATGTACGCGATGCAAATCGCTTCCTTCTGTGCCTCGGAAAGTTCTGCCAGTTTTTTTTTCAGGTCGCCGTCCAGCGTCGTCGTCCCGGGCGCACTAAGGTGCGGCACGGCAGGGCGGGCCGCCTCCGCCACGTACAAATTGATACTGCCGGCAAAAAAAAAGACGGACAATAAAGCCAATCCACGCAAGGACGACGCGCGCTCCTTCGTCGCACGATCTTCATGTGTACGGCAAGACGAGATAGAGGAACTGCCGTGTCGAGGCTGCTGCTCCCCAGAAGTAGAAAACAACATTTTCATGAAATGATGATTGGTGTAAGTAGCTTCGCAAAAACAATACTTGCAGCCACTGTTAACTTCAACTTAAAAAAAAACTTCAACGAACTTGTCAACTTTATACTTATGGTAGGTAAAAAAATTGTACACGATGCTTTCCGTTTCCCTTCCAAAACGCTATAAAAGATGGTGAGAGGCTTTTGTTGCCGACAAAGACAATTCTTGTTCTTTTGTGCTCCTAAAAAGATCAAATACTTACTTTCTTCTCAAATATACTCGAAAAATTGATTTGTTGCCTACAAGGCGACGTAGATAGATGAATTCTATTTCAAGAAAAGAGGACTACTGTAACTCCAACGCTTTCAATTTTTTGACTTTGTCATGAATCCTCAAGCAATAATTATTTGTGCCAAAGCAGAACTTGTTCTACACAACTGTGATTGCTGGAAAAAAAATGGAAATACGGAACTTCCCTTGGACAACGTATGTAGCTGGTTTGTACAGGCATCGTAGAACCGATATTTTTGGAATTTATCGATGAAACAAAACGATATTCAGCATATTTTCATTTTCTCACTTTTCTTGTCCTAAAATTTGAATTCAGATCGTTCAGAGTCAGCAATTGGAATTGTACTGCTGGCGCAGGATCGTGACAGGGAACTATTAATTTCGCACCGACTAGAACTATTAATTTCTAATATTTTTGCACCGACTAGAACTATTAATTTCGTTACCGAAAGAGAACACGTTTTTCGATCGCGCACGATAACGATCGAACAAAGACCAGCAGTACGTAGATGAGTTGAAATTCTTTCACTTAAGTCCCTTCAGGTACCGTTGAATTTCAATTCGTAGAAGTTCTAGTTCGAATAGTTTTCAATGAATAAGGCAGTCTACTTTTGACGCGCCAGTACCCAGGGACTACTACAGCTCCAGCGGTGTTGGCAGCCCCGGCAAGAGGGGTGCCTGCCACCTTTTAAGTTTTTACTTCGTCGTTGACGAAGTGACTTTCTTCTGACATCGCCGCAAAATAAAGGTCAGAAACGCCAGCCATCTGTTGTTGAAATAGAAGTTCTTGCACTTCTTCTTTCAAGAGTGCTCCATAGCAAAGGCAGGTAAAGAGTGCGCAGCTCAAACAACTCTGCCTCGGCTCGGCAACAAGACGAACCTGCTAGTGTTAATATAGCTACTTCACTTTCGACTACTTTTTCATCCGCCTTAGAAGTGCGCTCTAGAGGAGCGCTCCTGCAGGTAAGGTGGTACGCTGTATGGCTTGGTCCAGCGAGCTGCAGGAAGGTAGCAAATTATGATTATGTTCGTTATGCTTATGCTGAGGTAGGTGTAGGTGCAGATGCAATGGTAAGCACTGCAGCAGCTCATACCATAATTCGCGACTTTTTTTTTTGCTTGACCCACAGCATAAGCTCCTACTCCTCAAAGGGACGAGAAGGAAAAACACTTTTTTCCTTCTCGTCCCTCTAATTGCTTCATTTTCACGGCGTCACTTGATTTTGAATGTTTCAGAAAAATAGAGCTTTGTGTTTCGTCTTTGTGTTTGTCCCGAACAAAACTACCTTCGAACGGGAATGTAAGAGCAAGATAGCAGCTCTCGATTTTTAAATGCAAATTATACAACGTGCATGATTCACGTGCGGTCACCATCAGAAGTGCGAACTACGAAAGACGGGGCTTACGACCACCTAAAACGAAAAACCAGACTTCCACAATTTCACTTGTCCTCGCCCAACCTCCACGCCGCGGATGACAAGACAACTATGGTGTGGGTGCTGGGGCCCCGTCGACATAAGGGTTCTGCACATCGACGTAGGGATTCGGATTCATCCTGCGCTTCTTGGGGAGCGGTAGGGGAGTACGACGAGGAAGGAAGCTGTGCTGGTCCTGCACGACCTCTGGCTGCGCCGAATCGGGGGACAAAGTGCTGACCGCGTCGCCGGTTGACGCCGTCGCTTTGTCCTGCTCCGCGTGTGTGCGACTCGCCTCCAGCGCCTTGCGTCTTGCCTTTGCTTTTGTGGCCTCCTCCTCGACAACCTTGTCGAGAAAGTGGAGGGCTTGCTTCTGCTGGAGACGCAGGCGCAACTCGTCGAGTTTCTTATGGCCTCCTCAGCTTTTGCATTCTCAGCTGGTGTTACATACAGACTCCACACATTTTTTATCTATGGCAAATGACGACCAGCAAGAGAAAAGCGAGGCACGCCGCGCGGCCGTTCGCAAGACAAGTTTTGAACAGCTCTCGATGCTATTTGAGGCATCTCAAGTAGTTTGGGTCGCATAGCTTCATGAAAACAGAAAGTGGGAAAGACAAAGGGAAAGCGACAGGCGACGTAGATTTTGCATGACAAGTTTGTTAGCTGTGTAACAGTTGAGAACGTAACACTTCCGGAGGCCATATTTCTGATCCGACGTCTTCGCTGCAGCTCCTGCCGGAGTAGTTGTCGTCATCTGTGTCGTTCTATGGATTGCAAATATCTTTCTATGTCATTGCCTGGGGGTGGAAAGTTGCGATGCAAGAAGTCACAGTCAGTGAATAATCAATACACACACTGCAGCAAGAACTTATTTATTATGAATCGCCAAGCATGACAAGTTGGTGCGTGCCCCGCAGGAGAAACTGCGTTCCTGCATGATAGACAAGAGGAGCTACTCTTTGTGGGAACCCAATACAGAGGTCAGCGTCACGCCAGACTAGTAGCATGACATCGGAGAGCTGTCGGCAGCACATCCGCAATCTTCCTCTTGAAGACCTACACATATTTGCATTTGATACGCGCTGTTCGCTGTAGTATCACCCGTTGCAGTCTGGACGCCGAGGCCGACATGCGTGGCTGCAGGAGGATAAGGCATAGAAGAACTACTTGATGCGGGAGCCGACCACGGTCCTGTGACTATTCCGTGCGTAGCCGCAGGGCTGGCCGCGGGCGGGTGATGCATCGGCTGCCCCATCGCAGCTGCTGCCGGGTATTGCGGCAAGAACGTAGGTCCCGGCAAAGGCGCCTGTTGGTGCGGGTGGTATGCAAACTCAGGCCACTGGTGCGCAGCCGGGTTGTAGTGCGGGTAGAGCCCATACCTAGGCCACTGCGCCAGGTGGAGGTGCGGGGCCTGGACCGGACGATGGTGGAGGTGCTGCTGATGCTGTTGCTGGTCCCAAGAAGGGGGGTACGTCACGGCTTGTGGATGCGGCTGGGTTCGCGCAAGAACGTGTGGAGCACCAGCATCCAAACGCTGTTCTCGCTGGTCGCGACGCGCTCGTGCACTATCTTGTTGTGCAGCAGGTGGCCGAGCTCCTCGCGCCGTCTTGTTCTTCTTGTTCTTCTTCTTTTTGGAAGTCTTGTCTTGCAAGTGCATCTGCCGCAAGAGCTCCGGATGATCTTGAAACAACCTGCTCGGCGGATCGTACGGTAACGGTTGGGGCTTCTTCAGGTCCGCAGGGACTCGGTGAAACACAAAGTACGACCCAGGACCTATCCTGAGTAAAAACGTACCCACACCAGGGTCAGGATGGGGATTTTGCAACACAAGCCTGGGAGTTTTAGGAGTCACGCATGACAAGTTTCAGTCCGTAAGGTAGTGCAAGTTAGCAAGGAAAGCCGCATCACAAATCGACCTTCTGATCCTGTTTACAGCATTACAAGTTCCAAAACACGATGGGCAATGTCCCTCATGGGGATGCGCATTACAAATGCTCTTGTGCTTGCAAATCTGCATGACAACTCTGGTGTGGGTACGTTTTTACTCAGGATAGGACCCGCCTCCCGTTTGACTGGGCCCACCCAGCCGTTTATGAATTGCAAAAATGTCTGGGTCTGGAAACTTGTGATGCAAGTCAGTCAATAACAAATGCACTGTTATGCGCCGCCAAGCATGACAAGTTGCTTCGTGCTTCTGTGCTGCGTATTCCGCATGAGAAACTGCGTTTTTGCATGACAGGCGAGAGAGGCTGTTTGTGGCCACGCAATACAGGTTTAAGGGCCATGCCAGATCAGCATGACAAATCTCGCAATCTTCCAGACCCAGACATTTTTGCATTTGATACCGTTTCCATCTGGTGTCAGTCCAGCCTGAGCTGCCGTAACCAACATCTGCGCAACTCTGGGTATGTTCTCATAATGAACCAGTGGGTTCCTCGCAACTCTAGCACTACCAGTCGGGGTGTCTTCGATCGTCAACCTCATGCTCCACAGAGATATGTTCCGGCCTTCAATGAAGCTTTTCACGTAATAAATGCAATCCAATGCGGCCTCAGAGAGAAAAACGTCATTTGGAAGGCGGACATTATTCATCATCTTCGCCACATTGGCATCTTCGCCGCATTGCTCCTCCCCGAAAATTTCTCGACGGATATACGCGGTGCAGATTTTCTCCTTCTCCTGATAAGGAAGCTTTGCCAAATCCGCTACGATCGAAGCGTGCTGATCCCCGAAAGAAGGACCTTGTTCTAGTACTTGCTGCTCTTGTTTGGCAAAAATCGTCGCTGCCGCATCAGCAACTTTGATGTAAGAATTGCCGCCGCATGTCAAGAGAGCAGTAGTAGAGAAGGTGGACCAAGAAACCAACGACCGAAACATCTTTACTAGTATCTCCGCAAGAATTCGTCCCTTGTATTTGTTGTAAACGTCCCTAGTAAATAAAAAAAAACTCTTCTCCTTCAGTGCAAAATGTCACAGCGCGATAGCGATCTTCACAGGAAAATTGAGTCTGTGCTTTTTGTTTTTGTTTTGACTTCTTAGTTCAGGGCATAGATATAGTATACTTCGCAAAAAAAATCTGTAGTGCAATTTGTTCCTTGTGGATGTAGGTCGACTTGTGTAGTCGGAACAAACTTCGTAGATGGACGACGTAGTGGTAAAGCAAATGCAAAAGCTAGTAACTTGGTTCGGCACTTGTAATTTTACATATATACACAAAACACTTGAACTTGAAGGCAATGACGGTGCGATTCTAATAAAATAGTTTTTTTCAAAAAGCAAGGAGAACAACTTAGTTCTTCCTTATTTCAGCGGATTACATACACTCTGTGGAAAAATTTGTAGGAACCAAAGAGAAATGGCAATAGTACAGAACGACGAAGGCATCGTAGCACTGATTTTGAACTTTATCCAGACAAAACGGATCATGATCTCACCCAGATTTGCTGACTTTCCTTATTCTAGAATTTCGATCAAAAATTGGATTTCGGAACCTTTTACCGAAAAAAATCTTGCTCTGCTGGAGCATCGTGAAGCAGAGGACCTAATCTTCATCTTCATGGTATGCCGATACCAGCACTACAGGAGCACGGAAGTAACCCACTGATTGTGATCGCCTTGGTGGTTCTTTTTCAAATAAACAACTGTGGAGCTAGGTACCTTAAAACATGCTTTCGGATCTTGATTTTCGATTTTGCAGCACCGAACTCGCTCTAGATCCAATGCCAACACGAGAAGTAGATCGAGGCAGGGTCGGCCCTTTGTTCATAGCACTGCAGCCCTGAAGGTGCGCTGCTGCATTGGGGAACCGATTTGATATCGATGCACTCTTCCCTTCAGGAGCCACGCTGTCGAGGTCTGTCAGTGAGGGGGGGCGACGTCATTATTTTTGTTCTTCCTCTGTTGACCGACTTATTCAGTTCCTGAAGGGCCGAGGCTCACCGGAGTTATTAGGCTCGCTGTGGCGTGCAAGAAAACCTTTTGTATTTCCGCCAAGTCCACTTGGAGCCGCTCTGCTTTCGCAACCGCCTCACCCACAGGCCTGTCCGCGCGCAGCCGATGCAGGTCTGCGAAGGTGTACGCGAGATTTCCCGGAGCAAAGTCGTCATCATCGTCTCCTCCTGCATCGTCGAGCCGTTGTACGTCCAGGTTTCTCAAGGGGTGAAAGCCCCGGATCGCGTTCTTGTGCGCGTGTAGCTGTTGTTTCTTTGGATCAGAAGCCGCGGGGGCGTACGTCCGCTTCGCAATAATGGAAATCTCGTCTCCTGCTTCAGCTGCAGCTGCGAAGAAAATCATGGGTGTTCCTTTCGAGGGCCGGGCGATGTTGGCCGCCCCCTCGATCTCCTGGAAATCCCCGTCGCGCCAATGCCAGTTATGCACCATTGCAAATACGTCTAGGTGTAGGAGTAGAAAGTCATGCCAAATCTGGATCGTGGTACAAAAATGTGTGTCTAAAGGTTACGACCACTACTATTTTCCACGCGCAGATGGCCGTCCAGCACCGGCGTCGCGGGCCACCAGGTCCAGGGCTCAGAAACGTGCGGCGACACTCCACTCATGGCCGGTTCAGCGACGTCACCTACTTCCTGCCTTGGCGAATGATGGTCAGGCGCGGCCTTCGCGAGAAGCGTCTTACGAGAAGGCGCTTGCTGTTGTACCTTTAGCGGACCTTCCTCCTCTTCCGGTTGGTTCATCATCTTGAATACATACCCTCCTTTCGAAGCAAACTTTCCTTCCCTTGGGATGCCTATCGGGAGATTGACAGGACCGACCCAGCCAGCTGCATCTCGTACAGCAGCTTCTTGCACGAGTGCCCTGAACAGCACTTGAGCAACTTTGGTTGGATTGGTCTCAGCAACTGCGGCGTTCTCATGACCGCGAGCGTTCAGCTTCTTCACCCAAAGGCGCACTCTGTGCCTCTCAACAAATGTCCTCACGTGAAGATAACAGCCCAGACCAGGCGACTTACGAAAAGCGTGGATCGGAATGTGCCCGATCTCTCGCATCTTCAACTTGGCCGCCTCTTTTTTAGCAACCGGGAATGTCTTGTCGTCCCAGCCGACGGCGCCCTCCGTGCGAGTATACATGTACGCGATGCAAATCTCTTCCTTCTGTGCCTGGGAAAGTGCTGCCAGTTCCGCTCTCAGCCTGTTGTGGTCGCCGTCCGGCGTCGTCCCGGGCGCAGGAAGGTGTAGCTCGGCACTGCGTGCCGCCTCCGCACCATGGAAGTTGATACTGCCAGCGAAAAAAAAGACGGACAAAAGAGCCAATCCACGCAAGGACGACGCGCGCTCCTTCGTCACACGACCTTCATGCGTACGGCAAAACGAAATAGAGGAACTGCCGTATTGAGGCTGCTGCTGCCCAGAAGTAGCAAGCATTTTCATAAAATGCTGATTGATGTAGATGTAGTAAGTAGCTTAGCGATAGCGCAGCTTCTAGTAGCCACTGTTAACTTCAATTTACTTAAAAAAACTTCAACTTGTGAACTTTATGCTTCTGGTATAGTAAAAAGAATTGTGCACGTTCTTTGTTCCGCCCTCGCAAAAGGATATAAATTATGGTGATAGCACACTTGTGCTGGCCACAAAGACAATTGGAATTGCTTTGTGTTCCGAACGAAATCAAATACTTTTGTCCTATGCTCGAAGCATTGAAGATCTGTTGCCTACGAATTCTATTTTCGAACAGAAAAGAGGACTACTGTTGCTGTAACTTAACTCCACCTACGATTTGAATTTTTTGAGTTTGTGTTTGTCATGAATCTCCAAGCAATATTTTGTGCGGAACTTATTCTACACAGACAACTGTGATAGTGATTGCTGGAAAAAAAATGGAAATACGGAACTTCCCATTGACAATGTAGCTGGTTTGTACGAGCGCCGTACTTAGCACGACCGATGGATTTCGAACTTTATCCAGACAAAACGGAAGACCTTCAACATATTTTCACTCACTTTTCTCGTCCTAGAATTTCGATCGGAAATTGGATTTCGGAAAATAAACCTTCTACCGAAAACAATTCTTCCTGGCACGGCTGGAAGATCGGGAGCCAAGGGATCTAATCTTGGTATTCCGATACAATAATTTACAGGAGCACACCAGAATTAACCCACTGTCACTGATCGTGATCGCATTGGTGATTCTTTTTCAAAAAAACAACTGTGGAGCTACAACTACCTTGAAACATTTCTTCAGACAGATTTCGGATCTTGCTTTTCTATTTTGTACCGACCGGGCTCTAGATCCGATGCCAACACCAGAAGTAGATCTTCTAGGCAGGGTCGGCCCCTTCACAACAGCACTGCAGCCCCGAAGGCGCGCTGCTGCACCGGGGAACACACTGCTTCACATGATGAAATCATTCTCACGTTCACGTTGAGTTCTTGTGCAAACCATTTAGAAAGAAGGTAGATAGAAGAGGACGTGCAGTTGTCTGAATTTCCATTTCAGCCAATAGCAAAAGCCGGCAAAATTTATAGACTGGTCATTTGTAAAAAATATGCAGGAAGAAAATCAACTCGCAGACGAAAGAAGTAAGAGAGCACAAATATGAAGATGGACAATCATGGCGTTGTCCACTATAATTATGAAAAGATCACGATTACCCGCCTCTCCGAAACAGCAAAAGTCGCTGGTCGTTCGTTTGTTTAAAAGGAAACTTCGTAGTAGTACATTAACAAGAGCTACTTGTTTACTGGACTGTAAAAACACGCAGTAAAGACGAGCAGTCGCACTTTTTTCAGAGCAATATCCGCACCACACTTTGTCTTCAATGCGGAGCTGCGGAAAAGTGCAAGAGCTATCGAGAAGTTTGAAATTCACTGTAAAAAATCCCCGGCGAGGGGAGTTTGAAATAAGATGTACGTAGCAGATTCAGATTTCTCATTCACTTCCGAGTGCTTCTAGAACCCCGTCGCTTCATTTATGGTCGTGGTTCACGATCTCGTCTGTCTCCATTCCTCGTACCCTCGCGGGAAGAAGTCCTCCCGCGGGACCTCCCGCGCGGCCTATCTTGCCCGTGGTGCGCGTCTTCTCCTGTAGGCACGCGCTCAGCTGTGCCCGGAGCGGTCGAGGTCGATCGGGATCGGTTTCTCCCCTTTCTCCCAGTGGGCTGGTGGCGTAGAGAGAGATGAGGACCCGGCTTTGTTTGTCTGCTAGCGGGAGCGGTAGTATTCGGATTAAACGTGACATTACGCTTGGGCCGGGAATAGAAAAGGTGCTACTAGATTTCATTTAAACGGAACAATGCACCATGCTGGAAACGCATTGCATTTTTACGCAGAGAGGAATGCGCCTTGCATGGTGCCCGTCATAGGCATAGCTAAAAAGCGGTATTAGATAGAAGTAAAGAATTTGTGGTGTTTGGCAAGGGCACTGGATGGAACGAGATGCATAAATTTTTCTCGTTCCCGGCACAACAACACACTACATGAAATGAATTTTGTATTTCATACGATGTCGCTCTCCTACTTCTGCTCCTTCGACGAGTTGTCCGGCGGCGTGTTCTTTCGCTGTTCTTGCGACTCTGAGCTGATTTTTGTTCCGCCGGCGGAGAACGCTCTGCTGGCTCCTTGACCAGCGGTTGTGACACCATCGTTCTAGATACAGGGCTACTAGCCGCAGACGGCAGCGCCTTATTAGCGAGTTTCTTGGGTCGTGGACGAGATGAACCTGCGAACAAAGGCATGGGCGGGAGGCGTGTCAAATCGATGGGGGGTTTGTTTCCGTCTACTTCGGCAGTATCCGTACGTAGCGGATGAAGCGGCGACAACGTCGACAGCCCCGTAGACTCCAGAAGCGCCGTCTCTTTACTTACTATTTCCTGATGCGAAGCTGGCGAACGGATCTCCTTCGGATCCACAACAAATTTCATCGGATCAATATGGAGGGAAAAATACTGCGCAAATTTATATGAAATTCTACCATTCTTGCTTCTTGAACGAAAATATTGAAGCGAAGTGGTGTGGCGACAAAGCTCAAGTTCAGTTTTAAATTTTACGACGCAACGTGATAGATCTCGTCCTAGCTGAGACCCACAAGGCACGCCACACCACGTGGAGCGGTTGAGTTGACGCGGGATGATGCAAATTTCATTTCTTTCCTCGATCGAGATGATCACTATTATTCCGATTGAATTATCGGTTGGCGCGGGGGCACTTTTTTCCCTCTCGATACGGTACCATGGTTGGTGCGAGGAAGTAGGGTTTTGCCGGCTTTCTTTCCGGTTCGGGGTCAAAAAATTTTTCGAAATCCGGATCGCCCAGGGTGAAAAACCAGGGGTTTGTTGCCCAACTGTTCTTCAGGATCCAGCCGGTTTTGGTGACGGTGTTTCCGTCCGGGCCGGGCACCTTCTCTTCAAAGTACCCCACCACAGCCATTGCATGGGACATGGTCTCCCCCGAAAACGGGTTCGTGCGTACGTCGTCGTAGACCACCATCACAGGCCCAAAGTGCCGCAAGTGGTGCTTGACATCTGCTTCCTTCTCCAGGTAGCGAAACCCGCCAAAAAGCCGCAGCAATGGCACGTCAATCCGGCCAGCATTATCCTGAGTAAAAACATCGACGTCCCCATCCCATCGGCAAGATGGAAATGTGCTACACAAATACAAGCTTTGCTTGTTGCGCATGACAATAAATTTGGGCTCGCTAATATGTCGTCGTCTTTCGTTAGTTTAGCAGCATGAAAGATCTCGCGCATCATGCTGATTCGAGAATCACAAATCTCAAAACATCACTAGAAATAAATGCTGTCTACTCCGCACAAGAAACATTTTAAGCATGCAGATTTGCATCAAAACTGTGGGGACGAGGGGACGTTCATTTCTCGCGGGATAACCCTCGCGGAGGTCCCATTTTAGCGGCTCCTCGTCCGAAATCTGGATTTGCTCGCCTGGAACAACTGCGGGCTCCACGCGAACGTCGTTCTTCCACCAGCTGCCCGGACTCATGACCGTCTCGTCCTCGCTCATTTTCCCGTTGACGTAATACGCCACGCCCGACGTGCGCCGGTTCCGGTCCAGATTGGTGCTCAGCCGCTGCAGGTCGGCGGGGAAACTGACAGCGGAGGCGCCTGTATCCTGTGCAAAAGTATCGTGCTCGTAGTAATTGCTGTTATGCATGACAAATCTCTTTCCCAAGGTAAAACAGCATGACAAATTTCATTTGTAATGCTAAGTCAATTTGTAATGCAATTTATACTAGTACGATGCTTTTGCATTTCATAGCCTGTAGTTTCAAGCAACTGCGCCCGCTCGGCTCTATCCCTCGCGTAGTGCAAGCTGCGGTAGATGGTCGCCACGCTGGCTGCCGCGTAGGCGTAGCAAGTACCCGTGTTCTCCTGGTCGCGCACCGCAAACACGGACTGAAGCAGCTTCTGCCGCACGTCTTCGGTACAGCCCGGACACCCTTCCCGCGTGAACAAATGGTCGCCAACCATGTAAAACTCCTCATCCGCCTCGTGCAAGTGGTCGTCACGTCGGCGAATAAATTGCTGATATTTGTTCCACAGCTTGTACTTGCGCAGGAGGGCTTTCTGGGCCTTGATTTGGCCCTGTTCATCCAATTCGCTAGGAAGAGGAACTGCTCCTCGGCCATGGTCCAATAGGATTTTGCGAAAATCGAAATCCAAGGTGTTGCTGGTGCCTCCGAGAAAATCTGAAGCTATTAAATTGGTCGGAGACGAGCCCAGCGAAGTCAACATCTTAATTTTTTCATACGATCCCCGCAGTGTGCGAAATTTTTGGCCCCCGCCCTTTTCATCTTCGCCGTAAATGGCAAGCCGCCGACTGTTATCCTGTGCAAAAGTAATATCGCATTCGTACTAATTGCAATTACATGACAAATCTTGTCCTGAAGGTAAAACAGCATGACAAATTCCAACTCTCATGCTGAGCAAAATTGCTTGCAATTTGTACTAGTACGGTACTTTTGCAGTTCATAACTGTCCGCCACCCCTTCGACCATGCGACACTCGACAATGGGTTCTACTGCTGATGATCGTGGGCTACTACCAGCAGGAGGAGGCTGATGAAATGTTTGAAAACAGGGAATCGCGTGCAGACTAGAGATAAGCGGCCCCAGATTGAAGTTTCGCAGCACGAATTGCCCGACAACGGTGTGCTTGTGCTTTTCTTGTTGTTGCCAGGCTGCACCATCCCCGGGAAAAAACTTCTCGGTCGCACGTTCCACGGCAGTGGCGAAGTAGTTCATTTTGTGAATATCATCACCTCCACCTGGCATGCCAGCAGCAGCTGTCCCCCATGGTGCCTCTTGCCCCGCCACCAGTACAGGTGGCAGTGTCGGCGCCCACTCGGAGGCGGTGTACTTTCGCTGCAGTGCGAAGCCCTCCAGCGCGTCGCCGGTTTCCGTTGTCACGCGACCGTGCATATGCATTGCAAAAGTAAATCGTATTAGTACGTCTAACTACGTATGAATCGCAGTGCAAATTTGCGAAACGTGATCATAGTGTTGATAAATGGAATTTGTCATGCTGATTTGTCACGCAATTCTGGCATTTAGACAAGTATTGGATACTTTTCTTGGCAATGCGTAGTACAAGTAGCTTGTTCCCGTACCCTGTTTTTCAAGCCGCCCCATGTAGCCCGGCGCCACCAGCATGTCAGCCTGCCACTGCGGCGTGAGCACATCCACCAGAGTTACTGCGGATCGGTGAGGTTCGGTGTAGAAGCTTTCTTTTTCTTCTAGTACCAAACCTTTGGTGTGCAAGAAAACCTTTTGTATTTCCGCCAAGTCCACTTGGAGCCGCTCAGCTTCTATCCACTGGAAATTTCCCGGACACGGAAACCAATGCTGTTTCTGCATAGCAAAACTTGCCCTCAATCTTAGTCAGCATCACAAGTTTGACACTCGTCAAAAGTACATACAAGTAGCGAAATTTGTAAATGCATTTTGTACATGTTCATGATGTACGGGAAATTTGTATTGCATAGCTTCTGCAACCGCCTTAGCCAAAGGCCTGTCCGCGCGCAGCCGATGCAGGTTTGCGAAGGTATACGCGAGATTTGAAAGAGCAAAGTCGTCATCATCATCTCCTGCAGCTTCGAGCCGTTGTGCGTCCAGGTTTCTCAAGGGGTGAAAGCCCCGGATCGCGTTCTTGTGCGCGTGTAGCTGTTGTTTTTTTGGATCAGAAGCCGCGGGGGCGTACGTCCGCTTCGCAATAATGGAAATCTCGTCTCCAGCTTCAGCTGCAGCTGCGAAGAAAATCATGGGTGTTCCTTTCGAGGGCCGGGCGATGTTGGCCGCCCCCTCGATCTCCTGGAAATCGCCGTCGCGCCAATGCCAGTTATGCACCATTGCAAATACGTCTAGGTCTAGGAGTAGAAAGTAATGCCAAATATGGATCATTGTGATAATGTGTGTCTCAAGGTTACGACCCACCACTTTTTTCCGAAGAAAAGGGCGAATTTCATCTTCTCATACCACAGATTTTAGACATTTAGCAGCTGTTCCTCCTGTGCAAAATAAATCTGTGAAGATGCTTCTCCTGTGTCGTGCACTTTTCCAGACAACTATCTGGTAGTTGGGCCAGCACGAGATGCATCATGACAAAAACGAACGCAGCGTAGTACTACAACTCGTCTTACAGGAGACCCAGACAGATCTGCATTTGTGATACCACTTTCGAAAGTACAACGTGTTGTGCTCAGTCGCCGTGCGGGGGACCTGAAAGGGCTGGAACGCGTTCTGCATGACCCATTTCGTCTCGCTTATTCCGGGAATTGGATTATCCTTCGGGTACGCGTAAAGCTCGCTGGTGACTCGAATCTCGTAGGGCACGAGATTTAATATCTCGGCTTGTTGATGCACTTCTCTCACAGCACCACGACGACTTCCCGGTGCAGCCACGTTAAACATTTGCCCAGTCTCGTAGTTTGGTTGCCCCCAGTTCGCACTGACGATCGCGCGTGAAATGTACATTACGCCCTTTTCCGAGTACTTGTACTCCAACACGGCCCCTGCGCCCCTCGGCTGCGCCGCCCGCAAGGAGGCAAAAATCCAAGGAGCCTTATTGGAGCTCATGGTCAGGCCTCCCTGGTAGAAGTATCTCTCCCTGTTTCGATTATATCCGTACCCGGACCGGCTGCGCGAGTCGGGGAGAATCCGCCAGTCGCCTCGGGAGAGGTCTCCTTCACTGAAGATACCCTCTACTTCGTGCTGCTGTACCACAGATACCGCGCGGCCCCTTTCATCAACTTCTTTGACAGGTACCTGGTACTGCAACCACCCCAATCCATCCGGAACAAGGTCTTCCTCTACTTTCGGTTCTTTCGGGTTGTGCAATATCATCTCCCCGAAATACTGCCCACTCAGCGGCTGTTTGGCTTTGGCCACTGTTTCTTGTCCCATTGCAGCTCCTGCTGTGTAGTCATGATTCCACCACTTCACATGCGCAAAATGCACCGCGCCTTCTGGTCCCCTCCCGAAATGATGGTCCACAGGCGCGTACACTGTGTAAATGCGGTGCTGCGCGGCCGCTCCATCATCGCCCCAAAAAGTACGACGACACGTTTCCACCGGACACGGGACAAAGTCCAAAGCATGCAGAAACCTGTGGTGCAGGATCATGGTTCCACCTTGGGCAGGTGGCGGAGCACTTGCGGAGCTGGTGGCCAAAGGCGGGATATTGATCTCGCCTCGTCCACTTGCACCTTTAATTGACACCTCACCGACCCGCTTGCCGAGTGTCACGATTACGTCGAGATCATCGTGAACGCCGTTTATCATGCTGAGTCTCGCGTCCAGGGGCCATCCGTTCTGCCAGTTGGCAGTAGTAACGGTACGACCAAGACTCCGGCGCGGTGCTTGTTCTACCGGCACCTCAAAAGTCTCCACCTCCAACTATGACTTGCTCAGATGTTACAATCTCAAACGTTACAATTAGAGTCTGGATTTTGTGATGCAAAACGTGCAACGCCTGGGCCTGGCCTACTCCCACAGCAGTGCGCATGACGGGTTCTGGAGCCCCAAACTGCACTGAAATCCAGCGCAATTTGTATTGCGAAAAGCGCATGCCTCTCTCTGTTACTCATGTTGGATATGCAAGACAAATCCCAGACTCTATTGCAACGTTTGAGATTGTAGCACCTGAGCGGGTTATACCAACTTCCCCTCTTTGTCCTGCGGTCGATCATTCCACCACTTTCCCACGCTATCATATTGAAAAGCGCCCCTATCTCGCCCCAGAACTACAAAGAAAGGATTTGCATCGCAAAGCTTCCACCGCGGCGCGTGGAGCAGCGTCAGGGTCAGGTATTTGCAGAAATGCAGATTATATAGCAAAAATTTTTTGTGTTGCAAAACTTTCAGAAGTGCTTGTCAATGTCATGCAAAGGTGGATGTTCATTTATTTTCATACAGTCTAGAAGAAATTGGATCAGCGTCTGCTAAGATCGACGTATATATAATTTCGTGCATAATTGGAATAAAAAAATTTTTTTCTTCAAGAACAATCTTATGCATTACAAACGTTTCCAACGACTCGTGCTGGAGGTGGAAGAGGGGCGCTTTTCACCGGAATACTCGTATCTGGTCCTTTCGATATACTCGGTCCCATCGCTGCGGTATGTACGCGTCTCCATCGTAAATGTTCCGCGGCCGTTTCGCACAATCCGAGCGCCTATCCATTGCAAACATGTCTGAATCTGGAAACAAGGTAGTACGACAGCAGAGGCGTGACACAACAATTTCAAATCTGTTGTGCTGTTGCATGTTGACGACCAACAGTTACCCACATCGTTTCCATTCCTGCGACGCAAGAAGCGATTTTCTCAAGTGGGAGACGAGGCATTGCAAAGCATTCGCAACAGTGGCTTTCGTCCGCGGCATAATTCCAGACTTATCCTATGTGGTCAACAAAAAAGAAGCATGACAAACAGTCGCATTGTTCTTCTAGACGCAGATCGATATAATTTGCATTTGATAGTTCCGAGATAGAGCTCTAGCGCCTTCCTTGCGCTGGACCCCTCGACGCGTTCAATCTGGGCACCCACGTCGCCCAAAAAAGAACATGGGGCGGCATCGCCGTCGCAAAATTTTTCCGCGCGGCGAGCAGCTGCAATTTTCGCCCCCGTGGAGAGGGGTTCGGTGTCTCTTTCAGCTTCCCGCCCAACTTTGCGGTACACCTCCCCGGTGTGCAGCTGGTCGGGCTGCGTTGCGTCTGCGTGCCCGACCCCGGGGGCTGCGTACGGTAGGTAGACCACATCTCCTTGGTAAAAACATCGGGTTTCGCGGAGCCGAAAGGAGGCGGTCCTCGTAGTAGTTCCTTGTTGGCCTTCAGAATCAGAAGTAGTTGATGTTGAGAACATAAATTCAGCGTCGGCGATGCTGAATTTGTCCGGTTCATTGTCTGGATTCAGCTGCTTGTAGAGCAGGTTTTCCGCGCGGATTTTCGCATTCATGTCCGGCAGCAGCGGCAGAAACTCGCAGGGCCAGTCGAAGGACAGCGGGCCCTTGATCTGTCCGCCGTGGACGCTAACCTTGGACTCCAGGATCGGGACCTGCACGTAAAACTTCTCGTGCAGGAGCTCCTGATCAACTACAACACCAAGAACTGGCCGCAAGAACCACCCACACCAGGGGTAGTACGCCGCCAGGAGGGAAGTAGAACCGAGGTAACAAAAAAGTCGACACATCTTCTTCACCAGGATGCTGTGCATAGATGTGGTCAATCAGAATCAGTCGCTTATGGTTATGACAAGGGTTCCAAGGTAGAAAAATGAGATAAAGATATGGATATCAATCACAACTGCATACTTACTTTGTTTCGCGAACAAAATCATACAACGAATCGCCTTACTCACTGCACTTGCAGTGCCCTCGGGTGAGGAATGAGACAAAGAAGAAAAATAATGCTGGGAACAAGTTGTACTTCTAATTTTGGAAATTCACTGAGAGTGAGAATATTACACGATTTTCGGATACCAGGCAACACCTTGCCGATAATAAGCCCACAACTTATACATTCATCCGATTCCGAGCACATCATCGACATAGCATAGACATACACTCAAAACAGGGATCATCGAAGGAATTTGGAGAAAGTCAAATGATCTGCCGTCCTTCGTAGGAGCTCCGGTCATTCGAAAATAGCTGCCCTCATATTTTTCTTGACCGATATAGGAGTATATTTTTCTTGTCCGATAGAACCGGTTCCGGTCACAACCACCGAGGTAGACGTAGAATCGTATGCGGCTACGGACCGAATCAGGCAGACCGAATCACACCAGTACAGATCGTGTACGGCTACGGACCGAATCAGGCAGACCGATGTATAATCTTTTCGAGCGTGGTATTATCATTGTGAACTACAGTCGTGCACAACCCTGATGTTGATGAGGGCGATGTTGCTTGAACTAGAAGAGATCTTGCATTAGCAATTAGCATTGGCGCAAACAACGAATAAAAAAAAGAACACGACTTTTTCAATGGCTATTACCCTCCAGCCGGTTGAAAACTTTCGGAGGATCGAAAACAATCGGACCACCTGGTGCTGCACGGAATTCCTAAAAGATTTCAGTCCCTCCTGGTAGTTCTGAATTTCGAAACACTTCGAATATTCAATAAGGCGGTCTACTTCTTTGTCATCTTTCCATCTGCTCCTACTGTAGGAGCGGATGGAAAGAAGTAGACCATCCCTTGTAGGAGTCCTAGTATACAAGGGAAGGACTACTACAACTCCGTTGGTCTACTTGGCAGCTGCCCCGGAAAATCGATACTACCTTCTCGCTTGCTTCCTCTACAACTTTCTCATGTACACCTCGTACGAATAAAAAAGTACTTAGAAGAAGCAAGTTGTATTTCTAATTTTGATTTTCGTTATTTCGTCACGAGACGAGACGAAAATACTAGTGCATACTGTGCTGGACGGCCGAGTAGAGTGTTCCAAAATTGGCGTAGAAGACACACGCCCTCTGTAATTCCATTTCATAGGCGTCGGTCTGCTGCCTCGTTGTTCGCTTGGTGCTTCTGTTCCAGTTAGACAGCCTCGCTCGCAGCTTGGTCGTGTGCTGCTTTCTTCGCATCCGGATCAAAAACCTTTCCTCCTGGAAGCGGTAATAAAACTCGAGCTCTCTTCTTTCGTCCTGCCAAGTCATCTTCAGGTGGATGTTGTATCAGAGGAGGCTCGGTGTTCTCGGTTCTCCTCGGTGCTGGCCCCGCAGGTCGTGGATAGTCCCCGACCACGCCGCCCACTAGGTTTGCTGGCGGAAAGGCGTGAAAGGGAGCCTCGTTAGGTGGGAAGGGAGGTAACGAAGTTCCCTTTCGCACTCCAGCTTCCACCTTCTTCCATGCAAGACGTCTTCGCTGCTCCTCCGCTTTCGCAGCTCTAGCCTTTTGGTCTTCTTGTACTAGCTGCGAGCTATTCAATGTTGATGTTCCGATCTTGGGTTCATGTGTAGGTTTGTCACCACTTGTGTCTACATGCGGGAGGTCCCCCGCCGGACGGCGAGGAGGCACATCAGAACTGCTTCCCGGCTTGTTCGACGACCCCGGCGATGTCCCGGCTGTATGCACGCCAGCCGGGTCTCCTGTCGGGGGCGGCGGCCCCTGAGCTGCCGGCGACCACCAGTTTTCGTACAACGCATGCTCTGGCGGACTTCCTCCGGGCGCCGGCGGCGCCGACCATGCAGCTGCACCCGGAGGCGGATAGTACAAGCACCCAGGAGAGTTGTAAAAATGCTGAGAAGAAGGCGGCGGCTGGTAGTGCGGCGGGACGACCATGTGCGGAGGCGCAGGAGGTCCACCTGGAACGAAGTGTTGAAAATGCGCTCCATATAATTGCTGCTGCGGCGGTACTAGAAGTGGTTCTTGCGGATACAACAATCCAGGATGCGCATGTGAAGATCCACCTTCAGTTTGAACAGTATGCCGTGGTCGCTTGCCTTCTTGCTCCCCACGACGATCCTCTTCATCTTCATCTTCTCCGCTGTCCCGCTCCGATCCAGATGATAATGGAGAAAGATCGACTCGGCCGCGTTTTCTTTTGTTCCGCCTCCTCTCGTTCCTCTGCTGCGCTCTACTTTTATCCTTAGGCAGCGGAATTCGACGGAGTAGTAGGCGTCTGGCGCTTTCTGTGCTCTTCCACTCTTGAAGCCTGGTATAATCGTTGTCCTCAGGATCTCGCTTGTGGAAAATGTACCAGTCTCCACGCCCCGATTGCACCGGACCGACCCAGCCAGCTGTGTCTGGTTCAAGTCGGTCCTGGACTGCGCCCAAAAGCAGAAACGCAATTTTGAGGGGCGACTCGTCCTGAACTATGGTGTTCGTGAGCTGCAATCGACCATCATTCGTCTTCGTCAGCTTTTTGCTCCACAGAGACAGCTTCCGTTCGGTAACAAGGTCCTTCAAATACGCAAAGCACCCTAAAACTGATCTATCCGCGTAAAATCTGTGCGGAATTTTGCCTTCCGCTGCTAGGAGATTCATCTTCTGAAGAACCTCTCCCCTGACATCGAAATTTTCGTCGTCTCCGAGGATCTTCGTACGAATGTGCGTGGTGCAAATCTCTCCCTTCTCTTCGTGGGATAGTGCTGCCAGTTTTTGTTTCAGCGTAGTTGTTTCATCGTGGGTAATATTCGTGGTCCACCCGTGCGCGGCAAGCTGCGGCTCGGCACTGCTTGCCGCCTCAGCAACGTTGAGAGGACTGCCGACAGAGCAAAGCATTACGGACAATACTAAAGCTCGAAAGGAGGTCGTCGCGCGCTGCTCCTTCGTCGTAAAACTTAAACGGCGAGAGGAACTGCCGGGAGGCTGCGTGCGAAGCATCTTCATTTTCGTACAATAGATTTTCAGTGCTACTAGCGGCGAATTATAATAGATGATTTTAATTTAGTTACAACTTGTTCTACTTCAAGAACACCCTTGTAGAAGTCGTTCAAAAACTTATGGGGAAAAAGTTTTCTCTCCAAAAACGATGTTAAATGCAAAATTGATGTCGATTTCAAGCACAACGGCGCACTTCGATAGATACTTTAAATGAGTCCAAAAACTTTAAACCTCAGAATACAACTGCAAAAGCAATATCTTTGTTGATATTGCCTAACTACAAATAAAGTGCGACTTACGGATAAAATTGCTCAACTTCTGACTTCTGTGTACGTAGTAGATGAAAACAATCCAACACGACCAGAGAAATGCTACAATAAAAGGTTTTCAGTGTGGCCCACACTAATGAACCACGCAACAGTCGTTCATCTTGCTCCGGAAAAAGAATTCTCTCATCTCCTTGATGGAGGCGAGCAGTTTTTTTGTGATCTCTTTTTCGATCTCTTTTTCGTTCTTTCCGACTTTGGGTAAAATCTGTTGAACGACAGAGGCTCACCGATAGAGGATCTTACACATGACCATGCATCGCAGTACCATTTCGACGACCCCTTTGGTAGCAGAAAGCAAAAAGGTGGATCTTCTCGATTTATTTGATTTTCTTCATGAGGATCGGTTCTAGTTGCAAAGACCTTTTGCTTTTCATACAATCCGAGTTTCGGTTTCGGATCTCGCTTTACTTTCGGATCAATGATCGTGCAGAAGTTTCACCTCATCGTCCTGTCATCGATTTCGGGAAAATTCCGGGGGTTGCGCGATGAATTTACCTCCTCCATCAAGGATGAGGTCAACGTATGCGTGTATGATAATTGACGCATTCTTTAATATTCTCGATGGTGGTGCATCGTCACTGCTCCGTCGTCAGATGAAGATGTGTTTGTTTCTATTTTGGCTGTGCACGAGGCGCCGGCGTTCGTTTCTACAACGCCGGCGTTTATAGATTTCAGTCCTTTCTGCTTCTGGTAGTTGTGAATTTCGAAACTGCAGTTCGAAGATTCAATAAGGCAGTCTACTTTGGATGCGCTCCACCTACAGGAAGGGAAGGACTACTACAACTCCAGTGCTCCTCTCGGCAGCTGCTGCCCCGGAAACGGGATAATGCTGCTTTCTTGTTTGCTTCTTCGTACAACTTGTTTCTCAACATCTTCTCGTATAGGAAGATGTAGAAGAAGCTATCTTGATATTGATTTTCGTTTCGTACGCGTACCGACGAGACGAAAATACTCGCGCATACTCCTTTATTTAGGTTCAACTTTAAGACGATCATGTTGATATCGTCTAGTTATCATTCACTTCACATAATTTCTTGGACCTATAGTACCATCAATTTGTCTTTGCTACAATGTAGCGGACGACCCCGCTGCATACTTAGATCGAAGCTCAAGCTACTCCTTGCCGCATCTCGATCACCCACATCTAAAATTTTTGCCTTGCCTGGTGTCTTTCTTCGCGTTTGCATCCGGACGCAACAACACATGGAGCACAAGCGAGGGTACTTACTTACGGTGCCAAAATGTTTATAGCGATTTGAATATAACTATATAGAAAGCAAAATGCCAAAGAGATTGAAGTGCTTCGGTATAGTCAAAACCCCTGATATAGTACAGCAAAACGGGAATAGTCAAAACCCCTGATATAGTACAGCAAAACGGGAATCATAGTCAAAACGGGGATAGTGCAGCGCAATAGTCAAAACCCCTGGCAGGTCAGATACAACAGATTTCGGTTTGTGCGTTACGCGCCCGCCACCGTACCATTAGGGTGCGGGGCCGGCATTACGTGCCCGCCGCCGTACCATCCTCGGGGGCGTGCTGTGGTAAATTCCCCCTAACCCTGGTGGCGGGCGGACGGGAGGCACCTCCGACGATTCAGCTGCACCTGGACCAGGCGGGTAGTAGTAGTTGAGCCCATGGGACATCCCACCTGGAGGCGGGTAGTTGTTGTAGCTGAAGGTCATCCCATAGGGGAACGGGAACCACCCATAGTTGTTGTAGTAGTTGTAAAAATCCTGCTGATCAGGAGCAACTGGCCGCATCTGCGACTGGTCGTGGGGGGTATCAGGAGCAACTGGCGGCATCTGCGACTGGTCCTGGGGGCGTGCAAGAGCAAGAGCTTCTTGCCCGAGCTTCTGAAGCTCGCGGGTACTGGGCTTCTCTGCGTAGTCCCAGCAATCTCGCTTGCGGAAAGCATACATACGCTCCTTTTTTTTGCGTGTAACGTTGACGGGACCGACCCAACCAGCTGGATTTGCTACACGTTGTTGCAGGACTGCACCGAGAAGCAGCTGAGCAATATAAAATGTGTGGGACGACAACTCGTAAGGAACTATTGTGTTTTCCTGGCCGTCAGTCCTCAGCGTTCCCACCCACAGGCACAGGCTTTTATTCTCAACAAATTCCTGCGCGTACGGATAGCAATGCAGATTAGATTTCTCAAGAAGAAGCTCAGGCGGAATGACGTCCCCGAGCCCGATCTCTTGCATGAGCTGCTCCGCGGCCGCCGTTTCACCACCCGTGCGTTGCAGTTGCCTGTCGTCCTCGTGCCCGATCTCTTGCATGAGCTGCTCCGCCGCCGTTTCACCACCCGCGCGTTGCTCGTCGTCCTCGTCTATCAAATGCAAAAATGTCTGGGTCTGGAACAAAGCAACTTGTCATGCTATAACTGAATCATGTAAACATCTGTGTTGCATGATTACCAAAAGCTGTCCACTTTTGATCTAATCGAGAGGCAGTTTCTAATGCAGGATAGGCATGATAGAACTCGCACAGAATCTGTCATGCTATGTCCTCCATATCAGATCCCATGGGTCATGGAAAACCTGCATGACAAGTCTAGCATTCTTCCAGACGCAGACATTTTTACAATCCATATCGTCCCGGAGAATCTTCGTACGATATATGTACGCGTTGCAAATCTCGCGCTTCTGCTTTTCAGAAAGTTTATGCAGTTCCGCTTTCAGCTTCTCGTAGTCGTCTTCCGGCATCCACCCGGGCCGTTCTTGCTTGTTGTTGTTCCTCCGCCTGCTCCTCTTCGCATTGGCTGCAGCGTTGTAGAAGTTAGCCAGCCCACCTTTCGTGGCGCTTTCCGGGGGGTGCCAGTTTTGAAGATTGCTAGAGTTCTCGTCGCTAGGGTCTCGCTTCTGGAAAACGAACCACTCTCCACCGGACTTCCCACGTGGCACCGGACCGACCCAGCCAGCAGTGTCTGGTTGAAGTCGGTTCTGGACTGCCCCCAGTAGCATGTGCGCAATGTCGGATGAATCGAAGGACGAATCGTCCTGAACTGTGGCGTTCTCGAGCTGCACTGGACCCTCGTCTGTCATCTTTATCTTCTGGGTCCACAGAGACCAGTTGCGGTTGCTAGCAAGGGCCTTCAAATACGAGTGGCACCCTAGAACAAGTTTGTAGTTGTAAAACACGGGCGGAATTTTAATTGTGCCGTCCTCCATGAGTGTCTCGAGGCTCTGCACCGCTGCGGTGGTCGTCCCTTTGCTTTTTTCGTCGACCTCTCCGAGGATCTTCGTACGAAGGTGCGCGGTGCAAATCTCCTCCTTCTCCTCGGGGGATAGTGCTGCCAGTTTCGCTTTCAACAGCTCACCAGTTTCATCGTGGGCGATGCCGCGCGCGGCATCGGCAAGCTGCGGCTCAAAACTGCTTGCCGCGGCCTCAGCAACGTTGAGAGGACTGCCGGTAGACCAAAGCATGACCGACAACACCAACACTCGCAAGGACGTCGCGCGCTTTTTCGTCGTAAAACTTAAACGGCGAGAGGAACTTCTGCCGGGAGGCTGCGGGCGAAGCATCTTCATTTTCGTGCAGTGAGGTTTTACTTGTAGTGTGCTATTTCTAGCGGCGAATGATAAAATATTTTATATTTAGTTACTTCTACTGCAGGAACACCCTTGTAGAAGTCGTTCAAGATTCTTTCTGGCGGAAAAATTTCCTCTTTCAAAACGATATTAAATGAAAAATTGATGTCAATTTATTCAGATTCAAGCACAAGAACGGCAGCACACTTCAATAAATACTTCAAATGAGTGGTCCAAAAACTTTAGAATACAACCCCAAAATAGGCAATATCTTTGTTGATATTGCAAGTCTGATTTTGCTACGGTTACGGATAAAGTTCGTTGCTCAACAACTTCTGACTTCTGACTTCTCTGTACTAATAGATGGAAACATAAACAGTCCAACATAAAACTACTAAAGAGGTTTTCAGTGTGACTCACACTAATAAACCACGCAACAGTAGTTCATCTTGTTCCGGAACAAGAATTCTCTCATCTCCTTTATGAAGGCGACCAGTTTTTTTGTGATCTCTTTTTCATTCTTTTCGGCTTTATCGGGTACAATCTGTTGACCGACAAAGGCTCACCGATAGAGTTGGATCTTACACGTGACCCTCGTAGTACCATTTCGATCCATCTGGTAGAAAAAAGCAAAAAAGATCTTCTCGATCTTGATTTTCTTCATGAAGATCGGTTCTTGTTGCAAAGACCTTTTGCTTTTCATACGATCTGAATTTTGGTTTCGGATCTCGCTTTACTTTCTATCTTGGAAAAATTTCATCACCGTCCTGTGATCGATTTCGGTAAAATTGCGGAGGTTACGCGAATAATCAAACCACCAGGGTTAAATCAGTTGTCAAATCCAAGAACGAACTCAGCAGCTTGTATGACGCAATCCCGTCGATCTTTATTTCCGATGGTGTTCTTGGTGGTGCACTGCCACTGCATCGTCATTCTTATTGCTCAGTCGTTAGATTTCGATTTGTTTGTTTCTATCTTGGCTGTGCACGACGAGGCGCTGGCGTTCGTTTCTACATAAGCAGGATAGGGACAACTACACTCGTCCATACGAAACATGGTGTAGAAGAGGACGAAGTGCGAAGCCAGCTCATGTGTAAGTAGCTCCGAGCAGGTGCTGCTCAGATATCTTCTCATCTGGTTCGTTGGCCATAGAAATCTTGATCCTCTCTAGAATCGACTTTTACTTTACTCTAATACTATTTCATGAAACGTCTACAACTTTTATTTCGCGACCACTTCAGGAGTGCAGAAATTCAATATTCGCGACTGCTAAAAAAAGATTTGATTTGTCATGAGTTGTGGGTAGATAATGGAGGATGAAGATCTTGATTTCCAGCGTATACGTAAGAAAACTTGCTGGACATTATACTGGCTCATCTAATCTTCGAGGTCTCTACTCCGCCTTGGGAACTTGGCGGCTCAACTACAAAGTCTGGTGCAAAATGTAGTATCATCTGGATGTTGTACTTGATGGCGCAGACTTCTACAATCAAGTTCTAAGGAGTTCTCAATATTTTTCATACTTCTAGTAGCACATTTTATCGTCGATAGCAGGTGTAGTTGAAAAGATATAATAGACAAGAATGGATTTTACAACTCGAAATACATCGATAGAATGTCGACGCAGCCCGGCAGGCGAGCCAGCAGCGCATTGCCCCTCTTATGGCTAGCTGGCGGGCGCCTTACCCAGACGAGGAGAGGACGAGGGCGCCTCCTTACAACCCAAAGCGGCAAGGCTTTTCGCACACAGCTCCCCACACACGAAGGGGGCTGCGGCGGAGCAGAGGGCCGTCGTGTAACGTGCGTTACACGATGGCACGGCGGTGGCAAGCTTTTTGCAACGTGCGCAAGCGTGCATATAGGCAAGGACATGCCTCTGAAATTAAAGCGGCCGCCACGGGGAGCACTATTGACACGGCCGGGAAGGCACAAGTGAAACAGAGAGCCGCCGTGTAACGTGCGTTACGCGATGGCGCTGCCACAGCAGCTCATTTGCGCGAAGTGCACAAGTGTGCAAGGAGACAACGAAAAGCCTCTGGAATTGAAGCCACCAGCGGGCGGTCCCTGCGGCCTGTCTTCGCGGCCTGGTTTGGGCAACTAGCAAGGAGAAGGCGCGCGCGGCGCCGACACACCGAAGCCTCTGCCGGCGCAAAATGTTGGCGCGGCGCATAGCATTTGGGGCCGACCCCGGGGCGACCTCAGTGCAGCAGCCCGGCTCCGTTTCGCGGAGTGCGACACTGGGAGCACTTGTTAGCTTCGCAAGACCACTCCATCTTGTGCCTGACAGGCTCTGAAATTCCAGAGGCGAAACATCCGCGGCGAAGTACTGCGCAAGTTCTGGACGGGCCCGGCGACCCGGACCCTACGACCCCCGCTTTCGGAGTAAAAGAATGGATTTTACAACTCGAAATACATCGATAGTCCGATTGTTATAGTGAATAACTCGAAACAGGTCACCACGGAAGATTTTCTCGCAACATTAGGATGGTACCTACTAGTAGGGGCATATTACTAGAAGATAGACATTAGTGCAACTTTTTTTTATTTCGATGGGTACTACGAGGCTTTCTACTATACAAGTGATTTCTTCACGAAATGCTGCGGCTGCCGCTGCGTTCTGAGTTTTGAATGACGTCGCACCTCCTTTTTTACTTGCGGAAGTAGATTCACAGGTTATCCAGATCCTCTTCGTACAGTGGCTCGGACCGGAACGTGGGCACGACGTTCGGAAACCTGGGCACCGCCTATAAAAGTGCACAACTCGTCCCCCTCATTTGCATGGCATGAAGAACAGCAATACAAACACCAGCGCAGATGGAGCCTATGCATGACAAATCTATGCACCTAATGTAGTACTTTTTGGGGTTCCGATTATATTCGTTATGCAAACAGTGCCACAAGGCAGCGACTGGATTTATGCAAATTGCATGAGAAATGAGAACGAGGGGGAGTTGTGCACGGTCATACCGCCGCCCCGTCCGACCGGTCGTCCGCGGAGGGCGGCAAGGGTTTTGGCATCACGCACGCGGTATCAACTGCAAAAGTATCGCACTCGTACTAATCGCAGTCATGCAAGACAAATTTCTTTTTTAAGCTAAATGAGCATGATAAATTCCATTTGTCATGCTGACCTAATTTGTATTGCAATGCTACGAGTACGATACTTTTGCAATTCATACGCCGCACCCTCCTGCTGACTGCGTTTCTCGAACTCCATGCGCGATCGATCCACCATATCGGAATAGCCACGATACAACTTATGGGTGCGTCAGGATTGAAATCGTCAAAGTGGAAATAACTTGTAATGCATAAAATGGATACCAGTTGGAAGCCCAATTTCTAAGCGGTGCATGACAAATTTTTCGAGCACCAGAATCCAATTTGTCATGCTGTTTGGGCACAGACGACTGCTTTTGCCATGCTACTTTAGCAGCTCTATTTCAAACTCTAAACAGGCTGACAGTCGGCCTCACTTGCCATCCCGGCAAGACAGGCACTTCATGCCTTGCATTTTATGCATGACAAATCATTTAAACTTTGTCGATTTCAAACCTGACGCGTCCATACAACTTCGATTCCACGTAAAACAGCAGCATGTTCACTGTGTCCAGCCCCTGGGCCATGGTCTTCTCAAACGTGGCCAGCTTTTCGTTCAAAGTGTGCATCGTCAGATTGGTTTATCGGGGTGGAAAACTACTACTTGTTCCCCTCAACTTTGTGGTATGAACAGCAATGCAAACACCAGCAGACATGCACATGGAGCCTGTGCGGCATGACAAGTTCGTGTGCCTAGTACAACTGTAGTACAAGTGTTTGGGTTCCTTCATCCGGAATCTGTCATGCAAACGGTACAAGAAGTAACAAGAAGGCGAAGGCTGGCACAGGCAGCATTTGCATTTTGCATGACAAATGAGGGGGACAGAGATGTGGTGTTGTGCACTTCCATATGGTCGCGTACATATCCTTCGCCTCCGCGTCGTCCACCGAGTTAATGCGCAGTGCTGCCCCCATGAAGTCCTCAAAGCGGACACTTCCCTTCTCTTCGACGTCCAGGATGTCGAAGAGTTCCCGGGTCATGTTCAAATCGAAGCCCACATCCTCTTATCAAGTGCAAAAGTGTCTGGGTCTGGAAGAGTGTAGACTTGTCATGTTGGAAGGCTAAGGGCAGGGCGTCCCATTCGTTTACTTGTCATGCAGATTTTCCATGACCCATGAGGTCTGGAATGCGGGACTTAGCATGACAGACTCTGCGAGGCCTTGCTAGCCATGCCTATTCTGCATGAGAAACTCCGTTCCAACTTGGTCAAAAGTGGACAGCTTTTGGCACTCATGCAACACAGATTTTTGCATGCTTCAGATTTACCATGACAAGTTGCAATCTTCCAGACCGAGACATTTTTGCAGTCGATACCTCTAGCCGAGCCCGCATCGCGCCGTTGTCCTCATTCAGCAGGAAATTCCACTCCGGCAGGGAGATCATGTTGTCGTGATTTGTGTCGCCGGCCTGGGGTGAAATGATTCAATCCACTTTTTGTTTTTTTCCTTTTTCTTTTTCATCTTTTGACGACGAATCAATATATTGAAATGTCTGCTGGTTAGGATCACATGCATCTATACCTACGAATAGTTTCAATTTTTGCAAAAATAATTTGAATACCGTAAGAGCGACTTTCAATTCTTCCATTCTCTCTATCCGGATGATGCCTTGCTGGATCTCCTTCTGTGCGTGTCTCGCTTTCCCAAGTTTCAGCGTCTCCGCAACCACCACAGAAACCACGATGTTCAGTAACCCATACCAGCAGACCATGATGAAGAAAATCCACAACACGATCAGTGCGGGCTGGTTGTCCGTCACCGGCCTGACCACTGTGGACGCCCAGTCGCCGCCTTTTGTCGCGAGCACGATCAGTGTCTGCATGGTGGTCCCGGAGGAACCAAAGTAGTCGCGCCAATCCCAACCGGAAAGCTTTCGGTACGGGGCATAAATCTCGCGCTTTTTACCTGTCATGTGGTTCTTCTATGAGATGAATGCGCATGCTGTTGCACTCAGGACGTCAATCCTAAAGTAAACATTTAACATAGGTTTAACTTGCTGAAGAACGACCACATACGTATTACTACCATAACCATGCTAAGCATCGCATTGATTTGCATTTTTTAGAAATCAAAATTATGATGACCGTGCTATGCACAAGCGAAGCAAAATCGAGAGACATCAGAAAGAGAATAAACTGAGCGTATCTATAAGTTGTACCAACGATGACTGTGAAGAGAATCCCGAAGAAGTAGATCAGCATGAGAAACAAACACAGCACGGTCCCGACCGCCGGGAGGCTCGCGACGTAGGCGTGGGCGATCTTCATCAGGTGGTTGAAAACCGGAAACAGACTCAGCAGCCGCCCCAATTTCACCAGCCGCAAGGTTCGAAACACGGTGAACATGCTGTGTGGGTATAATTATTGCGGGTTTGGAGAACAATAATTCATTCGGAAAGGGAAAATAAGCATCCAATGCAAACCATACGCATCAACCTCAAGCAAGGTCAACACTAAAAAGCAGCACCCGCGAGTGGAGTTATCACCAGGGGCACATCCACATAACAATGGCAAAAAAAAATCAAATCCCAGACACAAGTCTGCTTATCGGTCCAATCGAACATCAAGCGGCGAATTTATTGAGGCATTTCGATCGGGCAAATCTGACTTCATCCATGCTGTCAGCCTGAATGTAGTGAGTACAATGGCAAAAAAAAACTTTGCCAAAGACAATCTGAATGTAGTGAGTACCGCAATGCGCCGCCACTCTCGGGCGCGAAGGGGGCCAGTATGAAGGTGTCGATGCAGCCGAGAAACACCACGAAGCCGTCGAAGAGCGTGAAGGGGTCCTTGAACAGGTTCTTCCCGTGGTAGCTGTAGCGGTAGTAGAGTTCGCCGAGAAAAATGAGGAGGAACACGACGTCAAATGTGTACCAGTACCAGTCTATGCACTGCAAATATAATTTCTGGGTCTGGAAGACTGCAAGTTTGTCATGCCCACTCGTAATTCTGTCATGTTGTATGAGCACGAAAAGATCCTCTTGCCATGCAAAAACGCAGTTCGTCATGCGCAACACGAATAATGACATAAGTAAGTAGCAGATCGAAAACTTGTCATGCCTGGCTTCGTATAATTGCAGTGTGCCCTGCCCACCATTAACAGGTTTGCATCACAACTTTCCAGACCCAGACATATTTGCAATGTGTACAGTCCCCGTCCAGGGCCGCCACGGGTTGAATACTGGTCACCTCGCCCCGCCCCGGACACTGCTCCCCGCGGGGGCAACACGTCCCCGCGTCGTCGCACTGCTTCACGTTGATGTCGGTCTGCAGCCAGATGAAAATCGTGTTCAACACAATGAAGAACGTCATGACTAGGTTAAACTTCACCGCATCGGGGGGCAAAGGCGTTTTGTTCTTCTCTTCGTCGGGAGTCAGGTCGATGCTCTTGTACTTCAGAATCAGCTCCATCGCCACGTCTTCGGGCTTGCGGCTGGAAGGTGGAATTGCCGTGTTGTGAATGTTGATTGTAGTGTTGTTCCATGAGATGTGGATGATGTTCATGTTTGAGAACTGAAAACATGCCAAACCCAAAACATGCTGAATCAAAAAAAAAAAACTTTTTTTATCGAAGCAGTACTGTCCCTGCTCCTTCAGTTTGGCTTTCCTCCTCTGCCTCGCCGCTTCCGCACGGCGGGAAAGCCAGCCGCTTTTTTTCCTTTCCGGGACTAACGCATACAGGTCGGCGTAGAAGCTTTTACTCGACGACATCGGCTTGTTATTTCTACTGCCGCCTTGGAAGCTCTCCTTCGAGCTTGTTCTGCGTGTAGAGGACGCAACAGAACCCTTGGAACCCTGCCGGAGCAGAATGCCTGTTATATGTAAAAATTCGTGCGCGAAAACGAAATCTAGTGGTATTTATTCACATGACATCCACATCGGCATGAGAATCTTCAACTTCATCTTCCTGCAGTGCTGGACGAACCAAAAAATAACAGAAAACCGCAAACAAGGAGGAAAGCGAGACCAGGCAGTTCGGTGCAAATCGATGAGAACAAGTCGAAACAAATCGATGAGAACAAGTTTATTCAGTAACAGTACCCCCATGCAAGTCGTCCTTCATCCGGTATTTGTTTCCACCGCTTTTACTTGCTTCGCCACCACTGCTATTGGCACCACCACCCCGTCTTGAGGAGGACCCCCTCCGGTCCCCCGCACTATCCGCCGAGCTGCCCCGGCGGCGACTGGCGCTCCGGCGCCGTTCGTCGTGGGAAGAGGAGAGGGAGCCGGATGAGGTTGACCGTCTGGGCTTCGATTTGCTCTTGCTGTTCGGATATGCATTGCAAAAGCGTATCGCACTCGGAATCGCACTTGACTAGTACAGGTCGCATTTGCAAATTTTTTTTCAAGTCTAATTCATTTGTAAAACGGCTGAATTTACTAGGTCGAAAAATACTGGTCGTCTGCTGTGCTGTACTGCGATTCGTACGATTACGACTACACTTATCTTTTGCGGTGGATATCGTGCTGAGCCGCTTAGACGAGGAGCCGTACCCGCGGAGAAGCTTCTGCTGCATCAGCGAGGCTTTGGATTGTTGTTGGTCGAGCTGTTTCGCTTTCAGCATGTTGGTTGTGAACGCCAGGTGGGCGGCGCCGGTGTCGAAGACTTCGCTGTCGTCGTCCTCGTTGTCTTCATCGGAGGTCTCCTCGAGTTCCTCAAAACTGATCAAATATTTCTCCTCGAACGCATATGGAAGCGTCAGGTTTGAAATCGTCAAAGTTCAGTTGAAATAATTTGTAATGCATAAAATGCATGGCCCGAGGTGCGTGTGTTGCAGAGCAGGCAAGTGAGGCCGATTGTAAGCCTGTTTGGGGCTACAGCTCGAGCTGCTAAAGTAGCATGAGAAAACCACTCTTCTTTGCCTAAACAGCATGACAAACTGGATTTAGGGACCACCGAAATTTGTCATGCGCCACTTGGAAACTGGGTTCCAACTGGCATCCATTTTATGCATGGCAAATTATTTCAACTTTGTCGATTTCAACTCTGACACATCCATAACGCATACCAGTGTTGCTCCAGCTTGCCCGTCACCGTGCCGAAAAAACTGGAAGTCATGTCGTAGAGCGGCTTGAAAATAGCGCGGATCTGTGTGTAGATGTAGTTGTATCAGTAGTGACAAAGCTTTTAACTTTATTTAGTGTCTCTCATTTCATATTCATATTCATGTTCATCGCGGAGCACAGAAGAAACACGAATATCACTGTTGTTGTACCAGCATGACCGGCCAGAGGTTGCACAAGCATTCCCTCGAACAGCATCTTCTCCGTTCCGTTTTCGCTTTCGAAATCGGAAACGCAAACAGCGACTTCTTGCTGTGCCCGAATTTCCCCGTGAAGGGCTTGTAACTGTCCTTACGAATCGTGTCGTCGTTGTCTTCGTCGTCGAGTGCTTTTTCTGTGCCTGAAATGCTGTTCCTTCCGCCCGGAAAGGCGAAAACCGACATGCGACTGAAGGCGGTGGTGGCTATCCACAAAAAAAGAGCCATCCCCATCCATCTTTTGCATGACAAGAAATACTGGGTTTGAAATTGATGCATGTTTTGCATGACAAATTGGATCATGGGAGTGATTCCTTTTTTGTGGATAGCAACCGGGTTTTTCCTCCAGGAAAAGAACAAGCCCGAGCCTTTTGACGGCGAGTTTGCTCTACTATCTGCGTCTGTTGATAGTCCTCCTGTTGAAGATGCTGACATCTTCCCGGCGGTCTTCTTAGCAGCCCCAGCCTGCGCGAGGTGGTCCTCGGCCTGTCCGATCTGCATATCCCGTCGCGCCTGGCCACCCGGAGTCATCTCCGTGCCCAGCTCCTGCTTTTCCGTGAATTCCAGTGGCTTTTTCGTTTTGTTCCAGTCGGAGTTTTTCTCTACTTCCCGCTTCTTCGACGGCGGACTCGCGGAGAGCAGCATCGCCGACATTTTTCGCCCGGCCGTGGGAGACAGGGACGCGTCAGTGCTGAAGCCGCCCTGGTCGTCGGAGGAGACAAACTGCGACATCCGCTGGTAATTCTGATTGTTAGTCCCTTCCGGCCCTGATTCGTCACTTGTGGAAGCGTGATTCCCACCTACGCCTCCACCAAACCGCGTACCCGTCGTCAGCGACGCGGTTCCCCCAGCACCTAAACCGGAGTTGTTTTTGTGCTGCAGGATCTTCATCTGGCCATGCACCATCGTTGTGCTGCTGCTAAAGCTCTTGCTGTTCGCTTTGCTGCTCATAGCACCCCCGGCGCCTTATCCTGTGCAAAAGTATCGCACTCGTAGTAATCGCAGTGATGCATTACGAATCTCCATCTCAAGGTAACACAGCATGATAAATTCCATTTCTCATGCTGACGGAATTTGTAATGCGACATCTACTAGTACGATGCTTTTGCAATGCATACGCCTGGTGGCGGGACAAATTGGTTTGATGCTTCGTCCGCCACAGTGACATGTTTTATCCTGTGCAAAAGTGTCTGGGTCTGGAAAGTTGCAAGATTTGTCATGCATCTCGCGGAGCACAATCATGGTTTGTAATGCAGACAGAAGTATCACAGAGTTTTTGAGACCTTCCTCATGCCTCTTCCGCATGAGAAATTTCCGTTTTACCTAGCGAGAATTGGGTAACTGTTGGCGTTCATGCAACACAGACTTTCGCGTGATCCAGCTTTCGCATGACAGGCTTCATTCTTCCAGACCCAGACATATTTGCAATGCATATGTTTGAGGCGATCGCGATCCTTACTTGATGTCGCAGTAGTTCCACCGGTATCAAATCCAAATATGTCTGGGTCTGGAAAAGTCATGCTGCTTTTGCATGACACAAAAGGTCTGGCATGGAAGCTCTAGCATCACAGATTTCGAGAAGCTTCCGCAATGCTGGATCCGCAAGACAAATGCCCCATTCTGGTGGCAGAAAGAGGGCATCTTTTGCTGCCTATGCATGAGAGATTTTTATGCGTTGTGAAATGCGCATCACAGGTTTGCATTCTTCCAGACCCAGACATATTTGCAATGCATAACCGGTTTTACTCCTTGAATTGTTGGACTTCGACCCACCTGCGCCGAAAGTAGCGAAATTGGGGCTCTTCTGGTCGACCTCGGCCTGGAGATGTGCGCTAACCATGCCGGGCTTGGGCTTGGAACCCCCGCCACCTCCGATGTCGCGTTTCCGGGTCAGGGGACTCACCGAGGCCGTGTCCTGGTGCAGCACGTAGATGGGGGGACTGGCGGAGGAGATGTTTTTGCCTCCGGTGGAGTTGTTCGCGCCGGCTGCTCGCGGGTCCTTCGGGGTGGCGCCCGTGATCTATTTTTTGTACGTAATTCGGGGAGGAGTTGTATTGAAGCTGCGCTGTTTGCAGGTACCGTACGACGTATCGCTGCATATTAGCTGCATTGTACACGTGCAAATCCTTATTTTGATTCTGAAAAACGTTCCGCTACCGCTTCTATGAAAAACCAATACCGCGATGCTGGTTTTAGTGTTGTAAGCTGGCGCAGGCTCGGGCGGGAGGTTCTCCGCCGGTTTTCTGGAGAGCATCTTCGCCATGAAGCTCTTGTATCCTGAGCAAAAGCGTCCCCATACCAGAGTTCCCATGCAGATTTGCAATTACAGCAACATGATTTGAAATGCGCACTCCCATGACAGGCGTTTCCAGTCGTGTTTTGGAATTTGTAATGGTGTAAGCAGGATGGGAGAATGGCTTTGCGATGCCGCTGTGCTTGCTACCATGCACTAGAAAACAGAGAGAAACTTGTCATGCGTAACCCCCAAAACTCCTGGATTTGCGTTGCTGAGTTCCCACCTGGACTCTGGGGTGGGGCTGGGGACGTTTTGTCTCAGCATACCTTCCTTCGCGGACTCTTCTGCTCCTCCTTCTTCTCCGGAACCGAGCCCGGCAGCGGGTCTAAAGAGGCGCGGTTGATTATGATTGGCATGATGGAGGTTGTAGTTCTTGCCAGAGTAGTAGATGAGCGTCAGCACGTGCAGTTCCCTCGTCGGAAGAGATCGAGGATGAAAGAAAGAAGTGAAGCGCCAGCTTCCAGAGCAGGAAGTAGAGAGGCGAACGATTTTTACAACAGCAGTCCTGGGAGGACCCCTAGTTGCGCCACGTCAGCCTCAGATATAGAAGAGGGCAGGAGAGATTTCGCACCCAGTGGCGGACCCGCAGAGCGCCACAGAGATCAAGAAGAGTTTGAAATTGAATTATACAAAAGTGCACGGATACTTACGTTTATATCGTTGTGGTGTGTCTGTGTACAACAAAACATTTCTTACATTCGAAACGACATCAAGTAATAGGCGGGTTACATCAATAAGTACATGTTGATAATTTTCATTCGCCTACTCGTTCATCTTCTCCAACTAGTTTTATTTGCTTCCAGCTCTTATACGAAAAAAAGAGTTTGCTACTGCTCCTACAATGTTTGAGATGGTGAGATGAACTTCAGCTACTGGGATGAGTTTGATTTTACCCTTGCGATTCGGATTCCATACACTTTTACCTCTACTACGTTCAAAAAAAAAACCTTGTTGCTCCTCTCGGGGGTGCAGTAGCTGCTCGTAGCCCGGTGGTGGTTTGTGTCCAGCCGGAATCGGAGGGGGCGGTGCGATATGAACTGCAAAAGCATCGCACTCTACTCGCACTAAGTGCATCCGTGCATTACAAATTTCTTTCTCAGGTTGAATCCGCATTACAAATTTCACTTCTCATACTGAGGAAATTTGTCATGCGATTTATACTAGTACGATGCTTTTGCATTTCATATGCGAGTGGCTTCGCGGAAAACGTGATGTTGTCTCCGCCGCTGGTGTATCCTGTGCAAAAGTATCGTACTCGTAGTAATCGGAGTCATGCATTACAAATCTCCATGCCAAGGTAAAACAGCATGACAAATTCCATTTGTCATGCTGAGCTAATTTGTATTGCAAGTACTACTAGTACGATACTTTTGCAGTTCATATGGTGCGAATTTGCGACCGCGTCGTGCTGCTAGTCGCAGCGCTGGAGGAGGATATAACCCGCTCAAGTGTTACAATCTCAAACGTTACAATGGAAATCTGTGATGCAAAACTGAATGATCTAGCCAACTCTCATAGGATTGCGCATGACAAGTTCCGGAGCCCCAAACCCCCCCACAATCTGGCGAAATTTGTATTGCAAAAGGTGGAACGCTGTGCGAGTCTGTCATGCTCATCATGCAACACAAAATCCAGACTCTATTGTAACGTTTGAGATTGTAACAATTGAGCAAGTCATAGAAGATGCATTCAGATTCTGCTTGATGTTCGGGTGACCCGCCGTCGGGGGCTGGAGGCTCCGAGAGCCATCGACGCCACTCGTCCGCCGCATCTTCTTCCGGGCGGGGTTGGTGTTAGTGTTGGGTTTGACGAAGGGTGGTCGACGTCCCGGCGGGGTGGTGGGGCGCCGTGCTTACACCTTTTCTCCTCTTACTGCTCTTCGACTTCCGCCGACCGGTGTGGTTTCTCCTGCACTTCTGTTTTCAAAAAAAAAGTTCCAGCGACGCTCCGAGCTCCGAGTTCGGTCCGTAGCTCGTCCTCGTGTTATACGTGTAATCGACAGGACCTCCAGCTCTTCGAAGAAAAAGAAATTCACACTGTAGTTGAAAAAAAAACTGAAAAAACGTCCACGACCATGTGGTCCTTCGATCTGCTCAACATCCTCTTGTTAACGATGTCGCCTCTGGGTCTTCTCACAACCCTTTGTCGTTGAAAAAAAAAACCGCGCTTCGAGGTTGAAGAACCGTGTCGTCGTGGTGGCGTAATCATGTGCCGCTGCAGTGCCGGGGACGATGTACTGGTAGTGAAAATTTTTACTCGTTCCGCTGAAACCCAAACCGTATCCGTGCACCAGGTGCAGCAGAAAAAAAACTCGTTCACAACATGACTCACGATGTAATTTTGTGTGCCACCACAACAAACTTGAAGGCAACCACCAGCTTCTGATATTTTCTTGAACAAGAAATAGAAAGATAAATAGGAGGAATAGCTGCACGGAATAGCTCCACTCAATGTTAATCTCAATTTATTCTCTCGAAAAGTTGTCGCGCTGAATTTTTACCACAGAATTCATTTCAATGCGGCATCCGCTAGCACTCTGGCTCTCTCTTGTTGAAAACAACACGACAGAAAAAGACCTTCCATGGAAGGAACGCGCAGCTACTTCTTACGAAGTAGCAAACGAAGGAAAAGGAACGCGAACAGCCTTTGGCTGCGCCAGCATTTGGCAGCTGCATGCAGCTTGCTGCGTGCTCGTTGGCCCGGGCGGACACCAAGAAGAGAAACCTTTTGATTTTTGTTTTTGCCCTACAGAACGACCTGCTTTACTTTGATAATTTGTTTAGTTGAAATGGACTGTTGATGTTCTGACTTTCGCGGAGGACTGGAACCATAGCTCGTGCGACGGCTCGTGTAGTATTAGGTTTAGAGAGGTTTATCGTCGGTGAAGAAGATCTCCAGGAACTTCTTCTACTTGTCTTCGGGAACGGAATGATAGCAGGGTGAAATCAATCTCCCCAAAACCAGACCGCGTCCTCCTGAAAATTCTATCAATACAGCAAAACAGGCACTGCCTGGAGGCATTTCATATTCTCTCATGTAGTGCTGACAATGTGGCATATATTGCTGCTGGCGTAAACGGCAGGCGAAAAATTTAAAGGAAGTTCTAATTTTGTAGGTAATTATCTTGAACTAGACAACAACTCTAAAGACAGTTACAATAGCGCGTGGCCGTAAGAACTATTACATCAATAGGTTTAGTTGTTTTGTGCCCGAAAATTTCATAACTGTCTAGAGTTCGCTTGTGATACTGTAAAGCTCTGGAATTTATATTTGGTTGTATTCATTTGAAACTAGTACTGGTTGTAGTTCTGATGTTTTGGACTACTCAACTTCTGTCCATATCCCAAATAAGTTCGTCGCTAGATTCAGTTCGTGAAAATAGTATAGAGTGTCATATTTTTCGTTGCAAAGAACTGGAAGACTAAAGCTGATAGAATCGTGCAAGCAGCTCATATTAGGAGGCTCTTCGCGTTTTTAACCTCGTATTTCTCCAACACGACAAAGACTCCACTCAGGTCCTTTTTCAAGGAACCAAAGCGAGGTCCACTATCGTGTTGACGCTCCTTTTCTTTTCACCTGCTTCTGTGGGCATCGCAATAGCGAGCCAGCAAGAAACGCCTTGGAGGTCTCGATAATTTGATGAATACGCTCTAGCTACACACGACCTATATGCGATGGAAAATTATTGTTCGAGAGAAAATTTAATAGTAGTTGCGGTTGACCTGATGTAAACGTTACCTTCGTCTTTTGTTACACTGGTTTTCTGTTGATGTTGTGTGCCGGTAAAAAGTTTTTCAGAGGTCAGCTTCCTCCTCATGATCCGCATAGATGATTTGTTTTCGTCTTATTTTTATTTCTGCTTCAAGATATCTGAGTAGTTCGTTAGTTTTCTCAAAAGTCCAAAAATTGTAGTACTCAAGATTTTTCAAAGAGATGCCGTAGTACCTGAATTCTCAAATTAGTACCTATTTTTTACTCCTGGTGCTGCACAACTTTTTACAGTTTCATTTTTTCATCAATTTAGAAACGGTAAATAATACACGACTTGTTCCCGGTACTAGTTTTGATATGGAGTTTGGTCACGGTTCATTTTTTTGTGTCGAGAAACACATAATAATTTTACAGAGGTACATTTTTTCAGGGAAGAACGATGAATAGATTGACAGGATTCCTGTCGCGCGGGTTCATTTGAAGAATTTTAAAGAACAAGAGTTAGGGTACAACCCTACCAGTAAATCAGGTGTGAATAAAATTGTAATTGTTGTAAAATAGTCGAAACGAGATGGTAGAGCGAAACAGTTGTTACAATAAAAGAGGGTTTGTTAGATTGTTAACAAGACAAAATTGTATAACACTAGAGATAATTACATTTGTAATAGAGATAGACTGAGACTTTAAGTCACCTACTGATTTAAGTGCCGGTTATTTGAGAACATCAAGGTTATCTGGCTGCATCTCTCATCTCCACCAACCTTTTCGCCAGATCTCTTTGCGTCTCTATTTCTTCAGTTCCTGTTTGTGTTTCGTATTCTTTTTCCTGCTCCTCGTCTTTCTTAGATCATGCTCCTTCTTGATGCCTTGCTTCGCGATGTATTTTCGCTTTATGCGCAGCAGGACACCCCGATGACCTTCATGTAGGCTTCCCGGGCCGCGGTGATGTTGCGCACCGGGACGTTTTATGGATTGCAAAAATGTCTGCGCTGGAAACTTGTAATGCTGCGTTGGGAAGAATGAAAATGAATGCTCTGTACTAATGCACAGCCAAGCATGAGAAATATCTTGTTGCGTTTTTCGCATGACAAACTGCGTTTTTGCATGACAGGCAAAAGGGTCTCTTCTTGGACACGCATCACAAACTCTTTGGTCATGCGAGACAAGCATGACAAATCTCGCAATCTTCCAGACCCAGACATTTTTGCACTCGATACGTTTTCCGTGGGCATCTGCGCGTCGATGTACAGCGGCCCCTCGTAGTTCTTGCACTCCTGCTCGTTTTCGCCGCCCATCATGTATCCTGTGCAAAAGTATCGCACTCGTATTCATTGCAGTCATGCATTACAAATCTTTCTTTTAAGTTAAATCCGCATTACAAATTCTATTTCTCACGCTGAGGAAATTTGTAAATGCACTTATACGAGTACGATACTTTTGCATTGCATATCATGTCCGCGCCGGAATGATGATCGCGGGGCGAGGACATTCCGTAGGGGTTGCTGGTACCCAGGCCGCTCATGTGGTAGGAGCTGGAGAAGATAAAACGCCGGTAGTTGTGCTGCGCCTTATGAGAGTGCACAACTCCCCCTCCCTCTCGTTTGTCATGCAAAACCGCAAACCCAAGTGCTTCCCTGTGGCACTGTTTGCATGACAGATTCCGGAAGCCCAAACAGTACTGCACTAGGCGCATGAATTTGTCATGCACAGGCTTCACGTGTGCTAATGTTTGTATTGCTGTGTGTTCATGCTATACAAATGAGGGGGGAGGAGGAGTTGTGCACTCCCATACGCCTGCGCGATCTTGTAAAAGTGCGGCGGACCACCTGCCGCCTTGGCGGCCTTGGGGGTCGTGCTAGCAGTCGAAGTCGCGGTAGAAGTAGAGGTGTTACCAACTGCCTCGCTGGTGGAATTGTTTTTGTTCGTGTGCTATCAACTGCAAAACTGTCTGCGTCTGGAAGATTGCCAGGTTTGTCATGCATATTTTGAATGACCCATGATATCTGTGACGCATGCCCTAGCATCACAGATCTTTAGAGGACTTTGCGATGCCTCTACCGCATGGGAAATGCCCTCTCCGCGTAGCACAAACTGGAGTCCTCGTGCTGGTCATGCAATACAAATTTTTTTAGAATCCAGAGACAGCATCACAAGTTAGTTTAGAATCTTCCAGACCCAGACATATTTGCAATGCATATGTGCAGCAGGCTACTGGCCGGGTAGATCCGCTTCTTGTTCTCCGGCAGGAGCATCAGTTTCTTCTGCTCGAGCTTCGGAAACAGCGGGCCGGTGGTGCTCGTGGTCACCACAGTCGTATGCATTGCAAAAGTATCGCACTCGTATAAATGCAATACAAATTTCCTCAGCATGAGAAATAAAATTTGTATTGCGGATTTACCTTAAGAAAAAGATTTGTAATGCATGACTGCAATACGAGTACGATACTTTTGCAGTTCATAAGTCGTCCGCGGCGTCAACGTCGCGGTGGTACTGGAGGTATCCAGTGCAAAAGTATCGCGCTCGGACTAATTGCAAATATGCATGACAAATCTTCCTCCTAGGGTAAAACAGCATTACAAATTGCGTTCTTCATGCTGAGCAAATTTGTAATGCAATTTGTACTAGTACGATGCTTTTGCATTGCATAGGAGGTCGGCTTGCTCGGGCGAGCGGCGGTCGACGCGGGAGGGGCGAACGAGTCCTCGTCGGCAAGGAACGAGGTGCGAGGAGCGAGAAAATACTTCTCCTCCTGGGCGGCCTGAGGTTGATTAAGTGGGGGAGAAGAAGTTAATGGATTTATTCATCTTGGATCGACGTTCTGTGGAGTTCGAGGAAAAGTTATACCGATTGAGAATTATACTTGTCAAGATTAAAGCACTTTTTTGATAAAAGTACCTTCTTCTTCCGCTCCATCAACTGCCATTTGCACTTGATGTCGTCTTCCTGTACCCGAGCCTTGTCCTTGTACACCACCACTTGGTGGCTGTTGTTCTTGCTCGTGGCCACGTAGACCGGCATCGTCGGGCGGAATTGCGGCAAAGGCAGCGCCGGGTAGTAGATCGCATGACTGCTCGCCGTCTGGTTCTTCCGCACACCATTCTGCTTGTTTCCACCACCCCGCGTGTTTGTCGCGCGACGGCGCTGGCGCAGCGTGCGGCGCACCTCGAGGGCCCTCTATGCATTGCAAATATGTCTGGGTCTAGAAGGTTGGAACTTGTAATGCTAGCTTTCCGTAGTTAGGAAATCTGTATTGCATAAACAACAAAAGTCGCGGCCTCTTTTTTTATACGCAAAAACGCAGCTTCTCATGCGGATTGCCTATGAGAAAGCGTTCTGGAAAGTTGTCATGCTAGGTTGCGCTCGACACTGTTTCTATCATCCACATTTTAGCATCACACGTTTCCAGACCCAGACATTTTTGCATTTGATACCTTCATCGCTTTCACCATCTGTTTGTCCAAAGGCGGGTCCGCAACGGGTGCTCGGGGGACCACGACTCTGGAACTGGTACGACCACTGCCTCGTCCCGGCTTGCTCATAGCCATGCTCTGGAAGACGTGCATCAGAGCAGCGTCGTCCTTGTTGTAGTTTTTCTGCATGGCGGTGCAGGTCTGTTCCGGAAAGTCGCGCAAGTCGTCCACCGTTGGCGGCAGCGGGCTGCGGCGGCTCACGGGGTGATACACCGGCACGATCACCGAGGATTTCTGTCCCGCGGTCCGCTGGGCGGTCCTCGCGCGGCGCTGGGCGCGACGCACGCTGGCCCGGCGCGCGTTCATCGAGAAAGATGCTGAGCCGCCGATGGAGCGGACGTGGCGATTGTTAGTACTACGGGAGTTCAGAATCCGGTTGGTCTCGCGGCGCTTCAGCATCTTGAAAATGAACTCCTGCTTGGTCTCGATCGAGCCGGTAGTTCCCTGGGTGGGAGTACTAGTGTTCGTGAAAGAACCTCCCACGCGCGTGAAGTTCTGCTGGGCGTTGCGGCGGCCCGCCCGGCGAGAGCTGGAGGCTGCGTACAAAGAGCCGAAATTCGTTTTGCTCGTCTTGTTCTCACCTTCAGCCATCATGTGCGGCAAAACCACACAGTGATTAGAGCGGGCCTGCGCCTCGTTCTGAAAAGCGACGACCGCAGAGGACGACGTCTGATGCAGCTCCGTCGAGCTGGTGTTCAGCATCCGGGCGCCCTGCTTCCACAACATCATCTGGGAATGCAGGTACTCGCGAACCAGACCGATCGCCGACTTCTGCAGAAACTTACCCACCGGGAAAATGGCCGCTTTGGAGTGGTTCGTCGTGGTGCTCGTGGTCCAGGCGCCCTTCAGGGTCCAGTTCTGCGGGCAGGATTCCAAGTTCTGCGCACCCACCTGAGCTTCAACCTGCTTCCGCGCGTCCAAAACGCCACGGCGGCACTTCTTGTCTTCACCAAACAAGGCGGCGCGGAACGCGGAAAGATCTGGTTGTATTATTAATTTGGTGTTCTTGTATACGGATTTTCATTTTCGATTTCCATTCCGTTCGCTGCACTGCAATTTCAAATAATCAGGTTCTGTACCAAAAGTGGAAATAAGCGCGTGGAGGTCACGGTGCGAGCCTAGGCGTTACAGATCATCAATCAAGATGTCGCCCCGGATCCGATTCGGAACTTACAACAGCGAATGAAAAAAACTAAGTAAATACCGATGTCATCCTGGCCGGTGCTGCCCGTCGGCGCGGCGAGCTCTTCCATCGGGTTGCCCCAGGACGAGGTCGTGGCGTAAAACAGGCTGGTTCCCGACCGCCGGAGCGGGCAGACATCGGTCATCTCGGAGGGCGCGTCGGCCACGATGGACAGCATCAGCAGACGCGACTGTACGGCGAACACCACAACCAACAACGCCATCATGTGCATGCGGTTTGCGTTTTTCACGGACTTGGTGCAGGAAGAGCCCTTGCAAGAACCCGACGAAGAAGCAGACATAGAAGTACAGGCAACCGCGCCGCTCTTTTCCGCGGCGGAAGGTCCGGCTAAAAAGTTGTTCATGTTATCGAACTGCGGGTTCTCCAGGTGCTGTTTGATGGTGTCCCGCAGCGCGCGCAGATTCTCGCTGCGAGAGGCCGTCTCGTAGTTGCCGAAGATTTCGGCCGACTTGGCGGAAAATTTGCAAACCTGCTGCATCACCGCGCGGAACACGCAGCACTGCATCCGCTTGAGCATCCCGAACGCCTTGTGGACGGAGCGGAGCAGGCTGCGGCGCGGGCCGCGGACGCATTTTTTCGCCAGACGCACACGGTGCGCGCAAAACTGCCCGCACTTCTTGTACGCTTTACGGATCTTCTTGGCCGCCAGGGTCTTGGCGGTGGAAACGACCTGGAGTTCAGTAAAGAGGATTGGCGGAGAGAGTGAAGATAATGGCTGCATTTTCAAATTCCAAGCATGTTGTTCAGACTGAGAGCATAACTTCTACGTTAACGTTCGACATCAAAAGTGCGAAAACCACAAAAATTGTATAACTGTAGTACCCCAGTGCTGGCCGGAGCAGCAACCTGCAGCTCCTCAGAAGTGGTCGTTGTGCTAGTCGGGGAAGAAGAATTCTGCTCGACCTTGACGTAGCCTTCTTCTACGACCTCATCTCCCGCAACGGCCGCTGCCTCCGCTTCCAATTGCAGTTTCCTGGCGGCGCGCTTGGAGGCCAACTTTTTCGTGGACAGGGCGATGTAGCAGAGGCACTTGTAGCCCTTCCCGGCCACGCGGTCCATGAAGGCGCAGTAGGTCTGGCAGCCGGCGATGATCCGGGACCGCACTGGGACCACGTACCGACAGGTCAACCGCTTGATCCAGGCGATCAGCTTCTCCGAGGAAGCCTTGAGCGTGACGCAGATCTGCGAAACCGCCATGCGGGTCTTCTCGTCCGCGTTGATGGTGGCGGCTTTTAATTTCATGATCAACAGTATGGAAGCGTCAGGTTTGAAATCGTCAAAGTTGAAATAATTTGTAATGCATAAAATGCATGACCCGAGATGCGTGCGTTGCAGAGCAGGCAAGTGAGGCCGATTGTAAGCCTGTTTGGGGCTACAGCTCGAGCTGCTAAAGTAGCATGAAAAAATCACTCTTCTTTGCCTAAACAGCATGACAGTTTGGATTTAGGGACCACCGAAATTTGTCATGCGCCACTTACAAACTGGCTTCCAACTGGCATCCATTTTATGCATGACAAACTATTTCAACTTTGACGATTTCAAACCTGACGCTTCCATAAACAGGTCGGTCTGCTGCCGGATGAAGGCGATCAGCATGTCCTTGGCGCTGTGAGGGTTTTTTGATATTTCATTTACAACATTTTCAGCATTTAATACGAAGGCCTCGGTGGTGGACCACAAACGAGTTCGCTGCTTTGCAGGACCTCATCACCACTTGCATTTCTTTGCATACGAAAAACAAAAATGAAAAATCATCTTCAAATTTTTATACTCGCCCGCCTTCTGCTTGGCCAGACAGCATTTTCCCTTCGTGGCACAGAACACGGTAACAAAGAACGCCAGGAACTTCGCAAACTGCTTCCGGACCGAGCTGTCTCCAACTTGCTGCTCTCCTGCAGTCGCCTTGATGTCTTTCTGCACGATAGCGGAAAAAGCGGGCGTCATATCAGGGTAGTCCTTCTGCGGGGCCGGCGGGTTCACCTTGTTCCCGCCCTCATTCGTGAACGGCATCCAGGAGAACCAGGATTTATTTTTCGCTTGCTGCTCTTTCAGCAACTTCTCCTTCTCCACCACCAACTCCTTTTTCAGCTTCTCTTCCACGAGCTCGAGAAAGTCCTGGACGCTTTCCGGACTGCAGGTCTTCTTCTTATTCACGTGGAACAGATCCTTGGCCGTCTTCTGGTACAAGTTTTTGGTCTTGCTGGCAAACTCTTGGACCACCGTCTTCGTGTTGCGCACCAGCGAGGAGGCCTTGTTAGTGGTAGCTTGTTGTTCATCTCCACCAGCGCCTTGTGAAGAAGTCGTGGAAGAAGCCGAACTGCTCTGCTGGTCATGGTCCACATGATCGGCGAGTAGCGTCTCGTAGTCGCCCTGCAAATCGATGAGCGAAACGTCGCTCTCCTCGTCAGAAGACCCCTTCTCCGACTGCTTTGTGGGCGAATTCTCAATTGAGGACACTTCCCCGTTGCCGCGCATCAGCGACCAACCGCTCCTATTGCGTCGGCTGCTCATCTTCGATTTATTTTCGACACCTTTATCGTTTTCTGAAAAAGGACTCGATGTTTCTGTACAGACAAGGAGTTGTCCGATTCTTACTCTCGACCTCTCGGTAAGAACCAACAAGAAGTGCTGACGCGTGCAACTTCTTCTCGTCCGCTGTGACTTTACTTTTTGCAGGATAACTTCTGCTTTCAGAATCGACTCACCCTAGAATTGGTCACGATTTTTTTTCCAAAAATGGTAAATCAATGTGCAATAAAGGCGTGTTCTGAATCTGAGGCAGACACGGCACGCAAAATAAAAGTTTCGGATGGAGAAGGAGTAAGTTCGTATCACAGCGGCCTACGAACGAAAATTGTGTATAAGTTGTGGGAAAAACGTCAAAACTTGGTTGTAGTGCTATTGCTCAATGCAAGTAGACTATGTTTAGAAAAGCAAGTGGAGCTCTACCAAGCAAAAAGATCCCGTGATGTGTCGATACACAGACTAATGCATCTCTACAAAGCGGGGACCATAGATTCCTAGGGGAAATCCATGCTGTCGAGAGCCTGTATATAATGTGAAGTTTCGGAGTTGTGTAATTTCGACGCTCTAGTTTCCAGCTCCTGGGTGCGCTCCAAAATGAAAAGAAAATCGACCGATACACGAACAATTTTCCCTCCCACTGCACTCGTCGACGGAACTCCGGCTCATATCCTCTCTCCTGCCTGTTCTAACTGCTCAAAGAAGACATCATCAGAGCACCGAATCCCGAGGCATTGCACTCTTTGGGCCCTCTCTCTCTCCGAACCGAATTAGACCGAGTTTTACATGTTCAAGCTCATCTCCTGAAAGAAGTGACCGAGAGATCACAACACAACGGATCTCGAACAATTCATTCCAGCAACAGACTTCGTTATAGACCCAGACTCACACAGATGACCTCAGAAATGTATATCAGTATGCTACTTGTTTGTCTTCAGTGAATTCGTGGTCTCCGGTTGAAGGGCTTGCCTTCTTTTTACGATTCTACGGGATACGTTTCAGATTCAGATGGATACGCGGACTCCGGGTGAAGATCGTGTCTTCTTCTTCTTGCGTGTTTCTACTTTCTAGTGCTACTTTAAGAAAAAAACAGTTTGACGGGGCCACTTTGAGCCTGCTTGTGAATCACATGTGGTTAGCGCTTCTTTATAGAAAAAAACTTTTTTTTTTCAACGAAATTGATCATCTCTGTACAAAGTCATCGAGGGTTTGGGTTGCATTTGCTGATTACATATTGATTATCGTTTTCGATTATGATTTCGCTATCGGCTTCACCATTCCGCGGGGTTTGGGTTGCATTTTCTGATTACATGTTGATTTCGTTGTCGATTATGATTTCGCTATCGGCTTCACCATTCCGCGAAGTAGGGTGTGCTTGTGCTTCTTTGTCGTTCTTCGTAGCATCTTCTTCTGCGATGCGGGTGTATCAGGACCTGTTGGCAAACGTAAAATCTGTGCCGCGCTGAAGCTGATAGATCATCGTCAACGTCATCCATGAATGTATACTACTTACACTCCTTTACTTTTGTCCTCGGCGCCATCACTCTCGTCAGAGTCGCCATCCAGGATCCCAACTTCTTGCAGCGCGGCGGACCGCACCCAATGTTGGAGGAAAAAACAACCTCGGTTCCAGTAGGAATCCGTGAATGGCGAGGGCGGGCGCTGTTGAGTATGATGATGGGAACAAGTTAATCCTTTAATGTTAATTCGCAGTTTTTATATGGACATGTTGTGTTGTACTTGTAGGAGGCATGTAGTTGAGTCGACGTCATCGACGTCATGCATGATGAGAGATTTAATTCTAGTTCTAGATTTTCTACCACTACTAGAAAGAGCGAGCTAGTACTGCGGCAGAGTAGTATGATTCTGATTGTCCATGGAAAAATGAAAATCTCCTGTACCCATATTTCCGGGTTGATGAGCCGACTGGCGGGATCGTGAGTGAAAAACACCTGGTGGCGAGAAGAAGTACTACAACTGTCGGCATTTTTTTCTGCACTCCATTCCCCCGCCGCCGCCCCCACTGCGTCAGAGAAATCATAACAACCAACAGCTCTTGACACGGTCATTCGCAAGCGCATATCTCCCTGTAGCTCCTCTTGGTTTCTTTCGTGGTCTACAACAAACGACCCGGTTTTATTATTTCGTTCTCCTGCAGCTTCAGCTTCTGCATTTCCATTTCCATTTGAACTACTGCTGCATTTCCATTTGTCCAGAATTTTCGCGACCACCACCGCTTTCTCACTCTCCTCGACGAGGAAAATCTGAACACCAACCGCGTCGTTCTATGAGGGTGCACAACTCCCCCGCCCCCTCGTTTGTATAGCATGAACGGCAATACAAGCATCAGCAATCTTGCCGGTTTTGCATGACAAATTTGCACTGGAGTGTAGCGCTATTTGGAATACCAAAACTTGTCATGCAATCAGTGCCACGAGGCAAAGGGTGGATTTGGTAGTTTGCATGACAAATGAGGGGGAGGGGGAGTTGTGCACTCTCATACGTTCATCTTGGAAAACAGATGCAACAGCTTGTGCCGCTGCGCGGCGTCCCGCTTCGCCTGTGCAGACGGCCACCCGGAGGCCACCGGGGGCGAGGCGGCCACGGCAAGGACCTGATCCGCGGTCAGAAAAAAACACTTCTTCTGGTGAGGATGTTGGCTGGCCGGTGTGGCTCCGGAACCTTGTTCTGGTGAGGGACCACAAGGAGATGCTTTATTTGCCAAACCGTTGTTCCTAGTGCTAGAACCATGATATGCCTCGGATTCGATGCACACCAGAATTTCCTTCCTGCTGCTGCTGGTTCTCGTGTCGATCCGACCAGCCGAATTACACAAAGACGCTGCTCGCAGTAATTCTGCAAGGGCCGCAACCACTTCCGTCGTGAGCAATCGGGCGGGAGTCAAGAGTTGCCGAGCTACCTTGGTTCGCTCCAAATCGTAGGCAACCCTGGAGATGTGAATTTGCCGCTCGGGTGGTTGGATAATCGCACTACTGCCTCCCTGCTCGTGTGCATTTTTCACGACCGTCGAAGTTGCAGTTTCGTCTTGGTGTTGTCTACTTTTCTGAAATAAACTTATTTTCGTCTTTCCTCCGCCGGCCCCCGCACCAGTCGTTTGATGTGCCGTACTGGCACTGCGTCTGCCAGCTCTACTGGCGCCCAGTCTACTCAACCCGTCTTGGCTCACGAAAAAATGCTGCACCTTGTTCAGACCAGAAGTAGAACCTCCTCCTGCGCCAGGTCCTTCACGCGAAGCCGTGTTCTTGCTACCAAAGAACGACACGAAAAAGTTCGATAAAAGTTTCCCAAGCGTGCAATCGACACTCGTATCCGCGGCGTCCAAAAAGCCCGGGGTGCCGGAGGGATTCGCCACAAATCGGAGTTCTTGTGGGAGGAGGAGCGGCGGTCGTGTCGGGTTGCGATCTTGATGGTCTTCTTCACAAGGTAGCTGCACTGGAATATTGATTTTGTTCTCCAGCTCGTCGCCATCACGCAGACCAGAAAGAACAGGTGGCGGATGGTCATGGCCCTGGCGGCGACCGTTGTTACTTTCGTGGTCCTCCTGTGCGGCCTCAACGCCGCGAGCTGGTGCCCCAGCACTGTTCTGGACACCCTTTATTTTCGAAATGCTTGCTCCTGCTTCCGTGGTAGTGCTGTTTTCTTCCATAGTTGCGCCGAAATCTGGAACTCCACCTTCGCGGGAAGGATCTCCTTGCGAGGATGCTGGCAGCGAGGAACGACCTTCGTCTTGAAGATCTCGCGCTCGTGATGACGGAACAATGTCAACTTCCAGAAACAGTGAAGAAGTGCAATTCTCGTGTAGAAGACTTCTGTAGAAGTACTGGTCCTCGTGATCCTGGACGTCACCAAGGCTCATTTCCTGTATCCCTGTTCCTTCTCCCTCCACCTGGGGAGATGACCCGATATTACGCGAGCAGCTCCCGGGCGTTGTACTTGTTCCTGGGGTTGAGGAGCTCCTAGAAGATGAAATTGCGGCAGTACGACTTCTTTTGGGACTGGTACACTCTTTTCTTTCTTCGCTTGACTGCTCATTTTTACCGTGGGCTTGATGTTCTTCATATTGCGCGCCGTGATGTTGCCTACTGCGCTTTTTCCTCGGGGGCAGTTGAGTTGTTCTTCTTGGAAAATATCCAGCCTTACAATCTAGTTCATCTTTTATTACGCGCTCGAACTTTAAGAACTGCAAGCTTTGGTCGACAAGTTTCCTCGCGAGGCTTGTTTCGTCGATGCGAAAACCGCCGCTGCCTTTTGGATCGGAGGAGATCAGGGGCGACGCCGTGCTGCCAACGGGAGTTCCAGCAGAAAAGAAAGATTTATCCTGGTTATCTACCAAGGAGCCCATGATATTACTAGCACCACAGCGTCCATTTGTACTTGACGTTGCAGAACTCGTCGTCCCCGAAGCAGTAGAGTTCTGGCTTTGCCTATTGTTTTTGCTGTCCGCTTTGTTATTCTTGTTCTTCTTTTTTTGTTTGCTATTAGATGTTGTAGCTGTAGTTGTCGCTGCGCCGCCCTTGTTGCCGGAGCCTGCGTTGTGTCCTCCCCCCTGGAGGCCGCCCCCCCCTGGAGGTTGTGACTCCTCAGGTGCTGCGCATCGAGTGCTATTATTTTCAGAGCGGTTGTTCGGGTCGTCTTTAACATGGCAAGGACCGACAGGATTCGCGCTGCAGTTACTTATCCCACTGTTTGCCTCATTGCGTAAAAACGGCGCCACCTTTTCCAAGTATCGCTTCTTCTTGTGGTAGTAAATTTGCTTTCCGACAAGAGTGTCGAAGAGTTTACTGTTGTCGACCAATTGTGATTGAGGTGGTTCATCTTTCGACGCAGCAGATGTCCTTGTTGGCAAACCAGTACTAGTACTAGAAGAAGAACCACCGTGCTGGAGTTGATCTTGACCGTGATGGAAATAAACCTTCTCCTCGCCAAACGTTTCCGCCGTCATGGGTGCTTGTTCCAGAAATTTGCACTCCGCTTCCAGTTATGCATTGAAAAAGTAAAAGTATCGTACTCGTATAAATGCATTACAAATTTACCCAGCGTGAGAAATAGAATTTGTAATGCAGATTTGCCTTGGAAACAAGATTTGTAATGCAAGACTTGCATTTGTACGAGTACGATACTTTTGGTTTTGCAGTTGATACCAGTCGGCGGTTGTAGTGCAACAGCTCTTTCAACGAGGGGGCGACCGGCTGCCAGGCTTCGTAGTAGCATTCTACTGACTATGACAGTGCACAACTCCCCCTCCCCCTCATTTGTATAGCATGAACGGCAATACAAGCACCAGCAAGAGTGCCGGTTTTGCATGACAAATTTGCACTGGAGTGTAGTGCTATTTGGGCTACCAGAACTTGTCATGCAAACAATGCCAACAGGCAAACGCAAAGGGTGGACTAGGTATTTTGCATGACAAATGAGGGGGAGGGGGAGTTGTGCACCGTCATACTGACTCTACTTCAGACGAACTGGCTTGTTCCTCGCCCTGGCTTCTATTGCTGTTGCAGGTCGTGCTATCGGCGCAGTTTTTGCTCTTCTTTTTCCGACGTTTGTTCATGTTCCCCAGAAAAGATTTACTTGCTCCTGCTTGGCCTGGTTCTCTACCTGTGGTCCCGTTTCTGGCTGTCGCGCTTGTTTTTTCATTCACCGTGTCAACAGTCGCGTCTTCTCCTGGCGGTGTCGAGGTCGACTTCACGCTAGTGCTGCTCGAAGTAGCAGCCGAGTCTTTGCCTCGTGCTCGTCCTGATGTTAAGCCGCTACTTCTACAAGCGGCATCATTTCGTCCCTGTAGTAAATCCTTATCGCCGTTTTGCTTTTGGTGACCACCATGATCACCGCTGCTCCTATTCTGAGAATTCTTTCTTACATCGTCATCCACCACCAGTCCCGACGCGCTGGTGGTGCCAACCGATGCAGCATAGCAGTTGTTGTTATTTCTGTCAACAGTTTCCTTCTTCGTCGCCTTCCGTTTCCTTTCTCGCTCGGCCAGGTCGTTCATTTTGTGGAGAAATTTGGACCCTTGTATTTCCGGCGAAAACCAGTTTCTACTTGATGTTTCCGCCTTTTGTTCTTCGCCGGCTGGTAGGTTCTTTTTCCGGTCTTTGATGGTACTGGACCGGTAGTTCACGGTCTGCTCCAACAGCCGGCGTCCCCACCATCCCTTGGCCAGGAAATGCAGAACATCCGCGACGTCGTCTCGGTTGTATTGCGGCGGCGGGTTTATTTGGGCGGCAGTCGATGAAACATCTGCGGTTTCTGCGGAAGTGGTCACGGAGTTTGTATTGCCGCTTGCCGAAGAACCTGTTGAGCCAGAAGATGAACCATTGCTCGCCGCTCCTCCTCCTGCGTTGTTCCTTTTATTTTTGGAATTGTTCCGAGAAGTCGTGACAACCGAGTTCTTCGCTCCACTTGTTACTACACCACCTCCCGTAGAAGTTCCAGGGCCAGCCGTAGTGGCGCCGGCGCCCGGAGGGGTAGACATAGAAGAGGTAGACGCCGCGCCAGTACTTCTAGAGCTTGCCTTGGATGTCTTTCCCGGAGGACCTCCGCCGGTGGACACATTAGAAGCCGTCGTGTTGTTTTGCATGGGCGTGCCACAAGACGAGGATGTGGAGCCCGGACTAGAACTAGTTGCGTTGTGGTTTTGCGCATCGTGGTGTCCATGCGTGGTACAAGTAGTACCTGCCCCCTCGGTCGATTTTGCATTAGAACTACTAGTACCACCACCACCTACGTCCCGCTGCTGGTCTTCCGAAATGCGCTGCTTTTTTTTGTCGCCCGCCCGTTGCTTCAGGTAGTTGCTGAGCCACCAGTCCGGCGAAGAGTTGTCCAGCATCCTGTGAAAATCGTAGCCCGGGTGCTGTGGTGGAGATGCCTGCTGGTGGCCACGACTCTGAGTCCTGCAGGAGTTCTGTTGCTGCTTTATTTCTTCACTAGTAGATGTGGGCGTAAGTTCAGTATTTGGCTTCATCCCAGGTTGTTCAATATTCGACTTTGGTGCACGATGAAACAAGCTCCTTTCCTTGATGTCGCTGCCGTCGAGCATGACCATCTTGTGCACCAGCGGCGCGCGGCGGTGGCGGTTCCGGGCGTGTTTATTAACGTTTCCATTCTTTCCCCGACGTCCGACTTTGGGAAGCTGCACCACGTCATTACTAGCTTCACTGCTCGCGGACGAAAATGATGCTGTGCTCGTCTCGCTAGAGGACGAAAAGTCGTCCTGCTCGGAATGCGCCACAATTGAAGAAGGGGCTGTTGAGTCATCTTCTGAGTCGCTAATTTTACAAGAACTTCCTGTTCCTTCATCTTCGCCCGAGGACGAGCTCGTCATGCCGTCGACATCAGAAGAACTTGCTTCAGTGTCTGAGGAACGATTTGCGCTGCGGCTGTCGCTGCTTGCTGATGTGCAGCCTGCTTTCTCGTCGCTGCTGGAGCCTCCAAAGGCCCTCGAGCCAAGACGACCAACATTTATTTTACCACGATTGACCCTGTGCTTGTCTCCGGGTTCTTCATCTCTGTCTGTCCTTGTGCTTCTATTCATAGCTCCACCATGGTCCTGTTTATTTTCATGATTCGTCATCTTTTGAGTACTGTTTTTGTTGCCTTGCTTTCCTGCTGCTGTCTTCCTTCTCCTCTCGCGAGCACGAAGACGCCGGTCGTTCTCGTAGTTTCTCTTGCTTTTTCTCTTCTTTACTCCTGCCCGACCCAAGACTTTGATCGTCACATCCTCGAACGTGTTTATGGTGCGGTAGAGTTTCCTCCGGCGGTCCAGGTCTAGCAAATGCACCAACAAGGCATCCAGCATGCGCATGATTAGCAGGAAGATGGTTTCGATCAGTTCGCAGATGACGTCCAACAAATCGCTGCACAACAGCCACGACGTCCGGCTTTCCCCGGGTGCCGGCAGCGGGCTGCTTGACAGCCGGAAGAAGGTGGGCGGCTTGGGGTTGGGCAGCTGCCCGGGGCCCTGCGATTGGGCCAGAAAGGGCGCGCAGGCCCGGGTCACGGCATTCTCGATCGACCGCAGCTTTCGAGACCGCCAGGACTGCGAGATTTTTTTTCGAAGGAGCTCTGCTTCATGTTCCTCTTTTGTTTTAGCACTAGAACCACCTCCTCCACCAGGGAATACAGCTTGATGCCCAAAAAGGGTCGTTATTCTAGTGCCGCCAAGAATTGTTCCTTGTGCAGCACTTCCGGCGGTAGACGAAGAGCTAGACTGTTTTGGATTTCCTCCCGTAGTACCAAGAGCTGCCGTGTTGATCGCCTTTATTTTTCGGTTATTCCTGGCGGCCACGCCCGCGGAGCTCCGTCGGTTGTTGGAGGACCTAATCCCGCCGCTCGCCGCGCCACCGCCGCCCTTGCCTTCGCTCTGTGCCGCTTGCCCGGTCGCGCCAGCACAGGAGGTAGTACTCGTGCCTGGTTTCTTGCTGTCTGCAGCAGTGCCGCTCGTCGTTCCAAATGTTGTACTCGACACGACCCCTTCTTGCGCGACAATCTGCTGCTCTGCTTCACTCGTCCCTCCGAAAAGTTTTTTCCGCAGCATTTCTGAGTCCTGCGCCTCCTCGGCGTGCCGGCGTAGCGTGCTGGCGATGAAGTCGTGTGATGAAGTCTTCGAACAAGATTCGCTACTAGCAACGGCGTTTTTCGACGTCTTGTCGCATTCGTCTCTTCGATTCAGAACGGCCAGCAACGGAAAATCTTCGTTCCTACTGCAGGATGTTGTTGAATTTGCGTCGCTCTTGTCCTCCGCTCTGAGAACGTCGATTGCAGAAGGACCACTCGATGATCTGCAACTGATTTGTTCCAGCTCCAGTTTCGTCCGCTCTCGGTCCTTCTGCTTCTGCCGGGGGCTCCGCCCGCTGCCGAAGGGCGGTCGCTTGCGCTCTACCACCTTCTCTTCGCCGGGCCGCGTCGAGGTGGACCAGAGCACCTGCAGATCGCCCTCACCCTCGCCGGACACAATGGTCTCGAGGAAGTTCTGCGACTCGGGGCTCGAGGGGGCATACACTTGCCGCATGCGGGCGCGGATCGTGGCGCAAGTGTCCTTATGCATTGCAAATGTGTCTGGGTCTGCGTCTGGAAACTTGTGATGCTAAAATGTGGATGATGGAAACATTTTGGAAAGCTAGCACAAGCAGCCTAGCATGACAACTTTCCAGAACGCTTTCTCATAGGTAGTCCGCATGAGAAACTGCGTTTTTGCATCACAAAAATGGCTGCCACTTTTGTCGGTTATGCAATACAGATCTCCCACGAATGTGGAGCTAGCATGACAGATTCCAACTTTCCAGACCCAGACATATTTGCTTTTGATAGTCCTGAAAAAACATCTCGTCATGCTCGTACAGCCATGCCTATCCACAGTGAACTTCCCGCACACGTACAAATGCGGTCTCTGCATGGCAAAACTTGGCTTCGATCCTAGTTTAGCATGACAAGTTTCACACTTGAAATTGGGGAAATTTGTGATGCACCTTGTACATGTACGGGAAATTTGTATTGCATAATGCCTCCTCCGAACCATCCGAGTACGAATGATCCTCGTCCTATACAGGAAAAATAAACACCCATCGCATCCTCATTGAATTTCTGCATGACAAACACAGTATTTTTTGCATGTTTTGCATGACAAATCATTGGATGGGGATGGGTGCTTTCTCGTGGATACGTCCGAGCTGTCGGTCGTTCTCTCTTCTGAAGAGCTGGAGGTGGAAACTGAAGCAGATCGGTTATGGGTGCCTTGTTTTCCTCCGCGGCTTTTGCTCTTGTTTCCGCTAGATAATGTTGAAGTAGTTGCTGTGCCACCTCCACCGTTCTTCCCCTTAGTACTCTTGTTTCGGAGATTGCTCTCTTTATTGTTCTTCCGCTCCGTCGCAGCTTTCTTGGCCGCTTTGCTCTTACGGCTGTTTTGCTTACTGCTGATGGCCTCGCGGATCTGCTGCTGCACGGTCTTCGTATTCTCGATCGGCAGGGGATTTTTAGCAGTAGAGGCGGGGTGCTTGTTGTTCGTACTATTGCTGCTAGTACTCGAGGTTGAAGACCCTTTCGTTGAATTTGTGTTTGTTCCGTTGACTGTGCCTGCTTTGCTGTTCGCGTTCCCACTAGTAGTACCACGACCAGGAGTGCCTTCTGTTGTGCCGGCTGCAATACTGTTACAACTACCTGACGAGCCAGAACACAAACTGTTGTTCTTCTTATTTCCACTAGACGAGCCAGCTGCAGCTCTCTTCCCTCGCGATCCGCCCGCGGCGCTGCAGCTGTCCAAGGCAGCAGCGGTGCCCGCCGTAAATAGCACGCGGGTGACGGTGATCGGGTCCCCTGTGCCGCGCATGGCGAAAACGCAATGCTGCCACACCTGCTCCAGCTGTCTGCTGATCGAACTGCACGCGTGTTCCAGCGCACACGCGTTTCCGCCGACGTACTTGACCAGAAACGCGGGCAGTAAATACGCGGCCAAATCGACGCAAAACCACCCGTACCGCAGGTTTTGAACGTCCTCGAAGGAAGCAGTGCTGGAAGAACTTGAATTGCTAGAACTACTAGCGCCGTCCTCCTGCGACTCATCATCCTGCCCGTCCTTCATCTTCGCGTCCTCCTCCTCCTCCTCCCCTGCCCCCGTCGCATCGGGCCAGGAAAACAGGCACCGCACGTTGTAGGTGGTGCCGCGGTTTAGAAACAAACTGTCATTGTGGTGGTAAAACATCTGGTGGCCCCCGCCAAAGGAGTTGTCGAAGCGGCCGCGCAGAAGGGTGTCGAGAAAGCTCGACTCGACCGACGTCGGAAGCTTTTGGCAGCTTGAGGATGTTTCAGATTTCGTATTTGATGTAGTAGTTCCTGAAGCTAGGCTGGCTAGTGAACTGTCCAAACTTCTTATTTCCTTGACATTTTTATCGCCGTCCTGACCTGAACCATGGTGATCCACAACAGCGGTTGACGGAACTGCCGCGCGTGTAGTCGCGGGGGCCGTTTTCGAGCTCGAGGACAGGGGATGAGCCAGGGGGTTTTTGTTTTTCAAAGTGGCAACACTTGTTGCACCTGCTTCGTCGTGGTAGTCCACCCCACGATTCGCACTCGAGGATCCTGCTGCTGTGGATGTGGTCGTAGAACTCGACGACGCCGTTGAATTTTGAAGATTCACCGCGCAATTTTCTGTGCTAGGTACAAAACCACGTGGTCCTGGTCCCGCTGCAGCCGCATCATTCTTCATCCCTGTGGTCTCCGCAGAAGATGTAGCCGAAACGACGCTCCTCTTTTTCGCTGCGGCCTTGATGAGCGCATTTGCGAGAAGTGAATTTTTACCAACAACAGCAGCAGTTCCGGGCGCAGCTGCGCCGATGGCGGACGACCCCGAGGCTGTCGTTCTGGAATTATCTTCTGCACGATTAGAAGTAGGGCCAGCTGGTGTTGTAGAGAGCGCGGGTGGTCCTGGTCCACCGTCCGTGTTGCAGACAACACTAGGTGCTGATTTGTTCTTGTTGTTACACGACCCTAGTGGCTCCTTTTGTGGTGAAGAGGTAGAAGATCCTCCTCCTGTGGGGGCCCCACTGGTGCTTTTTAGCACATTTTTCGTGCTGCTGCTGGTGTTTTTCATTTCAGTCATTGGCTTACTGTTGCTTTCGTCCATGAGCTGCCGCATCCGTCGGATTTCCGCCGCTGACAGATTTGCGGATTCCGGATCGTGCGCGTCCCACTGCACAACTGTGCCGGTTACTCCCATAACGCACCCCCATGCTCACAAATGAAAAAACTCCGAAAGGATTCCGACGAGATTACGAAACTGTGAATGAAAATTGCTGCGGAGGGACTTGCCAAAAATGAGCCGAAGACCCTCCGCCCGCTCCTGATCGAACGGCCCGCCCCTGTGTCGTTTTGCGATCGCGTTGGCCTCTGCCGCCTTTGCCAAGCCATCGCGGTCGAGGAAAAAGTAGATCGCAGAGAGCAAGTCGCTGCCATGGTCGTAGACCATAACTTTAGCTGCAACAATCTATGCTCATAACTTTAGAAACAAAGGCGCTGGCCATAGGTTATAAAAAAGAGCAACCAGCACGACCGAGATAGAAACAGGAAGGGACTGGACGCAGATAGAAGACGAGAGCAGGCGGGCCGTTCCGGTTTTCCATCCCGCTTTCAGCGAGCGGCGGACATAGGTGGGGAAAAGGCGAGCCGTATGGACGTGGTGCTGGGCGTGCCTGCGCACACCACGACAAAAGGCGTGAAGGATCTAGTTTCGAAATGGAGAGGTTATTTTTTCAGACGCAAACACACCGAAGTCAAATTCGAACAACATCTAAAACTACTCCAAATTCCACAAATACGCATTACAGATTTAATATTCCAAGTCTAGTCTTTCCCAGTTTCTAATGCTATTTCGCGTCTTTTCATATTCCTAACCGTGTCCGTAGCCGTGGCTCAGCTCCTTGAAAGTAGTGAAAAGGCAGTTTGTAATGCGAATTCAGCGTAAATCAGACCTAATTTCTTTGCTTTCTTCTTCTCTTCTTTTCTCTTTCCTTTTCTTTTCAATCGCGGCAAGAATTTGCTTGCTTTTCCTTGGTTTTCGGTCTTTTCTCTTGCTCGATCGATTTCTTGGCTTTTCCTTATCATCCTCTTCATTTTCTGAGTTTTGATCTATGAGAAACAGCGTTCAAAACTAGTTTTCAATTACACAAACCGCCCCCAACGCTTTTTCTCATGATCAAAATCTAAAACCACAAATCTTACAGAAGCTTGAAACAGAAACGGATGGTCTAAATCCTACATGAAATTCTAAATCGTAAATCCAAATCTGTATAGCATAAATCCATAAACAGCTTCCATAAACTTCGTCTTCCAATCCTCATCACATCATCTACTTCCATCGCAGCATCGATTTCTTCTCATCGCAAATCCGAAACCAATACCGTAACGTCGTCAGCAAATCCGTATCATGCGCACAGCGAGCACCAATTGAAGGATCCCATGTCCAAATCCATCTTCGTCCTTCTTATCGCAAATTCTCCCGTCGTACTCCAAAGCCGGTCGTAGTTCAAATCCAGCAACACAAATTCGAATTGTCGTCGCACAAGATCAAGTTCGTCATCTCGTAGTCCAACCATTTATCGAAATCCAGCATGACAAAGTCGCATCCGCGTCGGCTCCTGTCCAAAACAAATTGTTCGCCGCATGTACTCCAGAAACAAATCTTCCTTCCACACCGTATCAGCACCGGGATCGCGTAAATCTGAAGTCGTCTCATTCTCGAGTCGCGATTGGTATCGGAAGGTCTGCATGCGATGGTCGGGAACAAATTCTTCTCCGGCCGAAAAGCGAAAACAAATCTTCGTCGCCCCGAGCGTAAAACCGCATTACAAATTTCGCAATAGGAATCGAACTCGTGCTGCAATTTCCCCAAACGAACCCGAAGTCAGGCTCTTGTCGGTCGGAGTACAAAAAGTCGTCGAAAGATACAGGCGTAGTCCGTGGTCGTCGAGTAGTCTTAGAACCGAAATCGCACGGGGTCATCGACATCTGCATCGTCCTTACGTCAACGGGGAAAGAACGGCGGTCGTGGTGCAGAAGCAATTTTTCGTCGCAAGGGTGCCAAAGTCGTACAGAAATTCATCGGCCGGCTGTCGGTACCATCGGCGCGTCACATCGAAAACGAAGATCGTGCTGCCGTCGGTCGAAAACAAATCTCTCCAGCATCGGCAGGTGGCACTGCCCCCTAACGCCATACGAAGCTCGCCGTCGTCCTCCATCCGAAAACTCCAATCTGTCATGCTGAACGGAAGCAGATTCAAACTCTGCCGCGTCGGTGTCTGCGAATCCTGAAAACCCTGCATCCGAAAAACTGCGCGTCTTGCCATCGTCACTGCTACTGCTGATCCTGCGTCTAAATTTCCGTGTCTCCTAGTCCCTGCATTTGAAAGTTGTAAAAGTTGAAGTCAAAGTCGCTCCGCGCCCCCATTGCTGTGTTCCAAAATCTTACATCCGAAAGACCGCAGCACTCGTTGTCACCACTGCTGCTGCTGTTCGCGCTACTATTACTGTATTCCGTTTTCCTTTTTCGTTCCTGCGTCTAAAAATCGGAGTCAGTGCTGCGTGCTGCTTGTTGTCGAAATCGAAATTGTTCTACGCCCCCATACTGCTCTACGTTCTTGCTTCGCGGTGTTTCGCGTTCGTATCGGCGACCTCTTCCTACTGTTCTCTGCTCTGCGTCCTGGTTTTTGCTTTTGCTTTTCTGTTGCTGCTTTGCTTTCATAGTCTATGCCCGTGTTTTAGTGTTGTCCCGAGTTTTCTTCTTGTTGTCCTGGTGCTTTCGCACCTCTGCCCGAGTGTACTCGTCAAGGTCTACTAGTGCCTAAAAGCCCGAAACCCGAAGTCAAATTATCATCGCCGTCATTCGTCATCTACTCTTCTTTCTTCATCCCGAACACAAGTGCAGATCTATCTTCAGCAGGTAGTCATCCCCGAAACCCGAGAGGACCAGAGGACCAAAATCCTAAAACTGCGAACACAAACCTCGAGCCCCGAAGCTAGAAATCTTGAATCCCGGTAGGTCAGCGTGTATCGGGAGCCTGAATCAGGACGGAACACCAAGCGAAGAAGTTGCAGTCACCGACAAAGTCGACCGCAGTACGACTACACGCCCCCTGACTGGAACTTCTTCTTCATCTTCTTATCTTCATCACTGCGTCTTCGAAAAAGCAACAGCTTCTACCGGCGTTGCGAACACAAAGGGGGAAGGGGAAAAGTCGCAGTCTTGGGTTTCGCCCTGTACTACTGCTGTCGCCCCCGTTGCTACAAGTCGGGGTCGTAAGTAGTTACGCCTGCTACAACCGCTTCATGTCGAATCTGGCCGCAGGCTCGAACTGCGAAAGCAAAGAAAATCTCTTTCATGCATCTAGGTATGTACTATATTGAGCTGTCTACATCTGTGCCGCTCTCCTTTCTTCGTCGGTACTGCTACTGCTGATCTACCTATCCAGCCCGCTCTTCGTCTAAAATCTTGAGCCGGGTTCTCTCGTGCGAGACTGGAATAGTACTCCATCTTCGTAACGCCGTGGTTGAAATTTGGAGGCGGAAATGCAATCCGAATTACTGCTGCGTCCGAAAGAAACTCTTACTCTTCATCTTCACGCCAACGGTCTCTGCACGGAGTGCCGCTTTCTCCGTCTCCGCTGTTCAAAACAAATCCTGCATGTCTACTACTGTAAACGGCCGCTCCGCTCTGCACTGCTACTGTGAGGGAGGGAGGTCTTCTGCTCCTGCTGTGCTCGAAACAAATCTCGAAAAAGTAGTAGTACCCACAAGCCCTGGTCTCTACTTCTACTCCCAAATCAAAAACACCTGCACCATAGTCAAGCCCGCTTCTACCTGCTTCTGCAAAAAAAAACACATCGCCGCATCTTCATCCCCGTCTCTACGTAGTGAACTGGTGAACAGGCTACCGCCGTCTTGTCGAGCTACTCCCGTTTCGTTAGTGGGCAAAGCAAAGTAGCAAGCAACCACTCAAAGCCTTCTGTAGCTGTTCTCCGTCACTGTCGGTCTTGCTGGAATAGTCGCGCGCCTATAAATCTGCATCGGGTCCTGCTGCAATACATAAATCGAAAATCTTCGCTGCCATCGCTTAACCGTAACCGCAGAAAAACAACATCCGTATCCGTAAGTCGAAAAAATCCCATAAATCTTGGAACGTACCCCAGGCGCATCTGTAAACTGTTCTCCCGCGAACTTTGTGGCGACTGGGGTCTCGTTAAACAAATAAATCTATCCAGTGGCAGAAGAACTCCTTGTCCTTCTCCGTATAAAAAATCTTTTCCCGTGGTCTAAAAAATGTAAGCGGCTTCCGGTTCTGGGACTGGTCTGGTTGATCTCCGTTCTATTCCTTTTCAGCATCGTCTAATCCAAATTCTTTGCGCGGTTCTGTTCCATTAAGAGCTCTAATCTCCATTGTTCTCGACTTCACCTGCGGGCCAGGTGTGTTTCCACCTCTTGCTGAAGCAAACTTTTCCCCCTTCATGTAATACTGTTCTTGCGGTTTCTTTGCGGCGTTCTTGTGGTGCTTCTTCTCCTTCTTTAGCGCCTTCTCTTTCTTCCTTCGGTTCTTCGAGGCCATTGTAGTGGGGAATCTAACTAAAACAGTAGAAAGCATCTTCGCAGCTGTGTCGAACTATGCCCAGGTTCTCCACCAATTGAAGGATCTAGTTTCGAAATGGAGAGGTTATTTTTTCAGACGCAAACACACCGAAGTCAAATTCGAACAACATCTAAAACTACTCCAAATTCCACAAATACGCATTACAGATTTAATATTCCAAGTCTAGTCTTTCCCAGTTTCTAATGCTATTTCGCGTCTTTTCATATTCCTAACCGTGTCCGTAGCCGTGGCTCAGCTCCTTGAAAGTAGTGAAAAGGCAGTTTGTAATGCGAATTCAGCGTAAATCAGACCTAATTTCTTTGCTTTCTTCTTCTCTTCTTTTCTCTTTCCTTTTCTTTTCAATCGCGGCAAGAATTTGCTTGCTTTTCCTTGGTTTTCGGTCTTTTCTCTTGCTCGATCGATTTCTTGGCTTTTCCTTATCATCCTCTTCATTTTCTGAGTTTTGATCTATGAGAAACAGCGTTCAAAACTAGTTTTCAATTACACAGGCGCGCGCCCCACACCATCGGGGCTGCGTGCACACGCGCCAGCCCCGAGCTGTTTACGCAGGCACCCAACGCGCGAAAATGTGGGCCGCATACCATCGGCGCTGTGTGTACACGCGCCAGCCCCGGGCGGATTACGTAGGCGCCCAACGCGCAAACGCGTGGGGCACCAACATGGCAACGAGGCCGCGGCGGCACGCCGATGGTTTTAGAGGGGGAAGAGGCGGGCCGGTTTGCTTTCTTTTTACTTTTCCCCAGCATATCAAGCAAGCCCCGTCCGGCCGTTTTCGCAATGAGGCCGATGGGCTGAGATGCGAACCAGGCGAGCCGCTCTGGTTTTCTCGCTTTCCGCGAGCGGTGGACTTAGGTGGGGACAAGGCGAGCCGTATGGCTGTGATGCTGGACGTGCGCGCACCACCACAAAAGACGCGCGCCCCAAGCCATCGGGTCTGCGTGTACACGCGCCAGCCCCGGGCTGTTTACGCAGGCACCCAACGCGACAAAATGTGGGCCGCATACCATCGGCGCTGTGTGTACGCGCGCCAGTCCCAGGCGGATTACGTAGGCGCCCAACGCGCAAACGCGTGGGGCAGCAACATGGCAACGAGGCCGCGGCGGCACGCCGATGGTTTTAAAGGGGGAAGAGGCGGGCCGTTGGGTTTCTTTTTACTTTCCCCCAACATACCAAGCAGGCCCCGACCGTTTTCGCAATGAGGCTGATGGGCTGAGATGCGGGCCAGACGGGTCTAATTCTACAGCGCTCTAACATACAACAATAAATGGAAACACAACGGACAGCCGGGCTGTGCTTTACAGATCGAGAGAGACTACCAACAAGATAGACAGCCGCGTCGTCGGGTTATGTAAGCGCTGCCAGACCGGGGAAAATTGGGCGCCCAGGAAACGGCACGAATACCATCGGGGGTAATGTTACCCACGACGGCACTGCGTCCGATGTTTTTTCTAGGCCTTCGCTGTTTTGGTCGGGTTTGCATGATGTGTGCCCTCGTTAATAGCTTTTTTTCAGCCTACCCAAAATCCCCACGAAACGCAACTTTTAAGAATCCGAAGAGACTCCGAAAAGACTCCGAAAAAGGCGTCGGGAAGATGCGAAAAAAAGCGACCGCCTTCATCATAGCAGGCGGCGAAATTTTCGGAGCGAAAAAATGGGAGGCAGTTTCGGATTCTTTGCGGAGTCGCGGATTTGCTGCACTCCGGAGACGCGGACGCGATACACTCCTTTGCGGAACATGAAATCGCCCGCGACTTCCAGAAAAGAAGAAAAGCCAAACGGCTCGCCCTGTTCCCGCCTAAGCCCGTCGATCTTCTTGCGAAGGAGATCAGGGCTGGCCTGAGATGGTGGGCGGGAGAAAGAAAATGGCCAAACGGCGCGCCTTGTCCCCCTCTAAAACCATCGGCGGGCCGCCTTGATATGCTGCTCGCACTTTTGCGCGCCGGGGGGGGCGCCCCCATATCATAAACAGGCCGGGGGCGCGTGTACACGCCGCCCCGATGGTGTGGCGTCCGCGCCTTTTGTGGTAGTTGTTAGCGCACGCCCAGCATCACGGCCAAACGGCTCGCCTTGCCCCCCTCTAAAACTACCGGCGTGCCGCCGCGGCCTCGTTGCCATGCTGCTTGCCCACGAATTTGCGCGGCGGGCGCCTACGTAATCCGCCCGGGGCTGGCGCGTGGACACACAGCGCCGATGGTATGCGGCCCAACCTTTTGCGCGGTGGGCGCCTGCGTAAACAGCTCGGGGCTGGCGCGTGGACACGCAGCCCCGATGGTGTGAGGGGCTGGCCTTTTGTGGTGGTGTGCGCACGCGCAAAAGCACAGCCATACGGCTCGCCTTGTCCCTACCTAATTCCACCGCTCGCCGAAAGCGAGAAAACCAGAACGACGCGCCTGGTTCGCATCTCAGCCAATCGGACGGCCGCATTGCAACAAGGCAAAGGGCCCGCCTCTTGTTCCCTCTCTATCTAAAACCATCGGCGAGCCGCCGCGGCCCCGTTACCATGCTGCTGCCGCACGCGTTTGCGCGCTGGGCGCCTACGTAGTCCGCCCGGGGCTGGCGCGTGGACACACAGCGCCAATGGTATGCGGCCGACGCTTTTGCGCGCTGGGTGCCTGCGTAAACAGCTCGGTGGGGCGCGTGTACACGCAGCCCCGATGGTGTGGGGTGCACGCCTTTTGTGGTGGTGCGCGCACGCCCAGCAGCACAGCCATACGGCGCGCCTTTTCCCCACCTAAGTCCGGCGCTCGCTGAAAGCGAGAAGCCCAGAACGATCCGCCTGGTTCGCATCTCAGCCAATCGGCCGCATTGCAAAAAGGCAAACGGCCCGCCTCTTCCCTCTCTAAAACCATCGGCGTGCCGCCGCGGCCTCGTTGCCATGCTGCTGCCGCACGCGTTTGCGCGCTGGGCTCCTACGTAGTCCGCCCGGGGCTGGCGCGTGGACACACTGCGCCGATGGTATGCGGCCCACACTTTTGCGCGTTTTCGCTGCCATGTGGTCCAGACCTGCCGCGGGCCGCTTTTTGTGGACTGCGCAAAACGCCGGCAGTTCAAAGCTGCGAAGCGCTTTTTGTTAATGTTGCTGCGCCAACGAACCGAGTCGCGGCGGAGCGATTATCTTCTGAACTGCGAAGAAGCTTTCTCGAGTCGCTGCCCCGTTGTTTTTTGTCTCCACTTTCGGATTGTTGTCGTAATGTTTTCGGAGTTTTTCGGACGGCCTTGGAAGGGGGTGTGTTACGGGAGTAAGCCGGCGACTGTGGAGATCGTCGCGACTTCAATGGTATTCCCCGAGGAGGACGTGGACGTGGACGGCGACGGCCAGGAACCGATTCTGTGGTCGTTCGACTGTACGTCAGTTGATGGCGCTGCCGGTGCAACAGGATTTTTGAGACTGACACTCGAGGCGGAAGATGAATCAGGACTACCTCCCAATAAAGATGCCACTAAATTATTTTCAACACGACCTGCAGATCTAGTTGCTGCAGCACTCGCGGCGGCGGCCTGTTGTAGGATCCTGGACCTTGCCTCAGCGTACTCAGACACGACAGGCGGTGTCGTGGTGGCAATGGTTGTTGTGCTAGAAGTGGTCGCAGAATTCTTGGTAGTTGTGTAATTATTGGTACCACCTCCACTTGCAGCCGGTGGGACTTGTTGCTGTGCTTCATCTGCAGCAAGCGGTCGCGCATGACCACTATTGTGCTGCGGCCCTTTAGAATTCTTCCCCGGCGATGTTGTTGCCGATGCGAACGTCTTCTTGCCTCCCCCGCCGGCACCTCCAGATGGAGCCCGAACAGGATCTAGTACTACCCCACCAGTCGCAGTTGCGCCGGTCGACGTCGTTGAACAAGACGACGTTGTTGTACTATTCGTCGTGGTCGTGCTAGAAGTTGTGGTTGTTGTTTCCACCAGCGGTCCGTTGCAACACGGACATTTATTCGACGGGTTTTTTTTCAACGTGGCGCTTTTATTCCCCCCGGCTCGCTTGGCGGCCTTCTGCAGGATGGCGGAAGCCAGCCGTTCCTTCGCGGAGAGCTGCTTCGGGGGGTGATGATTGTCTGGGTTATTGTTGTCCTTGTGATTCGAGCAACCGGGTGTGTTACAACCGGTACGCACGTTGCTTGAAGAGGTGGAGGAGGAGGTGGTGGCACTGCCGCTCATCTTGATCTTGTTGTGCCCTCGCAGGTAATAAACCACAACCTCAGGAACTTCGAACTTTGATATCAAACCATCTTATGTTTCACTTCACTCACTGTAGAAGTCTTCTACATGCTCTTAGGAGGAAAAAGGAAAGGCTTTAAGTACTTTATAAATTCAAATAATGAAATTCTATGTTATTTCGGGGCGATCGCAATCGGATTTGCTTCTGGCTTTTTTCTCCTTTGACAGCAACAAGCTGCTGCCTAGCCGCAGTCACGTGTTTTTCTAGATGCTACAAAGGGCCGCGCCGTACAAGAACGCATACAACTACGTGAACTCTTGCTCTTCAGAAACAGTTGTGTATTTGGCGGGGCGGCGACACAAGTGTAAGTGAGTCCCCCTGTTTGTTGCTGGTGATAAAGATAACTCGAGGCAACTACACGGACGTAGTTGACACATCTTTTTCTTGTTGCACAGGCCGGCCCCACGACGCTGCAAAAGGTGATCGGCTTGAAGTAGAAAAGCCAAAGCTACACGCGCAGCTGTTCCTTCATCAAGATCCAAGAACAAGCCGAGAAGGGAGCATCAAACAATGTCCCAGGGACAACAAAAATCCACCAAAGAAGATAATCTTCCGCTCATTGCGCATTTGGATTATATGAGCAGCTACTTCATCTTTGGATCTTCTTCATCTCCACGATCTGCACGAAGTTATGTGTGCAGCATATCATGCGGGTTCTCCACTTTTCCTGCAATGTTCTTCTCGTGCTAGTTCATCAACACACTCTTGGCGTGTATATTTTTACTCACCACGACGACCTTTGAAGACCACGTTCGCAAAGCTGTGAAAAAAAAATGGTCCTTTTGCTCACCTCCGCCCAATTCAAACATAAACATTCATAACATCATCAAAACTACCCTCGTCCCTACTACTTCCACACCCTTGCGAACGGCAGATACTGCTTCCCATCCGGGTCGGGAATGAGGCTGAAGATGTAGTTGTGGATTGAAAATATGTCTGGTATCCGGCTGAAAAAAACTATCACTATCACAAAAAGCCACTTTTTGGCAAAAATTGATTTTTTTTTGATTTTTTTTGCGGCGCATTGGGGCTCGATCCTTGTGCCTGGTATATTGTTATTGTTGTTGCGATTAATGAGTGATATAGTTAGCTAGCTAGTGGTCGCTTGTGATGATTGTCATAGCTAACAGGAGAGCCGAAAGGAAGGCCGGGCCGGGCCCTCGCTCCGAAGGCGAGCTCCCGAACCCTTGGTGGTGCCCCGGCCTTGGCGGGTCGGTCCCTTCCGGCCCGGGGCGGGAGGCGGCCAAAAGGTGCGCGGCGATCGCCACTCTCCCACCGTGTTTGAAAAAAACTATCACGCCACTTTCTGGACCTGATTCCCAGCTTTCAGACCTGGGCTGATTTGATGCTCCGGCGGTGGCGGGTGAGCTGCCTTCCGTTCCGAGGCTAGAGGCGGCCAAAAAGTGAGGCTCGATCGCCAGTCTCAGCTCGTGTTTGAAAAACACTATCACACCACTTTTTGGATCTGGCTGCCGACAGCCAGTCCTCCCCGGATTTTTTTGGTTTTCAACACTGCGCGCGCAAATTTTTTCAAGAAATTCAAAAACCCGGAAAATCGATCATTTTGGCTGTGATAGTGTTTTTTCTGGCGGTGGTCCTATGTGGGCCGTACCGCCGTGTTTGAAAAACACTATCACACTTTTTTCCGGCACTCAAAAAATACCAACTTCACACCTTTTTACACTTTTTCTATAACAAATCGCTCAAAAGTGTAGTGTGGTAGTGTTTTTAAGCGCGAGCTAATGCTGCGAAAACACCGAAAATCAGCTCTTTTTAAAAATGCAAATCACGATGCTACGGCCCGGGTCAAAAAGGGACCCAAAATCGCCGTAGCGCCGTGGCTGAAAAACACTATCACACACAAAAAAGCGCCATTTTTGACCTCCCCGGAGAAGAAAAATCAATGTGATTTCAAAGTGTGAGCACCAAAAAAATTAGTGCTTGCGCCATCACCAATTTCTGCCGGAGGTTGTGGCCTTTGGCCTAGCCCCCGGGGGCTCCGGATGTCAGACCTGGCCTTCGAGCCCCCAGATCCATCTGGGAGCAGGTCTGAGAAACGAGCCATAGAGAAGTCGCTCTTTATCCACCAAACCCACCAATTCCAGACTCGTCGTTAACGAGCATGGTGGAGACACGCTTCCGCGCCCTCATGGCGCTGGCTGACTGGGCCGCAACGAATGGGGAGGTAGCTCTCGCCGTCCTCAAAAATGTCCGGGATTGTGATGGTGGTGCTCGGTTGTCGGTGCTCACAACCTGCAAGCGTCTCAACCTGCAAGCGTCTTGCCAGATCTTTCCTGTTAGCTAGGTAAATCATCACAAGTGGCCACCAGTTACCTTCTGACATTCATCATTCCAAATCAATCAAAACACTACTCAGGTCTTACCTTGCCGGCGAGAAAAAAAATGAAAAAATAATGCTGCTTCTTTGTAAAAAAAGTCGTATTTTTGGGTCGAAAAACGGCGCTTTTGTGATAGTGATAGTTTTTTTCAGCGCGATATCTGGGTCTGCGAGAATACAAACTTGTGATGCGCATTTCAGAACGTAGAAAAATATCTCATGCATAGGTAGCAAAAGCTGCCCACTTTCTGTCACCAAAGTGGGGGGTTTGTCATGCGGATTCGGTATTGCGGAAGCTTCTCGAAAGCTGTGGCGCTAGAGCTTCCATGCCAGACCTTCTGTGTCATGCAAAAACAGCATGACTCTTCCAGACACAGACATATTTGCATTTGATAGTAGTAGGACAGCACGTTTCGACCCCCGGCGAAAGCCTGCGTCTGCGCGGCGGGGGGTAAGTTTCTCGGCGCCGCCTTCTGTTCGTCCAAGAACACCGAATCGGTTTGGAATAGCGCGTGAAACATGCTGCGGCGCAGGGTGTAGCCGCTATGCATAGCAAAAGTAGCCGTACTAGTAGGAATAGCATGACAAGTTTTTCCAAGAAGAAAAATAGAATTTGTAATGCTGATTCACCTAAGATGGAGGATTTGTCATGCATCACAGCAATTACCATGAGTGCGATACTTTTGCAATGCATAGCCGCGGAGGCGCAACCATTTGAGCAGAGCGGTCTCCTGCTTCTCGCTGTGGTCAAACAGAGTGCTGGTGAAAACCAGATAGTGGGGGAGGGACTTGTACGGGAAATTCTTAGGAGAGAAGTTTTTACTGATGTGCGGAGACTTCTTTTGTGCTTCACCAGAAGAAGAGGATGTCATCGTCGTTCTCGCGGTACTAAAATAATGCGGCTGCCATTCGGAGTTCACGGTGATCAGAGTATTTTTCGCGGGATTTGCACTGCAGAAACTCCTCGCGGGCTGCCAGTCTGCATGCGACGTCGTCGTGCCACCCTCTATGGCGTTCTCAAGTGTTACATTCTCAACTGTTACATGTCAACTGTTACACAAAACCGCTATCACTTTTTACACAATCAAGCCTTTTTCGCATGACAACCTCTGTACGCGCTAAATAGCACTGCAATCCGTCCCAAATCTGTCACGCAAAAGGCGCAACTTTCCCCCTTTCAGTTTTGCCATTCTTGCATCACAAATTCATGTAACAGTTGAGAATGCAACAGTTGAGAACGCCATACCATCTGCTGTCGTCGTGTCTTCGGTCGGTTTCTCGAACAAAGTTTCCAGAACGGCAACCGGGTTGGCAACGAACCTATCGCGCCAATTCTTGAACTGCTGGTCGCGCACACGACCGCCAACGCCTTTGCGAGCAGCAGAGCGACCGCCCGGCGAGGAGTTGATGTAAGCATTATCCGCTGGTGCTGGCGAGCAGTCCAGAAAAGCAAAGTTTGCCGCCGGGGTGGGAGGGAGGCTGTGCAAGTAGGAATAGAGCGGCATTTCGTGACAGTCGGTCGCGAAGAAGATGTTGACGGTTGAATTTTCGTTGTTCGCATTTGATGTTCTTGGTGCTGAAGCCGAACTCGTGCTCGATGCTGTTCTTTCCTTTACCATGTCAACAAGATGCTCCCCGTCCTGCTGCCCCTTCGCCCTTATTTCCTTCAGAACCTGATCGGCACGACCCGACTCCGCTTCCACACACTTCACAATCTCGCCCTTTATCCGGTTTCGCGAACGCCCGACCTGGTCACACTCAGTGATGCGCTTTGCCGACAGCTTTGCCGCGTCCGCGTGCATGCGCCAGAGTTCGTCGCGGAAAAAGTGCAGCACCTTGTCCCCGCCGCGCTGGTGCAGAAAGCCGAAAAAGACAGCGCAGGCGATTTGGAAGAGGAACACGAAGAAGAAACCCGTGCGGCACTGCCGCCCGCTGTTCCACATCCTGACGCCCGCCTCCGCGGCGAGGAGGTGGCAGACCCAGGTTACCGGCATGAGAAACCGGTGCTCCTTGTGACTCGCCAGGGAAAGCCCGAGTAGCGTAACGAAAAACGAGAACAGGACGGGGCGCAGGCGTTTCTTCGCGGTCGGGGTCGTGTGGCGCTGATGTTTGATGTTCCGCTCGTGGCTCGACTGGAAAAATTGGTTCTCGTTGTCCCGACTTAGGGTTTCATCGCCTTCTGCTTTGTCTTGCAGCTCTGTGGCAGAGGTAGTTGCGCCGGCGCTTTCTTCTGGAATAATTTCAATTTCACTAGTGCCTCCTCGTGCCGGAAAAATCTTGAAGAAACCGTACAGCGCCAGGGGCAGGTAAGTGGTCAAGCACCCACCGAGCCCGTCCAGAAAATACCAGTAGATATTGTGCGTGCCGTACGCTGCCCCTCCGTCCTTCAACAGGTTGAATACGAAGAAGTTGAGCAGGGTGTTTACGGGTTGGTGCTGCGAAGAGCCAGAAGTTTTATGATCGTGATCAAGATTATCCCCGTGTTCATGAAACAAGCGGTAGCACGCAGAGTCGAGGCACAGGCCGAACACCGAGTGGGTCATCGTGGTGATAATCGCGTACTTGGAAAATTTCAGGATGATGTTCGTTCCGCAGTCGGCCCGCTCGAGTTTCAAATCTTTATCTACTTTCATCTGTTCCTTATCCTTGTCCTCAACCTCATTCATCACGAGCCCTTTCGAGGACGCATCGCTCCCCGTGGAACTAGTACCTACTTCGGGAGTTGTTGTGGTGTTGTTTTTCGTTTCATTCGCCAGCGCGACTTCCTTCGTACTTTTCGAGGGCGAAGCTTTACTATTTCTTTCGGCAACAGGACCAGAAGCCTCATCATCAGTTCTATCCTCCCCACACAGCGTTGCCACGACGAGATAGGTCCCCCAGAAGAGGTATCCTGTGCAAAAGTATCGCACTCGTATTGCAGTCATGCATTACAAGTTTTCTTGTTAAGTCGAATCCGCATTATAGATTTTATTTCTCATGCTAAGGAAATTTGTAATGCATTTATACGAGTACGAAGATACGTTTGCAATGCATAAGAGGGCGGCCGTGGGGCGGACCACGCAGGCGAGAGCGCCGAGGAAAACGGCGAGCCCGACCTGTTTTTCGGTATGGGAGTGTCAGAATTGAAATCGTCAAAGTTGAAATAGTTTGTGATGCATAAAATGGATGCCAGTTGGAACCCAGTTTCCAAGTGGCGCATGACAAATTTTGGTGATGCCTAAATCCAGTTTGTCATGCTGTTTCGGCAAAGATGGCTGATTTTCTCATGCTACTTTAGCAGCTCGAGCCCTAACCCCAAACAGGCTTACAATCGGCCTCCCTTGCCTGCTCTGCAACACACGTATTTCGCTCTATGCATTTTATGCATCACAAATTATTTCAACTTTGGCGATCGCGATTTCAATCCTGACACTTCCATACTCGGCCTGAAAATGGTACACACCGGCGACCGTGAGGAAGAGCTCCAGGCAACTGCTGTAGGTCCTCGTGATCGCGAACCAGTTGAACCAGGAGAGCAGGGAGTATCAAATGCGAATATGTCTGGGTCTGGAAACTTGTAATGCTGAGTTGTGATGAACAGTGTAGTCCCTGTAATGCAAAGCCAAGCATGAGATATATTTGCGCTGCTTACTGGTGCGCTTTCCGCATGACAAACAGCGTTTTGCATGCTAAGCCAAAGGGTCTCTTCTTGGACACGCATCACAAACTCTTTGGTCATGCCATACAAGCATGACAAAAATTGCATCCTTCCAGACCCAGACATATTTGCAATGCCTAGGGAGCACACCAAAACCATGTTGCACCGGAAGAGGTCTTTCTGGAACACGTACTGGGCGAAGCGGTACAGGTAGTATTCCGTGAGCGCAGCAATCACCGCCTGCACCAAAACCCTTGGCCCGTAGGCGATCAGATAATTCTCCAGGTACGGAAGCCACGGCTGAGTTGTGGTCGCAGCTGCAACCCCGCCTGGTGCAGCTCCCGAAGATGATGACAAACTCGCCACCGCGCCGCCGAATAACATGTGGGTCCACCGTCGGGGTAGGAACATTCGCAGCTTGTATGACAGTGCACAGCCCCCCCCCCTACTTATTGCATGAACAGCGAGACAAACCACGCCAGCGACCCTAAAGCCTGTGCATGACAAATTTATGTATCTATTGAGTAATAGCCGCGTTTGGGCTTTCGAAATGTGCCATGCATAATAGTGACGCAAGGGAGCAACTGGAATTGTGGATTTTGCATGAGAAATGAGAACGAGGGGGAGCTGTGCACCTGCACTCTCATAACGTGTCAGCTGGGAGCATGAAAAAGAAGTAGTACACGTTGGTCAGGAAGGACCACGGGGCTCGGAGGAACATCATGAGAACTCCTCCCGCTGAGTAGTTAGAATTGTTGCCACCTTCGACGTGGGAAGCAACGAAGTTGAAGATGTCCTCCACCTCGGCTGCGTAGGAGAGTACTCCGAAAACCAGGTGTACTGCCTTGTAATAGGCGACAAAAATCAGCGGGTGCACCCAATTCCGCAGCTGGTAGCAATTGTCCCATTCCCAGGTGTAGTGCCCGACGCCGAAGACCCACCGGTGCGCGATCTCCAGGCTTTGCCACTGCTCGTCTGGCGCAAAACTCTATGGCGTTCTCAAATGTTACATTCTCAACCGTTACATTGATTTGTGATGCAAGAATGGGAAAAGTGAAAGCGGGGAGGTTGCACCTGTAGCACTGCAAATTCCGCACCGATTTAGGTGGTGTCTAGCCTTTCGCAAATTTGTCATGCGAAGCAGCTAGATCGTGTGGATGATGATAGTGCTTTTGCATGACAAATTCATGTAACTACGGTTGAGAACGTAACGTTGGGGAACCCCATAAACTCGTGGCAAGCAGTGCGCCATTCAGGCTACGCCACAGAAAAAGCAGGGAAAAAAGTTTCAGGCCGCTCATGGTCATGCTGATGTTGCTGCTGTTCTTTGGGATGATATTAGAGGTGAAGACAGTAGTGGTCGTGTGGTTTTTATTCACTACTTTGACTTTCTAGTCCGGGATAAGCTTTAATATAAGTCTGAAAAGCGAACATCGAGGGGCACTTCAACGACTGTCAAAAAGCTGTTCAGTTTCTTATGTTTGGTCGTTGAGAAGAACGTCAACGTCTTCGAGACGTCGATAGCGGGCCGTGCCTAGACCACCAACTAAAAAGTGAACACTACTTGCGGAGAACGAGAAGGAGAGCTTCTGTTGTGCTGTAGGTGTAGCTGCCTATCAAGGGTTCTTTATCGAAGCTTCATCTTGAACCAGATTTATGTACAGGTTGTACTAGTTTTCCCCTGCAGCAAGCTATCTAAAGCGTGTTGGTGTTCTTCTTGACCACCGCAAGATAGAAATCCTGATCCTCCTGCGCCGCCCGTAGTTCGTCTTTCGATCGTTCCTTCTTGTCTATGAAAATGCACAAGAACTACACCCCTCTCTACAATTTCGTCGATCATGCAAAATGAAGTTTGATGTATTTGCTGCCTTATGTCGGCACTGTTATTTCGATTTGTGTGTGAAATTCATCTGTGCAGCCGAGCCCAGACAGTATCTTCAGCACAATCGGTGCAGAAAGAACTTGTCATGCGCAGGCCGGCGCTTCATGTCCTTCATGGCCAGTAGCGATTCAGTCTCATTGTATTGCTGTCCATGCCCTATGTGTACCTAATCAAACGGAAACGACGGGGAGCAGGAGAAGGTGGCGTGCGCTCGTTTCATACCATCCGCGAGAAATACAGCTGCGCCAGCGGGGGCTGCGGGGTTGATCATGTGGTCTCTTCTCGGTCTACTACTACTGCTAGCGTAGTTCTTCGCGGAGGTTGTTTTTTTCACGTCCACCAGGCGGGAAGATGAAAACGAGTTAGACTCCTGTTTCCGACTTCTGGGGCCTGTTTCTTGTATCTGTTTCTGTTCATCTTCTGAAGCAGGATTTCTTTGCACCTGCAACTGCTGGTAGTTTGGCTTGACCTCCTGTTGAACGTGAACGTCGTCATGGTCGACACCGACAAGAAATGACCACGACACCGACACGACTGAGCATACGAGCGATAGGCATAGGCCCAGCTGTTCGTTGTCGTATTGGGGGCCACTGACTTCTATCTTGCCATAAACGAATCGAACAACCACAACTTTTCTTCGCTGCGAAGATGATTCAAGACAACGGCCAAAACGGCAGCTGCACATTGTATAAATAATTGCCTCACCACCACAAACAAGTACACGTCCACCACCTCGTCGTGAAGGAGTTCCAGAAATACAAATACACCATTTCCTCAAGTTATCATCCAGACTTTTCAACTAGTACATCTTGATCCAAATTTATCAACTCATCATACAGGTTGTACTAGTTTTCCCCTGCGACAACCGTGGCAATGTAACGCGAAGGCTGCAGCACACTCCCATTTTCGGTGGTGATTCTGTACCTGTTCCTCCTAGTGGCCCACTGCCCCGCCCCTCACGCCTAAAATGCTAAGCCTAAAGGTCGGGAAATCTCAATTCACACTTGTGAGTTTTGAAGAAGCAACCTTTGGGACGTCGAAGTGCCACGACGTGCATGGCTGGGCGCGGCGGAATGTTGGCTGTGCGTAGGCTCTTTTTGGAAGTATTGCTGCAGGAGGAAGGCAGAGAAGGGGGCAGTTGCCGACCAAATCGCGCCCTTGCTCTTCTACGTCTTTACTACGATATAAATACACAAGCGCGGCATCTATGCAGAAACTACCCCCAGGCAAGCCCTCTGATATGCTTGGCCGCGCTTTTTGCGTAGCTGCAAGCCTTTTCCCTTCCCCCTGCAGCATGCTTCTTTGTGGCTTTTTCTTTCTATATCAAAAAGTCTTTTTGGTAGTGTCGGCGTGGGTTTGGAAACAGTGTGGCAGCGTGATTCCTGAGACCTTAGAGGGGTAAGGCAAAAACCCTCTTGCACAGTCGAGCATAGGCGTAAACTTCAACACCGCAGCAACTCAAGGAAGGGGACAGAAGCTGGGTGAAGAAATTCACACCCGAACCTTAGGTCTCCTATTTTGGGTCCATTTGTAAAGAAGTAACTAGCTACGTAAAGAGGCCTTCTTTAACGTTAGGAGTCACGCCCTAGCGACGTCATCATCTTTGCCCTTCTTTTTTTTTATATTTAATCCCGCCAAAAAAAGAACATGTGAGCTAGTAACAGATAGAGAACGTCGTTGAGTCTGTTGGGGCATCAGGCGTAGTGGACATCTAAGCTACCTACTCCACTACCCCATCCTTTGCCCCAACTGTGGAATCTGTTTGGTTTTGTGTGTTGCTTTAGCCAATCGAACAACGAGCGCTAACGCTGTAAAACCGCGATACGCAAACAGATACCGAAATCGAGACTCTCTATCCTGCTCAGCTAGCCCTCCCCATAAAATATCTAGAGCTGCTGGCTCACGTACAACGATAGATCGTGTTTTAACAAAGGTGACATCTCGTCGACGTCGTCCACCATCTCCACCCAGAAAACCGAAAAATGCTGCGCCACTGCAGAAGGTGGAGGCACGATCATGGTTCAAAATCATTTTAAGTACTTCTCAAGTGCTGGCACCGTTTCAAAATCATTTTAAATTTATCAACTCATCATACAGGTTGTACTAGTTTTCCCCTGCTGCAGCAAGCACGCAAGACTTTTTCATCAACCACGCGTAGCTGCCTACTCTCACAACAGAAAAACGAAACTGCGTGCGCTTATTTTCTGTTTTCTTCCGATGTTTGTTCATTGTAAGGACGGCGGTCATGATGAGTACCAAATCAATCCTTGCACCATAAACATAATATCGTCTATCACAAATATGTTCTACTTGTGCATGATAAGATGATAGAAGGGAACAATTTCACAGAGATCTTCCTCTATATCGTACATTCTGAATAATTTATAAACAACTCCTCCACGACGACCACGACCTCCAACACCACGCCTGAGCGAGCAGGACGTGACGACCCCACCGATATTACCGAAGAAAATGAAGTGAAAAGAAAAACTAGATACTTGTACATTCGTTGTCGCTCTTGTACTAGTGCGTTTAGTTTTAGAATGGAATCACAATCATTCATTCTCGTCAAGATCAACTTGTATCAAATTTTTGTTCAATAAAACGCCGAGGCAAGGTAGACCACAAAACCAAGCAACATCCCAATCGTCCAAGCATGAATCGATGGAGCACGACCACGCCCCGTCGCTGCCGAGGTTTCCGCCACTGCTTGACTGACGGCGGCGCCACCGGAACTGTCTACCTGCTGTCTGCACACTTGTTCCCGGAGCGACCAGCGGCAGAGCTCGAAAGCGTGGTATTGTGAGGAAAAATCCCCCCTCCCCATATTGCAAGCGCATCCGTCTGACAATTTGTGATGCAGATTTGTGGCCACAAATCCTGTCTGTGTTGCAAGAAGGCAAAGCCAGAGAGTCCGCCGCGCTATGCAGGCGGTTTGTGATGCTGTTGAGCTTACAGCATAGACGTTTGTCATGCTAGTCGCCTACGTCAAAACCTCTCGACTCAGGCTTAGCATATGTCTGCAGTCCTCTCCAGCAAGACAGACCTGGTTTGTGTACGCAAATCCAGCATTAGAAACTTCGTTTCGATATGGGGAGGGGGGATTTTTCCCGTTGGTACGTGGCCCTGCAGGGTCACGTGGATGAAGGGGTTGAACGGCTTCAAAATCGCCAGAATGTGCTCGGTATGCATTGCAAAAGTATCGCACTAGTATAAATCGCATGACAAATTAGCTGAGCATGAGAAACGGAATTCGTCATGCTGATTTGCCTTGGGATGGCGATTTGTAATGCATGACTGCGATTACTACAATTACGATACTTTTGCACTTGATACTCGGCGCGACTGCAAACGTAGGGCTTCAGCAGGTCCGTCAGCGAACTCGTCGAGCTCATGAACTGCCCGATGTAGTTGGTCATGCGCTTTTCGAACACGTCGTCATAGTCGCGGCAGGCCTCGCAAACCCTCCCCCCGTGGTCGTAGTGCACCCAAGTGTTCGCCGGGATGACGGTCAACGGGCAGTGCGCGGGGCACAGGTGCTGCGATACCTCCGTTGCGTTTAAACCCGGGAGTTCGCTGTTCTGGATGCACTGGTTTCCCTGATTATTCGGCGACACCGTGGACGCGAGAGTCGCCGTAGTGCCCGTGTCCGGTAGTGCGCTGCAGAGCATGCGATCCGCTCCTATCAAATGCAAAAATTTCTGGGTCTGGAAACTTGTGATGCTAAAAGTGAATGGTAGACGGACTGCAGTACGCAGCTATGCATGACAAATTTTTTTGCTCCCATGTCTTACGTATTCCGCATGAGAAACTGCGTTTTTCCATGACAGTTAAGAGGGCCTTTTCGTGCCTATGCAAAACAGATTCTCAAGTCATGCGAGACAAGCATGACAAACTTGCATTCTTCCAGACCCAGACACTTTTACAATTGATAGCTCCCAGCTTCTGACAACTCGCGGAGTTCGGGTGCTCCAGGCAGGAGCAGTGGCTTGGGCACCCCGTTGCGGTCGTCACGGAGTCGATCCTTTTGCATATGCATCGCAAAACAAGTTGTACCACTCCCAGATGCTTACACTTACTCGTAGGGATAATGGCAGTCGTCCTCTTGCACGACGCGCATGACAAATGTGCTTTTCAATCTGAAGCTGAAGATTCTGCCTCCTTTGCATCACAAACTCCGTTCTGCACTCTGAAGACATGTTGTGCGAGGACGATGCAAACACCAGTTCTAGATGTTGTACGGTTACAACTTTTTTATCAGCATATTGCAGCAGTGGCTGCAGCTGCGGCAAAATCTTCGATTCTCGACTGTCGTCTGCCACACCATGTCCTTGCTGAACCACGTCGCTGTGTCCGCACAGTACTCGAAGGGGAGACAGTCGGCGTGACCGCTGCACTGGTTCTGCTTGTCGGGTAAGGCGGTTTTGTAGGTGCTGGGCGTCGCGGCGCACACCGCCGTGCTGGTTTCCTTGTCCGGCACGCGGACCGGAAAGTGTTCGTTTTTCGCGCCCGCGTACGTGTGCCGGCCGGACCGGAGGCAGCTCCACAGGGATTTTTGCTCCTTGCCGATGGCGCAGTAGTGGGAACAGAGTTTGGCTTCTTCTTCCTCGTAAAAAGCGGCCGCAAACGTATCGATCGCTGCGTTTCGAGTGGCCAGGTCGCTGAGATAGGAAGAATGGGACGGCAAAATGCTGTCGGGACACCAGCCCCGGTAGGCGAGCACGGAGCAGTCGTCCGTGATGTTCAACGAGGCACAGGTTTCGCAGGGCACGTACTGCTGCCACAGCCGCTCCGTGTGCGAGCACTGCTTGCAGGCGCTTTGCATTTCGCTGACCAGCGTTTGCTTCGGGCGGATCTCCAGTCTCCCGCCGTAGGTGGAGAAATCCGTCGGACTGGCCGACTGACCCGCGAACAAATCGCCGTCATTGGCCAGAGTCCAGGCCGGTTTCTTCACGTAGTACCCCTTCGTTTCCGGCACGGCTTTTTCGCAGAACTTCTCGCAATACTTATCCTGAGTAAAAACGTACCCACACCAGAGTCAGGATGAGGATTTTGCAACACAAGCCTAGGAATTTTGTGAGTCACGCATGACAAGTTGCACTATGCAGTGTAGTGCAGGTTAGCAAGTGCAGCCGCGTCACAAATTCATCTGCTCATCCTGTTCACAGCATCACAAATTCCAAAACACGATTGGAAATGGCTCTCATGGGGATGCGCATTACAAGTCTTCCTGTCTTTGCAAATCTGCATTACAACTGTGGTGTGGGTACGTTTTTGCACAGGATAGTACTGCCGAGACTTTTCCCGGTACGCCGGCAGCCAGGTACGGTCGTCCAGCGAGAAGGCACAGGTTCCGTGCCCCAGGCTCGGCTGGCGCGGGTAGTACTGCCACAGCGCAAAGCACATTTCGTCGTTGGATCCGTCCCCGTACGACATGGTGTAGTGGCGCTTGGAAAAGTCCCACGTGCACCGTACGTAGGTACCGTGCTTGCCCCGCTCGATCTTCAGCTCCGACTCCACGAGTATGGGATTCTCAAACGTTACATTCTCAACTGTTGCATGAATTTGTCATGCAAAATGACCATGAGCCACCAGACGATCGAGCTGCTTCGCATGACAAGTTCTCGAATGGCGAAACAGCGTCTAAATCTGTACCAAATCTGTCATGCAAGACGCGCAAGCTCCCTCCTTTCGTTTTTGCCATTCTTGCATGACAAATTCATGTAACGCTTGAGAATGTAACGTTTGAGAACGCCATAACGAGCTTTTGATGGTTGTAATCGTACAGGTACTGTGGCTATCCAATGCAAATATGTCTGGGTCGTCTGGAGACTTGTGATGCAAGAAAGGGTATAATGAGCACACTGCAATGGTGGGCTGGCAAGCATGACAAGTTTTTCCGTGGTTCTGAGTTGCGTGCTCCGCATGAGAAACTGCGTTTTTGCATGACAGGCAAGAGGAGCGTTTCGCTGCCACGCAAATCGGAGTTTAGGGTCATGCCAGACCAGCATGACAAATCTCGCAATCTTCCAGACCCAGACATATAATTTGCAATGCATAGGGGCCCCGGCTGCAGGGCCGCAGTGAAGGAGCTGTTCGTGCTGGAGGATACAACCTCCGAGAAAACCGAGCGCTCCAGCTGGATCAGTCCCGCTTCGGACCGTTGCGTATCGAAGTGACCGTGGTAGCCGAGCTGCAGCACGGTCAGCTCTTTCGCCTCCAGCATGTCTTCGATGCAGGTAGCCGGGCAATAGTGGGTGAAGTGGTAATTCGGATGGAGTTTGGAATTGCCCAAGCCCTGTGATGTGCGAAAAATTTTTCGAAGTATGATATTGCTTCATAAAGAACATCTACATCTGTTGTGCAGCACTGCACACTGCAGATCAGGACTCGATGTATTTTCTACGAAATTAATAGTGATCCACATCCAACAAGTTCATCTTGATCTTGTCCTCGGCAAACATTTTTACCTGGTAAAACAGGTCGCCGAAGAGCCAGATATCGGATTCGTACTTCGGCCTCAGTCCGCTGGCGAGTGTCAATGCGGTGAAGGTGAAGCCGGACGCGTCTTTCTGGTTCGGGACCAGATTTGGATTGTAGTAGTGCATGTTGAGGGCGATCACCTCCTCCCGCTCCCCCAATTTGAAGGCCACGTCGTTCGGAAAGGTGATCCCGTTTCCCCCCACCGCCCAGGCAAGAATCAATCGGTCGCAGGTTTCCACCATGAGGACGTCGTACACCGTCGCGGGCAGGGTGTCGTGGGTCAAAGTCGGACACGAATAGAGCACGATATCAAATGTAAAAATGTCTGGGCCTGGAAAAGTGCAAGATTTGTGATGCAGGTTTTCCATGACCCATGAGGTCTGGAATGCGAGACCCAGCATGACAGATTTTTTGAGGTCTCTAGCGTGCCTTTCCTGCATGAGAAACTCCCTCTCAACTTGGTCAAAAGCGGACAGCTTTTGGTACTCACGCAACACAGATTTTTGCATCGTTCAGATTTAGCATCACAAGTTCCAATCTTCCAGACTCAGACATTTTTACAATTGATACACGATGTGGTGAAGCAACGCCTGGTTGTCGATGAGCGGCTCGATCTTGGTGATCCACCGAGGCGAGGGCTTGGGGCCCTCGGTCGCCGGGTTGTAGTCCGTGAAAATCTGCTTCGTGGACAGAAACGCCGTGACGTACTGGTTTTGCACCGACACGGATTTTACCAAGTGCTCCGTTTTGATTTCCGCCTTTGCCGTGACGTCCACCCCGTGGTGCGCCCGCACTGGGTAGTCGATGGTATTGCTGTAAACGGGCACGGCGGACCGAGTCCAAAAGTCGCACATGGTAGATCCGCGCTGGTTGGAGCTGTGCATGCTGTGTCGGGAGGAAGTAGTACTACTAGAAGAAGTTCCGGTCGTGCTATCTGTATCCGACGCCGTCCCGTAAGCCCATAGACAGAAGTTAGCCTCGTAGGGGTTTAATTTCATGTCGAAGAAGTCGCAGGTGTCTAATCTTCGCTTCACCACGATCTCTAACTTGCTCGTGTCCTCCGTTTGCGAGACGATCACGTAGTCCTGCTGCTTGTCCTCGAAGGGCCGCCCGTAGTCGTCGCTGTACCGGTCCGAGGCCACCCAACTGGTTTGCCCACTCGGCTTTGTCAACATCAGAAAGTCCGCGCCCCGCATGCCGCCGGACAGCCCGATGCCCAAACCCAGCCATTTGTTCACGAGCAGATTCGGCTTTTGCACCAACAACGTGAACTGGAACTCCGGTGGACTTGTGGGTGGCGAAGTGGGGTTCATTTTGTTGAACAAAAGAAAATATTCCAGGTCCGCCGATAGCTGGACGCAGCCGGTTTTTCCGCGGGTGGTCTTCAAGTTGTCGCATGGGTCGGTGGTGGGGGGCACGACGGCGAAAACAGAGGTTGATCCTGTTTGAAGTTCGGGGTTATAGAGGAACGCCAGAAGCAACGTCTTCAGGAGGCCGGAGCGAGGCAAATGGAGGAACGGGGGTAGAAGTTTCAGCCGCGTCATTTTTGTTTTTCACGGAGCGTTGGGGTCGGAACGAAGAGGACTTGGTTACGCTTTGCCCTTATATTTATTGAGTTGGTCAACGTCAATATGGTTAAGCTTATTTTTTTGACCAGTGGCAAGGATAAACAGTAACAAATTGAGCTTGTGTCATCCTAAAAAACCGTCACTTCTTTTTACAGCATGGCAAAGAGAAAGACATTACTAGTACAGCTCGTATGTAGCAGTTCCAGGGCGTTCCTAGTACGGTACAAGCGGCTTACTTCGGAAAACTAAAGCGAAGTACAGACTATGCGTTTGCGTTCACCTTTTATTTCCTTATCCTTGACCTTGTCCTTTCTTCGTTTTGGTTTTCTAGATGACAGAGCGGGTACAGATAACGGGCGAGTGGGTGGGGCACAACGAGTACTGCACTGTTCTCATCAGGGACCCATACTCATAAACTGCAACTGGGCGTTATTTGGCGTTTTTCTATCAGAGCGATACGACCTACCCGCGAGAGAAAGACCTGTTCGCTATGTAACGCCTCCTGAGAGAAATGTTGAGAAAAAAAGAACCGACCTTGACCGAAAGTTGACGATCGGTGAGGCTGTCTCACGCGTCAATACAAGAAATCGCATTTCTTCTTGACCCCTGTGGCAGTTGTGTGGGTAATATGTAGATGGCGGTCTGGTGCTAAGACTGCACGACAACACGGGCGAAAAAAACCACCGACATCGATATCGACTGTGCCCCGTCTTTGTGGACGACACTTCTGTAAATTCTGGTTTGCCGGCGAGCTAGTCCTGCTCCCCCCGAACACAGTTACTATACTTCGGCGCCACGTCTCGCTGAGCCGCGGACGACTTTGCTCCTTGGAGAGGTGCACCGCTTGAGATGACTCGCGAAGCCAACATGAAAAATTTACGAGAGGCTGGAGTATTTTCTTCCACATGCAGCGTTCAATCCGTATGATCTAATCCAAATATGGTACAGTGTAAATTGCGCAGAGGCATTTGTCAATTAGCCAGTCTTATGGTACAAGTTTTTAGTGTCAGACAGTTGGATAGAAGTTAGTAGTCAAGTAAAGTTGTTCAGTCGAAAAATTTGTAGCCTGAAATTGTATATCTGTTTCTGTTTGCGATTAAGTGGTAGTAAAAAAATAGGTCAACACGAATAAATTCAATCATTCCACCACGACGCTTACTTAGTTAGTGGAACGAAAGTATTGGGATGAAAAGCATTTCGCACATTGAAAACGAAGGTAACCTGACCTTCCTCCCCTCTCACACCACCAAGCTCTCTTTCCCGTACTTCGAGTAGCCTTCGGCGGCGAGGTAGCGCCTGGGAAAACCGGTGTAGTCGCTTGGACAGTAGCGGAAGGGCACGTCGAGGGCGGCGCCGAGGTTTTTTCGCGTGTCGTACTTCATGGTGCGATACCGTGTCATAAACGCGCCCGCCTGGTTGTTTCCGTACATGGTGAAAGGCCCGCCATTTCTTTCCCCCGTGATCCGGGGATCCCAGTTCTCGATTAGTCGGCCTGTTGTAGTTCATTTTTTTGTTCATGCTGGTGTGTTAAGCTTAAGTACAGAATCATGTTCATGCGCACCAACACCATCATGTCATGAGATCCACTAAAAACAAAGTTACAGAGGTATAGTCTAGGATTGAGGGCGTGTCGCGTAGTTGATCAACATGATCTACATCTTATTGATTTCCAGACTCTGTACCGAATTTCTCAAACGCGTTGAGCGGGACCGGCATGCCACTCGGTTGCCCCGCTGCTGTTATCGCAGGATTTTCTCTTCGCAGAAATTCCCTGTTGTTGGTCCACCCTTCTCCCCACGTCTGCGCGAAGCACTGCAGGTGCGGCTCTGACCTTGACTCGCGGATGAAGGGGCGCGATATGAAAGCCTCAGGTTGGAAATCCTCAAAGTGGAAATAATTTGTGATGCAAAAAAACGATTCCAGTTGAAGTGGCATTTGTAGTCGGCGCACGACAAATTTCCCAGGCGCTTAAACCATGTCTGTTATGCAGGCTAAGGCAACCGGGTGCCCTTCTGTCGTGCTAAGCAGCACTCCAATTCTTCACCCCTAGCAGGACAATAGTCGGCCTCCATTAGTCGGCCTCCATTGCGTCCTCTGCAATACAGTCTTTTTTGTCTTTGTGTCGCACTTTATGCGTCGCAGATTATTTCCACGTTGAGGATTTCCATTCTGATGCTTTCATACGCGAAGCGTTCGTTGGTAGCGTCCGGTCCCAGTAATCACGCATCGCCATCCTGTTCTCGAGCGGAACGTAGCTGCGCGTCACGTCGATTACCTGAGGGTGTAAAATTGTGCACCTCCACCACCTTTTGTTTCCATCGTTGTTCCGACGGCGTAGCCAGTACTGAGTGTGAGTACCTCCAGTAGCGAGCCGAGATACATATTCGCTGATTTGAGGCAGACATATAGTAAAAGCAAAGCTGTGTCTGAAGAAGTAGACTCGACCGCGATATCGATCACGCCACACGCGTACAGAAAACGAAGACCACATCTCATCATTTTCCGCACAAAAAAATACAAATACTCGGGTTGTTCTCGGATGGTAAGGTGCCTCGGTCCCGTTGGCGCTTGTTGCGCCGTACCACTGCGACGTAAACTTGTCAATGCCCTTCATGTTTTGTTTTTTCTGAAGATACTACCTGCACTGTCTTGTGAGTCCTCCCCTGTATCAATACTTGTACTTCCTGTTCCCAAACAAAAACGGACTGTCTGTAGAAAGTTAGTACAGTGTGTACTAGTTCTAGGTCTTGATCAACAATGCGGTTGTTCGTCCAAAAGCCCGAGTCAGACGAGAGCACTGACTACGCTACGCAAAATGCGTCCGAACTTCTAGTTGCACAACTGTCGCAAGTAGAGGGGGAACTAACCACCTTACAAAACCAGAGGGCGTGGCGAATTCCGTATAGCGGTAGTTACTTACTCTTGGGGTCGTAAAACGATTCAACTTCGCGGGGGTACTACATTCTTCAAAAATGAAGTCGAATCACCTAGGCGTACCAATCACGATAAATCAGAGGGCGACCCTGAACCAAGCACGACGAGCGACAAATTTGCTACGGCGACCCCACGATAGGACATACCCCTGGGCTTTTTCCCCTTTTTTCCTTCACGAATATTCAAGTCGTCAACATCAAGATGTTTTCATTTTTCGGACCGATAGCATATTTGACACGACGAGAAGGAATACCTCTTGGAGGTAGTGATAGTGTACAAGTCACATACAGATTGTGGTCGAACACTCTGAAGCTCCACTGCCACGATGCAGTGTTGTTTGTTCTGTCGAGTCAGTGACATCGCTTTTGTGAGTCGTAGATTTCGTTTCATCGTTTTTGTGAATAAAACGTAGAGCGAAAAAGGTTTTTAGCGGACAGTCGCTTGCAGTCTCTTGACGAATGCAACGAGTGAGATTTGGATTAGCAGAAGCGATAAAAAATATCACCACTATTAACCCAAAGATCAAATCGGTACATCGACAGATTAACAAAAGTCGTGTAATAGAAAAGTCGAAAACGTAGAAGTACAGAGGAAGAGACAGCGTCAGATGTGACCTGTTGATAACAAGGCAGCAGCGTCCTGGCAATACATGGCGAGAATTAAGCACCAGATTGTATTGGAGTTCAGCAACAAGAGACGAGGCTGTTAGAACTTCTTACATTCGCAGCGTGCAAAAGTGCGACTCCGGAACGGAAAACTTTTCATCCGCGACTGTGTTCGCTAAAACAGCTCGTTCCTGTCTAACAAAAAAGCAGTTATAGCCTACATATAGCCGGAAGCATCTACTAACCCCGTATCAACAACAGCCCCTAGTAGATCAGCGTCTAGCGCTTCAATTCCCCTGTATTATGGCAGAGCGAAAATTGTCGATAGAGTCGTGTCAGGTGGTGAAAAGGACATCATAAAATGGAAAAGGTTTTCGTTTGGAATTATTTCTTCGAAAGAACCACACGACACGCGATGATCTTACGTGAAGATTATGCGCAGTGTCAAATAAGATAATATCGATTATACTCGGTAGTCGTAGTAGATCCTTATCCGGAAAACAAAATCGAAGCCGCTTGTGATGACATCTTCACATACTTTACTGTGCTGGGAGATAGTCGTGACAAAAGTTGTTTCATTGAAAAACAGTGTGAGATGAAAGGTGGAGCGTAAGTGTCGGAAAATTTTCGCACAGTCGACAGTCTCCCAGTGGTGCGAGCTTCCTGTGACATTTTCTTTCGTGAGTGTAGTCGATTTGACGTCGAAAAAATTTACGTTTTTACAGAGATACAGGAACAATATTCCAAAAAAGTACATTGGTATTGCCGTGCTGGAGTTTATCTCGATATTGGGGTCTGACAATTTCATACAGATGTAGTAGTCGAGTCACCGATTTTCACATACAGTGTACTTTTCCAACAACATCGTGAGGCGAGCTTTCTTCGCCAGTCACGGGCCGGCCAGCACAGGACGGCCCATGAGCAAGGAGATGAAAAACCCTAATTACTTGTGATCACATATAAGTAATACAACACATCGTTCACGCGCCGGCGACTTGCGGTTGCGGCTTGATGCCTTGCCCCATCATCTTGGACTTTCCATCCGTCGTCTGCTTGAACTCGAGCCACATGTTGTTGTCTGGGGGCAGCCCGACGCAGGCCTTGAAAATGTTCTCCAGCATGGCGCGCTGCTTCGCGAGGGCGTTGATGCACGGGTGGCCCTCCGGGACCAGCGGGGCCTTGGTCAGGTAGGACAACAGCACGTTCACGGGGTGGAAGTTCTTCGGGGTCAGCTCGTTGTTCTTGCGCATCTTGATGCGGTCCGTCATCTCGGCCAGCAAGACCAAATCCAGAATCAACGGGGCGGCGAGCAACGAGTCCTCACCTGCGATAGGACAATTATGTATTTTGATTTTCTAAATCGCTGTAGTATTGCGACCTGCACTCATCCAGCATAGAGCTTTCGGTTCCTCCAGTTTCAACTTCATCGGGGTGTCGATAAGAAATGGGTACAAGTAGAGTAAACTGTACTAATGAAAACGAAGCAAAATCCTATCAGACCATTATCCACCTAGTATCAAATCAAGCAGTAGCAAGAGTATGGAAATAAACTATACAGGTGTTGTGCATGACGATCGTGTTGGTCCCTCCCAGGAAGATCTCGCTCGTGTACTCATCCAGCGCGCGCTTGCTGTCGCCCACGTAGGGAATGTACTTGATCACCACGCAATGGTCCGGGCTCTCGCCCTTCTCGTACAGAATCTCGTTGGAGGCAATCATGTCGTTCACGACGTCGGATTTGGAAATCTCCTTGGATTTGAAGCAGGCCGGGTTGGACAAGTTCTTCCCGTCGTTGTTGCCCAAATGGTTGTAGGAGACGATGGAGGTGGGCTTAATCCCCGCGGAAATCAGGAAGTCCGTGAGCATATGCAACGCAAAAGCATCGCGCTCGTAGTAATCGCAGCCATGCATTACAAATCTCCCTCCTAACCTAAATCCGCATAACAAATTCCATTTTTCATACATGCTGAGGGAACTTGTCATGCGATTCATACTAGTACGATGCCTTTGCATTCCATAGAGCACGGACTTCATCTTGGTCTGCCCGGACTTGAAGTCGTCACCGCCGATCATCGAGTCTTTGGCCACGGCCAGGTCCACAACACCTGTGATAGGATTGTTACATAAATCCAGTGTTTGTAGTACTGCATCAAATTTGCATCAAGCGAGCTTGATCTGCTTCCCTGCGAGGAAAGTACTAGCAGTCCAAAAACGAAAAAGGTCTCGTGACGAGCATGATCTAGCATCAGGCATGCTCTCGACAACAACTACGCATCTATACTCGATATGCACAAAAACCACTATGACATCTACCTGGAACGAACGTGTTCTGGGGGCTTCCGTTGATGAATGGCACGCCCTCCTCGATGCAGGCGACCGCGTACAGAGTCGACGGCGAGACCTCTTTGTGGTCCGCAGCGATGGCCGCCAACAGCTTTTCCTTTGTCGAGTTGAAGTCCCCGGTTTCGCTGTACCTCTCGGTGTTGGCCGTCCACATGACCACCACCTTGTCCAGCCCGTTCTTGGCCTTGAAGTCCTTCAAATCCTTGCGGATCTGCTCCACCTGCTGCTGCTTCGAGCCCTTGATGGTGTTGTCGGCGCGGGCCTGCTGGTTCTCGGCCACGAAGGACGGGTCGAAGACGGCCGGGAGCGGCTTCATCTCCTTCATCAAGTCCTTCACGTTATTCTGCAGGTCATATGAAAGTGCACAACTCCCCCTGTATTGCATGAACAGCAATACAAGCGTCAGCAATAATACAGGTTTTGCATGACAAATTTGGACAGGAGTGTAGTCTTATTTGGGCTGCCAGAACTTGTCATGCAAACAGTGCCAAGAGGCGGAGGGTGAGTTTGGTATTTTGCATGACAAATGAGGGGGAGGGGGAGTTGTGCACTCTCATAGGTCAATGTCAACCACGCCGGCACGCTCCATCGCCTTGTCCAGGGTGAGACTGTTGTATTATGCAATGCAAAAGCATCGCACTAGTAGAAAATGCATTACAAATTAGCTGAGCATGAGAAATGAAATTTGTAATGCTGATTTGCCTTCTTGACAAAGAAATTTGTAATGCAAGACCTGCATTTATACGAGTACGATACTTTTGCACAGGATATGTATTTTTACGTTGCAATGACTGTGATCACGCATTGCAAATAGATACAGGTCTATCTCTGACTTTGTAGAAGTGCACTTACGAGCGTGAGAAAACCCTCGTTTTCTTTTTGTGTTTCATTTCATGATTAATCCAGTATCAAAGTGTAATACGAGCTGATATCCCATCCGCCGAGCACGATGTCGTTGGGGTGGACCATGGGCAAAAGTTTGTTGAACGGCACAAAGCATTCCTCGCCCTCGAAGTTCCCCACACGAATCGTGGACCTGTAGTTTTGTCGTTTACGTTTTCCATTTTCTGCTCGTGCTCCATATACAACTCACGTGACACGAGACGGCTGAATGCATGCCTCACTGAACTCCAAAACAAAAATATTTTCGACGAACTCGGAGACTTTCTTGCCAGCACGACGAGGCCGCCAGATTCGTCTCCAAGCTGTCCAACGAGATTCGGTTCTTAGCCGTCACAGGCATGATCTTGATACTCATCGAAGAAAGGAAACTACAAGCAAAAATACGCAGGAGCGAGTACTAAGGTCTTTCATCTGCGCAGGAGTTTAACGAAACAAATCCCTACGAATAATCTACCAATTCTTTCTCCTAGAAGGACCGAAACAACGAAGTAGAACAATACGCCTGCGTGAGCGACCCCCAGTAGTTTGGCTTCTGCAGGCCCTTCTTGGTTTTCCAGGTGATGTTGTGCTTGTTGGCCAGGATGCCCGCGGTTACGGTGGTCCCGTTGTTTCCACCCCACCCGACGAGCATGACACCCATCTTCGGCACGCGCTTGTCCGTGACATATGAAAGCCTCAGGTTGGAAATCCTCAAAGTGAAAACAATTTGTAATGCAAAAAAACGACTCCAGTTGGAGCGCCATTTTTAGTCGGCGCATGACAAATTTCCCGGGCACTCAAAGCGTGTCTGTCATGCTAGTTAGGCAAAGGGGTGCGCTTCTGTCATGCTAATCAGCACTCCAATTCTTAACGACCCGCAGAAGGACGATAGTCAGGCCCCAAGTTCTTGCGTCCTCTGCAATACAGTCTTTTTGGTGTCGCATTTCATGCGTCACAGATTATTTCCACTTTGAGGATTTCCATTCTGAGGTTGTCATATGACAAACTCATACGTCTCCTGTTTGGGCACCACCGTGAACTCCTTGCCGATCTTGATCACCTCGGTACTGTCGTACTGGTACCTGATAGAAAGGAAGTGGAATTTTGGATTTCATGATCGCAAGTATGCATTACAAATCTCCTCCTGGTGCCACCACCGGTAAATCAGCATGACAAATTCCGTTTGTCAGACATGGTAAAGCAGCAAAAAGAAACAAAGACAGGATACGTAGCGCGGATTTCGTCCTTGGTGACGGCGACATTTTCGCCAAACTTGATATTCTCGAGGAGCATCTTGAAGGGTTAAGTACGGGCAACGTGGGAGTACTTCAAAGCTGCACAAATTGCAGTGAAATACTCACTTCAGATGTGATGTAGATTGATGAGTGTATTGCTAGACTTTTTGCTTGGAAAAAAGATTCCAATTTTTATCTACTGTCTGAGTACTTTATAGAAGTACTGGAGTTGCTGTCCTTACAACTAATCAAGGTCTACTACTTTTTGCTGCTCTTTCGCGGAATAATTCGAAGTTTCAAGTCGGAGTGCCGGAGGCCGGAGGCCTGTTGCGGTCCTGGATAGCGCGAGGCTACGCGGAAGTCTCTTTCACTGCGAGGTAGTTGGTGGGGTAAGAAATTCAGATCAAAGAAAAAAACGGAAAAGAACAAACGCATACGCACAGATGAAGGTGGATCTCATATTGAAAATAAGTTCGATGTCACAGCAATAGATCACGATCGGTGGAAAGAACTACACAGTGGAATGTTGAAAAGACCTCACTCGAGGATTCGACGGGAGGTATTTTTTTCCCTTCTGTTATTTGCTTTCGCGGGGATCTTCAAGCGTCCGATAAATGTGCCATACAGTGGATCGTTTGACTGTGGAAAAAATGGAAATGCAATTTGACTGAGACCGACGTGGCGCTAGAGACATCAAAACAGTCTCGACGCAGGTCTCGCAGAAGTTTGAACCGCTTTGTCGCGTATGATCGACTTTAAGAGCACTGCACTGGAACAAAATTGACTGCAAGCTGCAATAGCGTTGGGCCATTGAGGTGCAGCAGCAGGAGGATCACTAGTACTGACAACACTTGCCGTGTACTTAATTCCCTCGGGTGGTCGTTATTTGCGTCAAAATACTGAATAGATACCTTTCTACGTAAAAGTCGACTTCATCTTCACTCTGCTATCTTTGAGCATGGTCCAAGAATAGCATTCGTTGCTGCGATCAAAATTCCATCACCGCACATGTCGATGTCCTTTTGCCTTTTTGAGGTAGCCCATGTAAAATGATCCTCTGGCACCGACCACGGGAAGATTGTTCTCAAAGCTAAGTTGGAAGCTCACGCTCACGATCATTTGACTGTTGTAGGGAAGAACTATCGCTGTACTCATTTCCGTGAATATTTCTGAAGAATCTGACTCTTTCTGGACCATTCATCGGTAAAATAGACTTGTGTTGCGATCAACTGATGCCTTTGATGCCTGGCGTCGACTGGAAATCCACGAATCTGCTTCTTGTACGAAGCTAACAAAGAGGCAGTGCGAAACGTATTCCTCTGATGTGTTTTTTATCATCAAGATTGGTCACATCTGTTGTACTGAACCAGCATCGAGCACTACACTACCGCTGTTCGCATCGAGAGTCCCCGCAACTCTCGATGATCCCAGAACCTCCACTATGATCTACAGGTGGTTCTCGATAGTGGTGCTCATGGGCTTTTTGTACCACTTCCAAATGCACTGCTCCCAGACCTCGTCGAGTTCCACTTTTTTTGACGGGTCCATGGCGGGCTGCTGCATATTCGTGGTTATGCATCACAAAAGTATCGTACTAGTATAAATTGCATTACAAATTTTTCCAGAAGGAAAAGCGGAATTTGTAATGCTGATTTTGCTAAGAAACAAGATTAGTCATGCATACTTGCGATTCGTACGAGTACGATACTTTTGCACAGGATACTGGTGAAAAGCTCCGTGTCCTGCAGCCGCTTCAGGCACTTGTCGAGCTGCATCTGCACGTTCAGCTTCGGATTCGTGTCTACGCCCTTCCGCATCTTGTAGTGATCGTCAATCTGCCCGGCCCAGTAGCGCGTACCTTGGAACAGGGATGAAAGGAGTTAAGTAAATAGTTTTTTCATGCGACATGAACAGGCTGAATACACCATTTTTTAGGCAAATTCATCCCTAGATGTTGCGCTGTGGTCGTGCCATTCAGAACCTGGAGTCGTCAACCAGCACAACTACAGCAACTCATCTTACTAAAAACAAGAGCAGCTTAAAAATACCTGGCGTCTTCCCCAGAATTCCCTGTTCCTTGCGTTCCTTAATCGTTTCCTCCGATGGCCCACCGTCGATCACCTCCTGCATGGCGCCGACCGAACCCGCACCGGCGGCTTGCAAGTGCTTCACCATGATATCGTGTTTTGCCAACGCACCGCCCGTGCATCGCGCCATCATGGTCCAGGCCGGTAACGCTTTGTGCTCCGCTGTAGTAAGGTGAAGGGATGGCGATATATCTCATTGATTCCTTACCCTTAGGTCCGTTTCCGTTCTTCATCTACTACTCTAATATTCAACAATTCAGGTTCGTTCTCGTTGTCTTTCTCTTTGTCACTGCAGCAAATAATTCATTGACGATCACGATCATTTTTATGCTTGGAAATATCGAGTAGAAAAATGGAACCATCGATCGAAAGTAAGACACTGACACGCCTGGATAGTACCTGTCGTATCCTCCAGCGCGGACAACTGCGCTCCCCTTGTGGCATTGCAATACGCCGATACCGCCCAGGAGCACTCGCTGCCCACGACGTCCTCGACGCTGCGGTAGATTTTCCGCGATTTCTGCCGGGACAGCGTGGCTTCCTTCTTGTGACTCACGGCACGCCGCGGCACGCACACGTGCGTATCCAGGGTGTGCGCGATCTTCTGAAAGTTCTGGCCGAACTGCACGCCGCCACCGCTGTCCTTCGAGGTACGGCCGAGCCAATCCGTGCCATCCTCCTCCGCCGCGGAGCCGACCGGCCCACCGGACGTGGAGTTGCTGGTCATTGTGCAGTATCCTGTGCAAAAGTATCGTACTCGTACAAATGCAAGTCTTGCATTACAAATCTCGTTGCCAAGGCAAATCTGCATTACAGATTTTCTTTCTCATACTGAGGAAATTTGTGATGCATTTATACGAGTACGATACTTTTGCAGTTCATATGCAGCTATCAGGGTTTGGTGCGAGTTTTTTTCAAGCCAGATCGTCAACGGCCGCCGCGGCGAGATTGCGCCTCGTAAACCAGGACGAACACCCGGAAAGCTCTTCTCCGGTTGTTCTGGTGTCTTCACGCAGAGTCAGATAATACTGTTGCTGATGTTGAAAAAAAAAACAGATGACGATTCTTCTAGATAGATAAACCACGAGCCACACGTCCGGATCGCTACACGAACGATCCTACGGCGTGTGGTCGCAAACAACTATAGAGCCGGGGGTTCGAAATCGTAAAAATTGTGTTGGTGTGGTCGATAAATAATTACAATTAGGAGTAGCTTGAAAGATGACAATGCGTACTTTGCGCGATTGCGTCAATTTCTATAACATGCGTATCTAAGGCACAGCTTCTGGACTGACTCTGAGGTTTTTGTTGGGCGTCTCCTGCTCGTCGCAAAACCTGCGACGCATATTGTACAAAAGGGAGGAGCGATAGACATTTTTCCCTCTGCTTCTGCTGTACATCTCTACTGCTGCTCATACCCCACTCGATGGACCGCTCAGGAAAAAAAATTCCTAGTACCGACGAGCAGTGCTGCCTCAACCGACAAAATCGCAGCAAGAAACCACAGATCGGGCTGCGTCTTACTGCGAGCAAATAAAGGACAAACGTCGTGCATCCTTGGGCTATAAGTGTTGTTTCCCATGCGCGATCCTAATCTTCGCGCATCAGAAGTACTTACAACTCCGGATTTTCTTTTCTTACGTAGTTTATGTTCTTTCTGGGACATGCTTTTTTTCGCAGGAGCGGATGCAGTGTGTTCAGTTCAAATCGAAGTAGAGGCGCGTGTTTCCTGGAATATGAAAACGAAGGGCGTACTACAACTACTACCGAAACGGGATGGTCCCACCCATCGCCTTTTTTCGCAGCAGATGCGTTGCGTCCGGACTCCGATTGCGGATTATGGAGCCGGCGGTCGGGCCGATAGTACCTCCGCTCACGACCCGCTGCCCGTCTTGTTCCAATCCCCCACCGCCGCCCAAACTGCCCCTCCGACTCCCGTCCGGACTTCGGTTAGAAGTGCTTTGCAGTCGCGCCAGAAAGCCTGCGGGGTCTTTCGCTGCGGCGCGGGCCATTTGGGCGATTTCCTCAGACGAAAGATCGCTGGAAAACCTGCCCCCGTTGATCGGACTGCGGGTGCGTTTCGCGGACCCGGAAGTAGATGTAGCTGCTCTCATCTTCGTGGTTGGTCCGTGAAGAACTGTCGTCATCGGGAGGGAGTTTATCGCGCGGACGTTTCTCGTGGGCAGGTGAGGAAAATTGTCCAACGAACTACGGCTCACGTTGACGAGGTGGTCCTGGTGTTCGGCTATCAGTTCAGGAGTAGGCTGAAGCTGCTGCTGCTGTCTACCTGCTCCCTGGGCGGCAGGAGCTACTGCTCCACCTACAACTCGCTGGTGGCTTTGAGGAAGCGAGTCCCTCCTGCTTGTACTCGCGGTTGCACTTGTTGGCGTGCGCGGTTGATGTTTTATTTCGCCTGGAGGTTGTACTTGTAGTTTTGTGGCCGAGGCTGGCAGCGAGCTTGAGCTCGAAAGGCCAACTCCATTCGTGGTTGTCGTAACAACTACCGGCTCACCCGCGATGAAGGCAGCTGCACTCTTCGTAGTCCCTTTCCCCGATGGTGTACTGGACGCTGCCGGTGCATTTTCCAGCGATACAGCTTCTAGATTCGGAGTCTTTTCTGCACTGGGTATCTGTCCTACAGGAACAACGCTAGGCGAAGAGGTGCTGGCTGTGGCCTGTGCTGGAGCGCTCTCGCAGTTGCTCTGCTGCTGGGCGGTTTCTGTGCCTCCCGCGCTATCATTTGCTGCAGATTCCTTCTCTAGTACAGCAGGTCGCACCAAAGGCACAGCACGTCGAGGCTGTTCTTGTGCAGTGGCAGGCACACCAGCATCGCTGACTGAAGATGTCAATCTGGTAGCAGTTGTTCCCGTTCCTCTAGCACCAGCTGTCGGGGGCACTCCAGCTCTTCTCCTCTCCGTGGTTCCACCCCCAACTGCTCCTCGACTTCGCGACCGCGGCTGCGCAGGCGGCCGTCGGTTATGCTGCGCGTAGGCGTTGGCAAAAATTCGGTTGAGGTCCATCGGCGCAGGACCTGCTCCGCTTGTTGACGTGGTCGACACCTGCGACGGTGCATCGGAATTGCCGGCTGGAGTGCTGCGCAGCGCTGGATTGAAGGACTTCGGGTCTACTTGATGTTCACCTCTCATCTCGTCCCCTGCTGCTGCGCCAGCACCTTTTGGCGTGGCCGTGAGTCCAAAAAAGCTGCTTCCGGCGCCGGACGACCGGCCTTCTGACAGAACGCTAGTCGATGGATTTTTGCTTGCTCCGGTTCCGAATGTTCCCCCAGAGCCAGACGTGGCGGTGATGTGCGAAGTAGGACCACCAGCACCACGGGGTTGTTTGTTATGGCCGTGGGCGTTTGACATGAAAGCGCCGGAGGAGCTTGACGTCGATCCCCCGCCAGTTGTATAATTGCTGTGCACTTGCATCCCTTTCTTCTTTAGCAACTGTGTGTACTTCTGACTCAGCAAATCGTAGCGCTGCTCCAGCTCCTGAAGGCGGATCTTGTCAATGTTGTCAGGAGCACGCGATGATGAAGATGAAGATGCGCTGGTGGTACCAGCATGATCCACGACCCGGTCAACCATATTACCCGGCGCACCAGTACTAGCCGCGCTAACACCTGCTTGCTGAAGATTATACGCCGGTGGCGGAGGTTGTGGGGTCGTTGTATTTGAAGTTGTCCTGCTAGCTTGATTCCGCTCTCCGCGAAGCGCGCAGACGAGCTTGCGGATTCCCTCTTCGGGAGAAACGCTCGGGAGCCTGGTCGTCGTGTGGATAAGTAAGGATGTCACCACTACATGGCACGAGAATGATCATCAAATGATAATGATTCGCAATTGCATTTGGTAGGAAAACAAAATCAGGCAATCGCACGCTTGTGGTCGTGTAGTATTATACTCAGTCTGGTGGCATTCTGATTAGAAGCGGAACAAAGGTAGTATACGACAAAAAACCACACTTACGTCAACACGAAAATATATCGAAATTCTACTCGCCCACGAGATCGCGTCCTTCCCCGAGCGCGGCGGAGATTTTGGCGACCATGCTCTCCAGTTGGACGCGGTGCGTGACCGCCTCTGACGCGCGCTGCTCCGCGTCATTGGTGAGGTTTTTCTGCACCTCGACGGCCTCCGTGAGGTCTTCGACCACTTTGATGACCCGCACCATGTGCTCCTCATCGCCGGTCTTCTCGTCTTCGCGACCTGCAGTTGCAATGTTGGATCTACGTTGTGCTTCCTCTTTAGATGAAATGATTGCACTCAATATATCGTTTGGGTGTGACTCGTCGTGGCCCTAAAAAATGCTGATCAATGTAAGTAGTCTGTTCGACGTCCTAAATGCAAAAAGTCCTGAGACGAAGACAACAAGCCGCGAATTAAAGTAGAACGATTTTTACTCGCTTTGAGCTCCTCCTCTAAAGTCTCTTTCTTTGCCTCGAGACTTTTCACTTCCTGCTTCCACCGAATCTGTTGCTGCGTGAGTGTCTGGATCATTTCGTGTAGATTCTCCGTGGCGCGAACCTTCTCCCGGAAAGACATTTTTTGCGGCCCCATGCTTGCCACGGTAGACAACTGGTTGGGGCGTTGTTGGAGGTGATGCGGCCCACCTGCTGATTGGATATTTGCAACTTGTTCAACAGCACCAGCCGCACCTGTCGAAGAGGAGGAGGTCGAGGAAGACGTCGTATCACCGGATCCACCAACCTGCGCGGAAGATGGTGCAGAGGCACTTACATCATCTCCAACTCGCTCCTTCCCGCCTGCTGCTTCGTGAAATTCGCAACCACGATTCGTCGCAGAAGATGAACTTGTTCCAGGATTTTCCATTTCCGGCGAACTCGTTGCTCCATTGAGCAGGGTCGACATGATTTTCGAGCAGGCCCGGGCCGTCTCGGGATCTTCGCCTTCGTAGATTGTCGTCAGCGTGCCGTCAAACGACACGTAGTCGTCGTCGACAAGTCGTGTGCTCGTTCTGCCCTCCAAAGAGGAAGAATGGAGACTCAGTGCGTGGTTTTGAAACGTCTCCACCACGTGCATGGCTTTCAGCAGGCTGGTATCAAGTGCAAAAGTGTGTGGGTCTCCTGGAAAAGTTTTAGACTTGTCATGCAGATTTTCCATGACCCATGAGGTCTGGAATGCGGGACTTAGCATGACAGACTCTGCGAGGTGGTCTCTGCCATGCCTGTCCCGCATGAGAAACTCCCTTGTTAACTTGGTCAAAAGGGGACAGCTTTTCTTTGGCACTCATGCAACACAGATTTTTGCATGCTTCAGATTTTCCATGACAAGTTGCAATCTACTTCCAGACCCAGACATTTTTGCAATCCATAGCTGGAATTCAGCATCACGGCGGTCAGGTACTGCGAGTCTGCGGTCAAGTCTGGCTGTGAAAGCCTCAGGTTGGAAATCCTCAACGTGAAAATAATTTGTAATGCAAAAAAACGACTCCTGTTGGAGCACCATTTGTAGTCGGCGCATGACAAATTTACCGGGCACTCAAAGCGTGTCTGTCATGCTAGTTAGGCAAAGGGGTGCCGTTCTCTCATGCTAATCAGCAGCCCAATTCTGAACCCGTAGAAGCACAACAGTCGGCCTCCATTGCGTTCTCTGCAGTACAGTCTTTTTCGTCTCGCATTTCATGCATCACAAATTATTTCCACTTTGAGGATTTCCATTCTGAGGGTGTCATACTGGCTGGTGGAGGTCTCGTCCTGACGGCCCCGCCCGCGGGGGAGTTGCTGTACTAGCCTCTGGCTCTGCGTTCTTCTGACCGTCTGGTTGTTGTTGTACATGATCTGAGTTTGATACTAGCGGCTGGTGCCCTGGCGTGGAGCTCGAAGAAAACGAGGTCGTGTTATTAGATGAGTCCTCAGACGGTGCCCCTCCAACCGCCCTTCGACCCCCCGAAGCTGTTCTTGAGACAACAAGCTGTCCTTCTTGGACCTCCTCCTGCTCCCCGCTGTGCAAGTCGATGGCGAGTAGCTGCTTCTGTTCTAGGTTGTGGTACAAGAGAGCTACGTACTTCAAACACATGTTTAAATGGTGCTGCATCGTTTGTGTTGCTAGAACTGCAGCGCGCGCCAGACTGGAAGTGGAACTACTGCAGCTCCCGGCGGTGGGGGTGGTTATTTGATGAGGTGCAGCAAGTTGTTGTATCGGGAACAACGGAGTGGCTGTACTAGTGTTGCTTGTACTTGCATCAGCAGCAGCTTGATACTCAGACTGGCTATCATCTGCCGGCGGAGTAGTTCTTTCTCCACCATCTTCTTCCCCATGCCCTGGCTCGACGAAAATTTCCTCTCGATCATTAGTCGCCTGGCTCAACATATTTCCACCGGCATGATCACAAGCGGTCTCCTCGTCGTCTTCGCCACAGGAAGCATAGGGCGAAGGATCCATGTGCAGTTCCGCCTCCTGGGTTGTAGTTCTTATGTCTAACTGGTCCTGTCTCACGACATTCTTTTCACGCAATGTCAACTGCTGCGTCGGTTCTTTCCCTCCCAGCTCGACAGGACGGAGCGCGGAGAGAAAATCTGAAGGCAGCAAATGTTTTTCAGCATGTATTTCATCGGCGTGTTTGTTTCCTCCAGGACCAGGTTGGCTTTGGTCGTATAATATTCTGCGGTTGTCTGTTCTTCCTTCTTCATTCGGCTCTCGGTAGTAGAGCTGTCCCCAGGTATTGGTCGGATGCTCCGTCTCCATTTTGAACAAATCGTAGTCGTTTTGGCTTCGATTTTTATTCATCACGACGTGCTGGGCCGTAGCTCTAGTTGTCCTATCGGAACTTTCGTCTTCGGCAGAGTCGCACTGCCTGAGTCTAACCGGACTGTCATCTGCTTGTTCATGTTGATCCAGCCTGTTGTTGATTCCGTTTCCGACCAGGTCATGAGAAGTCATGAATAAACCAGCCTCGTGTTCGCGCTCCAGCAGGCTATCGAGAGCTACTAGGTCTTCCCGGGGCGGAGACGGCGAGAACCGATGGTCTTGGTCGTCGGCGGGTCTCGTTGCAGCAATAGCGGTATGGGGATGTGCTTCTGGTTCTGCAGTTGCACTAAAAGAAGTCCCAGGAGGCGTGTCACTTGGTCCTCGGACTGTTGACGACGTGGTTTTCCCGCTCGCGTCGATAGGCGGCGTTTGCAGCAGGTCTGCGGCAGACACGAGGTACTGTTGCGCGAAAGCACTGGAGGCAGAGGACATGAACTGCCTGGAGTCGTCGTTGCTTGAGGGCGCTGCTAATAACGACGACGAGGACGTTGTCGGGTTGTAGTTCATCACAGACGGCTGCTGGTGGTCGGCGCAAAACTCATTATTTTCGGGAGAGTCAAGGTACGCGGGGGCCTGTGATTGTGGAGTTCTTCTAGTTTTGTTTTTGGGTTATCTTCGATCAAAGGATCGATGCCGTGCAATACGCAACGGCAACATGAAACAGACAACACTTTGGTGTAGTAATAGCGTGTCTACTAATTTCTTACCTGGAACGCGACTCCTGGAGAGCTTGTTGCGGATTCGTGGCGACTGCGACTGCCGTCCGTCGAAGCTGACATGTTGGCGTTAAGACCGGTTTTTTCCCTTGGCGTCGTGGTCTCTTCTTCCAGCGGCTACTGCAGTCGTGGTTGTCGCAAGAGGTAAAAGACGATAGATCAGAGAGCACCGCTGTTATTTTGTCATTTTTAGAACCTAACGAGCTTAGACTTACAACTACTTCCTCAGCTTCTACTCCTTACTGACATCATGATCATCTTAATCCTCTGCCCACCCTTTTCACTGGACACCGGTTCCAACGCGTAGAGCCCATAACAACTCCGGCATGCCGCGTCATAATCATAAAACCATGTCGCCGCGGCCTGAGGAGGCGACAGGAAACGGCGTCCCTATTCTTCTCTCTCAACGAGCATCGGAATCTCTCACTACAGCAGGAGTGAATCGGTTGGAGAGCCGCCATGATAAGTTTAAGTACCTCCTCTTCTCTTCTTCCTGTGCATTTTCAAAACCAATACCAATGCCAATGGGAGGAACGCGAACGAAACATAAACATTGTGAAGACGACCACGACGCCGGCGGTAAGAGTAGTGCAGCGAAGTGAAAATGAGCTGCGACAGCCGCAAGGATAACTTCAAAATTAAGTAGTTTCTGTTTTTCCGAATCCGATCGTAACTCGACCTCAAGGACAATAATTTCGCAAATACGGTTACGGACGTCAACTCCTGAAGACCAAAAGATTGAAAAGCTTAAAGCTTGACTTCCACGTGCTCGCAAATTTTGCAGTAGTTTCAAGATAAGGTGGGAAGAAGACCACGCTATTAACTGTACCTATGCCTACACAATGACTACGAAACGGCTGGTGCTGTGTCTGTAGGAAAAGAAACTGTACTAATTACATCCAAAATAGCTGCTCTGTGCAGGCAAAAGAAAATGCACAAAGGGTTTGGCTTTGTGGCTCCAAAATCAAAAATTGTCGAGGACATAATTTCGGTAACGGTTTTATATCCCTTTGCAGTTCATCTTCATCCCAATTCGGGGACATGGTGACAAATAACGAAACGGTAAGTGATAGAGACAGTTTCCTCACTCAGATCTGCTAAAACTATTATAAGTAGCATCTGTCAAAATTGACATTAGCAAGTACTGAGACTGAAGAAGAATTCATCTCAAATATTACTTAATACGCGAAGAACGTGAGGCTAGTACAGTCCAACGACTGTACTCACATTCGTTCCTGAAGAACAAGTTTTACCGAATTACAGAACGGGAAGAACGGTTTCTATCTTTCAAAAAGTGTAAGCAGCTAAGACAGCGAAATAGTTATGCTCTACTGCAAGCACCACTGACTTTCAAGCTCGAAAACACGTCTCCAGTGTCGCGGTCGCGGACATTCACTAAACTGAAATCGCTTCGGTTAAGGGTGATCATCCAGCTCATCTTTCATGGATGAGAACGCTCCGGAGCTGCTTTTAGCGTTGCCGTTGTCGCCAAGGGTCATACCCTCCTCGTCAGTAGCTGGTGCACTAACATTCTTGCCACCCGCTGCAGACCCATCTGCAGCAGTCTCCGTCTCAGCCTTTTTACCCGGAGTCTTCTTCTCTCGAAATTTCTCGTCGGCCGCTGTCGTCGTGTTCTTATTTTCTGCAAGAACTTCTACATCAGACCTTCTTGTAGGTGAAAACAACACCGATTGCGACAGCCAGGTGTGCATGGGTTTGTGCGCCTCCAGCTCAAACAAGCGCAGCCGGCGCGCCTCGTCGTAGTAACGCCTGCGTTCGTTTCTTGTGTGCTCCAAAAGCAGCAGCAAATTTCGGCATATCACGGCCAGCGTCGCGGCACCGGGACTGACCGTTGCGACTGGGTGGGCGCGGGCGACGAGGGTCACACTGTAGCTCGGCTTCTCGAACACTTTCAGCACCTTCTGGTTCCAGATGTCGCTGTGAAGGAAATGTTTTTCCATTTCAACTAGCAGCTGATGTTCAAGTCATTTAAGCAAAATGAAAATAGTACCAGTACAAAAGCAAAACTACGTCTAGTACGACTCAACTTCCATCAAATCAATCACCTTGCGCTTGGTCATCTTGCACAACGGACCTTGTGATACTTCTGATGGAAAACTTAGACTGTAGCAGATGCCGAAGTAGAGCTACAACTTACTTGCGATGATCATAGACTGGCGGCGCAGCAGGCGGGTCCGGGGGCCTGTCCGGTCTCGTGGTGTTTGCTGATGAAGCTGCGTTATCTGCAGCTAGCTCCGCAGGAGCCCCAGCCGCAGACTCGTGCTGCGACGAGGAGGTAGCAGAAGACGAGGAGGCTGAAGAACCCCTCGACGTTGTTGCCGCTGCCGTATTCATTTTACCTCCACCAGTCGTTCTTTTATCTATCGCGTTCTTCTTTTTCGTCAACAGAAAGCAGCGCTCCCACAGGTCCGGTGCGATTCGGGGGCGCAGTAGGTTGAAAAGAATATGCTCCAGCAGGGCTTGACACCCGTCGGACTCCTCTGGGTGCAGACTTTGCACGTGCAGATTCCCAAACGCGTTCACGCGCTGCGCAAAATCTTTCCCGCTTGCCAGCTCCTGCGATAGACGAAATGAGCCAAGCGGGGCTGCCGGGGTACTAGAAGTCGGATCAGTTTTCGCCGATGATCCACCAGCAGTCGCGCGTGTGCTAGAAGCACTGTTACTTGTTCCAGATTTCGCACCACCCGGCTGTGAAGAAGAAGAGCTTCCTCTTGCGGCCCTTCCGCGCTGTTTCGTAGAGGCTGCAGCAGCAGCGCCAGCTGCCGACGTTGTTGCCCCGTCATTGTCTTTGTCTCCACCATTTCCATCATCGAAGGCGATGTTTGCTGCATCCCCACTACTCGGCTCCGCAATTTTCTTCGCGCCCCGCGCACCGGTTTTTGCCCGCGCCGCGCTCTTTGCCTTCGCTTTTCCTTTTCCTTTTGCGGAAGTATTTGTCGTCGCGCCGGACGATGCCGCTACTGGTTTAGGTGCCCAGGTCTCGTCAATCAGTGTCTTGAGAAACCAGTTTTGATAGGCGTTTTGGAGTTCCAAATGCCAGGGGTCCGGAGGCTTGTTTGATGTTGAGGGCGGGTTCTTTGTATCATCTAATGGCGTAGGCCCCCCGAGTGGAACTTCGACAAGGGGGCCCGAGCCCGACGTGTTGAAGTCTGCATTTATTTTTCCGAAATGGTTCATCCTTGTGAGAAATCTTGTTGTCCAGGCATCTACTTCGTCCGAGTTGTCCTCCGCAGAAGTCGGGCTACACTTGCTTGCACTTATTTCCGGCACCACCGGTCCGGTGGAAGAGGTAGCCGCTCCCGTGCCAACCACCACACCCCCGACACCCGTCGTTGCAGCTCCTGAGCTGCCCGATGAGGAGGAGGAGCGCTTTTTCGCTGCCGGCGTCTTTTTCGCTGATGGTGCAGTGGTTGTTCCGCTGCTGGATTTTAAAGAACCTGCTTTCGCCGGCGTGGAACTAGAGGAAGCTGTCGCCGGTTGACCGGAAGTCGTGGATGCGCTTGCAGCGGCCGAGGACGTGGAGGTGTCCCCTGCACCCACTATGCGAAATGCTTCGCCCGTCGACTTTTTTCGCGCGATCGGGTTCCCGGTGTAGGGGCAGACTTCTGTTGTGCCCCCGTCAGGGGGGGCTTGCTCCCTCCGGTTGGCAGATGGAATTTGTATTTGCGTTGCATCATCTTTATTTCCACCAACATCCGCACTCGCAGGCGAAGAAGCCTCTGTTTTTGCTACAGCCACCCCCGCAGGCGCAGTGTTGCTACTAGACGACGACGAAACTCCTGCTGCGCCCGGATTTAAATTTATTGTCGCTCCTGCACTTCCAGTTCCAGTTCCATCCACCGGCACGAGCTTGGCTTGTTTTTCCCCAAGCAATTTCGCAAAGCGGCTCAAGGAGTCCGTGTCCCGGATGGCGCGGAGGCCGAAAAGGTGCGCGACCAAGCAGGGTAAAAACACCTCGGGAACGGGGGTTTGCGTTTGGTTGGTCCCCTGCTGCTGTCCGCGGCCATGGCGAAATTCGCCGAGCTGGTGGCCCCGTATGCGCCTTGAGAAGTCGCGAATCTCCGTGAGCCACTCCCGCAACGTGGCGCCGCCTGCTGCTTGTAAGGCCTGCAACGCTCGGAAAACCTTTGTTTCGTCTATCATTTTGGATCGATGTTGAGGGGTGCCGGTGATCCTTTCTCATGCTGACGTTGTGGAGTTTACTGAAATTTTTGTCCTACTTGAAGAAGAAAACGAAAAGTGAAAGTTAAAGCATGTTTTAGTGGTGCAATACATGAAATTGATGACTGCAACTGAAATACTAGTACCCGCTCCTGCTGCGTGAGAATCCTGAAATACAGCCTCTGCTCCGGACTGTCACGCCCCGTGAGCATCGCCGCAAGCGAAAGCTTTCCGCACCACGCTGCAAAAGTGGACGGACGCAGTCGGACGTGCTTTTTTTCTTTGCTTTTCTTGGATGCAGCAGAAGCGGAGGAGCTACTTGGGGTCGCAGACGATGAAGACGCAGAAGAGCTGGCCGACGAAAAAGTAGAATTCGAATCCCTAATAGTCAGGTCCGAGCGACCGGACGCAGACGAGGCACTGGAGAGCAAGGGATCGCCATACAGGTCTTGATGTTCGCCGACTTGTTGCATCATCGGCCCCATCGTCCTCGTCGTCGGTGTGAGCATCAATTCGGGGTCAGTATTCGCTGAGGAAGCAGCTGCTGCTGCTGCACCGAACGCGTTCGCCACGGGCGGATGCATTACCTCCGGCTTGGGACACTTGAACTTCCTGGAAAGTGCGTGTTTCGGCTGGCCGTAAAAATCGGCTATATCGTCTTCGTTCATGATTCGGTCGAAGCATTGGTTTTGCGACCCCAGCAACCGCACGCAGAATTTTCCGCGGACCACCATTTGACACTCGCGGAAGGCGCTCGAGTCTGGGCACGCAACACGAAACACGTTCGGGTTTTTCGTATGAAATGCAAAAGCATCATACTGGTATAAATCGCATAACAAATTCCCGCAGCATGAAAAATGGAATTTGTAATGCGGATTTAGGTTATGGTTACGAGGGAGATTTGTAATGCATCATTGCGATTACTGCGAGTACGATACTTTTGCACAGGATATTTCGGCTGGAAATGCAGCGTCCACGTGCGGCCCGTGTTGGAACGCCAGGAAAGGCTCTGATGTGGAGGGGTGTGAAGGTGAAATGAGAGTCTATCTCATAATTCCGGTGTAGTTGATAGATTTGGAGCCGTGACATAAGCTAGATACTTACGTGTGCACTTGAGTTATCACCAGAAAAAGCAAAAATAAAGAACGCATCAAGCACAATAACATGAACTTACCTCTTCATCCTTTTTGTGCGATAGGCGGATGGACGCACGTTGCCACGCGTGCGGCCCACCCGCCCGAGAAACGTACTCCCCCGGGACCTTTTGCGAGATCCACTCCCAGGTGGTTTTTCCAATGGCCGCGTGGGTGCCCAAAAGGTCCGCCTTGGAATACCCTAGCAACGCAGAGTACGTGAGACCGTCGCGGCGGAGCATTTTCCGCACGTGAGAGGTTGCATCGACGCTTAAGTTCGCATTTTGCAAAGCGCTCATAGCACGCAACTCCAGAGCGGCTTGTTCATTGTTCCCGGCTCCACCGCTGACATTCGTGCTCTTCGCTCCAGTTCTTGGTGCTTCTGCGTTGAAGAACAGGTGTCGCAAAAATCCCTCCGCGTCACTCTCTGACCACAAGTGGGGGCTGGGAACGGGGTCCGAGTGTGCAAGCAGTCTTTTTCGCCAGTCGTGCGTGGTCGTGTTAGATTTCTTGTTCCTTGTAGCATTTCGGGCACCAGGGGAAACACCTCCGGACGAGGACTCTTCTGCGCCGGAAGTCGTGGTGGTGCCAACGGAAAAGCGACGCCAGAGCAAGCCGGCTCCAACGGGTCTGCGAGTGGCAGATGTGGCTGTTGCTGTGGCGTCCTGCTCCGACTCCGTCACGATACTTGCGGCACTGTCGAATCGACCACGATTCACAATGTCGTCGTCGTAAGTATCACGACCAGTGCTGCCGACCACGTTTAGGAGTTTCAAGTGCCCAAGCACCACTTGCTCAATGGTCAAGTCCGGGGGTGTGCTGCCCCTGCCGTGACTGCCGCCACAGAGATACAGGATCATCTGCGCCGTCCAGGTGTATTGTCGTTGCCTTGCGGTTATCATCTGCACGACGTCGACCCCGCTACTGCCGGCTTCGTCAGACGTGTTTGTTGCTAGTACCAACCGGCAAAAGTTCATCAAGCCTTTCCTCACCGCGTACTCCAAGGTACGCGTGTTCACCGTAGCGCCCTTTTCCAGCAACAGTTTTGCCGAATTCAACACAACTTGCTGGTTTTTACTGCGATTGGACTCATCGGTGTCGGGCTGCTTGCGGTGGCGCTTGTTGTGTCCCTTGGAGTGCGACCCAGATCTTCGCGACTGATCTCCGGTTTCGTCTTCGTCGACGTCTTGGTCGTTCTCAACATCCTCGTGTCGTCTCCTTCTACTACGCCCCGCTGCAGAGGCATCGGTCGTTGTTCGCCCACCATAATGATCACCGTCCGCGCCCCCATTAACGTCCGACTCGTTGGCTGTTTCCTCCGGTTCGTTTTCCGAACCCGATTTTGCCCCGTCTAGCAGCGGCCGAGTCGTTGAGCGGCTAGGCTCTGCATCGTCATCGTAGTGGCGGGCGTTTGTGCGAAGAATTTGCAGGACCAGATCCGATGTATCGTAGTAGAGTTTTGAAGAAGCTGCGGCTTTTGGACCACCATCAACCTCATATATCTCTGCTCCGTTTTCAACACCTTCCCTGTGGCCTTTTGTGGCTTCTTTTTTCACAACTTTGCGATATTTGTTCGTGTCGATGTCCAACACCGTTTCCACATATTTCCCGTTATGGAAGCGTCAGGATATAAATCGTCAAACTTGAAATGATTTCTCATGCATAAATTGCAAGACATGAAGCGCCTCCCTTGCAGGGATGGCAAGTGAGGCAGATTATGAGCCTATTTAGGGGTTGGGATAGAGCTGCTAAAGAAGCATGACAAAAGCAGTAGCAGCCTTCTGTGCCCAAACAGCATGACAAATTGGATTCCGTTGCTCCGAAAATTTGTCATGCGCCGCTTCGAAATTGGGCTTCCAACTGGTATCCATTTTATGTATGACAAATCATTTCAACTTTGTCGATTTCAAACCTGACGCTTCCATACCCGTCCAAAAATCCGTAGTCGGTCGCGAACGCGTCCTGCGGGACGTCACACAGCGAGGGCACGTATGAACTGCAAAAGTAACTTACTAGTATAAATAGCATCACAAATTCCCTCAGCATTATATAAATAAATTTGTAATGCTGATGTTTCACCTTAGGAAGAAGATTTGTCATGCATGTTTGCAATTAGTTTTAGTACGAGTACGATGCTTTTGCAGTTCATAGCACGTAGCGCAACACGAGCTGGAGTGCCTCGTGGCGAATTGAGAGCGACGTGAAGGCGTGGTTGAAGCAAAGGCGGTGCATATTACAATGAAAAATGCCCCCACCCCCGAACGTGGGAGCATTTGTATTGCAAACCTTTCCAAATGAAACATTCGCCCTCTTGCATCTATCAGCGTCACAGAGTTCCGATCGTGAAAGAATAGCAAAAATTTGTATTGCAAAAGATCCCAGCAAGAGCGGCCCTTGTCATGCAAGCGACGCGATATACACCTATACCCTGCATCAGAAAGATTCATACTCCTTTCATGCATGACAAAAAGTTTTCATATTGGAGACTTTGCATCACAAAAAATTTTTGCAACTTTGGGAGTGGGGGCATTTTTCACTGTAATAGTGCAACATCCGGAAAATCACGCAGGAAAGGTGCGGCTGCGTACCGGCGTCCGACTGCTGGCTGAGGTCTCCTGTCGTGGTGGGAGATGAACTTAGTTTCGTAGCTGCTGCTGCACTTGTTCCACTTGTTGTGACCGCAGCAGGAGGAGGACCTCCCGCTCCGGGACTTTTTTTCTCTTCTCTATTCTTGTCGCCCTGTTTTAGTCCATCGTGAAGACTCACCTCGACGACCTCCCCGTCCTCTGACGCGACTGTCGGCGCGTTCGGTTGAAAGTTGTTTTCGTAGTAGACCTGCTCGAGCAGGTAGGGTAAGTGCTTGACCAGAAAGGAGTCCGTTTGTTGGAGGGCTTCGTCCAAGACCTCCTGGTATATGTTGGCACGGAAATCCAGCAAGAGGATGCAACAGCCGACAGCTTCCGGCAGCCGGTGTTGCATGTGTTGTAACAACGGCGTTACAATGTGTTCCGACTGTCGCGTTTTTTTTCTCGAGTTCTGGCCACTACTTCTCGTTGAAGTTGTACTACTGTCCATGTCTGTATAACACGTTGCGATGTTTGGGTCCGCCTTCAAGCCAAGCAGCACAGCCACCGCGGTCTCCCGGCCCTCTTGGATCGCGACGAGCAGCGGGGTTTCGTTCTCGGCGTTCTTCGCATTCAGCATACTGAAAAGGTCTGGCGCGGCAACTGCAGGAGTTGTCCTACTTGAAGATGCTGCGTCGTTTTTTATCTTCAGTGCACGGGGCCCAGCCTCTTCTGGTACTGCCACTGTCTCGTCCTTTTCAACATGACCGGCCGTGGTGGAGTGGTCTATTGCTGTTTTGCCATCTTCCTCCACGTTCTTCTTGTTCGCTGCTCGCGCAGCCGCCTCTGCGATCTCTGTGTCGGTCCAGGGCAGGGTGTCGTCAGGGCCCTGGCTCCGCGCGTACAAGTGAAACACATTGTCTTTCCGGAACGTTTCAGCCCCGAAGCGTGCACCAAACTCCAGGAGCAGACGAGCCTGATATAATAACGCGAAGAACTCTGACAGATACTACACTCAGACAGAGACAAGGTTGTTCTTGTAACGGGTTAATATGCAGGTACAAGAGAATCAGAATTATATGAATGTACTGAAGAAGAGTACGATGTCATAGTTCCCTTCATTGACGGCAGCGAGGTAGGGCGGCATGTACAGTGGGCCGGAAAACTCGTCGTCATCTTCGGATAGCAGCGAGGAAGAGACTACTGTGATCACGTCCTCTTCTTCGACGTCTTGGTTTTCACCCTCGTGGTCCCGCCTGTCGGGAACATCCGCTTGGTCATCTTCTGGATTGCTATCTTTGTCCTCTCGACTACTCCGAGCTGCTTTTGACGTGCTCGTGGTCTGCTCCTTCACCGGAACCCACTTGAAATTCGAATCGTTATGATCGTTTTTTTTTTCCTCATCATCCTCCGGCTCCTCGTCCGGAATGGCCGCGCCTTTGCTACCTCCACCTCGAGAGCGTCGCTTGTTTCGAGAGCGTCTATTTGATGTTTTTCGGCCCCCGGTCGAGTTTCCTCCGCCGTCTGACGAGTTGTGTTCATCACTGGAGCCCCCGCTGCTGTTCAAATCTGCTTCGAGAAGTTCCAGTTCCTTCGCCAACTCGCTGGGGATGCTGGAGACGACGTCATGGAAGGAGCCCAGTTCCTCCTCGTCCTCCTCTAAATCCTCGATGTTTGTTGACCCGTCATCGATTTCTGTGCTGTCGTAGACGGCGTCATGCCACTTCTTCCGCATCCGTTTCTCTTCCTCTACATCGTAGTTCACTTCCGCCTTTGCCTCCAGCAACAATCTCACACACGTTAACGTCGCGTCCTGACTGCCGCCGGTGGTGACGGTGACCGCGACAGAGAGGTTGCGGTGCAAATCCGGATTCGCGTTGTTCTGCAGCAGCAGCTCCACCAACTTAACCCGCCGCTGCGCCGACTCAGTCATGTCTTTGTGTGCCACGTACGCGCGAAACGCACACTATCCTCAGGAAATTTTCCGTACGCGACAACGTAAGTACATCTGACTACAAATGCTATTCTTGCTGCATGAGACAGGTTTTCTTCAACAATCACATTTACTAGCATGACAAGTCAAGTGCCATGATGCTTCAGGTTGTTGGAAAAATTTGTGATGCATTTTGTACGTACAAGTACTTGTGCGGTCAACGTGAATTTCAATTTGTATTTGATACGCACATCAGGGGCGTTTGCAGCTCGTCATCGACGGCGTTCGGGTTCGCGTTGTGGTCGAGCAGACACTGCGCAATTGTGTCCAGGCCCCGGCGGCACGCGACGAAAAGTGGGGTTTCGCCGTTAGAATTCAGCGGGTCGACGACAAAGCGGTTGCGGAGGTGCGCAATGTGTTCGCTATTCTGAATGACTGAGAGGGGCGGGATGGTGCGGGAAAATTCTTCCCTGATGTCCTCGCGGTTGGTGAGAAGGGGAACTGCAAACGATGATGTGCCTGCTTGTTTCGCAGCTGCAGTAGCAGTAGCTCCTTCATGTGCACTACTAGTAGCCGTGGCAGCTGCTCCGGCATTGCTGCATCCCGCGATGTCTTCGATTCCCGAGTGGCTGAAGCGCTTGCTGAGCCGCTTGCTCAGCTTCCGTACCGTTTCGACCTCGGATTGGGCCTGTTGGTCCTCGTCCGTTTCGGAGGTACTGGATTCGCTGGACGAAGACGAAGCTGAGGACCCCTGTTTTGATGATTTCGCGTCTTCGTACGGGTCATTTTCATCGTCTTTGAGCGCAGTAGGCTCTTCTCCGTCTCGTCCACCACCAGATTCTTCATTGTCTCCGGTTCTATTTTTACATGTGTCACCATTTACTTCCGACGTGCTGGACAGTCCGATGCCAGCGCCTGCTGTGCCCGGATCATCACTATCATCTTCTTTTCCCTCCTCCTCTTCCCCCTCGCCCTCCGTACCCCCGTCCGCGGAGCTGGCTGCCATCTCCATTACGCGATACACAATCCGCAAATTGTCCTCCCGGTTTTGCACGCAGAGCTGGAGTGCGGCCAAAATTTTGTTGCAGTAATTGATGAGGGAATTTTCCCACTCCTGCACCCGGTTCGCCGACACGGTTTCTTCCTCGTAGTACTCGAATACGGAATCCACAATGGAGAACAGCGGGTGCTCCGGCGACCGGATCTGCGGGAACTCGTCGAAAAACGTCTCCAAGGTTTTTCGGGTCTCGTCCTTACTGGATGAAGTGTCGGCAGGAGCGTTGCCGTCGGAAGATGTTCTTCTTCTTGGGGCGTTCTTGTTTGCCGAGGCCAAAGATGATGATGACCCGGGAATCACGGCAAGGACCAGTCGGCAAATGGCGTCGAGCCGGTCCCTGTCGCTGTAGTCATCTACTTCGGGATGAAGTGGAGGTTGCTCAGGCTCTACTTCTGTTGCCGCAGCCGCATCCTTATCATAAACACGCAGAGTCTGTTGACTACTTGTTCCTATCCGGCGGTGGAAAACCTTCGACAGAAGGTCTTCCTGCGAGGCGAAGGTTCGGACTTTGAAAATTTTTGGACTATTAGCGGTCTTTATGTCGTGGAGGTTTTGGTTTTCAACTGCACGACCAGGAGCACTCTTCAGGAATCTTTCGAACACGGATTCGCAAATCTCGCGCACTAGCGCGCCGCTTCCATACAGCTCCCGCATGTGGTCGAGGATGGTCAGAATTAGCGGTCTATGAAATGCAAAAGCATCGTACTAGTAGAAATCGCATTACAGATTTTCTCAGCATGAGAAATTACTTAATAAAATTTGCAATGCTGATTTGCCTGCTTGATAAAGAAATTTGTAATGCAAGACCTGCATTTATACGAGTACGATACTTTTGCACAGCATACGGTCGCTGGGGCTGGCCTCCTGAAGAATGATCGTAGCCCACTACTTGGAGTTCTTGTGAAGGGACTGGTTGTCGTGTCACCGCAACAACCTCTGCGGAAGAACCTCCTACGGCTGCCGGTGCAAAATTTTCGTCGCCGCGAGCAACATCTACATCGGCGATAAATGCACCGCCGCCGGCAATATTTTCGTACTTCCCACCGTAGATTTCTGCGTACATTTGCGCGCAGTGCCAGTGCGCGAGGTCCTTCTCCGCCCAACTCTCGACCGCGGCTCCCGTGTACTTTTTCAGGTTGGTGTGCTGCAGGAGTAAATCCACGACCTCTTCGCCCACGATGTTGTGGGCCAAGCACAGCGTCAGCGCGGTCTGCGGCGCTACGTCCTCTGTCGTTTCGAGATTGCAGTCCGCCTTCTGGATCAGCAAATATTTCACCACCTCGGCGTTGTCCTCCAGACTGGCGTCCTTGAGCGCGCCAAACCGCGTCGCCTTTTCTACAACCGCGGCCTGCAGCGCGGTCAGCCCGTCGGACACAAGGTTGACGTCCTCGTTGGCCTCCAGTAACAGCTGCACGCATTCCTTCGAACCGGCAAGCGCAGCGACGTGAAGGGCTCGGTAGCGGACCTCGTCCTCATCGAACTCTTCGTCGTCATCGTCGTCGAATATATCGTCGTCCTCCTCCTCCTCATCCGTGTTATTACTGGAGGTAGAAGGATCCTCCTCGCGTCCTCGCCCTCGGTCCGAGGGAAGGTGATTCCCTTTGTCATGATTTTCGTCTTGCGAGGACTCAGAACTCATCGGAGACGAAGGGTTTGAGTTCGAAGAACCTGCTTGTTCCCCGTTAGAATTTGTGCCACCGTGGTGGTTGCGCGCACCCCGAGCCGCCTCGATGGTAGAGGCGATGTTTGAAGGCGGTGGTTCTACTTTGATCCTCAAAGGCGCCCAGATGGAACTAGCGTCGCCGCTTCGATGTTCCTGTAGTTCCTTTTCTGCACCTGCTGGTGTCCTCTTTTCATCTATTCTTGAAGTAGCCCCTGCGTCCTTACTTGCCATTGTTCCGATTCTCCCGTCCTCCGCCACCTCGACTACCGAGGACAAACCCCCCGCTACCGCTATGAATTGCAAAAGTATCGCATTGCAAATTTCTTCAGCATGAGAAATAAAATTTGTAGTGCGATTTTACCTGTAATGCATGATTGCAATACGAGTACGATACTTTTGCACAGGATAACCGCCGCGACGGAGTGGTCTTGGGGAAGGCGAAACCACAGCTCTACGGAAGACTCGGCCGACAAACGTTTCAAGTCTTCCATATGAGAGCGCACAACTCCCCGTCCCCCTCCTTTGTGTTGCATGAACAGCAACACAAACACCAGCACACGTGGAGCCTGTGCATGGCAAATTCATGCAGTTCTAGTGTAGTACTGTTTGGGCTTCCGGAATCTGTCATGCAAACAGTGCAACAGGAAAGCACTTGGGTTTGGGGTTTTGCATGACAAATGAGGGGGAGGGGGAGTTGTGCACTGTCATATTCCACCTGCCTTAGCGGGAAGCCGACGCGCTTAAAGTGCGTTTTCCGCGTTCTTTTGGGAAGAGACGGTAGTTGAGAATTATCTGCATTTCCATATCCATTTTCATTTTCCTCCTCCTCGTCCAAACGAAACACGCGCATCAGCTCGGTTCTTGGCGGGAGCACCGCTTTCGTGTAGATTTTCAGATCGTGGTGGTCGCTGTTGGTGGAATGTGTGTTCTTATTTCGATTTGATCCAGCACGACTTTGGTCTGCTCGTGCTACATCAACCCGGAAACCGGGGCGAAGTCTGTTGTCTTCAGCGGTGTTTCCGGAGCCCATTGCGGCCGCAGCGTCATAATTCTCGGTCTCTTTCACGAAGGGACAAAGCGTTCCGTCCAGCGACAGCAGGGGGTCTAGTGCTTCTTGTTGCGCGGCGCCAGTATCATCTGATGAAAGGTTGTTATTACCTGCAACTGCTGCATTTTCGTCCCGGTTTGAAGTTCCTAGTGTAGTTCCTGCAGGAGCTGTCACATCGTCGAGCACTGCGGCTCCTGCTAAGCCAGGAATCTGCAGATGCGGATGCCTTCCTGGCTCTGCCTCTGCATTAATATTTGCATCGGAAGATAAAGATGTTGAAACTGCACCAGCACCACCACCACCAGAAAGGCCTCCCCCACCGTCCAGCAGGTTTCCCGCCGTGTACACAAAAACCCCCGCATCTTCATCCGTCTCCACCTCGCAATCGGACTGGCGGATTCGAAAAGTCGCACTGGAGAGACAGGACTTCACCAACCGCGAAATTAACGCGTTTTTCCGCTTTCTTTTCCGCTCCCTCTTCGACAGAAGGTTCAGGTCCTGCTCCAACTGCAGAAACGAATCGGTCTCGGTGGAAGAGAAGAGGATTGTGACTTTGAGAATTTTTGTCTCGTGCGAGTATTCCGACGCTAGTAATTCCTTCAAGCGGTCGGGCATGGCGTGGATGCAGGTGTACAGCAAGCTACTGGTCATCCACTCCCAGCTCGTGCCGCATATGGCGTTCTCAAACGTTACATTCTCAACTGTCATGCAAAACCAACATCAACATCCACACGGCGCAGCGACTTCGCATGACAAATTCCCGAAGGGCTATCGAAACAGCATTGAAATCTGTGCGGAATTTGTAGTGCTAGAAGTTCAATCCCCCCTTTTGCCTTTTGCTATGCTTGCATTGCAAATTCATGTAACAGTTGAGAATGTAACAACTGAGAGTCCCATACCGCAGACACAGATGATGTGGTTGCACCCCTCGGACTTGACGGTCGGCACCCCGCACTTGGGGCACCACTGCACGCCGCCGCGCTTCGTGATGCCCAGCCCGTCGCGCATGCGCTGCTCGCAGGTCTGCCCGGGGTGCCACTCCGCGGTCTTGCACTTGAAACACATAGCGGCGTTGCAGCAGGGCGTTCGGAAGTAGGGGTACCTTCGGAAAAACGCGAGCAGCAGGGTGCACTTGCGCTCCACGTCCGCGATCTCCTGGCACTTTTCGTACTATCCTTCGTAAAAACGTCCCCACACCATAGATAGTCAAGATGGCAAGTCTGCAACACAAATCCCCCAGCTTTGGGAGTTCTGCATGACAAGTTTCGATCTGCAGTGTAGTGCTGGCTGGCAAGGAAAGCGGCATGAAAAAGCCTTTTCTCATCCTGTTCACAGCATTACAAATGCCAAAACATGACTGGAAATGCGTCTCATGGAGATGCGCATTCCAAGTGTTCCTGTCATTGCACATTTGTATGACAACTCTGGGGCGGGGACGTTTTTACACAGGATACGTACACGCGTTTGGCTAGGGGAGCTGCAGCCTGCAGCAGTTTCGAAGCGCCAGGACCTGGCGGGGTGGATTTTTTTCAGTAAGTACAAAAACATCAACGCAGACTGGATTTCTTTACGTACAATTTACAACTAGCGACCACACGAACAAAGAATAAAGCGCACCACACGGCAGCTGCCTCTGAAATTGAAAATGCCGACGATACATCTTTACGGCAGCTTACATACGTGCACGTGGTGCATCTTATCTTCTTGTTCAGCTTTAGTTTATACGCAAATCAACGCTTGACGGCGAGTCTTGTCCCTTCGGCGAAGTAGATCCACCGCCACCTCTCCCTCCTGCTTCCTCCTCACTGCCCGCATCTACTTTACGTTCGCCGAAAAGCGCGTAGTTGAGATGCTGGTCGAGGTCCACGATCTGGTTTATTTCTCCAGCGAGGTCCTCCCGCTCCGTGGCGCTGTGGTCGTTGGAGGAGAAACCGCTGACCTGAGTGAACTGCGTTACGGTCCTATGGAAGAGAGGAAAAGGCTCGGTACAGTCACAAACACTAAGACTAACTTGCAGGAGGCTTTGCATGAGAATTTTTTTCGGCGTCACGACAGGAAGTTTTTCTTGTATTGCAGAAAAACATCAAGGGAAATACCGGCTTGGTCGTATCAGATTTGACTGTGTTGCATTTTCGCCGCTGACTGAACTGATGTTTGTGCTTTGCAGGGTTATTACCGATTCCACCGATGAGTGATCGTGACCAACATTTTCTTTTTGATAGGTTCGCACCGCCACCACGCCGTCCGGCCCAGATGCGATGATCCGTGTGGTTGTCTTCTTGTTCTGCTGCAGTTCTCCTGATAGCAGGGAACTGCTGCTCGGCGGTACATCCTTACAAACCAGTTCCAGCTCGTCTGCAAGTTGCTGCAACACCTCCTCCGCTTCGCACCGCCCCTTCAGCCACCGCTTCCAGAGCACCGAGGCGGAGTGTAGTTGAGCGCCGTTCTCTTTGGTGGGTTCCTCTTCCGCCGATGTCGTGGCAGCAATACCACCGCCGATTCCTCCCGCAGCTGCGGACGAGGCCGTGGTAGAGACACTCGCGGTGTCAGAACCGCCCCCGCATCGTCGCCAGTGTTGGTCGCGCAACTTCTCTTCGAGGTCGTGTATGGGGCTCTCAAGCGCTATATTCTCAACTGTTACATATACATAAATATACATGATTTGTCATGCAGAACTACCAGCAGAATCGAAACGATCAAGCTGCTTCGCATGACAAATTCTCGAAGTCCTAAAGAGGCTTAGAACCTGTGCCAAATCTGTCATGCAAGACGCAGAACGTCACCCCTTTCACTTTTGCCATTCTTGCATGACAAGTCCATGTAGCAAGTGAGAATGTAACATTTGAAAACACCATATCGTGGCGCTGTTTGTTCTTTTTCACGTGGTCGACGCCATGGTAGGGAGAGGAAAGCGAGTTCCGGAGCCAGGTATGCTGTACAAAACAAGTATCGACGTACTCGTAGTAATCCTAATCGCAGTCATGCATTACAAATCTCCATCCCAAGGTAAAACAGCATGAGAAAAAAATTTTTCCATGTGTCATGCTGAGCTAATTTTATACATCTACCGCGGGGAGATCATCCTATGGGATGATCAATGACTCGCCTGGAGTCGTCGTCGCCCCGTAGAGCGGGCGCCCACGAGATGAGCACCTGCCCGGGATGATCAATGACTCGCATGGAGTCGTCGTCGCCCCGTAGAGCGGGCGCCCACGAGATGAGCACCTGCCCCATACAGGACGAAGACATATTCAGAGTCTCTGTCACGCTACCTACGATAGCGGCGCGAGACCTCATGATCGCCCCGTGGTAAGAGAAAGAGCACGAAACCAAAAACCCACCAAAAGAGGGCGGGTGGGCGGGAAAAACTTCAAGCCCGGAGGCCTGGCCCCTGTCACTGTCATATCTAGGATCTGGCTACCGAGTAAGATATCGGGTCGAGGCTGGGGCCGTATAAAATATCGACCGACCAACCTCAGCCCCGACTCACAGGCTCGCGCGACTGCTGTTGCCCGGTCATAAATTTTATACATCTACCGCGGGGAGATCATCCTATGGGATGATCAATGACTCGCATGGAGTCGTCGTCGCCCCGTAGAGCGGGCGCCCACGAGATGAGCACCTGCCCCACCGACGGAGACGCAACGCGACGAAGCAACCCAAAGAACCCGCAAGTGCACACGCGTAGATGAATTTGGGTAACAACAAGTGCCCCATCGAAGAGGAGGCGGAAGTGACGACAGCACCACGAGAGACCGATACGCCAGCAGATGCTGATCATATCAAAACGCAGACGGCAAGAAGGGCGTGACCGAGCGCAAACACAGACGGGGTCTGGCACAGACGCAAGAACAGCATGTACGGAGTCCCAGCGTGATCTCGTCGACACACATGTCGAACGAGCAGAAAAAAAAGAAATAATCGTGTACCGAGCAGGCCTACATCAACATTAAATGTTGTAAAAGAAGTAATGTGCGCCACAGCGCGAGCCATGGGAAACCCACCCGAAAAATCTACACAGAACACAGACCCGGAACGGAGAGCGGCGCCCTTACTTCTTATCGACTCCCGCGCCGGCGCTGCTGCTGCTGCTGCCGGTCTTCCCCTGATGAACATCCCACGCCCGGGCAGGATCGAAACGCCACCCAAAGCGCTGCACAACCTCCCGAAGCTGCTCCAAGGACTCCGGGGCGGCATGGGAGTAGGAACACCCACGACGCGAGCAATTTCCATGCTGCAAGAAGATCGCGCAGGGGCCGGCCGGAGCGGAATCCGCTCCCGCCCGCTGGCGTTTCGAACGGCCGCCGTCCTCTTGTTCGGTGGTTACGGAATCCATGCGGGAAAAGCAAACACCCTGAAACCACTCCCAAACCTTTAACGCGTAGGCCTTGGGGCCCTCGTTCGGGTTGCCGCTCCCTTCATAGTCGCCCGCGGCGCTCAAAGTCTTGGCGTCCCGCGCCCAAACCTTGGCAAAGATCTCGAAGGCCTGCGCGCTCAGTCCAAAACGGAAAACCCAGGACAGGCCGAAGGAATTGACAGCCCGCACGTCGCGCTCCGCAACAAAAAGGACAACGGTGAGCATCTGGAAAACACAGCGAACGGTCTTCAGCGGCAAGCCCGCAAGGTCCATGTCGAGAACGGCCTTGTGCAGCTTGGAGAACAAAGAAGCGGAGCAGATGATGTCAGGAGACACCCCCATCTGTGCCGCCACGGCACTAACTTTCTTCTCTTCCTTCGCCATCGTTTCGAAGCCCTTCGCGAAAAGCTTCCCCATCATCTCTAACTGCTCCGCATTCTGCAGCTGCTGCTGGGGCTGCTGCTGCTGGCCCCCATGGTTTTGCCCTTCAATATCAGACATTTTAGCGAAAAGGATGGCACCCAAAGAAGATGCGCTTTGCTCGAAGTACACGAAAATACTCACCCAAAGGTGTCAAGGTCCCTGTGACGGATGGATGGGAGGAGGAAACAGTGAGGACAAGGGCAAGAGCCGCTCCTCAACTCCCCAGGCGAAACTACTAACAGATCTGGAAGACACACCAGGACATTTCTTCCCGTGGGAGTGTCGATTTAAGAGCGAGCAACATATGATCAGAACCACAGAAGACCCAGAGCACCCATTTTCGATTTCGACCACGGAGAAATAGAGAGGAACCCGCCCAGATGGCGCCACATTTGCAGAACATGAGTGCGGTCATATTTCGACCCAGAGATGAACGGGACACACATACACCACCGCGCTGACCCTAGTCCGCGACTCGCGTGACACAGCTCCACAGCGTAGACATATACCAACCACAAACCCCGGGGCCTACCGCCTCACGTTTCTCCTCTCTTAGGTTTAACGGATTCAAACCGCCAGTGCCACAGAGCCGAAGTCACGCCAGTCAGTCGGACCAGGATCAGCGCCAGATGGACAGACGCGCATCAAAGCGCCGTCATCACGACAGCAGACCAAACAACTCGCAGTGCGGGCAAAAGGCCTCACACACCGCGCCAGGACGTAAAGTAGACGCAGAAGGCAGCCTACTTCACAGAGAGAGAAACAACTGTAGATCGAGGGCGGAAAGGCTCCTCTCCCTACCCAAACGGCCGTCAACATCGGCCAGAAAACAACTGACTACCATCGGCAGGGGCGTTACTCCCTGGATCCCAGAATGACAAAAACGAGGGGAAAAACTTCAAGCCCGGAGGCCTGGCCCCTGTCACTGTCATATCTAGGATCTGGCTACCGAGTAAGATATCGGGTCGAGGCTGGGGCCGTATAAAATATCGACCGACCAACCTCAGCCCCGACTCACAGGCTCGCGCGACTGCTGTTGCCCGGTCATACATTTATTGTAATGCAAGTACTACTAGTGCGATAGTCATGCTTTTGCAGTTCATACCAGGGGTGATCCAGCAACAAAAAGCCCGGCTGCTCGTTCAGCAGACTGCCGGTACCGTCGCAGTCCGGGCAGCGGTAGGTGAGCAACGCCTCGGCGCTCTGGTAGTACTTTTGGAACACGGACACATCCACCAGGGGCGTCCAGACGTCCGCGGGCACGCGGGAGCGGCAGTCCGGGCACTTCAGATAGGGACACGAGTACAGCGCCGCTGACACCATGGTCTCCGCGTGCTGCGAGAAACACTCGCGGCAAAAGCAACCCTGGCACACTGGCGGCGAGGTGGAAGAGGACGACTTGCTGGTAGATCCAGTGAGCAAACGAGCCCGCGTGTTAGACGCAGCAGCCCCAGCGCCGGATGGTTCGGTGGATAATGAAGTGCGAGGGAGGTTCAAGCAGGGCCGCAACAGCAGCCTGACGTCCACATGGCCGGGGGAGTGGCGTAACCGGCTTCATATGGATTGGAAAGAACACGTAGCGCACTCGTAGCGGTTGCATTTATTGCTGCAATAGAATTAGAAATACGGTCAGCGTCGTGTGCGTGAGAAATACAATTAGCCAGCTGATTCAGCTTGGAAAGAAAATTTTCTTTCGCATGATTCTGATTAAGTGCTTTGTTCGAGTACGGTACTTTCGCACGGGATACTTCGTGGCGACCAGCAAATGGAGGTCTCTTCGTCGAAATCATCTAGGCAGATCTGACACCGGAAGTTGTTTAGTGTGAAAGCTTTGTCGAGGGCATCAACATCACGCCTGAGAGGGAGCAACGCCGAGGAGGGGTCGGCCAGAGCAGCCTCAGGATCGATGGGCAACAAACAGCTCTCCTGCTGCTGTTGCTGCCGGCTGAGTGCAGCATTCGCAGCTGCTCCCGCCGCAGCTTTCTTTGAGGAAGCTGCTGTTCCACCACCGGTGCCCGCCAGTCCTAAAGCTGCCGGTGTTGAACAGGCGGTCACCGAGCTTCTGGATTTTGACCCCGGTTTGCTCGCAGGGGAAACGGTGGGAAGCGATGCGCCATCATGATCCGTGGTCGTACCGCTAGCTCCGCGCTGCGCCGCGTCTAGGCGGGGGAGATGCTTGCTCGCGCTCCGGCTGATCGACGTTGCGTTTTGTGCATTGCAAAAGCATCATATTTAGTGGAAATCGCAATACAGACTTTTCCACAAGAAAATAGAATGGAAATTGTGAAGCTGCTTTTGCTTGATAGCGTTGGCGTTTCCATTTGTCGTGCACTCGTCCTGCAATACAAGTAAGCGATGCTTTTTCACACGGGATACGTCCTCGCGACCCGCGATGAGTCGCTGCAGTGCCGCATCGGTCAAGGGTTGACTGCCCTGCGCCAGCCGGGTCTGCAGGTCAGAAATCGGCGTCGCGTTGCTGGCGTAGGGGGTGGAGGAGCCTGTTGTGCCTGCTCCCGCAGAGAGTTTATTGCCCGCCGCTCCTGTAGTTGTCGTCTGCTCCCCCGCCGCGAGTTGTTGGAGATTCACCAGAGGACCTCGATTTCCCGCTCCCGGTGCGGACGAGAACTGAGAGGTTGGCCCAGCTGTGTTTTGATGACGTTGGTCGGCCGCACGACTCCCTGTGCCGGTAGTCGCTGCCAGCTGCCCTGGAATTTGTTGACCACTTCCGCTACTGGTTCCTTGCGCCCCCACAGAAGAAGCACTTCCACCGCCTCCACCAATGCGGGGGAGGTGGTGCGCACCACCACCTCCAGCATGGTGCGGCGGCTGGTTCAGGTTTCGCTTGTTGATTTGGTTTTGCGCAGTGGCACTCCTCCGCTGTGGCTGTTGTACCAGCTGGTGGCCACCTGTTGAAGTAGGTGATGCCCCACTTGTGGTCGCATGTTGCTGGTGGTGGTGCCCAAGCGCGCCTCCCCTGCTTGCGGGTGACGAGGGTGCCGTCGTTGCAGTCCCCCTACCTCCACCAGTGGCTGTGGTCGCTGGACCTGTTCCTGTAGCATGATGATGCTGCCCTCCTGTTGCAGCGCCTCCTGTAGTGGTGTTCGCACTGGCCGCGGTTGTTTTTCGGCCGCTCAGCTCCCGGAGCTCTTTCAGACGGCTGCGTGAGCTCGGGGTCACGTATGGGTTGGTGGCGTTGTTTGTTCCGACAGCGCCTGGAACTCCTCGTGCAGTCGTGCCGACTGCGCCGCCGATAGCGGGGGTGAGCAGTTGATGTGCCCCCGCCTGCCGCGACTGTAGGTGTTGTACTAGAAATGCGGCCTCATTTGTTTTCGTCACAAGCGGTTTTGTCGTGTCGTGTTGCGTATGCTGTGAAAAAGTATCGAACTCGTACTAAAACTAATTGCAAATATGCATGACAAATCTTCCTTCTGTAGGTAAAACAGCATTAGTACAAATTTTACTTTTATTCTTGCCGAAATTTGTAATGCGATTTCTACTAGTATGGTACTTTTGCAATGCATATTGTGCACTACTGGGCTTGCTCGGCGACGACGTCGAGGCGTCGGACAAATGCTTCGCCTATCAAAATGAAAAATCTCCCCTCCCCATACCAAATTGAAAATCTGTGATGCAACAAGGCTTGTGGACATAAATCAGCTTTGTCTTGCAGTAGAGGACTGCACGCAGATACAAAGCCTGAGCTGGGCCTTTTTGGTGTTGCCACCTAGCAAGGAAGACTGATCCTCTGCACACCATACAGCATTACAAATTGCGCGCAAAACCCGCCGGAGTCTCTGGCTTTGCCATTTTGCAAGACGATTTGTGTCCGCAAATCAGCATCACAAATTTTCAGAAGTGATGTGTCTTTTGAGTATGGGGTGAGAGGATTTTTCCTCACAATATCGCCAGGCCCGTGTTCGGAGACTCCGCTCGGTCTTCCAGCAGGGGGCCTCCCGTGATTTGGTTGGATGTTATTTGAGACGAGGGGAAATTAATATGTTGACCTCCTGCTGTTCCACTTGTTGCACTAGCGGCGCCACGAAGGCCCCCGCGCGATGAAGTAGCGCCGCTCGCTGCACCACCTGCGTGCGGAAAGCGCGTTCGCTCGGCGGCATTGCGGTAGTTGCCGCCCCAGGGACCACCTGCTCGGACGGGCGTTCCGGTACGAGCGGCCGTCGTGTGGTTATCTCCTCCACCGGGCGTACGCCGCTGTTGGGGGGCAGTGGACATTCCCCCTTAAAATTGGTTTTGTGTATCTTAAAATCGTAGTAGCAGAGACAGAAGAACATGAAGAGACAACGCAACATGGGTGGAGAGAAGGACAACACTTCAGCCCGTAACGTCCACATGAGACAGACCACGCTAACGTCTACATGAGACAGACCCCTTAAAAAGCAACAAAATGAAAGGTGTTTCTCATCACGGGCGGACGGCAAAGTCAAGAAGCTCTTGGTTTTGCAATATGTCATCCCCACCAGGAAGAAGAGGAAGAACGCCTTGGGAATTCGTAAAGTTTAGACATGCTTACCAAGTTTAACGGGTCGTGGAGATACGACGACATCAAATAAGAAAGACAATAAAGATGTGACAGACAACACAGGTGCATTTGTGAAGAAAAAATCGCAAGAAAGTGCATCCAAGGTCATACCTACAAGAAGCAAATAGACCAAAAGGTGACTGTCGTGTGCCCGGCGGTAGCAGCGAGTCGCGACGACTAAAGGACAGCAGCGCGAAAGTGGAAAAAAAATGGCAGACACTTATTTCATGGGCATTCATGCTAGCTTTCATGCTTGCCGCATCATGATCAAAGTGATCATCATAGTGATTGAGCCCGAAGCTCATCGCGCTGGTCATGTGTATTTCGTTTTGCACAGGAGGTACAGGTACTTTTGGTTTTTCTTTTTGTACATCATAACCGTCATGATGCCATGCGATGTAGTTGTCCTCATCAGTGTCAATCTTCCACCTGGGTCATTTGTATTTGTATAAAAAGAATTGCTCGGTACTACGTACCAGTGATGAAAATAAAATAACTTACTCAGCCTTACGTTTTTCGAAAAAAAAAAACGAAGGATGCCAGCAGAGATAGTAAGTGGAAGTTTCATTCGAAACGGTTTTCTGCCTTCCTTCAATATCATATTCACAAATGCTGGGCCTCGTTTCTTGATACTGTCACTGTTGCTGTTCTAAAAAATCGAAATATAATATGAAAGTTCTAAAAAATCGAAACCTACGAAGTTGTAGTGCTGTCTGATATATTATTTAATTTCACAGTCTTCTTTCTGTTTCTGTGCAGATGTAAAAGGAAACGGTCAACTCGCATACTTTTTTCTTGGAAACAAATCAATGGAAGACGAAGATGCTCAACCAAACTGAATCTAAATCTAAATCTATACCTTTGCAAAGAAAACGGATGAAACGGATATTTGATGATGCCGATGACCCTTCTCCTTCGGCGGCGCTCTAGAAGTTGAAGTCTTTATCATAGTCATAACGCTAGATGGATAAGCAAGGATGGCAAAATTTTCATCCCACCTTCACCTCCCTCGAAGATGAGCATGAATCCCCTCCGCTATAATTTCACCTTCAGCGCGCCGCAATGCCCGTCGTCGCCAAAATGTCGGCGTTGGCAGAGAACTGGCCCATGATGGCCTTGATTGCGTTTATGGAAGCGTCAGGATCGAAATCGTCAAAGTTGAAAATAAAATAGTTTGTCATGCATAAAATGCAATGCAGAAACTGCCTCTATTGCAGAGGACGCAAGGGAGGCAGATTGTGGTGCTGGTGGTAATGGTCGGGCATTGGGCTGCTGATTAGCATCACAGAGGGGAGCCCCTTCGCCCTAAAGAAACAGCATGACAAAGAACAGGCCTCCTGTAGGGACAAAATTTGTCATGCACCGACTAGAAACTGTGGGTCCAATTGGTATCGATTTTATGCATTACAAGTTGTTATTGTTTCAACTTTGTCGATTTCATCAATCCTGACACTCCCATAGCGTTGTCGATCATGGTGTACTGCACCTTGTTGTCCATGCAGAAGAGCTATGAACTGCAAAAGCATCATACTAGTAGAAATCGCATTACAAATATTTCCTCAGCATTACAAATGGAATTTGTAATGCTGATTTGCCTTGAGAAAAAGATTTGTAATGCATAAATGCAATTTACTACGAGTACGTTACTTTTGCACGGGATAAGAGCTCCTTCTTCAGCTTCGTCCGATCCGGCCCAAACGCGATCGTGGAGAGGAGATCCAGCGCCACCTGCAGGTTTGCCGGGACCACCGCAGGATCGCTCGGGTTTTTGGTCTGGTCCCCATATCCTGCGTAAAAACCTACTCTCCACGACTTGACAATTGTGACACAAATCGGCAGACGTCGACTCAGGGTGTTTCTCTTAATTTTACAGCCCTAAGAGCACAAGAAAAGTTATTTTCCAACACTCGTGCTTTGGAATTTGTTATGCTCGAATCAGCACGAGACAGCCGATTTGTGTTGACGCAGCTTCAGAACCACGGCTAGTACACCGCGTTTCTCACAAACCTTCTGCTTCTGGATTATTTGTCGTGCTGAGTTCCGCTCTTGACTATCTGTGGAGTGCAAGTGATGTGTGTAGTCCTTTTACTCAGGATACCGAAGCTTGGGTCCCCTGGCAGCTGTTCAGCGTCTCTTCCACTGTGATGGTGGTGGGGTCGACCGTCAGGTATGCATCGCAAAATAAGAATCGTACGAGTATCACTTGCACGACAAATAAAATTATTTGCAACGCTGATTTCGATTTGCTTTAGGAAGACCTGTCACAATGCAAGACTGGTGCACTTTTTATGTTCGGGTACGATAATTCTCGTTTTGCACAGGATAGCACGCCCGTGATGTTTGTCGCTGCGGTAATATGGAATGAAAATATAGTACCTCCGCCGCAAACTATCACAAATTCGTGTTGGGGGACTCATTGAATGTACTGCGTGACAAGTAATTTGGTTGTAAGAACATCAACGTCGCGCGTTCTCAACATCATGCGGCAACTTGGCTTGTAAGTTGCGCAACTTCTTCAACACAGTAGAGATCAATCACGCACGGACGTTCTGATCGATGCAGATAAGTGATTTTTTTCATTTTCGCTTTCGGGCAGGGGCATCATAATTTTTACATCGCGTATGTAGCCACAACTTGTTTTATGATGTCTGGGTTGGCCACGACGGTGGTCATCACGGATTCCTGCGTGCTGAAGGCGGTAATGTCGATGGTTGCGGCCCCTCCGGCACTCTGTTTTTTGTCCGTCTTCTTGTTGTGTTTCTTGTCGCTGGCATGCTTCTGGACTTCCGTTTCCTCGGCGTTCAGCAGCATCATGACTAACGTAGTCGTGGCGGTGATCGTGGTGGCGTCGAACGTACCCGTAACGCGAATCTGAGCGGCAGCGTCGACTTGCTGTGCCTGCGTAGCTATGCGTTGCAAAAGTATCGCACTGGTGGTAATACTTAGAAGTAATTGCATTTGCATCTAGAGATACAGTTATCTTCAGGTTGAAATTATAGTGCTGAATATTTACCGTTCGAAAGAGATTTGTCTTGATACATGGTAACGCCTGCAATCAGTACGAGTACGATACTTTTGCACAGGATATTGGTCAGCTCGGTCTGCATCCCGGTACAGAAGGCGCTGAGATCGGCGTCGGTGGCCGTGTCTCCGAGCGAAAGCTTCACCTCCGCAGTGGAGCCCCCCATCTGCGCGCAACAGGTGTTCAGGTCATCATCGTCAGTTGTGTACGAAGTGTGGACGTAGGTTCCGAGGTCGCTGCTGGTCTTCCCCAGCATGGTCGTCACGCGCCTTCTATCCTTTGCAAAAAAATAACGAGCATCGCACCCGTAACCGTGGTTATAAGTTTCTATTGCAGAACAGCTACAATAACAATCACGCTGAATGAGCATGACAGGAACCGGTCAGCTCGCCTCTCAAAATCAGGAATAGGATTCATAGCTGAATCAGCATCGCACATGTATCCATTTCTGCTTTTGGGCGAGTTTGTAGTCATGCGCGGCTGGTGTAGATTATGTACGGTAAGGACGATGCTCTTCTTGCCATGCATACTGATAGAGAAAGCACTTTTCGCCCTTGCAGGTACTCGCCTCGGCTGCCTGCGACATCGCGTAGGTGCTGTCGATCATGGCGCAGGGGTCGGTAACTGCGTTACCCGTTGCCGACGCCCAGTTTTCCCACTCCGTCTTGGCATCCAAGCACGTCTGCTTGTTCTGCACGCACGTGCTGCGGTCGTCTGCCAGGGTGCAGTCGGATCCCCCGAACGTACAGGTTCCGTCCATTACTACGTCCACTGTGTTAGGGTCGTTGATTGCGGTTTGGGCGTTCACGAGGGAGTACACGAGAGTCTCGGTGGCCTTGGTGTCGTTGAAGACTGCGACGCCACTCGTGCGGCAAAGTTGCGGTGTCACGCAGCACACGGCGGCGTCCAGGGCGGTGCACACGTTGGGACTCGTTCCGGGCTGCTGGGTCGTTCCGTAGGCCGAGGCGCACGGGATATTGGCCGCGTTAGCTTTATGCAATGCAAAAACATCACAGTTCGTACAATTTTCTTGATCAATTTGCTCAAGAGGAAAATTGGAATTTGTCAATCAGATGATCCAAGTAGGACGCCGGATATTTCATGGTGCATGATTACAATTAGTACGAGTCTTTTGCAATGGATAAGCGGAAAACACCTTGCTCACCAGCCCGCCGGTACTGAGGCCGGCACAAACGGCGGTCGGAGTAGTGGAATTACATGAGGCGCGGTTGTCGGTGATGACCTCGACGTCAAATAGCAGGCCGTCGCCATTTATCCCCGGCAAAAGTATAGTACTCGTTGTCGTTTCTACAAATCATATAGATTGCACTCATATAGTACTCCCAACCCCAAGCCAACCCGAAGCAAGCTCCAATCAACATGACAACTCTCACTTTTCCTCTTGCCAAAATTAGTGACGGAATTTACAGTAGTACGATACTTTTGCAATGCATACCACTCGGATCCAACATTTCGATGGTTTTGGCACTGATGTACATAGGTTGTGTTGCAACAGATTGCAAAGGGTGAGTCGCGCCGGTGTATTCGAGCTCGTACGCATTTCCACTCGCGTCCGTCAATTTCTGTGATGAAAAATAAAAATGATTACCAATCCGTCTTGAAACCAATGATTTTGATCATGTGGAGATAAATCAATGATCTTGCATGGACAAGAAAAATAAATGGAAGATAGTACATAAAGATAGTACATTTGCAAATTTTCAATTTCATCCACGGTCGAAATAAATGCTCATGTTCGTCATAGAATATTCATCCAAATGAAAATCAAATAAAAAATGTACAAATTTGTCCCCCATTCCCTCAGTGTAGATGTTGCCCAGGGTGTAAATTGACGAAAACGGATTCACGTAGTAGGTTCCGTACGTAGCATTATAGGTTCTGTTTCATGCATCGCAAAGTTGTCGTAAGTGTGATAACCAATAATATTCAATATCATCTCTGATCAGCAAAAAATCGTATCTTTTTTTTAAGTACTTACAACTCGTGTCTACAGCATCCATGATCACATCAAAAAAAAGTCGCGAGCACGGATAATTGAAAGCTAGCCAACTGCCCGCGTTCGTATTTGCAAACGCAGTGGTTATCACACAGACGGGCTTTCGTCTTTTCCACAGCATATGGACCAAAGCGGCGAAGGAACGCTTGCGTCAGTGGATGGATCCCTCATTTTGGTCAAGCTCGCCTCGATCACAACCGTTTTACCATAGGAAAAAGTGTACCCATTCCCAAGAAACGAACGCATATCATACCAACATAGTGTACGTTTGCATCCGTGTGGTGCGTGCACGATAGACGACAAGGACAGCAGCACTTATTTCTCTGTATTTTCGTGTGATGAAGATGTTGGGTTTGGGACGAGATGAAGGAAAACAAACTGGCAAGTGACGGTTCTTACGTGAAGCTGTTCGACGGAGAAGTAGTGCGTGCTGGTTAAAGACCGCAAGCAAACAATGCGAAGCGGAAAGAGTCGACGTTTGTCTTAACGCTGAAGAAGCAAAGCACTATGTATGTGTGTAGTTTGCTTGTCATGGTTGGTACACTGTTCCACATGGTAACGCTCCGCGGCCCCTCCCCCAACGTCTTGGGGGCTCGCAATATCGGTTTTTGTGATGTCCATCTTGGCACTCCTTGGGAGTTCTGTGGTGTCGTTTGTGCTTCTGCTTGCAGTTCATTTTTGATCTGAAGAGTAGGACAGCACGCGGGATCATGTTCATACGAGACTTCATTTCATAATCTTCATTGTACTTAATGTATGCGAGTATGATGCATGACCATGACAGGAAAAGAGCACTCATTTCACGTTTAAATCATGATGACCTGTTCCTGTACTTCTAACGGTGAATTACTGTCGTGACAAATAAAGCAAAACCCGCCGCCCGACATCAAGAAAGGAAGTACTCATCACACGAATCTCGACCCCGCAAATAGCCAAGCCGGTGCCCTCCGCGCCTTCCACCGTGATGGCTTTGACCAACTTTGGGGTGTCTCCGCTCTTGAGCTTGTAGACGTCCGACAGACTCTTGGCAGTGGTGTCGTCGCTGGCCGTCGGAAACACATTGACCATCACTTGCGGTGGCACTTTATTTGCATCTGCGCTACTGGTAGAGAGGGTGGCAATGTCTTCTGTCGTGTCGTCTACTAGCAATAGTCGCACCGTCGCACCTGTATGTTCGGAGATGTGGCACGATAGCGGTGCAGCTGCAGCGTTTGAATAATGAAAGAAGACGAGATCAGCTTTCTGAGCTGAGAAACTACAGTATACACAGGCATCGTTCTACTGTCTGCAGCCAAATCATCTTCGCGATCACATACACATTCATGAGGTTAGTATAGTCTTAGTAAGTGCTTTACCAAATATAGCCGCCGAGGCGGGGGTAGTGAGGGCGCGCGGGGTTTTTTTGCCTGGACGACGCCGGTCCTTTAGAGGAGAAACACTTCCTCGCACGCTATGGCCCCAAAAGGGCCTCCGCCAGGGTCGGCCCTGTGGCCCCCCCAAATCGGGCCCATACCCATAGCATGCGGGCTGGCTTGCTGCTTTTGGCGGGATTCGCGTCCATTGGGTTTTTATGTTGAAAAACCGCGCCCCTGCCGCCTACTGAGTCGCAACGCTTTCCCGCATGCTATAGCCACCCCAGGGCCTCCACCAAGCCCGGCCCCATGGGCCCCCAGAATCGGGCTCATAGCATGCGGATTGGCTTTAAGATTTTGGCGGGCCTTCCGCTTTTTGTTTTTTTTTGTTGAAGAGTCGCACTTTTTGGATTGCTCCCCGCATTACAAATGCCCGATTTTGGTGGCCGTCTTTGCGACCTCGAAAAGTGGCCAAAAATGGTCCCCATAGCATGCGGATTCGAAGCTTTGGGTTTGGCCGTCTTCGCATTTTTCCGGCGTCCCTCTTTGGGCGCCCCAAATCGACGGAAATAGGTGCGCCGGACGCCTCAGAAGGGCGCCCCTTTTGCCGGCTCCCCTGCGTCGTTTTATCCCGCGGGAATCGATAGAATCCGCCCGGGCTATTTTGCCGCAAACGCCCCGGCCGCTTGATAATTGAAAATCTTTTTTGTCAAAAAACACTCTCGCCCGCTTGAAAACTGCCGGTCGTTTTGCTGTCTGGGTGGCAAAAAAACTCCCCGGTTAGAACCGTTCGGTGACCTCACTACATATAATTACATATCTCGATATCTGATGCGCTCTCGCTCAAACCGCTACATACAACGTTCTAGTCATGTAGTTGTATGATGACGAAACAAAAAGAAAAAGGCCCACCAGCAGCTCTCGCGGCGGTGCCGTGTGCTTGTACTGAACTACATCAACAATACCATCGAGTGTGGCGACCTCCGTGGCATCAGCTTCGAGAAATTTGCAGGCATACATTCGGATCATCTTCAGTCGCAGAGGTCCAGCTCTAAAAGTGGCGGTCCATGTCGGTTTCACACCAGGCTGGCTTGTCGTTGCGGCTCCAACCCGTGCTGCCGCAGCAAACGGCCACCTGAATTTTTCAATGCATCGCTGTGTTAGTTGTATTTACCAGTCAGTGTCTCGAATGCTCGTTCAATGCTAGTGATGTTCTATTCCTCGGCGCAATTGATTCAACGACAATACACTTTGTCTGCGGTACTACCATGATGATGATTAACTCTGCTAGATAAAAACGTCATTACAAATAAACTTATATCGCAACACTTTTCTTCGCGGCCGGGGGTTCCACCACTTGCGCCGATCGGGTCGAACGTGTTCACCAGGGTGGAGTCAGCTATGGCTTGTGGTCTCTGTGCGGACGACATAGTGGCAACGAACCCACGCACAAAAACGCACACTTGGGGCTTTCTGCACTGGTTGGCATCAGTCAGGATAGTCGATGTTCGAAGCGCGTCGTTGGACACTGCTGTATTTTCCCCGTTCTGTTCCTGGATGAACATGGGGTTGAGCGCGTCGAAGTTGTCACCCTGGTTGTTGGCGCGGATCGTGTTCATAGTAGCCGTGACCATGTGGGGTGCCATTATGAAGTCCTCCGAGGCCTCCGCTGTGTGAGTGTGTAGCCCAGGATTTTTATATAACAAGCACACACAAATTATACGCACGTGAGAGAACATACTACACGACCTCGTATGTTATGACTTGAACGTACCTTTTTCCCTTTCGCGAAACCAGAATCACAATCATCAAAAAGAAAAACACAATAGGAAGAGTGCAAGTAGTACTTGGAAGAGCGTAATCGTTGCTGTACTGGGCGTCCTGGTACACGAAACCCAACACCCTCTTGTAGTTTTTGTCCGCAGGATAACCAAGATTCGTCCAAGGGTGGTTATAGTCCAGGCCGCCCATTTGAAACCCGCTGTCTTTCGTCCGCCTTGCCGCGACCGCCTTCAGCTCTGCCTTTCCGCCCGCCTTTTTCTTCGTTTTTTGCGCATGATCTGCCTTCGCCTCCTCGTGGGTCTTTTTCCCTGCTGTCGTTGCCGATTTCGTCGATGTCAGGGCGGTTTTCGAATCTCCTTCCTCCTCAGCGTCGTCTCCTTCGTCGACAACATGGTTCTTTGTGCCGCTTTCCTGCTTGTTGTCCTCGCTGGAGAGCTCCAAGTGCATTGTAGTTTTCGACTTCACGAGTTTCTCGGCCTTGCTCTTCGCCTCCAGTGCTGATGTTGATACTGCGGGCGTATCCTGTGCAAAAGTATCGCACTTGTAGCACTTGCACTAGCAAGTGCACTTATGCATGACAATCTCTCAGACTAAAACTAAGTAAATGAAAATCAGCACCACAAGCACAAATTGCACATTGGATTTTCATTTTTCATGCTGAGCAAATAAAATTTCGAAATGCACTTACCAGCCCGCACTAGTTGTAGTACGATACTTTTGCGATCCATAGGATGTAGCTGTGCTTTTCTTGACGGTGTTTTTTACTTTCGCGGTACTAGAGGACGAAGATGGAGCGGACCTGCCAGACCTAGTAGCTGCACCTGTCGCGGCCGAGACGATATCAAATGCAAAAGTGTCTGGGTCTGCAAGGGTGTAGACTTGTCATGCAGATTTTCCATGACCCATGTGGTCTGGAATGCGGGACTTAGCATGACAGACTCTGCGAGGTCTCTGCCATGCCTATTCTGCATGAGAGACTTCGTTCCAACTTGGTCAAAAGTGGACAGCTTTTGGCACTCATGCAACACAGATTTTTGCATGCTCCTTCAGATTTACCATGACAAGTTGCAATCTTCCAGACCCAGACATTTTTGCAATTCATATACGAAACTAGTTTCGCCGCTGTTGCCGGACGATGTCGTGAGAAGCGCAATTAATGCGCTTCTCCGCACGGGTATCCTCGTCATGTTTGTACGTTTATGTCCACAAGAATCGGTCTTGTCACTCTACCGCGTTACTTACTCACACAAGTAGGTCGTTTGACCAGGGTTTGCGAGTTCTTGATCACATCAAGCATCATGTAGCAATGTTGTCATGTTGATCTTTGATGCCTCTCACTTTATTCTCTCCGTCTTCATACAAGTAGCACTCGTTCTCTACTGTGAAGCTGTCAGTTTGGCTTCATTTTATTCCACACCTTCGCTCAATAGGAGGCAAAAACTCATCTCCAATGGAAGGAGTAACAGTGAGCATCAAGACGAACAACGCGGAAAAAATTATAGAGAAAAGCACGGGCCATGACCTCGTGGTCCTTGCAAGACCGAACCCACCGGAAGATCTACCGCTGCGGGGTGGTAGTCACGGACAAAGCGTCCACTATTTTACTGTGTCTGAAACCGAAACGCATGTAGTACAAATACGCGGCTCGATTTTTTTACCTTCATCACGCAAGCCTATTGTCGAATAGTGAAACAAGTTCGTCTAGACCAAGATCTTCTAGTAGTGCAACATCTTAACTTGCTCCACCACCCCCGAACTGCTGCTGCAGCTGCTTGCATTGGAGCAGGTGTGAAGTGACGCTGTCCACGAAAGCGGGATTGGGCTGGTTGTTGTCCGCGCTGTTCGCGGCAAGAATCCGCTGCACCAAGTTTGTGAACAGGGCCGTGTGCTTCGCCTTCTCCTCCTCGGTGTGCCGCAGCAGCGTCTGGATTTTCTTCGCGCTCACCTGCTTGTTTGCCTTCACCCGTTTCTCGTACTCGTGCGCCAACTGCAGCAGAGACTCGCGTATCAAATGCAAAAGTGTCTGGGTCTGGAACAAGAGGAAGGCTGTCATGCTTGTCTGGCATAACTCGAGAATCTGTGTTGTATAGGCACGAAAAGGCCGTCCTACCTGTCATGCAAAAGCGCAGCTTTCCATGCGGAATACGTAAGACATGGGAGCCAAAAAAATTGCCATGCGTAGCTGCGTATTGCAGTGCGTCTACCATTCACTTTTAGCATTACAAGTTTCCAGACCCAGACATTTTTGCAATCCATATCGCTCTGCAACAGCGACGCGTTCAGCACCCGATGGTCCGTCTGGGTTATGGAAGCGTCAGGATCGAAATCGTCAAAGTTGAAATCATGATTTGTCATGCATAAGATGCACCTAGAAAACCAAAGCCTGTCTTGCAGAGTGGGCAAGCGAGGCAGATTGTAAGCCCATTGAGGGGTAGAAACTGAGCTGCTTAACTAGCATGACAAAAGGCGTCTTCCTTATCCAAACAGCATGACAAACTGGATTTCGGCCATACCCAAATTTGTCATGCGCCACTTGGAAGCTGGGTTACAACTGGCATCCGTTTTATACATCACAAATTATTTCAACTCTGACGATTTCAATCCTGGCACTGCCATATGGGTGGCCGTAGACGTAGTCGTGGTCGCCCTGGTGCGTGGCAACCTTTGCAGTTGCTGTCCCTGATAAAAATTTCCTCCTCCTGTCCGGGGGGAAGAATTGGAAGAAGTTGGTGATAGCTGCACAGAAGTGGATGTACGAACCCCGCCCCGGCCGGTCTCGTGTTTGATGGTTTGGCTGAGGTTGTTCGCTGGACTAGAAGTGCCGCGGTGATTATGGTTTTGGTTGTAGTACAGCCCGGAACTTATCATGTCTTGCTCTGCGCCCCCCATCCCGCGGCCTGTTCGCATGATGATGCGGGTGGTCCGGGCCTGCATGATGTTCGCCCGCTGCGCCTCAATGTCCATGTTCGCGGGGCCCAGGTTCCAGAGAACCTTCTTCAGCACGCGGTTTTCGAGTATCAACTTGTTCAGCTTGCTCGCCTCCGCGTCCTCCTCCGCTTCACCGGTTGACTTGTTGTTCCCGTCCTGATATGCATTGCAAAAGTAGCGCACTAGATAGTAGTACGACGGATGGCATCGCATATCACGACAGCAAGACCAAAATGATTGAAACTTGTAATGCCGGAAGAAGTAGAAAAAAGAATATTTGTATTGCTGCATTGCAATTCAAATTCATACGAGTGCGCCGATACTTTTGCGGACGATACCTTATCATCGAGGGTTTTGCTTGTGGAGTTTTCTGTCTCCATTTTCTTTTCCATTTCGTACAAGTCGATGCTCTCCAGCATCTTATGGATGTGTCAGAGTTGAAATCGACAAAGTTGAAAATGAAATAACTTGTAATGCATAAAATCGATACCAGTTGAAGCAAAGCTTCCAAGTCGCGCATGACAAATTTGGGTAGAACCTAAATCCAGTTTGTAATTCTGTTTGGGTAAGGAAGACGCCTTCTGTGATGCTACTTTAGCAGCTCTGTTTCTCTCCCGAAACAGGCACACAATCTGCCTCCCTTGCCTACTCTGCAAGACAGGCACTTTCTGCGTTGCATTTTATGCATGCCAAACTATTTCAACTTTGACGATTTCAATCCTGACAGGTCCATACATCTTGCCGTCAAAGTACTGCTTGATGGCCATTAATAAGAACGTGCGGTCCGACGTCAAATCGGAGATCTGCTCGTACAAATCGGGCAACAGATTCGCGCCGAGCTCCAGATTCAGCGTCTCCAGCTTGTCGCACTCGTTGTAGCAGAGCTCATACTGCTCGCGGAAGTCGAGCAGCTCTTCGTGTTCCAGCTCGTGGGAGGTCTTCAAGGAGTGCAGCAGCGTGTTCTTCCGGTTTACCAGTGTGCGGTGGAACAGATTTGCCGTCTCGTTCATCGTGCAGTCGTATGCAATACAAATTTCTCGCTCATGTACAAAATGCACGATCACAACTTCTTTCACCAACTTAGAGGAAACAACTTGTCATGCTGAAGAGGTTTGACGGAAAACGAAAAGCAAAAGTTTGTCATGCGGAAGCCACATTTGTACGTGTACGGGAAATTCGCGTGCGGATAAGTCGATCAACTTTTTCACTTCCGCCTTAAACTTCTGCACTACGGCCTTCTTGTCCTTTTCCAGCTGAATTCTCTCCTTTTTCTTGCCGTCCGGGGTGATATTCTCGTCGTCCGGGTCCTCCTCGTCCTCCTCGTCGCCGGACCCTAGTTCATCGTTGCCTGCGTCTTTGCTCTTCTTCTTCTTTTCTTTTGTCACACCGTCAGCGGTTGGTGAAGGTGATCCGTCTTGAGCTTGTTCCGTTTCATCCTCATCGCCACTTCCGGATGTTGGCTTTTTGTTTTTTTGCTGCACGACATCATCTTCATTTGAGTCGTCGTCTTCTCCCTTGATGTCCTCGCGTTCCTCATCGTCTGCGTTAACATCGCCAGGACCGTCATCAGGGTCGCCTTCGTTCTGATGCGCCGACGAGGAGTCATCCGGCTCCGGGGCGTTGTGGTGGCCTTCAAAGAGAAAAATTTCGTTGTTGTTCGTATCGCCGTCTTCTGGTGCTGCCGCGGATGCCCTCTGCTCCTGATTTCCTTGAAAATCCTGTTCGCCAGCACCGAGGAACAACAACTGAGAATCGCCGTGCAGAAGTTCCTGTGGTGAGGCAATCTCTACCACCAGGGAGCCCGCGTCTCTGTCTGGTTGTTCGAGCTGCAGGTCGACGTGATGTTGGCCGTCACCTCCGTGCTCCGCATTTCGATTGATTGCAGAAGAGGCAGAGGACGCGGCTCCTTTGGACCCCGCGCGAGACGAGGTAGGTGTTTTACTTCCAGGTCGCTTATTATTCCTCGTACCGGTCAGTGGACGCTGCTGCTGCCCCCCTGAGTAGATTCCCTTCGGTGGATGTTGCTGCCCGCTCGCACCTGGGATTGGGAGTCTCTCTTCGTCCTCCTCCCCCACAGAGCGAAGCTTTTGCCTTATCTTCGCGGACCTTTCTTCTTTGTTCTGTTGTTTCCTTTTCAACAAGGGATCTTCCTGTTCCTTCGGTCGGTTCCTCTTCTTCGTAAGCGATTGATTCTCGTCACTGTTCGCGTTCATGCCGCTCGCATCATTTTCATTTTCTTGCGGAAGTTGCTCTGCAATGGGCGGCGGAGATTCTTGACTCTCGTGTGCTCCTGGCGCTATGACGAGCTGTACGTCCTGTTCTTCTCCAACCTGGTTGTGCGCGACAGCACCAAGAGAAGCAGCATGATCTACTCCCGTCGCGGTCGCTGCTTCACCGGAAAGACCAACTACTGGTGCACGAGGACCCGCAATAGCGGCGCCGTCAGATGGTAGCCCTTTGTGGTGCTGGAGTGCAGCTACAACATTCTCGCCGTCTGTCGTTTCTCCACCAGTAACAGCGCCAGTACCCCTCTCTTGGTAGAACAAGTTTGCGTTTGCGCCGACCTTGGGTTTTTTCTTCTCGTTATCACAGGAAAAAGTGTTAGCGCTAACGGATTTTGTGATGCAGTAATGCATCACAAAACGTGCCCATGCTAAAATTTGTCATGCATAGCATGCATGTTAGGCAAAATCTGTGATGCATATTTGCAATCTATGAAAACCGTTAAAGTTAAACACTTTTTTGTTTGATACTCGTCCTTTGGTCGCTCCTTGCGGATCGGCGCGGTTCCGGCTTCTTCCTCGGCCGCGAGCTGCGCCGCGCGCTCCGCCCGTGCGTCCTCGAAACCCTTCAGCGCCTTCCTCACCTTCTCTTCCCCCTTCGCTGCCGCGGGCGGTTCGGCCGGCGTCTTCGTGCCGACTAGATACCGGACGAAAACAACCCCGCCGTAAAACACCGCCTTTCGCCCGTCCTGCACCCCGCGGAGCTCCGCGGGCGATAAATCCACATCCCGCTTGCAGGTGACGAACCGCAGCATCTGCGCTCCTACCTCCTTCCACTGCAGGATCTGCTGCGCCGCCTTTTCTATGGAATGCAAAATTATCATACTAGTAGAAATCGCATGAGAAATGTCCTCAGCATGAGAAATGGAATTTCAATTTCTGGTGCTGATTTACCTTGGGAATCAGATTTGTAATGGAAGATTGGCGCGATTACTACGAGTACGATATTTTTGCAGTGCATATTTTCGTACCGGCTCTTCCACATGGCGCAGGTTTTCGTCAGCGTCCGGATCTTCTCTTTTGCCGCGTCTAATTCCATATGAATTGCAAAAGTATCGTACTAGTAGTAATTGCATTACAAATTACCTCAGCATGACAAATGGAATTTGCCATGCTGTTTTACCTCCTTGGGATGTAGATTTGTAATGCATAATTGCAATTACTACGAGTACGATACTTTTGCACAGGATATTCCACGCGGAGCTCGTTCGCCTCCTGCTCGGCAATCTTCTTGGCCTTGATGTACTTCTGGCAGTTGATATGCGAGTGCACAACTCCCTCTCCCCTTCATTTGAATGGCATTAACAGCAACACAAATGCTGGCATAAATGCAGCCTTTGCATGACAAACTCGCGACCCAGTCCAGTGCTGTTTCGGCTTCCGAAATCTGTCATGCAAGATGTGCCAAAGAGAAAAGGGTGGACTTGGTATTTTGCATGACAAATGAGGGGGAGGGAGAGTTGTGCATTGTCGTAGTTGACGCACACCCCCTCCGCGGCCAGGGTCAGGTTCTCCCGCAAAATCTGAATCTCCCACTTTTTCGCCATCTCGGAGGTCTTCAGGTGCTCCACCTCGCGGTTGCGCTTCTGCAGCTGGTGCTGAATGGTGTCCAGCTTTTCCGCCTGGAGGAGATGAAGGGGGAGCTGTCCTCCGCCGGCGCTGTCATCTCCGGGATCGAAAATTCTTGCTCCAGTGGCCGCTGGACCTCCCGCAGTGGCGATATTATCGGCAACTTGGTCCACGAGGGCACCTTCAGCGGGCGGCGGGGAAGATGGTGTGGCAACAGCACCGTCCTCTAATTGGGGCGAGAGAGGAGCAACAGCGGGAGAAGTCCCACTCGCAGCAGATCCTGGGGACCATCCGGGCGGCGACGGCGTGCCGGATAGCGGTCGCTGTTTCCTCTTGGTACCCCCCCGACCCGTTGGACTACGACTACCTGCTGTGCTTTTTGCCATGACGGCGTCAGCCCCGGGTGAGGGATCTTCTCGCATCAAGACTTCCTTCTGGATGTCCCGTTCCTGCTTGGCCGTCAACTTCGTCGGCGATTCGCCCTGCACGTGCTGGTGGTACAGCAAATTGTTCCTTAGCACCGCGATTTCGCTCCGCGCCGTCTTCAGCTCTATTCGGAGGTCCATCTGCGCAGCGCGCTCCCGTTGCAGCCGTCGTTTCACCTCTTGCAGGGAGTTCAGAGCTTTTTCTTCCTCGCGATCGGAGGGGTTTATGTTCAAATTTGTTCCGAGGTTGTAGTTCATCGCACCATGCCCATGCACCTGAAGATGTGCTGCTACCCCTCCACCGGAGGTGTTGCTGTTGTAGTACTGTGTTCCATAAATGTGTTGCACGATTTTTCCCGCGCCGGCGTTGCTCAGGTTGTGGTCAAACTGGTAATTTTGCTTGCGGCGGTGGACGCGATTTGTTTGCTGCAACCGAATGTCAGACGAGGATGTGGCGCCCCTTGTTCCCGGCGCATTCCCATTCGGGTCCTCTTCTACCCAAGGCTGCCACGAGTTCGGAAACTTTTCAAGATTCAACTGCGCCTGTGGACGACCACCTCGTGATGTACCAGTTGTAGTTGTATTCATACCGGAAGCACCAGTTGTGGCAGAGACCGGTCTGCGCCTCGGTCGCGTGGCTGCTGATGGTGGTCCACTGACAACTCCAGCACGCGCCGAAGCTGCGCTGGCTGGACGCGACGTGGGGAGTGGAGGCGTAACTCCGATCATGTGCTGCAGCTGCTGCGCAGGGTCCCGGCTCATCTTGTGATCTTGAAATTTAATAATGTTGGTTCGTCTACTATGGTTCGCCTTTCATCAGTAGCACGAAAAGAAAAACGGCGGCGGCGCTTTGATGTTGATGGGCGCCATCAGACTTGTACAAAAGTAGGACCTTTCCTTGTTCTTTCTTTCCAGCACGGCAAATGCAACACAAATACCCCTCAATCGTCCACCTGGCCTCCATTAGAGCAAATTACAAAGGCGGTGATGAAATGGAAAAAACGAAACAACGACTCGAGCGATTTTTAGTCGATCACGAATAAAAAAAGGCGACCGAAGCGAGGACAAAGAACGAAGACGACACGAGCTTCTAGAGGCACCAACGACAATTTCTACTTGGTTGCGTCATCAACAAGATCAAGAGCTTCTAGGATCTTTTTCCAAGAATGAAAATTGGCCGCAACAACGCGTGCTATCAACGAAAAGGGCTTCTAGATGTTGTAGTTCTTGTCACTCAATTCAGGAAGTACTGAATGCCTTCGTATCTATCGACAATTCCTCTCGTGCGTGCAACTCTGAAATGGGTTAGGAAGTCGTCGAAACGTAATTCGCAACGACACGGCTCTTGTTGATCGTCATGCGTTTGATGATGAGGGTCCCAATAATTAGGTCTGCCGAGAAGTCCGTCGTTTTCTTCGTTCGGTAGGATGGGCGCTACGCGGATACGATGCGGAAATTAACATCAATGATGATGGGTGCTGCCGAAGACGAAACGTCACGCGTCACTGCTTCTCTTGGTGGGAGCATGCCATGCAGCCAGCCTCGTCGACCTCGTCAGCTGATTTAAGCGTCAGCTACCCTGACGCGGCTAGGGTTTTGCATTACTTTCTTTGTGGGCGTAATTGGGAATAATTGTCATGACGATTCTGGAGGTAATCCCAACGGGTTACGTTATGTCTTCCACGGGAAGTTTGCGGGTAGCAAGATGCTTATTTATTGGAAAGAAGCTGGTGGTAAATCAGAATGTTTTTGATTCTTAAAACTTGGTTAATAAGAGTTATCTCTGTGTAAAGTTCGAAAAAAAAATCGTGCAAGGCAATTTTTCAGGTTTAAGAGAATTTGTAGTCCGAAAGCGCTTTCAAATCAAATGTCTAAACGTATAAAAAGTCTTGGTGAGAGCATGAGCATGGAATGCTGAAGTCTTGTCTAAAATGTCTATAAAACTGAGCATATGAAGAAATGTACTATGGACTTTCGTGCCTGCAAATTCAATCGGTCAGGGTCAGGCTCATGTTACTTATGTCTGTCATGCGAATTACCATGTTGGTTGTCAAAAACGGTTTATACGTGGCAAAGATAACGTCAATGAATTGACGTTCTTGTATGTCAAAATAAAAACAAAACCGAAAAAGTGTATGTTGTCAGAGTCAGAATCAATGAAAAAAAGCCTGTCAAAATAGAATGTGTCTTCAAACGAAACAAACTTCAAATTGCATTTTACAAATTCCATCGCTCACGACGATAGATCTACAGTTGCATCTCCCCGATAATTTCGTCACCGTATCGCTTTCTTTCCCAGCAGCCCATTGAATTTCGCGAAGGAGAAGAAATCCACGACGCTCATGGTGCCCAACGGCGCGAAATTGCGGAACAATTTTTCCGGGACTTGTGGGTCCAAATGTGGATCTCTGTAAATCCTTCTCAGCATCTTGTCGAACTCCTCGATTTCGATTTCCCCACTGCCGTCCTCGTCCACCTGTTCGAACATATCCCACAAATTCATCATGGTCCAACGCGGCACCTTCATTTTCGCCGCGAGCTCCTTGACCTGCTGCGTCTTCCAATCCAGTTCCACGTGCTCCAGCTTCTTCGCGGAAATTTCCTTCACTTTTTTAATCGATTCTCCCCACTCACCCGCGTAGAAGTTTGCGCGGAACTGCTCGTAGATGGTTTGGGTTTTGTTCTGCGTGGTGCTCCCTGTGTTGTTATGCTCTGCAAAAGTATCGTACTCGTACTAATTGCAATCATGCATGACAAATCTTGTTTCTTAGCCAAATCAGCATTACAAACTCCATTTCTCCTTCTGAGAAAATTTGTATTGCGATTTATACTAGTACGATGCTTTTGCAATGCATAGTTGTTCATCTCCTCCTTAAACGCCGCGTCGTCCGCAGTGGTGTTATCGAATGCAAAAATGTCTGGGTCTGGAAGATTTTGAGATTTGTCATGCTTGTCTGGCATGACCAAAAAGTTTGTGATGCGCGTCCAAGAAGAGCAGACCCTTTTGCCTGTCATGCAAAAACGCAGTTTGTCATGCGAAAAACGCAACACAAAAAGGCGCGGATGTTTCTCATGCTTGCCTGTGCATTACAGAGCATTCACTATTCCCAACGCAGCATTACAAGTTTCCAGACCCAGACATTTTTGCATTTGATAGGTGTTCGGATCGATCAATTCCTGCCGCAGACCGGTTTTCGGATTCATCACGGCGACTTGGTCGATGATGTTGTTCACATTGTCCTGTTGCTGCTCCTCATTCTCGTCGCCGTCGTCATCGAACGGGTTCGTGCACTTGGCGAGCCGCTTTTTGATCCTGTTCAACTCAAACGTCTGCCTACCCAAATCTTTCTTCAGCTTCAACGCCCTGCGCTCGAACGCCGCGAAGCTCCTTCTCTGGGCGAATAACACCTGCTGTAATTCTTGCGGCCCTAAATCGACTGGAATGACCGATTCCAGCGCGTTCTTCGCGAACTTCCGCTTCTCCGGGTCTGATCTTTGCAATAACGCTCTTCTCAAGTGTTCTCTCGTTTTCTCGAAGCTGTCCTTCTGCTTCTCGAACTCCTGAAACACCAGCCCATTCGGGTCGTGCATGGCGACGTGATACCCCGGCTTCCGCAGTAACACGGAGGGGGATCTATTCGTATTACTCACGTAGTCGTACCAGTCGAGTGCCACGTCGTTCGACTGCATCTTTTTCCGGTTCTTCCTTTGCTGGTTCAAAAACAACTGCTCCCTTCGCGCCGCGATCGCGCGGGCCTCCTTCTCCGCGTTCATTAGAAGCATGATCCGGGTCGGCGGTTTCCCTGTCTCCGCAATCATCTTCAACACCATCTGCTCCGCCTTGTTCGTCGAGATCGGAGCGGCGGGGGGAGAAGCGGCAGCAGCACCTGTCGGACTACCAGCACCTTGCTCCCCTACCCCTCCTGCAGCTGTCGCACTAGCTGTAGGCGAGGGAGCCGGCGCTTCCACTTGCAACGTCGTGGTCTTTTCACCGGACTCATCCAATTCTCCGGCGACCTCTTCGATCGGACTGGTGCCGGAAATTTCCGGGGAAATCGCGCGTTCGGGACTGCTGAGGCCATTCACTCCTGCTCCGGAAGTAGAACCACTACTCCCACCTATCGCGGCGGATCTTTGCATCGCCCCGTTGTTCGCCCCAGACGTCGCCAATGTCGCTTTCCTCTTCGCGTCTTCCCTCATCTGGTCCTGGATCATGGCTTGTTTTTCCCCCGGGGCGGACGGGTCGTGCACCGCGATCCGCAAGAAGTCTCGGCGCATCCTTGACCGGACCGCGGCTAACCCCGGCGTGTGAAAGCCCTCCCCGGCCGCTTTGGCCTTGATGTACTCGCGCTGATATAACTTCCCCAGCTCCGACTCCGGCGCGGGCGTCTTGTCGCGCGTAACGAAGTGCCGTTTCGGTAAAGGTCCGCGTCTGCGTAATTGCAAGTGCCGTAGTTTCCGTAACCGTTGCTGGCGGTCTTGTAAGTAACTCGCAAACTCGTCGAACGTGGCTTTTTGCAGGTCCAAGTAGCTCATCTCCGGAATTAAACTGTGCTCCCGATGGTGGTGCCGCAAGCTCGGGTATCAAATGCAAATGTGTCTGGGTCTGGAAGAATGCAGATTTTTGTCATGCTGTTTTGGCATGACACAAAACGTCTGTCATGGAAGCCCTAGCATCACAGATTTCGAGAAGCTTCCGCATTGCTTAATCCGCATGACAAATCCCCCATTTTGGTGACAGGAAATGGGCAAATTTTTCTCTTGCTGCCTATGCATGAGAGATTTGTCTGTGTTGCGAAATGCGCACTACAAGTTCGCTGCATCCTTCCAGACCTAGACATATTTGCAATGCATATCGGGTGCTCGTGCTCGAGAAGTTTCGCCGAGGATTGCTGCTCCACGGTCATGGCGGCTGCGCCACGTGTCGTTGTACTAGTGGCTGCACCTCCAGCAGTATTTGCTGTGCCTGTGTTTGGATTTGCTTTTCTAGTCCTGTTCTGCACCTCGTCCGCGCTGCTGAGCGCCCCTTCGGTCGACGAGTCGGTTCCACTGGAGGAGGAAGAGGAATTCTTGTTCTCAGTGCCAGCAGTACGACCCGTTGCACCATCAGCTGCCCCCGCACCACCTCCGGTGCTATCACTCTCGTCCCCACCAGCGGTTTGGCTGCTGGTCGGCCGGGCGAATAACGGTCCGAAGAGAGACTGTTTCATCGCGGTCCTCAAATCTCGGGAGAAGATATTATCAGGACTGCTCCAGTTCAACTTCGGGACGCCAGGGTGGAGAAACGTGTTCTTCTTGTTGTTCTGCGGTATGATTTCTACTGCCGCGGCTTCTCGATTTGTTGTAGTTCCCCGACTCGCGCGGTTGGCGACCTTCATCCAGCGGAAGATCGACCAAGTGTCCCGGTCGGCTTTGGTCTTCGGCGCAGAAGATGCCTTAGAATTTCCTCCACTGGTAGTTCCTCCGATTATCTCCTCATCGATCATGTCCAACCTTATCGGCTCCGCGAACATGGCATAAGGATCACTAATATGCTGTGCAAAAGTATCGTCCTCGTACTAATGGCATTTATGCATTACAAATCTTCTTGTTAAGGCAAATCCGCATTACACATTTCATTTGTTGTAATGCTAAGCCAATTTGTAATGCCATTTATACTAGTTGTACGATGCTTTTGCATTACATAACTAATCGACTCCATCAAACTTGTCGTCCCGATCGCGGCGTCAAAATTCTCCTGCAAGTACTGCCCGGGGTTCGGGTGGTTTTGTGCGTTGGTAGTCAAGTGCTCCAACACCGTTTCAAACGGCATCACGTGCTTCACCTCCTGCGGACGATCTAAGAAGTGCAACGTCGCGAGGTCCCGCCCCTGCTCGATCACCGTGCCGTGAATCCCGCGATTCCGTTCGGACAGTGTCCGGAAAAACAGTAACCCCGCGAGATCGGCGTCGGAGACCAACCCGAGCTTCATGGTCGCTTTGTCACCCCGGTCCAAATACCGCTCTCGCGCTTCCTGCCAGATGTTCTGTACCAAATCCGGAAAGAACAGGTTGTGTACCGAGGGTAACGCGTTGCGGAACGCGGAACTGGGGATCACGGAATCGGGCGAGAAGCTGCCAATCACGCTGTTTGGTACGGTTTGTTCAATCCCCGCCGGCTTCCGGGCGCGGAAGGGCAGGTAAAATTGGACAAATAAGTCGCGGAACCGGAACACCGCCTGCACCATGCCACTGTCTGTTAAACTTTGGCGGACCAGGAATTTCGGTAGCTCGTCCTCGACCAGTTGCTGCAGCGTCTCTTCGTTTTCCTCCTCTTCTTGTTTCTTCCTTTCGTCGAAATCACGCATGGCGTCCGCGAGGTTGCGCATCTCGTCTGCCATCTGGTTTCCGAAGGAGTTGTGCCTTGTTGGGTTGAATTTGTGCCCCATCGGGTTCACTAAGGAGAGGCTGGTGCTGGCGCCGAACGAGAGCGTTAACGTTCCCTCTAGCGCGGACTCCGTGGTGCCGCCAAACGGACTGGTCGCGGAGGTTGCTGCGCCGCCGGGGGAAGAGGCCGCGCTGTGGTCACCCAACTGGACAATATTGTTCTTCCCTGTCGAAGGCGCGCTGGACGTCGCGCCCCCGGGACTGCCGACGACCAGGGTGGTCTTCTTCATATTAGAACCGGGTCCAGCTTTCGGCACTGCAGATGATCCAGGAGCTGCAGCTGCTCCAGCGCTCGCTGATTTCGGCGTCTGCGCCTGGCCCAATCTCTTCCCCAGCTGCTTGAACCCGCCCGTTTTCTTCATCCGAGTCGCCATCTGGGACTCGATCTTCCACTCCAACGTGGACGGGTCGGAATACCCGAGAAGAATTTGCAAATCGATGACGCCTCTCCCCTCCCGGTCAAGAGAATCGAAAAACATGTCGAACGGGAGACCAAAGGACTGGAAGGTATCGATGTGCTCGTCGTTGAAGAAGCGTTTCAGATTTAACCTGTTGATCTGCGGCGACTTGGTCTCCACGACCGTCGTGACCCCCGCCACCATCGCCCTTTTTTCGATCAACAGGTCTTGGTACCGCAGAATTTCGTCCTTTTTCGCCCCCCAGGCGGCCGCGGCGCTGGGCGGGTTTAAAACGCGGCCAAGCGGGTAGCTGGACTCGCGCTTCGCAGATTTGAATTCCTGCTTCCACCCGTACAAGGGGAGCTCCCCGCACTCATTGTACAGCGGCCGGGCGAAATGCCCGAGACCACACCACTTGCTCTTACTCCGCAACCGCGCGCGCTGCCCGCCCAGTTCGCCGTGCTCGTCGCCAATGTGGAGATTAATCGGGTTGTTGAACTTGAAGCAGGGCTCGAACCGCTTCAACTTCCGCTTCCCCAGCGCCGGCCCGTGCTTCGCCAAATACTGTTTCGCGCGCTTCCGGGTGAGTTTGTGCTGCTGCATGGTCCGTTCCGTGATCCCCGGCTGCGGGTTGCGCAGTTTTAACCTCCCTCCCACGAAGTTGTACCCCCAGTTCCGGCCGTGGCGGGCGGTCACCACGTCCCGCTTAGTGTCTCGCCGCAGCTCGGCGTGCTTCTTCGGGTACCACGCGGCCAACTTCCAACTCGCTTCGTTCGGCCGGGAAAAGGGCCCCTGGAGCAGCTTCTTCGAGTGCATCTCGCCGTCCAGCGTGATCTATCAAATGCAAAAATGTCTGGGTCTGGAAGAATGCAGATTTTTGTCATGCTGCTTTTGCATGATGACACAAAATGTCTGTCATGTAAGCCCTAGCGTCACAGATTTCGAGAAGCTTCAGTATTGCTTAATCTGCATGGCGAATCCCTCATTTTGGTAACAGGAAATGGGCACTTTTTGCCTCCTATGCTTGAGAGATTTGTCTGTGTTGGGAAATGCGCATCAAAAGTACGCATCCTTCCAGACCCAGACATATTTGCAATGCATATGATGGGAATGGTCCGGATGTTCGTGCCGTGCAGCAAATCCTTCCGCGGCACAATCCGCTGCATCGTGCCCCCGCCGGTGTAGCGGCACAACCGCGTGTAGACATGTTGTAATGTCCCGTAGCGGCTAGAAAAAGCGATTCTCACGGCTTCCTCCAACGTGATGCGGCAGAACTCCTCGGCTCCGTAGGGGGTTTTGGACTGTTCCACCACCTGTTTGAAGTACGCTTTCACCTCCTTCGCGACCGAGGAGCGGGAATTGACCATTTGAGAATTCCCCAAATCTAAACCAACAATCCGTTTCCGCACACTCGCTATGTACTGGGACGCCGATTTCTTCCCGCCTGCCTTCCGTTTCGCCGCGACAATCGCCAGCTCGGCCTTGCGGTCCTTCAGCTTCACGATCTTCATCCGGCCCTCTGCGCGCTGCCGCACGCTCATCGCGTTCGAGTCGCTCGTGAACCGCCACCTCGCGGCGGTGTCCGTGTAACCGGTTAACCGCGCAGAACGCAGCTTTCCTGACTTGTCACGGATCTTCTTCGGCTTCTTCGGCTTGTATTCCGGAGTTGTAGCTTGCTGGTGTTCCTCCAGCTCTTGAACCGAAACTCCCTTATTCCGCGTCTCAGCGTCGCCGTCAAGGTCCTGCTCCACCGCAGCTTCAGCCAGTCCCTCCGTCGTGTCCTCTAAAACGACGTACTCGTCTTCTAAGATCGTTTCCAGCTCCAGCGCCTCCTCATCTACATCGTCGGTGAATTCGGCCATAGAGGACGATAAAACCTCCTGCTCCGCGAGCTTTTTGATAAACTCGGCTTCCTCCGTCGCCTCGGGGAAGAGCTGCTTCTTCAAGTAGAATTTCGCCACCTCGCTGCACACCTGCACTTCTGCTACTGATTCGACGTAGAGGTAGTTCCGCAGGTAGTCACAAGCCACGTTCAGGGCCTTCCACTGTTTCACATTATTTTTTCCACCAGTTGTGCTCACGACCACATTAGTCGTCGTTGTGTTCTTCGACGCAGCAGCAGGGGCAGCAGAATCAGAATCTCCAGCTGCGCGAGGGCTGACTGCACTCTTGTTCGGGCCTCCTGCTGTGCCGGAAAAATTTTTATCCTTGTTGTTGTTCCCCTTCGGCGTCCGCGGCTCGCTAGCGGTCGTAGTTCCCTCTTCTTCCTCGTCCTCTTGATCCTCTAATTTGTTTTTTAATAGTTGAATGAAGAACGCGTCCGCCGCTTTCCACCTTTCCACGGTTGGAGGCCGGTCGTAGAAGAAGTTGGTCTGACCCTGCGCGGTCAGTTCCGCTACCTCGGGATAGGGGTGCGTCATGTCGTACTGCGTCCCGTCGATGGTCCCGCGCCCGATCTTCCCGATGAAGTGCTTGGCCTCCGCGTTTTTCAGTGTCAGTTGCGCCCCCTCGGTGGACAGATCCACTTTGTCCGCACCCATTTCCAACTCCGACCTCGGGGCGTTGATCCCGCCGGATTTCCGTACGTTCACGCCGGAAGACCGCGCGTCGTGCATGAGTCGCTCCTTTTGGACGACCACTTTATTGCTGTACCGCCAGGGGTCGTTCCGCACCCCGGTGTCGATGTCGAAGGTTTCGCGGGGGATTTTGATCTTGGCCACGTCCCCATCGGGCGTCCAATACATTCCCAACCGATTCATCTCCCACTCGCCACGCTTCTGGTGCGCGATTCTTCTCTTTGCGTTTTCCACCGCCGCTAACCGCGCGCCCTGCGGGCCGGAACCCGGGTACTGAAGTTTGAGATATCCAGTAAAGTCCGCCATGACCGGTGCGGCCAGGTCCGCCTCCATCATGGCTTTTTCCAGTTGGGAATACAAAGTCTGCCCCTGCATCCGAACTCCGACGGGGGCGGGTTCGCGGTCGGAGTGATGTTCGAGGTGTTTTTTCTTCTTGCTGGTCATCTTGGTAGAAGACGGATTGCCATGATTCCGAGTAGACGTAGACACGGCTCCTGCAGCAGCTCCAACTGGTGGAGAAGTTTTGATACTTCCGTCTTCGACAACTCGAACATGGCGTGTTGTACCTCCGGATGGACTACCAGCAAGAACCGGCGACACCGCCGTTGGCAGTGCATTCAAGTTGCGTTTCGTCAGTGGCGTGTGCACAATTTCCTGCCGGGACGAACCGAGATCTTCATTGTCGTGGCCCTGCTGCTCGTGGTTCTTAAAACTTCTATCGACTTTGATTTCCGTCAAAGTTTCCTCCGGAGTGTGGTAAATCTCCTGCTGGTGCATCAACTGCGGACTGTTTTCAACTATTTTCCCTTTCGGCATCAACACTTCCAACGACGGATCTGGCCCGACCTCCGTCACATACGCTCCGTTCGGCTGCAACACTGGGACGCGGCGCAGCGTGGCGAAGGAGGGAAGTTCAGACGCGGAGTGGTCGCGCCGCTCCAGAGTTGGGAACAATTCCTTCCTCGGTGTCGTGGACAAAATTTCGCTTGCCAGGCTGTCGATCTTCCGGTGGATTTTTTCCTCCTCCGTCGCGTCCCGATCCAAACTGTCCACGAAGTGCACATTCGCGTTTTTGTCATTCGGCGATGGTTTGTTGTACAATCGTTTGTAAGGCGGCATAGAAATGTGGTGGTGTACGTGGATGATTTTTTCCCCGTGTGCGCCGACGTCGTTCGTGATTTTGTAACTCCCTGGCGGTTTTTTCTTCTCGTTGTTCAGCAAATCGGTTCTCAAATGCTCGCTCATGCGCTTATCATCCTTCGTCAACCCGCTGTGACCCTTTTCCTTCTGGTTTCTCTCCCTTTCCATCACCGCTTTGTCTCCCATGCTGGTTCCGCCTCTCTGAAACGCCAAAAACCCGCCGACATCCTCTTCCTCGAGTTTCTGCCTGGAAATCTTCTGTCTTTCCCGGAGTTCATCCAGCTCTTTCTGCTGCTGTTGGAGGCGTTTTTGTTCCTGCTCCTCTTCATCGAGTTCCGTTTTCTGCAGAAACAGATCCACTTCCTCCAAGTCGTACGTGATCGCGTGGGGGCTCAAAGGGACTTGCCGTCCGAGGAGGTTCCACCGATGGTGAATGTTCGTTTCGTCAGCATCATCGCCAGCATTTTCGTTTAGTACCTCTGCCTGTCCCCACTGCCGCCCCAACCGCTCGCGCCTAAGCAGCTGTGAGAAAGGGGACGCGATGGGTTCCAGCTCGGTGATGCGGTTGAGCAGATGGTTAAAGGCTGGCTTGGCAAGCTGGTCAGCGTTATCATGCTCGGGAGCGGCGATTTCGGCGTCTGCGTCAGCACGACCAGCTTGTTGCTGATTCTGAACATCGGCGTCTACTGCGGACGCAGCTGCTGTAATCATGCCTGTTTCTGCACCGAGAGCCTGCCCTTCTTCTTCTTCCTCGCCAGCCTCCTCTTCTACCACCTTCGGAAGCAGCTTGTATTGCTCCGCCAGACTTGCGATTTCCTTGTCTGGGATCTGGGCCATGGAACTGGGGTCACGACGGTTCTTTCCCATAATGTTCTTCCGGTTGTTCGTGTTCCTTCCCTTCTTAACCAACGCCGCGATCTCGTCCTCCTCCGCGAGCAAATTCCTGGCGTACTGCCGCCATAGAATGTTTTCCTCCAACAAATTCAGTTCCGCTTCCATCTTACTCGCGGACGCCGCGATCTCGGTCAACCGCTCCTGCTTCAGCCGTTCCTGTTCGAGCAATTCCGCCTGTCTTTGCGCCTCCTCCAACTCTTTTTTCTTTCTCTGCCTCTTCCGCTCCTTCGCGGCACGGTGCGCCTCGGATTGGATATTGGTACCATTAGTTGGTGAACTGTCATTGTCGTAGTCGGAGGAACCGGTCAGCATGTCGCTCATCTCCGCTTCCAAATCGGCGAGCATCTGCGCGTTTTGCCGCAGCTTCTCCTCCAATTTCCGCTTCTCCTCGGCTTCCTTCTTTTTCAAATATTCCTCCTCCTCACGCCTAAGTTCCGCCAAATCGTCGGCGTGCATGCCACTGTAAATCCCCCGGGCGAACAAAGGCATTGACCGGCGGTCGTCGCTGCGAGGCGAGTCTTCGTTGAGATCATTGGCCAGATTGTCTTCTCTGTTGTTCTCATCATCGTCTCCTTCGATTCTCACGGTCTTATTCGTGGTATCTTTATTTCCACCTGCATCTTGGTCCTTGCTCACAGTCCTTCGACTCGAAACCAACCCGAGAATCCGCTCCTTCTCAATTCGGGTAAACAAACCATACTCTAACGCCTGTTCCCCAATGTTCTGCGCGAACTCGCCCAGAAACCGGTCCGATTCGCCGGCCTCCGACGCGGAGATCACATTTTCCACCGAGGAGGTGCCTGTTTCGGGGCGGGCGGGGGCGGGTTGAGGCGCGGGGGGGACATCACCCGCTGCTTGCTCACCTGAAGCAGGTAGCTGTACTTGCACTGGGGAAGTAGATGCCGTTTGATGCGAGGCACTTGGTTCTTGAGCCGGCGCTCCCAGTCCTGCTCCTCCCGTCGCATCATCGTAGGGAGACGGGAACGGTTTCACGACAGAGGGAGTCTGTGTCAAGGAGGGTGCCGTCTGTTGTTCCTCCATATTACCTGCAGCAGTAGGTACAGTCTCCTTGGAACTTGAGGAGACCAGGGCAGCTGCCGTAGCACTTCCATCCGCTGCTCCTGCGCCCGACGAATCCGGTCCTGGCGCAGCTCCACCTCCAAGAACGCTTGTCGTGGAACCCGAAACCACTGCTGCCTCCTTTGCATGAGGATCTGCGGCTTCTTGTGCTGCAGCCATTATTGCCTTCTCCTCCCGCCTTTTCTTTTCCTCTTCGTCCATCTCTTTCAGCTCCTGGCTGATGATGCTTTTCAGGGTAGTCGACGTGCTGGAGGCGGATTTCGCGTTGGAGGTCAGCGCGTTCCAGCTCGCGCCCTCCAAACTGCTCCCCACCGCCTGCTCATACTGCTGCTGTTGTCTCTTCGCCAGGTCGATTTGTTCTGCTTGCCGCGCGTCTATCAACGTTTGGTTTTCGTTTTCGTTTTCCTCCGTCACTTCCGTTATGTAGGCGGTTGTTGTTTGCTGGTCGTGGTGGTCGTGGTCACCAGCATCTTGCGGTCTTTGCACAGAGGATGATTTTTTCTTTTTCGCTCCTGGCAGTGGAAACCCTGTTGCGTTGTACGCAAGGGGCGCTTCCTCCACTACCTCGCTAATATCTTCCAATACAGGGACCACTTCAACTGGTTCCAGCTTGGTCGACCCCGCTGTGGGCTTCTGCCGCGCCACGTAGTGGTGGTGGTAGATGTGGTGGTGCACGATCACCGTTTTCAGCGCCTCGTTGTCCTTGGTCGGCGACCCCGTTTTCTTCTTCTTCGGGGGCGCGCGGTGCATCACCAGACCGGGGAGCAACATCCGGGACGGGGCGGTGAGGGCCGAGTTCGCGGACCGGGGTCCTTTCGTGTTCAGACCGTTCATCTTTAGGAGGAGAAGGTGTAGTTGTAGTAAAGTTGGTAGAACTACAAGAGGATGAGCCGTATAATTTGGGTCGTCGTGTACGTGTACAGAAGTGCGGGGATCTTCGGGTCAAACTTACGGCGGTTCTATGGCTCTACGAATATTTTTTTCCGGGGGCTTACACATACAGTATAATCAGGGTAGATGGAGATTCGCATACAACTACGGGTAAGTAAGACTAAGAGTCAGTGTGAGTGACGTGGTGGTGCGTGCTCTGTTTCGACGGTTGAAAGGGAATGTAGCTGTTGGTGTGCTTCTCCGGAACAAGGAGTGCGAGACTTTTACGTTTGCTTGTGTGCTGATTCATCATGCCGACGGAAGAAGGGGAGGCTTGAAAGGAACTTACAATAATCATCACGCGGCGGAACTGAAACACCAGAACGAAAGCTCAACGGAACGAATTGACGAATAGATCCTTTTTTCCAGATTTGTATGCGGACGAAAAGAAAGTGAAAGAACGCTACTACGGATGCTGGTTGTGGTTCTGTATCTATCAAATAGACGTAGAGGCAACGCACACGACAGGACGATTTGTTGTTGTTTTTGTACGATGATGAGCGTTCTTCGCGACGTGATCGTGAATAAAGACCAAATCTTTTACTTAATAGACGAGGACGAGGAAGAGATTGGCACGAAGAGAGAGAGAGAGCAACTACATCAACAACGACATAGGCTCTCAAAGATTTACGAAAACCGCGAAATTTCAAAATTTTATTTTTAACAGCTTTAAGAATCTGCGAAATTAGCAAATTTTGTTTTTGCAGACAACTACAACGTGACCTTGGATTATAGCCTGATATACGACTGAGCAGAGCGGTGGCACTGCTTTTTATTATTTTTCTGCGAATTTTCGAAGTCTGCCTTTTTTTTATCCGCGAAATCCGCGAAAATCTAAAATTTTATTTTTATTTGGGTCCAATGCAGAAGCAGAGTGAATGCGTCATCAAGAAAACCCGGCTTGGTTTCCGAAGCAACGGTTTTTTTGGCCGGCAAAAGCAAAACCGGTTCAAAAAAAGCAGCTCTCTTATACAATAAAGTGTCCCCGGTTCTCTTCAGGTCACGAACTGTACACGCCGTTGCTGCGGCTCGAAAGAAGCCACGGGCGCGTGGCCCCGAGCGCGGCCAAAAAGTGCCCCAATCTCTCTTCAAATCACGACCCGTAGACACCGTTTTTGCAGCTCGAAAAAAGCCCCGGACACGTCCGTGGCCCAGAGGGCGGCCAAAAAGTGCGCCAATCTCTCTTCAAATCACGACCCATAGACACCGGTTTTGCAGCTCGAAAAAAGCCACGGGCACGTCCGTGGCCCAGAGAGCGGTCAAAAAGTGCCCCGACCTGTCTTCAGATCAGGATATGTCGTCACCGTTTTTGCCGCTCGAAAAAAGCCACGGGCGCTTGGCCCGGAGTAGAGCGGCCAAAAAGTGCCCCAAGCTCTCTTCAGATCACAGCCCTTAGCAGCCGTTTTTGCGGCTCGGGCTCGAAAGAAGCCGGTGCCCCGGGGGGGCGCTTTTTTCTCCGGGAAAACCAACACCATAGCATGCTGCGAGACGAAAAGTCCGCTGCTCGAAATGGCCCTCCGGGGTAGGGCCACTTTTTTGGCCGGCAAAACCGACACCATAGCATGCTGCGAGACGAAAAGTTCGCAGCTCGAAATGGCCCTCCGGGGAAGGACGGGCCACTTTTTTGGCCGGCAAAACCGACACCATAGCATGCTGCGAGACGAAAAGTCCGCAGCTCGAAATGGCCCTCCGGGGAAGGACGGGCCACTTTTTTGGCCGGCAAAACCGACACCATAGCATGCTGCGAGACGAAAAGTCCGCAGCTCGAAATGGCCCTCCGGGGAAGGACGGGCCACTTTTTTGGCCGGCAAAACCGACACCATAGCATGCTGCGAGACGAAAAGTCCGCAGCTCGAAATGGCCCTCCGGGGTAGGGCCACTTTTTTGGCCGGCAAAACCGACACCATAGCATGCTGCGAGACGAAAAGTCCGCAGCTCGAAATGGCCCTCCGGGGAAGGACGGGCCACTTTTTTGGCCGGCAAAACCGACACCATAGCATGCTGCGAGACGAAAAGTCCGCAGCTCGAAATGGCCCTCCGGGGAAGGACGGGCCACTTTTTTGGCCGGCAAAACCGACACCATAGCATGCTGCGAGACGAAAAGTCCGCAGCTCGAAATGGCCCTCCGGGGAAGGACGGGCCACTTTTTTGGCCGGCAAAACCGACACCATAGCATGCTGCGAGACGAAAAGTCCGCAGCTCGAAATGGCCCTCCGGGGAAGGACGGGCCACTTTTTTGGCCGGCAAAACCGACACCATAGCATGCTGCGAGACGAAAAGTCCGCAGCTCGAAATGGCCCTCCGGGGAAGGACGGGCCACTTTTTTGGCCGGCAAAACCGACACCATAGCATGCTGCGAGACGAAAAGTCCGCAGCTCGAAATGGCCCTCCGGGGAAGGACGGGCCACTTTTTTGGCCGGCAAAACCGACACCATAGCATGCTGCGAGACGAAAAGTCCGCAGCTCGAAATGGCCCTCCGGGGAAGGACGGGCCACTTTTTTGGCCGGCAAAACCGACACCATAGCATGCTGCGAGACGAAAAGTCCGCAGCTCGAAATGGCCCTCCGGGGAAGGACGGGCCACTTTTTTGGCCGGCAAAACCGACACCATAGCATGCTGCGAGACGAAAAGTCCGCAGCTCGAAATGGCCCTCCGGGGAAGGACGGGCCACTTTTTTGGCCGGCAAAACCGACACCATAGCATGCTGCGAGACGAAAAGTCCGCAGCTCGAAATGGCCCTCCAAGGAAGGACGGGCCACTTTTTTGGCCGGCAAAACCGGCACCACAACACACAGGCTGTAGTGAAAGGGATTTTTACAGAATGTCCTTCCTTGTGCACCTCGAAGAAGGACGATTCCACTTTGTCCTTGGACAGCCGGAAGCATATTGACTCAGTAAAAAATCGCTAATCCCCATGAGAAAAAATCGCTCGGACAACAGTTGTCCGAGCGATTTTTCTTTATGGGGATTAGGGGTCTTCATCCGGTAACTTTGGAGCGAGGTTCATGCCTCGTCCGGCTAGGAGGAGTCATAGGAGAACCATTGGTCGCACTGTTTTCGCGACCACTATAAACTGCAACGTGTAGCAAATATCTTGCGGCGTACTCAATAAAAATGAAATTTTGGAATTTCGTGGATTTCGTACGTCAATAAAAATAAAAATTTGAAATTTCAAAATTCCCAATTACTAATTTCATTTCGTGTTGCTATTGGCCTCCTAGTATTAGTTGCGTGTGTTGTCCCGACACGAGGGAAAACAGCTTGCGAGGCACATGCCCCAACTTGTTCCGGGCTTGGGTGTGGGGAGGGGTGAAGTTATTTGCGGGACCACATTCGACCCTGTAAAATAAAATCGCTAATCCCACTGAGAAAAAATCGCTCGGACAACAGTTGTCCGAGCGATTTTTCCACATCATGGGGAAGATTAAGGTTTTGATATTTGACGTCACTTCCCTGCGCACATCGGAGAAGGACAATTCCACCGTGCACAACGGGATTGTAGTCACTAAGATCTATCATTGGAACCACGAGCAAGTAAAAACACAAAGCCGGAAAAGTTGCAGAAACGACAGCTCGTCCCTCTGGGAGAATGAAGGCTTGAACTTACTTGCTGTCAGCATCAATCAAATAATCCTTGTTTGCGACTGCGATATTAGAAACTTATCTGTCACGATCAGTTCAAAAGAAACTCCGCAATCTTTTCCACGACAATATCTGTGTGCGAGGCGTGTGGCCAGTGACCTGCGCCGTCAATCGTGTCAATTGCGGTCTCGGGAAACATTTTTTGAAACTCGGGCAAATCTCGGTCCACTTCCACGTAGCCGCCGGCGCCGCCCCGCAGCACAAGACAGGGCGGCATCGCCGTTTTGTCGAGCGCTGAAATGTTGACCGCATCGACGATGTCTCCACCCTCATCAAAGAACCCACCGGCTAAACCTGGCCAATTCGCCAGCAGCGCAGGCAAGTTCGGCCTCCATTCCAACTTGGACTTGTCCTCCGCGGTAGCGAGGTTTTTCAGCAGAAAAGCGCGGAGGTTTTTGTCGGTGCTCAGGTCGTTCAGAACCTTTTCCACCATGGCTTGCCGAGCAGAGGCTGATGAAGAGGTCGTTTTCTCTAGCGTATTTACAGCCTGCATTCCATGCTGCCGGTAAAATTCTTCAAAGTATCTCCCGGCCCGGTTCTCATCCAGTCCCTTCTGCAACCAGGCCTCGGCCGCTTTTCGCGAAGATAAGTGCGTGGTCCCGGCGGCTGCCTGCAGGTGACTCAGTAACAACACGTAGTAGTCCACGTTGTAGCGCCGCGGGGCGATATCCACGACGATTAACTTACGGACCAGATTTGCGTGCTTCAACGCGAACCGCATCGACGTTTTGCCGCCCAGAGAATGCCCGATTATTGAAACCCTGCTTCGAGGTGTCGTAGAGCCGGTACTACTTGTATGACTGTCTACCAACCTTTTCAGATCCGCGACCATGGCCTCAAAGCTACTGTCCGGAGCGTGAAAGCTCTTGCCGTGGTTGCGCGCGTCGATGAGGATGAAATCCTTCCCGGGGACTTTCGCCGCGAGCTTCTTCGTGGCCGGCACCCAGTTGTCGGTGGACCCCAGGAGCCCCGGGAGAATGAACACTTTTTCCACATCGTCCGGGGGGTCGGCGGGCGTTTTACTCGGGATAGAACGGTGGAAAACCAGAGGGTGTTCCTTCGTTGGTATCGAGGCGAAACTCCTACCACTTCTAACACCTACTCGTCCTAGTACTCCCGACGTTGTAATTGGAGGTGGTCGATGATGACAAACACCGTTCAACAAGATGCTTCGCTCTGCGGTCTTTGTCCTATTCGACGAAGAAACCACGACACTGCAGCAGGCGCGTGGATAGTTGCAAGTACCGAAAAAGGTTCTTGAGGAAGAAGAGCACACGCTCGCCTGCTGTGGCATGCTGAGCACGATGTTACTCCCACGTGGTACTGAAAGTCTTCCTGGGCGGTTCCATATTTCCTCCTGTCTGGGAAAATGAGTTGATGTAGTACGAACTGCCAGCGTGTCACTGTCACAGCGATTCAACGTCGTCGCGCGAAGACACGAGATGGCTGCTCCACCAGTCCTCGACGACGTCGACGCGCGCAGCTGTTTCATCAGCAACGTCGTGGGGAGATGAGGAACTAAAGGCTGGCGCATCTTCTTGCAGCTTGCACTTACTGGTTGTTGTAGGGCGAAGTTCAACAAACGCGCCTTGGCTTCGGTTATTCTTAGGAGGACTGAGCACGACGCGACAAAAAGCAACAGCAGCGAACAAGCTGCCATCAAAAATTATACGTTACTACTAGGTCTTTTAGTATCTATCGATCCGTTCAGGTCTGTGTCGTCCAGGCTGCAACCTGCGAAATAGAGCTTCACATATACTTACTTTCGTGGGTCGCGATGCTGGGGCGCGGGGCGGGAGCGGAAAGTGCCCTTGATCTCTCATAGATGTCGCCGTCGGGGGCGCCAGCTTGTTGCTCTCAATTCGTCTTCAATCTGAGCACAGAATGCCGTGGAGGCTTGAACTCTTACCTGCCCAATTCTCGTCCCAGAGAAAACGACACTGTTGTGGAGCAGCCCACGCAACTTATCCCAATCAATGGAACATCGGAATCGAGAGCGACCGACAGAGGCCACAACACGAAACAAAAGATACCGAAGGAAAAAAGTAAGCTTATGCTTTTACGCATCAGCTGCTCAATAATGGCATGATGCTAAAACTAAAACTTCTCTGTGACTCCTTCTTGAAAAAATCGTGAAAGTTGACATCTCGAATTCGAAATGACAGCCCAACTTTCATCATTTCTAGCCCCAATCTACATTCAAAATTAGCATGTAGAAAATTCGGGGTGTCCAATTTGTTTGTATAATTTGTTGCACTTCGTCTTTAATATTCGTGTCATTCTTGTGATCATTGAGAAAATCGGAAAGGAAAAACAAGGGTTTTTCATCGCAAAATATAAATATGCCGATTCAAATTTATAAACGGCAAACTCCCGAATCCGAAAACAATTAGCGGAGTGCTGAGCAAAAACTCACCGCCACCATCCGTAGGGAGCTTGCTTTGCCACCCGGACGCGGCAATTTCGTTTCTATTTTTCGTTTCTTCGAAAGAAGTATCGATGGATATCGTATCGATGCAGCCCGCCTGAACTTAGATTTATCACGGACGGAGCTCGGTTTTTCTTACATCTAGTTTCGTGCGCTACAACACTTTTCCAGCCTGTATAATCTACTTCTCCTCCCGGCTATTTTTCTACTCGAAAAATTCGTCATTGAAGATCTGGTCCATTTTGTTGAGTGCCGGTGCCTCCGCGCCAGTAGTTGCACCTCCACCCGGCGCCGCCGACGGGCCGACGTCCAAGGTAAGCGCCGATAAATCGTCAATCATGTTAAAGTCGCTGGAGCTCGTTTCAGAGGACTGCTGCGCGGAATTCGGGTCAACTACCGCTGGAGGCGCTGCAGGGACGGTCACTCCTGTGGCAAGGGGTGCAACTCCGTCGATTGTTGCCGGAGCTGCTGCTGCTGGGGGAGGTACAACTGGTTGAGGAGCTGTCTCACCTGCTGCTGTCGGTTGAACTTCTAGAGAGCTAGCCGGAAACACCGCACCATTCTGGGAGTCCGCGGTCGAACTACTGGATAGTGTGTCGGGTAGTTTCTGTGCAACCGCCGGCACCGGTGCCGGATCGTCGTCAAAGAGCCCTTTTTTCACGGCGAGGCTTGTAGCCGCGGCACTGGCGCTGCTAGAACTAGTTGCGGCGGTAGTTTCCATACTGTTTGTCGTATTTGCGATCGAAAAATCTCCGATCGGTGGAGGAACTGCCCCTACTGCAGCGGTAGCAGATGCCGGAGACGACCCCGCTGCTGGGACCCCCGACTGAGATGTTGACACGAATGCGCCCCCCGGCGCCGTGGCTGGGCTGCTCACAACTCCGCTTCCCGGCTGTCCTAATTGCGACAAATCGTAGTCCAGTTGCGTCAAATACTGCCCAAGTGACGCGATGGTCTGCCGCAAGTTCTGGCGGTGCTCGACTTCCGACTCGAGTAGCCGGCTGATCCCCTGCATCTTCGTTTCCAAAACGCCACTCCGCGCGCCCAGATCCTTGCTGGCACGCATCAAGTTGGACAGACCTAAATTTTAATTTATTCGCGGTGGGCGACGGAGAAGGTGTGCGTGAGCCGTCGGGGTGAGGTCATAGAGTTTTTTTTTCATTTCATCTTTAGAACAAGTGCTTTGAAGGACGCCGACCTCCTGGCACATACGCTGCATCAAATCGATTGACTACTACTTTTACCCTCGTGACGTTGCTGGATCTCCGCTTGTGCCCTGCGCAGCTGGTCCGCCACCCCGGTTTCGCTCTGGTGTGCCTGCCGCATGAGCTCGTCCCGGAGATTCTTCTGCGAGGTGTAAAGGTGCCGCTCGGACTCAAAATCCACCTTCAGCTCTATGAGGGTGCACAACCCCGACCCCCCATCCGCCTCATTTGTATGTTGGCATGAACAGCAATACAAACACCAGTACACGTGGAATTTTTGCATGACAAATTTCAATACCTGATGTAGTACTGTTTTGGCTTCTGAAATTTGTCATGCAAACAGTGCCACAGGGCAGCAACTGGGTTTTGGGTTTTGCATGACAAATGAGGGGTGAAGGGAGTTGTGCACTGACATAAGCTCTGCCAGCTTTCCGCCCGCGGTGGCCTTCTTGCCGTCCACTTGCAATAGAAATGCTTCGTTCTCGTTGATCTGCCGCTCCAATCTGATAAACGGTCATTTTGTTTTATTTCAACTCTTCGTCGACATATACATATTGTTTTTCTCACAACATGATCTTCAAGAAACACAATGATGTGTACAACAACGACCAATTCGCTGACCTCGTCTACCTTGCCAGCATCAACTGCACAACTGCTCGACGCAAACAAAATAAAAATTTTCATATACAAGCTGACTTCCTCCTGCAGCTTCCTCGGATCGAAATTGCTAAGTTGCGCCAAGTGTTGATTCAGCGCTACTTCCTGCTGCTTCCAGTGGGCATGCTCCACTTTGACCTGCTGTGCGCGTCCCTGGGCCGCAACGGCTAAGCCAGCGGCAGTGAGGTAGGGGTCTAGAGGATGTGGAAAAAGTTCCAGGATCTTTATTTTTCGTACAAGTAGTACATCAGCGTGGTACACTAATTGTAATTGATACGCAGCAAGATAAACGCAGCCCCTCCGCCTTGGCAGCTGAGAAGTACTATAGCAAGATTTCGAAAACGCTTTCGCTTGTTCATCTATACCTATGTTCAATTGATCCCCTTGCTGCACCTTCATGTGGACCATCGCGAGCGTTTTTTGCCTTTCCTGCACCTGTTCCAGGCGTTGCCGGATCTGCGTCGCTTGATCCTGGGACCCCGCGTTTCCGAGGTTTTGCTGCTTCGCCTGCAGCATCTGTTTCTGGGTGGCGACCAGCCGTTTTTTCTGCTCGGATTCCACGTTATGCACTGCAAAAATGTCTGGGTCTGGAAGGTTGGAACTTGTAATACTAGCTCTACATTCCTGGGAAATCTGTATTGCATAACCAACAAAAGCCGCAGCCTCTTTTGTCATGCAAAAACGCAGTTTCTCATGCGGATTGCCTATGAGAAAGCGTTTTGGGAAATTGTCATGCTGGACTGCATTCGGAAGTGTTTTCATCATGCACATTTTAGCATCACAAGTTTCCAGACCCAGACATTTTTGCATTTGATACACGTTCAATTGCTGCAACCCGCGTTCCAGGTCCTGGATCTGCTTCTGCTTGGCTTGCAGCGACTGGGTCAGCTCTTGCAACTTCCCATCCTTCTCGCCAAAGTCCCTCTTTTGCTCCGCAGCCTGACCATGCGTCACCTCGAGGCCCGCAAGCCGCTTGATGTACTGATCGCGCTCCGTATCACAAGGAAAAGCGTTAACATCAACGGTTTTCACAAATTGCAGTCATGCATCACAAATGTAGCCCAATATGCATGCTATGCATTACAAATTTTGGCATGTTTATGTTTTGCGATGTATTGCTGCATCACAAATTCCGTTCACGTTAACACTTTTTGCTGGGATACTCCGCGTCGGAAAACGTGCGCAGGTTCAGTTCCCCCCGACAGTTCTCGGCGATGCGCAGCAGGTCGCCCGCGTAGTCATCGTTTTGCTTCACCGACGTTTTCAGCTCGCCCTGGATGGACAAATACCTGTCGTGTAGAGAGTAAGTAGGGAGATGACAATTCATAAACGAAAAGAGTACGATCTTTCTTTTATTTGATTCTCGACGTCAAACTGTATTTGGAAGTCGCACAAGAACGGCGCCACCAACGCCGGATGTTCGTGTTCCGTGTTGGCTATATAAGTACGTCATCTACCTATTCTTGTTCTCAATACGACCTCTTGAAACTAAGTATGAAACGGAAATCTTCCAAAAGAGGGATTGATTCTAGTAGGTACGCCGCCAGCGTTTTCTCAAAGGCCTGGAAATGTTCGTTGCCCACTGCGAGTTTCGGGAAGCTGGAGGAGACCTTGTCGACCTGCCAGCTGGTGTTTTGTTTCATTTTTGCGATTATGCAATGCAAAAGTATAATTGTATCGTACTAGTATGAATTGCATGACAAATCTTTCATAGAAGAAAAATGAAATTTGTCATGCAGTTTCAGGTAAGAAAGCAGATCTGTAATGCTAGACTCGCATTAATACGAGTACGATACTTTTTTATTTGCAACGCATAGCGATGTCCACACCGGTTTTGTCCAGCGAAACCGCCAGAGGATCCAGAATCGCTTTCTCCAAGGACTTATCAAGTGCAAATATGTCTGAGTCTGGAAGAATCAAGGCTTGTCATGCTTGTCTGGCATGACCTATGATGCTTGTAATGCATGAGCCAGCATCACAGATTTTTGGAAGGCTTCCTGATGCCATTTCCGCATGACATCAAATGCCCTCCTCGCGTAGCACAAATGTGGCTCCTCTTGATGGTCATGCAATACAGATTTCTTTAGAGTCCAAAGTTAGCATCACAAGTTCCAACTTTCCAGACCCAGACATTTTTGCACTTGATACGACTTCTCGAACGCGGGCAGGCCGTCGAGGTTGCTGGAGATGTCGAACATCTGTTGCCCGCCTGCACCGTTCGCTGCTTGGTTGTTGTGCGAGTTCAAAAGGAGTTCCGCGGCCTGGAACCGGCAGGGGTGGTCCGGCACCTCCAAAATGCGGGTCAAATTCGCACTGATCTGCTGGAGGTTGCGCATACTCAGGTTCGCTTTCTGCAGGAGCCAGAGCCCGTATTTCGCAAACCGGGGATCGATTAAGAGGGTGGAAACCTAAATTGAAAATCCGATTTGTTTGTCGACGAACAAGGTCTTTAAGGCTGTGCGTACATCAAAACATCATCGCATACAAAACGCTCACTTCAAAGATAGAGGCCGACAAGTAAGTCAACGAGGCTTCTAATTCTATTCCCAAGCAATACATACGGATACGCTAACGCTAACGGACGCAAGAACGAAGTGGAAGTTAAATAAAGCATGAAAATGCTGAGGCTCCTCGCGTCTGTCAAAAATCACTGATTGTATAAATAGTACCCTCCCAAGGCTGGTTTGGTGCGTGCAGAGCGCCGCGGTTAACTTGAGCAAATTTGGGTCGTGGAGCTGCTCGCCGCCGGTAGTAGTACTCAAACCCGTCGCTTCGGCCCACACCTCTTCCGTCTTCGCCAGCAGTTCGATCGCGCGACTAGCCTCGCAGGCCCCGGAAATAATTGCGTTGCCCGATAGGATGCAGGCCACAATCTGCGTGTTGCGGTCCGGGGAGCTGAACAGTGCGACGACGAGCCCGAGGCCGGACTCGGAGAACAGAAACTGCTTCAAGTCGTCCTCCAACGCGAACCAGAAGAGCTTGGCCAGCAGCTCATGCACCACCGCCGGTCTCTGGGGATGGAGCAATTGCAGGATGACCTCCCGGGCCTCGATATCCTAACCAAAAACGTCCCCACCGCAGAGTTGTCATGCAGATTTCCATCTACAGAAACATTTGTAATGCGGGTACCCATCATGAGAGGTATTTCCATTCGTGTTTTGGAATTTGTAATGCTGGAAACAGGATGAGCAGATGGATTTGTGATGCGTTTGTCCTTACTAACCTGCACTACGCTACGCACTGCAACCTGTCATGCGTGGCCCCCAAAACGTCTAGATTTGTGTTGCTAAGTGCCCAACTTGACTATGGGGCGGGCACGTTTTTACACAGGATACTCGATTAGCGTCGCGGTCATGATCCGGGGAAATTGGTCGCTATGCATTGCAAAAGTATCGCACTAGTATAAATCGCAACACAAATTGGCTCAGCATTACAAAGTGAATTTGTAATGCGCATTTGCCCTAAGAAAAAGATTTGTAAATGCATGATCGCAATTAGTACGAGTACGAGGATGCTTTTGCAGTTCATAGTCGCCACTGTTCAGCAAGATCGCCGACAACAGACCGCGAATAGACCTAGCGAATGCATTGGTTGCGTGCTAGTTGTATCAGCTGTCAATGATCGCTTCACAAATTTTTAAAATTCTAATTCTTTATATCAACGGAGAAGCATCAAAACGCAATTTTTCGTCGTGCAGGTGCATGCACTGCTAGTGCTACAGAAACAGCTGGGAAATCGGCACTTTGTCATGCTGTATTAAGAACCGATAGTATAAATACGGAAAGTTATCTGGCACGTCCAAGGCCCGGAACAGCCTTTGCAGGAACCCGACCTTGCCTTGCAACTGCTCCACCACGCTCAATTTGCCCACCTTCACCGCCCCGGTCAGCAACTGCGCGGCCTGCGCCAAGCACTCCGGCGGGTTCCCGTTCAGAATGTGGTCGGTGCAGATCTGCAGCACCTCGGGGTGGGCCAGCCGGTACACTTCCGTGGCGTACTTTTCGTCGACACACAGCTTCGGTAAGGTTTTGAACAGGTTGCTGCGGACAAAGTCCGGCCCGAAGACGAAGCGCGAAACGGACAGGCCGGCGTTTTCGAACTCGAGGAATTTCCAGATGTGCAGCTGCTTTTCCAGTCGGATCACCTCGCTGTTCAGACAGTACTGGAGAAAAATGCTCAGCTTCGCTTTTCGGTCTTCTACAACCACCGGGTCGGTGCTGTCCATCCCTTTCTGCGGTAAGACGGGCAGGTTTAGGTCCAGGGGCGTGAGCGCCGCGTGCAGGGTGAAGAAGTCGTTGAACCTGAAATCATGCAAATGCATCTGCAGTTTCTTGTTGTACAACAGTGTGGATTAAAAACAGAACCAACAGCCTTGAGATGAACGGGTCTAGCGGAAATTTTTCATGGCCATGGGTGTTGTCGCGGAGCACTTAATACCCACACGATTGGTGTTCTTCAGTGCGACCAAATGATCTTCCATTTCCTTACCTGTGGTTCACAATGCGGTCCCGGCCGAAGTCGTGCACCTCTATCACGTAGTCTGTGTATTCCTGCAGTAGAAAACTAAGTTTCGTTTCTGTCCGGTTGATCTTCACGTACACTGGGCGACTGGTATCTACCACGACCTCGGGTGGCTTTGCGTCCGGTAACGCGTTGTAGAGGGTGGTATTACCCGCGTTTATCTGCGAAGGGTCCTCGAACTGCAGTGTGCTGGAGAGCGCGTTTTGCATCAAATTCGAAGCGGTGGACGAGAGCACACCCGTTGCCGCTCCAAGAGTGGATGCAGCAGAACTTGTTCCATATGCAATACAAATTTCCCGTACATGTACAAGATGCATCACAAATTTCACCAATTTGCATTTGGAGCGTAAAACTTGTCATGCTACACTAGGATCAAAGCCAAGTTTTGTCATGCGGAGACCACATTTGTACCTGTACGGGAAATTTACTGTGGATATTCCACTTGCAAGTACACTAGCACCCGTAGCTGCAGCCCCCGACCCAGGAAGTAGACCACCTGCTCCTCCAGAGGAACTCATCGAGGAAGATCCACCTGCTGCTGATCCTCTGTGCATCTGCTCGCTGGCACTCTGCAGCACCTGGCTAGCCCCCGCGGCTAAGAACTTCGTTGCGCCCCCCACCAGTGTGCCCGTCAGCGCGCCCGCCTTTTCGGCCATCGCGAGCGCGGCAGTGCGGTTCTGGTGCGGCCCGGCACCCGCGGCGGACCCAGGGATTTGGCCACTGTTTGATATTGCAGCTCCTGGCATAGTCATAGGCATTCCACCAACTCCCGCAGAAGTTGTCATGCTGAACTGCCCGGTGGGTTGCAACGGTGGCGTCGCAGATGATGCTGGAAAAGAGGACAAACCACCACCCGCAGCAGATCCGAAAAAGCTAGTTGTACTGGAGCTGGGTCCTCCTGCTCCTGTCGGAGTTGGATTCGGATTTGACGCCGGCGCTCCGGCAAGCAAAGGATTAGTTGCACCGGAGGGCTGTTGCCCGGCCATGAGCGGGTTGTGCGACGTCATCAAGGGGTTGCTCGGAGGGGAGGACAAGGAACTACCTCCAGGTGGAATCCCGCCTCCGGTCAGCGGGTTATTTGAAACAGAAGCAAGCGGCGGCGCATGTTGCGGTTGTGTGCCAAGCTGGCTAACCGGCACCAAGGAAGGAATTCCGATGTCATCCAGGTCCATCTTTAATTAATCTGCTGGAATTCAAATTTTTTTTTGACCCATGGCCATGTGATTCATCCGCGCGCTATTGTTAAAATTGATCCAGTTCTTGTACATCACTTGACGAAATTGACAAGTCATGTGAGTTTCGGTTCCGACACTGTGGTACGGCTCTTCCGCGGTCGTTGAAGAATAAGAAAGGTGGACGGCAAGCAGATCAGGATCGAACAAACTGCATGTTTGCAGATCTCCTCGCAGGTTTTCTGGCGGAAAAAGATATCAAATTCAAAACAAATTCTTGCTCACATGCGTGTACTAAAATCACGTCCACGAACTAACGAGGTGTGTAGTTTTTTTTTTTCATATTCGTACCTTTCCATGTTTCTTTCTTCTGAAAAATTGCAGCAGAAAGACGGAACAAACGCGAAGCTAGAGCAAATTGTCTGGCGAAGCGACGAATAACAAGCACCTAGCGGAAATCGAAAGTCATTGTGAACACCAAGCAGTCTCGTCCTGTTAGTACCTTTTGGTGCCCAGACTAGAGCGATGTCCTTCGCCACACCGGTAACAGGCTTTTACTTTCGAAAGATGACGATCAGAGCGATCACCTATTTCCGGCGAATAAAATCCAGCCTAATCATCTTTTCTTTCGTCCCACACAGGGCTGGGCTCTTGTTCGCCTCGAAATCGAAAAATTAAAATTTTCAAAAACTCGTCTGATTGTCAACATCACGACTCGGGGTCCCGGTCCGGGTCTGCGACAGGAATCGCGAAGCAGTAGTAGGTCGCATTGTTCCACCCCTACTAGTCCTTCTTCAGTTCGAATTTTGGTTGCTGTACGACCCCGCTTTTGTCAATCGTGAAAATGTCGCAAGCATCGCCCGTGTAAATGTCGCGTTCGCCAGTCGAAGTCATCACGTCGCGGCCTGAACGAGAGAAAATTTTGGAAAAAATTAAAATTTATATTTTTCACTTACGTGGTACTTGGGGACGAGAGGTCTTGTTTCAGGTGCAAGTGAAACTACAGCGTAGTTGTGTGTACGGGATAATCCAGACCTACTGGACTTTCAGGTGTATCTATAAGCATGGCTAGGTGGATATTGATTTCATCAAAATCCAGCACGGACGAACAATGTTGCATTGATGCAGAATCAGAAAAGCGTAGTTGTAAATCGCAAAGCGGCGTAGAAGTCGTAGTACAGAGGTCCAGCACTTCTGCGAGCTTGAGTGGCGCTTTCCTCTTCTTGTCCTCGGTGTAATTTCCCTGCTGTATGACGGCGTCGATTACTGGGTGGGCGAGTGAGCTTCCACTACCCGACGTCGTGTAGCTGGCGTGAAGAAATGATTGAAGCGGTTAAAGCGAAATACGCAATACAAATTTTCCGTAGTTGTACAACACGTACTGTACAAAATGCATGACAAATTATTCAAGCAAGTAGTTATACTCGACGCGCTCGAAGCTCCCAATGGCATCGTAGTGGTAGCACGCTCCCTTTCCCTCGCCGTCGGTTCCGGCGAGAATATTGAAGGTGTAGTAGGGAAAAAACCGCTTTCCGTAAAGCACCGTGGAAAGCATCTGGGCGATTGCTGTGGTGGATGGCTCCTTCCGATGCTCGTGCTGGTACCTAATAGGAAAAAGACGCGCAAATTTTGGTTTTCCTTTCGCATTATTTTCTCTTCGATGGATTCGGACGGGTGGTTTTTCTGAACAGAGGACCACGCCTCCAATATGTAGATGAAATCATGCAGAGCAAAATTCATGCAATTCTGCCGAATAGCAATAGAGACACCGAAATAAACATCAAATCATCGCCCGACTTGGACTTACATTGTAATTCTGATTTTCAGCATTCGGTGCAACGTGATCGCATCTGCTTTCATTCCACAGCTCGTAATCACGCACTTCGATGTCAGTTGGGTCGTCTGTATTTTTTTTTGTTTTCGATGAAAGAAAGTTATGTTGAGAGGTGGGTCATTGTTGAGGTGATAATTGCATTCGAAACTGAAACTACACGAAGTTGTTCCACCATTTTTTGAGTACATCGTGGTCTCCTCCTCCTCGCAACATGCAACGACAACATGAGAAAATTTTGTTGAAGAAACCTTGGTATTATTTCTCGTGTGTATCGAGTATCCCTTGGAAAGTCGCTTATCGGAAATGATGACGGCACCGTATCAAATGCAAAAGCGTCTGGGTCTGGAAGCATGTAACTTGTAATGCTAGTCCTCCACTCCTGTGAAATCTGTACTGCATGACTAAGAAAAAAAAGACGCCCTCTTTGGTCAAGCAAAAGCGCAGTTTCTCATGCGGACTGAGCAAGAGAGAGCGTTCTGAAAACTTGTCATGCTTGGTTGCATTGGCAAATATTTGAGTCATCCAGAGTTCTGCATCACAAGTTTCCAGACCCAGACATTTTTGCAGTTGATACACCGTCTTCGCACGCAATGCCAACTGCCGTCCCACCATTGTCAGTGTATGGCGAAAACCGGTGCTCGATGGGTTGCGCCATTTTCAGTGGAATTGTTTCTACTACGACTGCTAGTATTCTTCTATGAGAAAGAGTAAATGTTGTACACTTCTAGTACTTTGAAATTTGGGAAACTATCTCCCGCTTCGCCGCACTGAAGAAACTACAGAGCCATGAAGTTTTTGTTTTCTTTTTGTGTCGCGGAAAAATAAATTACAGCTTACATTGACATAAAAACGTAGGAGAGTTGTGTCGCTGGTGGCATCGTGGTACATGATCGTTTGTATGCAACAGAAGCAATGGAATTCAAGTGTGAGAGTGAGTACTGCTATTGCTTCTAGGACATCAATAGAAGCAACAAGAATCAATATCTTCAGTTCGTTCTTTTCCTTAGCGATGAGGCAAGAATGAATGTGCTGTCGCATCGTCCACATGGACTATCACAGCAAAATGAGTGGGATTGCCGGCAGTCGCGCCAAGTTCTACTTGCGAAAGGTTTTGATCTTGGAAGCAGGATGGATGTAACGCCAGTGGATGGGCGTATTGAAGTTGTTGAACGGTCGCGCCTCTTGCGCTGGCTTGCGACATTTCCTTTTCCTTCCTGATGTAGGGATGGAAATGGAATACTTAGCACAACTTACGACTGAGCTTGTTTCTGTTGAGCTTCAACATTGAACAGTTGGAACATCGACGCGAAAATCCTTTGACTGTGTGCTTGCTAATAGGCAAAAAATCTTTATAGTCGGAGCCTCGGTCTTCCACGTTATTATACAGTGTTTTAGTTTTTTGTTTGTATGTTGCCGCCCCTTCTGTTGTTTAGTCGGACTTATGTACAGGCTCAGAAGGAGTCACAAAATAAATTGTTATAGCTGCTAAAGGAAGCTACTAATCATTCAGCGCAAACAAGTATGGTCGTGTAGCCGTCATTTTCGTCTTGTCTCTGCATGTGTACATTGATTTTGGCGAAACGACCGCACTTCCTGCTCTTCGTGTACAGTTAATTCGAAAGTTTTTTTTCTAGCCAATCGTTCATGATATTACGGTGCGCAAGATATTGTCGTTCATACTGGTGGAATAAAGAAGTTTTGAGTTTTAGTATTATCTCATCAATAGCATGTTGGATTCTATTAAATTCATAGTACGATCCGCGTAGCATTCAGATGAAACAATAGAGAAACTTTATAAAGTGGACAAGCGTCGCTACATAAAGGGAAGAACGGGACAAATTATGGGGAGCGCTAAATGCTGATGAGCTTTTCAAGGTCAGCGTCGAAGCCACCGCCAGTCAAGTCATACATAAAAATTGCGTGGAAGGAAGTCTGAAGTTCTGTCCTGCTGTTCACTGAGTTCTATCCTGGAAAACGATGAAATCCAATACGAGTAGTTTCATAAGTCAAAAAAGTCATTGCAGCATTACTAGCTGCAGTGTCGAGTGTCACTTCGAAAGTTGTTCATATCATGTGTGATTCTTATCTATCATTCATCTTGCATATTTTTAGCGTTATTAATAGCACCAGCATGTTGTCGACACAACAAAAGTTAAGAAATGGTTTTCTGCAGTGGCGCTTCTCCTACATCACACCTCGCACCATTACCATTTTCAACATCATGGCCTCCTACACCTCCACTACCTCATCCTCTCCGCTGAAAAGGGACGGCGAGGTGGAAGTACTATGTTCCGCAGTTCTACTACTCAAGCGGTCCAACTGCGATCTCCGTAGCAGGTCATTGGTCGTCGTTCCCTCCTCAGGCATCACTTCGTCGATAATATGCTCCTCGACCTCGAACTCGTAGCCCACCGCGGGAGGGACGGAAAAATTATCCTCCAAGTCGTCATCGTAGTGTCCCTGGTCGTCGCGGTCCGGAACTTCACTAAATGAAGATCCAGGACGAGGACTCGTCACAACATCCACATCGTCAACCTCAACATCTTCCGCATGATCATGAAGGTGTTGATTGCTGTTCCTCCTGTTGTTCATCGTAGCCGCCGGACCAGGACTACTTCTTCTATCATATGGCACGGAATTTTTCATCATGTAATAAGACGTGCCACCATGATCGTGTGCAGCATGTTCACTCGGATCTCCGAGTAGCAGCAAGCGGTGCATCTCTTCCTCGGCTTTTTCATCCCCATACGAGCGGAAGAATTCCCAACGGGACCTGCTCGCCTCGTCGGCTTGGTCCAGCAGTTTTTTCCGCCGCCCATACTCGGCTTCGTAGAAGTTCTGTTCTGGCTTGCGGTCTTGTTCTTCACGACTGGCGTTCTGGTTCTTGTGTCGTCCAACTGTTGTCGTCCCGTCAGCTTCGCCCCTGTCGTGGTCCTTTTCCTGCTTCTTATTTTCCTTCCTCGTGTGCGCTTCGATTTTTCCTCGAAACAGAGTCACGATGTGGGGCATATGGAAGCGTCAGGTTTGAAATCGTCAAAGTTGAAGTAATCTGTAATGCATAAAATGCATGACCCGAGGTACGTGTGTTGCAGAGCAGGCAAGTGAGGCCGATTGTAAGCCTGTTTGGGGTTACAGCTCGAGCTGCTAAAGTAGCATGAGAAAATGACTCTTCTTTGCCTAAACAGCATGACAAACTGGATTTAGGGACCACCGAGATTTGTCATGCGCCACTTGGAAACTGGGTTCCAACTGGCATCCATTTTATGCATGACAAATTATTTCAACTTTGTCGATTTCAACTCTGACACATCCATAGGGCAACCAGCGCTCGTACACGTGTTTCGCGCCGAGGTGCAGCATATCAAATGCAAACATGTCTGGGTCTGGAAGAGTCATGCTGCTTTTGCATGACACAGAAGGTCTGGGTCTGGGTCATGGAAGCTCTAGCGTCACAGGTTTCGAGAGGCTTCCGCAATGCCGAAACCGCGTGAGAAATGCGCCACTTTGGTGACAGAAACTAGTGGCAGTGGGCAGCTTTTGCCGCCTATGCATGAAAGATTTTTCTGTGTTGTGAAATGCGCAGCACAAGTTTGCATTCTTCCAGACCCAGACATATTTGCAATGTATACAGCACCGACCACCGCTCGCGCTGGTTTTGTCCCGCGGCGCTCTGGGCGCGCTGCAGTTTCGCCTTCGTGGCAGCGTCGTGGAGGTGGCGTGTGGATGCAGTGGCTTTGCCTGTGTCCTCTTTTCCGAGAAGTTATTACAGTGAAAAATGCCCCCACCCCCAAAGTTGCAATAATTTGTGATGCGAAGTCTCCAAATAAAAACTTTTATTTTGTCATGCGTGAAAGGAATATGAATCTTTGTGATGCAGAGTCTGGGCGTATATAGCATTGCTTGCATGACAAGCGCCGATTTTGCTGGGATCTTTTGCAATACAAATTGTCGCTATTGTTCATCACGATTGGAAATCTGTGATGCTGCTAGATGCAAGAGGGCGAATGTTTCTCTTGGAAAGGTTTGCAATACAAATGCTCCCAAGTTCGGCGGTGGGGGCATTTTTCATTGTAATAGAAGTAGCTTTTTGTCTTCGCGGGAGAGCACCCAGTCCTCTTCCTCGGGGGTCAGCGTCTTCCATGTGGAAAGAAAGTCGATAACGTCGTCCGGGCTGTCGGCCGCTGCTACGTCCACCGCCAGGGCGGCAGGGAAGTGCAGTGCGCGTTCGATCAGATGCACTAACCGCTGCTCGATGACGCGGCTGGGCAGCCCGTCGAGCGAGAATAACAGCGACGAGGCCGTCGAACTGTGGCCAACATCTGCTTCGCTCTCGTCGCCGTAGTTGGGGGCCGAAGGGCCCGCGTTATTTCTGTAGTTTTTGTTCTTCCACAAGTTCTTTCGTAGAAAGGGTTTATTCCTGCTAGGACGATGAATTTCTTTCAGCTCTGCTTCCGCAAGCCCCCAGGTTATGTCATCGTCGGTAACCATCGGGGAGAGCCGGTGCCAGGTCCCAGAGCGCACCCGCTTCAGCGTCGCCAGCTCCTCCTGGCGCCGCTCCCACAGGCCCGTCGTCACGTGCTCCCACTGAAACGCGTTGGCTGCGGACTGCACGTAACGCAGGTAGGCCCCGAGCGGCGTGTAGTCGTGCAAAGCCACCACCGAATTGCGCAGCAGGGACAGAAGGGATATCGCCGCGAAGTCCTTGCCCGTTACGTGCGAGATGGAAGAGGAGAGCTTTGCGTATATTTCAAGTGGTCGTTTTTTATTCGTCCCGAACGTGCTCTCCTCTTGCTTCAGCAAAAAATCCAGCCGGTCATGCATCACCTTTACGTAGGCACCGATCACGGAGTGCGGGCCGGCGTCCGCGAAGTTGTGGTGCAGAAAGTTCGACAGCTCCAGTGTTTTCTTCTTCGCGGCAGCTTTGCGAGCTTCGGCTCTTGCTCTTCTTGCAGCAGCAGCATCAGCTCGGTTATCCACTACAGTAAATTTCCCGCACTTGTTGATGTACAAAAAGCATCACAAATTTTGCCAACTTAGTAGAGCATGCCACTTGTCACGCTATCTAGGATGGAAGGCAAGCTTTGTCATGCAGAGACCGCATTTGTATGTCTATGTCGTGTGCGGAAAATTTACTGTGGATATCTGTTCCTCCTCTTGTACTCGGTAGCGTTCCTGTTCAGCAAAATCGCTTTTGTGGATATCCTCTCTTCTTGCAAAAATGCTGCGTTCTTTATGCTCTTCATTTCCTCGTGCTGATGATCTTCCACATCGTTCTCGTTTTTTTTGTTCTTCTTCTTCTTGCTTCTCGCAACAATCCTGTATCGCTGTCCGTCGTCGCCAACAAACGAGGTATGGGTGTGTCAGGATCGAAATCGTCAAAGTTGAAATAATTTGCCATGCATAAAATGGACGCCAGTTGCCACTCAGTTTCCAAATGGCGCATGACAAATTTCGGTGGTCCCTAAATCCCGTTTGTCATGCTGTTTAGGCAAAGAAGAATGGTTTTCTACATGCTACTTTAGCAGCTCGAGCTGTGAACCCAAATAGGCTTACAATCGGCCTCACTTGCCTGCTCTGCAACACACGTACCGCGGGTCATGCATTTTATGCATTTGCAAATTATTATTATTTCAACTTTGACGATTTCAAACCTGACGCTTCCATACGAGGGCTCCTCCTCGTAGTGCTTCACTCCACCATACGCAATGCGAAACCACGCCACCCACATCAACGCCAGTGCGACATTGTGCTTGGTGGCCCGCTATGCAATGCAAATATATCTGGGTCTGGAAGGTTGGAACTTGAACTTGTAATGCTAGCTTTCCATACCTAGGAAATCTGTATTGTATAACCTACAACAGTCGCTGCAGCCTCTTTTGTACAATGAAAGCACGCAGTTTCTGATGCGGATTGCCTATGAGAAAGCGATCTGGAAAGTTGTCATGCTAGGTTGCATTCGGAACTGTTTCCATCATCCACATTTTAGCATCACAAGTTTCCAGACCCAGACGTATTTGCATTTGTGATACCCGCAAGATGCTGTACTTTGTCTCCACACACCCGTCGTCGCTGTGCGCCAGCGCTATGCTGTGCAAAAGTACTCGTATTGCAATCATGTATTACAAATATCTTTCTTGAGCTAAATCCGCATCACAAATTTCATTTCTCATGCTGAGTAACTTTGTAATGCATTTCTACGAGTACGAGTACGATACTTTTGCAATGCATAAGCGCGGTGTGGTCCCGAAACGGGGCGGCCCGGCTGCAGTCCGGGACGTGAATCTGGGTGTAGGACTCCTTCCCAGCGACGTCCAGAGTCTGAAGTGAGTGGCCCGCTCGCGCATCCATCTCCTCGGCCCGTCGTCCCGCCGCGGAGAGCTGCTGTGTTGAAGACAGATCGCGGCGGTAATTCAGGTCGAAAGGGTTCATGTGCCTTTTCATCAGAAACGAGGGGTACCTCGACGAGAATTTTCTATTGTGATGTTGCACGTCCGCTACTTTTTTCCGCACAACATACCGCACCAGGTGGTCCAACAAGTGTGCGCACCAGGGGGGCACGTGGCCGAGCGACGCTTCGTAGGGGGCCTTGCGCCACAGCAGGTGCGGAAAGTGCTCGCAGCCCAGCTTCCGTTCGATCACCCAGGAGGGAAAGCCCCGCCAGTGCGTGGCGGGGTTATGGAAGCGTCAGGTTTGAAATCGTCAAAGTTGAAATACTTTGTAATGCATAAAATGCGACACAAGAAGTGACTCTATTGCATAGGACCCACGGGAGGCAGATTATAGTCCTGTCAAGGGTCAAAAGTTGGACTGCTAACTAGCATGACAGAAGGCAGCTCTTTTACCCTAAACCGCATGACAGACTCGCTTCCAGGACCGGGAAAATTTGTCATGCACCGACTACAAACTGTAGGTCTAACTGGTATCCGTTTTATGCATGGCAAATTATTTCAACTTTGTCGATTTCAACTCTGACACATCCATAGGGGTCCCCTTCGCGGTAAACCTGCAGCACATCGCCCTTTTTCACGTAGAGTTTGTGGCAGACTTCCCGCTGCCGGGTCGCGGCCTTCGTCCCAAGTACCTGGCGCAGGACCTTCGCGGAGGTGGAGGCACCGTCAAACAAGTAGAAGGGGTCGTGCCGGTATCCACAGAAAAAAAACCAATGCAAGCCACATCCATTTTTTGCATGGCAAACACATGACTTGATACGTGTTTTGCATGACAAATTGGATGTGGATGGGTTTTTTTCTGTGGATAGCCGGTTCCGGTACTCCTCTGCACCAACGGCCGCCTTCTCCGCTTCGCTGGCAAGCCAGGTGGCCTTTCTTCGGACCAAACGCCAACCGCCCTGGAAGGCGTGTTGCGTGGCTGCCCAGGACTTGTGAAGCCAATCCTCGTCTTGGTCTTTATTGTTCCCCCCGCCGGCGCCCTCCTCGGTGTTGTTCTTTCTGTCCCGCTCGGCCTTTTCCCTGCGCGCGATGCGGTCTATGCGGTGCGCGATGGCGATGTATTTGGCCAGTTGGTGGCAGTGCTCTACCAGGTGCACCCCCTCCTGCCAGTCGCGGTATTCCAGGCTCCATCGCCCCACGACCTCGGGCCGCAGCATGGGTTCAATCATGGTCACCCAGACCTCGCGCGCCCACACCTCGGTCACACCCAAGTAGGCCAGGGTGAATTGGACCGAGCCACCGGTCCCGTCGGGAGACAGCCCCGCCTCGGGGTTCCGCACGGTGGGCAAAACGACCGTGGCGACCGCCCCCGTCCCGCTGTTTTGCGCAGCCTGCAACGACTGTGCGAGCGCGACGAGCCCGCTCGGCACTCGCTCAATCTTATTCCGCTTCTTCGCGTCGTAAGAAGCTTCTTCTTGGGAGGACTTCTGGTCCTCGGACTTGTAGTAGCGGTCGTGGTCGTGCAGGCGGCCGAAAACAGGTTGTTTTTCCAAGGGCAGGTCGTAGTCCTCCTCTTCGTCTAGCCGGAAGTCGTCGTTTTCTTTCCCGGCCGCAACCAGGCCCGGTTTGCCGCGGTCCAGGCCGTTGGTCGCGAGCCGTCCCTATCAAATGTAAAAATGTCTGGGTCTGGAAGAATGCAACTTGTCATGCTGAATCTGGAGCATGCAAAAATCTGTGTTGCATGATTACCAAAAGATGTCCACTTTTGACCAGTTCGACAGGGAGTTTCTCATGCAGGATAGGCACGATAGACACCTCACAGCGTTTGTCATGCTAGGTGCTGCATTCCAGGCCTCATGGGTCATGGAAAAACTGCATCACAAATCTTGCATTCTTCCAGACCCAGACACTTTTGCATTTGATAGTCCCGAGGGCGTGGGGTGCACGAAGTAGCCGGCGACTATCCAGGAAAAAACACCCATCCCCATCCATTTTTTGCATGGCAAATAGTTGACTTTATGCATGTTTTGCATGACAAATTGGATGGGGATGAGTGTTTTTTTCCTGGATAGCGATGTCTTGCAGGAAAACGTCCTCCGAGGCCGTGCCCCACATCGCGCAGTCCCGGTAAAACTCTTCCGTTTGCGCATCGTGTTCGCGTTCCCCGGGCTCGCCAGATGTTGAACCGCTTGTCTGCGGCCCGCCACCGGGTGCTGTTGCATCCTGGCTGTAGTCCTGCCAATTCAGTGTGGGAAAGTCCTTTTCCATGGAGCACGACTGAGGGAGTAGACCTATGGACTGCAAAAGTATCGTACTCGTATAAATGCATTACAAATTTCATCAGCATGAGAAATAGAATTTGTAGTGCAGATTTACCTTAAGAGAAAAATTTGTAATGCATGATTGCAATACAAGTACGATACTTTTGCACAGGATAAGACCCGCGGCGCGCCAAATCCAGTCGCCCAGGTCCATTGTGAAGCGGGGAACCGTATCAAATGTAAAAATGTCTGGGTCTGGAAGAATGCAACTTGTGATGCTGCATTTGGATTCCAAAAAAATCTGTATTGCATGAGTACCAAAGGGAATGCAATTTTTGCTCCGCTGAGAAGGCATTTTTCATGCGGAAAAGGCATCAGGAAACCCTCAGTAGAAAATCTGTATTGCTAGGATATGCATCACAGACATCATGGCTCATGCAAAACGTGCATGACAAGTGTCAGAATCTTCCAGACCCAGACACTTTTACATTTGATAAACCGCAAACGCCAAAATTCGCGGCAGCCCGCGCCGCATCAGGGGGTACAAACCAAGGTAATCGACGTGCTCCGCCGAGTAGACGCGATTCCAGAGGGGCTGCAGCTCTTTGCGCAGGGGCTCCGTCTCCTGCCCCGCCAGAACGTCCTGCTCCAAAAGGCGGCCCAGCGAACCGTGCGTGAGCGGAAGCTTGGCCCCGACCGCGGGGCTGGACCGTACCTGGTAGGAAGAAAATCTATTACTTTCGCCGTCAATGTTGTTCTGTTCCGGACTAACCTCTTGCTCTTGATCTTCACTATCGGAAATAACGTCATCGTCGTGGTCTTTCTCTTTGCCCTGCTTGTCCTGCTTCATTTTTTTCGAGTCGAGTCGTGGCACCGCTTTTCCTGCGTGCGTGGTCAGCTGCTCGTACACATTTGATTTGGTCCATACGGGTTCTCCGCTTTGCAACCCGGGAACGACATCCGTGCCTTCGAGCAGACCCCGCACGTACGTTTCTTTGCGGGTCGGGGCATAGTCGTGATGTGCTGGAGGACCTCTTCCCATTGATGTAGGTTCAAGCGCAACCACGACTATCCACAGTAAATCTAATTTCCCGCTGCACACGGGCAAATTCTGTGGCTTCCACATGTTGACAAGCACAAGCTCTTCCTTGAACCTCTCCAGCATGACCAATTGCTTTTTCTAAGTTGTTGAAATTTCAATTTGCATTTTTGTACATGTGCGGGAAATTTGTATTGCATATGATCTGTCATCGACGTCACCTCCTGCTGCAATTGCGCGCCAAAATTGGTGCGCTCGTGTTCGCTTTCCACGAGGGAGTCGACTCCGCGGCGAAAGGCGTCGAAGTAGCCCCCGCTGTACGCGGCTGTCGGCTTATGGTCCACATCCGCAACTTTGCTGAAGTAGAACCACCCGTCCTTGGCGCGGTCTTCTGGCCCCAGCATGCGCTCCCGGCGGAGACTCGCGCGGGCCATGACCTGCGCGATAGAAAGCCCCTTTTCCCACGGGGCAAATTCGTCGACATCTTCGCCGTAAAAAGTCTCGGGGTCCAGCATACCCTTCACTTTGTAAATATGGTCTGTCATTCCAAGAAGGGTTGCTCGGTCCTCGTAGTTGTGATCGACTGGTGATGAACCAAAATTTGCCTTCGTTCTAGTACTAGTACTCACCTTCGCAGTACTTCTTCTAGTTGCACTTGATGTTGCAGCTGCCCTTACGACCCTGCTGCTGCTCTCGCTCTCCATAAAGGACGTCGAGCTGCTCGCCTCACTTGTACTTCTAGAGGTCGAAGTTGTGCTAGCCGTGGGCGCAGCGCCGTTCTGGTCATAAAGCTGTTGCAGTGGTCTCTGGAATTCCGCGTCGGCCTTTCGGTACCGAGCTACGCTCGCGTCGACATCGACCACATGGCTGCCCGGGGTACTGACCGGCGTGCCGTAATACAGGGGCGTAAACTCCAGCTCCTCGGCCCGATCGGGGATGCGGTCCGAACGCCCCAGTCGGTGCAGCTGGTGCGCGCCCCGGGCCGCGTCGGTGTATGCATTGCAAAAGCATCGCAGTCGCACTACTCGCATGAATTGCATCACAAATTTTGTCTTCAAACAATTTGTCATGCTAGTTTAGGTAGAAGGTTGGATTTGTCATGCACGAATGCATTTACTTTTGCAGAGGATACGGTGCGCGCAGCGACGATGGGGAAGGGCAGCCCCCCGGCGGGAAAGCGGACGCCGAACATGCCAGTGTCCCGGGTCCGGTCCACCGCACTCGGGTATCGTACGAAAAAAGTGTTTCACTGTGATTGATTTGCAAGATCTGCATCACAAGTTTGTTACATGACACAGAAAATTTGCCATGCGCGCTTCCCAAGGGAAAACACGGCTGAAGCTCCAACGTCTTGCAGGTGTAGCAAGACAAATAGTTCTGTGTTCCATTTTCTGCATCACAAGTTCACAGGAAACAGTTTTTTCGTGC